TGACCTTATTTAGAGTCATAACAACATAATACCATATCATTTTCAAGGATTCACATAAATTCAGTGAGCTGGAAACTGATTTTAGATGCCAGTTATATACTTTCACACTACCCTACATCGATAGCGCATGCGCGAATTTTTTGGCTTTCAATCAGGTCGCTTTTGAGTATATCGACTGCTTAGTGAAAAGGTTAATACGTTTGGTGCTCGGAGTGAGTCAATATTGCTATTCGCTACACTTCAGTGGTGCAATAGTGAAGTCCATGTTCCAAGTTATATGATAGTTGAAGAAAGAATGTAAATAATATCGTTTTAAATTTTAAAATATTTGATATGTCATAGTACACGGTACACAACTGCAAAATTTGATCAATACAGGGTACAAGGAATGTAAATTGTTCAATAGTACAGGGAGCGAGAAAGTAAGCTGATTATACAGACATACTATGTCCCGATCTCATGTATATTTACGTTGCAAACAGTGAAAATAATGCTAAAAAGGCCGCCTGTTAATGCTTTGAGGTGTCATCAATTGTTATTTAATCCAAATAAAGTAAACATTATTTAGTAGATTTAGACACGGGCTTTTAGGTCGTATATGCATTTTAGTCATTAAATTAACAAGAACGCTAGATTATACGTGTTACTAGGGTATCAAATTGAAATAAAATAACGAAATTGTAATTTTATCACACGTAAGTCATAAATGACTATCGGCTATCAGGATTTATGACTATCCGCTATTCAGAATAATTAAAATTGCGTGAACTACATGTAAAGAATCTTTCTATATAACCCCTCGAATGGTCTAATTCACTACCGTCCTCAAAAACCGATCATTTAAAATAGTTTGTTCAAAATACCATCATGCCACGACATTTTGTTCTTCACGATTTGCTGTAGAGGTGATATGACGTCGTATTTCTCTATTATTGTAAAAAAAACTAATACCAGATCGATGTAGTCTTATACGACGTGTTGAATGTCAGATGTTTTTGGATGGTATCTGCTCCAGTGATTTTGCATTTAATCATGAAACGCTCATCACAAGACACCTCGAAACAAACATTATCCTCCTTGTGACAAGAGGAAAAATGTTTCACAATATGTTATGCCTTACGGCAAAGTAAAGATACATTTCCTTGACGACTTTTTTTGCATCTTAAGATTTTAGAAAAACAATTAATTCACAAAAGTACAGTTGAATAACATACTGGATAACGTATCTACATATAACACGATGACACGCAGTTTAAATAACAGTTTACTGGGGTTTTGTTACATATCAATGTAACATTTTCGAAGGGAAACTTACATGCTCCCTGTACGTTGACAGATTTACTGAAATGTATCGTGTATTGCATTGAGTTTTGCTTCACTGCGCCCACTATTATCTATCTTTACCTATAGTGGTTTTTTGCCAACAATATTCTACAAACTGCTTGATGAATCAATTCTATGTCTGGTAGAACACTAGGAATAAATGTAAAATGTATTTTACGTTCAGAAATATGGAATTAAACCCACGTCCTCCATTTGCAACTTAGCTGTACCCTGTTTCCCTTTTAAACGTGGTCACGTGGTAGGGTAGTGTGACTTTATCATTACATGAATTGATTCATGCCTCTCCAGTGTGAACATTTTGTACACATGTAAATAGTAACCAATAGGAATATACCCCAATACCAACTCACTGAAGTTTGAAAAAACCTTGTAATAGCTCACCATACACAAAAGTTATATATAGGGTATATAATACCAACTCAATGCAACTTAAAGTTTATAAAAAGAGACTTGACCAATAGAAACAATATGACCTTTGCTTCAAAGGACAGTGTCACCATGGCATTGGTATGGAATACAGAGTAACTGTATATACGTTGACAGTTATGCATCAGGTGTCAAAAGAATCAAAACAAAGAGAAATAAGTTAATATACATGTAACTTCATGAAAGAAAAAAGCAAATACAGTATTATCAGAAGATTAGAACAACAATGATTATCATGAGCGATAATAGTTTCATTTGCACTGAGAATGAAACAAAGAAAATATAAAATGTCCTATCTGCAGTTCATTATTGAATGTGTTTGCAAAATATGAGGTTTAACTGTAGAGTAACTTTTCTACTGTACTACAATACATGATTTTTGTACTGTATTTTTACCTGTAAATAAATGTTCAATAGCACTACAAAATACAAATGTCCCCATTGACATGATTGTGTCAATGCTAGGCATTTAGGCTTTGGAGAAAATGTCCCCCTCAATATGGTCAGTTACCTTGAATAGTTTTACCAGTCCCCTTTTGTTTTTGGCAAATATTTTCCCATTGCTTGACCAGGCTTGATCCACATTGTCATTGTTCTTCAGATCAAAAAGCAATTTCCTGTTCATTGGGCTAAGATATTAAAAGACTGTAATGCCACTCCCTTTCAGATGTTTCCTATTCTTAACAACCTCTTCTTTTTTGGGGCGAAACTTGAATTTCACAATCATTTGTCGAGGTGTATTATCAGTACGGAGTTTGCCAATACGATGGCTTACTTCGATATCGCTTGGAGAAATATCTATTGGTAGTTTCTCTCCAAGGATGTCTGCAACCACTGTGGAACAGATTTCGTTCTGAGATTCTTTTATACCAAGTATATTAATCGTGTTCTTCCCACTATACTGTGCATTGTGGTTGACTGCTTCCTGGAGTGAAGTTACTGTAGACTTCATGGCTGTGTGGTTTTGTTCAAGTTCATGAATACGTTCTTTTAGGCTCACATTTTCCCTTTCTAATTTTGTAACTCTACCCTCTATTTGACCAACGGCTTCTGTTACAGCGTTTTTAACAATATCACCAACATTGTCCATCTTAGATTTGAAGTTTGAGATGTCACATGAAATATTTTTCATGAAAATTTCTAATTGTTTCTGGAGAGGTGAAGACTGAGTCTGGTGCTCTTTGTCTATTTCAGTACTGTATGAGAAACTATCATCAGATGACATATTTGCTTCTAATCTGTCCCTTTTATGAGGGGGTTTCACAACATGAGCAATTGGTGTACTTGTTGACCTTGAAGGTGTTGGTGATCAACTATAAAACGCTTACCCCCCGTAGTGTTATATATCAAAATGTACCTGTTCATATAGGGGTTCGATTGATCTACATCAGATTATAGGGAGTCGGGTTACTTTTTGAGATATCAGCGTCTATTTATTGTAACTCGCAGATGCTACCATTTCCTCAATTCTGAGATGACGGGCAAACGCGTAGTAAATATGCTATTTAGACCTACATCGATACCAAATAGTGGCATACTTGGTACCCTAGAAACCAACTATGGCGTTATTTAGAACAAAACCACCAATTTTTAAATGGACTATATAGGGGTCTACCTTTTGGCGGATGGATATGGAACCTCACACCATAACTCAGATGCGAGTGGGTAGTTACCAGTTTTACCACCAGGTGGCTAGTTCGGGTCAGATAACATGGCAGGTATCAAGAAGGTTCCCTAACAGTTGAATATTCATTAATTGTAGTGGATCAATTTTCTTATTACTCTTGTGTGTCTGATAGTTATACAAATTAAAACATATCCAGTAAAATCTGTCCATTAAAAGAAAATATATATATTACTTTTTGTGATTTTGACATGTGGTCCATGGGAAATCTCCCCGACCTAGAAGTCACATTTTCAAATAAAATAAAATGTTCAAAGTTGATAAACAATGTTTTAAAACACATTTCTAGATGTAATTGTACATGAAGATTTCAAATATGACATCACATTGACTGGAATTTGAATATTCAATGGTGTAAATCAAGATTATCTCAACTCGCATCTTATCTATTACCTTTCAAAAATGATAACAATGCCCAGGTTACCTGATCAAATGGGCAGTTCAACTCTTAGGACGTTGTATAGGTGTGCTAACTATTTATGTTCTCTCTAACAATACCATAAAATGAAAGGAAGCTCCATTAATTGAAACCGGCAAAAAGGGCACCAAAACAACAAGAAACATTCAAAGTACAGTTGAAATAGACCAGAAAACTGACTTCATTCATTCCATGTACATAGAAACAGTGTCGAAAGACCGTGATCCTTTCACCAATCAGCCATTATTTCAACCCAAAACCACAGGATCATTGGACATTTGGAACAAATGGGATATCATCTATACTTGAAAATATCGTGGTTATATTATTTGTAAAGTCAAAATAAACAAACAAGGTTCCGAGACGCCTGGTAAACTATGAACAGACGTGTAACTACTACACGCGAGTGCACCATTTGGCAATGAATTTTGTCCCATCGAGTTCAACATTTACCCGGGAATTAAAGTAAAAACAAAAACTGCAAGAGGGCACATTTTACCCCATTTGTGGTTAGTGTCAAAAAGCACAAAAAGGCGAAGTATTTAATCGATGACCTTCAAATACCCAATAAGCAGGGTCAAAAGAGCAATGACCACCAAAAAATGGACACCTAGGAACCATAGAAAATTGTTACTTGAGAAATCCTCTTAAAGAATTTGACACATCATACTTAGATTTCAAGTGGTTTGGACAAACAATATATATTTATTTATTATAGTGTAATGTTTGATCAAGAAATACCTATAGTCGCCGTAACGTTTTTTCCGCTTTTGAAAAATAATTGAAGTAGGTTGTTAAACAGCTTGTTCGAGAGGCTGAAAACGCATGCTATTGTTACAAAAAAGTACACCTCTCCTTAAGTTTTGAGTGCACCTTTTGTAGCTCTGATTAAAATTATGGAATAAAAGATATTGGTTGAAGTGGATCGTTCAGAAGTTGTTCAATATACCAGTTCTGCACCAACAGAAAGCCATGTCATCTGTCTGTTACCTAGCGCCAACAAAACCCTTGAAATTATGGAACAAGTCAGCACAAATAAGTCTATGTACAAACCTTATTGATCAACAAACAACCGTTATTACTGATATAATATGGAATACCACAGTTACTTAAAATTGTTACATACAACGACCTGGAACTCATCAGATCTGGGCTCATAATTTCATAATGATAAAATATGAAACAGAGGAACTGGAATCATCTTGCAAAATGATGTACCCTTCAACTCATTTGGCTTGGTACGCAGAAGAATGGTATTCATGAATAAATGAACGGTGTTTTGAGGGTATTTGTCACGCGTGCTAATCTTTACTGAGACTAATATAATGTATCATCTGTTATCATGCTTGAGAAACTTAAAGAGGTAATGGCGAAACATCAATCGTTTAGAATTTTCATTTATTTGCTGTTATTGATTTTGACAAGGAAATGTTTCGCAGAGTTGTCTGCAGTTGGTGACAATTTTAGGGAACTGGCCATGCCCGCTGACGCAGCGGGGGAGAGGGACGCTATAAGAATATCAGTTGAAAACGATAATTCAGTCACGACTAATGCTGACGGCAGCTTCAACGATATAAACTATGAAGACTCGAACGCTTGTACAGCGCATGGAGAAAGACTGAAGAGACTAATTCAATCGTATTATCTAAATCAAACAGAGAATTATTTTTATCATAATTCAACCACTTGGGAGTGGGTCATAAAATCTTGGGAATACCTTGCATATAGTGTTCCTGAAATCACGGACTGGAACTGGTGGACGGCACAAATTGGTACACCAAGATCTCTTTGGGCTGGTCTCTTTCTCTCAAGAGGAATGATAAGCGATACATTGTACGATGATTTGATTAAAAGGTATTGGGCTGATGCTCAAGTTTGGGACGTCACAATAAAAGACGGCAAAATATCGGCGTCAAACCTGGCAAATAGGGGATTTTTGGGATTGTTTGAAATGTTCTATCAAGGTGAAGATGCTTTTAGAGTGAGAAGAAATGAAGTTATAAAACATTTGGGAGATGAAGTAGTTAACAAAACTTCGTATCAAGGTAAGACCACAAACGGGCAAAAAATAGTAAATTCTTTCTATTTCCTACACCATGCCTTTATTCAATTTTGTTTACAAGATTTTGAGCAACTGATATTGTTGAGACATACCGAATACTAAAGACATTTTTACATAGTAACAATTTTGATAAAAAAATAATTTTACATAAGTGTACAGTCACTTCACGTCCTGAAAGCATCACGTTGTAGAATCACTGGTGATCCACTCGATTACGCTGGTTACCGAAACGGTTCATTTCGGTAACAAAAAAGTGTCGTGGGAATTGTGCTTACAACGCGTGAAAAGGGAAAAAAGACAAAATGTACCTTCGAGTTTCCGACAACGTAATCGAGCGGATCACCAGTGACAATATCAACCTGGATGGTATCGTACAAATAACAATAACAAAAAGCAGATTTGATAAATTAAATACTTTGAACAATCTGATATCTCTTATCGTGTCTTATATACATATTGCTGCCCCAACCCCTCCGTCCCATTTTGATTATTTTCGATTGTATTTTATATAACGTTTGGACACTTATTCTATAAAGTCAGCAATTCCATTAATTTAGTTATGATAACGTCACTTACAAGTATTTATTACATGTTATGGTAGACTATTATAAATTATTACTATTGATAGCAAAAACATTAACTTATGCACATTGGTGGCCTTACGCCTTTTTTAATAGATCTCAAATCTTAGAAATCTTAGTTTTAAAAAATCGTAGAAGACCTAACATATTTTACCATACCGTGCGCCAATTCATTCAAAATTCAATTGTAAACCTTTTCTTGAAAAAAAATAAAACTTCCAGATTTTTTAATTTCCCAGCAGAAATTGACTGCTCCCCTCCCCATCAGTCCTATTTTCACGATCACCGGGCGTGAATGTGTATGTTTTTTATGTTATGAGTATTAATTGGTTGCCAATTTAAACTTAAACTTCAACATGCATTGTAATGATAGTAATGGTTAAAGAATGGTTGGGGTATTAGACATTGTTTCTTTTCACGTAAGATCATGGTTTGGGATAGTTGGGGTTTGTTTTTAGTATAACGTGTACTCTTAGATGTTTTCTTTGTCTTATTGTGTTATGTAACGACTTTTTGATCAATTCCCTTTGGCACATGTGTATATACAATGTATATTCGTGTACTGTTCCATCTGGACTAAAATAAAATTTCTCGTACGAGAGTTAAGCTACAAATATATGATCATGAAAAAGGTGTCGTATCATATTATATGTTTCATACACAGGGGAGGGTGTTGGAGTCGATGACTGTATTCACGTACATAATATCCATGAGGGGTTATGGGAGGGTCCTTACTACAACTCCCACCTACGGTTGATGATCTACAATGGTGGATACGGTGCGGAATATCTCAACAAATTTGCCCTCATCTATGTCCTTCTACACCATACTGACTATCAGGTAGGTCCTCGTACGCCATTTAGTTTGCTCTCATCTATGTCCTTCTACATCATACTGACTATCAGGTAGGTCCTCGTACGCCATTTAGTTTGCTCTCATCTATGTCCTTCTACATCATACTGACTATCAGGTAGGTCCTCGTACGCCATTTAGTTTGCTCTCATCTATGTCCTTCTACATCATACTGACTATCAGGTAGGTCCTCGTACGCCATTTAGTTTGCTCTCATCTATGTCCTTCTACATCATACTGACTATCAGGTAGGTCCTCCTCTATGCCATTTAGTTTGCCTTGTTATTTGTTGAATCCATAGTGTTATTCATTCTCAAGGTAATAAATTGGTTGATATAATGTAGTTTCAAGTTTTTATGGAATTGGGTACTGAGGGTTTGTTTTCCTTATATATGATTGGTGCATACTTTCTTTGTTGTGTGTTCTGTCACAATTTTTGGTCCTTTCCCTTTGGCACGTGTACATACATATTCGATGTATACATGGTATATGATACCCATGTATGTCTTTGAATCTTTGTTTGGCATATGAGATCTGCCGATCCTGTCAGGTCCAAGTACTTTCATTATAATTCATTCACTCTATAATAACTGAAACATTAAAGACCATGTTAAACACCATACACTTTTTATAATTTTCTTGAAGAGAATCCATGAAGAATAATCTCGAATTGCTGTCTATTCTACAGGGTGTCAAATAAATATGTTCTCCTCCTTAATTTCAAGAGTTTGAACTGTTGTCCATAAAAGGGCATCTAGTTGAGCTAGTCATTTGAAACTTTTTGCTCCATTCTGCTCGATATCTGAATTGTTCTTTCCACATTACATTTAGGCTTGTGGATGTTTAAGTTAAGGGGGAGAACATATTTATTTGACACCATGTACTATATATATAACATGTCTCTTCAGAAATATCTAGATCAAATGTTACTCTTTCAGGTAGACGATATCGTATTAGCAGAGTTCATTAATTGTTTCTTGGAGTGTCATCAATACTTGGTGAGAGGTCAGACGTTTGAGCCATCCGCCGTTGGTCGTAATATTGATGATAACCAGCGAGTGACTTACTGGGCGGCTTACGACTCTGTTTATAAGGTGAGACACTTAATTTTAGAATGCCAGACGTTTATTATCAAAGTGGGGTGGGTGGGTGTTAATATTCCACATACTACATACAGTACATATTTTAATTCCTTATTCCATATTTGTACCATTTACAACCATATAGCAGGGATACTCTGGCACAATGTTCAAAATCACATGGTTTAAACTTCAATTGATTTTAGTCGTACGATTACTTGGAATATTTGACACATCTATTTTAGGTAGCAACATTACTATTGCAACTTGAGTTTCGTAAAGAAGAACTCCAGAACGCGTTAACAAGATACCTTAACCATGGTCCAACTAGTGCGGCAAACGCCCTCATTGGTAATCGGGCACTATTCGCCTCAGATATGATAGTCCACCATAGACAAAGCTACATGGCGAGTGTGCGTATGTTTTCAACTCGTACAGTCAGGCCCGAGACGTGGATTAGCTCCCGCAGAACACAAAATCCCAATGGGTAAGAAGAACTCCAGTCAAATTGAATCATTAATCAATTCAATGTTTGTAAAGTTCTAAGTGACGATGCTCTACCAATTTGTGCGCACAGTTGTTTAAACAATAGTTAAACTTGTTATGTCACCACCACAAGTACAGTGTAATGACATATCGTTAAAGCCTTGATTTCTAAACTGTATTCACTTTTAGGTTGTTGTTCTTCATATTTCTCACGGCTATATGTAATAATGTTATTGCTGAAGATGACACTGCTGTTCATGAATGTGATATCGTCGCCATTTTAGGTATTATACGGCAGATGGGTTTATGTCGCTCTTACAGGACGACCACGAGTATGGATCAAGGTACAACGAGGTTTTCCAACATTACGACTGGGAAAAAATTCCAGGTATCTGTGATTTTCTCCTCTTCAAAGCTCCCTTCGTGCTTTTTAAAGGCAGAATCAGATCTATAGGGGGTGATAAAATTACAAGCAGCTTGTATAATTGACATACCAATATATTCCTTACAATATCAAATACAATATCTCCCAAAAGATTCGCAATATGTTATAAATTGGTGAAGGTATTCATGATTCAAAGTGCAAAAATGGCTGAAATTCTCCCAAATAATAAGAACCATTCTTATAGAAAAATTATACATTATTGTAAAAATCTTAAGTTTTCCTTGAATAAAGTATGCACTTTTGTGATTCTTAGAAAATAGACATGACAAGGAATGACATGAGCCAAAAATATTCTAAAGTTGAGACAATATTTGTTTAGCCTGCTCGTTATATCTGATTCTCTCTTTAATGTCATTTGTAATTCAGTAATTCAGTAACAGTTCTTTCATCATTTCTTTCATCAAATACAGGACTAGTTATCTCAGTTATTTCAAGTTTATCGTCTATTTCATCAGTTATACCGAGTTTTTTTCACAACAAGCTTTTGTTATTTTATAAACGTATTTATTTCATATTTTGTAGGTGCCACGGTTTTATATAGTGGAGATGTACCCCAGGAAGGGATGGAGAGGGTAGGAGACACTCCGAACTTCCCCCATCATATAAGTAATGCAAAATTTGTTGGCAGTGCCTCCGATGGAATGTACGGTGTTGCCGCAATGGTCTACGATCGTCCAACAGTCAATATAACGATGAAGAAGTCTTGGATTTTCTTTGATGATGAAATCGTCTGCTTAGGTAGCGATATATCTCTGCGCGATAATTATACCGCTCTTGGACTTCCTATAATAACTACACTTAATCAAGTAGTCCAAGATGGCGAAATTGCATATATGACTTCAACAGGACCATGGCAATATGCAGACTGGAACAACACGACGCCTTTCACGAATGCTAGATGGATTCACCACGACAATATGGGATATGTGTTCCCAAATGGGGCAAATGGTGCAATTGATTCGTACGAAAAGACAACAAATGATAAAAAGATGAATGTAACTGCGATGTTCATGGAACATGGGTTGGAACCGTACACTTATATCGTATATTCAAATGTTACTATAACTCAACTTGAGGATCTCCAAAATGTTCCTTCAGTGACAATTTTGCAGCAAGACAAAAATGCTCATGTCGTGTACCAATCAAGACTTCACATACTTTCAATGGTTGCATTCTCTGCTCCATTTTCTATTCTCCATCCAGAGTTCGCATACTCCATTACAGTTGATCAAGCTTGTATTTTGATGTTTCAGCACATTGATAACAATATTTCAGTAACTGTTTCCTTTCCTTCACAGCTTGCGTCGACAGTCAATATCACGTTAGGTATGAAGGTCAAAGGAGTTGACTCCTATATCAATCCCAGTGAATGGACATCCATTGTGTTGTTCAATTTCTCGGATGACAGAATGGTTGCAGGGAAAAGTCAAACCAAAAATTACGAAATTGTTGATCTAGCATCTTCAAGTACGTCAGCAAGTCCAACTCAATTACCCACGAATGCTACAGTCCCAGCGGATACTTCTACTGCGACTGTCATTATGTATATTACCGTATCGTTTGCAGGTGCAACTGCTGTAGTGGTTGTCACAGTGGCAATAGTGATGGCACTGATACATAAAGTAAAGAGAACTAACCGAGTTAAAGATTCATCCACCATTAATAAGACTCCTCCTCCATAGTTGTGGCGACCAATTCAATTATCTGAAGTGTGTTGATTCAGGTTTTTATGTCACCACCAAAAGTGTTTGGCGTTCGGCAGTTGGTGTCGGCAGTCTGTGTTCGGCGGTCGAAGAAACAGTGCTGGCTGAGCATTTTATGTTGATGTATGCACAAACCCAAGACTCTGTACATATACCTGTATGTAGGACTCTGCCGACATATACATCGGCCATACACACTATACAAGAAGTGGTCACTTCAGTTGCTATCTCACATGTCATGAAATGTAAATTACGATGTAAGTACATCGCGAACGGGGTATTTTAACAAAGAAATCCAATCATAAACTCCTCTGGAGCATGAAAAGGAAAAGGCTGTCCGTTATTCCTTTATTCACAGTGTTTATTCGATTATATGAAATTATGCGCCTATCAATCTTAGAATACACTTCATATGCCATCTATCTGAAAAAGTTAAATTAATGCATCATTTTAAAAATCATTTTCAAATGATGCTTCTTGGGAAAAATACCTTTAAAATACATTTTCCATTATATTTCGAAGCTTAAATAAAACCCTTAAAATCCACATCGCGTTATTCACTTCCCCAAGAGAGATTGATACCTTCAACCCATGTCCTCGTGAATCTTGCCATTATCCTTTTTGGTGTTGCAAAAGATGACAGGGTGTGTTGGAAAATTCTAATCAGTAAAAACAAACCTGTATAGATTATAATTCTAGAAACTAAAAACGGTGCCCCTATTCTTTTAGCGGCTTGTGTTATAGTATCATCGGGGCTTTGCTCGCAGTAAGACGGTTGACAAAGGGATGTGGTTTCTACACTCTTAGTAAAGTCGAATTAGTTATGTATTCGGTAGAAGTTTGTTACACAGCTACTATTCTAGTATACATTTTTCAAAATCTTTTTATTCACAACAGATGCCATACATATTTTCTAAAAAGTCCAACTGTTTTCACTTTGTCATAACGATCCTTGACTTTTATGGTTATCATGCAAAAACTCTATACAGTAAAACCTGTAAAGTGGAACACCTCTAGAAGTAGAACACTCTTGTTAGTGAGCACTTTTCAGAGTCCCAAGACCAACTGACTTAATGATAAATGACACTTTATAAGTGGAACACCTCTGTTAGTGGAACACTTTTCAGAGTCCCAAGACCAACTGACTTAAAGATAAATGACACTTTATAAGTGGAACACCTCTGTTAGTGGAACACTTTTCAGAGTCCCAAGACCAACTGACTTAATGATAAATGACACTTTATAAGTGAAACACCTCTGTTAGTGGAACACTTTTCAGAGTCCCAAGACCAACTGACTTAATGATAAATGACACTTTATAAGTGGAACACCTCTGTTAGTGGAACACTTTTCAGAGTCCCAAGACCAACTGACTTGATGTTAACTGATCCTCTGTAAGTGGAACACCTCCCAAGTGGAACACTTTTTAGAGGTACTAAAAGTATTCCACTTAACAGGTTTAACTGTCCACTTAACTCCAAATGGTTGTAAACCCAACTCACCCCGCCCTATTGAGCTACATGTTCAATGATATCTTTATTAGATGTTATGTGCAAAATCGGTGATAGATGAACTCTTTCTGGAAATATAAATGTGATTTTCTCAGAAAATATTTTTTGTGAAGAAAAATAGTATATTTTATAAATAGGTATTCCAAGTCAAAATTATATTTCTCGCAAGAAGGCTGCAAACCCATCATTTCCCATCGTGTCACATGGAAATGAGTCGTCGATCGTCCTTTTGTCAGTCTGACCAGTCTGGACAAAATTTGGAAAAATAAAGAATGACAAAAAAGTGGAATAATATTCCCAGTTTTGGGAATAGTTTCCAAAATACAGGTTTTGCAAATACAAAATAAGCACGCGCAGGCTGTTACACGCAGTACTTTGAATGGGGACATTTGAGTTACCAAACGTATGAAGGGGTGGGTACTCGTAATCTATAATTATATACTTACGTAGTTGCATTTGCAAGTCTATAGACATTTCAATGGCAATGCAATATAATTTTATGTAAGGTGATGCTCGTTGAAATATGAATGGAATAAAGGAACGTGAGCATTGCAAGGTCCTTGAATCCGTGTGCACTTTAGTGAGGCAGGCATTGACACACAGGGCACGGTAAATACAGGAAGGGGGCAAGTGACACACGAAATCATAATGACTTTGCTAACATAAACAACTAGAATTAAAAGAATATTAAGTTTATAAAGAACATTCTCTGAATTGATCTGTGAAAGAAAGTCATCGAACGATGTAACATTGAACGTAACGCCCTGCATGTTTTCATTTGCTATTTGAAGTTAAATGGTATAAATTGATTTGTCAATTTAGTCACCTCATTACCCACATTCGCTGAACTCTCAACCATTACAAACACCAGAGTCTAACGATGAGGCGAGATCATTCATTTCTGTGTTTATTGTCTTTGATTCTGATGGTAAAATGTTATTACGCGGAATTGTCTGCAGTTGGTACCAATTTCCGAGCGATGGCCATGCCAGAGGACGCTGCGACGGAGAGGGATGCTATTCGAACATCATTCGGATACATTCATCCAGCTACGATCAACGCTGACGGCAGCTTCAACAATATAGATTACAAGGACACTGAGGGATGTATGGAACACGGGGAACGCCTTAGTAAACTTATTCAAGCGTATTATCTTAATCTAACTGTAGATTACATTGAAAATTATTTTTATCAGAACGCATCTACGTGGAAATGGATCGCAAAATCTTGGGAGTTCGTAGCTTATAGTGCTCCTGACGTCACGGACTGGAACTGGTGGACGGCACAGATCGGTACCCCAAGGTCCTTCTGGCAAGGTCTCTTCCTGTCGAGAGGAAAGATAAGCGATAAACTGTACGATCATATGATCAAAAGGTATTGGACTGATGCTCAAGTTTGGAACATCTCAACCATAGATGGTAAAATGTCGGCTTCAAATTTGGCCAATAGGGGATTTCTAGGGTTGTTTGAGACGTTCTATCAAAGCGAAGGTCAATTTAGTGACAGACGCAATTCACTTATTGAGCTCTTGAAACACGAGATAATAAATAAAGCTGCATATCAAGGTAAGGAAAGTTACTCATTGTTTTAATTGGTTCTATATCATTAAGCATTCTTCTTGTATCGGTTGTTTACTGCACCAAAGTCTACGAGAAAGAGAATAAATATATTTTTGTTTTCTTTAACAGGAGAGGGTGTAGGGCCCGATTATTGCATTCACATACATAACATACATGAGGGAGTATGGGAGGTCCCTTACTACAGTTCCCACCTCCGACGTATGATCTACAATGGCGGATATGGGGCAGAATATCTCAAGAGATTTGCCTACATCTATATCCTTTTACGAAACACTGAATACCAGGTAATCAATTTTTCTCCAAACTTAGATCGTCGATGGGAATTATTCTTTTAATGTCTTCTTTATAAAACTGGTTATAACCAAGGCCAGGAAATACTGATATTTCAAGAAAACAAAATGGCCGCCTTTTCAATTTTCCAAATTTCTCCTCCAAGTTTTTCAACAACATTACATTTCCTACAAATCATTTATTATTTTCCTAACTTAATAAGGAAATTACAACCCTGTGAGTCTTCATACTTTATTTTATACAAGACAAATAACATGGACACAAAAAGCTTTTTTCAAAAATGTCAATTGCATGTACATCTACCTGTACGTCTTATTAGTTCAGAGTATAAACGTGGGATCTTCTTACATCACGTTACGTTTCCAACATCATCTCATTTCAGGAAGATGAAGTTATGTTGTCAGAGTTCATTAATTGTTTCCTGGAGTGCCATCAATATTTGGTTCGCGGCAAGACATTTGAGCCGTCAGCAGTTGGGCGTAATATCGCCGACGACGAGCGAGTGACTTACTGGGCGGCTTACGACTCCGTGTACAAGGTGCGCAATTTTACCTATCGTCACATGTTCCCCATTTGATAGATCCTTTACTTATAGGTTTCAATGTATATGTCTTCATTGCACATTTTGCAAAGGAGGTGAATTTATATGAAATGAAGTAAGGCAAGCATATATAACTATTTGCAGGAATACACAGAAAGTAATATTTTTCAAACTACTCCCCATCTTCACCATATGTTATATATGGATTCTCGAAGCTATAACGGTTATATTATGTGTCACTAGTTTGTTTATTAGTTCTTGTGTCATTTAGATTATTCTCTTTACATAAAAATAGTTCTTTTGTGTTATTTTATCAACAAAGGTCGCGGAATTGCTCTTGCAACTTGACTTCCGCAAAGAAGAATTAGAAAACGTGATTACGAGATATCAAAACAATGGTCCTACTAGTGCGTCAAACGCCCTCATTGGTAACAGGGGATTATTCGCCTCAGATATGATGGTCCACCATAGATTAGGCTACATGGCGAGTGTGCGTATGTTTTCTACTCGCACGGTCCGACCCGAGACGTGGGTAAACCCCCGGAGAACAATTAATCCATACGGGTAAGAAAATCCTGGATGTTTTTTGCTCTCCATTGAAGCATTAAAATCGATATATTCCTTCACATACTTACACTCCCCTCCATAAGTTTGCAACCTCCTTTTAGATGACCTTTTAAAAACCAAACTTATCCATGGGAGTGTACGCGGGTATTTTCGTCATAAATGTCTCTGGATACAAATATTTTCATTTTAAGATTTTGCTGCAAATGTTTATTTGAGACATTTTATGAAAAATTATGGATAGGCGTTAATGTCCGCACCTTTAAAAATTATAAAATACGACAAAACTGGCGCAAATTTTTTCGGAAAAGTGAATCCCACTTGGCATAAGCTGGCTACAGGCCTGGAATTTCCTGGTCTCTTCGTAAGATATGTGGCCATAAAGTGTCATTGAGACTATATCTGGATAAAAGTATGATCGTTTACATTTAAGGTACTATTTTGGAGATGGATTTGTGTTCCTGACGAGGGACGACAACGAGTTTGGAATCAGACACAACGAAGTTTTCAAATATTATGACTGGGAAAAGATTCCAGGTATAGTACAGATATATGCAGATATCTATTTATTTCTAAATCAAATCAAATATAGATTACTAATAAGCTACTGAGATATAATATATATCATCACTGGTGATCCACTCGATTACGCTGGTTACCAAAACGAACCGTTTTGGTAACAAAATGTCGGAACATCCGGAAGGTACGATTTTTCTCGTTTCCTTATTTTACACTTGTAGGCAGAATTCCCACGACATTTTTTAACACAAACATCAGTATCATATGTTTAAGAAAGTGTACATATTTGCGAACAAATAGTTCAGAAGACAACAGGATCGTCGTTAAGTGAGGAAGTAAATCGACGATTCTGTTGTCCTCTGAGCTATTTTTTCGCAAACATGTACATTTTCTAAAACATATGATACTGATGTACGTTGTGAGAAAAAACGTCGTGGGGATTCTGCCTACAACGCGTGAAATAAGGAAAAAAGAAAAATCGTGCCTTCGACGTTCCGACATTTTGTTACCAAAACGGTTCGTTTTGGTAACCAGCGTAATCGAGTGGATCACCAGTGATCATGTTAGTTTAGAAAAATAACTCTGACAACCATAAAAACCAAGTCATAAATTAGTGAGTTCATATTCGGTTGTTTCTTGTTGAACCATACTTACATAAAGCAACAAAGAGATACCAGAGCCTAGGGGTATATCAGCTAGTCAATAGACCAAGTCACAATTTATTATTTAATCTATTTATTGAATTGATTTGTCTTTGATGCCCATCATGTTGTAGGTACCACGGTTGTTTACAGCGGAGATGTACCACAAGAGGGAATGGAGAGGGTTGGAGGTACTCCGAACTATCCCCATCATATAAGTAATGCAAAATTTGTTGGCAGTGCCTCGGATGGAATGTACGGTGCTGCTGCGATGGTCTACGATCGTCCTACTGTCAATATAACAATGAAGAAATCTTGGTTTTTGTTTGATGATGAAATCGTCTGCTTAGGTAGTGATTTATCCCTCCGCGAGAACTATACCTCTCTTGGACTTCCTATAATAACTACACTGAATCAAATAGTCCAAGATGGCGACATTGTATACATGGCTCCAACAGGATCATGGCAATATGCTGACTGGAACAACACAACAAGTGTGCCGAATGCTAGATGGATTCACCACGACAATATGGGATATGTGTTCCCAAATGGGGCAGATGCAACAATTGATTCTTACGAAAAGACAGCGAATGATAAAAAGATTAATTTAACTGCGATGTTCATGGAACATGGGTTAGAACCATATGCTTACATCATATATCCCAATGTTACCTTAAACCAAATAGAGAAGCTCCACGCTAATCCATCCGTGATGATTTTGCAGCAAGACACAAATGCTCATGTCGTGTACCAAACAACACTCCATATGTTAGCAATGGTAGTATTTTCTGCTCCATTTTCTATTCTCCATCCAGAGTTCGCATACTCCATTACAGTTGACCTGGCTTGTATTTTGATGTTTCAGAAAATTGATAACAATATTTCAGTAACTGTTTCGTTTCCTACACAGCTTGCGTCGACAGTCAATATCACGTTAGGTATGAAGGTCAAAGGAGTTGACTCCTATATTAATCCCAGTGAAGGGACATCCGTTGTGTTGTTCAATTTCTCGGATGACAGAATGGTTGCAGGGAAAAGCCAAACCAAGAATTACGAAATTGTTGAACTTAGTACGTCAGCAAGTCTAACTCAATTACCCACGAGTGCAACAATTCCTGGAGATGTTCCTACTGCAACTGACATTGTTTCAAATTCGTCACCGGAAAGTCCAACTAAATTACCCACGAGTGCAACAATTCCTGGAGATGTTCCTACTGCAACTGACATTGTGTCAAATACGTCACCGGAAAGTTCAACTAAATTACCCACGAGTGCAACAACTCCTGTAGATGCTTCTACTGCAACAGTCACTTTGTCAAATACGACACCAGCAAGTCCAACCCAATTACCTACGAGTGAAATAATTCCCGTAGATGTTTCTACTGCAACTGGTACTGTGTCAAATACGTCACCAGCAAGTCCAACTCGATTACTCACGAGTGCAACGACTCCTGTAGATGTTGTGATTGTGTCAAATACGTCAGCAAGTTCAACTCAATTGCCAACGAATACAACAGTTTCTGTAGATGCTTCTACGGCAACCGTCATTGTGTATACTACTGTTGCATTTGCGGGCATAATTGTAGCAGCTGTCATCACAGTAGCAGTATCGGCGGTAGTTCATGAGACACGTAGAGTAAAGAAAATTATTAAACGAGTGAAAGATTCTTCCATGAATAATGACACACCTCTTATCCGTTAATTTTAAGTAATTCGAATTTCCTAACGATGTTGATAACAATATGGTCGGATTTGGTTATGTATACTATACAAGGAGCAGTAGATACAGGGTCGTCCGAAGGATTTTCCAAGTGGGGGTGACCTTTGCATACGGATGGGTTGCGCCACCGACACACCCACGCAAAGTGTCGACGGTGCGTAGCGCCACAACCTAAGGGGTCTGGGGGCATTCCCCCGGAAAAATTGTAAAAGACCATCTCCGGTTCATTCTGAACATATCTGAGAGCCACATTTGTATCATTGAATACAAAATAAAGATTATTTTAGAAAAAGGAGGGATCGCTCGCCTCCAACGCCCCTCCCCTTTAGACGGGCTTAGACATCGTCAATATGTGACCTAATACACCCCATGTAGATAGATCGCAGTATAGAACTACTGCGTGATGCGGGGAATGACATTCAACGGGAAAATTAAATAATTAGGTCCCTGGAAAATTGAAATGGGAAGATTATAGAAGGAGTGGTACATGGGGATCATAGTTCGTATACAACTTTACAAGTCCTAAAAACATGTAGCTTAAACACCCTAACGATAACACTGGAATCCAAGAACTCTGAAATCAAAAACAATTACATTGATATTTAAGCATAGGCTATGTCGCACTTGTACATGTTTTATCAGAAATAAATAAATATATAAATACAGAACACTGAAAATATGAAATTATCTTGGAAGTTCATATATGCAGAGAATGTCTGATATGATAAATATTAAAAAGGAAGGTGGATGGACGAATGAAAATCACTGTATGGAATATATAGGCCAATAGAAAACAAAACGATCCCTCTTTTCTCACAAGCTCGTGTTACAATCGGGGCTTTATTCGCGGTATGACCGTTAAACACGGGGTGTGTTGATTCTTACCTTTTACGGAATTTGAGTGAGATAGACCTCTACAACGTGTACTTCAGTGGGTTTAGATTTACTACGTTCAAAGAGAACTACTACTTAGTATTCAGGGTGAACTAGTCTAAACTTTCGACTGCTTGATTACATTTTTGACTAACAATATAAAATTATCTTAGAATGAATTGTCCATTATGATTATTTGAAACCTCACACGACGCGGATAGGGGGTGTTTTGCCCATTATTTTAAACTGCATTCGACGAAGTGCATTGTATTACATTGCCCCTTATTCTCATTGCGTGCAATGCAGAAAGGTGGGATTTCCCATTACATGAATAGACATGATCATAAACTAGGGTTGTATTGCCATTTATTTTCAACAGCATTGCCCATTATTTTAAACTGCATCCGATGCAGATAGAGGTGTACTGCGTATCATTGAAACCGCATACGATGCAAATAGGTGATCACGGTGAGGGGATGTATTGCCTATAATTTGAAATTGAGTGCAATGTGACTTTTGACGCATGTCCATTTAGGCTTATAAATACCATGAACACATAGCATCTTGTTTTCAAATCATCTGAAAACCTTATTTTTTAGTTTGCTTGGCTCAAAATATGACGTCATTGATACATCGCATGAATTTGACCAATCTGAACAATTGAAATATATGACGTCACATAGTGCCTCCTTAGCCTTTGTGTCTGTTTACAAAGCATCTTCATAGTGATCGTCTTGAGATCAAACAAGTCACTAGTTTTGAATTAGTATCTTCTTAGATATTAACCATGGCGGATCCTAATGAGAGTTTGATGAGATTTGTTCTTGTAAGCGCTCTAAATATGATCATCCACGGGCCACAGGTAAGAAAATGGCTATCCCATTATTCAATTAAAGTTGGTTCATTGAAGAGAAAAAGTTGAATCATTGAAACGGAGGTCAATTTTACACTCAACTGGATATCATATGTTTCTAGAGATAATGTCATCTTATATATTTTAGTTGCCCAATCTGGATGGTTTGAAATCGGCTAGATCTGAATACAAGCGAAGACGTTTCAGGCGGTACAGGGAAAAAGTGGAAACCCGCGCCAGGAATCTCTTGCAGTTCCTGAGACAGTTTGAGCGTTTAACAATTGGGACGATGCACATGATCGACTGGATAATCACTGATGCCTTTAAGAAGGTTCAGTACAAAGAAATAAGAGGACGCGATCGGTCTATAAAGGGAAAGAACCTCAAATTTACCGACACGGAATGGATAGAAAAATTTAGCCAGATGTTCGCAAAAATGAAAAATGATATTGATCAAAGATTTGATAAAAAATCAAAAACCAAGAAAAATGCCAAACTGAAGCTCAAGACAGTTCAAACAAAAGTAAAAGTTCTTGGAACTTTTATGGAGCTATCAGGAAGATTATTGAATATTCCCCAACTGGTCGATGTTGGTAAGGTGTGTGTCGTGAATGAGCATCAAAAACGCCCAAATATGGACACTGTGATAAACATGCTGGACAATGGATACCTTTCAATTGGTACAAAAATAAAACATGTATTTAAAAATGCTTTCAATAAAATGTTTAAACGTTAAATCACTCTCGTTTGTTTTTTTTGTTTGATCGATTGTTTGTTTGTTTGTTTGTCATGCATTTCTAGTATTTGGGGCTTGTTTCGATGAGGAAGCTTTTTAACTAAGGATTTACGAGGGAAGATCCAGATATTCTGATAAAAATGCTCTTATTTCTTTTTCCTAGCTGTTGGATGATGATATTTGCACATAAAGAAGGGTGGATTTTGGCATAGGATTTAAAAATATAAAATTTGTCCATGCCATGTGCTTTTCATGAGAGACGGTACGTATGGGTTACCAAGAAAACTGGAACCGAACAGCATTTTAGTAGTTTTTGTATATATCACGTCAAAAGACTCGAATAAATGGCGTAAATTGTTCCAGCAATAAACAAGACTTAGTGATGCACAAATGTAGTTCTATTCTTTTCTTTCAACCGATCAATGTATCTGTATGATTTGTCTTGCACTCCAACCCTATAACTCTGTCCGATGCGATGCGAAACTATTTTTTGAAAGGGAATACAAAATACAAGTGATATTAACGTGATGAAAATAAGTTTCGTGTCATGCCCTATGTCAAAAGTGCTGACATATTGTTTTAGTCTCCAACAATCAAGTGAACTGTATTCGGCGTCTGTAGCAAATGGCAGGAGGTGGTGTCATTTTGCATGTTTATGCCTCAATTGTCAAGTAAACATAGTAAACTCTGAGCCTCGACACAATCTGATACATGCGAGTAAACTTTAGACTGCTTCATAACATCGTTGACCAACAATACAAAATTATCTTGTTTTATTTATCAGTGTTCAATTCATACACTAAATCAATAAGCAGATAATAGTTCAAGACAAAAACCAAAATAAGATCATAAATAATGAATCCTTCAATTTAGCGCCGGGCTAGGGTACTCTGATCAACAGACGCAACATGGCACTGACCGGACAGTACAGCAGATCGTATTTTCTTGGATTAGTCCTTTCAATTCTTGCATTAACGTGTACCAGTAGTGGCCAGGATGTTTCAGGCTGCCCTATGTACGGATGTAAGTCAACGGCTTCGTTTGCCTACGAAGCTACCAACTTTCCACTGAAAAACGTCAGTATCTTATGGGGCGCGGATTGGAGTTACTGGATCCAAGATGGCGTCCAGGGTTGCGTTGGTAACCAGTTTAATATATTGTGTCCCATCCTCAGACCAAGCTGTGTGTAAGTGAAGAAAATATATACTAAATACATAGCTTAGCACAACAACAAATATTGCTGATACAATACAAGGTCTCAAACCTGCATTGGGGTGTACAGAAAAACAAGTATCAGTGGCAAACGAATATAATGTTACATAACAGAGATATATTAACAAATGTGTAATGCAATACAATGTAGTATTATTAAGGATTGTAAAAGAGGAAAAGTCATTGAACTTCATGCGTTTATTTAGTACCATTGTTTACATTGATAATTGTTATATAATTGAATCTTCACAACTGAAATGGCCTTGGTTATATAACACAATCGATTATGTAATGTATCGAGCTAGTATCTTGGTTGCCCCCTGTCAGATAAAACAAATGATTTTCATTTTGTGCCTAAACTGTCACTTTTCCAAGACCTGAACATCAATGGTAGTCTCACATTGATTTTAGAGGTTATCTGAGTCTGAAACCAACCACTGGTGAGATGAACTGGTTGAATGGTATCCTGAGATATCCCGTGCTTCCTATCATGGACGCCTATGGTGACTTCATAGCGAGTGATGGTGCGGCTCTGGCTGACTTTAAAGCGAATGGGACTGCAATTCCGCCAGTGATTGACCTTGACCCAGATCTTACACCTATCTTTAGGTAGGCTGTTATTTCATGAGATTTGCTTCAATAGAGAAGTGATAGTTCAGTAGTGTATCAATTGATAAGGGACACCATTTAAACATATCCGAAATAATTTTTAAATCAATTTCAAATGTATTGCTAGTGCAAAAGTGTTAGTGCCCTCAATGAAGGTAAAAAGCGCGCCCCTGTCGCAACCCATAAATTTTTTGTTGTATTTTGGTTTTAGTTTGAGCATAGCTGACAGTAACATTTTCTTGCTAGCTTCTGAGGGTGCAGGGCGCTTGGTAACGTATTACACAAGTACGTATCGGGTTGAATTTTACAAATCAAATACAAACGTTGTCTGGCTAGCTAGCTTTACCTTATTTGACACCTTCAAATACTTTTATCCTCAATTTCCTCATTTTGATAATATGTACTACAAGACATTACAAGGCACTGTAACAACCTGCCATTTGTTACAGACGCCAACCACCGGAAGCGGAACACCAACAACCGGAAAACCGCCCAGAAAAAAGTTGGAGACGTAACATTATGTCAAAACTTGAGTATTCTAAATTGCTTTAAATTGCTTTCAGATGGCATCCCCCACGCGAGTGAATACCTCACCGATACAGTGAACAACAAGACAGGGTTATGGGTCCCCATTGCGCCACCGTCGATCAACGGCATACGTGCATATATCATGACAGGATTTAGGCCAGATGGAGCCACAGATCCAAAGGTAATAAGAAATTCGAGATTGACAAACAATGACATTTTGCACTAAAACAGCTTTGGATAATCTTTACAGTGGTATCAAAAATCTCCCACGATTCTGCACCATTCTACGATCTGTATATTGTATTAAAACCAAAGGCGTCTCAGATGAAATCCTCCTATTTGGCTTCAGTTGTATTATCAATCAGTCTTCTTGTTTACAGATGTACCTCCGCCATCGACTGTATGCAGTAGACCTGAGAGACGTTGCAGTCAATAGGATAGACACCAAATGGTACTTCGACTTTGAGCCAGGGTTCATAGAGTCCAAGCCCCATAAAGTCTCGAACCCCTTTCAGAAAAATTGGAAGTTATCGGCAAAGAAATCAATAAAGAACAAGCACAAATCATATAAAATGAAGGACCATGATCACAATAATTTGTTTAAGGACACAAATAAGGCCAATGACGATGACCATCCCCGACCCCCGATGACCAGTGAACTTTTTCAGGTATTATCATACGATAAGTACGTCATGGTTATGATGCCTCTCGACGCTCCTGAGCCCGGACCCGTTCCCGCTCTCCCCGAAACTCTATGGATATTGGAAGATTCAGACAACGCTGCTCGTGTGAAACAAGCGTTAGTTCCCCTCCCGATCAAACAAATTGCAATCAATGATAACATCCAATCATCCGTGGCTGTGACTCCGCTTGTATGGGGCGCCACTGGAGATCATAGCATCATGCATTTCTTCCATGGAGTTTTTGGAGTTAATTTTATGACTGGAAAAATAGAACGATTTTACAACTTAACCCAAACATTTGGCAGTTCTATAAACATCACCTCTAAACTAATGGTAACTGGTGACCCGGGAAATGACGTGTTATACATGGGGATACAAGTTCTCAACAAAACGCAAAAGTTCTCACAACTCTGCCAAAAACATAATGTTCAAGATAAAAATTCGAACTACATAATTGCTCTGAATACTACAGACATCGATGTCCAGTTACTTTGGATGCTACCAAGTTACAAAGACGGTCAAATTGTTGGACAAATAGCAGCGACATCTTTCAATGACAATGAAAATGCAGGAAAATCTGATATATTGGTGGCTTATTCTCAATCGGAGACGTTGGGATCAATATGGGCTGTCAGTGGGGAACAATCTGATAAACACAATAATTAGACTACTATGCATTTGTCTCGTTTAAGCCAAGGGGAGATTCAGAATTATATTCAAGTTATAATATCACCACAAAATATTTGCGATTGTTTTTGCTCAAATAAACAATCAAGAAACCATGGACAACAGTTTATAAAGAAATAAAAAGAAAAATAACACTACCTCAGATTTTGGAACTATTAGATTTTCAAGAAGGTCAATTTGAAATGGACTGGAGTTAACGGACTTTTCAACAGTATTCTTACCTTGCCCAAGTTCCAAAATTTCATTTCACCAATTACTGTGTTTAAATCCATAACTGGGCCAACATCTGGCTGCTTCAGTGCTAAGGTAATCATTGTATTATAGTATTTTGATGGTGTGTGTTTGGAATTTTGACCAAACTTACAATATAAATTGAGATCCCTTAAAATAATTTGTGTTTATGTTTTCTGAGAACCAATCCCAGTATAAACTGTATGTTGATCAGAAGTGTCATGTAACCCCCCTATCACACCAAACTAGTTCTTACCCGTTCTTGCCAGTCCTACGAAAACGTCGTAAAACGGGCTCAATCTGGCTGTGGTCGGGATATATGTCTAAAATAATTAGCTACTTCGTTCATACGTCCATCTCATTCGCAGTTCCTTCAGGTCGTACCACGGTCGGTGTGCAACGTCGTATAACGCGTCCCTTAGTCTAGAAGGTCATCATGACCTGATTACAGAATGGTATGGTCGCCATCGAATTTTGAATCGATTCAAATTCTAAAAATCTAAGAACGCAGTGGCAACTTGTTTGGTGTGATAGCTATATTTTTGCTAACTCGTTCATAAGCAGTCTTTAATACGTTCTTAGTCAGTTTAAACCAGTTTGCAATTAGTTCTACCTTGTTCTCAATACGTCCTCAGACAGTTCAACTTGTTGTAAAAACGTCCCTAGTAGGATTGAAGTACGAGGGTTCCGTTCGTAGTACGTCCAGCTCGTCGTTAGTACGTTGTCACTCGTTCTAATTGTAGAACGTGACGACCACGAGAACATTTTGAGCATTTTAAGTTCTAGATGACCTACCCGTTCTAGTACGTTCGATGAAGTTTGTAAATAGACCCCAAACGGTTCTAAGTACGTCCAGTCCGTTCGTACACAGTTGAAGCCCGTTTTCGAGAACGTAGTGAGAACTAGTTTGGTGTGATAGTAGAGTAAGGGAACATTTATTTTAATGACATATACAATTCTTCACCAGGATTTCTTTAAGGTGATGGAATTAATATAATGTAACTATATTACACAAGTCTGTAAAACTAAGCCCTCTATTTTGGTAATAAGTGGATTTAAATGGAAAAATGTCAAAATCAAAAAGCCTAGGATGTAGAATATATATAGCACGCTTACTCTATCCAGGAGCAGCCAAGTAGGGGATCTAGAGCAGAACTCGCAGTTTGGTTCTCAAAATCTCACCTATTATTTTGTTTACTCTCGCACTCTTAGTCCAGCTTCTGGCAGGATTCAATTTTAGATAAAATCCACCATCGATAATCTGGACTTAACTTTGCAGAGCCCACATTTGTTTTTCGAATAAATAAATTGAGGGAGTTTCCATGCAGAAATTTATCAAAAAATTAACTTCACCGAAAATTCCTCTCTCCTTCCACTGGAGGATAGATACTCTGTTTTTGCACTGCTGGTTTCATTAATTCAACCCCGCCAATCATGGACATCAAACAAAAAACTTCAATAATTTAGAATAGACATGTACTTTAATAGTGTCAATGGTATTTACACTCAATGCACATAGTGTCCTTTAATTAGAGTTAAGTCTATTCCTTGACAGCGTATTTCCTCACAGGGTACAATCGGTCTTTCCTCTGTTGTTTTTTAGTCTTGAGGGCAGCCTCGTGTTTGGTGAGTTGACGTCTGATAGCCCTGGTCTTCTTCAGACGCAGATCCTTAGGCTTGTATTTTTTGTTTTTGTAAAATTTCCTTAGATTCTCCTTTTGTGTTTGGTTCATTACTGTAAACACTCTGGCGATTGACTTGCGCACAATGCGACTGAAAACATAAAAGTAAATTGCAAATTAAATAATTTTAACCAGAACAACGGCAACGCCAAAGCGTAGCGAATCCCATCGAACAGAAATGGCTGGCATTTTTACAAACGAAGCGCAAATATCATAAAACAACACACCAGAAAGGCCACCATTTTCAAAATGGTTGCTCACTAGCCAAGTTGTCATCAGAAGAAATAATATGCTTTTAAGTAGCCACCTCTAAAATTTTTTGAAAAATCGCACACGTACGTGTAAAATAACACACATAAAAATGGTGGCCATTTTTCAAAATGGCCGACTACTCCCCAAAGTTTTATTAGACAATGTGCAATGCTTAAAGTATTCACATATCAAATAAGAACAAAATCGCTCCACTTCTTTTCGAGTCATAGTAACATACGTTAAAATGGTGGCCATTTTTCAAAATGGCCACCTTCTACCAAAAGCGTCATTAGAAATAGACGGTGTTCCATGCTTATAGTATTCACATACCAAATATGAACAAAATTGCTCCACTACTTTTCGAGTATTAGTAAAATACGTTAAAATGGCGGCCATTTTTCAAAATTGTTTTCAAAATGGCCGCCTTCTACCAAAAGTGTCATAGGACAATGTGCCATGCTTATAGTATTCACATACCAAATATGAACAAAATCGCTCCACTACTTTTCGAGTTAAAGTAAAATACATTAAAATGGCGGCCATTTTTCAAAATTGTTTTCAAAATGGCCGACTTCTACCAGAAGTGTCATAGAACAGTGTGCCATGCTTATAGTATCCACATACAAAATATGAACAAAATCGCTCCACTACTTTTCGAGTTATAGTAAAATACGTTAAAATGGCGGCCATTTTTTTCAAAATGGCCGCCTTCTACCAAAAGTGTCTTTAGACAGTGTGCAATGCTTATAGTATTCACACACCAAATATGAACAAAATCGCTCCACTATTTTTAGAGTTACAGCAAAAATCGTAAAATGACGAGTAAAGACCGCCATTTTTCAAGATGGCTGCCATGTGCTTTTTAATATCTACATTTGTAGCATTATTAATGTCCTTTATAAATTTTTTTACATTTATAACATATTGCTATTACAGTTTTACATATTGCACCTAAATTACTGTAAAATCGTCACTAAAATGGCCGCCATTTTGAAATGAGAGGCCATTTTGAAAATCGGCTTTCGAGCAGAACTTCTACCCCCATAGGGTATATGTGTACGAAATATGAACAAAATCGGGCCAACGGTATTTGAGTTATTGCCCGGACGGACGGACAGACAGACAGACGGACGGACGGACGGACGGACGGACGTACGTACGTACGGACAGACGGAGGCGTTCCCTATATCCCTCCGAACTTCGTTCGATGGGATAATAACGTGCAGTTGAAATACAGTTTTAACTTGAAGTTTAAAAGCATTTCACATCAGTCCTATCGATCCATATGTGTAATAACATCAGGAAATCAGTAACATAAGATCATCATATGTGAAATTCTAATGCTTCCATGACGGGGTTCTCATTATGAAATTTTTAGACCCTGATTTAGACTCAAGAAGCTACAGAGTGAGTAAGGAACAAAATGGGGTAACAGCGCATGAGCATTTAATTCATAAACATTTTTTCCTCTAATTATGAATTACTGTACTTGACCTTTTTTTGACCAGTCCTAGTTCTCTGATATTTCCAACAAAAATAAATAAACTGTGAATTCTCCTCCAGAATCCACCACTACCCTCTTGGAAGACTCAACCTCAAGTCAGAATCCAAATCTGAATTTGCAGCCATCCATTTTCAACTTTTAACTTAAGAAATAGGTTCGAAATTCAATTTCAGATCTCCATTATCGGCTTCCAGAAGCCTTGATATCCCATAATCCCAGGCGGTCAGGCGGTCAGGCCATATCCTCAATGTTTTCATTGAGATCGTATCTAGCCGCCATTTTTTTATTTTATTCATTTTTGTATATAAATAAACTAAACATTCAAAAGTTTGCCATTTGCATTAAAATGACGTCATTTAAATGGCCCCAAGGTAAATTTTATGTGACAAGGAATCTGATTGGCCAACAGATTTACTGGCAGCAAAAAGTTAGTTTTTGAACATTCAATCTTGGGAACCGGGTACGCCGGCAGTTGAACTGGACATATTAGCCTCGACGGATATGTACACCAGCAGCATGCTATAGGTTAAGCATAGGTTTTCAAAAAAAAAGACTGTAAATAGAAAGCTTCTTCACTTACATTTTGGAAAGTTTGGATGCAGCTCCCCCGGTTACCTTGGCAACTCGCAACTGAGACAGCTCCTGTAACAGAAAAGTAAGTAAATAACCAAAAAATCAACTTTATGCTACAAATGGACAGGGAAGTCCTTCATTCTATTCCAGACTACAAAAAATTTCTTGTGAAAATACTAAGACAATAATATTTTATTAGTACATGGCATATCCCAAGCTATTTTGCATTTCACTTCAGTCCTATCGATCCATATGTTAAATAACATCAGGAATTCAGTAACATAAGATCATCACATGTGAATGCGAAAATAAACCAGCTCACACTATTTTTATGAAGTACAAAATGTACAAAGCCATATACACAATAAATGTATACAATATGCACTTTTTCATACCAAGTTGTGTCAATGTTACAGATTTAAGGTACAGCTGGAAAGTAACATTTTGGTAAAAAATTGCTATACCAGCACATGTTATTTTCTGGTACAAAATAAAGTATGAAGACATGTGTGTATTTCCTTGCTTTTTTCAGGAAAGTATCATTACACTGTCTTCTTTAAGAATATCTAGTAGGAGTTCAATGGGAACTCCAGGAAATTCTGATATTTCACATTTCTTTTTTTCCAAATTTTCTTTTAAAGTTTCCAGACAACACAGGAGCTACCATTGACCTGTTTCCAGGTTTACTAAAAGTAGACAGTGTAATGATACTTTCCTGAAAAAAGCAAGGAAATACACACATGCCTTCATACTTAATTTTGTACCAGAAAATAACATGTGCAGGTATAGCAATTTTTACCAAAATGTTACGTTCCAGCTGAACCTTAACACAATGTCATGTGCATCATTTTCACCAGAGCATAACATGGACCATTGGAACAATTGAACAAACCTGTTTGAGCTCCTCAAGCTGCTTGACGAGGTCTTCCCTCTTCTTCCCACGGAGATCCTTGGCCTTTACCTTCACCTATAATGATAAAACAGCATATTAAAATGGTTTTATGTTCCACAAGAAAGGAATGTAAATATAATACATTGTTAGATCACACGAGGGCTATTGGTCCATGTCCATATCTGATAATGTTTCATTCGCATATGTTCAATGCCTTTTGTGAATTTCACTTCAGTCCTATCTATCCATATGTTCAATAACATCAGAAATTCAGTAACACAAGTTCTTAAACATCATGATCACATGTGTAAATGAAAAACTGAATGGTCAGTTGGAAGTTTTTCTCACTGACAACTAGTTCAACGTCGTTAAACTCAATAACGGCGTTCTTTACTATTAGGAATTTTCTTGGGGCCGTTATTGAGTTTAACCTCTTTGCTATTCTTTCCTTTGATGCAAGTTCTTGATCCATCGAAACCATTTTGCCGCGATAACGTGCAATTGATACTTGACAATAATATAAAAACACATAACATCAAGCGATTTAACACAATATTATTGCGTTAAATGTTCATTTATACTCGTAAAATGAGGCTACACTTACCGATCTCTAAAATGACATTTCCGCATGTCCGTCATTGTGTCTGTTCGTCCGAGTGTCCCGGATCGTAAAATTAAACTACCAGCGAAACGAAATTGTTGTCAAATAGATTGATAATTATTATCGCGATAAATCGTATTAAAAGATAAATTTTGAGGATAGCAGGTATCTTTGATTGATTTATATAGCGTGTGTATACACGCAAAATAGTTATTAATTGCAAACCTACTGTTTGTAAATGCAGTGCCGCGATGACGGTTAATTTCTGATACAATTTGCAATTTCGATGTTACCGAAACTGACCAACATTTTCGTTATATTCCAAACCTGTCTCCAATATTTCCGTAATTATGCATCAATAGGGTCTAAAGGGGATACGGGATGGTGTGTATGTATTCATAAGGTATGTATGCATGCTTGAATCACATTCTTTGTGTAATATGACCATGGTTTCAGGGTTTAATTAGTTCCGCTTGTCGAAACCTGCTGAACGATTAAATTAACGCATCAAGGGCAAAATGATCATGGAGGTTAGACCTAGCCGGGGCCATAAGATATGTCAGATAAGAAACGAGGCCCAGGCTAGGTCTAATGTTGTTGGACTAACTGACAACATTCTTACTTTACATAAAAATAAGGTAAAAATTACTCAAGGAAGTCTATAAGAGTATCAAGTACAGTGGTCATATGTAATGAAGCTATACATATTATCAAAAGTATGTACACGTTTATTTTTAGGTAAAATAACTTGGTAAAAATAAATAATTGCATGATTTTTTACGGAGGGTCTGATCAGAATAGGGTGCAAAATAGAGTGACTGGTACACACACTGACTTATCTGACGATATAAGACACAAAGGATATATGTAACAATAGGTTAAGCAGTTGTATATTATCGTTCGAACATGATAACTAAAGATGTTAGTGGATTTTCAGAAGATATTTTACTCACCATCTTCAATTTTTTGATGGCTGCAAAAGAGAACGAGAACGAGGCTGATTACCCTAGTTTCTAAGTTCGTAAAAGTAGACTGCATTTCCACCTCTTTTAAAGCTTTCTATCGGAATGAGCGTTTAATATGATACAATCCATACATCAAAGATACATATAGTATTCATAATTGAATAGCATAATAGCCTAAATACACTTCAAATAACATATTTAAAAAGCGGAAGTTGCCAGACTTTGCTTCTGTGGTAAACTGCAAACTTATTTCCGGGTTGTAAACTTTTTACAAATTTCTTTACATTTTGTCTTATATCTCTGCGTTTAGCGCATGTTATAGCTTTAAAAATATGTCAAAAAACACTGCTAGCAATAGATTTAGGAAGGTGAATGTAGATGATTATGATGAGGACAAATTCCAAGAAGACAACACCGAAGACACAGTTCAGGGACCAAATGAAGGGGAAGTAAATCAACTGCTGCAAACATATCCTTTTAGGCTAAAGGCAGGGGCGGATCTGGGAACCAACAAGGGGGGGGGGGCAAATTTCAGCTCTGAGAAAAATAGTACCGCGCTTGTGTGGAAAATAATTTTGGGCCAATAAAACCTAAAAGTGGGTCCAAATTTTGAAATTTTGAGGCCTATTTTATTCAAAATTTCACATGTTCGGTTAATCATAGGGACATTTTCCCACTAGCCAGTTATAGCTTTGAGGGTTCCGTGACCAGTGAGCAGCCGCACCATCAGGGTGCATCTTTTAATAAACCTACAGTCCTGTCTGGCAATTTCCCACCATGCTATCGGTTTGGTACCAGTCAGTATAGTTCGGTATAATGATAGCTTATAAGACAAGAGGCCAAAACAGTGATATTTAATTAGCGGGCTCTTGTCTGTCTAAATCTAAATGTTGCTCCTGTGATACCAGAAATGTGAAGTCAGAATTACAATGATATTTGGTCACACAAGAGCCGGGATCAAGAGAAACATATTTGCCACATAAAATGTTAAATTACTACGCTCATAGGTTATTTACTCGAACCAAACAAGTAGAAATAGAAAGATGAAGATCTCAGCTATGTCAAGGGGAAGCATGTACCACTTTGTATAAGGAACGTTTTGAAAGGTGATCACTTTTTTGAAGTTTTCCAATTTAGTGACTCATCTTCTAAATTATTCTTTGAGCCTATGAGATCCTACTACAAAACGATCTGGCCAACATCTATGGGTAATAAGAGTATGGTGTCGCCATGCAAACAAAGAAATCCTAAAGGTGGGTCGTATATCAAAATGGCAATAAATGGCACCTAAAATGAGCTCAAATTTTGATGTCTGATCAAATTTATCAATTTCATTTGACAATGAACAACAGATGTATTCTTTCAGATGACTTTGACAATAGTTGCCAGAATGTGGTTATACAACCTTCATTAAAAAAATTATGTCAGATTTGATTTCGCTGTTAAGCACATCTTATTTTTAACATTTAGCAGTTCTTGAGTAAATTTCGAAGTACAAAAATGTACAAATATTTTCCTTAACTTTTGTCACTAATAAAAACTTGGAAGCTCTGAACTTGGTGCTCAGCAACCCCCCAGTAGGAACAAAAAACCAAGCTGTAAAGGTAAACAAGACTTTAGATACATTATGGTCATTGTATTACACTCAGTACTGTAAAATCGGTGACATGGCACAGTTGGCACCTGTATAATTTTTGCTTAAGAACCTAATAAGTGTGAGACTCTAAAGTCTACATAAATCTTTTTCTCTATTTGAGTGATTTCCTTTTTTATTTCTTTTTCAAAAAACGTGAATATCTGAGTGAAAATCCCATGCAAATCTTACATACCATTTTTTAAGGTATTTAACGTGAGACAATCCTTGGTCAGAATAAGTTCTGAATTCTAGTATGCAGTAACGAATCAGCTTGTCTGAACATAAAGTGCAATTTACACCATCAACAGACTTGATATAAAGCTACACTTACCAATAAATATTTACGTTGGAACAAGTACTCACCTCGTAGTTGCTTAATATTTTATTTATCATTGTCTTCCTTTAGGATCGGGCGTTACAAAATGTAATGAGGGTACTAATGGCATTCAAGACGAGTGAGGTGGCCGGTGCTGTCAAATCTTTAGATGACCCCACAATTGATGTACTCATGAAATATATATACAGAGGCTTTGAAATTCCATCAGATAACAGTAGCGCAGTTCTCCTAGCTTGGCACGAAAAGGTAAAGTATGATTTTAAGACTACAGTAAAACCTGAAAAGTGGAACACCTCTGAAAGTGGAACACCTCCATTAGTAGAACACTTCTCAAAACACCGTTACCCATTCGTTTAAGGTAAAATGAACCTCTGTAAATGACACACCTTCAAAGTGGAACGCTATTTTGATGAATTAAGGCAGGCCCCACTTGTACAGGATTTACTATACCTTATATGATGTTTTATATAATCAAAATGATGATGCTTTCTTTGAAGTGTTCACATTTGATATGTTGGAGGTTTGCTGAATTGAAACATAGTTGAAATCAAGGTCAAACTGAAGGTCAACTTAAGGTCATGTGTTATAAGTCACTATGCAGCAAGAAAGAGAGTACTTCTTACTATAAAGCATGGTGGTCTGTCTTTCATTCTGTCTGTGTGTCTGTCTGGATATCTCCTCCTAGACAATTTAACCTTGGGGCCTCATACTAAGTCAACATACTAAATGGGTTGGTGGGCATTCTACGAATGTCAGAGATCAAGGTCATTCCAAGATAAAAGTTTAATATCCAGGTATTTGGCTTTATAAGACCCTTGGTCTGTGCTGTTCCCCTTGATGACCCATGATAAGTGACATAAGATCAAGGTCAACTTTACGGATCAATGTTGTTCCAAGGTCAAAAGTCAATATCTTGGTATTTGGCGTTTTAATCCATTTGGGGCCTGTTGTGACCCTTAGATTACCTGAGTTCAGTGTAGAGAAAAACTTTGAAATGATGGAGGTTTTGTTATAAATATACAATTAGGGTGAACCAAGTCTCGTATGAATTAATTAATAAATACTAATTTGCTATAATCAATGTATTAGTTATTGTATGTATTTCATACAAACTGCACATACATGTACTATATATATTGCATATATCAAATGCTAACTGTACATAACATCTAAGTAAATATTGCATGCTGCACATAACAACATATATATTGTTTACAATAAGTCACATATTAAGTGATATAAGCAAGTTAAACTGTTAAAATAATTACTAAAATCATGCATTTAATACATTGTGTTACTATTATAGAATAATTAATTTGAGATTCCTAAGGAATCTTAGTCTTATAAATGAAGCATAAATATGGCATACAATATGTACTAACTGTACATAGTGTACACCGACAACTGTACACACCTACATGTGCACATATTTTTTTTACTTAAATTGTGCCATAAAATAGATATTTAGAAAGAATTATTGAAAGTATGTGTATTGTTGAGAACATAAATTAAAATGTGCTATATTTTGAAGTAACACTGTAAAATATAATGCTTAAAACTAATTTTGTGACACAAAAGTAAGTATTATACTTATTGGAAAGCAGTTTATAATGCATTTTATCTTTTAATTATATGTTAAAAAGTTGTGTGATGCACACTACAATAGTAAGGTTCAGTCCACTAACTGTGGAGATGTTGGATTGAGATATGTGTCCACTTAGAGCAAGGCTTCTCGGTGTCTTTTAAACTCTGCGTGGATGTAGTCCATAACAGTTGCGCTATCCCTGAGGATGAGATAGTCCCGATTGTATCTCTCAGCATAGTTGTGAGAGTAGGGGAAGGCATATTTCTTGGCACCCTCCATTGTGACATCACTAGGGTGTGTGATACCATGTGATGTCACAGTACAGCACACTTCCATGGAAAGCTTGTGAAGCCCTGTGTCTTGAAGGTATACCTTGATTTGACTTGCCATTTCAAGACTCATTGTGTCCACTGAAGCTTGGAGGTCATGTTCTTGGCGCAATTGTTCAACGAATGATGATACAAGTTGGATATCGCCATAAGCTCGTTTAAGGGAAATGCTGACCTATAAAAAAAGTTTATTTTTAAAATTGAAAATTTAGCATTGAAAACAAACATTTGTCAAACTAAAGAAATTCTGAAGTTTTTTATTGCTGAAAAATTATATTTATTTGAATAACCTATACTTACATCATTTGTGGGAAGGGATGGGAGAGTGGGAAACTCGCCAAATGCAGGATAAGAGTACTTGTCAAGTTCTTCCTTGTCACTGTTTGCGATCAGACCCTTTCCCAACTGAAACAAAAGAGACTATGTTTACCAAAAAAAGTGCAATATTTTGATTTGTCATAATTAAACATCTGGTCATTAGATAATTTAAAAATAAATGGGAAGTTAATATGTGACAAATACTAAACAATGTGTCATCATTATGTCATTTAGAGTAATTTGTGACACATACTTAACAATGTGTCATCATTATTTCATTTAGAGTAAATTGTGACACATACTAAACAATGTGTCATCAATATGTCATTTAGAGGTTTCGCTTGGTAAATGATTCACTGTATGTATTACTACTCACTTTTATATGAATCTCACTATGGACTATGCACTAGATTTAAAACACTTCAAATATCAAAAAAATATTTCTGTACTTACATATAAGTCATTGATGACAGTTGTCAGGTTTGTCTTTATATTTTGAGCTAAGGCGCTAATCACATGATATTCATGGGCACGATCTGATGGAGAGGGAGTGACCCCTTCCCATCCATCTCCTCCAGACCCTCCTTGGCAGTTTATGCATGCCACTGGCTTCTGCCAAGGGTACGCTGGGGATACTGTCGTTGTTGGTGCAGATCTGGCATATCCCACCATCATACAGACACAAACTGAAAATTAAATATGTTCAAGTTTGAGTGACCAATGATTTAATTTTTAGCATCGGGTAGTACCATATCATCACATTTTTGTATGTCAAAAAATGTTGAAAATACATTGAAGAGTTTGATTTCATATAATTCCAGATTTCATCATATACTCCATCATCTGTTATTTGTTGGACATGTTTTCTATTGGTATGATCTTAATAGAAATTCCAATGCAAACATTTTGGTTCATTGTTAAAAAGTTAAGATTCATATTGATTCATATTGATATCTGATATCAAAAATATATTTATGGATGGATTAACACACTTTCAGACTTCAGTTTCATCATAGATTTTTTGTGTGATAATTTCTAGGAATTCTAATGTATTTAACTAGAAATCAGGATGCATCTAATTTTAATTCATTGTTAAAACCCCTTAAAGTAATTATCATTCTTTAGGTGTTATATTTGTCATACATGTATATTCAATATATTTTTCATCAAACAGTTATACTTTATTTAAAAAAAAATTGGCTGAAATGAGTCATTGTCCATCCACCAAAATATAATCTCTCCAATTTTAAACAATATGAAAAGAATCGATTTCGTTTTTTATGGCAAAGTATCGAATATGACCCGTGACTTCATTCTTTTGTGAATACAAATTGATTCAAAAATAGTTCACTCCATAATGGCATTGAAAAGTAAATAATAATCAATGCAAACTTTGAGTTCATTCAGGACTTACGTTCTTTCATTTAGCATTGTATCGCAAATATAAAAAATTCAACACACATTGAAAAGTAGAATCCTTTTGTGAAATATTAAAAATCATAATTGGCTGTTGTATGCTTTTTGTAATTAATAAAATAATTTAAAGGTTTGAAAATAAAAATTAAATCTCATGTTATTATAAAAATATTTTTACCGAGTATGAATTTCATGTCCATTTTCTTTTTAACTTCTTGATCAACCTTGCGTTTGTAGCAAATATTCCAACTTAATGTTTCTAGCTGCCTTTTCCTTTGTGGATGAGTTTAATAAATTGTTGATGGATGGGTAGGGGTTTGGATCTCATATTTATATACATTAGACTGAAACCAATTCTGAATCTTAATGAACAGTTCTATTTTAAGATATTAGTGAATATAGTTGAATTTCTGAAACCACACCTTGAATGAATATGTATTATCTATGTACAGGGTGTCCCGAAAGTATGATTTGCCGAAATTGAAGTTCACTTTACACCAAATTAAAAGTCAGTGTGTCCTCTCTGGCCATGTTAACAGTAGCAATTCTTTTAGGATATGACCTTAAAAGAGCCTCACATAGGGGTGTGACATTTTGTAATCCTCTTAAAACCTTTTTTAAGACATTTAAGAAGAGTTTCCTTGCAGTATCTGCCCTCAACGTCTTCTTTTCTCAACTCAATATATATCCTATCATGGACGACAGCAAGCAAATTTTCAGTAATATTCAGGTCAAAACAGACAAAAATTGATACTTAATTGAGTGATGCATCTTTTTGATGGGGTCATCCTAAGGTCATAGTATTTAGCTTATTAATGTACCTTTAAATATTCTTCAAAGTGGTGGTTAGCAATGAGCCACACCTACTGTGGGTATATCTGCCAAGAGGGGGGGGGGGGGGGGGTCCCATACTTAACTTTCTGGACACTTTGTATTTAAGGAAGTAATAGATATTGTATGATAAATCTTAATACTGTCATACTTTCAGGACACTTTTTATTTAAGGAAGTAATAGATATTGTATGATAAATCTTAATACTGTTACATTTTATCACTCAATTGCCATCACATAAAGGTAAACTACAGTTATTCGAGAATTCATATCGTCTTCTAAGAATTTTGATTTCACTTATGAAAAAATGGGGAAAAATGTTGATGTTTATAATCAGATTACTATGCTGTGGTTATTATTACTGGTAGATATAGTAAAGGTGTATAGGCCAATAGATATACCTTTATGTATTTTTACCTTACAGTGAAACCTGTATATTCCAACACCTCTCTAATCCGAACACCTCTCAATATGAACACTTTTTTCTTAGTCCCATAATTGTTACCTCCCATTGACTGACATGTTAATAAAACTTGAGATGTGAACACCTGCTAATCTGAACACTTTTTGTTGCTCCCAGAGGCGTTTGAATAAGACAGGTTTTACTGTATGTAAAAAAGGTACGATATTGTCGTCAGCTTGGCTTAGGTTATAATTGATGTAAAGTAAACCTGTCGTGACAGATTTGGCAAAAAATCATGCGAAAAGTGCTCAGAATGGTGAAAAACTGCATGATTTTGAAAGAATTTCTGGCCGCCAGGGGGAGGCGCAGCATGTTTATTAATTTGAGTTGTAGAAACTGAGGTTGCAGTCATTAGTCATTAAGTTTCCAGTGTTTGAAATTATCATAAAGTAATTTTCTTGTGAGGGTACGGTTATCAGGATTGAGATCAACATTGTTATCTCAATTAACGTCAAACTTAAAGGTGAAGGTCATTGTGGTGATAACGACCAGGTAGGCTGTTAAAAAATTGTCACTTTGACAATGAGTAATATTATACTAAGTGATGGTGTCCACTTATAAACAGCTGTGGATTATGAAATTAATTTGGTTATGGTTTCCTCCACCCCCACCCCTCATCTAACGAAATTTTAAATGTTGATTTGTCACTTTTTCACTTGAATTTTAAAAAAATCAGCACTATGAGCTCAGGATACCATCCTTTACCCCTCCCCCCATAGTTAAATTAAACTAATTTCGTTATTCCACAACTGTTGATAATTTGACAACATTCCAGAGCTTTGACTTCAATAATTATTATTTCCATTTTAATTATGTTTTTCAGGCATTTGAACAAGGAGGCTTAGGAAGTATAGTACGAACACTTACTGATAGAAAAAGGGTGTAACTATGACAACCGATGGCGTAGATATTGAACAACCCCTACTAAACAAAACCATCTCTCACATTGCACCGACTTGGATTATTTAACACTTAGTGCTATGTTTTGATGGCAATACTACATACTTTCCGTTGCAATATTCCAAGTGGATCCCTACGAGGAACTGAGTTGTAGAAAGTGAACTCCTATAATATATAACCGAAATGAGGAAATGAAAGATAGTTTTTATGATACAAGATAAAAACCCAAGCAGGTATTGTCAGGTGATTAATTAAAGCATGATATATGAAGGATATATGAAGCACAAACCCGATACTAAAAAATCAACACCAGCTTCAACAAGTTTCAGAGTTGGAGCATTTTCATGGCACTATTTTAACAGTTTATTCTCACACTTGCCATCTACTGTACTCCCGGATTATTTCGCAAGTTTTAATTTCGCGAATTTTGAGAAACGCCAATTTCGTGGCCATTATATTTCGCGGATTTTAAAAGTTTAAATTCCATTATTTTCTGAATTCTCAAGCTCTGTAAATTGATTTACCCTATCTACATTAGCTTCACCTACCCAATGTCATATTTGGATAAGATTTACAATTTCTAGATCACCTCAGCCTTTAATTGGGGAAATTCGCGACGATAAATTTTCGCGATTTTAACACAATTGCGAAAAGCGCGAAACTAAATCGCACATGAAACATACCGGGAGTACAGTATGTGGTCTTACTAATGTGAAAAATAAATCTAGTAATTATAACAAAGATTTGATTTAAGATCATTGTAGCATTATCTGTTTATTTTATCATTCTATAAATGTAAAGTATATGAAGTACAGGCTTACAATATTAAAATCAATATGTTCTTATTCAATCCCTTAGTACAAATATGTCAGTGCAAAAAGTTCAAATTCAAATGTAATTACAAGTAAATTAACTTATGTGTATTGGTCATTGGAATTTAAAATACAATGATATATTTGTGGAAGATGTGTTATATAATATAAATAAATCATTTTGTAAATAACTATAGATACATTGTCCAGTTTATTTATTACATTTTAAACACATTAGTTACCAGCAAATAGGTGGCCATTTTAAAATATTAAACAAAAATTGGATTGGGTATCCTATAAAGAAACTTCCCCTCCCTCCTCAAGCCTCTGAACACAACTCAACCTATGTTACAGCTATTATAGAAATGAATGATGAAATTCTTACTCTGAACTTAAAATTATCTGTCTAATATTTGATTGAAGATATGGTTGATTTAATGATCCATACACTAGAAAACCAAGCAATTTTTGTGACAAATTACATCAAGTTCTGATATTTTGGACTTTTATATTGAAAATAATGACATTTGTTTAACCTCTTGAATACCCAGAGTGACGGATATATCCGTCACAAATGAAATAAGACTGGTGCCCAGAGGGACGAGAAAATCCGTCACAAAATTTTTCACAAAAATTGCTCTCATTTGAACAATTTTCATCCAATTTACACAAAAATTGTTTTAAAACGTGTAGAAATGATCTCTGCAGTCCAATTTTACTAAGCTGAGCATCTAAAATTGTATAGGTATGTAATAAAATGTCAAAAGGTGGCAAAAAATGAAAAATTCTCTGGTTTCATGCCAATTTTAGAGCCTGGGATTCAAGAGGTTAAAAATCACAGCTCTGAGTATGATACTTATGTGCAACTCTTCATATTTTATCAATTTAACCTATTAGTAAAACATGTTTTTAAGTCCTTATTTTTTATCCTCAGATTTCTGGAATTTATTTATCTGACTGAGAAGTTTATGCACGCTTTTATTCCCAGGTTCAACTGCCAATATTTGTTCAAAGTCAGATTTTCCATTTTCAAATTGTTTAAGATGATAATACGCCTGTCCTCTTCGATACAGTCCCTTCACATTGTGTTCCTCAATTTCTAGAGCTTTTGAGCAATTTTCAATGACATTTTTGTAAAGTCCATGCTTAAACTGGCAGATGCTTAAATTCAGATAACACGCACAAAGGAGAGAAGAAAACTCCTGGTATATCAAAGTTGGAATGTTGAATTTTGTATTTGTGTCTTTTTCCTTGGACATGATACAGTTTCCATTTTCAAGTACAGCCACTTCATTTGTTTTCATATTTTTCATAATAATCAGATACTTTAAAGCCTGGGAATAGTGACAAGAAGCGATTTTAGTTCGTCCAAGGTTATAAGCATCTGTTCCGAGTTGTTTATGATGCTTTGCACGCTCAAATCGTTCAGATATATCCAATTCATGAATCTCGTTGGCATTTGTAAACTCAAGTAAGCTAATGTGTAAAATCAAAGGATTCATTACTTTTTCTAGTTTTAATGTGATTTTAATTTCACTGCCTTGCGTCATTAAAGTCACACTCTTATGTATCACATGTTCTACCTCACTTGTATAGCAATCAATCACAATTTTGTTTAATTCCAATAAACCCTTGAGAGATTCATAGATTGTGTCTTCAGTAAAATTATCTAAATCTGTACATGTGATTTCGATGTCACATTTTGCAAATGTGTTTGGAGATGAAATTCCATTGGTTGATGATGTTATCTCAGTGGCATAACTTGCAACGTTGAGATTGCCGTAAGATTTATTGCCCTCCAAAGACATTGTAATAGTTCATCAACTGAAAAAAAATAAAGAAAGTATATGTACATGTTGCAAAATGATTACCAAAATGTTTGACATTCAGCCATATCACCGTGTATTTCATAAAATGAAAAGTAATATTTCCTATACATGTAGGTTTTGATATATCGACACCCCCCCCCCCCCCCCCCCTTGTCAGGATCCTAACATGATCTGTTTTAGAAAATAAATGGTACAGGGAGGTATCCTCTGCATAGAGAAAGCAAAAAGAATTCAGTTTGTCAGGAAGGTCATTTATATAAAATGAGAAATAGTAAAGGGCCTAAGATAGACCCTTGAGGCACTCCGGCATTGATCTCACCTTCCATTGAAAAATGTGAACTCATTCCGTTAATGGTTACTTTGATTTTCCTAAGATTTAAATAAGATTCAAAGAGAAAAACCATCCTAACATGATAGTGGTTCCTTTATCACAAATGATGTCACAACAGCAATAAGAAATGGTCAGATTTAGCTAATATGCTAATTTGAATTATACTTCCAATGCGTTTGAATTGCGAGGACTGAATGGTTATTATGTCTTTGGAGCCATCGTATCCAGAGGGAGACCCCCTCCCCCAACTTATTTTACTTAAATACAATATAGGTATTGAGGTAAAAGAAGGAGGGAAGTAGGTGACTTAATCCCCATGATCATACTCTCATATTTATGGTAATGTATGTGTGTATTAGGAGTCCTACAATACATGATGTAACAATACAATAAGTATCTCCACACTCAAGTCACGATATGCACAATACGAGTAATATGATACTGGGAGGGGGGGTATAGCACTGTAATTAAGTTAGTTGAAAGTCTATCAGTTGCTGTAACATCGATTCTGATAAGATACAAAATCTGTTTGATGAAATCTGCTGTTAGACCATGAAGACTACAGCGCCTTTAGCGGCAAAAATAAGCAGAGACAAGAATTGGAAGAGTTTTCAATCCATTTCTCTAGGTCCATGCTTTTATAAAAGCTATCAATGAGTGAACATTTTAAGCCATGTTTTGTCAGATAAAAAACAAAGAATATATTCATTTGTATCTTAATTTTGTGCATACATGTGCTTTCAACTAGAATGGTAGGCAACTTCCCATATTTCATTCATAAGCATTGCCTTTGGGTTTTCAAAATTGGAGAATGTACATGTACAGTAATTGTACACATTCCAAGAAAATCTTTCCAAGAAAATCTTATTTTGTCCTTTTTATGGATGATTTAAAGAAATAACTCAAAATGCAGATTTGACTAGATCGTGAGTATATCTTTATATGTGTGAAGTTTCGGTGAAATTCATACTAATCATCGATGCCTATAAGCGCCCCCCCCCCCCCCCAGCCCCCGTTTTTTCAAAATCGGTGGGTGCTTAAACGCTATCTAAATCATGTCAGTAAGATCGTAGACTTGGCATGTGCTTAGAATGAATGTTGATCTAGTCAAATCCACAAATCACTTTCATGAAAAATAAATCAATAAAGTACGAAATACAGAAGATAATCTCTCAAAATCAAAAAGCTATAGCAGTGTGGCCTAATTGTGACGTCACTACAAGACAGAATTCATCCAGTGATAAATCATCAATTGATGATTTGCGATCACCGAATGGATTCTATCTTGTAGTGACGTCACAATTAGGCCACTCAGCTTTAGATGTTTGATTTTGAAAGATTATCTTCTTTATTTCGTGCTTTATTGATTTATTTTTCACGAAAGTGTTCGATTTGACTAGATCAACATTCATGCTAAGGACATACCAAGTCTAAGATCTTACTGACATGATTTAGATAGCGGTTAAGCGCCCCCCAATTTGGAAGAAAATGGGGGGCGCTTATAGGCATCGAAGTTTAGTATGAATTTCACCCAAACTTTGCACATATATAGATATACTTATGATCTAGTCAAATCGGCATACCTGGTTAATATCCGACCCATGGTTTTCATAAAAGAAACGACAATATTTTTAGCTCAAAACTGCCAAGTGTTCGCCATTTCGTGATTCCATCATGTCTAACATCATTTCTATATGACGTCACACCAATAAGACAAAATACATGACAACAGTATCCATAAACAAAATTCCTGAATTCTGATCGCAAAAGGTCAATTGAAAGCCCATGGTGCATATCACCATGGAGTTCAGACTATAAATATAAAAATAATTTCTCCAAAAAGTCAAATATTCTAAAGATTTTAGCAAAAATGGCACATTTCAGCTGAGACTAACATAAAATGTTATTATTATGTAAGTCTCAGATTTCAGGTATGTTAAAAATATTTTGGTTCATTGATTTTTGATACTTCATATCAATACACTTGTATCATCACCATTTCCAAACAAGCCCAGTGTGCATGTAAACTCGATTTCAGTGTATATTTTAGGTGGCGATTTTTTACTTTTTGTCCAAGTACCCATGGAACTTTTTTATTTAGAATATAGTTCGGAGTAGGGATACTAGCGGCTACCGTTGGTTATTTGGTTTCCTGTATAAAAAAGCTTTTTCTCCTTTTCTGGCCCATCGCAGCGCCATCTAGTGTTTGATAAATGAATCAATGTTTATTCTCGATAGGGTCAGTACTAATCTATCAGGAAAGATTTACAAGTTTGGTTAGAAACAGAATTTTTAGAGTTGGCAGAGTGATTTTGGAGACTATGTAGAGCAGAATAACTTTCTGAAACAGGTAGCTTTACAGTGGTAGCTCTCTCCAGATTGAGTTATCTCAAAAACGGTGTGGTCACCGTATCATTATTTTGTAACGGCAAGCTAGACAAGACTCCAATGAACACTAGGCACTGTTTCGCTGAGCTAGATCTGTGTCCATAAATATATTATGAAATGAAACGTTATAATGGTCTTCAATGGGATTTTTAACTGCAACCTTAACCCTTAGGGTAAGTAAGTTGCTTTCTACCTTAGATTTGATTGACGCAGAGAAATTGCTATGGGCGATAATACACTGCTTTACGTTTAGCTTCAATTTTTCATGTTATGAATTGTGAATTTTTCTTGACAATCGATTTAAACAACTTTAAAAAGTAATACTTATAAGATATATAATTGTTCTTTTACTTAGAAGTATCTACTTACCTCGCAAAACAGAGATAACTATGGAGATTTTTGATATTTTCGAAACGGAAGTAATCTTGAAATGACGTCATTGTGCGTCAAATTGCTGCGCAGAAAAATTATTTTACTTCCGTAAAAATTGGTGTGTTGGCAGATTTTTTCTATTTCTTAGCGATACTTACATCCATGTTTACCTGTACAACTGGTAAGTTAATGTTACACTGCCGAAATACTTGTCAATATATTTTAAAACTTTTATTTTGTCATCTGAGTGTCAAATGCTTCAAAAATTGAAGAGAATTTCTATCTAAATTTTCTGTCAAAAATTTTGACTGCTGACATAACATAAACAAACTGACGCTTGTCGGTTATTTAGTGTTGAGTCTTGTTCCCCATCATCATACAGTAGCATATTCTAAACTTTTCCCATATATGTTTGGCTCCAAATATAGTAGAGGCAATTCTGCCCATGTATTGTAAGTAAATGTCACGACAAATATGGAAGCAATGAGTATCCTGAATTGCTTACATGGATGACAGTGTCTAATCCAGGACCCTCCGCTCCAAAGTCTGACACCCTAAACATATTGTGATCTCATGTAATGCTACTGTATCTTTATCTTCAGTGTCACAATGTTTGCAAAGTTGAAAAAGAAGATCCAAGAAGAAGGGGGCGGGGCCCCACCATCTTCCCCAGGGGAGGGTGAGAAAAGACAACTGTCCCCTGGGCCAGGTCTCGCTAGTCCAGTCGCAGATGAAGGTGCTAAAGGTACAACTGTTATGCTTCACTTAACATACATGGATGTCAATTTCAATGAAAATAATTTTATTAATACATTTATTTTTCCATGAAAAGTTTATTTAAGTTGTTCATTTAAGAAAGATATTCAATGTTTAGTAGCTTGAAAAATGTTTACCAGATAAACTAAAATACTGCAAAATGGAATCAATTTGTTATTAGAACATAAACAACAACTCACGGGGCCAAAATGTACATTTTATTCATTTTCAGCTACTGGACTAGGACTTTTTCCAAATAAATCGCCATCTAAAGATTCAGAGGCTTCTGCACAGTTAGATACAGGGGTAAGATATTTTTGACACGATTATATAGTTCTAAACTGGTGAATACTTGTGTTCAAAATCTTCTAAATAATACAATAAAAATAAATTTTTAAGAGGGCAATGAACTTCTCTGAATAAAGCGATACAAGATATTCGATTTTTTCAATTTTAATCTTAATGATCACTTTATAGACTCTAATAACCACATATATTATAGTAGTTGTTTGGGGTCACTAATGTTATCACCCTACATGATGATACTTATATGTAATTCTATATTGTTTATGCTGATAGCATTCCAAAGAGACAAAGGATGAGGTCCTGGCATTGTTGGTGAAGCGCACGGATCAAGTAAAGAAATTAGAGTCAAAGATAAGTGGTAAGTGAGAAATTAATATTTACTGAAACATCATGTACATATTTCAGAGGATAACTTACAGGATAAAATATTTGGAACAACTTCATGTAAGCCCATGCAATTACATATAAGGGTTATGTAGTGGGAGGTTTTGGATATGGGGTTTATCTAGATATGCATATCTCCTGAGGAATAAATCACATTTCCAAACCAACCATACATAATACTTTATCCTATACCCAGTAGAGTTTTCTAAATTTCTCAAAAAATGTTCAACATTTTTTTTCAAATTTTTTTTAACTACTAGAAGATATCCCCGGGAGCGGGTGATATGGAGGTTCTGGATATTGGAACCTCAAAATCAAGATAAAAGATATATCTTACCAACTTGTCTCCCTAAAACTCTTATCAACCTTGACTTGAAAATCATTATTTTATTTTAATTGAGGAATATCTGAGAAGTTAATTTACCCATAGTTAACATAAGATAGATCATTACAAGTCTATTTATCAAATATATGTAAAAGTTCATTTTGTCCACTTTTAGTAAAATAAGACACAGGCTATTCATCACATTCTTATAATGTTGTAAACATTGTACTACATGTACATGAATATTGTAATGTTTAAGAATTTTTATTTATTGTATTTATTCTTATTTTAGAACTAGCTGCCTTGATAAAAGAGAAAAATAAATATGCAGAAAAATTAGAAATATCCTTGGAAAAACAGCAAGATGGTAAGGAATTAGCTCCAATTAAAAGATTTAGACAATTCTCGCAGCTATGATTTGACCCACCTGCCAGATTTTCATTGGAAAATATTCTTGAAAACTTCATTCACTTCGACCAATCAGAATTTTTTGAAATCTTGTGTGGTGTTATGTATTAGTATCTGTATTTGTTACACTTTCCCAGGAATCCCAGGCGATGGATTTTATCATGTGAACGCCTCTTTTGTTTTTAAAGCTGTAGCCTGACAAAAGGTCAATCCATTCATTCACTCCAATCATGAAAATGAATCTAAGTCCATTTTAAAACACATAACAAAGAAAGGATGAGTCTGGGAATGAGTCTGGGTATCGACTTAGAAAATATTGAAAAGTGTAATGTCTGAAAAACCAACTCAATCACACATATTATTAAACTTCAATATCTTATCCTTCTTCTGAGATTACAAAAAATCGATTTGTATCACAATTGATGAAGAATATTGGCATCAAAGACAGTGCATATCACTTTTTCAGAATTGAAAAAAAAATCAATGGCAAATATTAAATGAATTATTTATACAAAAAGTTTGAAACATATCCTCCAAAACATTGCTTACTTTCTTTGTATAGACATTGAATGGTATTTCTTGATAAGTGAATTGGTGTTTATCTGGGTAATCAAGGGATTATAGTCACTCAAAGTTACTGAGCATCCAGTTTTGAGACTTCAATTGTGTTGGTGAAGTTACATCTACTTCAGTCAAATTCATGCTCAGCACAACATTTTGGTTTCAATTTTATAATCCCTATACATGACCCTGGTGATGAAGAGTCAGAATCAGTCAAAAAACCAAAACCGGAAAACTGTGCTCATTGTAAAAACTAAAAGTGAAGCAACTTTTTTTTTGATATTTCTTACATCAAATGACAGCCATCTTGTTTTTCCCCCTTCAAATTAAACTGGCGGGAAATTCAAAAATTTGAAAAAAAATGTTATCCTTAAATATATTTCAAAAATATGATTTTCTTATTAATTCTTCATGGGTCTTAAGTTATTTCTTCTTTGTATGTCATACATGTTGCCATTGGTGTTTTTTTCTATGATAATGACCTTTTTTTATTTATTAAGATACTTATTCTGACTCTCAGCAGGGGGTTAATTATGCATCAAAACCCATGAAAAAGTAAATATACTTATCAAATATAACTAAGACAGTTATAAAAACCATATTTCACATCCATTTGACTGAGGGACCAAAAGGGCATATACCCAGACACATCCTTTGAGGTATCAACAACTTATTGGATGAAACCTTGTTTTATTTTAGAAAGTATTGCTAAACAAAAAGAAATGCAGGAGGATTTCAAAAAGAAAAGCAATCAAATGACAGAGAGTTTCACCCTAGCATTGGATAAAAAAGATGATGATTGGAAGAAAAAAATTGCTGAAATAGAAAAGGTATTGTACACGATAGTTGACCTTGCTTGAGGTTGACAGTGAAAATTATACACCTCAACTGTAAATCAAAATATTTGTATTGACAAAAGTTACATCAAATCCTCTTATTTTTTGTGTTCTATTTTTATTATTTTATAGTATGGCTTCTCATATTTTTTAAATTCTATTTTATAGTATGGCTTCTCATATCTATTCAGTTAGGCCTGAGCCCCCCCCCCCCAAGTCAAAAATTCTTTCAAAATCATGCTGATTTTCACCATTCTGAGCACTTTTCAAGTCATTTTGGCTATTTTTGGGCCAACGTTTTCATAAGTGAATCCCCCTGAAATTTCTTAAAAAGTGAACCCCTTCCCTTGGCAAATCCTTTCTACGGGCTTGTCAGTCATTCACTTTTGACTATTATTCATCGCATTCTTGTCTACAGGAGAAAGAGAATTTACAAAAAAGTCTGGAAAAGGCGGAGGAATATCGCATGAAATATTTCAAGAAGGAGGAAGAATCAGAGGAGATGGAGGGATTAACTACTCAGGAATTAGCAAAACTCAAGCATATGGTAGGAGTTATTACAATTTATATTGTTTGGGGGTGTTGTTTTTCTTCATTTTCCACTGTTACTCATCTACTTATTCTTTTTTTGCTTAAGTCGGTTAATATGAAAATCTGGAATTACGATATCAAATGATAACTCCACGACCTATATTTAGTATATTTAAAAAAATATGACAGCACAATATCTATGTTTCCTCCAGTATTGAATCTATCCAACAAATATCTTAAAATGGTACTTTATAAAGAATGCAATACAATTTGAAAGATTCCACTTTCAGCTCTTAAACAAGGATCAACTGCTAGAAAAAACAGAAAGTAACCTCAAAGAAAAAACAGAAGCTCTAGTCATATCAGAGAAGTCCCTCAAAGAACTGCAAAACATATGTGAGAAATTAAAAATGGAGGTTGACGACTCAAAAATACAGAAGTGAGTAATATTTCTTTGTATTTATTACTTGTTGCATCTTGCTTCCTGTATTTTCTAAATACACTATTGCAATTTTTGAGTCACACACAATTATACTCGTACATGCTACATGAAATTTAATGGCTCATAATTTTATAGTGTATTCTGTTATGACACAAAGGTTTAAAGAGCTTTACTTGAATCATACATGAATTATCACCTTTAAAGTCCCCGTCTAAAGTTTGAAAATATTTTTTTATCATTCATTTACTATTTGTCAGGACTTAAAAAGTGGTTTTAGAGATTTCTGAACAAAAAAAAATTTTGAAAAAAAAGTTGTGAGCATTTCATTTCTCAAATATTCAAATTTCCCGCCATTTTTCAAAAAAAGTTGAAATTTCTTAATCATCAAATATTTCTTAATGCATTTCAAAAAAGATTATCTTTTTAACACCAATGCAAAGATTGAACAAAGGACACACTATTTCAATAATAAAATGCCATATTTAATGGGCCACTTCAATGTTTTAGCATATCAAAAATATTTTGAAACATTAGTGATGTCACTAAGGTACCAAAAACTTTTTGAAAAAAATTGAAATTTTTTTTTCGATGTCAATCTTTTCTAAATATGTTAGACTTTCATAAAAAAACAATGTTGATTGTCTCACCAGGTCAAAAGAAAGAATAAATTATGTTTTAGATATCATTGTACCATTGGTTTCTATGAGAACTAAAATTTTGAAATGCATTTTTCTCAGAACCATTTTCATGCACTGATAAGTTCATTTCTCACTTATTTATGAACCGATTTTCTTAATTTTTTCGGCAAAAAACATGGAAGGATGAATGCTATACATTGGTATGAATTGTGGCTAATTAGAAGATATGAGTGACCTCTAAAAGTTGGTTTTAAATAAATTCACAAATTTTGGAACAAAAAGTCTATCAAAAACCACTTTTTGAAATTAAAAAAAAAAGTTTCACATATCACACTTTGATAACATTGGGTAAGACTACAATATAAGCCAAAGTGGTTTAAACTTAATATGGGGCCTTTAACAATTCAAATGAACTTGAGATATAAATAGGACCATGACTGTGATATCAGGAATTTCAGGGCACCTTTGAATAAAACTCATCCACCTTTGCATTACATTATTATATTGAACAATGTCCCATAAATCAACCTTTCTGTTGACCTTGACCCTGCCATGGATTTTGTGACTTTATATATCATACACACACATTATACCCACCATCAGATGATATTGAATACTATCTCTAATATAGGCAAAGGTGTGAGGAGGAGAGCCAGCAACATTACACAACAATACTTGGTCTCAGGGCTGAAAAAGAAGCTTTGGCTAAACAGCTGGAAACTGCTACAGAGACGTTGTCTCAGGTAAGAATTGGTGAACGGGCTTTGCTTTATAAAGGGCTTTATCTTATATAAGGCTTTACCTTAGCTGCAGTATTATGTTTGTTTTATGATTATGATTGTATATTAATAGATAGTGTGAGTGTTTAGCAATTAATTATAGTAACACCCTTATCCTCTATCAGGGCTACTAGAATTCTGCACTACATAATGCAAAATTCGCCAAGAAAAAAATTTAAATTCTGCAATACAAGCCAAAATGTGAAATTCTGCAAAAATTCTGCATTTTATCTTGGCCTTTTTTCATGGCATTTTTTGTCGAAATAGTCTAAAAATCAAAATGAAACTGCCATATTTTTCTAATGTGTACATGTACATGTATTTGAACAAATTGGCCAGGAGCAATATAAAAGGAGTATCTAAGTATCACATATTTCGTGACTCCCATGAGCTCAACCTGCACAATTTTGCATCTTCCTAATATTTTATGTAGACACTATAAGGTATCCAAAAATGCAAAGAAAAAAACTTTCTACTACGAAACGACCTTTGGGGTGTTTTTCCCATTTGGCAACTAGACTATATCCCTTACAAAGCAACCTCAAAGAATGAAATAAAAAAATAAAAGTTTTCTGTTTAAATTGCTACAAAAGTGACCTGATCGACCCAATCTACAAGCACTTAAAACAATGCTAGGTCCTTTCAGTTCAATTTATGTTCTCAAAGCTTGAATTTGGTGAAAATTCTGTAAAAATCAACAGAAACGAAAAATTCTGCATTTTTTCTGCTGCGGCGAGAAAAAATGGAATCTAGTAGCCCTGCTCTATGTTATGATTATGATTTGTTTTTGAAAAATATGATTTAAATAAAGATATAAAATTCTATGATTTATGATAAGCAACTTTTTTCTGTTATTTGATAGACAACTGAAATCGTGAAGTGATTAAGGTCTTTGGCAATGAGGTCACATTTAGGTCATATTTTTGCCATAAATCATAGAATCGAGGTCTTCGTAAAGATTCTAATATGATAAAAATATGTCATTGTACTAGATACTACATTTACTGGTCTTTAATGAAAGTCACTGGTCACATATATCCTATTATAAACCAGTAAATCAATTATTTATCAATTATTATTGACCATGATCCCATTGACACTGATCCCAGTAACCATGATTCAAATGTCCATGATACCATTGGCCATGATCCCATTGACCATGATCCTATTGGCCATGATCCCTGTAACCATGATCCCATTGACACTGATCCCAGTAACCATGATCCAAGTGACCATGATACCAGTGACCTTGATCCCATTGACTATGATCCCATTGGCCATGATCCCAGTAACCATGATCCCATTGACACTGATCCCAGTAACCATGATCCAAGTGACCATGATCTCATTGGCCATGATCACAGTAACCATGACCCAATTGACCATGATCCAAATGTCCATGATTCCATTGGCCATAATACTCACCAGTGACCATGATCTCATTGACCATGATCCTATTGTCCATGATCCCTGTAACCATGATCTCATTGACACTGATCCCAGTAACCATGATCCAAGTGACCATGATACCAGTGACCTTGATCCCATTGACTATGATCCCATTGGCCATGATCCCAGTAACCATGATCCCATTGACACTGATCCCAGTAACCATGATCCAAGTGACTATGATCCCAGTGACCATGATCACATTGGCCATGATACCAGTATCCATTATCCCATTATTCATGATCTAAGTGACCATAATCCAAGTGACCATGATTCCATTGATCATAATCCGAGTGACTTGACCACTGTATAAAAACATGATCAACAGAGTCTTTTTATTAACAGCTTGTTTTCCAATTAATGTTGTCAAATTTAATGTTATTCAATGTTGTTTGTAATTTATGTAGAAAACTAAACGATTGTCATCACTAGAACAGACGCTGACTGACATGGAGAATGATTTCCAAACTTTGCAAAGAAACTATGATTTATTTCAAAATAAGGTACATGTACAGATATTATGGATCCTTATTTAGGGAAACAATTACCATTTCTTATTAACATGATTGATGAATATAATACATACAAAATACATCATGTATAATCATCTTCCTCTATTTCTATTTATCCTTTCTATTCTATTCTTAAAAGAGAGCTTCATCTTCTTTACTTTCAGGTAACCTCTGCTTGGGGTATCATCTCTCATAAATATTGTTGTTATATGACAGGGCAAATTAGGTTTTTTGAAATGAAGTAGATGTTTCACAAAGAACCTCACAATTTTACATAATTTATAATTTTACAACTATATATTAGGCTTTACTATATTAAGTTGTATCCTAAAATTTCCAGATATTCCTAATTATTTCAGGAACATGAAGAACCAGTATGTAAATATAAAAACACTATTGTTCGTTATTTTAGCATGCAGTAGATGTAGAGGAGAAAGATAGTCATATACAACATGTGCAAGAGCGTGTCATCTTACTTGAGCAGAGACTTAAGGATACAACTCTTAGTGGAGATGAGCATCTTACAGCTCTTCAAACGGAGGTATAAATGAGACCCCACATAAAATATCATTTTGGTCAAAATTTGAATAAAATTAGGGGATACAGTTGAAACAGGGATACATCCATGCCAGAATTTTTTGGGTATTAAAGGATTGAGTACATAGTCATTGCTAAAATATTAAAGCCTTCTTTATTACTGTGACACTTTTACTGTATTTGTTTACCATGTAGATATGTGAAATATGTCAAATGAGGTCAAACAACTTGGGCATGCATAAATGGTCCTTTGTTCAGCTAGATTTCGAACTAAATACAACTCCACTATTTAAGAATACGTTTTCCTTCTTTCATGATACATTATAATTTAAATGATTTCAAATGATTTATCGAAAATTGGTGACGTCCTTTATAGTACTAAAGAGTTTATTAAGTTATATTTCAACTGAACATTCAAAATTTATTATTTCTTAAATTGTAGAGAACCAACTTGGAGAAGAAACTTGAGGAATCGCGTCAGCAGCTTACTGAAGTGAAAAGTGTTTGGAGTGAGAAAATATCCCATCTTGAATCACAGGTAAGCTCACCCCTTCCTCATCCACCCCCTTTATATTGTACAAAAGCAATGACAATTGTGTTGATCAAAAATGCCATCGCTGACATACTGTATTTGTTACATATGAACGAAAAATCCCTGACGACAACATGTGTGTACTGATCAATAAGACCTGAGTGAAATTTGTTCATATTAGTATTAATGTACGTTGTTCATCATTGGGGTGTTCACAGGTGGAAGTATCTTTTCGAAAAGCTTTGGACAGCTTTGGAAGCATCCACAAAGTTGCGCTTCGGTTCGCGCGTTTACGTTCCCAATCGTCTGATTTATAATTTACCCAACTTGAAAGACTGTGTTTGGTGGATTCGTTCATATGTGAGGAGGCCTTTAGATATAATATTGCGATTAGTAACTTTTTGCATTTAATTTGTAGATCTCCAATTTGAATGCCAAGATAGTTGAAGACAGTGAAGACTTCAAGGGAAAGCAACAGGAAATGGAAACCATGAAGGCCAATTTTGAAAAACAGGTAGATGTGGTTACTTACCTGTACATGTATGATTGTATGTATATTGCCAGATTTTGTGAACCTCTCTAAGGTAAATAAACATATGAACTCTAGGTAAACAGATGAACTCAAGTAAAATTGTGAACTTTAAGGTAACCATATGAACTTTAAGGTAACTGTATGAACTCATAGGTAAACATGAACCTTTCTTATGTAAAAACATGAACTCTAAGGTAAACATGAACTTCACTTAGGTTAACATACAACTCTAAGGTAAACATTAACTTTAAAGTAAACATAAACCTCTCTAAGGTAAACATTACCCCCTACCTACATACAGTACATTCATGTTTCTCAAGGATAGTATATCATTGGAATGCTAACTACATGATATAGTTATCTATTTATAGATTGAGTCGCTGCACAGTAAGCTCGAGGCAGCTGAAACAAAGGTGCTACGAACCAATGAGATTGTAGATGAGAAAGATCGCCTGCTAGAAAAACAGGTATTTTACCAAAATAAAATTTCTCAAAAATATCTGAAATCATTATTCCTTGTTATGGTACAATATAGAGTAATTAAATGTGAAAAAATATGTGAAATCATTATTTCTTGTTATGGTACAATATAGAGTAATTAAATGTGAAAATGAAATGCTAATAAACTAACGAGCAATAATAGTGAAATTGATAGCTCAAATAAAACTGATTCTAAATTTTTTTAAAAAGTAACATGCATACATTGACTTTGCAGAAATTGACACTGGAGAATGAGACATTGCGTGCTCGAGAGATGTCATCTGAAAGTGAGGCTTTATTACGAGAGGAAGTGCACACACTCAAATCTAAAATAACTTCGCTGGAACATAATTTAGAGAAGACCAAAAGAGAACATGAGGATGAGAAAGTAAGTTAAAAAGAATCTATACAATCTTTGATAATTTCTTATTTCTCCTTGATTTGTGTTACAATAGCTACCATACACTATTTTATGACTTTTTAATGGCTTGATTAAATTCATAACTTCACTCCATGATTAAATAACTTCTCAGTGACTCTGCTGAATGACTTGACTCAACGATTCATCTCATCAAAATCAATACAGTAAAACCAGCCAAAAGTGTTCAAATTATCAGGTGTTCATATTTTAAGGTGTTTTCAACATGTAGAGATAACAAATTTGATACTGAGAAAAAATGTTTACATTGAGAGATGTTCAGAATAGAGAGGTGTTTGTATAGAGAGGTGTTCGTATTATTTATACATGCTTCAATGTGTTTCAGGTAAAGTTACATTCCTCGCAGGATGATTACTTAGAACGTGAAATTGAGACTGAAAGGCAGATTACAACATTAGAGGACCAATTACTAACAGTGAAGGGAGAGTTAAAAGTAGCTACAAAGGAGTGCAGTAGAATCTCAGCTCAGATGCAGGAGTGCAAGCGACAAAATGAACAGCTTGAATCAAAGGTATCATTTGTTAGGCCCCTAGCCAGCTTTAGCCAAGTTGAGGTTCACTTTTCAAAAAATTCCAGGGGGTTCACACTTGACAATTTTTGCCCAAAATCATCTTGAAAAGTGCTTGATTTTGAATCGCCAGAACCCTTCCCCTGGTTACGGGTTTGTAAATGAGTTACTACATTCTGGCTTGACTTTGAAATCAATGCTTTTGATAGGACCATTGCTCTTTAAAGGACCATTAATGCTTTAGAGAATGTGGCTGAGAAAAAAGCATTTCCCATGTTGTAGGGGTTTAGGACTTTATCCTGAAAATCCTTTGTATTATAGATGGAATAAATCTGGAGGCATCTTGGATTTTAAAACAAATATGAGTGATGTAAGCAAATGATTCTATATTCTCATTCTATTTCAAATATTTATTTCAGTTTGCTAGTGTTGAGAAAGAACTGTCCGAGACCCATGACCAATACCAGTCTCTGGATAGGAAATACAAGAACAAGTGTCTAGAATACCAAGAATGCAATACAGGTAAGTAATTATGAAAGCACAAGAACAAGTGTCTAGAATACCAAGAATGCAATACAGGTAAGTAATTATGAAAGCACAAGAACAAGTGTCTAGAATACCAAGAATGCAATACAGGTAAGTAATTATGAAAGCACAAGAACAAGTGTCTAGAATACCAAGAATGCAATACAGGTAAATAATTATGAAAGCACAAGAACAAGTGTCTAGAATACCAAGAATGCAATACAGGTAAGTAATTATGAAAGCACAAGAACAAGTGTCTAGAATACCAAGAATGCAATACAGGTAATTAATTATGAAAGCACAAGAACAAGTGTCTAGAATACCAAGAATGCAATACAGGTAAGTAATTATGAAAGCACAAGAACAAGTGTCTAGAATACCAAGAATGCAATACAGGTAAGTAATTATGAAAGCACAAGAACAAGTGTCTAGAATACCAAGAATGCAATACAGGTAAGTAATTATGAAAGCACAAGAACAAGTGTCTAGAATACCAAGAATGCAATACAGGTAAGTAATTATGAAAGCACAAGAATCAGTGAAAGGGTAAGATCCCAAAATTATTAATAAAAAACACATCTTACATGTACTTCACTGCACATTGCATGTGTGTGTTACATTGTACATGAATTTGAATAACTTTGTCAAACTTAATACAAACTACTTCAAATCTGTCATATATTTTCAGAACGGGACCAGCTAATGTTGAGAAATGCGGAGTTGTCACAAAATTGTGAACATTTGAAAAAATCCAAATCGGAAGAAATAAATTCACATCAAAATGAAATTGAGGCTCTACAGCTGGAAATTCAGGAGAAATCAGCGAAAAACAAAGATTTAGAAGTGAAACTCGGAGACCTCCGTAGTAATATAGTGCAATACCAAACAAAGGTAAGATTAGCTTATTGATAACCAAAAATTTTATAGAATAGCACTTGAGATGACCCCTAGGTGAATATAAATGTACTGCATATCTCTCTGAGAATTTTGGACAAATTCTAGTTTTCAACAACAGTTCGAATTCTACAAGTTGGATATTAATGTACATGAATATACCAGGAACGCAAGGACACTAAATATATGGGTATTAATGGAATTTGCATGGACTAATTGGAAAGGTAAAATTTTTCAATTGACTCACTGTAAATATTACATCAGCCATTTATGTGGACATTAGTGACCTACTTTCAACATAAACAGTGTAGTGTGCTTTGTAGAAGCCTATACTCTTAGTGCATAGTATACACTGGAGTGTTGCTGAATAAGTTCAAGGGACCATCTCAAAACGAGCAAACTGATGAAACTTTTCTGAACCATGGATAATGATAGTGGTCAGATGAAACTTGAAGGGGTAACCCCTGCATTCATTAAACTGAATGACTTAACAAACAATAACAGAAATGTAAAAGATCTGGAAATTTGTAGATCAATAGCGAATGTAGTTGATGCCAAAGAGATTCAAGGTGTACAACGTGTGAGAGGACTATGGCGTTTATATATGAAAACTATAGATGCAAAAGCTACTCTCATTGCGAATGGTATAAGCTTGAGAGGCCAGATGATTCAACTGTATGACACTAATCCATACACATCAAATATACACAATCCGAATGTTGAAGCCACCAAGGTGACAATTAAGGATATACCTCTATCTGTAGCTAATGATGAGATCCTCAAAATGTTAGCTGACCTTGGAGTACAATTATCATCTAAACTTTTCTATGGAAAGATTCGTGATGAAAATAACGCTCTCACAGAGTTTCTCAATGGAGATCGTTATTTCTACAGTGAAAGAGCTGCACTGATGGCTAAACCACCGCCTGCAACATCTAAGTGTGGAAATCACCCTTGTAGAATATGGTACCAAGGTCAAGTTGTCCGTCAAAATCAACCGCAGAAACTGGTCTGCTTTAAATGTCAAAAAGAAGGGCACTTAAAATCTAGGTGTACAAATGAACCTGTCTGTAGAATATGTACGAATGAGGGGCATCAAGCTGGAGATAACACATGCCCATTCTACAAGCTCAATGATGACATGACAATTATCGATAATGCGAGAAATCCTCTCTCCATCAATTCTATGTCCTCAATCATGCATGGTGATGTGTTGTACCCATCGATAGAGATTGCATATCTTACAATCAAAGCTAGGCGTAATGGTCTCCCTGATTTGGCTAATAAAATTAGCAATATCAAATCCAGTATGCAGGCCCGTGAGATGGCTAAAGAAATCAAATGCACTGATGATTGGGATATTAACAACATAGATATTATGAAACAACTGATATCTGAGAAAATACAACAGCACCCTGAGATCAAAGATACATTGCTCGATACTGGTGATACCTATATAGCAATGGCCTCTTTTGAAACAACATGGGGAAGTGGACTTGGCCAAAAACTAACATGTACTACTGACCAGGAACTTTGGCCTGGCAAGAATACAGTTGGCTCTTACTTGATGGAATTACGTTCCACACTGAATGATGAAATAACTGATATCTCCTATGCTCAAACTGATGTCACATTAGCTCCTGCTACCACACCTAAGCATGAAGAAGTCTTCAGTGACGCTGTAGAGCATCCTTCTCCAATTAGAAAAGAAAGTACTCCACAACGGATTAAATCCAAACTCAGGAAGTTCAGACGTAAGAGGAGCCGTGATTCACCTGAACCTACATCACATCCCCCAAAGAAACCAAATCCACTGAAACATTTTGAGACCAAAATTGACAACAGTTATTCCCCTCTCACTTATGACAGTGACCCCTCATAGACATCTGATGATTACAGTGTTAACTTGTAAATATAAATACATGAACACTGTATTTGCACTAGTACACAGTGATAGACAGATATGTATAATATGTAAAAAATGTAAATATTTCTGTTTTTGTTTTTCTTGGTATTCTGTTATTATGAATATTTTTATTAAAAACCATAAATAATGGCAGAAAAACTTACAATTTTATCTCTCAATGTGAGAGGCCTAAATGATAAGGTAAAGCGAAAGAGAACCTTTAACCTTTTCAAGCAGTATAATGCTGATGTAATTCTTCTCCAAGAAACATTCATCACTCAATTAATTGTAAATGAAATTGACCAAGAATGGCCAGGGGAAGCAATTCACAATGTGAGTAACTCCCCCCACAGTAGGGGTGTTTCTATCTTATTCAATGAAACTTTGAATGTAAGTGTTATTGAAACTTTTAAAAGTGATGACGCAAGAATGATATTGGCAAATGTAAAGATAAATAATAATATATTTTCTTTTGTTTCAATGTATGCACCTAACAACCCCAAATCAAGGCTTGAATTCTTCAAGCAAAATTCAAAAAAGATCAAACAACATATTGGGCTTATTGAAAATGTATATGTATGTGGTGACATGAATTGTTATAGAACACAACATGACAAACAAAATCAGGTGCTTGAAAATGATCAAAGTAGAATGTATTTTGAAAATATGATAAAATATTTAGATCTAATTGATGAGATGAAACATCAAGGTTTCACATGTATGTCACGTCAGGGTAATAGCAAATCAAGAATTGACTATATGCTTGTTCAAAAAAATGCTCAATTTAAAATTTTGAAAAAAGAGAAGAAGCATTTTGCTTTCTCAGACCATAAAATACTTTTACTAACTTTGAATATAACTTCGAATGAAAAAGGACCAGGATATTGGAAATTCAATAATTTGCTTTTACAAGATGACAACTATGTTAAAATGATCAAACACATAATATACCATCATGATCAAGAAAATCCTCAACTTCAATCTAATCAATTAAAATGGGAATATCTTAAAATCAAAATTAAAGAAGAAACAATTCGATATTCAATTAAACTGAGACATTCGAAAAATACCATGATAAAAGATATGGAAAATGAACTTGAGGATTTAGAGAAAATGAATGTATTATCAGAAACTGAACAAATTAGACGTGCAACAATATTGACGTCTTTAGAAAATGATTTAATAGAAAAAACATCAGGGGCTATTTTGAGATCCAAACAGGAATGGATAAAAGATGGAGACAAAAATAGCAAATTATTTCTAAATCTTGAAAAAACTAGACAGAGTAGTAATGTAATTAGATCTTTAAAAACAAACTCTGGAACTGTATCCTCAGATGCAGAGATAATGAAAGAGGAGGTTCTCTTCTATAAAGAATTGTATAAATCTAAAGCTTGCACTAACGAAGAGCTTGTTACATACTTTAATAGCATTAATTTTCCAAAAATATTAGATGAAAATGACAAAAACTTTTTGATTGGAAAAGTAACAAATGAAGAATGCTTAACAGTGATAAAAAATATGAAGTTAAATATATCTCCTGGGTCAGATGGACTTACATCTAATTTTTACAAGTTCTTTTGGCAGGATGTTAGTTTGTATGTTATAAATGCTATAAATGAATCCTATGAAACTGGCATAATGCCACCATCTTTTAGAAAAATTATAATTAGTTTACTTTTTAAAAAAGGAGATAGGGAACTTTTGAAAAACTTTAGACCTATCTCACTCTCTAATACAGACTACAAGATACTAGCTTTTATTTTGGCAAAGCGAATGCAAAAAGTAATTGCAAAAATAATTGGTTCTCAGCAGACTGCCTATATAAATAATCGTTTTATTGGAAATAGTTGTCGACTTACGCTTGATATTTATGAATATGCTGAAAATTATGAAAAAGAGGGCGCTATTTTATTCATTGATTTTAAAAAATCTTTTGATAGTATCGAGTGGAATTTCATCTTTGAAACATTCAAAAAATTCAATTTTCCTGAACAGTTTATTAAGTGGATAAAAATACTCTATGTAAAACCAATGGTAACTATTAAACAAAATGGATGGTTTTCTGAAAATATACACATGCAAAGATCCTGTCGGCAAGGCTGTCCAGTATCTGCTTTGGCATTTATTATGTGCACAGAGGTCCTTGCACTTAAAATAAAACAGAATATTAACATAAATGGCATTGAAATAAACAATAATGAATACAAACTCTCTCAATATGCAGATGATGCTAATTTATTTTTAAAAGACAAAGATTCAATATTGCAAGCAATTCAAACGATTCAATCATTCTCTTATGTTTCTGGATTAGAACTAAATATAGACAAAACTGAAGGAATTTGGTTAGGGAGAAGTAAAGTGAATGAAAATAACTTTGCAAATATAAAATTTAGCAATGAGGCGGTAAAAACTCTTGGCATTTTTATTGGACATGATAAAGACAAATGTTATGAGCTAAATTGGCTGAACAGGATAACAAAATTAGAGAAAGTGTTAGATTCTTGGAAAAAGAGGAATTTAACATTAATTGGAAAAATAACAGTGATAAAATCAATCGCCCTTCCAAAATTGATTTATGCGGCATCAATACTTCAATATGATAATGAAATTGTAAAAAGAGTTAATACAATAATTTATAAATTCCTTTGGGATGGAAAAGATAAAATAAGGCGAACTATTATTATAAATTCATTAGAAAAAGGTGGACTTAACATGATAGACTTTGAATCTCAATTGCATGCTCTAAAAGCTGCTTGGATTCCAAGGTTATATGATAAAAAACAAATGATGAATAAAATACCATATCTCTATTTTGATAATATTGTAAATGATTTTGATGTATTATTGAAAATGAATAGTTTTGATTTGCAATACTTTCAGAAAATACCAATTTTTTATCAGCAAGTATTATGTGCTCATGCCAAATGTAAAGACAAAAAAAATCTTGAAAATATGAAAACATGTGATATCCTGCAAGAGACTATATGGGGTAATAGTTTGTTTACTGTAAACAAAAAAACTCTGTATTTTAGAAATTGGATTGAAAGTGGTATTGTCTATGTAAAGGATCTAATAATAGAGGATACATTTAATGATATCAACCACATTTTTCAAAAGTTACAGGAAAAACAAAATTGGATTTCTGAATTTTATCAAGTTAACTCAAGTATGAATATTGCAAGAGGTTTTATTGATGTCAATAAAGCAAAATACACAAACATTCCAAATTACAGATTGAAAGCAAATAATGTTTTATTCCAAATTAGAGATCAAAAATCAAAATTCTTTTATGAAATTTTGAAAAATAAGCAATCTGAAAAATGGTTCATGAAAAAGAAATGGGAACGTGAATTTTGCTTCTTAAATAATGAAACCTTCGATGAAATAAATTGGGAAAACTTTTTTTTTACAAAGATAAAATGTAAAGAAAAGAAAATAGCTAATTTCAACTATAAGATTATAAACAACATCCTTCCTAGTCTAAATGACTTACATTTATATGGAAAAAGTGAAACATTTAATTGCAGTTTGTGCGGAGAAGTATGTACATTAAAACATTTGCTTTTCACATGTACACTCTCCCAAAATGTTTGGAAATATATCTTTAATATATCAGGTTTAAAAATAACATATAGAAAGTTGATAATAGGCTATAATGGAAATGACAACCAGACTGCATTTTTGAACTATTTTATTAGTATTGTAACATTTGTGATCTATAAAGCATACATCCAAGAATTAAATAATGGAATAAAACGGAATTTTGAAGGAATTGTTAAAACTCTAAAATTCGAAATTTATGTACGTAAAAATGTATTTTTTAAAAACAAATGGAATATGATAAGATTGTAATTGATTTATTACTACTGTATCTGTACTTACTTTAAAAAACTGAAATAAACTATATTGAAAAGAAAAAAAAAAAATAAAATAGCACTTGTAGTTTTTTATATGATTTTGTTTCCCTGAATTGAGATCTTTAATTTTACAAATCTCAGTATCAATCTATTTAAATTCAAACAAGGTCTCAGAATTTCTCTTACGTAATTCCGATCCTTACACCTCTTACATGCAAATTTAGAAAATACCATCTTTGGTTTTCATCCTAATTTAGAAAACTCCATCTTTGGTTTTCTTCTTCATTGATAATTCACCGTTTGTGGTCACTTCAGATTGAGCAACAAGAGACGAAGCAGGTGGCAGCACTGTCTGCAATGGAGTCAACAGAGATCCAACGCCACAAAACAGAGATATCATCTCTTGAGGACCAATTGGCAGAAAAAAATAAAGTATTGTTTATTTGCTAAATAAAAATATTTTTTTGAGAATTTGTCATTACATAAATAAAACAAATATGTAATTATTCAACAATATTTTTCAAAACATAACATATAACATTAGTATTAAACAAAAATTTCAAAAAGGCCTTTGTTAAGCTTTAATATCCTGTTTAACCTCTTGAATCCCAGGCTCTAAAATTGGCATGAAACCAGAGAATTTTTCATTTTTTGCCACCTTTTGACATTTTATTAAATACCTATACAACTTTAGATGCTCAGCTTAGTAAAATTGGACGGCAGAGATCATTTCTACACGTTTTAAAACAATTTTTGTGTAAATTGGATGAAAATTGTTCAAATGAGAGCAATTTTTGTGAAAAATTTTGTGACGGATTTCCTCATCCCTCTGGGCACCAATAAATTCATTTGTGACGGATATATCCGTCACTCTGGGTATTCAAGAGGTTAAGAACCCCAATTCTAAGGCTAAAATCCTCATTTTCTCAGAAGAACTCAAGTTGATTGAATTTCAACAAGTAGATTCCTGTTGGATAGAATAGGGGTTCTTAAACAGGACATTGGACTTGCTTTTTGGAACTTTTTGTTGGTACTACATAAAACTTCTCTGTAATGAACTCCTGTCCACAAGGAACAGTTTCGGTCTGTACAGAAAGTGTTCCCTGTTTGCAGGTTTTACTGTATAATTAATTATTCAGCAGTAGATAAAATATGGCATAAAATCTTCAATTAGTTTGTTAAGCATTCATTCATCTTTGTTCATCTTTTTTGTTTATTTATTTTAGTTCAATTTTCAATCTTCTTCCAGGCAATAAAAATGCAGCAACAAAGACTGACAGATCTTAAGAAAACCCTTCAACGGGAGCTCAAAGTTCAATCCTTACCTTCAGATGAATCAAATGGCACATCAAACTCTCCTAGGGATTCCCCTAGCAACAATAGGAAATTCCCTAGCAATGGGAGTCAAAATAAACACACAGTGCCATCTATAGGAAATAATTCTAAAAGTGAACAATCCGTAAACTCAATTATACGGGAAAAGGAAAAAACACCACCAGCAGTCATTGAACAAACTACAATAAAACAAGATGCTTTAATGCGGAATGTTGTCACAAATGCTGATCACAGAGACTCATTTGAAAATGCTCGTGAACACTTAGATGTAAACTTTGAGTACCTCAAACATGTTGTGATGAAGTTTATGCTGAGTAAAGAAACCGAGGTAAGTTTTTATTAATCAAAATTTGGGTGGAGCTTCACCAGGGGCCGTGAATTTGTACGATCCCCAATCCAATCCAGATAAATTTTATCTTTTGGGATAAATCTTGGATTACTAATCCGATAAATATTTGGTGAATTCGTACGATCCGAGGATTATGAGGGGGAATCCCCAAAATTCATCCAATTTGCATTGGAATTAGGATAAAATTTATCCAAAAAGTAATCCACCTCAAGAGGTGGATTGAGATTTATCCTGAGATTAATCTCAGGATCGTACGAATTCACCAATTTTTGGATTAATTCTTTGATCAAACCCACAATGCATCATTACCATGACGAAATTTATCTGGATTGGATCGCGGATCGTCCGAATTCAATGCCCCAGCAGTCTTTTGATATGATTTCCCCAACCTGGGATCTTCACATTGGTCATTTAACCTGACCTGTTTGCTGTATGCATATACAATGTACTCATATTGAATACACATGGCCAAAAGTGATTGCAGACAGTCATATCTTTGACTATAAATGATGATATGACTGTTTAAAATTACTTGTCTACCATATCTGGTCATTTTGTGAATCATTTCGTGTTAATTGAATACTATGATAGATTGGTGATCCCTTTGAAACTTAAACATTTGTAACAACCCTTATCCATGACTTATTTCTTACACTTCCAGGCAGTGCATTTAATTCGTGCAATCAGCATCCTATTAAAGCTGAACCAAAATGAACAGAGACTAATGAAAGACACGCTAGAGTACAAAATGAGTTGGTTCGGATCAAAGCCAAATCTAGGGAAAGGACAAACAGCGAAAGTTATTCCACCGTCTTACTGAGTCAAAAACCACAGTAGCAACAGAGTCATTAATTGTTTAATAACTATCATAAAGTTGAGAAAACCTTCCCATCATCACGCACAGCCGGACAAACTTCTATGATATTAACATCAAATTGGACCATCATTAAAACCTTTGCTTGATATGTAATGTATGTATGATGATAGGATATATGTAAATTAAAAAATTAATGTAACGATTCATATGAGATTCTGATTTCTCTTCGTTTAAAGAGGGCGCTCCAAAAATTGAAAGTGTTTTAAATGATATGCAGTAACCATTTTATAAAAGAGGTCATATTTGTCTATTTGTGAGATTCTTCATGTTTTGGGAATCATGTTTTGATGTTACAGGATTGAAGAGAAAATCTATGAAAGCCATGACAATGTAGAGAAAGTTATACCCTGGACAAGAGCTAAACTTGGACGGCACTCTTAAAATTCAAATATATTCAGATATACCATAATGCAACTCCCTACCCTCTATTGCCTTAATATTGCTGAGATCTCAATGATCTAAAATGGAATTTCATGGGAGTTGAATGTGAAATGAAAGTCAGCTACTAATAGGTAGAGAATGTCATAGAGAGGTTTTGTACAATCTTTGTAGCTCATGGTATCTAGATTCCGTAATACATTCACCAGATTTATGCGTAGTTCAATTAAAATGAGATGTGGTTGCAAATACGTTTTAGCTTTAACCTGATGTCCGAAACCTCTCTAAAATGTTTTTCCGATTATGAACACGTGTTTTTAAAAATACCTCAGATATGAATACTCTTTTGTTCTTGTTCATTCTTGTGCGTGGAAAATTAAATGTAGGTGGAAATATTAATAGTATCCCATGGATTTGGCTTGCTCCATCTATTTGAAAAAAAGAAATTGTAATCTGCAATGTTTATTACCACAGTCGTCGGTAGAAAGTGTGTCTTGGCAAATATTTATTCCGTTAAAAGTTTTTTTGGGGCACAATTACTCATGTATTCTTTGAACTAATGAAATAAGAATCTGTATCGCTGATATTTGATTCCTGTTTATCACATTAGCTATTATCTTTTATGATTTTGTTTCATATCAAACTTCAGTTATCTTGCACAGGTAGCTTCCTCATATTCACCTGTACAGGAACCTGACACAGTGTGGCTGTTGTTCTTTTGTGCTTTCTCAAAGTTCTTGAAATTGAACATCAATATTTCCCTCCTTATGGAATTGATTAAATCTGGTACCTCTCTCTTCTGTAACACTTTTTTCCTATAAGTCACTCCATTTAGTATCAACCCTATATCAGAACAAACAGTTATTAATGACATCAAAGGGCATGTACTTGTTGTAAACAATGAATTCCGTTGTTAATCTTAGTGCATACAGGGTGACTCAAAAATGTTACCTTTTGGAACAATTATATAGGAATCATAATACACCACTCGCTGTTTTTTCAAGGGACACTTTATCTACAAAGAAAATCAAACATAAATCATATTTGAGAAAGTTTTTCCAAATTAAAGGGTAATATTTTTTTGGTCACCTTGTATATTGGAGATAATAAATTGGGTAATGTTTTTTTGGTCACCTTGTATATTGGAGATAATAAATTGGATCAGATATAGATTTGGCATCTGAGAAAGCTTTGTTACAATTGATCAGCTTGGTGTAACTTGATGAGTCTCAAAGTGGGTTAATGGTAATTCTTGTTTGTTCTTCTGCACAGTTTTCTTTTACAATATTTTGAATCTGATATTCAGGGTGCAAATAATTCTAATGTGTCATTTTTCCAACATGTGTAAAAGCTATAAAAGCAATGAACTTTGTCTGTTTAGCAATGCACCTTGTCTGTTTAGCAATGCACTTTGTATTTTTGCATTCCATAGTTTTCTTTGGGCCATAAACAGAAATTTCATAAAGTTGAAAATTCCTAAATCGATTGTAACCATCAATATGGTGAAGCCAAAAACAAAAGACTTCCCATTTTCTTAACTTGAGTTCAGTGCCCCTCTCAATGATACTTATTGGCAACCAATGGACAGATCTGCTGTACCCATTTTCTTGATAGTCTAATATATTGTTAAGTTATACTTACAGATAATTGAACTACAGTTCATATGATGTTATATGTAGTATGTGAATGGCAAACAGAGGTACATAGAGACATATTTGAGTAAATCTGACCTATTAATTTATGTATGCATTAAAACATGATTAAAGTTTACAAAAAGTCATCATCAATAAAATGGATGGATGATACTATTAAACCTTGTTAAATGATTTCAGAAATTGTATGTACTTTTCAAATTGTGAAGTTATGGGACTTTTTAAATATTTATTAATTATGCCTAGTGCCAGAGTGGCCCAGCCAAACATATGAGTAAATCTACATAATTAAATAATTGTTATTTATATATTTTATATTATATAATTTATTCAGAAAAAATATTGTGTACAATGCGCTCAATGTAATTACAGTGTATTTAGTTTGAGTAGAATGATTTGTATGTGTAAACTTGCATACTCTGTCATATACATGTAATTCATAAACAGGACGAGGTCAATACTCCAACTAGGACACTGGACCCATCATTACATGGCCTGTTAAAACCATCCTCTGTACACAGGCCTCCAAAATCCAGAATATCATCTGGGAGAAGGAGGTACGGATTCTGGACACTTGGCCAGGCCTGTAGCCAGGATTTGCCAAGGGGGGTTCACTTTTTGAAAATTTCCATTTTTGGAGAAGGAGGTACAGATTCTGGACACTTGCTTAGGAGGATGGTTAAAATAACATATAACATTTATAGTAAAATGTATAGCATTCATTGTCATAATAATTTTAAAAAAATTTTGTACACAAACGAGGGAATTTAGTTAAGAATAAAGTAAGGATACACAGAAACTCAACATAACTGACATTTTGATTTTGAAACCTTTAGTAAAACCTGCCTTAACTGAACCCCGTGGTCAAAAAAAGTGTTCGGATTGGCAGGTGTTCGCATTTCACAGTTTTCTTAAGAAGTGAATCGATGAGAAGAATCAAAATTGTGAAAACAAAAAGTGTTCACACTAATAAAGGCATGTTCGGATCAGAGAGGTCTTTACAGTTTTTACTGTGCTCATGTTGACACTAGAGCTGTAAATATAAATCCAGTTGACATCCTCATGTCTGATATACCTCTTATCAATCGAATTCCCATGAATATATATGCAGTGCATTGTATTTAATTACATATTTCCAGAGGCTCAATTGTTGATATCAGGGATACCATGATTATGTACACGCTATGTTTACACATATTTTATAATTAAAAATTAAATCAAGTCAAGCCTAAAATTAGTCCACTGACTACAATGTATTTCCTCAGCCAGCGACGCGTTTTGTCCGAGTCTGTCTCAGCGTCCCCATGCTGCTTACGTTTAAACCCCAACATTCACAAATGTGTCAAAATCCCATTTGCTCAATCGAGTCCCATTGAGCCTCAACGTGCCCCAGGGAGTCCCACGCAATGTTAAATCTATGGAGGCCCAACCTTGCCCTGTTGGTTTATGTTGGGTTTAAGAGTGAATGAAGGAAGAGAACTGCGCGATACCGTCTACAAAAATGTGACACTTTGTTAAAGACCCTTCCCGCCAAATGACGGCCACAGAAAATGGTTGGTATGAGCCTCACTAATCTCCCTTCTTCTTGGAGGTGACAGATAAAAACAATACGATATGGAGACTCAGATAAAACAGCAACGATCTTGTTACATTCTGCAAGAATCTGAACACACGGACATTTTGAGTGTAATGTTTTTAAATATATAGAATCTCGATTTATGGCATATCTAAAGTTCACAATCTAAAAACAGGCATAACAATCATGTTAGTTCTGACATTTTTCTCTAGTTGTGTGCGCATTCTTTTATAAGTCACATGAGTTTAATTAAAAAATTAAGACTGGCCTCCATAATGTTTCTCCTAGACATTCACTTTTATTTATATATTTGGTACATCTGGATGGAAGGAGGGCTGGCCATTCCATAAGATGTCACTGCGAGTCTTCCTGTTCCATCCGCGGCGATGCTCCGTGGTTCCCCCATGAGATCTTCGTGTAGCAATACATGCGAGATGAACTGTCCATCGCTAGTGAATTTACACACTCTGTGGTTCCCCCCATCAGCCACTATGATATTACCGTGTGGGTCTACACAGACTCCATGTGGATTCCTCAACTGACCCTTGGTACGTCCATAGCAACCAAACTTTTTCATGAAGTCACCATTCGAGTTGAATATTTTCACGCAATGGTTTTTACAGTCAGAGAGAATGATTCTATCGTTTCGGTCAATCGCAAGGTAATATGATAAATCACGCTGTTGAACGGTGTCCAACGATGTAACCTGTTTTACCAAAGCTCCTTCTGAGTCATGAATGCTTATCTTGTGCTTCACTTTATCAGTTATGATGAATTCGTTCTTAGAGTTTGTACCAAGGGCGACGGGCTCAACAAGGTCTTCTTCGCCAAACTGTGTAATCATTCTCCCTTCCATTGTCAAAATCTTAATCGCGGGATCCTCATATGCCGTGACAGCCATTTTGTTGTCCTTTGTCAAACACACTCGTTTGATACTCTTTAGCCGTTTACACAGTTTCACCAACTCACCAGCCTCGTCAAAAATACTCAGTCCGCATTTATCTGCGACGATTATGTGCCCATTATCTTTAAACACAACATCAGCCGGAAGCATCAGTTTTGCTTCATTTGGACCTTTCGTTCCTATTTTAAAAACTTGTTGCGCCCGTAGTTCGATAGTTAGGGCTTTATCCAGAGGGTCCACTGAAGATGGGACGTCATCAATATGTGGAGTCTTTATAGGACGACTTAGAACCACTGAAACATAAGAATAAAAAATTAATTCTGTTTAATTAATCTAGGTCACCTCCTCCTCTCTGTAGCTTTTCATTTCCCAACATCCCACACAGTATCCCACTTAATAGTATCTCGCTCATAATGTCCAATGATAAACCCACCTTTCTCATTATCATAAACCTACTTCTCTCACAGTGTCCAATTAACCAACCTCTCGCAAAGTATCTAAATAACCCACCTTTTTCAGTGTCCAATTATTCAAGCCTCTTCCAATGTGTCTTATTAACCTACTTCTCGATCGTATAGTGTCCAATTAACCAACCTCTCTCAAAGTGTCTCATTAGCCTAGTTCTCTAATAGTGTCCAATTAACCAACCCCTCTTATAGTGTCTCAATAACCCACCTCTTTCAAAGTGTCTCATTTACATACTTCTCTCATAGTGTCCAATTACTCAGATGCGAGTAGGTAGTTACCAGTTTCGCCACCAGGTGGCTGATTCGGGGGAAATAACATGGCAGGGTATTACAAAATTCCCTTAAACTTGAATTATCATCAGTTTTAGTGGTTCACTTTTCATATTACCCTTATGTATCTGATAGTTATACAAATTAAAATATGTCCAGTAAAGGAAAATGTTATCTGCCCAACACAAGAAAAGATATTTCACTTTTTGTGGTTTTACAACATGGGGTCTATGGGGAATCTCCCCGACTTAGAAGTCACATTTTCAAAGAAAATTAAATTTTCAAAGTTGATAAACTCTTTGCAAAACCACATTTCTAGATGTAATTTTACATGTAGATTCGAAATATGACATCAGTTTGACTGAATTTTGAATTTTTAATGACGTAAATCAAGATTATTTCTACTCGCACCTAGTCTATTAACAAACCCATCTCATTGTGTCTCAATAGTCTAACTCTTTCAAAATGTCTCATTAACCTACTTCTCTCATAGTGTCCAATCAACCAACCCATCTCATATTGTCTCAATAGCCCACCTCTTTCGTAGTACCTCTTTAACTTACCTCTCTCATAATGCCTCATTGGTTTGATTGACTCAATTGGAGCGATACTGCCCTCCTCTCTCAGCTTCTCTCTCAGGGACGACATTCCACCAATCTTTACATTTCTCCGTTTACAGATATATCAGACTGTTCACAAAGGTTGCTGTTTGTAACGCTGCTTCTTATAATCTTCAGTTTATCCAAAGCATCGAACTCTATTTTATCTCATAAAATAGTTATTGATTCCATTAATCAAAATTCTTGATTCTTAAATATCAAATTGTGACTTGAAATCTCTACAAATATCCCATTAATCACGCCTCTCTTGTTTTGGTAATTAACAATAAACAATATTCAAAATGTTTGGATATATCAGACGTGTATGATACTTTATAATTGAGAGATAAATCATTGTTATCCAAGTTCTTATTCATTAAGTTATCCTTTCTCAATCTGTGTAGTTGTAACCCCAGGAGCCCGGACCTAACATACATTTCTTCTAGTTTCTATTTGTTCAACAAACAACTGAGCGAGAATTGAATTGTTGCACTGCTGAGAATAAACAGCCCCGGTTCTTTCTTAGAACTTTCTTACTTTCTTAGCTTTTATTGAAGTTGAAGCCTCTTGCCTTTTGTATACGTTTTATTCATTATGTTGATTTTTAACATGTTTAAGTCAATAGTGTTTTCTCTATTTTATCTATAGCTGTGTTGATTTTACTCATTTATAAGTATCTGTTTCTGTTTACAGAAAAACTTTCTTTGTGAATCCGTTCTTTTCACGTCAAAAATGATAAGTTGAGTTTAGATTATAGCAGTATTAAATTCTGAATTCTACCGTTTCGGTTATTGACACCGAACACATTAGCACCGGGCACGTTACCCATGTCACCACTTGAAAAGTGTCATTTGAAATTCATATAGCACCAGACTGAGAAAATAACTTATTCTATGTAATTGGTTTACCATTTCAACGTATTTCTGTTTGAAGCCAAATAACGCCGTCATTTTTTATTTTATTTATGGCGTGTATATTATTATATGAAGTTCGAATAATTTCATTTATGGATATTTTCTCTCAACGTTTTATTAAAAAAACGTGGTGCTTTTCTTGAAACATATCTTATCAAAAAGTATGATTTAAACTGGAATCCAAGGTCTTCATGCAAGCATTTCTGAACGTTCAGTCCAAATGCATTCTATATTTGAAATAAAAGTCCTAGGCAAATATAGATTGTGCTGAGTACTTTGTCACAATGGATTTGAATAAGTAAATATTGCTTCAATTTAGGGGTGGAAACTTGTAAAGTTTGACATGAATTCCTTGTTCACAAATCAAACAAACTCCCAATTGGTCTTGAAAACCTGTTTACTTTTCTTAAATTGGATTCTAGAAATGGATGTTTAAATGCCATTCAAATGTCTCTTATGCAATGCCGTTAATTGCTTTAATTTGATGATTCACCAATATTCAACGAGGTTGCCAAGCTAAATCTGCATCAATAACCAATGTATTATGCAAGGTGGTATTATGGTATTTTAGACATTGTCAAAATTTACACCAATAAATAGTTGCCAGTAATTTGAATACAAAACTAAACACAAGTAGCCCCAAATTATTACGAATTAGGAGATTGATGAAATTCAGTTTGCACCATTAATAAATGAGAAGTCGAAATTCATCACCATTTCCAAACCATGGTGGTTTAAAAGCCCATAGTTTCCAATATTGTATAGATACATATCGCCTAACATTTGTATATTTTCATTTTATATACTCTCGTCCACTGATGTATGGCCTCTTGAAAATTCTTTTATTTTCACTTTAGCAAATCCATGACTCATTTATTTATGGTCCAAACTGTAATTGAAAGCCTTTAGGTAAGAGAACACTGGAGCACCATCTTTATAATCCAAACATATAAATCACATCAGATATAAACCAAAGAACAAAGGCAATAAACGTAATTTATGAATGATTTTTAATATTTATTTTTCATAGCATATGCTTCTAAGCACCCAATTGCAACAAACTAAAGTCTAAAAATACATCTACACAACACTGCAATATACACAATGCTGCAATGTACACAACACTGCAATGTGCAATACACAGTGCATGAAACAATACTTTTTGAAATAATGCTATATAAAAACCATATCTTTACTGACTGAAGTGTTTTTATGTAAGGTTAGAGTAATTTAATCTACATTTGGCATTTACTTTTTAAAGGCCCAGTGTGAAGTTTGAATTATCATTCAAATATTATACAAATATTTAATTCTATTGAGGTGAATACCTGTGCATCTTTCACAAATGATATTCCACGAAGCCTGAAGGGCTCGTGGAATATCACCTTGTGAAAGTGTCATAGGTATTCACCGAAAATAGAATTAAATATTTGTTTTATTATATCACTGTCATAACATCTTCTATAATTAAATACGTCATATCAGAGACATATAATGTTTTTTATGTCTCTGGTCATATGTAACATTGAAATACATTTATATTTCTTCTAACAATATAACAATAAATATCAACTCCCAAATTGTAGTATTATAATTTAAGGTGTCATGTTAACATTATAATTAAATGTAACATTGCAATGGATCAATGAAAATGGAACCATTGTGTTCATACTCATAGTATTAGCCATGTGGGAAACAGGGTTGGGAATGTTTTTCAAATGTCCATTCTGAGATGACTCCTTGTTAGCACTGCCATTAACACTTGGTAGCTCACATAACTCCAGTATCTCCTTTTCCTAAGATGCTGTGAGTGGATCTATTTCGAAATTATAATTGAGGTCACTGGCTAGGCCTATTATTTTATATCATCTAAATCACTACATGGCTCATTCTCCTGATTTATTCCTAGTTCTTTTGTTATTGTTTCCGACATCTTTCGTGACCTTTAAATATCATTTGATATTCACCGGAAGTCGCTAGTTATTTTTTAGTCACGTGTAGGACATGGACCAATAAGAGAGTGAGGAATATGACAGTGATATAATAATACTTTTTATTACTTATTCAACCATTTAAGACTTTTATGGAAAATATGACTTTTAGAAAAAAAATTTCAAATATTCAGATTTTTCTTTACTCCATTGAATAGATTAGCCAGTTCCACATATACATTTTGATAATAATGGGTAGGATTATAATATAAGCCAAAGTGGTTTAAACTTTATATGGGACCTTTAAGGAGGCGAGTGTATTGCTGATTAATTTTTGTCATAATATACATTACTTATTTTCAAATTGATGAATACTTATATTTGCATTTTTTAAATTTGCAGGAAATAATGCCAAACATCTTATTTATTTACCCCAACCTAATACTATTGTACATATACGTATACTATTGTACATATACTAATACTATTGTACATATACACTATGGCACCATACTGTACTTATTCCACATTGTACCCAATCACTATTGACAATCGGATTCATGACCAGGTGGAATATAGGTCAAGGTCACAAGAAGTTTGTAAATATATGTTATACAATACGAAATCAGCATTTTATCATTTCCCATATCTTATAATCAAATAGCAGGTACATGTATTTGAAAATCAGGTGTAAAATGTAACGATAATGTGACATGTGACCTTGTGTGCATAGTTATAAAGTAAATGTACTATATAGTTCACCGTGGCTGTATATTCAATTATTGACATTTTCAGGAGTACCTTTCATTTATCACATAACCATATACATTGTACATATTCTATACATCTTATATTCAAGCTATATTTCTGCACCTTTATCAAAACTAATTTTGGCCTGTACAGTTCAATATTAGTTTTGATAAAGGTGCGTTTATAGTTATTAAGATATTGAATAGAGGCATTAATATTAAAGGCACCAAAGTGTAAAGCATGAATTTATTCATATTTTGTAATACATGGAAGATTTAAAAATATGTCCTCTATACGAGCTGGCTGCTTTTACTATGTACAATATTATTATATACAATCATTTGATAATTCTATTTACAGTAAGGTCTGTGTACATGGAATGGTTTCCACACTGGCAGAAATGGTTCCACACAATACATGAAATCTTTTATTTAGTATGTAATTCTATTTACATCTTTCTTTTAAACCCATCATTTACACATCTTCCATTTTATACATATGAAAGAGAATTAAGAGGAGAGGGGACTTCTGTGTGTACCTTACCAGATTAAATTCATACTTATTCTACTCGGTACTTATGTGTATACATATACGAAGCATGGCTATTCATTAATATAATGTTCATTGTCATTCAGCATGGGTGTGTATGCATCGTGTGTTATATCTGTCATAAAAATAGTGAAAACGATTTCTATAAATACATATAAAAATTAACATTTCAATGAAAATAATGGGTGTCATTTAACTACATTGGTACTTTACTTAATTATAATAAATAGCCAATGTGCAATCCTTGTCTCTCCCAAAACTGTCTCTGTCCCATAATCCATGTTGAGGCTCTGGGATTTCTGGGTAATAGTCTCCATTACTAAGCCACAGTGAATGATGGTCTAACATTGGGATTTCTGGGTGATGATATCCTTTGTCAGAACTTCGTTGTAATAATATTTCTCAGAAGCACTCAGTTGTAAAATATCTATTTATATATAATATACTACAATGGCACCTTTTCCATATTTTCCCATAATGCATAAGTAAATGGCAGCCCATCCTACTATGGAAGTATCCAGGCATTATGGGTAATTACATCCTTTGCTGAGAAGTCTTCACTTGTAAATTTCCTCTTGCCTCCTTCAAAACTTTCTCAGTCTTTGACACTGAAACACAAAAATTTATAAATACATAATAATACAGAAATAAACTGTCGGAGTAGGGAATAAATATTAGGAATCACACAAAGTGCATGTTTACATTGCTTACAATATGAATGCCATTTTCAGTTCCATTGATATTCTGCAAGAGATTGAGTTTTCATATACACCTCTCTAATCTGAACCCCTCTCAATGTTAACACATTTCTGGTCCCGATTTCTAATCTGCGATAGACTCCCATGTGATGTGAGTCAAGGCATTAACATGACAAAATGTAAGTAAGTTTTTGCGAAGTGTTATAGAAGCCAAATGCCGCCCACCAACCAGCAAACACCGTCACAAAAAAGTTGGACACCGTAACAATATGTCACCGACTCACCACTTTTGGTGATGACATAAAAACTTTGAAATGAGTAAACCTGCCAATTTGAACACTTTGGCCAGTCCTAGCAGTGTTTGAATAAGACAGGCTGGCTGTGTCAATAATCAACTAGGTGTGCGACAAATCAAATAAAAGAACCACATGTTCTCAAATGCATTTCACTTACATTGCTTTACTAAAGTGCTTTCCATTCGTTTCTGTTTTGACTTGGTCCGAGCCAGGTCATCGAGTGCTTGCTGTTTCTGGGAATTCGTCGACATTAGTCGTTGGTCAGCCTCTCGTAGTCGCTCCTTAACAGCGTTGTATTTATGAACAAGTTTCCGTATTTGATCTTGGAGTTTAACCATCTCCTCACTCTGCAAATATACAGATTATGTGGTTTTCATTATTGATAAATATATCAAAGACAGGAGTGTTCTCCCCCGGATTTTCTCAAGTTGGTGCAAAATTCTTGATTTCACAATTTAGACCAAATTTGGTCAAAATACTTATTCATGATTTTTCTCATTTTCAAGTAGGTGCAAATGGATTCTCAGGTGGGTGCAAACTTGTTTTTAAAATCGCAAGTGGGTGAAGCGCCCACTTGCTTTAATGCTGGGGAGATCACTGGACAGGAAGTATGGAAACTGGACTATGGGGTCTACATTATCATTGTTTTGAGATTGTTAGTCTTTTGTTTCTTTGATGGCTATCTTCCCCCTCACTTGGCTGTTTAAGTCACTTGAACTTCAAATCATATCACACTAATCGTCACCCTAAGCTCACTAGACTGCCCACCATCCTCAGTTTAGGATTAACTATTTCACAGTTTAATGTTGACCAAACAGGAGCACTGTATTACAGATTGAATCGACTGATCAAGAATTGTGTGAGGTGTGTATTATTCAGTCCACTTACCAATGCTGTCACCATGCTATTTGTCCACAGCTTGCCATTTTCGTCACGAGGAAGTTGCGTGATGACAAACTGCCGTATAAGCTCTGTTTGTTCAGTTGCATAGATGTCCAGCTCTGATGCCACTTGGGATATGGCCCTTAATGTACTGTACTCAACACTCTGAAAGATGTTCATTTTAAATCATTAGAAAACGAAGCACACAAATATGTTGAAAAGGTAGAGTTAGGTACAGTTAATGGGTGGGGTGTCAATGTTTCTCTTTTGCCTAAACCAATTTAGCACATCCCCAAAATTACTCAAGATAAACATATCACACTGATATTTAAAAATATGCTCAGGTGTAGAGCGATTTCCTGAACAAACTGCATTGCACACATGAATAAGGCATTATAACAATATGTCACCACTTCTGATGGTGACATAAAAACTGAATACGTGAGCATTGGTCCTTTCAAAGGGTCTTTCCAGAATGTTCATTATAGCTTTATTTTGTGAATGTTTGTAAATCATCATCATGGTGATATCTCATATAATGCTATTCCACTTAATATTATAATGTTCTGCCACATATTTTAAAGAAATTCTTGATTTTGACATATCTCTCATAAAACTACATTATAAATCTGGGATTTTCAAAGTACATGTACAAACAAAATTCTATAAAATGGAAAAAGTTAAAAATATATTTCGCAGAAGGACTAAAAATTGATAAAACTGAGCATGTCTTCATACTGTCCCAATAAATACTTTATTTGAAACACATACCCCTTTGCTAATAAAAATAGTTATATTGAAAATGATTTTGTAATAAACTTAAGGGAAATAAAAAGACCAAAGAAAGAATTAATATAGTTCAGTTGAAATTGTGACAGAATTCAAGGCAATAAGGCGATTTCATTTTTACAAATACTTACATTATAAGTTATAACCCATATGGCATATTATCCTATTTAAGCCTGAAGAAAACCTATGGAAAACTTATAATTGTAAGGGGCTATATAATCATGAGACTTTAATCCTTTTGTTGATGGTATAATAGCAGCATTTGGTGTATCAGAGAACAGACTATGGTACACTTGGGTGGGATTTGAATATCATACTTAGTCAAAAAATCTAAAACCTCAAGACAAGCAAATTAACAAATAAAGGCAGATAGATATGAATACAATGATGAATAAATTACTGTTATATATATTAGGATTTATATGAATACAATGATGAATAAATTACTGTTATATATATTAGGATTTATATGAATACAATGATGAATAAATTACTGTTATATATATTAGGATTTATATGAATACAATGATGAATAAATTACTGTTATATATATTAGGATTTATATCACTGATTTGTGAGATGGAAGCAAATGGGGAAGACGACAACCAAGCCTTACAGGACATACATTTTAACAACTTTACTATCGTAACTGGGTTAAGTTCAAACCATGTGGATGAATTTTATATTTTTCTTGAAAGTAAGCAGCGGTTTCAACCAAATACTCAACTTGTTATTTACAACCTTGGACTCACAACAGCAGATGTTAACGAGATCCATAAACGTTGCAATGCTTGTAAAATGCGAGATTTCAACTTCCGGAAATACCCAAGTCATGTGAAAAATCTATTGACATTTGCATTTAAGATTTTAATCATTGACGAGACTCTGCAGGAATTCGGACAAATATTTTGGGCTGATACTTCCACACGCTTCACAACAAAAATCATCGAGCCTATAGTTGACCAAGTGAAACTTTCTGGAGTGCTAGCACTGCACAAGAATGGGCATCTCAGTAACAGTTATACACACCCAGGGATGTTTAAATATTTCAATGTCACCGCTGATGAGTACAAAAACCAGTCTTCAATACAAGCTGGTAAAATACTGATTATTAACAGTGTAAGAATCCAGACAGAGTTCATGAGACCATTAGTTAGGTGTGCCCTTGATTTACAATGTGTCAACCCCACAGGTGCAGTGCTATGGGACTCTATCTGGACTAAAATATATTATCATGTGGTATATGGTGTGAAGACACATATTCATAGACAAGATCAGTCTGCCTTCAATATAGTGCTTGGGAAAATGTTCAACATGACTTTGAAAAAATACTGCGCTCGGAAAGGAACATACAAGGAAGCACCCATTATTACGAGACATTTACCAGAAAAATCGTCATATTGCTCGATCTTTAATTTTGCAATATTTGTAGCACTTATTCTTTTTGTGCTCTTTAAACAAAGGTTTAAAATTATTTTTAAGTCAATTTCTTGTATCTGTACATTATATAGCTAGTTAAAAAAAAGGTTCAAAAGCAGTCAGTAATTCATTCATGAGATCTTGTTCAGTGAAGTATACTGTACACCCCTTTAAGTAACAGCATATATGCATGCATTACATCGTATTCTTGTTAATGTAATATCCTCATATGACATGAACAGCATAAAATACACACAGCTACCATCAAAACATGTGAAGCATAAAACATATACAGCATAACATGTATAGATAGTATAACATAACATGCACAGCATAAATATGAGTACATGTACTACAATGCCCCATTCCCCTGATGCTCTTACACTGCAAATACAGGGCAATGTTGTTCATGCCAGGGCAATGCAATACAAGGGTAATAACATGCAAGGGCAATACCATACAAGGGCAATACCATGCAAGGGCAATACCCTGCTATACAATACAATAGTAACACCCACAAAAAAAGCTATACAGGCAGACTTAACAAGGCATTAACATGCAAAATGTCAACACTTGCATTTGTTACAGGTGCCAACTGCCAAAGGCCAAACACCATTCACAAAACTGTTGGAGACTATAACAATATGTCATCACATGTGATGGGTGCATAAAAATTTTAAAAAAAATAGTATGGAGATATCACTGGGTTTAGTTTAGTTATTCCAAGTGGTGTATAATTTTACAACTCCATTAAAATGGCTGATGCAAAAAAGACTAATTAAAACATTTTATTAACATGCATAATGTGAGTCTAATTGGGCCCAAATTCCTCACCCCATGACTTAGGTTAAACATTGGTCCCCACCCTTCCATAATCACAGGCCCGTAGCCAGAGGGGGAGCGGAAAAAACTCCCCCTCCTGGGAAAAACTGGCTACGGGCAAGAACCACCCACTTGACTAAGGGAAATCTAATTGGTCAACAAGACCTAAAGCAAGCCATCTTTAATATTTACATCGATTGAGTACATTCACAAGCCAAACATGCATAAACAAGGGATTTGGAGATGCTCTATACATACCCGCATTTTCTAAGTGAAAAGTAAAGGAAATAACATGGTGAAGCATTCAATTTCAAACAACATGTACAGTTCCTACATTTTGAATCATCTCAAGTGACACGGACAGAAGGGATGGTGCAAGAAAGAGGGGGAAATATCCCAGAATTCATAGAGGAATCTTTCTCCATGTAGAAATGAACCTTTGAACATGGAGAAAGGGTCAGCTATGATTTCTGGGATAATTCCTCATCTTGTATCTAAATATCAACAGTTGGAGATAAACGAAGGTCATTTTATTAGGTTGAGGGACAAATGACGATTTCATTACAATGAAATAGTGATTTTTGCCAATGTAAGAAAATCAACACTTTCCTTAAAGGTCCTGGCCAAAGTTTGATCTAAATATAATTTGTCATGACTTGAAAAGTTGTATTGGAATTTTTTTGAAAAAAGTTGACTTCTGAAAACAAAATTATAGGTATTTCTAACTAGGGGGTTGAACCATAAGGAAATGAACTATTTTCCCACTCTTGTTGATATTTGGGCACCATCCCTAGGACAGTAGAATGAAAAAGGTCGAATTATATTTTGTGCATTTTATATGAGCTCATAGAATAGCAATGTTTACAATACAAAGAACAGAAACAGCGATGTATCAGCATTCAATCTGAACACTCTCATGAAACTGAGATCAAGATTATTTTTGAGATTATATTTACCTGTGTTGGAGATGAGCCAACAAACACTCGCATTCGTTCATTGATTCTTGCCACCATTCCTCGCAATGCAACATGCGATTCCTCCACTTGACGCTTCAATAATTCATAATCGTCTAATTTGCAAATCGCATAAAGCATCCTCAGATCAGAGTTAACGTGGATGCCAGACATATCTGAAATTTGATAATGCATAAAATAATTTTTTATTACATTGCAACAGCACAATGAACATTAAAATGTATAAACAAGACATAAACATGAAAAATGTCACCACCTGTCATTTGTTACCGACATCGAACTCCAAAAGCCATTTGCCGAACACTGTCTGGCATCCACGTTAAAAAAGTTGGAGACTATAACAATATGTCGTCGCTCGTGGTGGTGACGTAAAAACTAATCCTACTCAGAATAGCTAAACATTTTCACATTTACTGTATATGAATCATGCTATTCAAAGTACATGTACTGTACAAGTCCAATAAATATATATGGTAAAGAACTCATCTTTTCCTTTTATCTTTTTTCAATTATTGATTGCCTCTATGTAAATTAATTTATAGACATATTCTTGATATTTCATTAAAATTTATTGAAACAGAACATGTACATTGAACATTTTGAAACATGTTCATTCACATACCACATTTATTGGGATTTTTCAAAAGTAAATTCAGTTAACTTTGCCAGATTTAACATGTAACAAGAGTATGCATTATTCAATAAGTGATAAGTAGGAATAGAAAAATATTTTGTGCACCGTGATGTAACTTCAGTGAAGACAATAAAGTGTCATGGATGACTAAATCTAGCCAATCATATCAGTTCTATGTTCAGTGTTTTCAGTAGGCTTGTCCAAAATTGCGTCCCTTGGACGTAATGATTTTCAAAAAATGCGTCTCCCTTCAAAAAACTGCGTCCCTTGAAAAAATATTCCCGGGAATTCAAAAGTCACGTTTTTACACTGGATGAAATAAATTGATGAAATTTTGTACCACTGCTTTTGCTATTTATCGGTCTGAATCAGCGTTCTTGCAAGTCTAGTATGTCATTGAATGATACAGATACCATCATAACTTATATTCTCCCATTTAAAACACCTTTTCCTTGCGAATTTCGAAACAATTTGCTATTGATTTTGCTTTAGCATGTTTAGTTTAGGGGCAATCTGCGCGAGGTTCAACTTTTTAGTTCAGTTTCTTGCGCATATGCAGTCTCAAATAATGATCACGTGATCACACTTGACCAATTGAAAATGGTTTGAATCAGGTCTTAAGCTACCGGCCAATCGTAGGACTCATACTGATTACTGCTCGGAAATCGAGTATTGTATAAATTTTTGTCCTATCACATGCCTCGTACTATTTCGATCAGAAATCAACTTCCGGGAAGGAAATTTCGAAAGAAAATTTTATTTCTTTTAGAAATAGAATTTTCTTCAATTATTTATTGGATTCTGACGAAATAAAGAGACTGAAGGTAAGATCTTTATCAAATCATTCATCCAAAGTTGATTGTATGAGTATGGCTTGCACTGCGTCCACAAAACGCAATCACTTTTTATTTCCGGGTCCATGGATTTTTCATTACGTTTTTGCAATACTTGGACGGCGTTATTGAAATAGCAGATGTTACTAGATCCTATGTCTACAAGAAATGTTTGTGCTGACATTACTCCCATTAAACTGGTAATACAATGTGCAATGTGTGGATTTAAAACATATAAGCTCTAAACTATTCTATGTATTAGCAGTTTAAGGGTAGTGGCAGGCCCGTAACCAGGAGAAGGGGGATTCGGGGGGTTTGAGCGAACCAAAAACTGATCCCCTTTGCCAAAAATTCTTTTAATATAATGCATTTTTCACCATTCTGAGCACATTTCAAGTGTATTGGGCCTAATTTGTCAAATGTGAACCCCCTGGAATTTTTTGAAAAGTCAGAACCCCACCCTTGTCAAAAGCTGGCTACGGGCCTGAGTAGCTAGCTATAGTAGTGGGATAGCTTTATAACTATACCTTGTATAGGAAGAGCATCGTGTATGTTATAAATGGAAGTGTTTGCTCTGGAATGTTTCGTGTATGATGACTGTAAATCTTCACGTGTTAGACCCATGTTAGAGCCCGAATCACTGGAAAATCTCCCATCATTAGAACCTCTCGATCCATGTGAAGTATGTGACCCATGTAACCCATTTGGCAATTGTGACCGGTGTGACGCATTCGCCAACTGTGACCCATGTGAAGCATTTGACATTTGTGACCAATGTGAGGCATTTGATAATTGTGACATGTCCGATAATAGTGACTCCTTAGAACTTTGTGGGTCACTGTTCTTGTGTAATTTATAAGGAGGATATGTCCCAGAGTTCCTTGAATGGTTTCTTTGAGACCCATCACTTCTTCGTACACGTTTACTACGATCATGAGCTGCCCCAACAAAGTCGTGAGCCACCCCATAAAGATCATCAGTACGTAATGGTGCATCTTTCACATACAGATCTGTTAGATAGAAAGAAAGATAGAAAATCAATATGATCATTCTCTAAGGGGAGACATCAACTTTTCAGTATCAAAACCCCCAACCCCAAAACTTTATAAGTTAAGTTTCGAAATTGACAATTTATCTTTTGATGCCTCCCCAATTCTAAAATATTAGTACACCCAAAATTAAAAAAATATTCAAACAACCTATAACTTTCACCTGTAAAACAGTTTATGATAAACCATTTCTGTAAATAAAGTTTGAAAAATTGCTCAAATAAAAGTAAGTTTGAGTAAAGTTTGGTTAAATGAAGTAATAAAAAGGGAGTATCAAATTATTAATGTGTAACAGGTGAGCAATGCTTCCAAACTAGAGTATTCACAGACAAGGTTTGTGTCAAATTATTTTAAAGTTACACACAGGCTGTTGTATTTTTCTGACTCATTTACAGCAGATGGCCAACCATAGATAGAAAATAGATTAAGTTTATGTTAGCCACAGCTTCATAATTTCAAGTGTTCTAATTTAACTAAAATGATCGTGTAAGAGTTAGACGTTAAACTATATTATCCGAAGTATTAATGAAAGATAATATTTAATTACAAAATCAAACTAGAACTAAACTATAAAGAATTAAGCCTCAGTCACATTTGCTCTATGGTGACTGTAGCTTCAAAAAATTGATATAGAAAATCTACATCGTACTGCTTATCCCTATATTTTATGCTTCATATTTCTCTCAATTTTGGAAGGCTACGGCCACTGTATAGTTTCAGAAGATCAAATGTGACTGAGGCATTAGTAATCAAAAATTTACATTTTCTCACTTACCATTAGCTAGGTCCATCTGGTCAATAGTTCTTCTATTGCCCTTGTCTTCTAGTAACTGCAACGAGTCAGCAGAACTTGGTCTCTTTGTCCTCCTATCCCCCATGGTCTCCTGTCTTGCCTCATACACAGAACCACCAGCCTGTGTAACCCCCTGTCCCTGGCGTGTAGCATCCATGAGCCCAGAGCTACCTTGGGAATCTAGTGGTTTATAGCTGGGTTTACCCTGGGAATCTAGGTATACTCTATACTGAGGGTTACCCCCACCCCCTAACTGTCCAGCAGTTGACGGCACTATAGATTCATGTTGACGATTGTCTGTTGATTTATAGCTGGGGTTATCTGGGGCTTTATAGCTAGGATTGTCAGCAGCTAATTGTTTATAGTTAAGATTGCCTGGGTCTGTCAACTGAGGCTGCATTATGCCTGTTACAGGGTGCTCCGACACAAGGTTTTCTTGGCTGAATACAGAGTGGGGCTCATTTCTGTCAACAGGATGATGACCTAAAATAAAAGGTTGCATGTTAAGATTGCCTGGTTCTGTCAACTGAGGCTGCATTATGCCTGTTACAGGGTGCTCCGACACAAGGTTTTCTTGGCTGAATACAGAGTGGGGCTCATTTCTGTCAACAGGATGATGACCTAAAATAAAAGGTTGCATGTTAAGATTGCCTGGTTCTGTCAACTGAGGCTGCATTATGCCTGTTACAGGGTGCTCCGACACAAGGTTTTCTTGACTAAATACAGAGTGGGGCTCATTTCTGTCAACAGGATGACCTAAAGTAAAATATGGCATGCACTAGCTACAGGGTGACACATAATTTTCTAGTTTATGATGGAACCTATCCGGTGATCTCCCAAGGATTTTTTCTCAAGTGGGTGCAAAATTCTCATTTTCACAATTCAGACCAAAATTGGTCAAAATATGCCCATTTTTTCATCATTTTTTCTCCTTTTCAAGTGGGTGCAAACCGATTTTCAAAATCTCAGGTCGGTGCTGCGCCCACTTGCTTTAATGCTGGGGAGATCACAGTATCAACATGAAATTTCTTGAGTATATACATATAGAATGTTCGGAATTGGGAAACAGTGGTATGCTTAGAGAGTGTAAACAACAAAGAGAATTTAGGGAAATCTTATTTTTTATTGAGGCATGCTTTTCCACCAAAGCACTCAAACTTTACCAAATAAACCACTCAACTCATCATAACTTCAAATATTATGGATGTGAGTAAAAAATCAACATTTCAAGTGTTCGACATTTTGAATAATAACGCATGTATACCTGGTTGTGAAGCTTGGCCTGCTGGGTAATGAAGATGATGGACATTGACGTTAGTTCCCCGAGGCTCACCTCCAAACCCCTTCGCCAGCTGTTCCTCAAGCCGCTGTCTCAGAGCATTGTTCGTATCAATGCTACGCTCAAGCTGTTTTCGCAGGAGGCGAATTTCTTGAAGGAGTTCATGGAGATCTATACCTAATGTGGAGTCCTTCTTTTTAGCTCTTTCACCTGTAATATATTGTATTTGATGGTGTAATAAAGAAGGGGAATACTGAATGAAAACAAAATTGATGTATAAAAGGGGAACACTGAACAAGTACAAAATAGGACTAGAGAACAGATTCATGTATATGTATATTGGGACTGTATTTATTGAAAACATACCCACTTTAATGCCTGAACATAAATACAATTATTTTGAAAGACATTAACATGCAAAATGTCACCACCTGCCATTTCCATTTGTTACAGATACAGCACACCAACAACCGAACACCATCTGCCAAACACCAACCACTGACATAAAAAAAAGTTGGAGACTATTACAATATGTAGCCACTTCTGGTGACATAAAAATGATCATTGACTCAGAAATAATCTACCTTGTTTATAAAACCAACTCACCTTGATTTTCTTCATTGTACATCTTGTCATAGACACTCAGCTCCAAACGAAGTGTTCGATTCAAGTCTGCATTTTCTGTGGCCTGGTCTTTAGCTCCAGCCAGGTCCTCTTTTAGTTTGATGTTTTCTCTAGAAGTTATCACCAACTGCTTTTTAAGATTCTCCACCATTTGGTCAGAGTTTTCTGAATTTGTGTTCACATCTCTCAAAGCATTCATCTCCTCTTTTAAGTTTTTGTTCTCTGATAATGTCAAAATAAGCTGCTGCTTAACGTTCTCAATATTAGGTTCAGATTTCGAGGATTTTATTGAACTCTGCGAGCTGGACATTTTCGTTGCATTTTTCAACCTCAATTCCAAATCTTGAGAGGTTGTCTGCAGTTTTGTGTATTCAAGCTGCAGTTCAAACAATCTAGAATCTAAATCTGAAACTTGTTTTATTTTCTCATTTACTAAGTCTTCGAGACTTTTTTCTGTTTGCTCTTGACTATTAATCTTCGCCATTAAATCTTTGATTCGATTGTCCTTCTGAGAGATCAGCGTGTCAACTAGTTTCGCTTGACGATTTTTGTTATCAATATCTTTCGCTTGTTCATTAAGTTGTCTATTTTTACCATCAATTTCAGATTCCAAGTCTTTAATTCTAGAATTTTTATCAATCAGCACTGAGTCAACTTCTTTATATTTTGTGTCCAGTTCTATGAACTGATTTTCAATGTCCACTAATGAGCGACTTAAGTCTTTCACTTTTTCATTTCTTTCATTCACAATTTTTTCTAATTCCCCAACATCGTGAACTTTCTCTTCAACAGTGGCCTCCAGGGTCATTATTCTGTTCATAGCCTCTGTTTTCTGTTTTTCTACATCCTTTAACGATCTTTCGTCCGCTTGTAGTTTTAATTCAAGGGGTCTTAATTTTGCCGCCATATTATCACAGTCTTTCTTATATTTATCACAATAAGATTCAATATCATGGATTTCTTTGACTAGTTCGTTGTTGTGTGCTTGGACACGTCGTAATTCGTTGATCACTGTTTCCCGCTCGGCTAAGATATCTTCCTGTCCAGAACCTGCATGGACAATCTTTGAACTTGTGCTGCCATCTGGCAGATAAATATTCGTTGTAGAATCTGTAAAATGAGAGTGAGAAATTGAATGTAGTGTTCAGCATTTGTCGAAGGATGGGAAGAGGAAATTAAAATCTTTACTTACCTACTCATTCTGATATACATTAATATAATTTATCATATTTATTGCACAAAACAAATATCACATTATTCCTGTCAAAATAAATGAAAAAAGTTTGCAGACAAGGATTTTAGCATTTTAAATTTTTTTCATCCACATCTGTATGCACTCATAAGTTATCCCTGAAAATTTGAAGGTGATGTCTGTAGCGGTTTTGGAGAAAACTCCCGGACGTACGGATGTATGGACAGACGGACGGACAGACGGACGGACAGACAGACGGATGGACGGACAGACAGACGGACGCGCCTAGGCCGACAATATGGCCCCACACTATGTGGTGGGGACATAATAAAATATATTGAAATCATTTTTCAATATTCATACTGTAAGATGTCAAGTGAACTTCAGCATTGTAACATTCATCCAAATAAAACAATGAAGTTCAAAGGAGAAAAAATTAGCCTGTTAATAAAGAATAAAGAAAAAAAGAACTTATACTTCACCTGGTTGTCGTTGTAGCTCTTCCAACTTCTGCTCCAGTTGTCTCCGCAGCCTGTCGTTGTTATCTATGGATTCTTCAAGCTTCTTGCGCAACTCACGTATCTCTGCGAGATATTGCTGAAGTAAATCAGAGTCTTCCATACCACTTGCTTCCCCTGCCCCTGCAGCCTGGCTCTGCGCTACCCCAGGGGAAAATGTACCCCCAACTGGACCTGCCCCAGTGGTAAATGTCTGACTAGCCCTTGAGCCTACAGCGGGGGAGTGCTGCACTCCAACTCCAATGCTCATATGTTTCATGGATTCATACAGATGGAGCTCACCACGTAATGTCTCATTCAGTTCTTCAACTGCATTAAGTCGACTTTTGAGGTTATCCAACTCAATAGCTGCCATTGGATCACCTGTAACTTGACCTCTTGTTGACCTTGGATCCACTGTTGACCTTGCACCTGTGTGTCGCGTTGACTCTGTGTGGTCTGTGAAGAGTGATTGGGCATCCAGTGGACTGGCCTGGAGATATGGGAATAAGTCTCTATCAGCGGCTGTCTGTAATCCTGAACCAGTTACCCCAGTTCCTATACTACTTTCAGATATATCCCCATCCCCTTGTCGTAATCCTACATCTCTTGGTTGTAAATAGGCAAAAAGATCTGCATCGGCTTGACTAGAATGTTTCGATCTCTCGCTGGTTGTTGAGATATGGCTGGCTTGTGGGGCCGACCTGTGACGTGAGCTGTGTAGACTGGAGTGAGCGCTATGATCTGATAGGACATCGCCTTCACCTTCGACCAATCGAAATAGCTGCTCATGGGGTGTGGCACCACTAGCTGTACGATGACGTAGTCTTTCTATGGATTCAGCAGTCTCGTTACTCCTTTGAGACATTCTTTGACCCCTAGGGCCCCCTGGGGGTAGGGATTGTACACCGGGTGTAGGGGCATGTGGGGAGCCATTAGTGGAGAGCTGATCGAGACTCAGTTCTGAACTGTATTGACGGAGCTTGTCCTGAAGTTTCTTGACCTTCTTACTGAGTTTACTTATCACTTCATTCTTGTCTCCAACTTCATTACTCAGCCTGCAGTTGAAAATAACATAAACTAACATACAAAATCTTATGAATATCACATAAAAATAGTCTAGCTCTTCGCTTAATTTGGCTAAAATCATTGCTCTGGGGTTTGCTAGGGTATATGTGATGTATGGTTGATTTGGAAACATTCAGAGATTCAAAAATACCTGGCACATCGTTGATTTAAAACCAAATTTAATCAACATTAATATTGCCTGAGTAAAAACTAGATGTTTTTGGCCTGAATAATTGGAATACATCGTTAAAAAATCGTTAATTTAATTTTTCTTTTATTACCAGGGGTGTTACTTACTGATGTAACTGCTGCCTTGCTTTATTTGCAGAGAGCTGGTTATCCTGTAATAGTTCCTTCAGCTTTGTATTCAGCTCTTCTCTCTCCTGAACCTCCTCCTTCATATTTTCACACTCATTTTGAAGCTGTTGCTTTTCAATAGCATCCTCCCTCAGCTGGTTTCTAAGCTGTTCCATTTCTTGGAGTTGCCCTTTCAAATTTTCTATTTGTTTGCGTTGATTAGATATATCAGCTTTAGAACTGAAATAATTAAACCACTGACAAAATTCTCTCATATAAAAATTTCAATTTCAAGGTTTATTCTACTTTGCTTGAGAAATGTGTCTCTTTAATTCCTAACCTCTTGAATCCCAGGCTCTAAAATCATTTGAAACCAGAGAATTTTTCATTTTTGCCACCTCTTGACATTTTACTAGCCTCTACAACTTTAGATGCTCAACTTCGTAAAATTAGATGTTAGAGATCATTTCATTTCGACATGTTTTAAAGCAATTATTGGATGGAAATTGTTCAAATAAGAGCAATTTTAGTGAACAATTTTGTGACTTGATTTTTTCGTCACTCTAGTCAAGAGGTTAAGCATTCCCAGAAATAATCATCAAGTAACCATCTATATTTATATTAGTTACCTTTTTTGAAGATCTGCATACTGAGCAGATAGTTCCTGGTGCTGTTCCTTCAACTGTTTTATCTCCCCTTCAAGCTGTTCCTTCAGCTTTGGGGACATCTGATCCTGATCTCCATTTACAGTGGGAGTCACATCGGATGTTGGAACAGCAGATTGGTCAAGATCATCCAATATTCGTTGAAGTTCTCGGTTTTTCTCCACCAATTCATCTAACCTATATGAGAATAAGAATTAGATATGAAGAAAAAGAGAAATGATTGAAGTAATGTATTGACCTAGATCTAAGGGTGCGTTCTTCGTAAACAAAGCAGAAGGCAACAACATAAAACTATATTACTAACAAGGCGTATAGCCTCCCATTTCCCGTGCAAACATTGGGTAGACCTTGTCGTTACCGGATGCCAGGAACACATAGATACTCGAATGATGTTGATTGGACATCAAGTTGCAGAGAAATCGTAATTTTACTGAGTGGCTTCACAAAAAAATAAGCAGCAATTTAGGCCACTTTAAAGCTAGATGCAGATGGCTAATTAAATCCTTTTAGCAAATACAGTCGCCACCATTTTATTAGTCATGATAACAAATGGGGACATTCAAAATGGAATAGAAACATAAATGCCAAAACCTATTCCATATTATGATGCTGAAATAAGATGATACCAGAATAGATGCCCCTTCACTTACCTGTTTTGCTGCTGCTCATACTCTTTCAATCCTTCCTGGTTCCGTTTCATCAGCTGCTGTACCTCCCCTTCCAGATGTGCCTTCATCTCATTGTATTTCTTTTCAAGGTCAGCATTATCAGAGGGAGTAATTCCAGATGTTTGAATGGCAGAACCATCAATTGGATCTGTGAAAATAATATATGACTTACATATTATTGCAAATAAATAAATAAGTACTATTTAAATAAAGCTAAATAAGTAAAAAATATATTTATTCTAATATTACAACACATAGATAAGCTTACACATCTAAAACATGGCACCTTTCCAGAAAAAAATTTACAACAAGCTACCAATCCGTAATAAATTCTAAAAATCACCCACCATATAACGTAGATGCCAGTGTGCTTGCGAGGTCACATGACTCGTTCAGCCTCTTTTTGAAATCGGATACTCTGCTTGGTGTTATATCCAGGACATCAACTTCCCCAGTGGAATCTTGATGAAGTAGCTCATTAAGGAAACCCTGTAACTCGTGGAGCTGTTCCTCCAATTGCTGACAACTTTGCTGACTTTCCCGTAACTGTTGGTGCAGCCCGCTAATCTCATCTTTCTGAGTTTGCAGCTTATTTTCTAATGAACCATCGGGAGGGATAAAATCTTGATTTTTAGCTGCCTCTAATTGTTCAAGTAAACTCCGCATTTTCTCTTGCTGGGAATATTCATCGTCATTTTTATCTCTGTGTCCAGGGTCGGTGATACATGAGGTTTGGGATTGTTGAGGGTAGGCTCTGTCCATGTAAGGACCCGAGTAAGCATCTTTATGTTCAAGGTCAGCTCGGTTTGATGACGTGGATTGTTGAGGGTGGGTTCTGTCTGTGTAAGCCCCAGGGCCACCATACGCCTCAGACCCAGGCTCTGGATAGCGAGGACTCCCAGGGAAAGGTTTATCCACATTAGGTGCTTCTCGATTAACTTCCAGCGTAGAATCATCCAGTGTTATATCTTCTTGTCCATCTGGTGATAGAAAGCGCTGTCTTCTGGGGGATGGGATTGAATATTCTAATTGCTCTTGTAAGGATCTATTCAGCTGCTCTGATTCTTTTAATTTATTATTCAAGTGTTCCATTTCTTCTTGAAGCCTCAGAAATGCTTCTTTGTTGACATCTGCCTGGAGAATATCCTCCTCTGAACCTCTCGAGTGCACTCTCTGCCTATTTATAAATGGAGCATCCTCTTCAGAACTTGATTTCCTTGTCTGGGTGTCCATATGCACTGTATCTCTAGGCCTGGTTCTATAAAGAGCATCCTCTTGTGAACTTTGTTTGCTTGTCTGAGTGTCCTTATTTTCTGTATCTCTAGGGCTTGCTCCATACAGAGCATCCTTCTGCGAATCAATATTCCTTGTTTGAGTGTCTACATTTACTGTATCTCTAGGACTGGTTCTAAACAGAGCATCCTCCTGCGAACTTAATTTCCTTGTCTGAGTGTCAGCATTTGCAATATCTCTCATAGGCCTAGGAAGCCTACTTGCTTTAGCAGCAATGGCCCTATCAGATTTTCCCTCCAATGTCTTGTCCTCAGGAGCTGCACTTTCAGCCTCTTGTACTTCAGGTCCGGAAAATGACCCTTTCCTGGTATTAATTGGACTAGCTAAGGCACTGTCACTTTCAGCAACCCGGTTTCGTAGTTGTAAATTCCTAATCATATTCTTATATCGGTCGATTTGATCTTGCATAATTTTAACCTGATCTTTGAGCTCTTCAGAATTGTCAGTTTCCCCAAATTCCTCAAATACAGGCATTGGGAGAATCCTGAAGCTCGCTGTAGGAGACATAGGTCCTGTGATCTGGGATTGTCTATCCTGCTCAAAAGCTAGGTCTCCAGTTGATGCGGATACAGTTCTGAACTTGGACAGACTCTGAGGTGTCATGCTGGAGAGGTTCGTCTCACTGTTACTACGTCTTGGACTCTGCGACAACAGTCCAGCATCCTGTAGTAAGCTCTTTAAGTAACGTATCTTCTCCGCTTGTGACCTCACAGTTGCCTCAGTCGCTCGCAGCTTCCTCTGTAACATCTTTGCGTCATTTTTAGCATCCTTGAGCTCACCACGCAAACGTTCAATTTCCTGGCGTAGAGACACATTGGGGCCCTGCCATTGAGACCCTGGTGCAGTTTTAGGTAGAACTGGAATCTGGGATGGAGCTGAAGAAGCCTCGCTATTTGAAACACTGCTTGCGTCATCAGAATCAACATTTGCCTGGCTGCGTGACTTTGGCAATGGAATCTGACTCTTGGGAGGTTTAGAAGTACTGTTTTTACGTAATTGGACTTTCAACTTCTCCCTTGCAGCTGATAATTCTTTTTTCAATCGTTCTATTTCCTCTGCCATTTCAACAATCAACTCAGGATTGAACTCGCTCTGTGTATTCATCTCAATTTGACGCTTCAATAAGTCATTCAGATTGTTAACATGGTCCAGTTGGGTCTCACCTTGTTTTATCTGATGCTGGAGTTCTCTCATTTGTTCTTGAAGATCTTTAATATTTTCTTGGAGTTCTTGGATATTTTGATTGGCGGGTAAAGATTTGGCTTGAATTTGTTCAATTGGTTGATCTGTAGTAATACCCAGTAAATTACGAAGTATTCCATTCTCTTCATTTATTCTATCCTTTTGTCTATTTGATCCTTTAGAATCACCCACTGAGACAGTGTCACTGGGTTTTTCAGTACCATATGCACCATCACGTATGGGAGGAGCATCATCACCTACACCAGGAATCTTACTGAGAGCACTGTCCTTAATTCTGGCATTATCACCAGCCTCACCTTGAAGTGTCTTCAAAAGCTCCTGAAGTTTGATGTTATCACTTTTTAATGTACCAAGATCATCTTTCAATTTTTTAATTTCAGCATTTGCTGATTGCAGTTTGTCACATAGTTCACAGTTCACTTCATCTAGGCTTTCATTCTGTTGCCGTAGTTGAGTTATCACATTTTCTAGTGTATTTACTTTATCTTTAAGGGCTGTGATTTCACTGTCTGTGTCACCTAGCAAGGTTTCAATGGCACTTTGTATCACTTCATCAGTTGCTGGACCTTGGAGGTCAATATTCAATTTGGTCTTGAACAACCGATTTTCCTTCTCAAGATCTTTTACATCAGACTGTGCTTTCAGTAGTTTATGTTTCAATATGACATTGTTATTGGATGCTACTTCACTAAGAGAATCAGAATCAACTGGGCTGTTAGGGTCAATACCCAGTGTATGTCTCAGTAATGTATTCTCTTGCTGTACAGCATCTATAGCTTGTTGTGTGTGAGCTGCATCACTCTCAGTATATTGGTCTCTCATGTCTTGTGAAGGTTTAACATGTGTTAGCTTGTCATTATGTGGTGACATTGGTCTCTCTTGTGTTGTAGGCTTTCCTTGAGATACCAATGCTTTATGTTCTTCTTCCAATTGTTTCAAGTTGTCGTTTGCTTTTATAAGTTTATGTTTTAGGATAACTGTATTGTTCGTCTTCAATGCCTCAAGATCTTCAGGGGTAATTGTTGCATTTTGTTCAACACCAAGAACTGATCTCAACATCATATTCTCTTTATCCTTCTCCCTGTGATCTTGTCCAACTGTTGCTCCATCTCTATTCTTATCACTTTCAATGGCTTTAAGGTTTTCTTCATTTACCGCTTGATTATGAGGGAGCTTAAGAGCCGACTTCATCATTGAGTTCTCAACATTAGCCTCATTCAGTTCATCTTGTAATCCTGTAAACTTTTCCTTGGGAATTGTAACTACATCTGTTAGGTCTTCCTCAGAGAGAGGTTTATCCTTGTTGATTCCTAGTGCTTTCCTAAAAAGAGCATTCTCTCTCTGAAGTCGATGGATATTCTCATTATTGTCATCAGTATCATCCTGAAATGGCCCATCTTTCCTGGTCTGAGTAAGCCTATCAGTTCTTGCTTTTGTGCTCTTTGACTTCCCACTAGGGTCTTCCCCAGACTTGAGTTTATTTATAGCACAATGGTCCACTATATCTTCTGGATTCATCCCAACCAACTCCTTAAGGGCAGCATTTTCTTCAATTAGCCTCTGGAACTCATCATTCAATGCATTAGGATCATTTGTGAGACTTTCATCAAAAGGCCTTATGTGGTCTTTTTTAAGTTGTTCTATTTTCTGCAGAAGGTTTTCATTAGTTTTCTGAGCTTCTGCTAATTCAGCATTTGCTTGAATCAACTTTCCTTTCAACTCATTATCCTTCTGAGAAAATTCCTCTACAGTATGGGCATCTATGGGCGATGTTGGGTCAAGACCTATAATTTCTCTTAATGCTTGGTTTTCTGTTTGAATCTGTGCAACATTTGGAGGTCCATCCACATGTTTAGATCCAAGTTGATCATGGCTAACTCCAGCTTTCTGTAAGGCCTCCTTAAGGGAAACATTCTCAATTAGTGCTTGCTGGAGATCAGAGTTGACCTTAAGGAGTTCCCCGTGGAGGGTATCTCCATTGCTTCTAGCTATCATTTCCAATGTGTCCTCGTCAATAGGGGTATCAGAATCCAAGCTTAAGATACGTTTAAGATTTCTATTTTCTTTTGATGCAGACTGTAGGGCTCTGTTTGTTGCGTCTAATTTGGATTTGAGATCAGACACACCTGGTTCATCTAATATTGTGATCAGTGGCTCATGTTCACCAGGACCTGATGGACGATATGTGGCATTAGGTGGTATCCCTGTGTCCTGTAGATCAATAAGCACTTCACTCCCTGCATCACTCCCAAGGCGATTTCTAGCATCTTTCAGTTTATGTGCTCCCAAAAGTTCACTGTAAGATTCAGGATCATCTGTATCTGACGCAAGGCCTCTACTCCGCAGTAGCTTATTCTCCTCATGTGCCTTTCTCAGTTGTTCACGTAGGACATTTAGATCAGGAGGCTTGCTGGGAGACTCACCTCCTGTTGGAACAATTGCATCATATGTGTCAATGTTATCACGATTAGACTCACTGTCATACTTCTTGGACTCGGGATCACTCATCTTTCTAGGATCATTAACTGAGCCCCTTAATTTCATTATCTCATTATTCGCCTTATCAAGCTCAGCTTTAGTTTGGTTGAGCTGTCTTTTCAAACCTATCAAGCTGCCATCAACAAGTTTTTCAGTAGCACCAGGTATTGTGAGAATTGAATCTAATTGTTTTTGGAGATCAGTATTTCTCAATTCACTCTCTTGCAATTTCGAATTCAAATCATTTATCTGATCTGCTTGGGGATTTCTAAAGTTATTTAATTGATCTGTTTGGGGATTTCTAACGTCATTTATTTGATCTGTTTGGGGATTTCTAAAGTCATTAATAAGGTCTGCTTGGGGATTTCTAAAGTCATTTATTTGATCTGCTTGGGGATTTCTAACAGCGTCCAGCTGTGATCTAAGATTACCATTTTGAGTCTTATATGAGTTCAAATCTTTTCTCAATCTATTGGCAAGATTTTTTAATTGTTCGGCATCCATGTCATTTATGTCTATTTCACTAGCTTCCTTATTTGTATCATCATTTAGATGGTGGCCATCTTGTGTGGGGGTCACATGTTTCATATCATGGTGTCCTTTGGCATCAATCTGTCTCTGTACATCTCCTAGCTGTTGTTTAGTATTCATAAGATCACTTAACAGCTGTTTATTTTCTGTTTGCAGATCAAAAAGCTGCTGCTTATCAGTCTGTGACTGTTTATTTTGATCATGCAGCTGTTTGAAGTCTGAATTCAGCTGTTGGTTCTCTGATATTAGATGTTGATTAATTTCCTGTAATTCCTCCAGCTGTAGGATGGTTTCTTGTACCTGTTTATTTTCTATGTCTGGATCTTGCAGCTGTAGATATGTTTCACGCAGCTGTTTGTTGTCTGCTTGCAGTTGTTGGTTTTCTGATTTTAGATCATGCAGCTGTTGACTGCCTACTGGACCAAGAGACTGGAGGCTAGTGGGATCTATGGGAAAAACAGAAATAATCACCATCACCATGAGGCAGAACTAACTTTTTTAGGAATAAAAAAAATACAAGAAAAAATAAAGCTTACTGCAAGAAAAAGTTAAGCTAGCAATAAGCTTTGTAATATAAGTGCTATTGTGGTTGATTATAAAAGTTACTCGTCTGCAATATTACAGACCAAAGATATTTGTCCCACATTTGATTCCTTGAATTTGATAATCAGGTGATTTGCAGGAAAAAATGAAGGTACATGTATTTAGAAAATATTCCAAAACCAGCACATCTAATTCATTCAACTCAATTCAAAAGTGTAAATTCCAAAAAATGGTGAATGGTGTAAAATTTGTATAAAGTATACCAGTTGTATAAAATGTGAAATGTTGCATGCTAATAATGACTGAAAGAAACATCCAAAAATATTGTGAAGAGTGAGTGATTTTTCTGTAACCATTCCTCCTGGCTATGCAGAATCTGAACCATTCCTTTTCTTTATAAGCTAAACATCTCAGCACAACATTATTCTTTCTTACACATGCTTTGATGTATGTAGAATAAAACACATGTACATACCACCACTATTAGTTGCTGACAGGGCCTCTTGTATTATACCAGACTCATCTTTTATACCCTCAGGGTCCTGGAACAGTAAATGAGGTCTATTATCAATACTAAATAAATATAAATATTTATAGCGTTTTCATAGTTATGAAAATTCAAAAGTGTATGATACAACCAATCCAGATTAATAAACGTCTGAAACATTGAATAATGTCAGATCAAGGGAGAAAATTAAAACTGCTAGGAGATATGGACCTGCAACCAAAGTCAAAACCATTTAATTCAGAAAATTCAAATGAAAATAATTGCAGTTTAGTTCTCAATGAAAAATAAAAAAGGAGATTCTAGAAAACTGAGAATAATTTTTGGAAATTTTTTCTTATCAATCTTGAGGAGGTGAGGGAAACGATGGCCAATTTGGCTGAAATTTTTTGTGGAGTCCCTTGTAATCAGAGATCATATGATACCAAGAGCAGCTTGATCAGAAAATATTTTCTAAAAATGGAACACCGTTCCCTCTTCAACTCTATCCAATTATTTAACCTATTCACTACCCAGAGGTTCAAGATTTCTCGTCACCTTGGAAACGACTTTGAAACCCAGAGTGACAAGAAAATCTGTCCCAACATTTTTCACTGAAATTGCTCTAATTTTGACAATTTTCATCCAATTTACACCAAAAATGTTTTAAAATGTGTAGAAATGATCTCTGTCGACTAATTTCACTAAATTGAGCATCACTTGTTGTATATGCATGTAGTAAAATGTCAAAGGCTGGCAAAAATGAATAATTCCCTGGTTTCAACCCAATTTTAGAACCTGGGAATCAAGAGGTTAACTCTCTTTTTAACTTGAACCATCAAATCCAGAGATACCAAAGAAATATCCTTAAGGGACATTTTTCCTTGTTTTAGCTTATTGTAAAACCTTCTATTACGTCAAACTATGGAATACATGACATGCTAAGTTTTATCCTTCATGGACATTTTTTCTTGCTAAATCTAATGTCAAACCTTATCTATTACTTTCCACGTCAAACCATTTTTCAATCCAAATCTATCAACCTACTCAAAAGCTAAGGTCTAAATAAGATATGAGACTCAATGAATTTTTTACCTGCTTAGCTTTATCCTGCATGGCTGCCACCATTCCCTGTATGGCTTTATAACACTTCAGCACCTCCTCTTTCTTCTCTTTGTTTTCTCTCTCAAGTTCTTTAACACGCTCTTTCCTCTTCTGTAATGTAACAATGAAAAAAATCTCTGTAGCTAATTACCCCTCATAAATTTTTTTAGATAGATAAGATGAATTACTTATTCTCAGTGTGTTACTGAGCATTATAATAATATATAGGCCAAATATCACATGTTTCAGGAGTCAGAGGCATAGCCAGCAAATATCAAGGAGGGGGTGCGATCTTTTGGGTATGCATCACTGCGAGCGAAGCAAGGCCAAAAAAGGTGTGTAGTGTTCACCCATCGCACCCCCTGGGTACGCCCATGAGAGTTTAATAAGAATGTAAGAGATCATTTGTTCACAACACCATTTTCTTTCCATAAAGAATGTGTTATTGAGCACAAAATATCTTATTCTATAACTTAAAGTATAACTAAAGTATAACTACCTTATCCTTTTCTTTTCTTTCATCTAGCTTTTTCTGTAAATAGAATACATAGCATAAATCTTATGAGACTAATAAGTACATCAGTATAAGATGGCTCAGGAGTCAATATACTGGGAATCTGACATTTCTCTTTCTAGTCTGCATGGAATATTATATTGTGTATTAAGAATTGAAAAAAATCATTATCTTTAAAAATATGAGTAAAGAGACTGGACACACCAAATCAGTTATTTAAGTTGACATATAAAAAATATTTACTTCTTGCTCAACAGCGTTTATTTTAAACTTTTTCGAGTTTCTGAGAAACTTACCATTGTATCATCAGTCTGAGCTGGAGCGCTTCTATATTGCACATCTGATTTTTTCCATTTCTGAAAACGATGCCAAACAATTTGAATGTAAGATATGTTCTACATATACTTAAGACAATGCTGACAAATAACTTTAACAGAACGCAAGGCAATAGGAAATAATGGAAAAATAATTGAACTTTTAAACAACAAGGGACACCCATTATTACTATTGCACCTAAAAATAATTTTCTTGAAATATTTCATAAAATTAAAAAATGACATCCTAAGAATTTACCCAGCCTACCCCAAAACTAAGGAATTATCTCTGACCATTTCAAATCTGGAAAAATGCAGACAAGAGTAGTGAGATACAGAGACCCAACACCAAGCTAACGAGAATATTGAGCTTAGTGTCTTTTTAAGGTACAATAAAAATATCTCACCTTTAACTCAACATCTTTTTCCCCAAGAGTAAGCTGCAGAAGTCCTAGCTGGGACTCTAGTTCCTGTATGTGAGCAGAGGACTCTTGTAACTGGGTCTGCAGATCCTGACATGCTGTTTCATACTGCTGCACCTAATAATGATTAACAGAGTGATACCAAAAATGAGACCATTTTGAAATTTCAATCTCGAAAGGAAACAACAAAACCAAACAAGGCATTACGGTGCAAAAAGTCACCACCTACCATTTGTTAGATACTACATACTCTGGATCCTGACATCTGAACACCATCCATAAAAACATCAGTGACCACAACAATGTCACCACTTCTGGTGGTGACATAATAACTCAAGCATTATAGAGGCTCACATAATTGTATCAACATGTATTCTATCAGCATCACAACAATGTTGATTAACTACCTGATTCTCCATGGCTTTCTGCTCTTCAATGTGTTCCATCAATTGTTCTCGAGCAGTCTCAAGCTCAGAGTCAGATCCAGCCTGCTCAAGCAACTGTTCGATTTTAGCGTCCTTTGAGGTTATCACATGGTTGAGATCTTCAATAATTCTGAAAAATACCGGAAAAGTTATTTGATTAGATTGAAACCACCAAGTGCTAATTTCATTAAAATTGATGTAATAAAACCAAAGCATTAACATGCAAAATGTAACCACCTGCCATTTGTTACAGAAATCAATTAATTGGTTCTATGAGTTTTTATGGGAACTAGATGTGTTTATAGGTTGTTTAAATTTCTGTTGGTATGATTTATTTCTGTTAAGGGGAATTTCCTTTCTAACTTGAATGTAGGTCAGTGTATATGTGTGATAAGCATAATAAATATATAATAGGTATAATCAAACCTTATTTTTTCCATTAGGTCATGCTCAGCCTGAGCTAACGTGTTATCTGTTTGCTGCTCAGTTGCTAAGTGATTGTTGTTCGTTCCTAAGTGATCATTGTCTGATGTTTTTTGATTGTCCATGGTTGCTATGGCTTCATTAAGCTGTTGTTTCAACTGTTCGTTGTTATGTTCAAGAGATAATACTTTTTCTCTGGCACCCTCCAATTCCTGTTGACTCTCAGCAATTTCCTTCAAAATTCCAATTGATAACTTTACTTTATAGCAAGTGCATATATTTTAGTCCATACTTCAGGTACCTTAAATAATGTGTTTGTTACAACCAGGGCAGGCCTGTAGCCAGGGTGAATTTATTTCAAACTTCAAGCAGTTTTTCACCATTCTGAGCACTTTTCTAATGATTTTGGGCCAAAAGCTGTCAAATGTGAACCCCCTGGAAATTTTTGAAAAGTGAAACCCCCTTGGCAAAAGTTGGCTAGGGGCCTTCAGGTTAAGCATAAGCTGTCAGACCACTCAACTGTGTTTCCTGGTTATACTCCATGTATGACCATGACCATGCATAGCTTGACCCTAAATATATATATTCAATATTTTTCATCTTTGAAAAAAATTATGGAAAATCTATTGCTTCACACTGGAATGTTAATTTAAATATGCTTGCTTTTCGAAACTTTCATACATTTTGTTGCTGATCCCTTTCCATTTGATTTGACAATATATCAACCTGAACATTAAAAAAAACATTACCTCTTCCATTAAGCGTAACTTCTCTTCCAGCTCACGGACGTCACGGTCTGCGCTAAAACTTGCATTTTGCGCCACCTGTTGGATTGCCTGGTCCATTTCTATTTGATGCTGGTCACTTATGGTTTCGAGAGCATGGCTAAAATATAATACAATAATACACAAGAATTATTATTCCTTAATATTTGTTGAATATTTAACCCACTGAATCCAGAATAGTTTTCATTTTCTTGCTTATTTTGCCTTTTGTTCAAATATGCAATATTTAATGTTCATTTTAATGATATTAGTGAACATAGACCAATTACACATATTTTAATACATGTACATAATTATAGTAGTGTAAATTGAGCAAAATTTGTCAAGGCCATTTTAGTGAGAAATTTTGTGACTGAAGTGGGGTTTCACTAGAATTTCTCATGACAGGGTAAATAAATGAAAACAACAGTCAAAATTAATGGAAATCATACATGGATTTAACATGGAAAAGTTGAAAAGTCCCTAAAAACAACATGCCATTTTGCGAAAAACAACTGGTGAAAATCGCCTGTTGCCTGCTGCTAATGAAACCCCTGCTGATGTATTGGTCACTATTCAAGTCAGGTGAATAAATTTCTTTCCAATTAATTGATTGTTGATCTGATAATACACCACACCAAGATGTATTCAATTTTTGGTTTTAAAAAATCATCATTTCACAATTTTATAATTTTCTTCACTTACGAGGCTTTCTTCAGCAGCTCCTGCTTATCTTGTAACTCTTTCTTCAAACTCTGGCATTCCACATTTAGCTCAATGTTCTGAAACAGAAAAAGTGTGATTTTAGCTTTCAAAATATTAAGCAAAATGTGCTAATCATACAGTGGCAAGTTGACCTTCCTATTTCACAATCAGCTAATTATCTTACTTCCCTTCACATTAGCAAAGTTCTAAACTTAATAACTACTAATTAGATCATGACACAATATCATCATAATTACCAGTATAATAACATGTGAAAAATATCATGACAAAATAATGGAATCTAGGAAAAACACAAATACAGATATGAGTCAATATTTAGAGGATAAATGATAAAATAAAATAATAGCCAAAAACATACAGTTTTGACAACATCATCTCCATCATGGAAGCGTTGCTGCATTTTCTCCTCCAGATAGTAAATCCTCAATTTCAGACTGAAGTTTTCCTTCTTCAATTCCGCAATTTGCTGAAATTCACAAGATTCAAAAAGTTTTTGTAAAATCACACAATGTTGTAATGTTGTAAGCATTCATCATTTATGGTCCATGGGCAATTCTCAAAATTATCCCAATGAGCATCAAACTAACAAGGAATCCGCAGTGATAAATATCGCACTTTTCATCCAAAAATTCAGAATGGCTGCTTAGTAATTTACCAAGCATGCCCAAAACCCAATCAGATCTTGACATCAGTCTGCCCTTGTCAATTTGTAATTTCTTGAAATTTTGATGATTCAAGAGTCATGTGGCACCCTAAGACCCATCAAGACAACAACAATAAAGCACTCTCAGATGAAATGCAATTAAAGACCAATACCTGATCATATTCTTTCATGGTGCGGGCTCGTATAGGTGACATCCTCCCACTGCTAGTCTTCGCCACCACTGCAATCAGAAAATCTTAACATTTACACAGGAGAATCAATCAGTTTCTTAAGAGGTAAAACTTACTTGTTTGTGGTTGAATATGATCACTCTACTATACCTTGCATTTGGTGTTGATAAGCAACCCATTTGGCTTATTAGTAATGATTATGCATTTGCTTTTATTTGTCTGTTCCTTATTAATGGTTTATCGGTTGAATGTCAGATGTTACTAAGGCACTTTCAAAAATATACTAGACAATACAATTAGACAAACAAAGTATCTTATGCATTTCTATGTGTTAGGTATAGTCGCTTTCCGATAAATTGTACCACCTTTTGATACATCATTGGCTAGCTTGATGATGTCATATGTTGATGATATCATAGGTTGATGATGTCATAGGTTGTATTCTTTAAATTAGCAAGAAGTCAATCCTTTATTTGTATGGTCAGATTTCTACCTCCATACAACCAATGACATCATCAATTCAGCCAAGATATCATAGTCTTTCTAATATATCAAAAGGTGGCAGTATTTATCGGAATGATCTATCCAGTGTTGTTTTTGTTTATTTTTAACATATCTAGCAGTATAAGTGTAGCATTGTAGTAACAATGAGTAATATGTCAAAATCTTAAACCATTCCTATTATATTGGTGAACCTGATATCTGATATCAACTTCCTTATAATACACACCATACATTCTGATACTCATAGCATCTTTCTGTTTCACTTAGGGGTGAGATTTGAGATGTCATGGTTTATCATGATGCACACCATACATTATTTTTGATATTCATAGATTTGTATGTTGAATTAGCTATCATTCGGGAATTCCTGGCTGTCAGCTGACGATTTGACCGCGCGCTATTTTATGTCCAACTCATTCAAATATGAATATGAATCAATAGTAGCCGGTAATATCCTTATTGATATGAGTTGGACATAAAGGAGCAGTCAAATCGTCAGTTGACAGCTGACAGTTGAATTCACTAATGTGACCTTAGTCTCTTACTTGGTACTGATCCGTCTGGATGCTCCATTCTGTGGCCAAGTGATTCTAACTGGGGGCCTAAAGTCACTTCTCCCAGTTGTTCAGGGTTCATACTGCAACACACAATCAAGTACCTAATTATAGCAGAGGTACCCTGAATCCATGTCAGTGAGTCACACTTCCCTCTTACATAACGGATGATTTTACAGTTCGAATGATGATCTGAACTTACTGTACTCAAATGTAGTTTACATGGACTATTGTATAAGTTTTACAATGGGAAGTTAATCTCAGCTGCTTATACAGTCAGTGTCATGATTTTTGATTACTAATTCTGACTGAATCAAAGAATTATGTCTAAAGTCAAGATGGAGTCAAGCTCTAGGAAAGGAATACAACCTCTAGGTCCATCACAAGCTGAAAATGTTAGTTTATTTTAATCATAATTTGTGATCGTTTACTGGCAAAATTCTTAGTTCATCAATTTTCAATCAATTTAAATTTGATTAAATGTACTGCATAAATCAATGTTTGGGAATCTTTGTGAACACTGAGAAAAATAAAAATTAAAAAGAAATGAAAATTCATGCTTACTGTTAAAGCACTTGCTATATTTGTGTGATTCACATCTTCGAAATGCCAACTGTAGTTATTACAACATTATAATGAAGAAAACTCGATGAGAACATTCTGTTGCAAAATCAATACCATCGTAGTATTAAATTTAACTGATATTGTTTTTGTTTCAATGCATACAGTTGATTATCACAACACATGTGTGATTCCCTAGATTAGAAATAAATTAAATCATAAAATAGAGCTTCTGAAGAGCTGATTTTAAATATCAATATTTTTCTTACTAGAAAGTTATTTGCTTGGATTACACCAAAATACTTAAAATTCAGAATATGTAACTTTTCCAATCAACATATTTTTGACCTGCTTCTGTAATTATTGAGTTAAGATCATTATGAAATATTAAAAAAATGTGAGTTTAGTTGGTATCAGAATTATAGACTCTGTCCGAGTCCGTTTATGAAGGACAGGACTCCTCCTTTCCCCTCTTGATTAAACTGTATCAGATAATGTGGTAATAAATTGCCACCTCTTTTCAATGTTTAAAATATCATTGGTAGATTAAATAAGTACGAGGCAAAATGTCACAGATACCAACCGCCTCCACAAAAAAGTTGAAGACTATAACAATATGTCATCATTTGTAGTGGTGACATAAAAATGACAAAATCAGAAATAAAACAAAATAAAAAATAAATTACTTCTAAGAAAATGTCTCAAAAAATATGACCTTCTTTCTGTTATTTACCTACACCATTTCCCAACCATAGTATGATCATTGATCAATTTATGCATTAGTGATATAATGATATATTCTTCATATTTCATTTTCAGTACTTAAATAATATTTCATATTTACAATGAATGGTGTTTTAGTAGGAAGATTTTTCAAATATGTAAAGGCGCTTACTAATATCAAGAATTGTGAGTTGTCATGGGAATTGTAATTACATGTAATAGAGATTGATAAACTCCAAAATTAAAACATGACTACTTCATAGTAAATTCTTGGAAACAGTGCACATCGTCTGTGATGTCAGCCACATTACTCCATCAACAACTCAAACAAACCTCCAATTGTGTACGGCAGAAAGATCATTTCTGGAACCATACCAGGAATCAATAACCCAGATGCGAGTAGAAATAATCTTGATTTACGTCATTAAAAATTCAAAATTCAGTCAAACTAATATCATATTTGAAATCTACATGTAAAATTACATCTAGAAATGTGGTTTTAAAAAGTGTTTATCAACTTTTAAAAATTAATTTTCTTTGAAAATGTGACTTCTAGCTCGGGGAGATTCCCCATAGATCCCATGCTATAAAAGCACAAAAAATGAAGTATCTTTTTTTTTAGTGAACAGATAATATTTTGCTTTACTGGACATATTTTCATTAGTATAAGTATCAGACGCATAAGGGTTATATGAAAATTGAGCCACTTAAATTGATAATATTCAAGTTTAAGTGAACTTTCTCATATACCTGCCATGTTAATTAACCCGAATCAGCCACCAGGTGGTGAAACAGGTAACTACCTACTCGCATTTGGGTAATTGAGTCTGGACATCAGTGTCAGTGAGTATGTCCCTTTATGTCTTTTTGTGCCTCAGTCGAGTTAAGTCGACATGCTTATATATATATATGTATTTCAGTAATCATTTAAGTGCTTACGGAGAAAGCCAACAAAAGTATGTATATATTTAGGTATTTTTCAACTTACTCTCAAATACATCTAAATATAATTTTTGGAAATGATGTATTCTCTGAATACACAGAGAGATCATTTCTGGAACCATACCAGGAATCAATTGAGTCTGGACATCATTGAGTATGTCCCTTTATGTCTTTTTGTGCCTCAGTCGAGTTAAGTCAACATGCTTATATACGGTATATGTATTTAAGTAATTATTTAAGTGATTAGGGAGAAAGCCAACAAAAGTACGTATATTTTGAGGTATTTATCAACTTACTCTCAAATACATCTATGCTAAATACAATTTTTGGAAATTTAGAGTCTTATCCTGCAGTAGGAGAGATACATCGAACGTTTGAAGTTATTTCATCATGGGGTTACTTCGACCAAGGGGTTATTTTTAACTATGGCCGACATTTCACATTTCAGAGATCCACCATCTTGGATTTAGATCTCGCCATTGGAGATTTCCATTTATTTTCAAAGTTTCCAAAAACAAACATGGCAAAATGTGTGAATTTAAATACATGTATAAGTCAATGCCAAAATCCCATGGTCAAAATAGCCCCATTACGAAGTAACCCCATAGGACGAAGTACGACGTACCTCCCCTATCATTTAAGACACAGACCAACAGGACTAAAATCTGTAAGAGGTCTTTGTTTTGATATGACTTAGGTAATGACTGTAATGTTTCTTTATGCTATATCATTCTGTGAAAGAACGAGAGGAGTAGAATTAAGTTGTTTTGCTGAGTGTGTTGCTTTTTTGATAGTTCTAGCTTACTGAACACAGCTGCCTCACTTCTGTCAGCTCGGTAGAGTAAGTTCTAGCCTATAGTTGGGGACATAAATAAATGACAGGTGGATTTGCTGAAGTGAGGATTTCCCATGTTAAAAATAAGAGAATTTACAAGAGGCCATACATCAGTGGATGAGATTATACAAAATGTAAAATATACAAATTTTAAGGGATATATATCTAGACAATATTGGTAATTATGGGCTTTCAGACCACCATAATTAGGAAATGGTGATCGAAAATCGACCTGTCATTTATTTTTGTCCCCAACTGTATAACAACTTCAAAATGAGTTCTGCTGAAGTTCAAAGGGGTCAAATTATTACTCCACAGTCTATTGAAGATCGGGCAGATCCCCCAAAAGCTCTTATCCTTCCTAGAAAAACTGAAAGCTAAGATTTCTTCCTGATTATCAATAGGTCTCTGCACTGAAGGTTTGCAGAATTTTTTTTGAAAAATAAAAAACAAATGAAAATCTATTTTGAAACTGCATGATTGCCTCCATTTGATGATGATTAAACATTAGTAAGAGAATTACTGACATACCTCCCCTCGAACTCAATGGGTAGTGTTGGATCATCTCCTACAAGGGAGTCCATTTCGCCATATATTTGACTTCTTTTGAATAAGATTCAAATTTTTATTTTCCAAATTTCCGCCATGTTTACTGGATTCACGCATGCGCAGTTTAATACTTTCGACTTCTGGGATGAGTAATTCAAAATAGGTATTTACATTTGCTTAGTGCACATTTGGCATCCTGAGATATTTTTACTGTATCATGTGTCTAAGTTTTGATCTTAAGACAACGTATGGTATCTGATGCTAAAAAGTGGTAAGAACAATACTGATTGTTTACAGTGTCGAAGCATGGTCTTACTTTCAAGAGAGCCGCATCTCCACAGATCGCCCAGAGTACCGACAAATATATGTCGGCTCGGCTGATTAAGTAATGAATGTGATATTACAATAAACTAAAATTTTTAAGCACAATTGCCAAATTGAAATTCAAAAATTGTGCAACTACAAAACATAGCAAATAAGTGTACACCAGTCATAACTGAGTCACAGCCCATCAAAAACAAACCCCAACTATCCCAATCTATTATCTAATTTGAAAAAAGCAATGTCTTAGGCCACCACAACCATACAGCTCCTTTTTCACAGTCCAGGACCATAATACTAAGGGATATTTCATTCATACAGAAGCCATTACAATATGTTGAAGAATAAATTGATAAACCTATACTCATAACATCAAAAAATAGTTGTAGCCATGATACTAGTATTCATACAAGGTGTAAACTTATAAGTAACTTTTGAATAGCGTTAAAATTGAATTACACACTGGTAACGGCATGATTTGTTTATTTAGATTAAATTTTTCATTCCTCTGAATTTAGAAGTAAATTACAAGGCCTTGGAAAAAGAGTCAAAGGTACTAGAGTTTTTTAGATTATATAAAGATGTCGCTTGATTTATGGAATTGTGGGTAATAAAAGTGGCCATATTGATGTCAAAAAGGTTTGTAAATAAAGATACTACGTATAAATGATTTAAACAGTGATCAACTCATAATTAAATCACAAGACCAACCACAGATATAGTTCCTCTTCCAAACTCTACTTATGCAAGGCTGTGTTGTATATAAATGATCTTACGGTGTAAAATTTACTTGCTGGATTTGTGTAATTTTTTTTCAAAAAACAGGAAGTGAGCTCATTTCAAATGGGTTTCTAATGTGTCTTGATTCATAACCCTTAGTATGTAAGTATAACTGGTCAATATCTTTAGTATCTATATTGTGTATCGTACTTTTATATGCATACATTTTATGGAGTCCTAGCTGTAGTCTAAAATGAATTATTGTTTTCATGTGACTTAGTTCCACCCCCTAATGTTTTAGCAATTTAGATCTATCCAGCTAAGCTTCGATCTCATCCATAAGAATCGTTACAACTGAAAAAATGATTTGTCTTTACTTTACTTGATGAATATTATTATCTGCTGCTAGAAGATTCTCATTTGGCTGGTGGAATTAGGGACATGGTCATTTTAGAAAGCTGAAAATCTACTGACAGTTTCAAAAATGATAACTTCAACTTACTTTGAGGGTGTGAAAGGAAAGATCAACCTTCTAATATTTAAATCATCTTTGACATTTTTCAATCTTCGAACGCTAACACTTTAAGACTCCTTAGACTCGCATGTGTGGTGGTCCTAATTATTGCACAGTTGTGTTTTGAGTGTTATTTTATGATACTGGATATATTTCACTGTTAATAATAGATGTATACATTTACTATAATCATTTTTCTATCTGTTTTAGTGTAAAATATCAACAAAATCTACATAATTCACTTACTTTTGTGTCTTTATTTGGAGGGGGTCAAACTTTTTCAGAAGAATTTCACTTCTTGCGCGATCGTATTCATAACAATAGTGGAAGTAAAAAATTGAAAAAAAAATGAAGAGATATTTCTAAATATATTAATAAATAATGAAGATTTGGAGTAATGGTGTTGAGCTGGTGTTATGAACACTGTTTTAAAAGATGTACGAAGCATATTTTGAATATTCAGTCCTAAAATCTTGTTTGTCGAGGCTTATATACAGGTTTTCAACCAAACCGTTTTGTGGAGTCATCTTAAAAATTTCTTACCATTTTAGCTGTCAGAAATTGCCATGAAAGTATGCCAGGCATAAATATGCTCATATATTTCTATCACACCCTTGAGTGCTATATTGTAATCAGTTTGCTGGGCAGGCAGGCAAACTGAATAGTTTTTGGGCAGTCTGGGTATATATTAGGGTGGCCATTTTGAATTTTCCATCACAAAATCTGTATTCTATTCAAGGCTCTGATTATGATCATTCTGTGTCTTGTTTTTACATGAAATTTGTTATTACAATAATATGCCAGGTCAGAAACAATACAGGTAAAATTAATGTCTGTTAAATAATTTATTCCTGAGTTATAAGGGCTATCAGGGCTCTCACCAGGAAATATTAAGGGTGTGGTGCTAACATCTTTAGAACAACCGTTCAATCGTGATAAATCATATTTATGTTATCTTTTATCCTTTTTACATGCTATTATTATTATATATCCAGTCAAGTTTAGGCTGTGGAAACAGTCATGATTTGCCAATAGGGTGTGGAAGGAGCTAAATAGAGTGTGGTGCTGCGCCACAGTCTAAACGCATGGGGAGAGCCCTGGCTATGTTCTTAAGATATGATTTTCTATATCAATTATGGCTCAATATAGTTATAACTTAGTGCAAAATACTTGAATAAGCTTTCCAATGATAATACATCCTCCTATGATTGGTTGTTTCCGAGATCATAGGGGGGGGTATTTAAGGGGTAAAATCAGCAACATTTAGTAAATTTTGAATAAACGCTTCCCCTTCAACAAAGAACATCTAGGATAAATAACATTTAAAGTTAATCCCAGAAATATCCAGTACTAAATATTTATTTTCATTTCCAGATCTCATTTAAGAAACTCATAAAGCTTTAAGATGGCTGCGGGACCGTATAATTACTCATACATATTCAAATACATAATCATAGGAGACATGGGTGTTGGGAAATCATGTCTGCTTCACCAGTTCACAGAAAAGAAATGTAAGTTGTTTTACGCTAGTGATGATTTTTGCTATAATCTGTAATAAGTCATGAATCTTGAATACAATAGAGTTGTATATGAAGTGCAAATATTTTAGTCATGAAAATTTCTATAACAGGGAGTTCATGTAGTATTTGTACTTATTTTTGTATATTTATATGTTACTTTAGGCACTAAATTTTGTCCTGACTGTGTGTCAGTGTTTTTTTAACTTTTTTTAATTTTTAAAAATTTGTCATGTTTTATTGATTAAAAAACATACAAAAAGAGGATTCCAAAAAGCGACTTTGTTTACTGCTTGTTTTTGCCAAATTGCATCATTTAATGACAGTTAAATATTATTTTTTCAGTTATGGCAGATTGTCCGCACACTATAGGAGTAGAGTTTGGTACAAGGTAAGATAAGACTTGAGAAACTCTTGCAGAGAACTTGCAGAAAACATAAAACATGAAACATTGCTTGTCGACACTTTTAAGTTCAAATTGAAATGAGATACAAACCCTCATGTATTACTATTACCATATAAGGATATAGGGATACATTGATACCATACTCCCGGTTAATTTCGCGAATTTTGAGAAAATACGATTTCGCAGATATTAAATTTCACGAATTTCACGAAGTACCTACTATTATGTCATCTTGCTCAACGACATGCTGCACCTTAACCTCTACTACGTCGTCATTTGTTTTGTTTAGTTGAGCTTATAAGCCACTGTAACAGACATAGTTACTTAGTATCCCATTTATCGCCTAATAGCACTTCACAAACATTTTACAAAACACGAAATGCAATGGAGTCCCAGGTAATAATAAATTTAACAAAGCCTAGGGATTTAATTGAAAATTTCACAAAGATTGATTTAAATACTGCTATATTTTCCTGCTATAACCAATTTGGAACCACCCGATTAAACTGAATCACATGATCTAATTATGGGCAATGACTTATACATGATTTCTTTCGCAGTGTTGCGACAGCCAATCGGATTGTGAGTTCTTAATCGGGGAAATGCTAACTGCTTAAAGCAGGGGGTAAAAAGAAAGAATATATTCTGGATTTTGAAGCCCTGTGATCGGAGGATGAGTATTTGTACAATTTATCATTTGTTTTCAGAATAATAGAGGTGTCAGGTCAGAAAATTAAACTGCAGATTTGGGACACTGCTGGTCAAGAAAGGTTCCGTGCTGTTACTAGGAGTTATTATCGCGGTGCAGCGGGCGCACTCATGGTCTATGACATCACAAGGTTAGTCAGGTCTTCATGTATATTAGTCCAGCGGTAGCGCAGGTACTTCTTACGCAATAGGTCCCGGATTCGATCCCCGGTTCAGGCAAGACTAAATTTGCTTGTTTGCGTGAAGTACTTCAGGGTGTTTGACTGAGTGGTCCACAACTCGTACAAAAGGCTTTGGTGTGTACTTATATGTCTATGTAAAAGTGCACATAAAAGAACACAGGGCTCCTTCAAGGAGGGGTTTCTGGGTCTATCTTCCATGTTAATTACATAAATTACGACAGTATATATACGAGACATACCCAAGAGGTATTGCTCACCTTCATTGGTGGTAAACAAAATACAATACAATACAATTAGACATCTCAGTTTTTCTTGTGTGCACTGTTCCAGGCAGATTAAATGGATTGAATTGAAATTCCAAGGGGTGTTTATTGTGATGGAAACTGAGAGCTTTTTAGTTTCTGAGCTTGTTGAATACATGCTTTGATGTTAATTTTTCATTTCTCTCGCAAAATCTTCCTGCAAGTCCTAGTCTGCACATTTACAGTTAAACAGTTAGATTAAGTAAGGAGAATATCCTTCCTTCGTACCATGATTCAGTTACACGCATGGAAAAATGAATCTTTTTCATTGATCACCAAAATCATAGCTTGGTCAAAATTCATTTACTTATAACATCGCAAAGAAACAAAATCGGATGAGTCATGAAATGTTAGTTTTAAGTATTATGACTTGCTTTTCCACAAAGGCAAATGTGAATATGATTGTGTCAATCAAAACACTTGGATGGTTTTCAGAAAATACAGTTAAAAGAGCAAAAGGAAGCACAAAGAGATATTCAGGTGTAAAATTGCCATAATAGATGGCTCTCAAATCAAAGAACTTCACATTTTGCTTCGGAAAATAACCATTAAGACGTAAAGCGATGAAAACATTTTGTTTTGGTAAACCCTCTTTGCAGTAGTGTAGTTAGATTTTAAATCAGATATGAACTTAAAGCCCATTTAAATTTTGTATATGTGTCACATACTGGACTGATCAGTAGTTGGTCGTTTAGGATTGAAATCTAGAACTGATCACCAATAAGTGGGGACAAGTTGTATACCTTTTAGCCTTGTAAACTTTTGTGTGTGCATGAAATATCTACTCAACCACTGCGCAAGCTCAAATATATTCACTCTATTCACTCAAGTATAAACACCAGTCACCTCCCCAGGATTTTTTCTTAACAGTTTGCAGAATCCTATTATGCCAAACTTACATCATTTTGATAGGGTGCAACAAGATTTACACAGAGATTGCCAAATTGAAATTTTCAACTGCTTGGTGCACCCAGTTGCTGTAATGGTGGGGAAATCACCGAACACAATATACAGAGTGAACTATTATACATGTATAACCTTTTATTATGCACCTCATTAAAATGCTCAAATCTGATTGGTTAAGAGCTGCGGGGTCTATTGCCATACGTGGCAGCAAGATCTCGTTCTATCCAGTATTGAAGTAACGAGATCTCCAACCATCCCGTATGCCAGAATACCTATCCTCGAAAAGAAATACTAGGCTCGGCATCTGTTTTAGTAGACCCATTATTTAAAATAAAGTATTTCTCAAGGGAGGTGCATAATAAAATAAATACTGGATGACCATGAGGTGGATATGCCAGAATACATATCCTCGAAAAAAAATACTAGGCTCGGCTTCGCCTCGCCTAGTATTTTTTCCTCGGATAGGTATTCTGGCATATCCACCTCATGGTCATCCAGTATTTGTTTAATACCATATTTTTATATTTTTACAGGCGGAGTACATATAATCATTTAAGCAGTTGGTTAACAGATGCTAGGAACTTAACAAACCCAAACACAGTAATCTTTCTAATCGGGAACAAATCAGATTTGGACGGACAACGAGATGTCACGTATGAAGAGGCTAAACAATTTGCAGATGAAAATGGTATTAATTTTTCAATAAAATATTTGACATTAACCAAGACCAAAAATTATCATATTGTAAAATAGCATCCTTAATTTTACAGAGACTGCAGACTAATATTGGGTACTAGGCCTTATTTAGATTGAAATCAAAAACTGATTTACTGAACTTTTAATTTACAGTATTTTAAATAATTTTTGGAGAATTTGTACAGAAATGTTGTCCCTTTTTTGTAAGGCCGTGCATATTTTTTTTTACCAAATTTATGTCACTTTTAAAACATGAATGTTGATGCCAAATATGTTGTCCATTGATATTTTTCAAAGAACACATCTTAGAAGGTACCTAGTTCTATAGCCGATTAACATAATGTGTGGCCATTTTGTTTACTGGCAGCCATTTATTGATAAGTTCCTCATAAGATTATTTCCACATTTCAAACATTTGAGATCAAAGAAGATAAAACACTTGACTTGTGTCAATATTAAACTGTAGTATATAATATGTTTCTTGCCTTTGCAGGTTTAATGTTCCTAGAGTGCAGTGCAAAAACGTAAGTATTTCAAAATCTACAATTTTTATGTCACCACCAAATGTGTTATTGTCTCAAACTCTTTGTTGCGACGATTAGTGTTTGGCATTCAGCATTTGTAACAAATGGGAGGTGGTGACATAAAACATATAACTTTAACCTTTTTCTATTTTCACAATTATTTCAAATTCTACGTCTAATTCAAATATTATTTTACAAACAGTTTGCAAATCCAACTTTAAGACAGAGACAGCTTTTCATGAACCCCCTCATCTGTATTTGTTTTAATTCTTTAAAAGTTTTGTTGGCTATAATGTTCACATCAAGTTTAACCATTATGTTTCCAGGGGCGAGAATGTAGAAGATGCTTTCTTAGACACAGCCAAGAAAATTTATCAAAATATACAAGATGGAAGGTACGTTGGATATATTAGGAACATACCTTTATTGAGTACCTTGAGTATAGGGAGATGTATTTCCAATTGTCAACATCCATTGAAAATGAAATTTATTTCCTTGTTGTTTAGTCCCCTCAAATTTTCCTGTTACTTTATTTTTTGAAGAAGTTCTTCACTAAATAATTTTCACTTACCCCCTCCCAATGTAATTTATATCTAAAATGTCATTTCTATGATAAAAAAATACTCACTTTTCAAGGTAACTATCTAAAGTCACCATATCATATTTATATTTTTCAATAGAACCAAATTGTATCAATGTTTTTATTTTTTTAGCCTGGACCTGAATGCAGCTGAATCAGGAGTACAACATAAACCTACAGCCCCCAGGAATGCCATTAATACAGACCAACCAGCTGCCAAGGAGGGCTGTTCATGTTAGCATCGTATATTGCAATATAGACCTTTATGAATATATATAAGAACCATCTAAATGGCAAACTCAGTAACGTCAAAATGGCAAACTCTTATGGGTTTGAAAATGAAACATTCTATGGGGAGATCCAGATATTAATAACAGATTCTATCACCAATTTTAGCAAATATTCAAATAAATATTCAGTGATGTTCATGTTTATTTAACTCAAGTAAAAGGTTATGTCAAAATATTGTTTTTCAAACTGTGGGAGTTTTCTGTGAAAAAAAATTAAAAGTTTTCAATGAATTTGGACATTCTGCATCTTCAAAAACTTTGATCTTTGACAAGATATCTCAATTATCTTTTCCAAAAATTGAATTAGGATTGAAAGGAAAACATAAGATGTTTTTGAAAGGATTGCTTACAACATTTTAGTCACCAATATTTCTATTTCCTAAAAGTTTGTACTTCAAATGTAGAGATATATTAAGATACAATGTCAAAGAACAAACTGTCATCTGATCCACCAACAATATATTATCATTGACCTGACTCTAAGAGGAAGATGATGACAAGATTTTTACAATGGAAGATCAAATGAAATAATCTTTTTCACATATGTTATGATTATTTTGACTAATACCTTTTATTTCTGAGATTGAAAGCACGGACATCATCACAATATTCTTATAAAATCTGAAAATTCAGATTTTTATGAAGCCAAGGAAAAGAGGATATCACATAGGATTTATAAATGTCTTTGAAATCCTCTTTAGGGCCAGAGGATTTTAATTTCTTAGGGACATTTATTCCTGTTAGAGGGAAGTCAGAATTCCAGATGTATATTATGTATAAAGAGGGATTCTAATATTTTAACTTAATATTTTTCTCCATCTCAGACTTTGAATATAATGGGCTCAGCTTTAGATTAAACATCATCTATAACAATAACAGTCATATTCATCATGCTGTCATTGTGTTTGAGCCGCAATTTCTTCATTCATTTTGGCACTCATCTGTATGTTTGTTAGGATACGGGAGGACACTCAATCGGGGTTTAGCCGGGCGTCTGTTTTTAGAACTGTCGTAACTCATGATTTGGTCGCAAGTCATTGCTCGTCAGAAATAAGACAATGGTTTTCTTGGAAAAGTAAGCTAGTAAGTTACGATCGTACCAAAAATTATACCCAGGGTCTCAAAATATGGGAGGCAAATTTTAATAAGTAACCAAATGAATATGATATAATTCTACTATTGGGCAAAATTTTCCCAGTTTCACTAAAAACGTGGTCAATATTACTATTTCAATAGAAATTTCCTACCTCATGCTTGGTAACCTACGTGATCAAATATGGAGGAAATATTTAGGAATTGGCTGCCAAGTGCTGACCCTGAGGCCTGAAGTCCGTTACTTTCAGTCTAGGTCTATATATGATGGAATATAAATGTGGCATTTGGTCAGTAATACAACCATTATGATGTATCCTATTTAGGAAGAAATCAGTAAATGCTTTGAGGAATACTTTTGTCATAAGTGAATATAAACCTGTGATTAGTGGTAGCATAAAAACTTTCACAAGTTTCATAAGGCAATTTTGATTTGATTTCAAGGCATAAAGTTTTAAATTGTGACTATATGAAATATAACATTATAAGTAGTTTGTAAGTGTACATAATGTGGATACTTAAAACAGTTGCATTCCTATATGTCCTTGATGTGATTTTGTTGAAGTTGAAATCTGTATCAATTTCCAAGATCATCAATCCAAATTAGGTTACATGTATTTCAAAATTGTTAAGCTCATTAATATAATGACATTTTAGATTTTCACCAGCTTCCATACTCACTAGGATCCCAATTTTATCATATAATGTTCTGCAATAGAATTGTAAATATGTAGACTTGTAAATTAAAAACAAGGGTGTCCCAGATGTTTTAAGTCAATTCTATTCATTCATGGGGCAGTCCTCGTATTAAGAAATACATGTATAATATTCAGTGTTAGATCGATTATAGTTGAGTCTTGATGATGGACAGGGTGGGAAAGGTCTTTGTGTTTTGGTCCCATCCAGAACTGAATTTCTTAAAAATGTATAATTAAGAATTTGCGGTCTTATAGTATCCATCTGTACATCAAATCCAAATTTTTTTTAAATGTTCATTCAACTCAAGTTTTTAAAGAAAAATATGATACTTTTTTATTGAGAAATTCATGCTTAATAGGGAAATCATATTTAATCGTCATGGTACAAGGATTGTGTTTTCTGATTGGTGCATTTTGCTCCATCTCAAGCCTGGGTTTTATCTGAATCGTTAGTTTTGTGCATGTATATTACATTAGTCTATGTATATTACTCTACTCAATCTAATATAATGTACAGCACTATGTATGTATGAAGTAATAAATGGATGTATATATTTAATTTAAATCTTACATTTTCTTGTCATGTGAAGTTTGTAGTCCATTGCTATTTAGGCAAAGGATCATCATGAAATGATCATGTTTGTCAAAATATGAAAATCTAGTCTTGAGTAAATCCCAACTCTAACATGTTAAAGAACTCGTCTTTTCAAGCAGCAAACCAAGAGAAAATTCTGGGCACTGTAGTTTATGTTTTTTTTGGTGTATGAGCTACTGTGAATTAACTAATTGATGAATGATTTCAAGAGGTAACATAGTCAAATGAAAAGTCCTTCTGAGCCCCCTCCCTCCACACACCTACCCACGTGATGTGTTGAGCCCCCCCCCCTCCCACTGTCTTGAAGTGAGACTTGGGTAACAGAATACCTATTGTAATCATTACAATACCTGGTAATGTACCTCTATCTTTGGTTCCGGATTAACATGACCAGAGAAATGGTCTTGGTACGAGATGAGACAGCACCCTCTGTAGCTCAGTGCAAGCTATTAGCATTATTATCAGTTAATAAATGGATAATCAAATATGGGAGCCCATGCAGAGCTCATACATTGAACGCACCTGGGCACATGCAGTATTGAATCTTTGCCAGGGTATTACATTGCCCTTTAGCACACCTTTTGATTTTCTACACAAGAAAACTATTGATTTTTTCATTTGGTAAAGTCAATATACGATGTCGAACTAGGCTTTTACTTATCCCGTTCCCGGACTATGGTCCTGTGAACATCTCAATCTTTTGCCTGTGCGATTACAACATGGGAGAATTTTTTACTCATCTTACACTTCAGATACCTACTTCAATAGATTCCTTGGTAATTTAGCATTCTTTTCGTGTAGTTGAATCCACAATTGTCTGGGTTTATCGGCAGAACGAAGACATTTTCGTTTTTGATCGCAATATTCGCGTGTAACATTTAACTTATTTCAACCGTCAAATTCCTCCATATTGGTACTTCCGGGCTACATCCGGGACAGCCAAACGGGGGATTCCCCTTTTAAATCCAACCGCCATTTTGAAAAGTGATGGAATCTCTCTCGATGAAAAAGAGAAAATGTTCCCGTTCTGCCGATATACCCAGACAATCGGCGGTTCCAATATATTAGAAGTTACATCTTGAGTTCTATAATGCATTGAGGTAGGTATCTTAAGTGTAAGGGGCGTAGATAATTCTCCCAAGTTGTAATCGTACAGGCAAATGAATGCGCTCAGTGCAGGACTATAGTCCGGGAACGGGATAAGGCTTTTACCACTTTCAAAAAGATCATTCTTTTGTAAATATTTGTGTTTTGGATCACTTTTTACACGAGGTGTCTAAATGAAACTTATGTACTGAAAGGGTTTTATTTGGATATGGGGTTCATATCTAAGGAACAATATTAGATTTTATTCATTTCACAAAAGATGAGCTTACAATCTACATTTATGGTCAAAGAATTGAAAAAAACATCTCCAGCCTATGGTACCCTGTGTTCAGAGTCTATATATTATAAACGAAGCTCTCTTTTAAGAAGCGAAGTCGAATAAATGCAAAGGATAGGCCTATGGCAAATATGACTTGCTTTAGAAGTTTTATTGATTTTGACCTATAGATGTCTCAGCTGCTCCGTCATGTATTTTCGACTATGTACGTACATTCTGAAGTTAAGTCTGTCAATTGAAGCCTAATGCCAGTGAACAATATCAAAGGACAAAGTATTTATATAATATGACATATTTTTATTTGCATAGGTAATATTTACAATACAGCTCTGAGCTGTCGATTTGTGACACTTCTTATATTGTTGGCGTTACATCACTGATGATGTCACACATCTGATGAAGTCACATATCTGATCATCAGTAGTGTAACACCATGATTTGATAAAAAATATACCAATATATAACATTATAATTTGCAAAACTACCAAATGTCCATTAAAGCTGGGCATTATTGAGTAGAGTATTGCGTTGTACATCGGCACTTATGCATATGTAAATTTTAATTTCATAAGTGATTACAATTGGTTCAAACGAAAAGATTGGAAATACATGAAATCTAGTTCCATTCAAGGTAGAGAATCATTGTGGTCGTTAAGTTCATTATTTTGATTTTAATCTGGCTCTCTCAGTCAATTCACTATCTGAGTATCATGAACTTCATGTTTATATCTTAGTTACATGAACTTCATTTCTTGCTATAAATTCACCACATATGAATAATAATTAAATATTTGACTTTTCGACCACTTTGATATTTTTTACAGTTACAGATTCAAAAATATTACAATTATAAAGTTTACAACATGCATCTCTAGAAAAAACAATCAGATTATCTACAATCTGTAAATAAATATACATGATCTATATTGAATCTGTGACACGGTTTTTCTTTTTAAAATCATACATAGTAAAAATGTATAAGAATATAGTAAAGTTGAAACAGATATAGAAGGCACAAAAATAAGGCCTAGTGATGTGATGACATCATAATACTACTTGGAGCATGGCCCCATGCAAATACTGATCATTTTTAAGAGCATGATCGCTACATTAAATTTCAATTAATGCATAATTTTGCATATTTTGAGAACATTAGCAGTGAGTTAGTAATAATGCTTTAATACTTAATTGTAATACTACTTTACTATAGTAACTAAATACTGTTTCGTTGTGACATCTTGCCTTTAAATGCTAATTCTGTTGGTGTCTCATCCATAGTTAAATTTATAAGTTTAATCTGACGTGCATAGGTTTGATAAGTTGAAGGATTTGTGTAAATGCTGAAAATAATCGTTAGAGAAAAGTTGACAAAGAAAAGTTAAGAATATATGAGTTAAAAATGTGGCAAGGGTTTTTAAACCAGTATCTAAACTACTTTAATGCAAATGTGCGATATAATATAATATTGTTGATATTCCCCTAAACCTTGTTATATATTATGTTTTTGGTCAATACTGAATACTGATGACAATACTGCAGAAAACATTATCACAAACATTTTCGAAAAAACAGTACAAACATTTAAACAAATTCAAAGAATGACTTTCTTCTCCTTAACGTTTGTGATGTAATGTTCATTTTTTATTCGTAATCAGCAGTTAAAACGCTTCTCCCATTGCCCATCGGTGATTGCCACGGCGACGACGTAAACGTACTATTTGAGAGTCTATTTCGCTGGCCTTATTTTTGTCCAGAATGTCTTTTTCTATGTTAAGTTTCGAAAGCTTTAGTAGTCCTATATTTCTGCTAGTGGATGTGAGTGATTCTAAAAGACCATTTCCACCCTGTAAATAAAAATAAAAACGTTGATAAATATCATCAATCAAATTGAAGTTTATCTGAACTTTAAAAGAAAGTTTAATTTTACCATGATTCTATATGAGAGCATGTACAGATGAAAGAAGCAGTAAACCATCTTCAATAGTATCAACTCAGACTACAGCAAAAGGAATCAATAAAATATTGCATGTTAAGTCAAATGCAATTAATATCATTGATATATTGCGAGAAGAAACAAAAAATCTATAATATAGTGATCATGCTTCAAAGACAAATGAATAATCCGGAACTGAACTTGAAAAATCTTATTTTTCCACTTACTATTTCCGAGTAGCATATTCAAACATAAATCAATATAGTTATTTTTCGGAAAATAAATTCCACTTACGTTAATAATTCCTTGGGCTTCTGGTAGTTGAGTTCCAGGATGTCGTTGCAATACACGAATAATTGGTCTGTCAAGCCTCTCTTTGGATACCAAATCAGAGTAAAGCTCTGGGCCTAGAGAGTAGCCTCGGGCACGATCGGTCGCATCATACCAGCGCTGAGACCGGTGGATTGCATGACGATTCTCTCCAGCTGTCACTTGCAAGTGTTGCTGAAAAATGCAGAAATTCATTTTGAATAAAATTTTCAAATAAAATCATGGTTATCCAAAAAAGATGATTTGAATCAATTTAAACACCGGAACAAAAATGACAAAATGTTAATGTTTTGTTTAAGAGTGACTTATACATTTTCTGAAAGGGTTAGAATGCAAACGGCATTGTAATTGCCGATTTGATATATTCAAGTTGCGTGATTGGCAATTAAATCAATCTGAGATCCAGCTATAACCATTAACACTACTTTATTTTGCACCTAACATGGAACAACCTTTAACACAATCACTGTGATAAGACGTTGCTACGGCAACGTGATATAAACCTGTGTGAAATGCACCATTGATTATGCAACTGAACAAGACTCGTAAAGAAAATGATGTAAATTATCCATAAAGCAACAGACTCAAGTAGCGTTCTAAATTAATTTAAATCTACCTTGGCTTTATTTGCGGAAACATAATATTTTCTGAAAAAATATCAATAACAATCAATTTACCTTTTTCTGAATAATAACTAGAAAAATGACAATCTCTCGAATAATCTTTTGATTGAATAATATGGAATTTTTTTATGTAATACCTTGAGTCCAATAGTCTCAGCAATTTTCCCTGTCATTCCATCATTAACTGATTTAGCAGCAGATTTCTGTAAACGGTTTGTTCGGTCAATTGAATCCCGGAGTTCATAACGTAGATGATTAGAGCGTCCTCTGGCATCATCAGCCTGTTGTAGTGCTTGTTCCGCCTCGGGGGTGAAAGATCCCAAAGGGTCAGCTGGGGGTAGACCATATCGGCCGGATCCTGTTTGGGAGTGAATCGGGAAATTGTTGACAGATGAGATAGCGTGACAGATAAGATCGAGAACACGTGAGCGTTCTTGGACGGTTCCTGCCAAGCGTCTTCTAGCCCCATCCAAAACCTGGAATCAAATAAATGAATAATAAAATAATATTTCACTTTAACACCATTCAATACAAACAACCACTGAAAAATTTGGAGTAAACAAACGTCTGGTTTTCCATTATATGCAGACAGTCAAAGATCAATACACTTTCCCTATAATAATACTTTTCTCAATGTCAATCATGCCAATGTGTCAACAATCTTATTTTATGTAAATCTTAAGCATACAGTCAACTGAAGACATTGAAACGTTTTCTATTGAAGAATTCAATTGAATCTTGCTATGTTTGTTTGTGTGCTTAACTTTAAATTTCTGAGCTGGTCAGTTTGAATGTGGTATGTCCACTAAGGGGAGTTAAAGTTCATTGTTTAAGTTTAAGTGATTAATATCCAAGGGACTTTTGAAATTCCACTTGAAGAAAATAGTGTTGGCAAATAAAATAAAAAAACTACTTGAATCATCACATCTTTCAAATAAATAAAAATCAACTTTGTCGTTGGAAACGGTAACTTAAAATAGCCAGTTTATGAAATTATACATTTCTTTCAAAAATATTTGAAAAACATTTTTTTAATATAATTTGTTTTTTAACGCTGGTACAATAATCTTATTAGTGTTATAAAATTAACAGGATGAGGATATGGGATTAATCAAAATATGGGGTTGATTAAAATATGGAGATATTAAAATTTTTATTTACCTGTAGCTGTTGTTGGACTAGTTTCAGTTGGGCTTCGAGTTGTCTCTTCAAGTTAAGCAAATGCTGACGCTCGGCTCCAAGTAAATCATCAGCTCCATCACGATCCTATAAAACAAATCAATGTTAGCAGAGCAGAATACAAATTTGCTTTATGTTATTGATGTAATCTTTTGTTCTTAATAAAACACAATTGTTTCTCAGTCAATAGAGTAATTTATTATTTATAGTTTTTTAGGTGAATACAATTTATTCCTACAATTATTTAGAGACGAAAAGTGATCAATAAACGATTAGTCCCATGAGATTTTTTCTCCCTAGTTACAATCTTTGAAGACACAAATAAATTAGAAGTGGTGTAATAAAATAAGAAATACCTTTTCTCTTGCGGGTCTAGACATTCTGATATCTGTGCTTTCTCTGTTTAACATTAAATCTTTACGTTTGTGTTCCAGTGCTTTTTCAAGCGCCTCTTTTCCTCTGGTTAGCGATTTGATTTCTTCGTTAGTTTCGAGTAAACTTTCTCGAAGTTTGGTAACAACAGCTCGTACTTCACGAAAGTACCTTCTTGCCTCATCATTGCTTAGTTGCGCTAGAGTGTCTCTAAGATGTGGGAGGGGATCCAAAGCTTTGCCTATTTCACAAGATTTATCACTTCTCTGAACAACATTTTGTGATAACTTTATTCCTTTGACTGTGTTATTTCTCCAAGACTGTGGGCCAATTGTGGCAGCATTGAAAGTCACTGTTTTAGTTGCTAAAGCCATTGTCTCCTGTCTATTCTATAATGTAATATTGTATGTTAGATGTATTTTAACTAACTAAAATTCACTGAAACGTTCCTCACTCAGTTATAAATCTCCATTCAATCAATACTCCGGTAAGACTGATTATTTGTTCCCAAGGAGCGTTGTTGTCACATGGAAGCTCTATAGCAACGCTTCGCAGAGCACTTCCGCTTCCTATAGGTTATATTTTAGCAGACGCTATTTTATTACATTTCTATCAATTTGAACTTTTTTGGGTTAATTTGAAAATTATCCTCTACCTGATTTTAAACAATGGGGTTAGATGATATTAAGCAAATAGTCTAATCAGTAATCAAAATGTAAACAAACCTGCCACACCCACTTTTACAAATATTACAGATCCAATCACTGTTTTCTGAATACATTAGCAATCATGTTCCTTTTTTGCTCTGCTAATATGTACTTTTTATATTTATCTACATATTCCGATTATAATTATCTCGTTTTATATGTTTAATCCCTAAATTTGGGACTCAAATGCACAAGATTATCTGAGTACATTTGTTTCTATTGACATGACCTTTGCTGGTTACCTTGACTTACCCACAATTCCTTTCTCGGGGTCAAGTGACGTCATTCAAAAACAGGAGGAAGCCATTGATTTTCAGTATTCAAATTTTCGTTTGGATTTTTCCTTGTAGAACAAGTATAGATGGTTCACTAATCATATACTATGTCTAGTATACCACAGTGGAAGCAGGCCTTGCTTGAGAGGAGGCGCCGACAAGATGAAGAAGCGCGGAAAAGGCACAAACAAGAGCTTCAAAAACTTTCTCATATGCCTGCGTGGAAACGGGATTTAATTTTGAAACGAAAAGGATTCCTAAATTCTGATAGCATTTCTTTGACTGAGACAGTGTATAGTAAAACAAATACAGAACAAAACATTCCTTCTAACATTTATGCAAATAATGTGACTGAAAATGGTGATATTCCTGATACAAAATCTAACGAAAATGGGGATGTAGAAAGTGACATTCATGCCACACCTTTTGAGTCCAATTCTGACTCATGTCTCACAAATGGATTTGAACTTGTGGGGAGTTTTGAAAATGAGGAGGAAGCCTTGAACAGTCGATTGGTTTCCAATCAGTCCAATAACATGTCGAATATACCAATAAACAGTGATTTATCGGTTGCTGAGGACATAAAATCTAGGCCTGCTAATTCTGTATCTAAAAGATGTGACAGCTGGGATAGTGAGACAGATGTAAAGGGTACAACAAACTTAGTTACATCTCAGACTCTTCAAGATCAAGAGGCCGAGGAAGAGGAGATGCAGTATCAACCAGGATTTGTACATAAACTATTAGGAAAATTTATTGCCCTGTCAAAACAGGATCAATCTGAGCAACAAATGCCTTCACTACGCAGGACTCACAGCTTAGAAAATATTGTGGATACACCAAGTATTGATGAAAAATTAGAATCGCATCATCCAAGATCTAATATCTATATTCCTCCTCCTATAATTACGACAAGTCGGATGATAAATGTGAACACTTTATCGCCAAGGGAACGGTTAGGCTCAACAAGTCCTTTGAGTCAAGTCCATTATGAACAAGATTTAGCCAAAGCAACTGAAATTCTCCCAGAAACCAAACAGCGACAAAACCTTCCTCGAGAAAACTCAATAGAGGGAGATAAAAAAGTAGTTGAAGAGAAAATTGAGACTGTTAATATGCAGGATGATAGTTTATCAGAAGAGGCTGTCGTTGAAAAAGCAGTAGATGAAGAGCCTAAATTTGTAGGTATTGCTTCTACAAAAAGTAAATTCGAAACCCTTTCAAAACCTTCACCGAAAAAACGAAGGGCTCCACCCCCTCCCAATCCAATTAAACCATGGGAAAAAGAAAATGCTTCAAATAATGCACAAGTTGACTCAATCTGTAAGGAAACAGATCGCAAAGTTATTAAAACAGAAATAAGCAGCTCTACAAACAATGAACAAGTAAATACCATAAATGGTGTTGAACCAAATGTGAATGGAAGTTTACATAAAGAAAATAAAATAGAAACTAATAATAAGCCAAATGTATTGAAAGAACAAAATGACACGACGAAAGAGATTCTTAAGAAGCTTAGGAGGTTAGGACGATCTTGGCATTATAGCAAAGACCCAGATAATCGTGATATCCCTACTAATGCTATACCAGTTGACATATCTGGTCTAAATGACAAAATCAATCTCAAAGTTAGTAAACCCAAAGAAAAGGCAAGCTCTAACACTAATATAACACTTACATCTATCAAACCTAAAACAGATGAAATACCTCAAACCATATCAAAGCCAAAACAGGAAAATAAAAATCTGACCAAAGCTGCACCAAAACTTCCAGTTCCAAAAGACACATATGCTCTCAAAAAGAAAGCTCCAAAGGTTGCACCAGCCCCAACCAATAATGACTCTGGTGGATTTAGGATACGAGCTGCTGACCATAGTGCACCCGTACCTAAAACCAGATCCTTTGAGCTTACAAAACGTTCTCGTATACCACCTAGTGGAGATACAGGATCGGTGACTATTATAAATATTGGTAACGACTCTACAGAATATATCTCTAATAAGAGCTCGCCTGTTACCAATATTGATGATGTCACAATAACAACAGAGTCTGTCCCTGTGACAAACATTGATGATGTTGCAATCGTTGATAAGGATAAGCGTGTTCCAGAATCTTGTAACATTGTATTTATTGGAGAAAATGTCAAAGGATCGCGGAACTGCATGAAGAAAACAAGGAATTATAAGGTAAGTTCTAAGCTCTATACTTAATACGAAAAAATAATATGATGAGTCAAGTCAAAGTGACTTATTGAACCGATCCAAAATAGTTACATGCCTCAAAATTAAAAAATATTTCAAAAATCAAATTATAGCCTTGAACAAATACTGAATAGAAAAATATTTAAACCAAAATCGCAGCAACATTAGACTGCATATTGACACTTTATGGGCCCTTTGGACATTCTGAGAAAGATTTTTTATCACAGCTACAGTCAAAACAGCAATGTTTGTGAGTACTTTGAATTTAAAAAATAAGCAATCAAATGACCATATTGAAACAGTTTATGTAAAAATAGAAACATTTATATTTATCCTATTATTATTATTTATTACATAAATTGTTTCAATTTGGTTATTTAATTGCTTATTTTTTAAATTCAAAGTACTCACAAACATTACTGTTTTGACTGTAGCTGTGATAAAATGTCCACAGGGCCCATAAAGTGTCAATATGCAGCTGTGTCAATGTAGCTGTGATAAAAAATCTTTCTCTTTTACTGTAGGTGTTCACCTGTAGGAAGGAGTGCTGTACTGTATTTTCCAACCTTATGACATGCCTTATGAAATCTTATAAGCTTCTAAGGGTAGCCAAGCCAATATTTATTTATTAGATTTTAGTTGTATACATTGCTTCATATGGGTGGAACCAGTATTAACTATGTGTTCAATATACCATAATTGTTGTGTTAAGACACATGACGTCTGAATAACATTTGATCTGCTGATATTTTTTAGGTTTCACATGTTTTACATATTATACCAGTATATTTTCTTAAGATTTACTCCAACTGTATTGTTCTACTTTAGAGTTACAGTTTACTTTAGAGTTACGGTTTTTAAATGATTGGTGATTCAAAAAGACATATGATAAATATAATAGAACCATATACCCTAAAATATGACTAAGCTGTCTTCACCAAATAAAATACAGATCATAAACTGACATTGAGCCATATTAATAGAGGGACCGATGTAATTAGGGATGCTCCCTGCCCTTCATATGTGACTAAAATATCTTCAATAAGGAAGCAAGTGATGTAGTTAGAAGTTCTTTAATCCCAAGGCCTAGAAAGTCATAGATTATGGATAAAGGTTTTGAAATGTCAATCAAAATAACTCATTACTTATTTGTGTCAGATACTCTGTCTAGTCACTCTAACTGCACTTAAAATGATACAATATACTTATTTAGATACATAAATAATAAAAAATCTTTTAAACTCAGACATATTAAGAGTTGGAATGATTACTTCTTCCCTTATCTATAGTATTTCCAAATACAGTAGTGATACTGATCGTAAAGGCTCTGATTGTAAAGATGTTATCTAAATTACAGGTATCAATATACCTATGTCTGGTTTATAGCCCAAAATACCTGGGCAATTATGCTATAAAATGTCATAATATTACTTATAAGTTCTCAGAATTAAGGATGGGTAATGATGATAAGGATTTTCAGATTTTGGACTTTTAACTCAAGGCTGCCATGCTTTTATAGACTGGAGCATGTCTACTCTGAATGACTTGTTTAGATTTATATTATGGGTACCCTTTTAAAGATCGACTATTTGGGTTTAGGTAAATAGTACTTATTGCCTTTCGATAGAAAGAAGGTTAAAGAAAAATGAATATACCTTTATGCCTTTTTGGAAAGGTTAGTCAAGATTCATTTTGAAGCATAATATACATATAATAAGTTCCTTTTGTATATTACGTATGCCTGGAGCAATGTATGTTTAGGGGGGCTTTAATATGTTTATTCAACTGGTTTTCTATTTAATTCCTAATAAGATTAACCATGTAACGGGTCAGGATTTGGTTTAAATCCAAAGTTATGATTCAAGTTGAAATAAGTACTAAACTGTGCCAAAGTATTTAGTCCTATAGATATCGTAATGAAAAATGTGATTTTAATTTTACACCTGAAAAATTATGAGAACCTAGAAGATCTTTTCTTCGATTGAAAACTTATTAAAAATCTTTCATTGCAGGTGAACTTGACTTGCAATTACTTTATTGAACATTAGAGATTGATGTCTCCTTAACATATGAATAAAGACAACAAAAGATTTGATTTCAACAATTATTGTGATACCAGTCATCTTGTCATTTTCTTTTCTTTGCATTTTATCATTACAATTTAAATTCCAAAGTCTATAACATGAAAATTGAATATAGACCCGCCAATGTTACCTATCGGTACAAGAGATGAATCGAGGATGAATCAGAGTGTCAGAGACACATTGAATAGTATAATGACCAAGATTTCCTGAATGATAAAGAATAGTTCCACTTGTCTTGTGTGGCCACTCTACATACTACACCTTCACTGGAATATAATATAGGGAGGGGGGTATGCAGACTACCTCACACCCCTGGCTTAAAGTGGGGCTTCTTTCAAGATAGTCTTGAACTGCAGACTGCATTCATTACTCAGATATATTTCAATTTGCCTTGCTAAGAAAGGTACCTAGTAATAATAGAAGGCTGTGATCTCTCACAATGGCAAAACCTCATGTTGCTTACTCTTTGCATCCGTTCAACGTCTCTTTTTAAAAGAGATCTTCATCTCAATTCTTTTAGCTAACAATAAATCTCTGAACTCACTTAGTCAATCAGACTCCTCAACATATGGCTGAGTTTCTATATATGGTCATTTCCTCTGATATTATCACAGGCACTAGTCATAAGGGCGGCCTGCTAAACTGTTGTAATATAGTTGATATTAGGCATAGGGTAGTTATAACTAGACTCTTCATGCAAGGTACATATTGCTAATCCATGCAGGCCCGTAGCCAGGGGGGGTTCGCAGGGTTCGGGCGAACCCCCCCCCCTGGCCAAAAATTCTTTCAAAATCATGCAGTTTTTCACCATTTTGAGCACTTCTCTTGTGATTTTAGCCATATTTGGGCCAAAATTGTCAAATGTGAACCCCCCTGGAAATTTTTGAAAACTGAACCCCCCCTTGGCAAATCCTGGCTACGGGCCTGCCATGGCATCCTTTTTTCTCAATCACCAAGAGTTGCAATTTCAGATAGATGTAAAAACATATTGTCTGGCATCTAGTCTCTGCCCCCCACCCCCTCCCCCTACCTTTGTTAATCAGAGGTGACATATATAAAAAAAGGTGTCGAGATCAATATGACTGTATGTGGCAAGATCTTTAAATCCTCAGGGTAGGTCGTATATGAGTGAGATGTGAGTTTTAAGGACATTACAATTATTGTATTGAGAAATTAGCTAACCTTGAATCTTATGTCTTCAGACAATGTTCACATCACAAGAGGGATCAACAAACACACATTTTAAACTAAAGTGATCAGTTTTATCAAGTTAAGAGTACATGTAGAATATGTGATATGATTTAGCCTTCACATAATTTACAGTATATATTTCATGTTTTATCTGATAACTGCAACATTATCATATGTTCATGTAACTTAATATTAGATAAACAATTATTTATGTTTCAAAATGAATTCAAGTGACACATCTCAAGGCTCTTAACCTCATTGAAATAGCAGGAAGTGATTTGTCCGATGAGTTAAAACTTCTCAGAAGTAGGGGAGATGTATCAAACTTTGATGGGGTTAATTTGTCATGAGGCTACTCTAATCATGGGGCTATTTCAACCATTGTCGATTATTTTTATATCCAGGGTCTGCCATCTTGGATTAAGGTCTGGCCCATTGAAGATTTAGATTTATTTTTAAAATTTTCAAAAAACTAACATGTCGGAATGTATGGATAGGAATTCAAACATGACCGTGCTCTATTCGAATTTCTCAACCAATCAGAATGCAGAATAGCCAATATAGAACGTTCTCTAATTCTCCATAGATGCACGACCATGCTCTGTTCAATCTGCAATTTGCATTGTTTTGAGTGACGTCACAACTCAGCTGCACATCTGGGGCTCTGTCCGGGGATAGCTGTTCTTTTTTACTCCCTCCGTAACTACTGTAACTATTTAACTCCCATGTTTGCACACACCGTATAAAATCAAGGAGGATTGGCTCCCAGGATCGAAACTCGATATTTTCCAACAATGAAAACGTCGAAATGTCGTTATTTTCTGAAATTAAAACCGACTATAAATTCAAAATAAACAGTTCAAAAGATTCAAACCAATATCTCGATCGTTTCTTGTGAGTTTTGGAATTTTTCGTTTGGAAATAAGACCAAAATTCACGATTTAAATGTTGAAGTGAACAAAATGGCGGCTGTTTGAATTCGAATTTTGTATTACGACATACCCATATATGGGACAGAATATCGGTGGTGCACTCTGGGAGCCAATCCTCCTTGGTATAAAATCTAAAACGGGGAGTAAAATAGAACAGCCCAAACAAATTCTAAAATTTTTCCGGTCGACTTCAGAATCTTGACAGCATGCGTATTCTTCCTTCATGCCCGTTCCACAAACACGGCTTTTACTAATTTTTATGTTTGAATCGGAATAAATAATGATAGGCCATTCAATATGGTGAAATTCAGCACTCGTTGGACAGAATGTTAGTACAAATGCACTCACCTTCGGTTCGTGCTTTGTACAACATTCTGTCCAACTCGTGCTGAATTTCACCATATTGAATGGCCTATCATTATTTATTCCTTAAATATAAGCCAATGTCGTTCTATGACGAAGTAAGCACATAGTTTGATGCATCTTCCCTAACATATGAAGAAAAATGTCTAATCAATTGGCATTATGATCAGTGTTCAGTAATTATGACGGTTACAGGCTTGCGTATTAGATAAGTGATAATAATACTCATGTCTTATTAGGTTTCTCTACAGTTTAATCATACAACTTTCTGAAATTTCTGTAGTAATGCATGCCAATTTTTGTAATTGTATTATGGGTATCATTCCTTGTTGATTCCATGTTATTCATTCCGAAAAAAGCAAAATTTGGCATCGATGTATTTTTTATTTATGTTAAAGTCGTAAATGTCAATGAGCATCAATCTCCGAAGATGACTCATTTATTTGTTAACCACTAAGACATAAAAAACATCATCCTTCAATCTGTTTGGACCTAATGAGCTACAGTGAACCTCCTCTATTATGAACAGCAACAGTGTATTAATTCACAGTGATTTCACTGTAGCTGAAAATATAGGTACCTGTTACATAGTAAGCGGGTTAATTGCTCGTTACGAAATCTTATGACAAAGGTTTCATAACAAATGATTTTTATATGCCTGTGTAACAACTCAAAAATCATTTGTTATGCATGAAGTTTTTTTGTCAAAATGCGATGAAGTGACTAAACCTAATATGGTTTAAGAATTCAGAATTTAAATTATTGTTTTCATAACATGCTTCTAATTATTTATTTTTAATGTCAGCAGTATGAGTCAAGTGATCATCGATATGATTCAAAAATGTTGTGTAACATTTTGTTTGCGGCTGATAACAGTGTAATTAACATTTCATGATAATATGCAGGCAATCTTGTCTTGACGTACAAATGATGTGATAAGTTTGTTTTTTCGGGGCATGTTTTGTTAGAAAATGTTTACCATGTTATGTACAGTTAAATCTATCTTATCCGAATACTACCTGGACTGGTCAAAAGTGTTCAGATTGTCAGGTGTTCATATTTTGAGGTATTTAACATCTGTGGCAAATACAAAAAATGGGATAAAAAAGTGTCTACATTTAGAGACGTTCAGATTAGAGAGGTGTTCAGATATACAGGGTATACTTAGAGGTTATGTCACTATGACGTGAAATATGCCTGAGTTCTCCCAATATAGGCCGACCTTGGGAGGCTCTATATTTGGGCAAGAACGAAGGCATATTTCACGTCATAGTGACATAACTGATGTATTACATGCCTTTGTTCCCATGGTTACTTTGTATCAATGACGTGACGTCATGATATTATCATGGTTATTAAAGAAATCTAATATCAAAACGAGGTAAGCGGGCTATATCGGGGTAATCGGGCAATATCGGTGGATATAGCTCGCTAACTTTCCCATTGACTTCCATACAAATGCTTCGCTAGGTATGTAATACTGTCCCATATAGCATTTTCCATCAAAATTACAGACAGGAAGTCACTGTCTTGTATTTAAGGATCAAAATTAATCACCTCAGAGAGCTCAATGCAAAAAACAAGTTCCTTTCGGTTTCGGAAATTCAGAAGGAAAATTTGTACAATGTTCTTCATAAGAAAAAATCATAATTTTATAAAAAAAGGATTTAATTATTAGCCCTGTTTACATTTGAGATGGATTTTCACATCTCTAATGTGTTCTATTTTATTGTATTTTAATAATGGACTGCTTTGTTGACTAAACTGCAACTGGTTTGTAGGGTTTGCCATTTTATTGTATTATATGTTGGACTGCTTTGTTGACTAAACTGCAACTGGGTTGATGGGCTTGGCATTTTATTGTAATATATGTTGGACTGCTTTGTTGACTAAACTGCAACTGGGTTGATGGGCTTGACATTGTATTGTATTATATGTTGGACTGCTTTGTTGACTAAACTGCAACTGGGTTGATGGGCTTGACATTGTATTGTATTATATGTTGGACTGCTTTGTTGACTAAACTGCAACTGGGTTGATGGGCTTGACATTGTATTGTATTATATGTTGGACTGCTTTTTTGACTAAACTGCAACTGGGTTGATGGGCTTGGCATTTTATTGTAATATATGTTGGACTGCTTTGTTGACTAAACTGCAACTGGGTTGATGGGCTTGACATTTTATTGTAATATATGTTGGACTGCTTTGTTGACTAAACTGCAACTGGGTTGATGGGCTTGGCATTTTATTGTAATGTATGTTGGACTGATTTGTTGACTAAACTGCAACTGGGTTGATGGGCTTGGCATTTTATTGTAATATATGTTGGACTGCTTTGTTGACTAAACTGCAACTGGGTTGATGGGCTTGCCATTTTATTGTATTATATGTTGGACTGCTTTGTTGACTAAACTGCAACTGGGTTGATGGGCTTGACATTGTATTATATTATATGTTGGACTGCTTTGTTGACTTAACTGCAACTGGTTTGTAGGGCTTGCCATTTTATTGTAATGTATGTTGGACTGATTTGTTGACTAAACTGCAACTGGGTTGATGGGCTTGACATTGTATTGTATTATATGTTGGACTGCTTTGTTGACTAAACTGCAACTGGTTTGTAGGGTTTGCCATTTTATTGTAATATATGTTGGACTGCTTTGTTGACTAAACTGCAACTGGTTTGTAGGGTTTGCCATTTTATTGTAATATATGTTGGACTGCTTTGATGACTAAACTGCAACTGGGTTGATAGGCTTGGCACATTTTGATTTTGAGATGTTGCTTGGGGCTGTTGATATGACTTGAAAGTATGATAAATCAACATATCAAAAAAACTATCAAGGATCAGTTTTTACTGGTTTATTTCATTACCATAATTAAAAGTTGGTTTCAAGTGTTGTTTTTAATTGGTGTTTTCCTTCAATATTCCCATTTGAGTATTCCCATAAAAGAGTTCTGTAAAATATTCTGTTCAAGCTGTGATAGAGCACTCATGTTTCACGCAGTATTTAAATACATTCTAAAGCCCCATGTAAACATTTTAAATTTCTCATTTCTTAGCTTTGAAATACTGTATTAAAACCAGAATGGTTTTTGAAGCGCGTGTCAAATGTACACGTATACTTGTATGATATTATGTTTAAATCATTTAAATTTGTATTAGAGTCTATTAGCAATGACACATACTTATGACCTCGTAATATATAACATAAACACATGTAAATGTCAACAAAAATCTGAATGAGCAAATCACAGAGCAGTTTATTTTAAGGGTATATAAGGGTAAGGGCTATGAAAAAACTTGTTGATAGGATTTTTGTTTGATGACTGGGTATTTCAGGGTCATCTACGAGATCCAATTATTTTTGGCAGAGATCTCTTAATCTTACAGTTGGGTATGATAAGAATATATAACAAACATAGTCGCATTCCGGAAAACTGAATAAATCCTGGCAGCTTTGAAATTTTAAACCTGTCCACTAGGCTATATTTAATTGATTGTCTAGTTTTTCAGGCCAAATATTATTTTAAAATCATGCATTTTCCACCATTCTGAACACTTAAAAGTGATTTTGGGCCAAAGTTATAAATTATGAACCCCCTAGATTTTTTTTAAAAAGTATTAAAAACCCCTCTTTGCTAAATCTGGCCAGGGCTTGTATACCTTTTCAGCTTGAGGTACTCTACATTTGGAAAAAAGTGATTTTTGGCCGAAGTTGTCAAACCCCCTAGATTTAAAAAAAAAGTCAACCCCTCTTTGCTAAATCTGGCCAGGGCTTGTACCTCATTTCAGCTTGAGGTACTCTACATTTGGAAATATGTTTTCTACATCATTCTCATTCTGTATAAACTGAACTCCATCCTACATCCCATCAATATACAAATACAAATGTACATGGATTTTAAGTTAAGATGTGAACACCTGTCTATTTTATACACTAGTTATTCTCAAAGAAAAAGACCATATTGATTTATTTTCATCTTTACACCTGTTGCTAATAGACTATTATATGATAAGTTTTACTTCAATTAGTGACATCGCCTGTTTTCAACATGTTTGGTGCTCGTAAAATTTACAATTATGATAAAAATTAAACCTTAAACACTTATGGCCTGAGATTGCAGAGTAGAATAGTTATAATTTGAATATTAAAGTTGATGATTTGTATTTTGTTCTTTCCTTAGGACAGTTTTCTAGTACTCGTACATGGCTATTGTCGAGATATATTTGCCTTCTGTTGAAACTATATTTTAAACTGACCATTAAAAGGTGAATACTGAACACTCATTAAAGGTGAACACTTACAGATCGTGTTGAATAAGTCCTTACACTGAAATTTATTTCAAAGCCTGGGTATAGGGGCAGGAAAGAAATGGCCCTATCATATTGTTATTGTTATACAGTATTCCAACTGTTATACAGCAATCCAACTGTTATACAGCAATCCAACTGTTATACAGCAATCCAACTGTTATACAGCAATCCAACTGTTATACAGTATTCCAACTGTTATACAGCAATCCAACTGTTATACAGGCATCAAAAAAAGAAATTTAAAGAAGAACTGAATACAATAACGCAAATACATTTGCCTGAATATGTACATATGAACATCAAAGGATTTAACATTTTCCTGGGGCTTGTTCACCAAATATGAAAATGAAAACATTATCATAATACTATTCTTAAGGGTATGACAGTCCTTCATATTTTAAACTTGTGAACTTTTTAGCTAAGGTAAACTAATCTAACATGCAAATATGTAAGAATTTAATCCTTTGAATATCTTGAATTGCCCAAATCATTCTATATTTTAGTCCCTTTTGTTTCAATGTGTAGTTTTGAGAGACTTTGAGATGTTTGGTTGATATGGCACAAGTATGTTGTCAGTATATTCAAAGTTGATTTTTATGAATTTTAATAAAAACAAGATTGTAATTCTTTATGTGAACATGAATTGAAGAAAACTAATAAACTCTAAAAAATATTGAAGTCACTTTTTGGAAAATAATCAAGATCACATAATTGAATTTCCAAGAACCTCTATTGCAATATTTATTAGCAATATCATTAAAGTTTAGATATATCAAGTTGATAATAACATTTTCAACAGATGAGCCCGAGATAACGAAATTATGATCTTCATTTCTCTCTTTTCAGCAGAGTAAATGTCAGTTCAATGAAACAGAGAGGCTCTACACATACCCTGATGAAGGATTCCTTCTACGCCATCTTGACATTACACCTGACTGGGAGCTGGAGAAAAACAACAAGAACCTGTGCAAGAACAACAAGGACGATGATGATGATGAGGATGAGGTGAAACCTGCAAAGGTTGGCCCACTTGCACCAAAAGATGTTGATATCGTGGATGCTAGTGCATCAGTTTCTGCTCTTAAGTCAACCCCAGGGATTGGAGCCAGTAGTAAAGGTGAGACAGGCTGGGGGCCAATAAAATCAGGCACGGGGGGTGAGATAGGAGATTTTTTTGTATCAGCTTTCACTTTCAAGTCAACCCTGAAGATATGAAGGCAGAAATATAAGGTAAACTGGAGGCATTCATGAACAGGCATATTCTGGTTTCGAGAGATGATCACATTCTGTCCAAGTCAGATTTCAGGTTGACCTCATTTAATGATACCTTTAAGGCCCATGTTAAAGTCCTTTCATTGTCATGTATTTTTATTGCCAGAATAAACATTTAACAATACAAGTGATATAAAACATAACATAAGAGAATTTGTTCCCATGAAGCGAAAACAAATCACGATGAATAAAAGTCTTGCCAGTGTTTTCTTAAAATTAATCCCTATTTTTGGCAACTTTTTTTATTGGCCCATGTGACATTGACTGTACTTTAAAATAATGTCTGTAATTAGATTAAAAATGTTTCCTTCCTCATCCTATGAGTGAAATGAACTTATAGGATGAACACTGAATGCCATAGTATATTAGGTACGAAATACATATTTATGTTAAGTAGCAAACCAAGATTATTGGTATGGGTAATTTCCTCCAAAATTTTTGAGCTCTTACAGTTGTGTTGATAGGAAACCTTTTATTTCCAATATATTTCCCCTGAAATATTTCTACTTTTAGTTAATTCAAAAATGATGAAAACAGACTTTCAATACATATTTTGAATCATTGCATGGGCCAGAAATCATCTTACATCTGAGCACTATCTACCATATACATGTACCCTTTACTAGAAGAGAAATAGACATTCATTTGGGCTAAGAATACAGGGGAATTACTCCCAGGTTGATTTGCGGCATAGGAGGGGGTTGAAACGGCAAGGGATACAGCTAAGACTAGAGATGATCATCCTCTGAATACAGGCTCCAGAACTCATTCTCATTTCTCCAAGAAGAAGGAAGGAATGTAGCAGGTGATGTCTGGAGTCTTGTATTTGGAGGATGGGAGATGATACAATGAATGAATATCTTTTATGATTGTGTCAATAATTCAACATACTTTTGTACTTAAAGTGTTATCTTGGTATTGTACTATACAATGACATAGATTGTTGTGAAGTGGATGATCTGAATGAATGTTTCCCACATATGCCACAAAAGCCATCATTAATCAATTTATTAAACATACGTTTCAGATTAAGCACTTCCTAAGGCACTTATCCAAAGTTATCAACAGTTAATCACTACATATTCTGTTTGTATATCATAGCTAGTTTATCATTGTGGTATTTAATCTTGCCTTTAACATCTCTGTCTATCTTGACATTTTTTATCGCACTTTCAAAAAGTGGTACTGGTATATTGTCGTCTTGGGCTGCTTGGGCTGCTGGGGAGCCCCACATAAATCATAATTAACAGCGAAACCTGCTTTTCTGTTCAACTTGAAATGTTTATAGATGTACATGTAATGGTAGACTAGTGTCAAGATCTGAAATGGTTTTGCACTGGCAGATCCAGGGCATGGGGCCTGCCCCCCCCCCCTTGGGTAGGCCCAGATTTTGGGGCCCAAACATTTTGTAGGACCTCAATTAGTGGGCCTTTTTAGGCATTATTTATAGATTTTCAAAATTTGGGCCTAACTTTGGTATTTAGGGACCAAAAATTTGTTTCCACATAAGCGTGGAATTTTTTCTGACAACCACCCTCCCATTATCTACTTCACTAACACAACACACTAGAGGGGGGGGTGCTCGCAAGGGCTCGTAGCTAGACTAGCTCATCAAAGTGCAATATTTGTCTTTGTGTCTTGTTTATTTATCCTGACATCTGGAATACTGGTGACAAGAATGTTCTGATGTATATCAAAATGTACCTAAATGATAGTCTGACAATAGTAAACACTCAAAGTTCAACAAAGTATGGAGTTATTGATTATTGATTTTTATTATTTCTCTTGCATTTTTCTGAATGACATTGGTTTCCTCATAGAATCGAAGCACTGCAACCAGGTGCTGCTCCTTAGGAATTTGAATTCTCCTTGTACCAAATCTAAAATCAGTTGGCGAGAGTTTCAAAATTGTGTTGAAAATCTGGTATTTTTAGACTTACACCTTCTCATTTGGACTCACTTTAAAGTAGCAAAAATCAAGGAAAGGAGAAACTTTGTTCAGAATTTCAAAAATAAGATTTTGTACCAATTGCCAAAAAATTACACAAAAATCTGGTTTTATTATGTCCCCACCACATAGTGTGGGGCCATATTGTCGGCCTAGGCGCGTCCGTCCGTCCGTCTGTCTGTCTGTTTGTCTGTCTGATCTGATTAGGTTTTGGACCTGTTAGCTCAGTCATGACAGCCATTTTGAATGTCTTAAGAAAAGTTAGCGTGCGATAATACTTTGTATCATATTGAATGGTGTTTTTGAGTTTTCATACTTAGACTATTTAGTAGCTTTATAAAAAATTTCAGGTGTACTTTATTGTAAAAGCCTATGTTATTGTTAACAGTAGTAATATGTGCTAATTTTGTAAAAAGAAATCAGCAAAAACTTATAATCACTTTTTTATTGTCGGCCATTTTGGATTTTTCCATCCTAAAATCTCGTCTGTAAAGTCTTGTCTATGCGTTTTCAGGCGAACCATTTGGTAGATCATTTCCAAATTTTCAGGGATGTTTCTTAGTATGAAAATCTAGATCTGATTAGTTTTTTGGCATTCTGGGTAAATGTCAAGGCAGCCATTTTGGATTTTCCGTCCTAAAATCTTGTCTGTGAAGTCTTGTCTATGCATTTCCAGGTGAAGCGTTTGGTAGATCAATTTCAAATTTTCAGGGATGATTCTTAGTATGAAAATCTAGATAAGTTTTTTGGCATTCTGGGTAAATGTAAAGGCAGCCATTTTGGATTTTCCATCCTAAAATCTTGTCTGTAAAGTCTTGTCTACGCGTTTTCAGGTGAACCATTTGGTAGATCAATTTAAAATTTTCAGGGATGATTCTTAGTATGAAAATCTAGATCTGATTAGTTTTTTGGCATTCTGGGTAAATGTCAAGGCAGCCATTTTGGATTTTCCATCCTAAAATCTTGTCTGTAAAGTCTTGTCTACGCGTTTTCAGGTGAAGGGTTTGGTAGATCAATTTCAAATTTTTAGGGATGATTCTTAGTATGAAAATCTAGATCTGATTAGTTTTTTGGCATTCTGGGTAAATGTCAAGGCAGCCATTTTGGATTTTCCGTGCTAAAATCTTGCCTGTAAAGTCTTGTCTACGTGTTTTCAGGTGAACTGTTTGGTAGATCAATTTCAAATTTTTAGGGATGATTCTTAGTATGAAAATCTAGAACTGACTAATTTTTTCGGCATTCTTGGTAAATTTAAAGGTGGCCATTTTGCATTTTCCGTTCCAAAATTGTAGCAGTAAAGTCTTGTCTACTCATTTTCAGGATAACCATTAGATGGGATCACCCATTGGTGGGGACATATTGTACACATTTGTGTTCTTGTTTTTCATATATTGAGGTTTCTTTGGAGATTTCCTTTTTATCTCATACTTGTTTTACTGAAATGTATTGCAACTTCATTTGCAGTCTCTTTGCACAATTTTAGCTGATAAAACATTGATCGATAGTAGAGATGAAATGTACATTACAAAGATCAAGTCATAAACCACTCGACAGCGTTGACCAAACCCAAATATATAAATCAGAAATAAACTGGACATGTACAACTTCATGGTTTTCTTATTGACTTAACATATATTACAATTTTCTCTCAAGGTTTTACACACATTTTTGGCCTTTTGTATTTGTATGAACTTAAATGTTAATGTTTTTATCAACATTTAAACAATTAACTCATTTCGTGCAAAGTTCAAAAACAAAATAGTTTCAAAAGGAAATGAAAAAATCACGATATTTGTCTAAAGATAAGGCACATGCTCGTTGGCTTATAAGGCTAACTAGCTAAGCTATCAATTTTCTTAGAAGATACATATTTCTGAGGTCAAATTCAAAAAATATTTGCAAATGATTTACTCAATATGTTTATATACGAGAGTTGTTCATAAAGTTCTCAAAATATTTCTTTATTTTTATTATATTCTAATGAAATTTTTAGTTATGAGTAAACAATGACTTATTAATCCAACAAAAAATATTAGGTAGGCTACAGTGAATAACACTAATGTTTTAATCTATTAGAACATATAGAAAAATAAAAAAAATAGAGAGATTTTATCAGAACTTTATAATCACCCCTCATATGATATGTATAGGTTCCAAATTTTACATGTGAATGATTCATGGTGAATCTATGCCCAAAAAATAAAATATAAAGCAAAGATATATTTCTCAGGTGTTGTTTATAATGTTAATATCTGTTTAAAATATATGATAACTCTGAAAATTAAATTCACTCACTGGTTTGCTGATTCTGGTTATAATGTCACCACAAAAAGTGGTGACATATTTGTTATAGTCTTCAACATTTTTATGGACAGTGGTTGGTGGTCCACAGTTGGTGGTCAGCAGTCAGTGTCTGTAAAAAATGGCAGGTGGTGATATTTTGGATGTTAATACCTTGTATATAATATTGTTCTCCCAATATTAAAAAATAATACCTCAAAATCTAATAATGACTGATTTGACTCAGTCAGTGACATTTAATATGAACATAACTGCTGGCAATATATTAATAAAAAACTCATGACCTAATATGTATTGTATTTAATAAAACTAGGTTAAAAGGGTTTAGGGTTGACTTTTAAGGAGGTGCCCTAGTATCATAAAAAACAGAGAACATGCAACATTCATTCAATGTTTAAGTAAAATACTGAATAGTGTTCTAGAAATTCATAAGGTACATGTATAAAACAGTTAAAATGAAATTCCATTTTCAATTTGACATCTTTAAACCTTGTAAGTTAGTTCAGGAAACTGGTCCCACGTTTCAAGTATCATGCTTAATAATAGAATTCAACGTGCTCTTTTTTCAATCTGAGAAGAGTTGTGAAGGAGGAAGTAACCTGACATGCTTTGTAGTCAATATAAAAATATGAAATAAACCTCTATGAAATACACAATATAACTCTTCAGTAGGACTTGTGTATAACATTTTATGCTGGGGTATAACCATTTTATTCTGGGGTATAACCATTTTATTTCCAAGAGGAAATTGACTGATGTTTACATACAGAATTGCTAGAGTATGATTTATAAGGTTTTATGATTTAACAATCTGTTTTTCAAAATTTTGCATGTCTTTATGAAAAACATTGTTCATTTCATAATGTTGCTAAGTTGCTATTTAATGTCTCTCATCTTGCCTGTTCAGTTGTGCCATTTGTGTTTTTTGTGTTTTCTTCTTGTTAGATTTTATAAAAAGAAGCAAGACCCATTACATAAAAGCAGCGACCAAAACCTCCTTGATCTGTTTTTCAAACACACTTACATTTGACATTTTACTCTGAGAGTCATGTGATCTGCCATTCTGATAAATCTGGTTCTTGTAACATCTTTCTGTATCACCAGAAAGATTCTCATGCATGGCTTAGGAGAAAATGAGATGTCATTGTTTATCATGATGTTCAAACTTGTATACAAAGATCTAGCGCTGGGAATACAGAAAAGACCAAGACACGCTTTACTTCACTAAGCAACATGCCAATTGCAACTATCTCAAGTCTTCTTATTTTCCAATTTTAATATGGGGCCAGATTATGTAACTTTTGAGTGGAAACATATCTCAGAGCATTATCTCATCTTGCTTCATCAAGCTTCGGACCTATTGTCACCTTGATTCACGACAAATTATTGGTTATACACTAAATAAACAAACCCCAGCTGATGCGCTGTCTTGATGGCATTATCTAGCAAAGTTTCAAACTTTATGGTGATAGGTAAACCAACCACCATATGCCATGTTGGCTTTCTCAGGTAGCTCTTGTACAAGCACCTGTTGATAATACCACTGGCAGATCCAGAAGCCAACAAGGGGGGGGGCAGTGGAAAAGTTTTTGGGCCTCTAAAACCAAAAGTTAGGCCCAAATTTTGAACATTTAAGGCTTATTTTTTGGTAATAGGCCCAAAAAGGCCAAGTTATGGCCAAAAAGGCCCATTTTTGAGGCCCTACAAAATTTTTGTTTGGGGCCCTGTAAAATCTTCTGGGGCCACACCATGCCCCCCCCCCAACTCCCCTGGATCCGTCAGTGAATGCTCTTTTATTGAGTCCAAGTTCATTGCATATAAGGTGGAAACATTTTCTAGAACATAATCTGGCAGCCTTTGAAGTTAACTACCTCGTATTTCTGATAAAAAGTCATCAACGATATGCCCAGCACTGTTAAGCTATGTGAGCTGAACTTTTTCAAGATGGTATGATGTAAGTTTTCTAGGTGGGAACATTCCCCAGAACAGATGTAACTAAGTGTGAAGCCAAGCTTCCTAAACATGCTGACATCATAATCTCTGACATTTCGTTTCTTCCCGTATAATTATTGCTCATGACCTTTCAGCCAGTACTTGTCTATTAGGGCCATCAAGAAATGCAGATTCATATTTTGTCATTATTTAGAATACTGATCCCGCACATAACATAGCCCATATTAGTGGTCATTTTCCCTTCATGATATTAGTATGGCGATAATCAGACTCAGGGAAATGTTTCTGTTGTGGAAGTTCATTGAGTCAAGACAACCCAGTGAGGTCACAAGCCATGAAATCTAACTCTTCTGGAATTTTGTTGTTTATATCTCACCATAAATAGACATCCAAGCTGGAATAAAGATGTTCTTGTATTTTCTGTATAATTAGATTCTGAGACCTGTTGCTACATATTTAAACCAACCCCCCCCCCCTCCCCAATATTTACATACTGCCACTGTTTTATAAAATAAGTTTTGAGAGGGGCAGACTGCTGTTGAAGTGGTAAACAGTAGAAATTGACATTTAGATGTTTTATCTTTGTTGTTGCCAGTTACTAGGGTATCATGTAATAGAGAACCATACTGGGTTATTTTGTTGCCCATTAATCTTTTTCATGGTAGTCAATGTTTTGCTGATTTTGATTTGGCACAAATATTGTTTTTTGTTTTTAATCAATATTTGTTGTATTCAGTATAAAGCTGTGCCTTTTATTGACATTGTTTATAAATCCAAGGTTAATTCATTTTTACAATTAGTTATTCAATAAATGTTATGTATTCTCAAAGCTAACTTAATTTGCATCTTGTGTATTTGTAGGAGATCTGTCGAACTATCGCTCAAAGTTCCAACAAGAATTCGAATTTGGGAAACGGGAAGAAGAGGAGGAGCCAAAAATTGTTCACAGACCTGAACCCACCCCTGACCCAGAGGATGTCACGGTGAAGCCATCTGAAGAGGACGAAAACTTTGCATGGTCAGATTCTGCGACATCAGACATGTTATTTTAGAAATGCAAATTCAGTGCACAATGCAAATTGGTCTGATACTGATATCAGAATTTATGAGGAGGACATGACACTTTTAATCAAATCAATCAATCTCAAAATGAAAAAACACAGATCAAAATCAAGTACCATAAATGAGGAATAATACATACACAGGAAAAGGGAAAGGAGAATTATATATATCACTGTGTCTTATGCCAAATATGGGACTACCATTAACATATGCAATTGTTATTCAGTGCTTCTGAGGCCAGTCCATGAATTACAATATGCTTATTCTGAATGATGTTCTTTTATTTGCATGTATCAGGTCATACATGTTTGATTGTACAGAGTGGGCCAGTGCTGTACAGTACATGGTTATTTTAATATATTTTGCCTTGGTCTCTTTTGCTGTTGAAAAAATAGAAATTGATAGTCTGTAAGCCTTCTGTATCTTGAAAAGTAAATTATCTTGAAAAATGTAACTTTCAAAACAGCAACATAATATTGTATGAGTCAGCAATCTTGACAGCTTTGAACTTTAAATCCACCCAGAAAACATCATGGGCCTCTTTAGATTTCATTCTGACATAATAATTGGCAGAGATGTTTACTTTACACTAGGACTATGCCAGTCAGCATATTATAAATTGAAAAATATGGGTCTACATCTATTTCCTGCTCATTACTATTTGCAGTTTACAGTATATGTTGTTGCAAGGCGACTAATTGTTTTTTGTTCAGGATTTCTGGGTTTTCAACATGAGATTATGCAGACCCACCAGTGGAGTTTGCTCTCCCATGGTATATCACTCTGGTTATATTTTGCACAATTTATTCTCTTTGATTTAATGGTCATCCTCCCATTACATGATATTTCTCATAACAATTGAACATTTTTTTTGAACATCAAACATATAGGCCTATCTGTTTTTAATATCTTGTAAAATTGCTATAATCTAAACTACAAACTCATGATGTTATTTGAGGAAAAGCTACAGATCATTCTAACCTGTTTCTGTTTACAAGTTATCCTGCTTCCTTTCATATTTTCTGTATCTTGTGAAGCAAGTGGTCGAATTTGAAGAGAACTAGCTATAGGATTTAAACTCAGAGCATTGTGAATCAAACTAGAATCTGATTGATAGATTGGTACAGCACTATACCTATAGCACTATACCCACAGCGCTATACCTAAATTACAAAAAACAAACATTGAAATAATGAAACTGTTTTCGATTGTTGCCTCCTATGCTCTTTTCGAAGTTGAATCGCCATGACATCTATCAGGAAAATATATCTCATTTTTGTCTATTTCACTCTGAAATCTTCAATTTAGTCCTGTATATAAACAGAAAAGTATTCAGATTTAAGCTTATTTATTTATAAGGCAGCTTAGTTCCAAAATCCTAATGGTTTTCTGGCTTGTATTTGGGACCAAGTAAGCGTTCTTGTACAACTTTTAAATTAAAACCAAAGAGATGACAATGCATTTGGTAGCTATTATACGCTTTTTATCAACTTCTTTTTTGTGTCAGTGCTGCTCTTGCCTCTTAAATATTTTGCTTATTTGCGTTGTGTTCTTGAACTTGAGTTAATTGAAAACAATTTGACATATTAGAAACAGGAGTCTGAGGCGGAAGTTGCTGATGTTTTGAAATGAATGTAATTTAAGAACTTTGAGATAAATCAATAACACTGCTTTTGCTTCCCTTTTTAAAAAAGGCTTTGTAACTGGATGTATACATCTATCTGTAATGTACCCACATATCCTTATAAAGAATAGGAAAATATATCTTAATGTGTAAATTCAAGGAAGAGCTTTTGAAATTGTTATCGTATAACTAATAGAAATGCTCGCCTAATGTCTCATGACGGTGTGTCATATACATGTAAATATTTGTGGATAAGCTGATTAGATATGTTGCTCAGAATCAGACATCATGAGACCATATTAGGTAGCATTATGTACAGTACTACATGTACAGTGAAACCTAAATGGAACACCTCTACGAGAGGAACACCTCTGTTAGTAGAATATTTCTCAGAGTTCTAGGACCAGCTGACTTAATGTTAAATTATCCTCTATAAGTAGAACTTTTCTCAAGTGGAACACATTTAAGAGGTACCAAAGGTGTTCCACTTAGACAGGTTTTACAGCACTAGTAAATTTGAGTAAGATGAAGGTGTCAAAAATAGTAAAAATTAAAAATTAAAATTCAATTTTTAAAACCTTTTCCCCACTTTTAGTACATGTGCATTTAGTAAGAAATGCATTTAAATAGAAATGTTATTATGTCACCTCCACAAGTATTGACATATTGTTATAGTCTCCAAGTATTTTTGTGGATGGTGTTCGCCAGTCAACAGCTATAACAAATGGCAGGTAGTGACATGCCTTATTTTCATTGAATCATTGACCCACTTTGAAATAATTTGAAAATAATTTGAATGAGTAATATGATATGGTAAAGTGTTACTTGTATGCTTTATAAGAGCCTTTAAGACGAGGCATAAATCTGCTATCTGTATTGCCAGTATATTATCATGTTTATGTGAAATTGTACTTATTGTATTGTTATTGTAAAATGTACCATCTACTCGGCATCTAATGTTGTCCGGAGTAACACATTATAAATGTATGTCTGTATTTCGCACATTTTCAATATTTATTTCACTTTTAGGATTTACTGTTTGATTATGGTGCCATCTATAGTCACCTAATTGACTCAAATATGAAAATGTAAAGCTTGTAAATATGTAACATATTATACATGTACATGTAATGTATATGAAAGCACACTTTGTGTATTTTCATGTAAAGCTTATATCCATCAATGGCACATTAATGAAATTTATGATTCGTGTAGAACTATTTTTATAAATCTCTACATCGATCGCACAGGATGTAAGATTTTAGTTAGTTTTTCATAAGAAATTTCACAAGTTTAATCTTTCTAAAAAAATGTGGGCAGGATTCTCAACACCGTATATTGATCAGAAGGGATACAGTGTGTAGTTGTTGCATCTGTGGAATTGGTTTGCAGGATTTATTTTTAAAAAAAACTTTACCCATATACATATACTGCTATACATTTCATCTACTGTTATTTATTTCCAATTTAAATAAACAAAAAAATCTATACACATGCATTATTTTTCTATAAATTTTCATATTTATTAGGAATAATTTAAAAGATAATAAGATTCTATAAAGTTTAAGAAAATGTTGTTTAATTGCTAATGTATTTCAATTTTTTCATTAATGGTCATTTGCTTTACTTTAAACTATCATTATGAAAATTAAAATATAGAATTCCATAAAATCCTGGCTTATTATGAAGCTTGAATCTGTGAACTTTATTTTAGTAAGAAATGAATTGTGTACAATGTGTGAATGGAAGGACAATGAATGAAAAGAATTGTGTACAATAATCAAATGTGGACAATGAGCAAATTGGGGACAATGAGTGAAGAGAATAGTGTACAATAACCAAATAGGGACAATGAATGAAGAGAATAGTGTACAATAACCAAATAGGGACAATGAATGAAGAGAATTGTGTACAATAAATAAATGGGGGACAATGAATGGAGAGAAATGTGTACAATAACCAAATGGGGGACAATGAATGAAAAGAAATGTGTGAGGCACAATAGGACAATAAACTTAGAGAATTATTTATAATATGTGAATTGGGGACAGTAAAATAATTGTGTACAATGTGTGAATGGGGGACAATACTCAAGTTCTCCTTGTGATATCATATCGCAGAATGCTATGAATGTAAATATTTTTTAAAAGGAGTATCCAGTCTAAAAATGAAACTCATTAATCGAAATAGAAAAGTAAAAACAATGCTTTAACCATCCTCTGAGCACAGCCTCTAGAACTCTTTCCCCATTCTTCCTGGAAGAAGGAATGTAGTGGATGATGTCCGGAGCGCTACTTCCAGAGGATGTGCTAAAGAGAATCATGCATCAAGTCCATGTCCACCCCTTCTGTTCAGAGAGCATAGCAAGAGGGTTACTGATGCATGACTACCTAGAGTAAGCTATTGGTACAGATGAATGAAATACTGTATTTGCATTGTATAACTTTCATTTTGGTCTTCAGGGGCATTATTTTTAAACTGGATAAACCGGCTAACCTTACACAGCTGCAGTAAAAGATAAGGGTCTGTATTCAAGGACCCATCTCTTAAATATAAAGGGTTAAAATCTACAGACTCATATCTTGATTTGAAAGGGTTAAAACTAAATTTTCTTTGATTATCGAGGGCTGAAATATTGAATAAAAAAGTAACGGTTTAATACTGTTTAAGCTCATTTGGAAGAGTTGAATGTAAAAACCCATCCAATGTGAGATGTTTAGTTCATGTAAAAAGGGTTAAGCGTTTGAACCCATGTGGTATTGAAAGGGTTAATAGTTAAAGGCAAATTCATATCTTGACCAGAAAGGGTTAATTTTTTTTATAACTGCTACAGTCGCATTTATGACTATGATGTATTGTAACTTGTATATTGTAATCTATATTTATTGTACTCTTTGACAGACATATATATTACAGTGACATATGTTATTACACTGAATGAAAAGATAAAATGTCTTTATGTTATGCTATTTGCCATCTTCAATCAGTTACCAATTTATTAAAACATTGTTTAAATTTCAAGAAAGATTTTAAATGATTTATAAATGGTGAACTGAAAGGGTATCATGCGACATAGCTTTGTATCATTTGAGACTTTTTAGTCTAATTTAATCTTTCTACTACCTATACCCCCCCCCACTTTATCGGCACCTTTCACATAATACAGGGATACTGGCTTTCATGCTTTTGTTTGAAGCTGTTGATATGATTCTTTGCAAAAAATAAAATAAAGGCTGATGTGTAAATGTACTCTTGTGTATTTTTTGTTACTATGTATTTTGATATTGGTGGGTTCGTTTTGTCTTTAGGGATTGCACGTTTAGTACAAGGCGTTTAGTAGCAACTTTAACTATGTCCTATTATCTGCCAAATGAGAAGCATCTTAGCAAGATCCTTTACCCTCAAAGTTTAAGACTACAAATCAATATTTTGGGTTGAAAGTCAGGATATACATTCCTCCCAAGGTTCTACACATATGAGCAGTTGACTATTTATTAAAATTTCACATGAGTTTTGAGGGCTCACAACTGAAAAAGGTCTCTCGAAAATTTTCAAGGTAAAAAAGATGAGTTTTCAAATCGGGTATTTGGATTCAAGAGGTCAAATCAGTCAGTAAAGAGATTGGGGTCTGGAAAAGAACAAGCTAACCAAGGGACATTAACAGAAACTTTGTAAAGTGATGAATTCGTAAAATCCATTGTTCTCTCACTGTGACATCATTATATCCATGGTTACAATTGATTTATGAATTCGTAACTACAAAGTTTCTGTTAATGGCCCCTTGGTTAGCTTGTTCTTTTCCATACCCCAATCTCTTTACTGACCGATTTGAAAAGTTTAGCGGCTATAGCCTACAGGAATATATAGCCGACCTTCAGCTCCATAGACTTCAATACAAATGCTTAGCTAGGTATGTATATGGACATAACTGCTAAATATACCAGCTGTAGAATATTTTATTCTAATCTTTTTTGTTTCTTGCGTGTCTAGTATTCATAGATGATTATTGATTTGTTTCATTAATGTGCTAAATCAGAATAGTTTTCTTTCAATGTGTTACAAATAGTAGGTCACCATGACCTGTATATAATTATCAAAAATCGTTGTCTAAATGCTTACAAATTCAATATTGAACATTGTTAAAAAACTTCAGTTGGATATCATCCACTTATAAATAATACTAAAAATAACTTTACTCTTCAACACAGTTCAAGATTTTGATTGACAGCTTGCTCTATATTTGGAACATGAAATTGATGGCTTGTGATAAATCTACAAGGTCAAGCTGATCTGGTCATTCTCTAGACAATTTAGAAGCAAGTTTTTCATAGAAATTGACCAGATCTATCTTTATATTTCTCAGTCAAAACATATCTATAGAAAAATTGACCTTCCAAACCATTCTTGTCTATCTTATTTCAGTTTAAATAAGAGGTTTTAATCATGAGTATTTTTGTCTGAAAAAAGGATTTTGCAGTGATTTGTAGGACTGTATTGTCAAAGAATTTCCATAGAAAGCACATCCCCAAGCTTCACAAGTTCAGGGTTTCATATGAATTTTTTTGAGATGGAATAATCAGTTTTACCAGATAAGGATAGCATTGATCCAATATTCATTTTGACGTATAACTCAAAATGACATAATATCATGGTCTCTAACCTATTCTAATCTTTTAAGGAGACACCTCATTTTAAAGACTTCCTCCTTTATTTATCCCACTCCCCCTGTATCTTCTAAAAAATGTGGACCTACCTTTTTTGCTTTCTTAAAGGATTTTTTTTAAACTGGGCATTATTTTTCAAGCGCAAGCACAGACATTTTTGGGCCCCTCCCCTCGCGATTTTCAGGATCGCTCAAGGTGTCTTGTGAAAACATTCTCTTTACATTATATGTGTTGCCGGGGAGGGATGAGGGGGGGTTAGAGCACCCCCCCCCACCTACCAAAAGCTGGTAACAAGCAAGGGGGGCATGGCAATAACTCACAAAGTCGTGAATTTTGTTATGCTAATGTACGAATTGTATCCAAGTAAAGTCTAACCATAAATGTGCCTGATTAAGCTCAAAGAGATCACAGGCCCCTGATTGTTCATATTTTCCAAAAACTCTCCAAAGTCTTCTCCATTAATTCAAATCATCAAAAATTTCAAAACCATTTATAAATTTGATAAAATTCAGTTTATTGCAATAATTTTTCATATATGTTCATCAAAAATAATTCTGCACACAGGCCTAGTTTAATACAAGATAAATAAAAAAAGATGGCATCTTGGTGTACTACAAATAAGTTCCTAAAATCATTATTTTTTATCAGGGTTTGGGTATATTTTCCAAATCATTCTTAATAAAAGTATACCATCATTCATTGTTTTTACTATATCCCTGGTTACAAGAGTTGATAATACACTGCAAACCCAGCTGCATGGTTACAATGGAATGATCAATCTTGTTCTATAAACTCATTATCTATTAGACTCCCCTGAGAGTTTTGAAAAAAACACTATTCTTACTCATTTTTTGATCATATAACTCTACTACAAGACTATGCTTACACTTTTATAATCATATTGCAATATTTAAAGACTATGCCTACACTTTTATAATCATATTGCAATACTGTAAGAGTCCTAACATATTTTATAATCAAATAGCAATATTTAAAGACTATGCTTACACTTTTATAATCATATTGCAATACTCTAAGAGTCCTCACACATTTTATAATCATATAACAATATTTAAAGACTATGCTTACACTTTTATAATCATATTGCAATACTCTAAGAGTCCTCACACAGTTTATAATCATATAACAATATTTAAAGACTATGCTTCACTTTTATAATCATATTGCAATACTCTAAGAGTCCTCACACAGTTTATAATCATATAACAATATTTAAAGACTATGCTTCACTTTTATAATCATATTGCAATACTCTAAGAGTCCTCACACATTTTATAATCATATAGCAATATTTAAAGACTATATATGCTTACACTTTTATAATCATATTGCAATTCTCTAAGAGTCCTCACACATTTTATAATCATATTACAATACACATATAAAGAGTGCAAAGATACTCTAAGACTATGCTTACATATTGTACAATCACATTACATGTACAATTCTTCAATACTACATGTAATAAATTTTACAATCATATAACGATACTTCAAAAATGATAACAAATTTAATAATCATATAACAAAACTTCAAGACTATGCTTACATATTTAATAATCATATATCAATACTGCAATACTACGCTTACACATTTATTTGTAATTTAACAATACTAACAACAACAATATAATAACAACAGCAACGCCAAAGCGTAGCAAATCCCATAGAACAGCCATGGCTGGCATATTTACAAACCAAGTATATAGCAAAAATGAAAATATCAAAAGATATAGTACAGTAATTAAATCACTACAATTCTTTATATTACACATACACAAATTATTTATTTTACATCACAGTATATTAGATCATATTACAATTATTGCTATATAAATATTGACTAGTTAAAATACTATTAATTCAACACTTAATGAGTTAAATACCCTGTAGTTCTAAACCTGATTTTTCTCTTTTCAGCAGATCCATATATTTCTTTGAAACCTTGTTCAGTAACATATTCATTGTAAAAAATTGAGCAATTTGGATTGTATTTTCTCAATTAACATTGTACATGTATATACATGTACATGTATATCGAAGCAGGGGTCTAGCTTGGGCCTGACCCTCTGGTCATTCTAAGGCAATTTTTAATACAGACCATCTGATTGTCACACTAAATATAAGAAAAAAACATTGCAAATATTTTTTAATGCCATGTACTGACAGTTGGTCTCAAGCCCTTAAATCACAGTATAATCAATTTTATCCAATTTTGCAACATTTAAGGAAATTTTGATGCAACATTGCAGCATCTCGAAATATCACTATAGAGGTCAACAATGAACCCAGGACAATGAACAAGACAGTAACATGCCAAATGTCACCACCTACCATTTGATACAGATGCCAAATGCTGATGGCCAAATGCCAAATGTTGAATGTCAAAGCATCAAAATTTTACATATCATAGTTGCAACACCTGATTTAGAAATTATTAACTATGAATTTTCTGTTGACTGCCCCCTGGAAAAACTTTAAAAAACTGGTAAAAAATCCTTTGGCAATTGTCAAATGGGCTACATAGTACTGACTGGCTTGATCAAATGAATATTGTTAATGTACAGTATGTGGGCATGTCCACTTTCATAGAGCAATATGTAACTTTATGCTAATTTGCTATCACGCCCTTCTGACGGAATGTAACTATATGCTAATTTGCTATCACGCCCTTCTGACGGAACCGTTTCGATATTTTTTTTCCTGAAGCAATGGTGTATACTCATCCAGATCGTCGTGATTGGGAAGTCGTTTCTTACACACTTTCATAATTATCAACGTCAATAGAAAAAATGCTGCTCCAAGAACATATAATCCTGGGAAAGTTATCAATAGAGCTATGCGTAAATCAAGCACCTCGGATATTGGAGAAACAAATATGTTCATGTTTCCACCTATTGCGCTTATTATGAAGACATAAAGAGCTACTGCTGATGCACGTAGATTGTATGGAACTAAATCTACCACCACAGCTAAGCAGACACCGATCCACATTTCACCGAATATATATGCTGGTATCTGGGAGATGAACGCCCATGGGGGATCCAGGAATAAGGTCCCTACTTGGAAAGGAGCAGCAAGAATCTGGAAGATATAGATTCAAAAGTTAGATATTTGTAATAATTTACTCATTGGTGATGGAAATGTCATCTTCATTTGGAGGTTGGCAAACATGTTTATTAAAGTGACAGTTATGTATAGATGGGGTAAAATGTTTGAATATATCTGTTCAATAAAAATGGCAACATGAAAAAGTTAACAGTGTGTCATTTTACAACTTACCTGGCTACAAATGAGGACTAAAAGTCGGGCACTCAATCCCCGTTGCCGTAGCAACTTGTCCGAGATGTAACCGCCACCTATTGCTCCAATGGCACCAAACACAATAGGAATCCAAGACATATACATCTCAACCTGGAATGTCAAATGTTTGAGAATTAATATTATACTTTTTGAGTCTAATTTTCTCACTTTTTAGCATGTTTGAGATAGCAAGTGGCAAAGTTAAGACTTGTATCTTTTCCTTTACCTATTACTGTATATACATGTACTAATCCAATGCTATGTATCAAAATATTCACATATACTAAGTGTTAGAATGATTCATTCATCCGTCTCATCAAATACAATTCTCTATAAGCACATAACTTACTCTTGTGCCAGGATGATAGTATGTGAAGAAGTTGTTGATATTGTATGACCAAACGTAGCCCCCACCATTTCTGATAGCGCCACCTAGGCAGAGGAATAACAGCACAGGATTGGTGAATGTCCTTAAAGCCTCTTTAAACTTGGATGCATTAGATGCCATGGCAACAGACTGAAAAACAGACACATTTTGTTAAATTGGTAGAGTATGAGGATTGTTTATATATCGTACAACAATATAGTCCTCCAGATAACTGCAAAGTTCTGATCAAATCTGATCAGCTCTGGAAAACTCGTTAGTGTTCAAGTTGACAGATTATTTAGATAAGATGTAAGTTATGGGTTTGTCTTCTTGGTTTTAGTCTAGAGTGAACTCACTGTCCTCCTCTCATAGACAGTTTGCAGTCTGTTTCAATGTATTTTTAAAGGCAAATATCTAGTGTTCTTTGAAGTATTCAAGACTAAATAAGATGTTACTAGTATACAATACATGTACTATACTACCCAGAGACAGATATAATATTTACTCCAGTTTCAAGTATTCAAATATTCTAAAATGAAAAATAGAGTACCAAATTTCATTTGGTATAATTATATTTTTTGATAGAGACAATGGCCATTGTTAAAATTAAATAAACATGAGATTATTAATTTATTAGGGTAGTTTATACTTCATGCCTAGTTCACACTTCAAAACTAAGTTGAATTCAGATGTCATCTTGAAAATAGAATGAGCCTAAATGGATTACTGTCTCAAAGGGTATCTAAGTCTAGAGATGAGTTATAAGTAATTCACGACTTTGAAAATGTTTTGACAACTTTTGCACATGGGACTTCATATTTATCCCTAAAAAATGGTTGTGATTTTATTTCATAATGATACAAGATACTTTTTTTTAAAGACCATTCGCAAGTCTTGTTAGTGCAAAATTAATGAATATAATTTCATGTATATATTTTTCATTGATGCACTTGATATCTAAAGTTCACAATTTGTGAACAATTTCTGCATCTTAAACTTTCATAAAATAAATTCCATAATGATCAAATTATGATACCTTTATTACTTAATGTAAGATGAGGTAATTTGAGTGTGAGGGAGGGTGGGGGAGTATTTTTGCATGAATTTAACAAATGAACCAACCCCTACGAGTCACAAAATCCTGGCTATTGTAAGCCACATAATATGATGAAGGCAAATGAATATCAGTCAGTCAAGCTATTTATCTATCTAAATCACAATGTGATATTGTGCAGGTAGAACTTTTTTTTATTTTATTGCCTAATATATAGGAATTTGCAGGATATGAAGTTTAAAAATGGAAGTGTCTATAGGGGGCGTAGCCAGCTTTCAGTCAGGGCATGGGGGGGGGGGGGGCTGCAATCGCCAAAAATATTCCATTTTCAGTCAGGGGATGTGATTGTGGCATAAGAAGCCAACAATTAAGATTTATCTTGAATTTTACAAAAAATTATGCAACTTAAATAAAAAGCATTTAATTTAAAGCTCTTTTCTTCTCATGGTTATATTTTATTGGTAATGGGGGGGGGGTGCGATCACCAATTGCACCCCCCCCCCATGCCTTTGTCTAATTGAAATGTAAAAACTCTGCATTGAACTACAAGTATTAAAAGTTGATTTCACATTCAAATAGCTGAATACAGATATTCTATCTACTAGTATACTCATATGAACAGAGATATAGAATTTCAAACTGAAACATTAAGATAATCTGTTCTGTCATTGAAACAATATTTATGGCCAGCTAAAATTCTGAGAATTTAATGTGTTTCATTCGTTTACTCCTGGACTAAATAGGGAAGTTATTTTGTTTTGTTAACAATTACATGTTTTACTCATGCAGTGTCCAAAGACACATTTAACAATTGTTACAGAAACAATGAAATTAAGATAAGGATTTGGATGGGCACCTAAAATATTTATGTTACAGGAAATCTTGACATGAAATCAACAACAAAAATCATCATAATTTGCATACTTTTTTCACATCTTTATAGACATGTACTTGCTGTGTTTCTTTTTCATGTCTTTATAGGTTTATTTTATTCTTTTTTACATCTTATAGATTAGATGTGAGATTACTGCAGGTTTATGTACTTACTGTAGCCTTATATTTTATATTATCACACCTTACTTAACCTTTGTATTCTTGATTAAATGTATATGTAAATATGTTTTGATTTTGAAAATAATAATAAAAAAAATAAAATAAATAAAAAGCACACTGATATGAAATGAAATGGGCCTAAAATAGACCCCTGAGGAACACCAGCTTCAAGAAATAGTCAATCTGATTCAATTTCATCAATAACTGTAGTTGTCTAGCCTTTTAAGGATATCATATGGCAAGAAATCATATGCATTTATTTGCAATTAAAAAATGAGCCTCTTCAAGTCAAGTCAATAATTCAATGAACAGAAATTTTTAATTTGAGTCACCCAAATATTTCAGATATGCATAAGGAATAATCAAATGAGATTAGTCAATCCTCATCTTTTGAAAATGAGTGAAACAGTACTATAAGTTATTTAATGATTTGAAGTGCAATACAGGATATATTCTGCTCGAGAAATTCTGGATTGGAACGAGACGAAGTCAAGTGCCAATACAGAATATCGAGAGCAGAATATATCCTGTATTGCACTTCAAATCATTCTATAACGTTTTTGTCGTGTGATCCTCTGTATTGGTACTGAGAATGTCCCCTCCGTATCAATATTTTCTGTATTGCCACGGAGATGATCAATGGAAGAACAGACCAATCAGAAAGCTTCATTTTACAGATCATACGATAAATTTGCTTCTTTTCAAGTTGATGGAAACAAACAAAAAAGATGGCACCTAATATTGAACCAAACTAGCACAAGTGATTAAAATTTAGATTCTATGAAATAATCCAGTCACTAAACTTATTATGATATTTTATCCTATGCCAAGTAGAGTTTTAGGGAGATAAGTTGGTAAGATATATCCCGTATCCTGATTTTGAGGTTTCCATATAGACTGTGGACTAGTCTGTAGAAGTGCTCTAGAAATGCATTCTACTTTTCATGGAAGGTCACACATTCCAACATATTTCAAACAATCTGTATGATAATGCTGTACACTTTCTGGGTAGTTGGACTTCATGTAGGGGTGGCAGACGGCCCTCAGGCCAATTTATACCCCTACCCCAACAAAACCTTGGGGGTACTTTAATACCACCCAATAAAAAGAATACTAATGCATATCAGATATTCATTGTTTTTTTTATAGTGGGTAGGGCATGCCATCCATCATTGACAGTCAAACTATTCTAACAGTAAGTGTTTTTTATTATGACTTCAACAGTGTTCAACTAGATCAGAGATCAGACATATAAAGTATTTTTATTTGATGTATTACTAAAGTTGGTAGACGCATTCAGGTTAGAGCTAATGCGCATGTATATACTTATAAGTATATTGGTACAAATCAGAAATCAGTTGAGTGCTGAAATTTTCATTAATACTGCATTGTTACTGTCTCTTCGGCATATGAAATGCTTCATCAAGGAAGAAGAACAACCAACTTGATAAAGTACACAAAATGCTTTATGGAACAATATTTTTGCTTTCAGGTATTTGGGCTGCTGTTGAGTTATTTCTTTCTGATGTTCTCATTCCAACCAACTAGTTCAGAGAGTGCTCTGATGTCATTGTCATGCAACTGTTCAATTATGACATAACGGACACAGTCATTATTCTTAATTTCGGTAAATTCTGGTGGTCAATTCATTTGAATTGGCAACAGATGACTGAACCTAGTCTTCAGAGAGAATACTTAATCATGTTTTAAAGTATAAATATAATGAGGTAATCAGATGATTGTTCATTGTTAATAAATAGACAGTCACACTATATCTTTTTAATTTTTATTTTTTTATTCAGCAGTACATGTAATATAACATACATTTAATAGAGTATACTTATCAGCTTGATATCCTTCTGGATATATAAAGCATTTAATTACAATATTTTGTACTAAAATAATGAAATAATAAAAATAAATAATTTAATAACCATTTTAAAAGTTTCCTCTTGAACAGAGTTCTGTTAAAAAGCCAGAGTCATTTCAGAGCAGATCAATCCTTAAAGATAGACAGGTGAACAAATGAATAGGCATATGAATAGAATTAGTTTCTCTCTATGGGATAATAACGTGTCAAATAAAAGGTAGCTACATCATCTGAAAGCTTTTAAAAACGATGTTCCCATTAATGAAGTAATTGTTCTCTAAAAGGAAAAGCTAATTTTCATAATTGGCATAGAGAATTCTAGAACATAAGTAAATTATATTTCATTAAAGACAGGTCTATTACAATAAACTAAGATAAAATTGCAAGTCATAGATTACCTGACATAAACAGAAAGTAGGAAGAAATCTAATAAAATGATGTTACATCGCAGTATAAATCACTTTTTTAATAAGAGTAGATGGAATATATGCAAATACTACCTGATTTCTGGATCACTAACCACATCATGTAAATATTTTCTCAAGAGGGAAGCATATAAACAACTGAACATTGGAACAAGAAAATAAGGAATAAAATTTAGATAAATTTTTGATTTTATGAAATGTACGAAACAGCAACAAATATTTATGTATGGCAATAAGTAGAATTTAAGAAAAGTTGAACATCATCACATTAAAAGATATGAAGCTGGGAACTTATGAGAATAAAGACAACACAACAAATGCATGGTATGCCGAAGACATTATATTTGTAATTCTTTCAATAAAACTGTATAAATACTACATAACTCAAATATAGCATCAAGAGTATTTTCATTATGAGTGTCGCACCGGTAGATACAACGGATACTATTAAAAACTATGATGACAATGACTTGGGGTTGGCAGAATGTTATGATCTGAATGATGATAAAGATATATTCCAACAAAGCAGTCTTTTCCAAGCAATGAAGCCATTACTATGGAGTCTAAAGCTGTGTGGTCTGTACCATGAAAGACAATGGAGGGTGAAAAATGGGAAAGGTGACCTCGAGGAAATTGGAAAAGTTACCCCCTCTCGGATATGGAGCATTGTTTCAATGATAGTCCAATGGCTGAACTTTGGAAAAATCATGCTGGCATTTTTGCGAGATAATGAATTTGGCTCTGGGTTGATGATCAAGGTCATGGTCATGATGTGGCATTTAAACTGTGGTATATCATGCATAGTTATGTACCGCTGTTGGGCAAAGCCAGAAAATTTACCTGGCCTCATCTATAAATGGGAAAAACTTTGCAAACAAGACACAGAAGATACCCTACAAAAATTCAAGCGTTTGGTCAAAATTGGTCTTTTCTTTTCATGGGGACTTACTATTATGAACTTTGTCTTTTTCGTTTACTTTCTGTTTAATAATGACATATTTCATGTTGTCATGGTGCCCTTTGAAAAGGATGTTCAAGGTCTTTTAATTGTCAAGATAGTCTTTGTTGTAGTAAGTGGGACATTAGTCAACATGTCATGTACATTTCCTTCTCTAACTCACATCGCAGTGACATGGCTTCTTAATGAGGAATTCAAAAAGTTTAACAAACAATTCAAAGATAGCATAAGTGAATGCCATGGCCTAGAAGGCAGCATTGAGAGCCATAGAAAACGACACATGGACATATGTCAGCTCACAGGATTTGCTGACGAAGCTTTCAAATGTTACCATGCTTCAGCGATTGGAATTCCTATAACTGTTACCTTAATCATTATTTACAACATCATGAATTTGGACAGGATCAGAACCGATTCCTTTTTGACAATGACAATGGTATTCTGGTTGTTGATGAACCTGTTTATTATGATAGAAGCGTTACTGATGTGTGCAATTGTTAATAGCACAGCACATGACTCTTATGATGACGTTCATTCACTAGATCTTCAATACATGGATCAAAAGGAAGTTTTGCAGGTATGTTTTAAGGTACAACTTGTAAAGTAGTCATTTTGAAATAATTATCATATATCTAAACAAGATGAAAGATTATCAATAATTTACAAGTTTTAAAACATCAACTAACTTGCCTCATCTAAGACATATAGGGTACAGGAGTAAAACAACTGTCACACTGTTTCAAACTAATAAATATGAAACCTTGTAACCCTCAACCTTAATTAGAGGAGCAGGAAAGGTAATACTGTCAGCCCCCCCCCCCCCCCCATCCACATATTATCTTATTAATTTAATTAGGCAAATATCATCTTATGTATGTTTATCCTTTATATTTGAGCCCATAATAAATCAAAATAATCACTTAGTGTCATAATCATTCTATTATCATATCATTTTCCTTATTAACCATTTAGTTCATTACATTTAATCATTTTATGAATGTACTTTTATGTTGTTACCAAAACAAGAAGCATCATCATCAGTATCAGAGACGTGATATAATTAATTACTGACTACTACATTGTAGTTAAGTGTGCATAGTAAAATTTAAAAGCAGTGTTGAAGTAAAAGATAAAAGATTTAAACATAACTGTGAGAGTTAAGGGAAGTGTTGAGGTAGTAATTGTGTTTGGGAAGAAGGAGTGTGAATTGAAATTGTTGACCTATCTGTCATGGACAAAGGCCTGGCTGTACCAGTAAACACCCAATAGTCATGTATCTGTACTCATTTTTGTAGTCATTTTTGTGACCAACATGTGCCTGATACCATATAATACTAGATAACGGCAACTCCGCAGAGTAGCAAATCCCAACGAACAAAATATCAATTACCGAATTCCAATCAATTATACTCATTACTTTGGTTAAAATTGAAAAAATTAGATTTTAGAATTGCAAATTCCTGCAAAGCAGCCATTTTGAATTTTTTGAGGTACAAATCTGAAAAATAATACCATAATTGTGATCTACTCCAAAAATCCTTCAATTTGAGTATAATATAGCCATACTTTGAAGGGATCGAAAAATTATTGCGAAATCGTACATTAGACAGCCATTTTGAATTTTACGAGGCTCGAATCAGAAAAAGGATACAATATTTGCAATCTACTCTTAATTGCCTTTCATTTGAGTATAATAAAGCTATAATTCAGAAAGATCTAAAAATTAGCGAAAATTTCTGTTTTCCTGACCCTCCATATACGGCCCCTGGGGGTCAGGATGAAAAACACTGAACATATGTGAAATAGATAAATGTTGCAAATATACTACTAAAAATTTCAAACAATAATATTAATTGCTTTGGTTTAGAATGAAAAATTTATGATTTTTGTGAAAAAGTCCCGTCATTTTTAAAGCGGCAGCCATCTTTTTTTGGCATAAAACTATTCACCAATATACATCTTTCCACTAAATATGAAGAGAATCTGTCAACTAGTATTCGAGTTATCTTCCGGACGGACAGACGGACGGACGGACGGACTGACTGACTGACTGACTGACTGACTGACTGACTGACGGACGGACAGACGGACGGAGGGCTTCACTATATCCCTACCGAACTTCGTTTTTGGGGATAATAATATGGTATGTCAGTTATAAGCTAACCCATGGTAACTGATGCCTGAGTAAAATACTGTGATTAAACCAATAACATCATTCATTATTATCATATATCCAGGTTACTGAACAGAGACCCCAATATAAAAAAATGAAATTATTTATTTAATCTTTACAGGTGTCTATATTCCTGAACAAGTTATCTGGACATCCTGATCAGATAGGACTTAAGGTGGCATGTCTTTTTATCATTGACGGACCAACCATTCTAACTGTAAGTAACTGTTTTATCCCATTGTGTATGTGGTTTCATAATAATAGTAGTTATGTTTTAGGAAACTTTGGATATACTGTATATAGCAGTACCAAACAGACAAAACAAACAGATGCGTTTTAGTAAGTCCAGCATTTATCAAATCGTCCATGGTGGTTATAAAACACACCTAGGGTGTTTATATTCATTTTTCAGTCCCTTTCCTTTGTGGTGTATTATTTATCAGAATTGTCCAATATTTGTTAACCAGTCCATGGACACACTTATAATCTTGAATGAGGGTTCTGTTAAAAAACATATTGAACTGAATCAATTGAGCAATTGACATGATATGATATTTGCTTTGTTTTCTCTGTTTAATTAGATTTTACCAACTGAAATCTTGTGAATTAAGATGCATCCATCATACATATTCCTTTTATATTATAATGTTTGAGCTTATACATATTTGAACATGAAATGCTTCACTGTTACGATGAAGAAAATATTTATTTTCAGGTGTTCGGGTTGCTTCTTAGTTATTTTTTCCTGTTGATTTCATTCAAACCAGCCAGTCCAGAGAGTGTTCTAGCAGATTGTAACTGTACAATTTCAATATAAGTTATAATGAACATTCAAATCAACAAGGCCAGAGAGTGTGCTAGCAGCATGTAACTGTACAACATCATTTAAAGTTATAATGAACATTCAAATCAACAAGTGCAGATAACGTGCAAGCAGCGTGTAACTGTACAACATCAATTAAAGTTATAATGAACATTCAGATCAACAAGTGCAGAGAATGTGCTAGCAGCGTGTTACTGTACAACATCAATTAAAGTTATAATGAGCATTTAAACCAACAAGTGCAGAGAATGTGCAAGCAGCGTGTAACTGTACAACATCTATTTAAGTTATAATGAACGTTCAAAACAACAAGTCCTGAGAGTGTTCTAGCAGATTGTAACTGTACAACTTCAATCTAAATTATAATGAACATTCAAACCAACAAGTCCAGAGAATGTGCTAGCAGCGTGTAACTGTACATCAATTAATGTTATAATGAACATTCAAACCAACAAGTCCAGAGAATGTGCTAGCAGCGTGTAACTGTACAACATCAATTAATGTTATAATGAACATTCAAACCAACAAGTCCAGAGAATGTGCTAGCAGCGTGTAACTGTACATCAATTAATGTTATAATGAACATTCAAACCAACAAGTCCAGAGAATGTGCTAGCAGCGTGTAACTGTACAACATCAATTAAAGTTATAATGAACATTCAAACCAACAAGTCCAGAGAATGTGCTAGCAGCGTGTAACTGTACAACATCAACCAGAACAATGGCAACGCCAAAGCGTAGCGAATCCCATCGAACACCATGGATGGCATTTTTACAAACAAAGTATATAGCAAAAATGGTAGCCATTTTTTAAAATGGCCGCCTTCTACCAAAAGTGTCATTAGACCATGTGCCATGCTTATAGTATTCATATATACCAAATATGAACAAAATCGCTCCACTACTTTTCAAGTTATAGTAAAAAAGTTAAAATGGCGGCCATTTTTCAAAATGGCCACCTGCTACCAAAAATGCCATAAGACAGTGTGCCGTGCTTATAGTATTTACATACCAAATACCGTATTCTCTGTAATTAGCGCCCAGGGCGTTTAGAAAATTGAAAATACATTATTTAGACCATTCTAATAAGCGCCCATGTATGAAAGAAATCAGAAATCCCGAGGAATTTCATGTATGGCAATTTTTCTTGACAAGAATGCATTTTCTTCAACATATTTTTATAATAATATGACAAGTGCTGTTATTGGAGAGAATATGGTAAAGATCGCTAAGACAATATTGACAGTGGTTGAAGACCCGTCTATGTCTAATTTATTTCCGGCACGCCCACTTTGTCATTATCGCCGATTACCTTCAATTTTTCCACTAGAGACTGCTGGATATCGATCTAAAGTTATACATTATTTCTAATTTGATGAGAGATCATCATTATTCGTGCAAAAGTCGTGTAAAAGTCGAGAAACATTAAAAAGAAACCAGAGAGTTCACGACCTTGACATGCGCAGAACATCTGCGCAGTAGCTTTTGAAATTTCTGAATGCCGATAAAGAACAATTCCTTCATTCATTATGGACTATTTGGAGACAATATTAGCATGGTATGGTGTGGGAAGCACCCATCGATAGATATGTATCGAGAGGATGCATAGAATTACAAAACGCGTCGTGTTTACAGCAGTTTTAGGGTAAGTACTCTATTATCGCCCGCTCCTGGATTTTGAGAAATATTTTTTTCCTGATATATTCTTCAATTCTTGTTGATTCCTCGATGTTTCTTGAACTTTGTGAAGCGGGGTGGGCGCTTATTAGAGAGTGGGCGGTAATTACAGAGAATACGGTATAAACAAAATCGCTCCACTACTTTTTGAGTTATAGTAAAATACGTTAAAATGGCGGCCATTTTGAAAAATGACCGCCTTCTACCAAAAGTGTCATTAGACAGTGTGCCATGCTTACAGTATTCACATACCAAATATGAACAAAATCGCTTCACTACTTTCCGAGCTATAGTAAAATATGTTAAAATGGCGGCCATTTTTCAAATCTTTTTTCAAAATGGCCGCCTTCTTTCAAAAGTGTCATAGGAGAGTGTGTCATGCTTATAGTATTCACATACCAAATATGAACAAAATCGCTCCACTACTTTTCGAGTTATAGTAAAATACGTTAAAATGACGGCCATTTTGAAAAATGGCCGCCTTCTACCAAAAGTGTCATTAGACAGTGTGCCATGCTTATAGTATTCACATACCAAATATGAACAAAATCGCTTCACTACTTTTCGAGTTATAGTAAAATACGTTAAAATGGCGGCCATTTTTCAAATTTTTTTTCAAAATGGCCGCCTTCTACCAAAAGTGTCATAGGACAGTGTGTCATGCATATAGTATTCACATACCAAATATGAACAAAATCGCTCCACTGCTTTTCCAGTTATAGTAAAATATGTTAAAATGGTGGCCATTTTTCAAAATGGCGGCCATTTTTCAAAATGGCGGCCATTTTTCAAAATGGCCGCCTTCTACCAAAAGCGTCTTTAGACAGTGTGCAATGTTTATAGTATTCACATACCAAATATGAACAAAATTGCTCCACTACTTTTCGAGTTACAGCAAAAATCGTAAAATAACGAGTAAAGGCCGCCATTTTTCAAGATGGCTGCCATGTGCTTCTTTAATATTACATTTCTAGCCTTATTAATGTCCTATATAATTTTTTTACATCTAAAACATATTGCTATTACAGTTTTACATATTGCACCTAAATTACTGTAAATTCAGCACTAAAATGGCCGCCATTTTGAAATGAGCGGCCATTTTGAAAATCGGCTTTCGAGCAGAACTTCTACCCCCATAGGGTATATGTGTACAAAATATGAACAAAATCGGGCCAATGGTATTTGAGTTATTGCCCGGACGGACGGACGGACGGACGTACGTACGGACGGACGGACGGAGGCGTTCCCTATATCCCTCCGAACTTCGTTCGATGGGATAATTAAAGTTATAATGAACATTCAAACCAACAAGTCCAGAGAATGTGCTAGCAGCGTGTAACTGTACATCAATTAATGTTATAATGAACATTCAAACCAACAAGTCCAGAGAATGTGCTAGCAGCGTCTAACTGTACAACATCAATTAATGTTATAGTAAAATATGTTAAAATGGCGGCCATTTTATAAAATGGCTGCCTACTATCTGAAGTGTCATGAGACAGTGTACAAGGCTCATGAGTATTCACATATCAAATATGACCAAATCGCTTCACTACTTTTTAAGTTATTCAAAAGTTTTTCAAAATGGCCGCCTTCTACCAAACGTGTCTTTAGACAGTGTACAATGCTTATAGTATTCACATACCAAATATGAACAAAATCGCTCCACTATTTTTTGAGTTATAGCAAAAATTGTAAAATGACGAGTAAAGGCCGCCATTTTTCAAGATGGCTGCCATGTGCTTCTTTAATATCTACATTTGTAGCATTATTAATGTCCTTTATAATTTTTTTACATTTAAAACATATTGATATAACAGTTTTACATATTGCACCTAAATTACTGTAAAATCGGCACTAAAATGGCCGCCATTTTGAAATGAGTGGCCATTTTGAAAATCGGCTTTCGAGCAGAACTTCTACCCCCATAAGGTATATGTGTACAAAATATGAACAAAATCGGGCCAACGGTATTTGAGTTATTGCCCGGACGGACGGACAGACGGACGTACGTACGGACGGATGTACGTACGGACGGACGGACGGACGGACGGACGGACGGACGGACGGACGGACGGAGGCGTTCCCTATATCCCTCCGAACTTCGTTCGATGGGATAATTAATGTTATAATGAACATTCAAATCAACAAGTCCAGAGAATGTGCTAGCAGCGTGTAACTGTACATCTATTAATGTTATAATGAACATTCAAATAAACAAGTCCAGAGAATGTGCTAGCAGCGTGTAACTGTACATCATCAATTAAAGTTATAATGAACATTCAAATCAACAAGTCCAGAGAATGTGCTAGCAGCGTGTAACTGTACAACATCAATTAAAGTTATAATGAACATTCAAATCAACAAGTCCAGAGAATGTGCTAGCAGCGTGTAACTGTACAACATCAATTATTGTTATAATGAACATTCAAATCAACAAGTCCAGAGAATGTGCTAGCAGCGTGTAACTGTACAACTTCTATCTAAGTTATAATGTACATTCAGATAAACAAGTACATTCAAACCATCAAATATTATCTAAAGAGTGTACTACCAGAAACAGTGAACTGTGCAACCAGATTCTAAATTTTGCTGGACATTCAAACCTGAGTTAATAGATATAGTAGTATAGAAAGTGTTACAGAGGCAGCTTTCTTTACAGTCTGTATCTGAAACTGAGAAACATATGTGGATTGACAGAGAAAGTAACCTGTACATTTATGTTTTCAACACAGTATGGTACACTGAAAAGATGAAATACATTAAAGACAGAATATGGTCGGTGTATATTTGTGCCACAGTACAGTGAGTTGTCTCACCCCTTGTATATATATGCATAAATTATGACTTATTATGATCATACTGGACAGAATTTATAAATAAAATAAATTTAAAAATTATGAATTTGGTTGAATTAATGTTATGTGGGGAAAATGTGTGCAATCACAGTCAAGTTGTGCAGGCCTGTCAACTTGGGAACACCTAACATGAGTGACTTGGAAATGTTGAACACCTCCCCTCTAAATGTGGACACCTTGGTCCAAATCTGTACACCTTGATCCAAATTTTGAACACCTTGGTTTAAATTTTATTACAACTTGCCAAATATATATATCACAGCCTTGTTTTACTTGTCCAAATTAAAGAGCTGGGATGATTAATTGCCTGCATTTAGATCGGGTAGCTTAAAGGGGACTTAACCCCAAGAAAAAAATGATTCATCAGAATAATAAGTCCATTATCAAAAATGTAACCTGGTTACGAGAGACGAACATCAAACGCATTGGTAGATATGTTGGAATTTATAGTTCTACGACTAATTCCATACTAGAAATCTTAACTGAAATCTATCTTTAACATTAAACCATCAAGTAGTTTGTTCTTAATTTATTCTTATACAGATAAAAGGACAATTTAATTCCCTATATGCCAGCATGAAAATATCATTACATTGACTTGCCTTCTTTTAGTAAATCTGGTAAAGAGATGCAATGGGAACTCCAGGAAATGTGATATTTCATGCTTCCCAATTTTCCAGTTTCTGGACAACACAGAAGTTACCATTGACCTCTTACCAGATTTAGCGAAAAAAGACAATGTGAGGATACTTTCCTGAAAAATCAAAGAATTATATATACATGTATGCCTTCATACTTTATTTTGTACCAGGAATACACTTTTAAACATTTTATTGACTTTAAAGTGTGCGCCTGACCCGGCTACGTATAGCACAGAGTTTATACTGGCGGATTAGACTAGTTCATTTTTTATATGTGTGTGAAAGCTTTCTCTTATTTGCGTTTTTTCGTTTAGTACGGTTTTGCCGAGGTCATAAAACCGGGATAAAACAATGATTATCGTTGACTGCCCACACACAAAACATACGTTGAGTGAACAGTGTTATTACAAACAACAGGCTTTAGAATACAAAGCGTAGTGTGATAATAAGCTGCACACTACCACTGCTGCATGTACATATTACTAATTTACTAGGGCTCCCAAAGAGTGGATAGCTAGGGAGGTTGTGTTTGTCACTTTTAAATTTTACATTTCAAAATTGTCATTTCACATGTCATAATTTGTTGGTTTCATTCGTTTAGCCAATCAAAACATTGTAAAACAATAAATTGTCTGTTACGTACAATCAATTTTGTTCAGTTTTGATTAGTTGTCAGAATAAAGTTACGTTTATCTGAATCCATGTATCAAAACAAAAATCCTATTTTCACTTCAAAATACTTCAGTGAGATGAAGGCTCGGAATTGTCACATGCAATAAGTTATTGTCGTATTCGTTATTTTATCTTCTCGATAGTAGCATTTAGTCGCACATTTGATGCCAGGTCACCTTGTCGCGTACCTCTTGGGGAACCCCACATTTATGTGTGTACTCATGGAAGTAAATTCCCCGGTGTAGCCGAGAGCCACAAACTTTTCAACAGGTTCGAAATGACCAATTTCTCTCATATATACTCTAAATATTTTATTATTTAGCACCTACAAAGTATTGCTAATAACCATATGTCATTTCAATAAGGAAACTTATCTGGCTACATATAAATTCAATATCAACACTAGCTGTTCGCTCAACACGTCCTGGCTTACCTTGTGGTGACAAACCCTGGATTTTCGCTATTTATAGTTTATCAACACCTGGACGCATGCGCATTTTATACTTTATCGGGCACTTTAAGAATGCACCGTATACTTTAAAACATTTTATTGACTATAAGATTGCACCATAAAATCCCCCAAAAATATTTCTCATTTTTAAGGATTATCTATGGATTAAAACCCAGGTATTTTCATAGTAATCCAATGGTACAGTTCCAAGCAGATTTTGAGATAACAGGAAACATTTCAATAAGGTGTCTATTACGTTGCTGTGTAATAATGAATGTAAAAGACATCTATAGAAAAATATTAAACAACTTGTGGATAATGGGGAAATAAAAAGATTGAATTCTGTGGAGTTGAGGGTGTTTTCAGCGCAGCCTGAAGGACAAGGTGAATATGCCCCTCAGAAATATTTCAATATTTTTGTTTTATTATTTCCCCATTATCCACAAGTTGTAAAAAATATTGATATGATAGGATACTTGTTTCAAAGTACTTCAACACGTTTCCTAATAGATCTATGTTCTTGAAAATCACAATCTCCATCAAACCATAACGGATAAAAATTAGATTTGGAATTTCCATGTAAAAGTCTGTACACGTCTTCGTGCTTCGATAGGTTGACATTGAGAATACATTTGTTAGAATCCGATCATTCTCCGTTTGTTGTACAGTTTTGAATCCTTTTTTGGGAGGACTTCCTGATATAACTCCACTGCCTGCCATATTGGCAATTTGATATAATTCCCGGGAATTAAGTGATGTGACATCATTTTAAGTGAATATCACTATTTATTCAATCAAAATGACATTATTGCAGGGGAATACACTATACATATGTTTTCTAGGCAAGGATACATGGAATACCTAATATAAATATTTTTAGTCACATGATATCTGATTGACCAATGAGAGAACGAGTATCACAGCATGGAAATAATAAATGTAGTTATAAGTAATAAAAATAACCCTGCGCAGATTTCCCCGAATCCAAGCAGCGTATCTTTCAGTCTTCTACACACAGCCCTATTAGCTGGAGTGATTAATGTGTTTTAAAGCTGACATTTAAGTAAGTGGCCTGATATGCTAGAATTTACAGTGATGTTATCAAGATTTTCCTACATCTTACATCTTAGTAAAACTAGGAAAACAGCAACTCCACGGAGTAGCAAATCCCAACAAACCATGATAATGACATACGTCATGAAGATTTTGCCTATATCTCAAGAAATCATGGAAAAATTATTCCTTTGAAATGAGACATTTTGTACTGATTTGAATCCAATATCACAACCAGTTTGAGAAAACCTCCACAATATGAAAAAGTTAATATGTAATCAACAAGTGCCAATAAAAATTTGCTTGTGATTATAGTTATACATCAAGCACATACCGTATACAATGGCACATATCTATACTCTAGTCAGGCTGGAGGTCAGCCATGGCCTATTTTAGGCCCCCATAAAAATAAATGATTATGCATGAAGAAGAATTTCTGGCATCCAGGCATCCAGATCCAAAACAGTTCAGTCATAATGTGGCAATATCATATAAAGTAAGTTAATACCATATTATATTTCATCTGAAAATGTTTTAAATTAGGTTTGCTATAAACACTTATCTGGAATTTTGAGTTAAATTCAAAATGATCCCTACATACAACTAAAATGCTTAATGCATAACTTTTTTCTGACAGTTCTTCCAGGATATATCAAGTATTCCTATTTTATTTTGAAATAATACCCAGGAAATAATACCTCTTTTTCTGTAATGATTTCAATTACTTAGACCTGTAATAAAGCATGTAATTACAAACTTGTAATGAACAATGATTACTGAATAAAGGGGGATCACTTACTTCATTATCTAAAAGCTCTTAACAAACCTGGAAAAACTAGAAAAACAACTTCACAGAGTAGCAAATCCCAATGAATAAAAATTCTATCAAATACATGTACCTTGTCATCTTCACATGGTACCAGAAAATACATATAGTAAAAAAATAGAATGCAAAATTAATAAAACTTCCCCTAGACATTAGAATATAATATTTGCATCAAATCCTATAACTGCATGGTTTCTAAGTTTTTAAAATTATATTTCTTCATGAAAAATGGCAGCCATTTTGAATTGAGCAGCCATCTTTAAAGTTCCTACCCAAGCAGAGTCATATGCCCCTAAATCATCAGCGTATAAGATTTGAACTGAGTCATCTGGTATCTGAGATATCAAACATTACACTTTTATGAAAAATGTTGGCCAATTTGAAATAGCCATAAGATAACAACCTTTAAAATTTGGACCAAATTCTATAAATGAAGAAGCTGCCATTTTGAAATTCATTCTTCATCTTGAAAATATTTTCTTGAGCAGGGCTAATATGTTAATATGTCACTAGGCATCAGCATATAAAATTAGAACAAAACCTATCGACTAGTATTTGAGTTATTTTTTTTACAAAAAATCTTGCCTATTTTGAACTGAGCAGACATATTGAATTAGCCTATAAAAACTAGATCGAATTCAATAATTTGGTCTATAAATGATATTTGAGCCTGGCCATAGAAAAACCGGTCTCATCACAAAAATTAAAATTGTGCTACAGAGCCAAATATGTGCCCAAGATTAAGAGGAAAATGTGCTAAATTAAAATCGGACTTTTTGGTCTATATATGCAAGGAAAAATCGTTAAGTCATAAGTCATGGCTCATTTGAAGGTATTTTTGTGCTTTTTAAGATAAACAAAAAACAAAATATTGAAAAATCTGTGATAAGACCTCTTTTCCTGTGGCCTGGCTCATTTATCAAAAGTTACATTTTTGTAAAATGGTAGCCACTTTAAAATTCAGAGGCCATCTTCATTTCTTCTTAAGAGCTTGCATCAGCATAAGAAATCTGAACCGAATTTGACAACTGGTATTCGAGTTATCTTTGATTATATTTTATATGAAATATGGCGGCCATTATGAACTGAGCAGCCATATTGAAAATTCCTTCCAAAGCAAAGGTTCTAGACCCATATGGCATAAAACTACAAAACGAATAGTAACGAAAGGATGGACGGATGGTTTCTCTATATCTTTATGAACTTTGATTCGATGGAATAACATTTGCCAAACCCATAATGCCATTATTCGCTAAAAGGAATAGCTAATTCCAATGATTATCCAGAAGTTGGGAATCCAATGCCATGAATGCAAGATAATCCAAATTAGATGTTAATGGCTTATTTGATATCATTCTTCATTGCAAGCAAGTGGCTAGATAGGTAAGGATGAGTCCAATCAATGTACGTGAGGAACAACTGAACACCATTATGGAAAATTATGAAGATAACAACATGGCAAAACATTATAATATAAATTATGCTGAGGACATTTTTCAACAAAGTAGTCTTTTCAAAGCAATGAAGCCATTACTATGGAGCCTAAAGCTGTGCCGTTTGTACCATGAAAGACAATGGAGGGTGAAAAATGGGAAAGGTGACCTCGAAGAAATTGGAAAGGTTACCCCTTCTCGTATGTGGAGCATTTTTTTAATCACCATCCATTGGCTGAATACTGGAAGAAGTCTGGTGGCATTTCAGAGAGGTAATGAATTTGGCCCTGATGTACTCATGAAGATTTTCATCACAATGTGGCAAATTTATGGTGGTCTTTCAAGCTTGATAATGTACCGATGCTGGGCAAAGCCAGATCATCTACCTGGTTTCATCTATAAATGGGAATCACTTTACAAACAAGATCCTGAGGAAACCCTGAGGAAATTCAAGCGCGTGGTTAAAATTGGACTGGTCGTTACATGGGTGACAATTATTTTGAACTTTGTTTATATTGCATATGGCATGCTATACACTGATATATTTGATGCCATCTTCATACCTTTTGATGAGGACGAGAAGTCTTTATTTTTTGCCAAGCTGTTCATGATCGTAGTTGGTGGAATATTGGTCAACATGACATGCATATTGCTGACCCTGTTTCACATAACAGTGACATGGTCTCTTAATAATGAATTCAAACTTTACAACAAAGATTTTAAAAGGAATATAAGCAAATGTGGTGGCCTTAAAGGTAGGGTCGAAAGCCAACGGAGACACCACATGGACATATGCCGGCTCACAGGATTCGCTGATGAGGCATTCAGGCTTTACCATCTTTTGAGTATTGCAATGCCTCTAACAGCTTGCCTTATCTTTGTATACAACACCATTTACATGGACAAGGTCCAAAATAATTCATTTTTGATGATTTCAATGATATTCTGGATCATATTAAACCTTTACATTATGACAGAGATGTTACTTATGTGTGCGATTGTGAATAATACGGCACATGACATTTATGATGATGTTCATTTTCTAGATCTTAGAGAGCTGGACCAAAAGGAAATTTTGCAGGTATGTTCAAGGCCCACTACAAGTGAAATCCATGAATAAAAATGCTGATGAATTAGTTCATATAAAATCTGTCAGGTCAATTTAATGAATCCATTGAATTTATGCTAGATGAAAAACTTTGAAAGAATTTTTGGCCAGGGAGTACAGGCCTGAAAAATATCATGCCTGCAATATTAAATAGAGAAAAAAATAATCGTCAATGATTATTTGTAATATTATTACCTTTCTCAGCATTGCAATTTAAAAGCTCATGCAATTCAGAATTTAAATTAAATTTGGACAGAATGGTAAAGAAAATGTAGCTATTTAAACAAGTTGATGAGAGAGCAAATTGCATTGACAGATTTTCTCTAAAATTCTAAATCATTTTCACGTTTCATTACCCATTATTTACTCAAAAATTCCAGAAAATTTCTAATACTATTTACTAGTCATTTATAGAATATTGGATTGAATTTTGCAGCTTGTCCTAATAAGAGCAAATTGTAATGGAGATAAATGTGCATAATTATTATCCCACCTATACAACATCATATAGTGTAAAATCAGTAAATATCACTACAATTTCTTTTACACTGAAACACAGAACTTGTTCACTTTACGAGGGTTGTCCCAGAAGTAATGCACTATATGCTCTAACTTTCTTTAATATTCTTCAATTCAGCTGAAATTTTGTATATATAACAAATGAAGTTTTATCTATTATATCCTGAAGTTTCAGCATCAAACATTAATATTAAGTCTCAATATGGTTGCTATAACAACACGGGGGTAGGGGTGGGCGGGGCAGGCACCAATTTTTCTAATTATGAAAAGATCTAAAGTGTTATTTTATTAATATTTCTTTCCTTTAAGTGGTCAAAATGTTTGGGAAATTGTTAAATTTATTCAACATGATGTTAACCAAGTACAAATAATGACATTTAGCACTGTGATATCATAATACCACATTTCAATAGTCACGAATTCAAATACAGTCACAGTCAAGAAATTGCAAAAATGGCTGCAATTCTTACCTGATAACAGAAGGCCTTGCGTTTGGTGGCCTAATTTCATACTTCACTTGGAGTCACAGCCACGCAAAACAATGCTACCATGAAGAAAGTATATAAGGAGTATATACCAGATAGAACTACAATTATGGGGTGGCAGAATAGATTTAAAAGAGACTATTTGACCCTGGAGGATGACTCCAAACATGGGAGGCAAAAACTCCACAAGTCACAGTGGAAGAAATTGCCAAGAGTGTTTGACCTCACAGGCATCAAAAGTACATAACATGCAAAGGGCAATATTTTGAGAAAATGTGAAATGGGACACTGTGCAATATACATCCATTAAATCTAGGATGTGCTCATAGTAATTTAGTATCTCAAAAATGTATTTTTGAGCATACTCCTTGTAGCTACACAAAATGGTATTTGTTGATTAATTATTTCATATTTTCAATTTTTTATTCCTTTTGACGTGACTGTATAACCTGCCCCGCCCTACCCAAACTCACCAACTTGATTTTATTATAACATCAATATAGTTTTATCAGTCAACATGAAATTTTTCAGAATAATCAAAATGTCTCTAAGGAACATTTACTGAAAATTTCATGGAAAAATATCAATTATTGATAAAGTTAGAGCATATAGTGCATTACTTCTGGGACAACCCTCGTATTATAGGTGTCTGTATTCCTGAACAAGTTATCTGGACATCCTGATCAGATAGGACTTAAGGTGGGATGTCTCTTCATAATTGATGGTCAAACTATTCTAACAGTAAGTAAATGTTTTACAGATAGATAATTAATAATACTTAAATGTGCACGTAGGTTATCGCAAACAATTTTAGACAATTCTAACTTGAATTATGAATATTTTCTGATCAATGAACATGGGTGTATCTTTTAGACCCATTTGTTATCTTCAAGAAAGTATACAGTGTACAATAATGATAATTTAGTTAACCAGACTTAAGTGATATTAAATCAACATACTTTTTAAAAGATGTTGACCTAATTTTCACCAAAAATGCAACTCTTATTTTGAAAGCCTGAAATGAAAGAAAAACTGATAATGTAAATGGATACGTATCTTGACTCTAAATTTTCAATTTAATCTCTCTGTTGCAATATGTTAAAAACTGATGGCAAATTTGAGGAATTTAAAAAAAATGGCAGAACTCATGTAAACCAATGGGAAATGATTGGGTTGCCAAAAGTCATATGAGAAAATATCCATTCATCCAATTGCTCTCAAAAATGGAATTTAAATAGACAATTGAATCTGCTAACTTGTCTACAACAACAAATTGATTTGTTTCTCCAGGTTTTATAAAGTTATAAGTTTCAAAAGTCAATATCATTTCTCAATAAACCTCTCATTAAATTAACACAGGGGGTCAAAAATGAATTGTGAAAAATATGTTGATGCTCTATATCATTAATTCTCACAAAGTAAGCTTAACACCAAGCATGCAGAAAGTAAAACAATTCAATTGTCGACTCAGAAATTATTTTTAATAAATGTTTTACCGAATAAATATCCAAAAATCTGATTTGCCCCTAACCCACCATTTCCCATTAGTTATCATGAGTTCTGCCATTTTTTGTTAATTCCTCTACTTTGACATCAATTTTTGACCGATTGTAATAAAGATTAAAATGAAAATTTCCTGAAATATAGAGAATAGAGTCAAGGTACATATCCATTTATATTATTCAGGTTTTCTTTCGTTTCGGGCTTAGAAAATAGAGTTTAAAGATACATGGGATTTAACATGTAAACCTATGAGGAAAAAAACTGGTCCTTAACTTTTTTTGAGGAGTACATAATGATACAGTAAAACCTGTCTTATAAAACACTTCTCTCTAGTGAACGTAATAGCATTTAGTGAACATCACTTCAAGACATCTTACATGGACTCTTGTATAAAATACCTCTCTGTTGTGAACACTTATCTACAGGAACACTTTTTGTGACTCTATAAGTGTTCAAAAAACAGTTTCAAAAAACAGTTAAGATCTGCACTTTTAAACCAAACCGTTTATGTAACTTAAATGAGGAATTAAATCGACGATTCTGTTGTCTTCTGAGCTATTTTTTCGCAAACATGTACATTTTCTAAAACATATGATGCTGATACACGTTTGAAAACGTCGTTGGGATTCTGCCCACAATGCGTGAAATAAGGAAGAAAGAAAAATCGTACCTTCGACATTCCGACATTTTGTTACTAAAACGAACTGTTTCGGTAACCAGAGTAATCGAGCGATCACCAGTGATAATAAAGGACCCACTGTCCTGTGCTCACACAGTGTTTTGTGCAGCCAATGATGATTGACTTTATACATGAGAAAGTTCCCTGAAAATGACAAAGTCCTACTTTTTGTCAAATTTTATAGAGTAAACACCAAAAACTGTAATTTCAAGAGCATAAAATGTCTCGAGGTCACTTATTAGAAATGAATGGTTGACTGCTATAATGTAGAAAATATTTATTTTCAGGTGTTTGGATTGCTTCTTACAGTGCTGGTATATATTAATTGATCAGTCGTTTAATTGGCATATTTTCTTGAATTTTAACATTTAATGTCCCAAACTCCCACAAACTGCAGAAAAGTATACACCATAAATCATATTTACCAAAATGAGTGTCTCCAAGGCTTCACACCAGCGTATGCATAATGCATTTGTCACGGGTTTGAGCTGAAATTTCGCCAAAATGAAGTAGGCAAAGGGTAGTCTCTGCCAGGTTTGTTTATTGTGGCAAGCTTGTAAGTGCTCAGAACCAAATAATTCATGTGCGCAAACTAATCAAATAATCTGATTGGTCTAAACTTTGCTGCACATGCGCACAATGTGTGCCATGTTTTTTCTAGTGATTTCGTTTCGTTTCATGCAGTTTGCGTTTCAGTGTAACTTCCGCAAAAATGGCGGACCATGGACAGAATTAACAGGTAAAATCACTTCGAAATTTCAAGAGAACTTTTTACCTATATAGCAAAACTTTTGTTTTATTTGAGCATTCTATCTATCAGATAAGAGTTTCAGGGGTATGTAGGCAAATTCATTTTGGTAGGAACACTCTGTTTAGTTTGAAAACGCACCCTTTATTATTATACAGGGTGTTCCAAAAGTAACAGGACTGGTGCTGGCATTTTGTTAAATATGCACCAATCGTCTTCCAAATTGTACATAATGTACTTTTATATATCGTTACTAAGACTGCAAAGTTTCGACAAAAAATATTAAACTCGGGTAGAGTTATGGTTGCTTTAGTAACATGACATCGCAATACCCGGGGCAACATTCCACGCAAAAAGTTACAGAGACATTAGGGATTTTGTACATCCTATATCATTTTGTACATGCCATATCAAAGTTGAAATGCAACAACTGGTGGGAATTACATTTGTTTTACATCATTTGATATTCCTATGTATCCTCTACTTTGAAAAATAGGCTTCTATTTGGTCAGTACAAGAGTAGTACTCTATCCATGACCCAAACACATGAGTGTATTCATTTGAGGACATGTCACGCAGGGTCGATTGGACAATTTGGAGAAGGTCATTCTCATCTTTAAAGGTCTTACAGCACTGATTAACATTCCGTTCTCAATATAAGTAAAAATTAGATATTGCATGATCAGAAGAGTATGGTGCATGGTTTTAGACCTCAAGACCTAGCTCCTCTATAGCTGCATGGTCTTTAATGCAGGTGACCTGCGGGCAGGTGTACTATCAAGCTAGGTGGATGACTTGCTTCTAATTGGGGCTTTTCAAAAACTCAACCGTGAATTGTTCAGACTGTTATACATGGTGATATTCCAGGAAATTGAATAAATATTATTATACTTGAATCTGAATTGTATAGCAACATCTGTAAAATAAAGCAACTAATAAAATAAACAAGAAATGTTGTATTAGCATAGGTGAATTAGATACTTTCTTCAGTAATACAAAAATGTTAGATATCAAATTTTCAGGAAAAAAAGTTGCCCCGGGTATTGGGATGCCATGTTACTATAGTAACCATAACTCTAGCCGCATTTCATCATTTTTTCTGAAACTTTACAATTTTAGTTGCAATACTTCAAAGTACAATTTGTGAAAATTTGAAGACACTCAGTGCAAAATTGACAAAATGCCAGCACCAGTCCTGTTACTTTTGGAACACCCTGTATATCAGCACTGTAGTTATTTTTTCCTGTTGATTTCATTCAAACCAGCCAGTCCAGAGAGCGTGCTTCCAGCAGCCTTGTGTAACTGTACAACTTCAGTCTAATTTATTATAATGAACATTCAAACCAGCCAGTCCAGCAGCTTTGTGTAATTGTACAACTTCAGTCTAAATTTTGTTGATCATTAGAAACACCAGGTTAGAGAATGTACCATATGGGAACAAATTATAGTAACTGTACAACTCAATTCTAGAACCCTTGAAATTCTACATATAAATGAAGAAGCAGTTTACATCCCAACATATCAAGTTGGTTGTGGAGTAACGCATCAACAAGGCATGAATATGCAAAATGCAACACCTGCCATTTGTTACAAACATCAAATGTCGAACTCAGAACACTTACTGCCACGCACCAATCACCAACACAAAAATGTTGGAGACTACAACAATATGTCACCATTTGTGGTGATGACATAAAAACCAAACCGCTCAAGTAAAATATGTTACGCATGGTGACATAACAAAGCGTGTCATTTCCGTGTAAACTGGGATGAATGATAATGATAAGTTTGACATTTCAATGACAATGACTCGATCAGTAAACAAGAAGAGGTAGGATTACGGAGGGGATATTCTAAAAAAATGAAGTCAATCCAGTCCAAATGAATGTTAATATGTACATCATAGAATAACTTGAATGGTGGGGAGGGGTATTAGACATTGTGTCTCTTCATGTATATTACACTTTTGGATAGTTGGGGTTTGTTTTTTTAAGACTGGTACACTTTGATGTTTTGTTGCTGTGTTCTCCAACATTTTTTGGTCCTTTCCCTTTAGCATGTGTGCATACATATTTGTACAGTATTCAATTGTTCATACCTGTACCTGTATAGTAGCATGCAATAACAATTTTGTTGATAAAATGATAAAAGGGGTGCACTTCATCATCTAAAAGCTCTTAATTAATATAGAATGGCCAAACCCAGTGTGCCGTTATTCGCTAAAAGGAAAAACCAATTGCAATGACACAGTTTGGGAATTTAATGCCTTACAAATGTGAGATAATGGAAATTGGATATAAATGGCTGTTTTTATATCATTCACTACATCAAGCATATGGGTGGATAGGTAGGGTGATTCTGTTCAATGTGCTGATGATAACAGGATGGCAGAACATTACGATAAGAATTATGTTGAGGACATTTTCCAAAAAAGCAGCCTTTTCCAAGCGTTGAAACCATTACTATGGAATCTAAAGCTGTGTGGCTTGTACCATAAAAGACAATGGAGGGTGAAAAATGGGCAAGGTGACCTCGAAGAAATTAGAAAGGTTACCCCTTCTCGTATGTGGAGCATTTTCTTAATAATCATCCATTGGCTGAATACTGGAAAAAGCCTGATGGCATTTCAGAGAGGTAATGAGTTTGGGCCTGATGTCCTCATGAAGATTTTGACATCAATGTGGCATATCTATTGCACCATTTTGTGCATGATTATGTACCGATGTTGGGCAAAGCCAGATCATCTTCCTGGTTTCATCTATAAATGGGAAACACTTTGCAAACAAGACACTGAAGGAACCTTAAGAAAATTCAAGCACCTGATTAAAATTGGGCTAATCTTTACATGGGTGACAATTATTGGGAACTTTGTCTGTATTACATTGTTTGTTCTTCAGACTGATATACTTGATGCTACCTTCATACCTTTTGATATGGATGATAACTCTCTATTTGTTGGGAAACTGGTCACGATTGTAATGAGTGGAACAGTAGTCAATGCAACGTGCATGTTCTCCAGCCTGTTTCACATAGCAGTGACATGGCTTCTGAATGAGGAATTCAAAAAGTTTAACAAACAATTCAAAGATAATATAAGTGAATGCCATGGACTAAAAGGCAGCATTGAGAGCCATAGAAAACGACACATGGACATATGCCAGCTCGCAGGATTCGCTGATGAGGCATTCAGACTTTACCATCTTTTGATTACAGTAGTTCCTATAACAGCTTGCCTAATCACTGCATACAACGCCATGTACTTAGATGAGATCCATAATGATTCATTTTTATTGATATCCATGATATTTATGATCTTTTTGAATCTATACTTCATAATAGAGGCGCTACTGATGTGTGCAATTGTGAATAACACGGCGCATGACATTTATAATGATGTTCATTCACTAGACCTTGGAGAGCTGGACCAAAAGGAAATTTTGCAGGTATGTTCAAGGTCTACTAAAAGTGCAATCCAGGAATTAAAATCCCCATATACATACATATATTTAGTGGTTGTGTACAAGTTCGGCTAATATAGGCCGACCTTGGGAAACTCTATATTTGAGCAAGAACACTGCAATTATTATTAAATCACATACTACATGGTGTAAAAATTAATAATTATTTCTCCATATATTATCCCTAACCTAAAATCCAGAAACGTTTGAACTCATATACTTTATCATTAGGTGTCTGTATTCCTGAACAAGTTAGCTGGACATCCCGAGCAAATAGGACTAAAAGTGGCATGTTTCTACGTCATTGACAGCCCAACCATCCTAGCAGTAAGTGAATTTCACTGATGTAATTGAATTTTGTTAATGTTAAGCTGAGCTGGTATATTAATTTATAGTTCTTGAAGAAAAGAATGCTTTTAACTTCCTGATAAGATACACATTCTACATATGTACATATCTCATACTGTGTGATAAATAAAAAACATAAAATATCTCTGGGTCACTGATTTGAAACTGAATAAATGCTTAACTTAAATAATGAAGAAAATGTTTATTTTCAGGTATTTGGTGTGCTTCTTAGTTATTTTTTCATGTTGTTTTCATTCAAACCAGCCAGTCCAGAGAGTATGCTACCAGCAGCTTTGCGTAACTGTACAACTATCTAAATTACAACTGTCTAAATTATGATGAACATATAAACCACCAGGTTTAGACAATGTACTGTGTATGAGATAAGTTTGTTAGATCCAGATTATAAAGTAACAAGGCATTAACAAAATGTCACTACCTGCCACTTGTTACAGACACTGAGTGCCAAACACCAACCACCAAACACCATCCGCAAAAAAGTTGGAGACTATAACAATATGTCACCAGTTGTGGCAGTTGGTGACATAACAATGAGAGGAACAAGTAAGCAAGAAGAGGATGTATTATGGAGGGATTTTTAGGATAGAATTCGGAGCCAATCCAGTGCAAATGTACGCAGGTTGTGTAAATAAGTACATATAATTATAACTATAGTTCAATGTTTTATCTAGCCATGCAAGGACACAATGGAAATGTGTTTTGGAAGAATAAAGGATTATCACCTGGTCTACATTTGCACTGGATTTATCCTGGGCTGTGTCCTCCTGTAAAATAGTACATGAGGTTTAAATTATATTGACCTCCTGTAAAATAGTATATGAGGTTTAAATTATATTGACCTCCTGTTAAATAGTATATGAGGTTTAAATTATATTTACTTCCTGTTAAATAGTACATGAGGTTTAAATTATATTGACCTCCTGTAAATCAATACAAGGGGATTAAATTATATTTTACGTACTTCCTGTTAAATAGTACATGAGGTTTAAATTATATTGACCTCCTGTAAATCAATACAAGGAGATTAAATTATATTTTACGTACTTCCTGTTAAATAGTACATGAGGTTTAAATTATATTGACCTCCTGTAAATCAATACAGGGGGATTAAGGATGCAGTACCAGGTCAGCGTAGAATAAGTTCCAGACATTAGATTTTGCTCATATTTTTTACAATGTATCACTATGATGTTATCATCATCCAAGTGCAATATGAAGAGGATTGACCGTCTGGTAATTACAAAATAAAAAAATTATTTAACCCACCCAAAATGAATCTTTTTACTTTTTTGAGTTTTCAATAGAGCTGGCACCTTTCAAACCCTGGTTTTCGTATCCACTAATTGCGACTCAAAAACAAGTTTTTCCACAAAAGTGAAAGGGATAAAATATGCTTGATAAAATGTTTGCAATTTAATTCTTTTCTGGAAACATCATTATCGAAATAAACTATAATTTTTGAATAAGACTAAATGCGAAAATGACGTTCTTGGGAGCTAGCTTTCTCAAACCGGAAGTCAAACCTGCGCAAACAGACGTGAAAACTGACCCGGTACTGCATCCTTAAATTATATTTTACGTACCTCCTGTTAAATAGTACATGAGGTTTAAATTATATTGACCTCCTATAAAACAATACAGGGGGTTAAAGTCCTGTAAAATAGTTATATTGACCTCCCGTAAAACAATACAGGAGGATTAAATTATATTTCACTCCTGTTAAATAGTACATGAGGTTTAAATAATATTGACCTCCTTTAAAACATTACAGGGGAATTAAAGTCCTGTAAAATAGTTATTGACCTCCCGTAAAACAATACAGGAGGATTAAATTATATTTACCTCCTGTTAAATAGTACATGAGGTTTAAATTATATTTACCTCCTGTAAAACAATACAGGGGGATTAACTTATATTTACCTCTTGTAAAAGAGTATGTAAATAAACATATACCGATATACATTATATAGTACTATCTATATTAGAAAGAAAATTGACTTGCTAATTCTGTTCAAGTGTAATGTGTTTCAAATATGAAGGTAAAGAGGAAGTACACTAATCAAGTTTTGGGCAACCCATTGTTGCCTTATGGGAGTTAACTGTGCCATACAGTGGTTGCAGCATGGTGTCACTCCCCACAGCTAAAATGACACCATAGCTTGGCTAAATCAACACATTGACATTAGGATCATAAAAACTTTTCGACATATTACAGTTTTCCTCTCAGATATTAACTGTAATACATGGAATCCACTCGTTGACAAATGAATGTTATCACCGCCTTTTGAGGCCTGTTTTCAGTATATTAATTCTAGTTTAGAAGACTTATATTTTACTACACAGTATATACTGTATTGACTTGAGCACTAGGTGTATCCATAGTGTTGGGCCAAAGTGCTCATTATCTCTTTTGGTCCAAGGCGATCAACATGTTTTTTCATAGTTTTCAATAGGACAGTTGGAATAGAATATAAGAAAATCATGCTTCAATTTTTTCATTTGATTGAGCTTATGTCATGCCTAGTTATCAGAAAAAATTAACAAAGGGGGAGCAACTCTTGAAAAAATAATTCTCACAGACATGTTGAATTTTGTAGCAGAAATCAGCTATTCCCCCTCTAGTTCTTTTTTCCGATTACCAGACATGTATGTAATTAATTTTCTTCAAACATTCTCAGAAATGCAAAAAAGGAAAACTTACAAGCTTTGATGCAGCTGTCATTCCATGTCTCTCTGGTTCCTTTACAGTGAAAAATACGACTATTGAGATAACGATCCCCGGAGCACCTGCAATTATGTACACAGGTCGCCAGCCCACCAAACGTGTTGTAATGTTCATTAGAAATGACATGCTGTAGCCGATGTAAATCCCCCAATTGTAGAAACCCAAAGCAAATCCTCGCTGTGTCTATAACAATGGCGATTAAAATGAATTGTTATTCTAATCCGAATAACTGTGATATCTATCTTGTTTACATGGATTTACTAGATTCAAATACAATACTGTAACATTAGGATATAAGCATTTCCTATTCTCACACGTATGTTTAGTCTTGAAAAAGTGTTTTTGGACAATGACTATAATCTCAATGGTATTAAAGCTGCATCCGTTGAGAATTAAGAAATTGACAATATTGAAAATCTATTTCCAAACATGTTGGGAATTTAAAAATCTGAATATTTTCACAAAAGAACAAAAGAAAACAGTTAGAAATGTTCTGGTGTTACTTACAGAAGAAAAGTAATCTGATATGATACTTGCAGAGAATGGTGTACAACCGGCTTGGCTAAAAAAGTAAAACATCAAAGAAATAACAGAAAAATACTCAGGTGTTATTGTTATACAGGTAGCTATTGTCTTTTCTCTTATAGGTAAAAATGTCTTTTTAAAGCTTCCATATTTTATTCAACAATTTTAACAACAAAAAGTTCCAAAACAGCTATTTCTAAAAGATTCCAAAACAGCTAGTTATAAAAAGGTATAGCTTTTCCAGAGCAGTGTTAACTCCGGTAAAACTGCTACTAAACTAAATGTATTTCAGGATACACTCGAAATTTACTAGTATCCCATCAGGTAACAACTTGTTTACATGAATTATCATAACATTCAGCATAATAATTGCATTGACGTGTTTAAAATTTAAATCTATCAAAATTATTTGTTAAATAAGTATACTTACAAAACCCCAATGAGAAGACGAGTTAAAGCGACGTGCCAGTAAGTTTGGGCGAGTCCACTGAGAATCGTCATGCAACTCCATAGGAAAATAATCAATGTCAACAAATTCTTACGATTTGCGCTGCTCACTTCAGCAATGACTCCTGAAAGCGGGAAAGAACTTTTAAAATCGACAAAAGAAAAACTTAATCTAAAATGTTCCCACAATGCATGATCCCAAAATTCAGAATAATTGTTTTTCTGCTAATTGAGCATATAAGCAGTTTCGTTCGTTGCATACATCACGACGAAGGAATAAGGCATGATTGCACTGAACGAAATACTAAGATAGCTAACTGACTAATGCTTGAATTAAATCTTCATTAATACACTGCCCATCTACTGACTTGAGGCAACATTCTACAATGGAAGCCTGAATTTTCGATAAATGTGATAGGTAAATTGAATGAATATGAAGAATGAAATGATGATGACGACTTGAAGGTGATGGTAGGAAGTGAAAGATGTTTAACAAAATTTTTTATTTAATTTCTATAAAATTTGGAACTGCATGTGCTTTAATTTATTTGTTTTGTAATTAGAAGCAATGTTTGTTTGTAATATTCATTAGCTTCAAACAATCTGACACATTGAATTTTGCAAGCTCTGCGAAAAGTATGTTCCGTCGGTGATTGTATCTGGGGCAATTGAGAAGGAAGTGTTTGCTATCTTCCATTTCATAAAATTGAATGGGGTTATTTACTGCATAATGACTTCAATATTAGGGCCTCAGGCCCGTAGCCAGGGGGGGTTCGGGGGGTTCGGGCGAACCCCCCCTGGCCAAAATTTCTTTCAAAATCATGCAGTTTTTCACCATTCTGACTATTTTTTAAGTGATTTTTGGCCAAATTTGCCAAAGTGAACCCCCCCTAGAATTTTTTGGAAAAGTGAACCCCCCCTTGGAAAATTCTGGCTACGGGCCTGGGCCTGCCCATTCCTCACCTAGAGGGACCCCACTTAGGCTGAAAAGGATGATAAACAATGGGCCTGCCAGTAACTGGTACTCTATGCCTGTGCCAAGGTAATACCAACTGCACAATGTCTCATTCCAGTTACTCTTTGTCTGTTCATCACAACTGAAAATAAAAAATATACCATTTAGTCAATGGATTTTAAGGTCAGACTGCACTTTCTACCATTTTGATGACCATGTGGTTTTTCCAGATGAACGTAACGTAATAATTTTTTAAATTGAAATATCAATTTCAAATCATCCACCATTAATAATCAATTCAAAGAACCATTTGAGTGAGAAATTCTGTGAGATATATACCCCTCACTTAGGGCATTTAAGGGATTAAAGGATCTTGGCCAAGAAGTACTATCTTCTCAGTATGTAAAGGATCTTGGAAAAAATGTACTAACTACTCATTATGTTAAAGGATCTTGGCTAAGAAATACTACCTTCTCAGTATGTTAAAGGATCTTGGCCAAGAAATACTACCTTCTCAGTAAGATAAAGGATCTTGGCCAAGAAGTACTATTTGATCAGTAAGTTAAAGGATCTTGGCCAAGAAATACTACCTTCTCAGTATGATAAAGGATCTTGGCCAAAAAGTACTATTTGATCAGTATGTTAAAGGATCTTGGCAAAGAAATATTACCTTCTCAGTATGTTAAAGGATCTTGGCCTAGAAGTACTATTTGATCAATATGTTAAAGGATCTTGGCCAAGAATAACTACTAGATCTGTATGCTAACGTGTAACACATATCTTTTAGGAAATCAAACGCTCGTTTCTGGTGTTGCTCACTGTTTAGTATAAAAGGCCTGATCCCGGAATAAAACTCAAGGGTTCAAAGGTTTGAAGTCATTGACATCTACATTTCCCCATCACGTATTAGCACACAGCTCGTTTCTGGTGTTGCTCACTGTTTAGTATAAAAGGCCTGATCCCGGAATAATACTCAAGGGTCCAAAGGTTTGAAGTCATTGACATCTACATTTCCCCATCACGTATTAGCACACAGCTCGTTTCTGGTGTTGCTCACTGTTTAGTATAAAAGGCCTGATCCCGGAATAATACTCAAGGGTCCAAAGGTTTGAAGTCATTGACATCTACATTTCCCCATCACGTATTAGCACACAGCATGGCTAAATATGAAATATCCTCCAAATGAAACAAACAAGAATTTATATTGGCTGTTGTACATGCATTTCTTAAAAATGGGTTGATCGCGTTGACTCATTTTTATACGGGAAGCTTATCACAACCCTTTAAAGGATCTTGGTCAAAAAGCACTACATTCTCAGTAAAAGGATCTTGACTTGATATGTTAAAGGATCTTGTCCAAAAAGCATTATATCAGCTCAGCATGTTAAAGGGATTTGGCCGAGAATCTCTGCCCAGAATGTTAAAGGATCTTGTCCAAGAAGCCTACATGTTCAGGATCTTGGTCACATCTGATAAGTAATATTCTATCTTGGATAAATCATTCAGTTGTTATAAATTTTTTATCAACAATGAACTAGATGCTTTTATCCTAGTGTAAACAGAATAAACTATGCTGCAGGATCTCTTCACAAATTGTAGTCAGATAAATACAAATTGTAGTCTGATAAAACAATCGAAGAGCATGCTTTCTACACATGAATGAATATAATATATGATTCCCTATAATGATCATGCATAATCTTATTTTATCTACTCTTTGTCAAATTATCAAAACAATACAAATGAATTTTCAAATGTTCAAGAGCATTTTAAATTAAATGTTATCTTTTGCATTTAAAAACTTACAAGTCTACTTTAAATTGTTTGGTTTTATGTGTTTAAGGTTTTCAACAAGCCTATTGTCACACTTTAGTCATGGGCATTTTGATAATTTGATCCCAACATTTTATCAATTGGTGGTACTCAAATAACTTGACTTTCTGTACATACTGTATTATCTTATAGTTATATACCATTAGTAAATAAACATATGCTTGACATGGTCAAGATAATACTTTATGTTATATACTGTATATGAAATATACACCAAATGAAAATGAATGAATAGATATGAATACTTTGAAAATAAAGTATAAAAATATGTACATGTATTTATATGGCTATTTATATACACATGTACATTTATATGGTAAAAATTTATTATCTAATAAAAATTTTATTATCTAATGGGGTTGATAAATTATTTTACACTAATTAGGTGAAAACAATTGAATATGGTTGCAGTGATGTGGGATCTTTAACAGTTACTGTATGTACTTACAGATGCTCATTATTCTTGCAATAGTTATCCGCTGTCGAGTTAATAGCGTGGTTGGCAAGCCATATTTTTGTACTGGTTCCATTTGTGGCTTCACATATTCTATCTCCATACTTCAAGTCATTTGACATTGCAATATTTGTAGGTACAAGGACATATCTGAAACAGAAGGACTATCAGATAGGGTAGATAGTTCCCTTTTGTTGAGAATTTTTTCTTATTTCCATGATGCTTATCAGTACATCAATAATTAGAAAAATGGATTCAATATTTTTCAACTTTTTGTCGACATATGACAGATGGGCTTGATATATGGATAATGGCAAAAAAGGTTTCAATACATTTTAAATGACAATGGTAAATAAAAAACAAAAAAGCAAGTTTTAATTCTGCTTTGTCATCATAGGATTTCACAATCACAATGCACCCCCCCCCTCCCCCCAATAGGACCACCGAAACTTGTAGCACTATGATATGAGATGCTTATGTCGGAGTCTCTATATAAGACTAATCATAAGTCCATATAAGTCAGGAATTCATCATTCATCATTATAAGGTGCTCCAAGTTCCTGGGTTGTGAATATAAGTAACAGTCAAGACCCTTCGAAGAAGACTGAAATAGCATAGGCATATCAACAATTTGAGAGACGTTTAGGAAAATATCAAACTAAATAACTAATCAACAATTTAAGTAAAACAAACCTAGAGGTACTTTCACTTTCAAAATCCCCGGGAATTTTAAATCTGATCACAAGACAAGTTCATGAAGTTCAGAAAGTTTTTCAAAAAAGTTTTGAAAGCGTAAACTACCGCGTATTATAGATATGTTGACTTAGAATTTCATAATAAATGTGCACTTACCGATCCAATTGATTCGTTAAATACACTAACATTAAAATCAACAGTACATAATACGGATAAATTCTACTACAAAGTGGTGCATTATTCGACTTATCCATTTTCAATTTCAGCGGCGCTCTTCAATTTGGAGACACGAAAATTAAATTGGATAAACAAATAATTTTGAAATTTTTTCTTGAGTAAATGCAAAAAATGAGATGAATTCACATCTTTAAATGTGTTACTTTGATGATAATATGGCGGGATAACAAACGAAGCACGTATAAAAGGAAATTAAATCTTCGCACGACTAAAGAGTGAGTAGAAATATCACTTGAGAACTTTTTCGGATTCACAGTTGAAACACATTCCAAATTTATTTTTGATATTTTTGTACTTTTAGAGTCTTTGTTATGTATGGTTTGTGTTAACTTGGGGTATATCGTGTAAATTATCCTTTTTGATCATCCTTACTAATGCTAATGGTAACTTTATAATGATCAGTTATCTTATTATGCACGGTCAAAACAAGTACACTTTTCACGAACATCTTGCACAAATTCATCGTGAAAATACAAATATTTTATCAGATAAATAGCCTATCAATCAGAGCTTAGTGGATGCCGGAGCATCAAACGAATACCCAGAGGTGAGAAGATTTCAACAAGAAACGTTGAAAAGTTCGCGGAAATGATCAAACATGATAGCTAGATCGAGGCTGAGATTCAGATCAATCACGACTACAAGGACTAGGTTTCGTGCATTTTCATCCCAAATTCAGTTTTAAATCAACATTGAATCGCATGATTTAATTTATATTAATGACTGCTTACATTCCAATGTATATTTAATTACATAATATATTGTAACTCTGAAGAAATTCTCGATCAGATCCCGGGATCAGATCATTGAAAATTTCAAGTCATGGACGGGTAGTTTGCTTTGTTTATGCGGGTAAACCTGACAGTGTTTTGATTGGTCAATCAGCCTGAAGTCACATGTCGTGTCCACACGATCTTGTCTATCAATACAGTTTCGCAATACCCCTGACAGATTATGAATAATCATAATCATAATATCAGCGGGGATTCATTTGATTGTACAAGGCGGTAATTTTTCAAGATCAGATAAGTGAAAAATACCTACTTGGGCAAGGCTAGCAGTCTATTGTCATGATATAAATTTCTGTTCACAGACGATAAAAAGGGCTCTCTCACTTTAAGACTGCCATCATGAAAATCAAAGCTGCATTTCAAAGATTCACGCCAGATCGGATTTTTTAGAAGTGCAGTATCAGTAGCTCAACAATAAGATGGAAAGTTATTGCCAATATTTGGCTACTTTTACTAATTTTACTACAAAATGATGGAAAGCACTATTTAAACTACTACAGAACAATCTGCCTGGCATCTGTGCAGTTTTTATGGAGTGATCATATTAGTGTAACATCAATACACATGTGATTGTTAATCATCTATCATCTCTGGTAGTGCCATCTCAGTTTTAGGGTTCTTAGATTTAAGGGTCATCTTATTCTTAGATACTAATTATGTCAAATATTTTCTGTTTCACATCATCTAAATTTTTAGGTCCATCATCTCAGAATCTCAATCTCAAAGTCACCACCACAAGTGGTCTCTTACTTTTTCTGACATCGTCTGGTGGTTGGTGTTTGGAGTTCAGTGTCTAACAAATGACAGGTGGTGACATTGATGCCTGTGTCAATCAAATATGATAGCTTTCACTCACAGCTTAATCAAATTGCCAGGTTTTCCCATTTACTAATTCTTCCTCACAATTTTTGGAGAATGCTGAGCCAATGCCTGAAATGAGTTGAAAGCTCAATAGTCTCACCTATTCAAAGACATTTGGGGCTTTAGCTAATAATTAGCCATATTTCTCCTTGGTATATCAGATGATAATGAAAATTTGAGGTGCTTCAGTCAACAAATGAAAACCTTCACAGTTCTGAATTTAGCCAATTAAGATTGCACTGGCGGATCTGATGGGGGGGGGGGCATAGGCCAAAATGTTTTTAGTGGAATTAATTAGTTAATTAGACTAATTAGTGGAACTTTTTGGATTTAAATTTTCTTCTCTCAAAATCTTAAGCAAGTTGAAACTAAAGGGAATATGATTGTAACCTTTGGACTTCAGTTTCAATTTAAAAAAACCTGTAGAAATATTACTTAGGGAAAATTTTGGTGAGCTATGAGACATGATACCGCAGCTAGATTCCTATGTCACTTTGGTGAATGCTACAATGCTACATCTTTGATTTTGACAAATCAGGAAAGCTAAAAAGTATTTTTACAATGATAGATGCGTTATCAATTAAAACACTGGATTCTTTCAATGTTATTCATTGATCGCAAGGTGACTCATTATGTCGTTAATACCTGGCAATAAATTATTGATCACTGTGTTATATATTGTAATGAACACACCTTGGTGTGAAAGAACCAGAACGGACATGATTGAATTTTAAAACAGATGGCGGGGTAATCAATAATTTGATCATTCATTAGTCATTCTCTACATAATCAATACAACCACATTTTGTTTTTCAATTATATCTAATATTTAAGCCAGTTACTTTTAGAATGAAACTATATTGAAATCTGATATTATACCATAAAATTTTTACAATATTCTTTCCATATGAAACTTTTTTCTTAATGATAAATTTTGCTGAATATAAATTGAAGAATTCTAAAAGGACTAGAATTTTGCCAAGCGTACATCTGGGCCAATGTTTTATCAAAATAATTCTCCCCTGTTATCTTTGCTTTTTCCCATGGCCATACATTTTTATTTTCCGGAAACCATGAGTGGCGGTGGGGAGCATGCATGTAAGGGCTTAATACAACAGGTAACAACCCTTATAAAAAATTCAACCTTGAAAGTCCGAATTTAAACCGTTGCACAATCATTGTACAATCATTGATCCGATCATTTATCCAACCATGCCAACCGTTACAATGCAACCATTACAGTTTTGGTTGTAAACTCATTGAAAAAGTTTCAATCATATGTAACCATTGTAAACGCTTGACAATTTTGATTGAATTTCTTGCAACCGTTTCAATCGAATGCAACCCTTTAAACCTATGGCAATATTATCTCAATACAACATAAAATAATTATATTGCTCTTTAAAATAATTATTTCAAATGTATGTATTTCATGCATACATGTCAGAATTTAAATTTTTTTCATCAAAAAGATATTTAAAGTATTGAAATAGTTTAGTAAACTTGTCTTGTGAATGAAAATATATTGAACCAATTTCCATCTAACCTTGAAGGATGGTGATTGTCCAACTCACATGTATATTATCTAGATAACAGCAATGCTAAGGCATAGCAAATCCCCTCGCTGTCATGACAATCATTTTTACAAAATCCCTTCACTACTTTTTAAGTTATTGCAAAAACATTTGAAATAATTTTGATTGGGTCAAGTCTTGAATTTTACAAATTCAGACACTTATACTTCACTTGAGTAATTATCACAATTATAAAGGAGGGAAGATCTGTCTGGAAGGAAGAAATCCTTCAATCAGAAAATAATCTGTTTATTGATTTGATATTTTTGATTTGATAGAGAAAATCCCGGGGGGTTCACTGTATATAAAACTCGACGGGGGTCCTCGGCTGAAGCCTCAAATATCAATATGTTCCCATACCAATCTGTCAAATTTCAATATGTTCCCATACCAACCAAAATAACGCCCAAAGGCCATACCAAATGTCCAAATATAGGACCAATGCCATACCAAATGTCCAAATATAGGACTAATGCCATACCAAATGCCCAATTATGGGACCAATGCCATACCAAATGTCAAAATGTAGGACCAATGCCATACCAAATGTCCAAATATGGGACCAAGGGCTAAAATTCAAAAGTTGAAGAAGGCCCTGGAAAAGAAGATACTTCGGGAAACGATCCAAAACAACTTCAAATTTGCAACTACTGGACCAATGCCATACCACGAATGTTAGGTAACGTATCTACAACGACCATTCTCATACCAGAAGAGCAAAAGTCCGACCATTGCCATACCTCAGAAGTCAGAAATTTCTGGGCATTCCCATACCAAATCCTAAAATATGGGTCCATTGCCATACCAAACGTTGAAAAAGGTACCCCACATGCGCCGAGGATCCCCGTCAAGGTTTATATATAGTGAACCCCCCGGGGAGAAAATGCAATCAGACATTACAGGATGTGTTTTAAATAATTAAGTCAATAAGCATAACTTAAAAAATTCTGATTACAGAAAGACTCAGTCTCTTTAGTTTGATTAGAGTCTGCTTTGAAGGATGTGTCTAAAGAGACTTTATTAATCCATTAATCCATAAACAAAACAAAAATAATTCGACAAGGCAAAACAAACCTTATAACAGAGAGACTCTCAGTTTGATTAGAGTCTGCTATAAAGGAAGCATCCTATGTAATTTAATTATTCCATACACAGAACTTGATAAATAATTTGCTAAAGAAAATTTCCCATATTTTCCTCCAGATTTTTTCAAGTTGAGAGTTTTGAAAAATAAGCCCTATTTTTTGTGTGTTTTTTTAATCATTGACACATAAAACAAGTTTCAGTACAAATGCTATGCCCTAGTGAATACAGTAAAGCCATGAACTTTCAATTTATTAAATGCCCATGGTAAAAAAAACTAAACAAAAATGAAATAAAAATTCTGAAAATAGTATTTGCAGTTTCATATACTTGCTATTTGAGATTTCTCAGCACTTAATAAAGTAGTTGAATAAAGAAATAAACCCTAAAAATCTGAAAACACTTTTCAAATTTTTACCTCCCCCCCTCTGCATGAAATAGATAGTATAAAATATATAGTATAACACAATATGAAAATAAATATAACAGAAACTAGGAATATGGACCCTATTTCTGGTCAAGCATTTTAATTAGCTGTTCAACCGTTTTAATTAGCTGTTCAACCGTTTTAATTAGCTGTTCAACCGTTTTAATTGGCTGTTCAAGCATTCTGATTTGCCTAATCCCATGAGAATATCAATATGTAGTAGGTATTGTTTGATCATCAGTCTGATCATGAACAAAAACCATTGTGTCTCATCTTGTGGTTTTGTTAAGTTTAAAGGAAATCTTAAGATGTACCTTGGTCAATTTCTTAACCAAATTGGAATTTTGCTCAATTCTTTTCATAATTAACATCATTTTGGCAATATCTGATAAAGGGAAATAAACACTAAATATGGTACTTTTAATTTGTGTAAATAATGTAAATGACAGAGAACATAAATTATCATATGCCATTGAGTGGAAAACTAGTCTGGTATTGCATTCCTAAACTCGTACTTGAGAAAGAAACATATTAACATGAATTAAGTTATTTACTATAATAAACATGCATGTATGCTTGCAGAAAAAATATCCTAATATACTATTGTTTAATAGAGGTAGATTCAAATCCTTACTTAAAGATAATTTTAATTCAGGTAAAATGATAATTTTTTGGAACGATACTAATTCAGGATGGTTGCAGGGGTTGAACTATGTAATCATTGAACAAAACAAATTGCAACCATTTACATTTCAATGTGAAATAGTTGCAGTTTACAATGGTTTCAGATTACAATGATTGTATAGAAACGGTTGCGCATTCGTTGAAAAAGAGTTGACTTCGCTTGGTTGAACACAATGGTTGCACAATGATTGCTTATCATCGTACAATGGTTTTTCCTTTGATCTTGGTAGTTGAAACAATCATTATTCAATGATTGGTGGAAACGGTTTAAATTCGGACTTTCAAGGTTGAATTTTTTATAAGGGAAGATACTCAAAAGTAGAAAACTCAATACAGCCCTGCTTACAATACATCTGTTTTTGTTTCAGTAATATTGCCAATTTGCCAGATATGACTAGAGAAATGAGAGTCAAAAATAGAGATGTCTTCTATAGAAAAACAACATTATGTTTATACCAACCCATTTAGAAGAATAACCTTATTCTTACTCTTGACAGGTAAGTTATCATCAAGCTGTGGTTTTTTTAATTAACGACTAAGGTAGTACAGTCAAACCTGTAAAGAAGAACATCTCCTTAAGTAGAACGCTTTTCAAAGTCCTGCAACCTATTGACTAATTGTTCAATGAACCGTTGTAAGTAAAACACCTCTCTCAAGTGGCACACCTTTAGAGGTACCAAAGATATTACACTTAGTTTTGCTGTAGTTAACTTAATAACTGTATCTTCAAGACTACATTACATGATGGGACTCATTTCCAAAGATATGTTTCATTTTGTCTTGGTATTAAGTGGTTATCATCTGAAACGCTTTCGTAACATTTACATTTTCATTTCAGCTTTGCAATATGCGACATCACAATCAAATGTGTGTGACTCATCACCATGTCAAAATGGCGGAAAATGTGAAGCGACTCCCAGTGGCTTTAATTGTCAATGTCTTACTGTGTGGACTGGGGACAGATGTGAACAGGAAGTGAATGAATGTGCCTCGTCACCATGTCAAAATGGTGGATCGTGCCGGGATAAATTTGGATTCTACGAATGTGAATGTCTTGCTGGATATGATGGTATGAAATGGCTAGAATCAATGATTTTACACCTTTATGTTTTTAGAGGACAATTGGATGATGATTTTTTATCTATATCCGAAGATATGTCTTATTATCCACACTATTGGTATTTCAATAATTAAAAAAGCTCTAGGAGGACAAGCAAATTAAAATTACTCTGGCCTTTTAACTCCAAAGTTCTTAAATATAGGTATTTAACTTTCGAAAATCACATGTAATTTTAAGATTATTTTATATTTTATCGTAAAATGTAAGTAAAACATGGCTATAATGATTTAGCAAAAATTGCACATCATTGTTTGAACTGAAATGTTTTGTGTTTCATTGTCTTTAGGTGATCATTGTGAAATTAACATAAATGAATGCTCCAGTTCACCTTGTCAAAATGGCGGAGATTGTCAGGACATCATAAATGGATTTCAGTGCAACTGCCCACCAGGCTATCAAGGCGAGGCTTGTGAAATAGACATTGATGAGTGTTCATCGAATCCATGCTACTTTGAGGGCACTTGTGTGGATGAAGTCAATGCTTATAGATGTCTCTGTACACCTGGTTATACTGGGTCAAGGTCAGTCTGTTGTAATTCTCTAATTTTCATGAATATGAATTAATATGGATACATAGATTATTATAGCATAGATTATCATAGATTTATAGAGTGAAATGAAATATTTAGTCATGAAAAGACCCAGACGATAAGTTTGAACACTCATATATAGATGGGAGATCAATCGTGAGTTGCTTTCACGTCCTGAAAATTGGGGTTCAACGGGAAGTAAGCATTATTCATGATGCAGCATTAAATCATTGATTTTGTTGTATTTCTTAGGTGTGAAGATCAAATAAATGAGTGTTTGTCTAACCCGTGTAAGAACAGTGCAGAATGTGTAGACCAATTGGGAGGCTACACATGTGTCTGTCCAACAGGTGTCTCAGGTTGGTGTCATTATAAATCGATCAATATTAAAATATATGTGAAGGATACCATAAAAATATACTTGAAAAGTAAATAGGTGCATGCAAAGTATAATATCTTGCCATTGATTTCTGAGAACAGCTTTTTTGGTCATTAAATGGCCACGTTTAATATTTTGAAATATACTTCAACTCTATTTATGGAACTTCTTCTGGGGTTGTATCATTTTCTGTTAACATGGTATTATCACACTGAATGGTGCATTTGTCAATACTTTACTTTTATTTCAGGGATAAACTGTGAAGAAGAGATTGACGATTGCTCAGAGCCTCAGTTTCATATTTGTCAGAATGGGGCTGAATGTATAGATGGCACTAATAGTTACACATGTAAATGTAGACCCGGTTGGACAGGATTCTTTTGCGAACAGGTGAGAGGTTACAAGGTCATGCTCATATGCATCACAATTCACGTGAACTCTTTTTGCATTGACTTAACATTCATACATTGTTTAACATCTACATCTACTTAATAATATCCACTGTTAGGAGACTATGATAATGTCCCCCGGAATGAAACCCATGAATTGAATATCTCCCGGTGAATAACCTTATCAAAACGCCATAACTTTTAAACCTGAAGCCAGATTGAAATTTTTCGAAAGTTTTCAGATTCGGAATCCTGAGAAAATTTCCTATAAGACTAATACCCTCTACATTTAATTTTGAGAACTTTTTGTTTTGACCTTTTTTACCTCTCTATACTTGATAATTTTTATCTTTTTATCATCTCTGTACTTGTTGATAAAAATATCACTCAAAATTTTTTATATTTTCCTGTCGCCATCAATAAGAAGTGTCCTATTGTTATACCCACTATATTGTATCCTACATGTATTGTTATACCCACTATATTTTGTGGCATTTGTTGATGTTGTTTGTGGTGTTTGGCATCAGTCAATGTCAGTATTTTTAACAATAGGTTACACTTAAGTTATTGCAACTAGGTGTTGACATTTTGTAAAGTTAATGTCATGAATGAATTGTAATTCCCCTTTTTTCAGGATATCGATGAATGTGCATCTAATCCATGTCAAAATGGTGCCAATTGTATTAATGAGCGCAATGGATTCCTCTGTGAGTGTCCAACTGGACTAGGTGGCGCCACATGTTCTGAAGACATTGACGAGTGTGTGACGAGTGCCCCTTGTCAGAACTTTATATTTTGCAATAATACGTTTGGCAGCTATGAGTGCTTATGTTTACCAGGTATGATTGCAAATAAGTATAAACATATGCAGGAAAAAAATTTCGGTTTCCAGTCGGGGGGGGGGGGGATTGTGGCATAAACAAGCCAAAAAATAAGTTTTATTTTGAATTTTATGAAAATTGATGCAACTTCCTTCAAAATTTAGCTAGAAATAAAAAGCATTTTAAAGCTCTTCTTCTTTCCACCCATCGCACACCCCCTGGCTACGCCTATGATATGAAATGTCTTATTCCACATTCATTCTGTCCCTACAATGAGGGCATAGAAAGAGGGTTAAACCATGATCGAAGGTAACAATATTATTAGTCAGTTGTCAAGCTATGATACCCCCAAAATTGATTTGTCAAACAAACTGTTTTCATTTATTTTTCCGGATTCAATGGCTTTCAAATGTTCACAATAGATAATGGTCATATACGTGGTCTTGTTGATATTATGGGAATACCATTACATATTGGTATTGAAAAAGTGTGCCTTCAAATATGTTATACCTTAGTATAGTAATATGAAAATGTATATGGCTAATTAATACTTCTGATGTAGGTTATGAAGGTGAGCACTGTGAATTTGAGCTGAACGATTGTGACAGTCGACCATGTTATTTTGGTGGAACTTGCATCGATAAAGTCAATGGGTTCCAGTGTGACTGTGCTGAGGGTTTCATTGGGAGTCAATGTGAGGCAGTCATTAGACAGTGTCCCCTGACAAACCCTTGCGGGGAGAATGCTCTCTGCATGGAGAAACCTACAGGTAAGTAGCTTTAAAGGAGAATACTCTTTATTGTTGTTCTTGGATATTGCTTTTGTGCATATTTGATCTTAATTGCTTCAAGTCTTTGGACCCCTTATCTACTTCGCCACCCCTTATCTCATTTGCCTACTTTGTTGGGTTGTGTGTGGAGTAGGGGGGAGTAGGAGGGGGGTCACAAGGGCTAGCAGCTAGACTTGTACTGTGAATATCATATGCACATGATTTGTCTCAAAACTATTAAGGAAACAACTAATTTTGCTTGCAAATGATACATTGATTATATTTATGGATTCTATATGCTATATTTATAAAGGAGATGTGAGTATATGTAAATGCAGTCCTTGGAGATGTGAGTATATGTAAATGCAGTCCTTGGAACCAATTGTCCATTTCTTGAGTCTTCTCCACTGTATGCAGTGAATCACTTATTCCTCTCTGGAAAACAATAAGAAACCGTTTACAATGTAATCTACAAGTGATAGATGTTTAGATACAATGTGGTTCATGAATGTACATAGTGTGTTACATGTACAATGTGATGCAGGTTAACATTGTGATACATATTCACAAGGTGTATCAAATGTGATAACGTATCATGGGAAATGTTCGAGTTTAATAAGGTTGACTTTGTCACATCTCATTCCGGGCACTGTCTGTTTTTATACTGAATTTTTATACAAATATAAAAGTTAAAATTTAGTATATGAATATACATTCATTTCCTCAGATAAACAGGATATTAGAGCTAGCAAAACATAATTGATAATGAATGTTAATACCTAAATAAGCATGATACAACTGTGATCATTGCGCCATCCTCATCAATACAGTCTGGGATAGCACTACATCCAGCCTTTTCAGCAACAATCTAGAAAAACAAGAAGCTGGTGAAATTTTGGTGAATTTGTGCTTTACAACTACAAGATGTGCTGTTTTACCCAGAAATACTAATCTAATATTATTTACATATTTTTAATTACAATTTGCATACGATTGAATCTTTATTCTATTTCACTGAAAATAAAATGAGATGTTCATGATATAATTTAAAGAGATGTAATTACTGTGTCCCAGGAGTAGAGAATTGTAGCAATAGCCTCTGTTGTATCATCGTCATAGATCGGAGCTGATCCAAAAACACCAAATATATTTACGCCGCGATCTGCTGCTAGGTCTCTTGCCTTGGAAAATGACCAGTCATTCTGTCCAATCATATCACACGTTGTCTCAAAGCCAGAGAGATTCTCTAAGAAGTGAGAAGTGTCCCAGTCCTTTAAAAAAAGATTTATTTTAATATGGGCGATAATAGTGTTTATGATTGTGTTTTGAAAACAATCATGAAATAGCATACAAATTGTACTATTAAATAAACAAGTTAACAAATCGTAATCCAATCTATGATGTTTTGAAGCACATTTGGAAGATTAAGTGCTCCGTGCTTCAGAAATTTGATTTCCCAGAGTGCAAGCTCTCATCCCCCCAGCTCTCCGTAAATAACATTACACTTACACTTCCTGTAATAGTCTCTGCTGTTTCATACTGCTCTTTTGTGAAGGCAACAGCCCTTTGATCTGTAGTAAAAAAAATCCTAAAAATACTTCAGTTCAACAGTTTTAAGCATTGAAAAAACTGAAAAGTTTCAAACCTTGTTTTTTAAGATTAATGGGCTATTTCATTTCATGTGCAAAGTTAAAAACAAGGGTTTCACCAAAAGTAGTTAAAATTTAGTAGTTGATCTGTAGTAAAAAAATCCTCAAAAGTTCAACAGTTTTAAGCATTAAAAAAACTGAAAAGTTTCAAACATTGTTTTTTAAGATTAATGGGCTATTTCATTTCATTTGCAAAGTTAAAAACAAGGGTTTCACCAAAAGTAGTTAAAATTTAATATGGACAGGTTATGCCATTATTATGGCACCACCAGAAGTGATGACATATTGTTATAGTCTCCAACTTTTTTGTGGATGGTGTTTGGCTTTTGGTGGTTGGTATTCAATGTCTGTAACAAATGGCAGGTGATGACATTTTAGATGTTGATGCCTTGTTTAGTTTATAGGCTCATACCTACCATAATTTGGTGTTGGGTAGACAGGGGGAGGTCTAAATGTTGGGACTGGTCGTCTAGTTCCTGGCACTGGAGGGCCTGGGATCCCTTTTAAAAATAAAAAGTATCAATTTATTTATTAAACCCTGTACTATGATGTCTTGAATACCCTGTACCAAGATGTTATGAACACCATGTACTGTGGTGTGACAAGAGTGGAATACTATAAAACACTGATATTTTATAACTTGAAAATATCTATAGACAGTACTTTCTATAATTAAACTAACATAAAGTCCATGTATGTGAATGAAGTATTAAATGTTTAGTGTTGTTCCATTGTGACTTAGTTTGATAATAACTTACTTGTTGGTGGGTTTATCTTACCATTTATCCTATAAAAACAAGATATTTATTCTAACAATGCAGATCTACAACTACAACTAATGCAGTATGCCAGATATTAGAATCAAAATGGTTTCCGGACAACTCGGACCCAAGACATCTCGGATCCAAGACATCTCGAATCCAAGACAACTCGGACCACTTTTTGAAAAAATGATTTTTATCATTATATTTGGTTTTAATTTTTTTTAATGTTTATTTATGTGAATTCATATATTGTGTTAATTCGATAAAACTGTTTTAAATTAAATTAACTATAGTTTCAAAAAGTGGCCTGAGTTGTCTTGGGTCTTCAGCTTCAATATTCTCTTACTGGTCTTACTTCTTAACTTGCATCAAATAAGTTAATTGAAAGCTTACCGATATGTCATGCTAAGCATTAAACAAATAATCCCCCATTACGACAAAGAAAAGTATAATTTCAGAAAGTGGTCCGAGTTGTCTTGGGTTTTTAGCTTCAATATCTTCTACTTAATTTTCATCAAATAAGTCAAATTAAAACATTTTCATCAAATTAATACAAAATATGAAGTCACAATATATAATATATGTATTAATTTTCATGAATGAAAAAAATAAAACCACACATAATGATAGAAATCATAATTTTAAAAAGTGGTCTGAGTTGTCTTGGGTCCGAGATGTCTTGGGTCCGAGTTGTCCAGTGTCCGAGTTGTCCAATTACCATCAAAATACATGTACAGGTAGGATACAAGAGATCAAAATTAACATGGAAAATTACCTTATAATATCATAGAAGAAATATTACTCAAGTTCTTTTGCTAATTTGTAAATATAATCTTTAACTTTTATAAAATGGACATACTTTGGTGTGAAGAGACATCCTATAACTGCAGTGCCATCTATACAACCAGGCTGAATACTGCACCCAAACCTCGTGGCCTTTTTAATCTGAAATCAGAAAATCATTTTTACAGACACAGTCACAAATCATCACTGACAAATATACCACAAATATATATCCCTCCCAATTACAAAAATTGTATTCAACTTTCTTGAAATTCACATCGATTTATATCAGTCTTCGCAAATTCATTTAAACTTGTGGCAGGAAATGCTTGATAATTTGTAAGGATAACATGATATAATGAAAGGATTTGGAAATCGGACCTTAAGCAAGTAGACTGCTGGTTTTGGTATCGCATTTTCATGAAAACCGTAAGGAAAATCATGGGATAAATAAGTTATTAACTGGTTGGGATGAAATATAAGTTTTATTCTTTATGAAATATGAAACTTCCCCCTTGACTTCAAGAAATATCATATTGTCCCTCTGGGCCTCAGGAAATATCATATTGTCCCTCTGGACTTCAAGAAATATCATATTGCCCCTCTGAATTTTAGGAAATATATATTATTATATTTTCCTCAATGAAAATCATGGGATAAATTGGTTATTAACTGGTCGGGATAAAAAATAGGTTTTGTTTGTGAGGAATATGAAAATTCCCTCTGGGCTTCAGGAAATATCATATTGTCCCTCTTGGCCCCAGAAAATATATTATTGTTCTCCTGGGCTTCAAGAAATATCATATTGTCCCTCTGAGTCTCAGGAAATATCATATTGTCATTATCACAAGTAACCGCTATAAAGCATACACATACCTGTTCTCTAAATGGACTTTTGTTGACCCAGGTGCTCATAACACGTCTGATATCAATATCTGCCTGATCCGCTGTCTCCCCTGAGCTGAGAGTGGACTCAATCATTCCCCCTATATTTCCGCCAGACTGTGTTTTCTCGAAAACTTTCATCTCACCATAGTCAGTACTATGCTTACACAGTGTATATGGTCCTGAGAGATCCACCAGGAAGTTTGTAGGGTCCCATTCCTAAAATAATTTGATATTTTGTGTAATAGTGAACCAATATGTGCCCACCAAAGTATTGTTGCCTACCATATGCAATGAATGGCTCATGTTACTCAATAATTGACTCATTTTTTCAATAACTGACTTTTGTTATTCAATAAAGCTTAGTTTACACCAACGGCGCTTTGATGGCGCTTTAAAGCGGCTTTGCACGGCTCTTTAAAGCGCTATCAAAGCGCCATTGGTGTGAACTTTGCTTTAACAATATGTTAGTCAATAAAAACAGATATGTATGTATGTGTGTGTTAGTACATGGTATGTATGTTAATGAATAAATAAATCATGTTTTCCAATAAATAAATTCTGTTTTCCAATAAATAACTCATATTTTCCCCAAAATAACTCATATTTTCCAATAAATAACTCATGTTTACCAATAAATAAATCATGTTACTATTAAGAGGTTAAGAAAATGTAAAATGTGCAACATAATCATTTAGTGCCATTTCGAACCCCTGACCCCCCCCCCCCCCCCCCTTCTGACTACGAGCATGCTTTCTTATGATTGGTTTGAATGACTATTCAAATTAAAGTGTTAAATTAATTAATTAAAGTCTTGTATCTTTCTCATATGTCAGCAGAGATCAGACAGGTTAAGATAACGTTTTATCACACTTAAAAAGTGCTGTTTATGTACATATTGTATAATGATAATGAGTTAATTCTATGGTTTGTTATTGTTAGCTGTTCCATTGTTATATTAACGATATACTTGTAGTCCAAGGTATGAGTTTTTATCTAACAGTCATTTTGTAGAGTCAATAATTCAAATATTTGATCAATTTTGACTTGAAGAGAACCACTTTTGAAACAAAATAATGAACTGAAACAAAAAACAAATTCATTATATTGATGAGTGAATTTTGTACCATGTAAATTATCTTGATCATGCTCTAACAGAAGACCATAGTGATTCCTGGGATTCCCTGTCCTTTCTTATGAAAATCATGAAGATCTACAATTCTACGTCGTATATGCCTCTAAGTAGGGATTCTATACTTACTATATCTGGGTTGATCTTAGAGAATGCATCTACAGTGAATGTGGTAGATTTTACTGGGAATGCCATACCAGCAAAACATACTGGTAGCACACATACTAAGCCTAGTAGGCAGAGGGTTTCCTGTAATGGTATATATACTGTAGATATGAATTTTATTTAGAGGGACAATATGAAATTGACTGAGAAAATATTATGCTATGAAAGACTATGTATATGATATTTTATATTTAAATATAATACAATAAAACTTTTGTAATGAATGCCAAAGGCGTGAACATTTCATAGAACTGTTATATCTTTTTAGAAAATAGGTGAGACATAGAGTGATGTTAGTGTAGAGTGTTGTAAAAGTTTGTTATTACAATTTAAAAAAAAAAGTTTCCATCAACTCATTTTTATACTTATTCGTTATATAAAAGAGAAAACTAAAAATAAGCCTCAACCAAAATATAGAAATATTCTCTCCTTTATCAAAGTAAAGTAGCAAGAATTTCTACTTACCATTTTCCAAATTGAGTTTATTCCTCCGAAGTTTGGAATATCTGAATATTATGATACTATAAAAAAAATCATTATCACTTTTATAGAAGATAGTCTGCTTCACTTTGAATAATTGGTGTCTACTTCCCTCTGTATTTGTTCATTATATTTTATTGATATCAGGTAGTAAAAGTTTTCATTATCTTGCGCTAAAATATGGAACGTGGAAATGACTACATTTTCGTAATCCATTATAGCTGTGGCACTGGGTAATTAGCCAAATATGTGTGACATTATTATGGCGGTATAATATATAATAATATTAATATACGAGGCAGTCTTTTACAGTCTGGTTTGGAGAAAATTAATCATTCATTGACAAATATCAACTGATTTATGAAAATTATTTGATTGTTAATTCAAATAATTGTAGAATTCATGCCAGTTTAATATTTAAAATTTATGTTATTTTAAACTTGACAGAATTTTTCTGATTTGTGTTATTTTATTTTTGTTCATATTATTCTATATTTTACAGAAATTTTCTTATCTACATTTCATGTTTCGCAAAAAATTCTATAATTTGTGTTATTTTATTTCACAGGATAACACTAAAATTCATATTCATTTGTATTTGACTGAAATTCTTTACAACTCATGTTATTTTATATTTAACCGAAAAGTTTAAAATTCATGTTATTTATATTTGTCTACATTGAAAGAAGAAATCCTTATTTTATATTATACCTCTCAGAGCCTCCTAATAGCCTTTAAAAAATAATTGATAAAATTCATGCAATTTTTTATGGCCTTGAAACTATATAATACATATAATTATTAAAACACACTTGAGACACTTCAAAGCACACATTGTTCTCAATATTTAACTGGGTCATATACAAGAGTATACTGTCTGCAGTTGACACTTTATTCTGATAGTGATTTAAAGATCATTCCATTTGTTCTCCTATACATTTGCTAACGCATAGTTTGAGGTGCAATTAGGCATTGCTGAATAAAATGGATAACATCATTTTAATTAACTTGAATAGGAGCATATAACTGATTTATGTATATAATATGATTGAGGAAGATTATTAGCCGTGGCATTGATCTGGGACTTCCTGTAACACTTGTGTCATATTAATTTATATCTCAATAAAAAAGCTCTCTGGAGTGGGAATTAAGTCTCTGTCCATGACCTCGAAATGCCATATCCTTTTTAAAAAATCATAAAAGCCTTTGACATACAGGGTATCCCAAAAGTAACCGGACTGGTGCTGGAATTTTGCTGCTAATTCTGCTCCAACATGTAATATTTTTTCCATTATTTACATTCAAGTACTTGTATATGGATTAGAAGAACAAGGTTTGAAAATGTTTTATGAAATGCTGTTATAGTTATGGTTGCTATGGTAACATGATATCACAGTTCCAGAGTTGAAAAAGTTGCTAAACTAAGAACAAAGTTAGAGACCACTTTAGATAAAGAAAAAAGATACAGTAGTTGAAACCTCCCCTCCCCCCTTTGTTTTGTCACCACCAAAAGTGGCGACATATTATTGTAATGGCTGTCAATGTTCGGCATCTGTAACATATGGCAGGTAGTGATCTTTTCCATGTTAATGCCTTGTTTATATTTTTATTCCATCTCCTAAAGGTTATCAGCTGATCCTTTCTGATTGGTTCTTACTGAATTGTTATTGTTGTAGGGGGCTTCAGATATTTCTGTCAACCTGGTTACCAAGGAGATGTGTGTGACACAGAGATAAATGAATGTGCTTCAAGCCCCTGCTTTCATGGCGGATCATGCACTGATCTGATCAATGGCTACATGCACTGATCTTATGTGTTTCTTTTGAATTGTTATTGTTGTAGGGGGCTACAGATGTTTCTGTCAACCTGGTTACCAAGGAGATGTGTGTGACATAGAGATAAATGAATGTGCTTCAAGCCCCTGCTTTCATGGCGGATCATGCACTGATCTGATCAATGGCTACAAGTGTGATTGCATATCAGGTAAATTTTCATGTATCACATATCATGATTCTCATTATTAAAGTGTTATTTCTTGGAATGGAAGTTCAATTTAAGCCTCTCCCAATTCACTCCAGATTTGAGTTGCAGAGGAATTTTCAAAGAGAGTTTTTACAAAACATTTTACAACACATAATTTTTTTCTCCTTCCCTTGTAATTTTTATTGGATTTTGAATGTGAAACTAGTGTTTTCAAAGAATGTCCAAATGCCAATTTTCCCAAAACAGAAGGCCTATTTTTGATATTGATGCCCTAAAGGCCCATTTGTACACAACAAATAACCTTGAACATTTGCTCCTGTGTGCAATGTATCTAAATGCTTTTATATAATTCATTTAGGATGGACAGGCCCCAATTGCCAAATAGACATCCCAGAGTGTGAGAGCTCACCCTGTAGCAATGGCGGAAAGTGTGTTGAGCCAGAGGTCAACTTGTATGCCTGCCAATGTGTCACTGGTTACACAGGGTTCCTTTGTGAGACTGAACTAAATGAGTGTTTATCCAACCCCTGTGAGGACTATGAAGAGTGTGTTAATTTACCTGGAGGATATAGGTGAGATGACAAGATAGTTCACCATTTTATTAGTTCCTACTCCTTTTATTTTGGTTTAAATCAGATTTGAAAAGCATTTAAGTCTGCCTAACATGTCCACATTCCCATCGGCACAAACAATTGTTATCAACATAGCAAAATCAGCTAGTGCCAAAATGTGGTTTTGGGAATGCTAGGTAATTTATAAGGAGGCTAAATGGCTCTTCAAGTGAAATATTTATTACCATGCATTTTGTTAATTTCATTGTGCAATAGTTGTTATATTCATAATACATCAGTTCATTTTTGATCATCTACACATTTTTATTGCTCTTTGAAAAAGTGGTATATTGTCATCACCTTGTGTGGGTGGGAGGCGCCCTATATAAATATTGTCATCAAAATATTAGGAAAACTGCTGAGCTATTATACCCATATTACTCTTCAAAGTGCAATATTTCTTACTTTGTGTCTTGTTGTTTAAAGATGTGAGTGCCCTGAGGGGATGACAGGGGTGCGTTGCATGGAACACATCAATAAATGTTTCTCAGACCCCTGTCAGAATGGAGGCAGCTGTATCTCACGAACAATTGGATATGCATGCAGGTACGTCACTATTTCCTTATAAGGATATATCATGAGCGTAGCCAGGATCTAGTTTAGGTGAGGCAAAAAGATGAGGTAAAAATTCATAGGCGAGGCACATTTGGATTAAAGGAGGTATGTATTACTACTTTTGAACCTGATTTCTTTAGTTATAGTTGAAAAAAGCTCAAAAATGTTTTTCTGTAAAGTGCTAGTGAGGCAATTGCCTCTCCTGCCTCATACACACATGCCTCATGCACACATGCCTCATACACACATGCCTCATGCACACATGCCTCATACACACATGCCTCATACACACATGCCTCATGCACACATGCCTCATACACACATGCCTCATGCACACATGCCTCATACACACATGCCTCATGCACACATGCCTCATACACACATGCCTCATACACGCATGCCTCATGCACACATGCCTCATGCACACATGCCTCATGCCTCATTCACACATGCCTCATGCACACATGCCTCATACACACATGCCTCATACACACATGCCTCATGCACACATGCCTCATGCACACATGCCTCATACACACATGCCTCATGCACACATGCCTCATGCACACATGCCTCATGCACACATGCCTCATACACACATGCCTCATACACACATGCCTCATGCACACATGCCTCATGCACACATGCCTCATGCACACATGCCTCATACACACATGTCTCATACACACATGCCTCATGCACACATGCCTCATACACACATGCCTCATGCACAAATGCCTCATACACACATGCCTCATACACACATGGTTAAATACTGTCATACCATCTTGTGTGCCTCAGCAAAAGGTTTATTTGAAAAAATGTCACAAAAATATATTTTTGTTAAATTTTCGTGAGGCAATTGCCTCGCTTACCTCATCCCTGGCTACACTCATAAGGATATGCAATATTATTTCTCTCAGTTTTTCATTTCTACAAATAAGTAGCGATATAATCCCATAGCTACCATTTTTTATGACTAAGTGCTCGATAACAGTTTTCTGTTATAATTGTTACACTTTTGTAATTGCAGATACTAAGGCCTTGTTTTTCATTGACATACTACTTTTGCATATGTTGTTAATTTATGTTATACATAACAACTTAATATGTTCCACTTTGGTGTATCACCAAGGCTTACATACAACTCGTACGCAAGACAACTCATCCCAGGACAACTCAACCCCTAGACAACTCATCCCCTAGACAACTCAACCCTTGGACAACTCATTACCTTGATAACTCATCTCTTGGACAGACACATGTGTTATCTTTGTTTTCTCTATTTTTTCTATAGGTGTCCCTATCCATACAGTGGAGTACATTGTCAAATTGATCTGGATGTTTGTTTTCCCAACCCTTGTCTCCATGACGGCAACTGTTACTATGACAACAGAGAGGAATCTGGGTACAGATGTGAATGCTCCAGTGGATTTATAGGTAATGGTTGCATTTTCAACATTCAGATGGAATTGTAGCATTCTCTTTAGACTTGGAATTCATTCCAAAAAAGGTACAATATTTTCATTAGCGATGTTGTCATAATTTCTCGCTACATTTCCAGACAAAGTGCCTAATGGATTGATTTAAAATTATCAGAGGTGTCTCTTGGTAGAACCCATTCGTTTTTGGAATATTAGTTTCGCAGTGTGGCATTTTTGATTTTTAGGTATGAAATTGATCAATGGATGTCGTGTTCTCTTTGGTCGTTATGCTTGCACATTTGAATTGTATCTTTTATTAGCATTGCTGGATTAAAATTCTCCCAGATCATTTTATTAAAAGTTGATACATCAAACTTCTCTCACAGACCTAGTTTTGGCATTGTTTGCATCTTGGGAATTGCTTTAGAAAGGTACTTGGAGATTAACCAATCTCGAATATGTTCACATGATACTTGGTTTTCCAAACAGTTAGAAACATTGTGACAAGTATGGCTACAGTGTCTGTAACAAATGGCACGTGGTGACATTTTGCATATTAATGCCTTATTATTAGTTTTATTTAGATTGCTTACATTTTGTGGTGTTTGCTTTAGAGAGGTGTTTAGATACACAAGTCGAAAATGTTATTGTTGAAATAATGCATTGTTTGTCAGTTAAATATAAAGACAACATGTGAGTCCATAAATCAACCAAGGGTTTGATAAAAGTGTGTTTCACTGACTAGGAATATAATGCTGTTTCTTTCTACACTTATATCCCTTATAATGCACCCTTGTGTACAACATTTGAGTATAACTATAAAATACCGATTAGGTCATCTACAAAACTACAAAAACAGTACAAACTCAATGTAACTTTATTTGAGAAAACATAATAATAAAAATAAAAATGCCAATGATTTAGTCAGAAGTATGTTGACTGATGTCCTCTTTTGAAATATCAAAATTTTAAACAGAATGTCGATTGGTTTATTCATATTGAAATTCCAAACCAATTTTTAGTAGTTTAGGACCAAGGTAATCATCGATTCTCTCACTTTGGGCAACAGTCATGTTATTTTTCCAGTCATCAATGACACCTGTAGAAAATAGTGAAGAAAGAATAGAACATGTATAGTATAGATAAAGCACTGAAGAAGTTACTATAAACAATAATGAATAAACACAAGGAGCTTGCGTGTGTTGAACTCACGACCTCATGGTTACGGTGACAGCGCCTAACTTAGCGTGCTGAGTTCTCTAGATTATAGCAATAAACATACCTATTAATATGAAATTAATGAAATCAGTTGAAAATTGAATGTGCTGTACCTTTGCGCATGTGTGCAGCTTGAAATATCTTTAGCCTGTCGGGATCTGTCTTTCCAGCATATACAACAACTTTCTCAAAGGCTTTATCTGTCTTTGGATTCTTTTTCATGTTTTCAAATTTCAGATATTCACTAATTTTGTTGATAGTTTCTTGTGTGAGATTTTTGTCGAGAAATTTAGCGAGTCCTGTCACCACTTTTGGCATGTCCTGAATTTCATATAAGTCAATTTTCAACAAGTCAAACATTCTTTTAATTTCAGTAATGCATAAAATGTTGTTAAAACATGCTCAAGCTATGATTTTGAAGGATGGCTATTTCCAATTTTATGTAATTTATTGACAGTTTTGCCATTTATAGCCTCAAAACATGATTTTTGTATAACTATGGAATTGCCTACTTGTCCATTTGTCTGTCTGTCAATGAGCCTTAGAAGTTCAAGAGGGGGGGTTAGTACCCAGAATTCAAGTTGCTAACAATACAAAGGAGCTTAATACCTGTACCATGTCTTCATAGTTTAGGAAGTGAATGTTTCCCTTCAGTTTGTCTCTGTTTTGCCACCAACCACTTACATGATTCAACCATGTACCATTAGGGGCTATTGAAATATAGTTATAAAGACATAATATATAAAAGTAGAAATACAGTATGTAAAATGGAAGTTTAGTCCTAGAAATTACAAGTACTTTCTTACTTCTATAAATCACATAGCCTCACCTTCACAGAATATGACTCTCTCAATCTCCAGTTTACCTCACCTTCACAAATGACCTTTACCAAAATATTATATTGGTCTCTTACCTCGATCTTGTGCATCTGTCAGATTGCTATCAAGAAATGTATCAAATGTTGGTACTTCAAGAAACCTTTCTGGGACCAGCGTTTCATACTTGTATCTGCTGTTTAGTACAGACTTTGGATTCCTTTGTACTACCACCACCTGGTACCAGATATTAGTAAAAAATAGTTTCATATGTAAGCCCATTTCTCAAATGATTTTTCCATAATCACATTGCAGTCAGCAAATATCCCTTTTTAAATGTGCCCAATTCGTTAAGAGTTTGAATTAGAAAAATCTTAGTCAAAAGGAAAAGTTTTATATTTTTTCAGCTCGTTGAGACGTCTCTTGTATAATAGAGGTGTCAAACAGTTTAAATTCCTATTACACAGCCAATATGATTCGACGCCGTTTCGGCATCGATAAAATTTGGCGCTGTTCCGGCACCGTTTCAACACCATTCCGGCACCGAAACCTTTTGACACCAAAATTAGCCCCCGGACTAGTCAGTCCATTTGGTGCCGAAACGACACCGAAATTTGGCACCGAAACGGCGTCGAAAATCAGATTGCATTTTGGGGGTGTACCTTGCATTTCCCCTGTTGCACAGATTCTGGCATTACATTATAAGAAAGATGGCTAGTGAGTAACCTTGGTGATGGCAACATTTCGGCTTCTCTCATTGGATTGTTACCCTCTGCTGCCATAGTGACCTCTCCTGACCATACTACAAATTAGAATATCGTCATTAGAATATCCATCCCCACTTCTTCTTGGATTTTCCAATTGCAAGCAGAAGATAAGGGGAGGTCTTGTAAACCAGAATGGTATTGTATCCTATATTCAGTTCAGTTCAGTTGAAAATGATATTGAGCTGGCCCCTCACCCCTATTTTATTCAAGTCATAAATTACACTAGATATAATTCGCCTACTTTGCTGTGAGATGTGCATCCATTGACTTCTAAAGTTGATATGAATGTTATCTGCAGCCTCCGTATCTCCCTCCCGCATCACCAGATCAACCAGGGCTATGGCCCAGTGGGTGCCTGTATTAAAGATGCCATGGTAGTTTCAAAAGTCTTCTTACAGAAGAGCATAGAGAAAAATTTGCATGAATCCTTTGGAAAAGCAGTTATTCTTATCAGGACAGGAAAGTGAATTAAATGTGGAACTAGTAACTGCTTTTTGTAACCTGTTCAGACCTTTAAAATTCCAGTAAAACCTGTGCATATTGGACTTTTTTTGCCGAAAAAAACGTTCAGTGTTAATTGGTAGGTGTTCACTAAAGAGAGATTAATACAGAAGTCAGGAGAAAATGTGCGGAAGAAAGATGCCAACTAAAGACAGGTGTTCACGAGAAAGAAGTATTCACTAAGAATACTGTATATGTTAACTTGCATATAGATTTTGGATTTTGCAGATGCCCTTGGGTGGGCCCAGAAAAAAAAATTGGGCCCAAAAATTTTTTTGGGCCAAACAAGGCCTTCAGGCCTTTTTGGTCATTACTGGGCCTTTTAAGGCCTTATTTTTTAATTTCAGGCCAAATTTTGAAGAAAATGGGCCTCAAAATTTCAAAATTTGGGCCCACTTTTGGATTTTAGGGGCCCAAAATTTTTTTTCACGCAAGCGCAGACGTTTTTTTCTCTGACCTGAAATTTGGGCCCCCCCCTTGTTGGTTCCTGGATCCGCCCCTGAGATGATTGCCTTTTATGTTCAGGACTCACCTGAGCGTGGATAAGAACAAATTATGACATCATCACTTCTCATCTTATCATACATTTTCATCTGCCGAATTGCATCAGGGTGATCATATGTTGTAGGATAAGCAACACCATCTATGATTGTAAGCCCCTCAAAACAGTCGTAATATGTAGACATTTTCTGATGAATATTTCTTATTTGTGTTGTTTACACTATTTGTTTGCTGGTTAATAATGAACTGAATACATCTAATGTTTTACACTTCTACTTTACATGCTGTTTGTAACTTAGTAAAGGTCATGGTGATATTAGGTTAAACTGTATACTCAGTCAATATGTGGAGCAGTAAAGCAATTACTGCCGACTTGTAGTATTTTTATTATGCTAAATGTATAAGGTTATTTTAACTTTCCACTTCAACTGTTTTCCAAGATGTTAACATCCTCCCTCTGATAAAATTGTGATGAGACAAGAATTTTGTTGACAAAAGGTGTTATTTATTGTCGCAGTCATGTAACCAATCAGAAGGCTTCATTTTACAGATCATACGATAATAGTATGTATATTGTGTAAGTATTACTGGAATTTCTTGATCACCCAAACAAATATATTGAACACATTAGAGTATGACTGAAAACTTTTCGATGATAATAGTACATGTGTGTCCAAATGACATTGTCTCACTGAACCGAACAGATCAGAAAATGTCAATATTTTTCAGCAGTCTATCTATTCATATTGAAATTTCAAATCAATTTTCTCTAATCTTGGATAAAGGTATTCATCAATTCTCTCACTTTGGGCAACAGTCAGGTTGTTTTTCCAGTCATCAATGGCACCTGTAGAAAAAGAGAAGAAATCTATAATACTTAAAGAGAAGCTTCTAAAGTGGAACTGTATGCAGGAGATGAAGAGGCAGATGTCACATGATCCAAATCTTACTCATTTTTCAAATTTCTGATCATTACTATAACTATCATTCCTGTTTTTTTGAATGTTCAAATTCTTTAAATGCTACAGATTTTCTTAAATCTTGTTTGTTTGATCCCTTATAAACTTTATTTGATTACCACTCATCTTGATATAATTACCTGTATATGCATTTATTACATCGCGATAGCCGCGCCCCCTTTGTCTTTATCCTTCTCCCGCAAACGGCAGATAAGAGGGGCTCTGGCATACCAGAATGCATTTATTACCATAAAGAATAGATGTATCGAGATAAAATATATCGACTTATGCAAGCATAACATTGAAAAAGATGCCCAAACACATAAGATAAATGAATTTATTCCATAGTTAGCATGATATTCATAGGATAATATGTGAAAATAAAAACGGTATTTTTGTAATCAGTGGTAAAATATGATATTTTTGACAAATTTTCACTTAACCATAGCATACGGTTTTTTAGCCATGACATACAACGTCGTATGCGATGGTTTATGGATTTTTGCTACTTCAGACTCAAAGCGAGGCTAAGTGTCAACATCGCCGGATCGTTTGGAAAATTCGAATTAAATGACTTTATTTCCGAAGATTCTGATGATGACTTTAACTATGGAATAAAAAGAACATCCTATGATTTACTCGTGATATGATTTTAATCCACTCATGGTTATTGAAATCTGCACTCTCTCGCTACGCTCACTCGTGCAGATATCATATCCATTCGTGGATAAAAATCATATCACTCATAAATCATAGGATATCCTCTATATACCTTTACGCATATGGGAAGCTTGAAACATCTGCTGTCTGTTAGTGTCTGTGTCAGGATATACAGTAACATTTTCAAATGCATTACCAGTCTTAGGATTTGTTTTCATGTTTCCATACTGCAGATACTCAGTTGCTGTATTGATAGCTTCTTGTGAGAGATTTTTGTTGAGAAATTTAGCAAGGTCTGCCACTACTTTTGACATGTCCTAAATTCCAAACAGGTTAATAAAGTTAAGAGGGTTTCTGTCATTGAATCACTGGATGTCAATGAAAGGTTTTGAAAATTAATTCATACACATGCTTTATTTTTAACTTGATGGATTATATTGTTAAATTTATAATACATCTCACATATAATATGTTTTACATCAGATTAAACTATTGACAGGTTGAGTCAAATGTGAATTTACAGTATTTTGAGAAATTTGAATTGGATGAACCCAAAATATGGCGTGTTCATTTTTAAATACCTGTATCATATCTTCATAATGGATAAAGTGGATGTTTCCTTTCATCTTTTCTCTGTTTCGCCACCAACCACTAACATGATTCAACCATGTACCAAAAGTTACTAAAGATAAAAATGAAATGGCCACAGCTTCAGGTGAAATTGATCTAAACTATTCGAAGTATTTTTGAACCCCGTGTTCATTTGTAATATCATCAAATATTTTAATATTATAGAATATAGTATATATTATACTTATATATACAGTTTATCCTCAGTGAACACCTCTCTAATAAATGCCTGTTCTTGGAATATACCCCATTGACTTCTGAATAAAAACTAGCTCTGTATTGAACAACCATTTACAGTGAGCACTTTTTGGCTCCAAAGGTTACATTCACTCTACAGAGGTTTTACTGTTCATTATTACCATATTAGCTCTTTTAGTATTCTGGAATATTGGTCATTTACTTTTATCTTGTACTTCTGTCAGTTGACTATCAAGATATTCATCAAATGTTTGAACTTCTTGAAATTCCTCTGGGAGGAGCATTTCATACTGGAAAGTGCTGTTAAATAAGGATTTGGGGTTTCTCAGGACAACCACCACCTACAATGAGATAAGTACAATAATTCCAAATCTGTCCCATATTTGGAGGTTAGATACTCTCTCTAATATGGGCTTAATATGGTTTGAGAACACATGCATGTAAATTCATGAATTTTTAAGGAATAAAGACCGAGATTCTATGATTTATGGCGCAATATATGACTGAAATTTTTATTCTGTTCATTGTTAAAAGACCGAAATCGCATAGCGATTGAGGTCTTTGGCAATGGGCAGAATAAAATTTGAGGTCATATATTTGCCATAAATCATAGAATCGAGGTCTTTGTTACGATTCTAACATGATAAAACCTAAGTTTCTTCCGATTTGATTATTTTCAATCTGAAAAATTCTAATGTTTTGGACATTCTATTTACCGGATTTCCTCTTAGCTAAATAGTTTGCAAAATATCAATAATGAAACTGACGTCATGAAACTGATGTGTATATTGTGACTAAATTGGTTCAGAGGGGTTGAGTATGCAATTGTAATAGTCATTACAGTTTTGGTCTATATTGAAATTTACAGGTCATACATACCCCAATATAGACCAATAAATCAATTGTTCCCGTCATTGTGACATCACATATCATGTTAGAATCATGGATAATTATCATATACCTCTAGCGTAGCCAGGATGAGGCAGACTCTCGTCACTTTTCTAACATCCTTTGAGAAATATTCCTCTAGTAATGATGAGTTGTAAATTAATTGTATAACTTTTGTTGATTTTTGATCTTAAATCATCAATTTTTGATTCAATTGTGAATAATCTCATTACGTAAGGGTTATCACTGTGTTCTTCTATTGCCAGGGAGGTGAGGCAAGGTTTGGAAATATTTTTCGCCTCGTCGCTTTTTTCTTCCTGGTTATTTCACTGTCATATAGTTAAGTTTTACCTCGTATGTGCCTAATCAATTAGATGATTTTTCCTAATAAATACCCTTTTACATACATGTTGTTGAGTTTCTATCTTACATGTACCCAGGCCCGTAGCCAGGATTTGCCAAGGGGGGGGGGGGGGTTCAGTGTTCAAAAATTTCCAGGGGGGTTCACATTTGACAATTTTGGCCCAAATATGGCTAAAATCACTTGAGAAGTGCTCAAAATGGTGAAAAACTGCATGATTTTGAAAGAATTTTTGGCCAGGGCTACGGGCCTGTGTACCCTATCATATAGTTGATTTTTTCTGAACAAGTACCCTGTCATATAGTTGTCATATATTGAGTTTTTGCCTCATATAATGTTTACCTTACATATGCCTTGACGTACAGATTCTGGCATTACATCATAAGAAAGATGGCTAGTGAGCAGCCTTGGTGATGGCAACATTTCGGCTTCTCTCATTGGATTGATACCCTCTGCTGCCTTAGAAACCTCTCCCGTCCATACTATAAACAAATTAGAATATCCTACATGTAAAACCTCTGTAAGTGGAACACTTTTGGTGCCTATAAAATGTGTTCCACTTTGGAGGTGTTCAACTTGTAAAGGTTCATTTAACTTTAAGTCAATTGGTCATTTGGTCTTGGAACTCTGAAAAGTGTTCCACTAACATTGTATATTGAATTGTAGATTGTATACTAGAAAAGTACATATGCACGCTAATGACATTAATAAGACAATTGTCTTGTTAACTATTGTTTGCATACTGTATGTTGACTAGATTTCTCCTTTATTGGCATTTCATAGCCATCATTGTTCTTCTGATTTGATAAAAAAACATTCAAAATCTAATGAAAAAGAGCTTGCCTTTCTGTGAGATGTGCATCCATTGACTTCTAAAGTTGATATGAATGTTATCTGCAGCCTCCGTATCTCCCTCCCGCATCACCAGATCAACCAGGGCTATGGTCCAGTGGGTACCTGTGGCATAATCAACATGTGCAATTGCTGAATTAGATATTGTCTGACACAAAATAAACCTGTATGTTTTCAGATAGATCTTTGTCCTTTCGTATTTTGGAACAAATTCAATTAATCCCTCACAAAAGTGACGGTTAGGTTTGTAGTTAGGAAAGTAAATATTGATTTCAGTTTTGATAGCATCACCCTCTATCATCATTTTTGCATTTTAGAACTCACCTGAGCGTGGGTAAGAACAAATGATGACATCATCACTTCTCATCTTATCATACGTTTTCATCTGCCGAATTGCGTCAGGGTGATCAAAACTTGTAGGATATGCAATGCCATCTATTATCACAGTAGACATTTTCTGACTATTAAAACCTGAAGATTTCAGCTTTAAGAGTCTTACTTCCACTTAAAACTTTATACAGTAATTGTTTTATCTAGTATATAGTACAGTAAATATAGGTTACGGTAACACTTGTACAGTATAAACTTGACTTAGGACAGTAAGTACTAAGTTTATGTAAATATACACTAAATATTTCTTTACTAAGGTCACTTGGATAGGTTAAGATGAGAAAATGCATGTAAAGCAAAGTATATAGAGTGAGTAAAAGTATTTTATTGTGCCAAATGTTTAAGGTGAATCTATTTTCTCTCTTGAATAAAACATCAAACTGTTTAGTCTGTGGTATCCTGTGATTTTGATGCAAATGTCATGTCGACATGCGTAATTTAGTATCTAGCAGTATATCTGCAGTGAATCTTTGCCATGATTTTGAGTGATATATGTGAGAGATTGGTGAATAAGTGTAGATAGATACAACAGATATGGATATGAAACAAATGTGGCAAAGGGGAAAGATATATGTGATATCATATGATTTTAGTAATATCACATGATTTGAGTAATATCATATGATTTTCACCAATATCATATGGTTTTAAGTAATATAATTTTCTCAGTGAGTTGAAATGATTTGAATGAGCACAGCGAATGAGTCCTAATATTAGATGCAGCACATTGATAAAATTGTATGAACAAAAACCATGTAATATTGAAATTATCCCATGACTATTTCCAAAATGTATTTTTCTAGGTTCTAACTGTGAGGGAGATGTCCACGAGTGTTTGTCATCACCGTGCCAAAATGGCGGAGCTTGTATAGAGAACACAAATGGACAGCCAGGGTTCTCATGTCGGTGTCCAATCAGGTTCTCTGGCGATTACTGCCAGTATGATGTCACAAAGTGTGACTCCGCCCCCTGCTTACATGGTGGGACCTGCACAGAGACTGAAAATGGTAAAAATACTTAATTCGTTATTCTCACACACCCATGAAAAATAGGAAATTTCGTAAACTTATTGAATGGTTTGATAAGGTTTAAGATTGAACTGAAACTGAATTCTCTGACTTTTCTTTACAATTTAGGATGCTGACTTAATAAAAATCATAAGTTGTAGAAATTTAAGAATTGTTTTGTTTTTGACATTATTGAGTGCTACTCTGATAAGGGATGTTGATTGTCTCGGTGTTTGTTTGTTTGTCACAGTATCACAATTTTCTTTTCAGGTTACACTTGCCAATGCCTTGCAGGATATACAGGAGACACATGCGACGCTGACGTCAATGAGTGTCAACAAACTCAAAGTGTTTGTCAAAATGGCGGCCAGTGCCTAAATCGAGACGGGAGCTATGAATGTGTGTGTAGCATTTACTGGACGGGAGAGAACTGCACGACTGGTAAGTGTGGATCATTTTAGGATATGTTAAGAACTTCCTGATTTGAATGGAATAAAGATCAAGCATGTAGGGAGAGTAAAATAATATTAGTGTATAATGGATATAACGTTTTTTTATCACACCATCGGTGGGATATAGTCGTCATACTGGTCGTGATCGTGGTCGTGATCGTCCCGCTTTTTGTCATCGCCGTTTAAGGAAAACTGCTCATCAGATTTTCTCCAAATGATAGAGCATATAAAGTACTAGAGCTGAACAACTTTTGGGTGGTCATCTTGTTTTCTGGCGGCCATTTTGAAGGTTTTTTGTCATCGCCATTTCAGAAAATCCACTCATCAGATTTCCTTCAAATTTACACACATGATAGAGGATATCAAGTACTAGAGCTGAACTCTCTGAACTATCTTGTTTTCTGGTGGCCATTTTGAAGGTTTTTTGAAAAATCTTGTCATCGCCATTTCAGGAAAACCGCTCATCGGATTTCTTTCAAATTTACACAAATGATAGAGGATATCAAGTACTAGAGTAGATTAACTTTTGGGCGGCCATCTTGTTTTCTTGTTCTTGAAATTTGTAAACATAATAGGAGAACAGTTTCCTGGTTCATAGTGTCTACCTATTTGATGGTGTGATCTCGTTCACGTCCTGTGCCTTGTTTATTTTGCATTTTAAAAGCAACGTCAACTTGTAAATATTTGATTTCTGTTATACCTATTGGCAACAAAAAAGACCATCATTTTGATTGTAATATTCAAAATTCTATATTGGTTTCAGATGTATTGGAGTGCGACATTGAGCCTTGTTTAAATGGGGGTTCCTGTATTGAGAGGCAGGGTCACACTTACCTATGCAGCTGTGCACAAGGTAAGTTATACCTACACTACCCAAAAGAATTACTTAATCGTGACCTTTATGTGGCCTTCGTAGATGCCATCCTCAGAATTCTTGCTGACTGCCAGTTATGAAGTTTGGCTTGCCAACTCTCTGAGAGTTGGAAATTATCCAGGTCGTCCCTATCATATTCATGTTGTGTATTTTCTTGATAAAAACTGATCTTTAATCAATCTGTTTTTCATATAGCTATTGTTTTTAGAAAATTTATCAGAAACATTATTCATAATGTGTTATGTTATAAGCAGTTCTAATTTAGCAGGAAAATGTTGAATTGAGAAATGAGCAAATGACCGGATGTACCTGGAGTTCAAATGCAGGATCAATAGATAGGATGCTTGTTTCAAAGTAACTGTAGCTTTGTGATCTTTAGATAACTCCTGGCATATTCAAAACTTGTCAGTCTTGTTTATTCTTAAAGAGTGGAGTCTTCTTGTACCAATTCAAATATGCAAATTAATTTTCACTGTCACTCCCAGACACATAACACCTGCCAGTTGCAATTGAATGATGTAGAACTCAGACTTGTGTTTAGCTCAGCCCATCTTTACAATGTGATTGGTAGTCACAGACTTTTTCAATAATTTAAGGGTTCCAATATTTATCTAATCTCCCAACACCTTTTTTTTTACAATTTATTTGTTTTTTGATGGTTTTAGGTTATACTGGGAGAGAATGTGAGGTAGAGATTGATGAGTGTCTGTCCCAGCCTTGCCATAATGGAGCTACCTGTAGTGATGATATTGCTCGTTACAGGTGTACCTGTGTACCTGGATATACAGGTGAATACTGCTAGTATATATAGTATTTCAGAATGAAGTTAGATAGAGCTTTGTAACCTAACCTTTTAAATAGGTCAAACACCCTTTGATAAATACAAACATTGTAAAACTTTACTAAGTCAGATCCTAAATAGTGACCATCTCAACCTACACTTATTTTTAACAAAAAAGTCACTGTTAGTGATTCAGTGTTCAGTAAAACCTACCTTAGGGAACACCTTTCTGTAAGGCCAAAGAACACCTCTCTTCAAGGAACAATATGGTTATTTATTTGGTATGATAATACATGTATGCTTTTATTATTCTCCCCAGATTATGACTGCCAGACCAACATCGATGAATGCAGCTTGTACACTGCATGTGAAAATGGTGCAACGTGTACTGACCTCATAGATGGCTATAACTGCACATGTGTCGCTGGGTTCACTGGCGAGAACTGCTCAGTTAATGTAGATGACTGTACTCCCCAGCCATGTCAGAATAACGCAACATGTATAGATGAGGTTGAAGGCTTCAACTGTGTGTGTCAGCCAGGGTTTAAAGGTACACTATTTTTTTTTAAGGTACATTATTTTCACAAAATCACTGATATGACACTGTGGCATAGCTACAAGGAGATGCATACACTCAAAATGAAAACAAATAACATTTTAGAACATTGTAGTAACACGTGATTGTATTCATTCATTTATTGTATGTATTCATTCATTCATTGTATGTATTCATTCATTCACTGTATGTAGATTCCTATTGTATTCAATTGTTCAAATGATAAAATGGAAAAATTTGGCCTCTGTTATGTCCAACAATAGTCTTCCAGACTATTCTTGAATTAACTCTCTGGTGACTTGGTCCCCTCCTTTATTATTGTGTCATTTCCCTTGATATCCGTATGTGTATGTGTAATGGAGGAATACAAGCTATCAGGACTAGAGCAACATCACACACCATTTTACAATGAGTGGTATTGATATCCAATCTCAAAAGGCAGTAATTTGAAATACACCTAATAGATAATCAAAAACATCAGAGACATATTATGATTCCCATCTATAATGCATTGTTCCAGGTGATGACTGTTCAATAGATATTGATGAGTGTGCATCATCTCCATGTCAGAATGAGGCTGTGTGTCATGACCTCATTGCTATGTTTCAGTGTGATTGCGCACTAGGGTGGACTGGTGAGTATAAAGAAAATAGTTCCTTATTTCAGTTTCAATTGGACTCTAAAGTGCAGATACAACCTGTTTTGGCCTTTAACTGCAAAATATATCTTGTTAATGTATGATCACAAAAACAAATATGAAGAAAATTATCGTAACTTAGTCATTCAAATAGCGAAATTGTCCATCTCCAAATTTAAATATTGTGAGCAGGCCTGTAGCCAGGATTTCCCAAGGGGGGTTCAGTTTTCAAAGATTTCCAGGGGGGTTCACATTTGACAGTTTTGGCTCAAATATGGCTAAAATCACTTGAGAAGTGCTCAAAATGGTGAAAAACTGCATAATTTTGAAAGAATTTTTGTGTGAACCCCCCCTGGCTATGGGCCCAGTGAGCATCCCAATTTGCTAATGCTATTTGAGTTTGAAATAAGATTACGAAGTGTAATGGTATGAGAAATGTGGTGACATACTGTTATAGTCTCCACATTTTTGTGATGGTGGTCATTGTTTGGTGTTCAGCATTCTGCGTCCATAACAAATTGAAGGTGGTGACATTTTGCATGTTATGCCTTGTTACAGTGAAGCACAGCGACAACGGTAGTTTTTTAATAAACAAATATTGAAATAAGGTGGAATTCAGATTAGAGTATAGTTTTTCATCCTGTCTAGTCTGCCACTTTTGAAAGATTGAAATAAGCTATATTGGTAATACCTGCCATTGACAAGACTATATTGCATTTGACTCGAAATCATTAAACTAATGAAATCTTTATACATAATATAGTTGGGCAGATCTATCAGTTAAAAGACAATTGAAATTAAAAAGTAAGTATTTGACCTGCCACCAATGTTTTTAACTTTGGCAGTCTACATTTTGTATATTTGAATGTATTAACATGAATAAACAAGAAAAAAAAGTATTTGACCATAGCTTTCTATTGTATGACAATATCATACTATAATATAACCAGGTTGAACACAAGTCCTGTCCTCAATATTTCAGGTCCATTGTGCAGTGTGGACATAGATGACTGTCTACCAGGACCCTGTAATAATGGAGCCACATGTGTGGATCTGTTGAACAGCTTTCAGTGTGTATGTGCACCTGGCTTCACAGGTAAGTTATTAAACCAAGAAAAAGAAAACAAAGTTGTCAGTTACAAAAACTGAAACATTAATTTAAAATAAACAAGATGGTAAGTTACAGAAACTGTAAAAATATGGTTAGATAAGAAAAAAACAATGGTGAATTACAAAAACTGTACTAAAGTGAATGGAATGATGAGGTACAAAAAGTGAAAAAGTAATTGAAATGGTGAGGTTCTAAAATTGGAGAAGTAAACAATATGATGAACAACACATATTTTCAATTGTAGTATTTTGCTAAAATGTTTTCTCTTACATCTACAGGTGTTAACTGCAGTACAAACATAAATGAATGCTCCTCAAATCCTTGTCAAAACAAGGGGACTTGTACAGAGCCAGCCCCCGATTCCTATCTATGCATTTGCCCCGATTACGTCACTGGCAATTTGTGTGAGACTGTATTGACTGCAAATTTTGATGGAACAAATATCATACAAGCTGAAAGTGTGGAATCGCAAGGTGGAAGACGGAAGCGACAAGCTGAGGAGATACTAGAGATCAGCTTTGAACTGACGACTACTGTTGAGCAAGGGGTCATTCTGTTAAGTCATGAGGTAATGAATTTGAAGGTAGTTGTGAGGTTACAAAGGATATGTGACTGTGTGACAAGGGTAAAGGTGATGTCATATTAGCAAAATGAATACTGAAAATGATATTTTAACAGTGCATCATATCAATGCTTTGACTCAATCTGTTCAGGACTTGTACAGAGTTCAATATTTTTAAATCACATAAAAAGTCCATGATTATGCTTTTATAGAGCTAGAGACAACCCTTTTAATAATCAGTTCTTTTTATCTCCAAATACATTTTGAAAATGGTATGTTCTAGGGTGATATGGCTGGACCTATGGATTACTTGGTTGTCTCATTGGTGAATGAATCTCTTACTGTATCAACTTCAGTTGTACAGGAGTTCTACACCTTTGCTATAGACTACACATACCCAAATATGGAAGTAGAGGTAAGAGTATGCAAAAACTTCTGTCGAGAATTTTTTCCAAAGATTCTGAAAAGAACATCATTTTATTAAACCTTATTCCCCTGATTTAAAATGGTTGGAAATTTAGTTTTGCACCTATTCGAAGGCTTAAAATCAAAAATAAAGTAAATATTTCTGAAAGTTTTGAAATTCATATTGAGATAGAAGAGATCGGAAGACCAATACAAACTTACATTTCACCTTATTTTTTCACTATCTGCACCATATGGGATACTTCAAATGCCACAATGATTGTGATATTGTGTTCGATTTTTTGAAATTTCCAATGATCAGTTTAACACTATGCTTTCGGAATCTATACATGTGTCACGTATTTATAGCACCACCTAAAGCACATCCAGGAGGATAAGGGTTAAACATCCATTATGTGTGTTACTAGTACATTGTATTTCATATTTTTATTTTTAGATTCAGATATCCAAAACATCCTCTACAATAACAACCAGGAATAAAAGTCCTACTTGTATGGTAAACTGTGTGGCCACTATAACTATACCAGAACTTGCAAACCTACAGCTAAATGGTCCTCTGTATATAGGAGGTGTGCCAATTGTGACAGCTTATATGAGAAGTAAACTCACTGTTTTTGATGGAATTGCTGGGTGCATAAAGGTGAGGTTAAATAAAAAAATTATTTTCTTTTTTTGTAGGATATACAGGTGATAAACACAAGAGTTCTGTGTCATATGTTTATTTTGTCAAATACACGATATATGATTGACTTGATCATTGATTACAAAAAACACTTTTGCTATAGTTTTATTTAATCATGTTCTATAATAAAGAAATAATATGTAATGATGATATTCTAACATAATTTACTAAAATATACTTTTAAGTGTATGTAAAATTTGCTTCAAGTTTGTTTTCTTATTCCAGAATGTAAAAATTAGTGGGAGTATGATAAATCTTCTTCCCATCGATTCCTTAAATACTAACCCCTCCCTACTACCAACTCCTGGGTGTCAATCACATGCTGGATGCTCCGCCCTCTTATGCCAGAATGGAGGAACATGTGAAGACAACTGGAATACTATTGGCTGTAATTGTCCAACTGGATTTGCTGGTGTGGGCTGTGGAATACAAACTATGGCTCATTTTGCGGAGGATTCCTTCATGTATTTTGACCGTACAGAAAATGTTGATCGCTTGACTGTGTGGATCAATCCTAAACAACCGACTGGCGTATTGTGTTACACGGTAAGTAGTTATGATTTCTGGTAATCATACTTGCTAAAGGGACAGGCAAAAATATTAGAGACTTGTGGTCAAAGGACATTCAGCATGACATTAGTTTTAAAATAATGATGAAGATGAAACCATGCTTATATTTTTATAGTCTCCAACTCTTTTGTGAATGGTGTTTGGTATTTGGTGATTGACAGTCAGCCTGTGGTATCTGTAACAAATGGCCGGTGGTGACATTTTGCATGTTAATGCCTTGTGTTGAATATGCTGGACATTCGAATTCAACCAACCAGAAATATTTAAAAACCATTACTTGTAGTACATGTTTTGCATATCGTGTATGATCAGTTCGAGTCCATCATCTTTGGTCATGCTCTGTGAAAGATAAACCCCACCTATTCCCCATTATCAGTGTCATTACTTTCATGTGATATCACTTCTCTGTTAATTGCAGTTAACTGGTCACCCATTGGCTGTCATGCTTGAAGATGGACGTGTGAAGGTACATATCATCACAATAACATCTGACCTCGTATCAACATTGGGAGAAAATGTCACTGGTGCATGGTGGAAGGTGAATTTACAGATCGCTGGAAACACAATCCATATTGAGGGTAACTTACATTATGACAATTTGCATCTGTTATGTAATTAGAAAATGAAAAATGAAAATAGTACTATGATTAAATCATTCCTCAAAAGCTACATTTTGAATCTTTTTATGTATCATTATGTTATGTACTCTGGTGATTTAAGAGAAAATTAAGTCAGTCACCAAAAAGTGGTGTCATAGTATGCGCCAAATCGCTTCCAAAGGGGCTTAGTTAGTCTAAACCGATGTTGAGGTAGATTACTAAGAAGTGGCCCATAGTCATTAAAGATTGGTTCATTGACTTTTCATTTTCACTTGTCTGCAGTTAATTAGGTGACACGAAAGGGCTAAACGGCTTGCCCCAAGGTGCAACCGTCAAAAATATGAGTTTGAAAAAAATCATGTTTTTCAAATAATAGTAGTGAGTATATGAAATAGGAGGCATATTTGATATTGATATGTATGATAGTCTATTTGGGTGTGGTCATTTTTATCAAAAACAATAATGGTGAAGAATTATACATTACTGACCTTGAAATGCCATTTTAATTCAAAAGTCACTGTTGCTAATGATAATATTCCTATTTTCACTGGCATGTAGCGGTTATAGCGGTCCTGTCTTGGCTTATTGAATTGTTACGAAGTTACGTATGCGGTGCGGAAGTTAGAGAGCAAATGACCACCATTTCAATGTAATAGTTTATGCAAGAAAATTGAGATTAGGCCATTGGAGTATTTGTTTCATGCATTTGTAAAACATTACCCACTCATAGGTCATACTTATCATTAAACCAATAACTCAAATATATGCCCTTGTACACCGATCACCTGTTGAAATTAATACAGGCCGATTTCAACAAATGTAAACAGCGATATATTTAAAATCGTATTCAAGCATGACCACGTCCCAACTTCTTTTGTTTTCTTTACAACTAAGCTATGAGTGCAGTCTATTCAGTGTTGCGTATCGAACCTTGTTTATTATAAAAATAGTGCAACAACAAGCAGAATTCACACATTTACCTTATACTTATTCTCAACTGAAGACATTGAATTTATCTCTTAGGTTTTACATTATAAATATCTTAACATGCAGAATACGAAAATAGAGGCTTAGGCCCAACTTTGTATGAATTTTATGAGAATAATCTGATTTTAGAGAAATGAAAAGAAAAATGTCCACACACTACACAAAATATTTATGGTTCCCCGGGAATACGTATGTGTTGCTTGTATATTAGAATCGTATTCCAGTTACAGAAAGAAGTACATATCATGCTAAACTATATACAACAGTTATGCACTGGGAGGTTTTGGATACAGGGAATATCCCGAGGGATATATAATATATCTTCCCTTGGTCCCCCAGGAAGATATATTGTATATCCCTCGGGATATTCCCTGTATCCAAAAGCTCCCAGTGCATAACCCCTATATATTGGCCAAGGGATAATCCCAATATCCTGAACCGACTATAGGATAATATGTTTATCCCATACCAACCTTGGTCATCTGGTTCACATTGTTAAATCGTGGAAATATTTTAGAATATTCATGTCCAGTTTTCTTGGCCGTGGGCGGATTTTCATGTTCTCTCAAATATTCCCATATTTATTTTCTCGAATTTTTTATTGATTAAGTGGATGCTCCTTCAAACAGACCCCGATTGTCTGTGTTTTCTCCATTGCCGTTTACAGTCATTCCGCGAACGTTACAAATTATGAACAAATATGTGAGCGGCGATTATGACGTAGCTCGGAGCGGGACGTAAAGCTTTATCCCATGGTTGCAAGGATATAGATCGAATATCACATGATGATATATTTGATATGTGGATCAAGATATCATATTTTAGCAAACAATTTACAAACCATCGAATATCACTTTTAAACTATCGAATATCACATCTTAAGTAGAGGATATCCTATGATTTATGAGTGATATGATTTTTATCCACGAATGGATATGATATCTGGACGAGTGAGCGTAGCGAGAGAGTGCAGATATCAACATCCATGAGTGGATTAAAATCATATCACGAGTAAATCATAGGATGTTCTTTATATTCCATAGTTAAAGTCATCATCAGAATCGTCGGGAATTAAGTGATTTAAAACGAATTTTCAAAACGATACGGCGATATTGACACTTAGCCTCGTTTTGAGTCTGAAGTAGCAAAAATCCATAAACCATGGCATACGGCGCCGTATGTCATGGCTAAAACACTGTATGCTATGGTTAAGTGAAAATTTGTCAAAAATATCATATTTTACCACTGATTTCAAAAATACTGTTTTTATTTTGACATGTTATCCTATGGATATCATGCTAACTATGGAATAATATAGGAATATCCTATGGCTCTGAAAAAATATCACTTATATCCATGAGTGGATACTGATATCTTCGCGAGTGAGCGCAGCGAGTGAGTGAAGATACTGATATCCATGAGTGGATATAAGTGACATTTTGATTGCGATAATTCAACGAACGTCATATGCGTGACGTAACAGAGTGGTTTGTATTTAATGCGAACGCTGTAAAAACAAGATCCAAATAAATAAAATATATATAAACAATCGTTTTGCTGAATTAATAAAAAAAATTGAAAAAATCAAAACCATCGAATATCACTTTTGAAACCATCGAATATCACCTTTCAAAATGTGATATTCGATGGTTTCAAAAGTGATATTCGATGATTTGGGAATTGTTTGCTAAAATATGATATCTTCATTCACGTATCAATTATATCTTCACGTGATATTCGATCTATATCCTTGTAACCATGGGATAAATAAGGGTTATGTACTGGGAGGTTTTGGATATTGGGTTTATCCAGAGGTAGATATGCATATCTACCTGAGGGACCATAGGGACCGAAAGTAGATGTGCATATCTCACGAGGGATGAACCCAATATCCAAACCGACCGTACATAACTGCTTTATCCTATACCAAGTAGAGTTTTCAGTAGTACAAGGTGTAAATAAGCCACACGGTGAACAGAATCGCACCCTTGAACAGAATACACTTTTCAGGATGTAAAAATCTAAAATGGCCACCTTAACATATGCCCAGAATGCCGGAAAACAAATGAGTTATAAAATTTCATTGGTAGAAACATCCCTGAGAATTTCAAATGAATCCCTCAAACGGTTTGGCTGGAAACCTGTAGACAAGATAATTCGGGACGCCCGCCCGCCCAACCGCCCGGCAAACTGATTACAATATAGCACCTAAGGGTGCGATAAAAATAAACAAATCATTCATATGCAAAGTCATTTTATTGCATTTCCACTTTTTTGGAAGCGGGAAGATATGCCACGAAGCGGGAAGATATGCACCAAAGTGAGAGATATGGTGGGAGATATGGAGGTTCTTGATATGGAAACCTCAAAATCAGGATACGGGATATATCTTACCAACTTATCTCCCTAAAACCTAACTTGGCATAGGATAAATCAAGATAATTTCTACTCGCATCTAGTCTATTCCACAGGTTTTGGAAAAGTGTACAGGAAAATCTCTATGTTCAATTGATGTATGATCAATATACGAATCGAATGTATTCTCGTGTGCATTACAATATCCACATTGAAACATTTTTGGCCTGCAATGGACGTATAATGAATTAGAATATGAGGCCGTGTTATCATTCAAATGTAGAGTCATGGTATTGGGTTGCAAGTTAATATCAGATTCAATGCAAATTAATCATTTAATATCAGATGCGCGATCAGTCCAATAATCTAATTTCAGGTCTTCAGTTCGATATCCAGCAGTTGTTCTAACGACACGGTATCACTAGGCTATCGTATTATAAATACACACACATATAAATTAATCAAACTGGTACACGATATAAGCACGACTGCTCTTTCACTTGAGTATAAATGTTGATAAACTTACCCGGAAGCCAACACATACACATTTAGACGATGCTATTTTCAGTTCAGTGTAAGAGTAAATGCCCGGATATCGAGGCTTTTTCGTGTAAAATCGGGTTATATTGCGTGTAGAATTTATCGATATCAGGGTCGCTACATGCCAGTGTATTTTACTTTTTCAATGTTTTCTAAATGTTTCAATTACCATTATGTTAGTTTTTGGCAAAGTAAATAATTATAGGGGTCACACAAGGATCCACTTTATTTACAACTTTTTCATATTTAGTGATGATTTCAAAAAATACCAAGTTTAACACAATTTTGTTTGTTAAATATCAAATAAAATGATGGTATTGTGTTTGTTTCATTGTTTCAACTAAAAATCGCAATTCATTGCTCTTGCTCTTAGAGCTGCAGGGCATATACCAGTTCAAAAAGTCTTCAATAAAGTTGATCCTTGTGTGAGCCCTATGATTATTTACTTTGCCAAAAATGAATATAACGATTATTCAGATATATAAAAATCCTTTAATAGGTTAAATAGGAATACAATGACTTTTGAATAAAAAGGCATTATACATGTACATATGAAGTTGTTGCAGTAAAATTACCAAACCAAAGTGGACTATCTTTCCATATTAATAGCAAATGGGTCTTCTATTTGCATTTAACTGAAATTATTTGTAACAAAAGTTTATTGTGATAAAGCAGGCAGTGATTTTGATACTTTTTTAGCTTGCAGACAGTGATCTAGTCGAGACAACATCTTGTAGTAATGGGTGTAACAGTGATAAGGCAGGAATTGATTTTATAAATGCAACTTTTGACAATTCCATTATTGATGGTTTATCTAACAGTTAGCCATTTTGTCCAAGCGCATTCTGCTTGGACGCCAAATTAAAAGATACTGATTTGCATCACATCAAGTTTGATTTGTTCACCGATTTTTGTCAGAGTGATACCTGTAGCAGCTGCACTCGACTGATATGCAGCAAGATATATGTGAGCTTTCATTGCAACATTTACATTTAGAACAGTTACAATTTTACTTAGCCTGATAGAAAATTAAATAATTGAAGTATATTTCTTTGAGTTTATTCAATTTGAACATTACTTTTACAATACAGATACCTTCGTTTTGAAACATTAGCAGCAAACGGTCAGTTTTCAACTTTAAATGTTTCATTTTTGTTCATAAAAAGTGTATTCTACAAAAGTCAAGGTCATTTCAAGGTAAAATGTCAATATTTAGGTAGTTGGCTTTTTAAGACACCTGACCCTCCACAACCAATGATTAGGTGACCTGAAGTCAAGGTCTGAATAGATCAAGGTAATTTTAAGGTCAATATCTAGCAAGTTGACATGAGAACAATTGTGACCTTTGGCGACCAATGATAAGGTGATTTCAAGGTAATTTCAAGGTAATTTCAAGGTCAAAGGTCAATATCTAGGTCATAGATAGTAGGCTACTATGGGTCTTCAGTAACATTTGATCACGAAAGATAAAGTGACCTACGGTCAATGTCACTGTTTATGGCTCAAGGTCATCTCAAGGGTAGAGGTCAATATCTGAATATTTGGCATTTTGGGGATGCTGCTTCATGTGAGGACCCATTGATATGTGTTCTGAGGTCAAGGTCATTCATACAAGGTCAAAATCTCTGTATTTGGCGTTTTGAGGCCTTGGGGGCTGCTATGACCCTTGGCAACCCATGCTAAGGTGACATGAGGTCAAAGTCAATATCTATTGTTCAAAATTATAATAAGGTCAAAGGTCAATATCTAGGTAGTTGGCTCGTTTGAGGCTACACCGACATTTGATCATCACCAATGATAAAGTGACCTGAGATCAGTGTCATTGTTATAGGTCAGGGTCAAAGATCAATATCTAAATATTTGGCGTTTTGGGGCGGCTACCCACTTGACTCCATTGAAACGTGATTGAAAGGTCAATCTAAGGTCAAATTTCAATATCTTAGTGTTTGGCGCTTTAAGGCCACAGGGGCTGCTGTCGTGATGTGGCCCTTGGTGACTCATGATAAGGTGACATGAGGGAGTCATCATTTAATGGTTCAATTCAAGATCGTCTCAAGGTCAATATCTAGGTATTGGTGTTTCAAGGCACTCGGGGGATGCTGTGACGCTTGGTGACACATTACAATGGTGACACATTTCAATTGACATTTCAAAAGTAATAGTCAATCATTTCTGTTTTATCATGTCAATTTTAATAAAATTTGCCAATTTGAAGTAAAATTATAACAGAAGAGAGGTTAACCAAATATGAGGTCATATTAATGACTGCACTCAGTAATCCTCAGTCAAGCTGACGAAGTTTTTCATGAAAGAGTTACTTTCTGTTGTGGTTCTAAATTGAATAAGTATAAGCAGGTGCGTTTTCAAAAATGCAAATTTAAAGCAAAGGACGATTCTCGGTTTGGAGAACGAAGTTCTTCAATCTAAATGAGCATTATCCCTGTTTCGGACAAATTTGATTTTTTTACATAATATAGATTTGGATGTCTTCTTTTGAATAGTCATAATTTAATTTGGGTAATATTTTTAGATTTTTCGCAAAAAAATATTAGCGCAGTACACTGATGAACTTCTTTCCCCAAAATCAAGACTTGTATTTTATTGAATCAGTCTAATTGAGCATTATCCCTGCTTCAGACCAATTTGTTATTTTTACATCTTGTAGATGTAAATGTCCTCTTTTGAATATTCATAGTTTAATTTGGGTAATATTTCTATATTTTTCATGAAAAAAATTATTAGCCCAGGAGACTGTTCTCCAAACCGAGAATCGTCCTTTCGCAAAATTTAGTTATTGATATGTAGAGATAGTCCATTAGGGTATGGTTATTCTCTTAAAAACAATTATGGTACAAATTTGGTACTTCTGACTATATAATGCTTTTTTTATACAAAACACTGTTCCACAACTGGATGACTCTAACTGCAGTTAGCTTCATTCAAGATGGTTGCCGAGATTCTTTCGTTTTCGATAAACCTCGGATTTCAGCTAAACTAAGTTGAATCTTGATTCCAAAAGTTTCGCCATGCAAATTAATAAAACTATGATTGTATTCAACCACAAATGAATGCTCTAACACCCATAATATTAGAGAATTTTAAAGAAAACGACTTCACTTAGAATGACTCTAACTGAAGTTGATGATCTACGCCATCATGACGTCATCATAAGTGAAGTCATTCTAAGTGAAGCCGTTTTCTTTAAAATTCTCCAATATCGCGGTTGTTTGAGCATTTATTTGTGGTTATTTACCATCGTAGCTTTATTAATTTGCATGGCGAAACATTTGGAATCCAGATTCAACTTATTTTAGCTGAAATCGGAGGTTTATCGAAAACGAAATGATCTCGGCAACCATCTTGAATGAAGCTAACTGCAGTTAGAGTCATCCAGTTGTGGAACAGTGACAAAAGTCAATTATATTATTCTTATTTTGACTATCAAATGATTTTCATATATCCGAATAACCATTATACTTGTTTTTGGCAAAGTAAATAATAGTAGGGATCACACAAGGATCAACGATATTGAAGATTGGTCATACTGGTATATGCCCTGCCGCTCTAAGATCAAGAGCAATGAATTGTGATTTTTCAGTTGAAACAGGGAAACAAACACATTATCATTATTTTGTTTAACATTTAACAAATAATTTTCTGTTAAACGTAGTAATTTTTCAAAACATCACTAAATATGAAAAAGGTGTAAATAAAGTAGATCCTTGTGTGAGCCCCATTATTATTTACTTTGACAAAAACGAATATAATGGTAAGTGTAATATATAGAAAACATTGAATAGGTAAAATAGTAATATAATTAATAACAACCGTGACTTTTGCATTAAAATGGCATTTTAAGGTCAGAAATGTATAATTCTTCAATATTATTGTTTTTAATAAAAATGACCACACCCAAATGGACTATCATACATATCAATATCAAATCTGCCTCCTATTTCATATACTCGCTGCTATTATTTGAAAAAACATGATTTTTGTCAAACTCATCTTTTTGCCGGTTGCACCTTGGGGCAAGCCGTTTAGCCCTTTCGTGTCACTTTTTTGAGTGCAGACAAGTAAAAATGAATAGTCAATGAACCAATCTATAATGACTATGGGTCAAATCATAGTAACCTACCTCAACATCAGTTAATGGGATTTTCTGGAGTTTTGGCGCACACTATCATATTGTAATATAGCTGCCAATATTTTTCAACCAGAATTGGGTAGCAGTGTCTGCACCAAATAAATGGTGATATTTTGTCTTGTTAATGACTTGTTTATTATCATATGTAAACTTAACTGTATAATGTACAATTTTAGTGTCAAATATTGATGGGTCCCAAGTATACACTGACAGTCTATCCTGGAGTCAATCTCTGGAAGTTCGTACTCCAATATTTTTCGGTAAACTTCATTCGGAGTCCATCTTGGAGGTTTGGAGAGATAGACCAACACAGCTGCCATCTTTTAATAGGTATGAAGTTTATTTTACCTTATGCTCATGAACTGGATAATTAAAATGTATTACATGTATTTGCAATATTATTTCAGTATGCAGAACTTTATCATGAACAAGGTGTTGGTTGGGCGAGGTGGGCACTTATTAGGGGGTGGGCGCTGAATACATTAGTATACATTTTCCATTGTTATTTCAGTTTCAATGGCTGTATACAGAACCTTACCATAAATGAGGTGTTGGTTGGACTCCAGACATCCTTGTCATCAACTGTGGGAGCTGATCCCAGTATGGCTATCCCTGGCTGTCCTTACGAGGACTCTTGTTCACAGGAGGATTGCTCCCAGGGGACATGTGTTCTTGGCTGGGACAAATATTCTTGTGATTGTGGGTCTAATTATATTGGGCCTCTGTGCTCTGAAGGTGAGTTGTTTTAAAAACAATATTTTACACATAAACGAGGCAATACTTTTGTTTGTATGTGTCACAGAAAAAACTGAATCCGAAATGATATTGTAGCTATTTGTCCCATTGTCTACTGGAGTAAAGGCAGTTGATCTAGTAGTACAACAGCCAATTTAATACTACAATAGAATATTTGGTATTTTGCAATTTCAATTTATTTATTTTACAGCATTGCCAAGCACATACAATGGTATCTCCAGTTATACTGCTGCCACCATAGACACCCAGAAAGTGACTTTTGGCAATAGTGGCCATATTGAATTGAGAACGAGGCAAGGTCAAGGTCACATTCTCTACCAAGAGTTCAACTCGGGGCCTGGGAGTGAGGTAGATTACATGGAGTTAAGGTTACAAGGGGGACAAATCCAGCTTGAGACTAGCTTCAATGGAGGTGAGTAAAAGTCTTAGCAAGCCAAGGCAAAAAACGAGAGGCTAAAATCAAATCAAATCTTATAGAAAATCAAATCATACATGAAAAATGTGTGAACGCTGCTTATGTCTATACTTTTCCTATTAGTTTAATCTGTGTTTGATCTGATAATCTTTTGTGACCTTGGAGTTTTTAATTACAACTTTCACATTATTCTGATCAATAAAATAGACAGATCAGATGTGACTTGTTAAATGTTTAAATATTACAAAGGATGAAATATGTTGATTGGATTGATAGTTTGATTGATGTTTAGTAAACACTGAATGTGCTTAATATAGCTTTGGCAGCATATCAGGCCAAAGGAAATTTGTTCTTGTAGCAGTGGTTCATTAATCCTGTATTTTAAAGGCCCCATGTAAAGTTCCATCTCTCCTTTGTATTGTATTTTATATGTTGTAGTTTTACTCAATTTTATTGGTCAGAATGATCCAGAATTTAATTCTTTATAAAGTTTTTAAAAGTGGTTCGGAGAAATATGTATTTTACTATACATGTTCTCACCAGTGATGTGGTACTTGTAAAGGTGATAAATATAGTTTTTAAAGTTAAGCATAGGAAACTATTGGAATTTAATTAATATCATCTTTGAGACATTGTAGCTTTATAATGTGATATGACAAAATTGTAATGGTTGAAGATATGCATGAAAAAGAAAAAGGGATTCAAAAACAAAATACCTTTTTGAACTTTTTGAAAAGAAATATCCTAAACAATTTCTGAAGGCTAAAGAATTTGAATTTTAATTCAAGATTTTTTTCTGTTTCAATTTCTACAAATATTTCATTAGTTATGCAGTGTGGTTTTTAAAGATGTGAGAATATTGTTCTAGAATATTATGTTTATTGTACGATTGACCCATTTTAAACAGCATGATGTTAACCTAGATATCAAATTACTGACATCAAATTAATTTGATATTTGAAATATTATTTATTTGATTGATGTTACTATGGTAATGAATGTCACTAATAATCATAATGCTAATAACTGACATCTTTCACTTCTAGAAAAAATTCCAGGGGGTCACATTTTACTTTGGGCCAAAATCACTTGAAACATGCTCAAAATGGTGAAAAACTACATGATTATGAATAAATTGGTCTGGGGGGGGGTCGCTCCAAACCCAATTTACTAAATTACTGGTAACATACAGGGATACACATACAGCATCATTAAGTCCAGGGAACTTTAAAAGAGTCTGATTCTGATGCAGAAAAAACATGGTATTTTGAACATCAATTGGATTTTAATCTATTAAAGTTAATGAAATGAAGCGCTCCCTTTGGGACACAATTAGTTCACAATTCATTTCAGCTGTGTATAACACATATTAAACATTTTAAACACTGTTTTCTGGCCGACTGAAATTTTATATATGCTTAGCTATGTGTGAATAATTAAATGTATAAAACGTGAATATAGGTTATTAATTTTTATTTTTGATAAAGCTCAATTACCTTATGGGAGCTGTAAACTTTAAGTGGATGTCTGCTTCCTAGACTTACAGGAACATCCTTCATTCAAAGGTCATCATTTATTCCTCAATTCAATTCAATTCAACTCAATTCAAGAAATGAAATACTCTGGATGGATGATGCAACAGGAATATTTCACCTTCTCTAGGGTTTTAATCTCTTGACTACCCAGTATGACGAGATTTCTCGTCACCTCAGAAATGACCTTGAATCCCAGAGGGACGAGAAAATCCGTCACAAAATTTTTCACAAAAATTGCTCTTATTTGAACAATTTTTATCCAATTTACACAAAAATTGTTTTAAAACGTGTAGAAATGATCTCTGCTATATAATTTGACTAAGTTGAGCATCTTAAGTTGTATAGGTATGTAGTAAATGTCAAAAGGTGGCAAAAATGAAAAAATCCTCTGGTTTCAACCGATTTTAGAGCCTGGGATTCATGAGGTTAACATAAGATTTTAAATCAGGCATTTCATATAAAAGTTTTGAGATGATTTTTCACACTTGTTCATTTTTAAAGAGGGTATTGGTGTTGTACCTGCTCATTTATATAAAGAGTTTTGATATTATGTCTATTATTTTCAAATTCCATTAGTTCTTAATACAGAGAGTTTTCAGGCGATAGTCCGAACTAAACTGACGTGCTGTCCATATGAGTCTTTTACTTTCTTCCAAGGGGTCTTTATTTAATTGGGAACGATCTGCAGCTAGAAATTCTGTATGCGGCTGAATATTCAGACTAGACATGTAGATTATGATTGATAAAGCTGATTGGTCGTATCTGTGGTTAAGCACATGTGACCCTCTCGGGGAAATACAGGAACGTTTTAAAGCACAATGTACAAGAGGAGTTAGTATATGTTTAACAGCTGTGCTATTGTTAACATAACCTTGGATACCACCAGCAAAACTGTATTTATTAATAAATCTTGATTTTGTGACGTTAAAATATGAAAACATCCCTTTATGGGTTTTCATTGTCATATCTGTGTCTTGGCCTTGAACGAAAAAATATCCATCTTTAAGAATGAGTCTTTTTATTGGGCCAAGAGGTCCTCTGATTACTGACCCAGCATCTGAATAAAATATTGCACCATATCGACGAACTGCATCTTGTAGAATTATAGGTTTCCAAGCGAATCCATTCCTAGATCCCAACAAAATTCGTGGAGGGGTTGTCTTCGGCAGATTGAGAGATTCTACATTGCACCATGTGTGTACATCTTGTTTTTGTAACAAAGTCAACCCAATATCATACACTACTATTTTTGTCCTCGGTTCCCAGAAATGTACGGATGCAACAAATTCAGTTAATCCACGGAAAAACTCATTGCTGGCAGCCGTAACTATGACAACATCCATTGGTTTTAGATCAATAGACTTTAATTCATTGGTAGTTTTATTTCGATGATTTGTAGCCAGTTTAAATGTTAAAGAATCCACTTTACTATTTTTGTGGTTGTCATGGTAATCCATTGTCTGTAATCCATAATCTTTATAATCCATCTGATAATCTTTTTCTTTTGTCATTTGTGAAATTAGTATGACAAAAGACAATGGGACTAGAATATATCCCAGAGGATGACATTTTTGAGCTCTAAAACTCCTAGAATATTTTCTCCTTATATTCATATTTATTCCAATTCATAAAAATGAAGTATACTTTTAGCATTTGGCAAACTTTATATGCCAGTAGACAAGAACATTCAGGCAGACAAAATACATTTGTTAACCCGATTTGTAAATTCTTTCTTTTATATTTATTTGCTCAGCATAACTGTGCAAAAACAGTGGCTCTTATAGTCTATACCATCATTCATAATGCCTATTCAAAACTAAACAGTGAAAGTGAAAAAAACATAATTTTAGTTTGTCTTACTGTACTCCTGGTAATTTCAGTAGATGTGGATGTTATTTATTTTTTGTTTTTTTATTGTATTGCAAAATTGGCCTTTTTTCAGCAGAAAATAAATGTTTCAATAATGTAGTGCAAGTGACACTGCATGAAGTACTTTCAACTTCTAGAGTAATATAGAAATAGTGACTGCCATTGAGGGCAATAGTGAACAAATAGTGACTGCCATTGAGGGAAATAGTGCAAAATATTTTCCTCAAGGGAATATCCTGTCCACTGACTTGTTCCCGAGGCTGCAGGCCGAGGGAACAAGTCAGTGGACAGGATATTCCTGAGAGGAAAATTTTTACACTATTTCCCGAAATGTGGCAGTCACTATTTGTTTTATTATATACCTGATAAGTACTCTGTAAACAAAAACAAAATGAGAAGTCTTTTCATTTCAATATCAAATGTTCACAGGTTCTTATTGGCATTTAAAGGCATTTTACCTTTCAACTCCTATAATCTCAGATTTGGGGGAAGATAAAATGTACTATTGACTGGTCACATGACCTAACTGGTGATTAGTACAATTCATCTTCCTTGAAAGCAGGGATTTAGGACTTTCCAGGGAATTAGTTCATCTATTCCATGTCATGTGACCATGAATAAGCCAATGAGCATCTAGAATACATTTGAGGTATATAATAATGTAAATTATTTCCCCGAAGGAATATCCTCTAAAATATTATATACCCTATACTGACTCTTGTCCCGTTTCCTCCGCGAAGGCCAAAAAGGCTTAGAAAGCCCCCTCCCCAGGTCCATTGTTAGCATTATAAGCTGTGACGTCATAATATGCTCAACAGAAATTTTTCCTAAGAAATTTCTGAGACTCTCACTTGGCAAATTCAATCGCGTTTAACACGCGAAATAGATTATCATAACACTTGAAATTACACAGACGTATTGAGCTTATGGAACTTTATCCACGTTGCTTATATTGTATCGTTCAGGCACGTCTGTAATGGTGAACAGAGTTGATTTGTGTTTGTGCTTATCCTCAATTTTTCTGTTTTTCGTCTGGGCAGTGATGATGCGCAGACTTTTCCAAGGGTAATAGAAGTTGCAATCGTGACGTCAGCGGACAATAGTTCAAATGTATATTAGCGCTTCTTTCATTTTAGGCCTAGGGAATATAACTTTCGAAGGGAAATAGTAAATCTATTTCAGGACACGTGACTAGGTATCGACCAATCAGGATTAGTGTTACTTATTGGGTATATAATAATAGTGAGTATTGCAATAGTATCAAATTCTGTCTCCCTGTCACATCTAAGTACAGATACAAAGAAATCAGAATAATAGTGAATTTTATAGATATTATTTTCGCAAATTCAGAACTCCTAAATTTTGCGCCAACATTTATCATACTTTGAGAGTGAATGAAGAAATAAAATAAAAAATGAATTAAAAATATCAACAGAAAATCAGACTAGGCCCATCTTTATTAAAAAATGGATTTCTATTCTTAACAAACTAGAGATACGTTTTTAACACAAACCTAACTGTATTTACTTGCGTCTTTATTACCTATTGTATTTTCACCATTCTATGTACCTGTATACTATGATTATGTTGTACAAACATGTCCCATTTATTATGTTTTTATATTTTGTTAACGAGGTAATTTTGTTAACGATTAAAAATATCCAAAACTGTGCTTATGTGTGTGAATTATGATGTATTGTAAATTGAAATTGTAATTGTAAAAGTAAAGTGATAATAAATATATTATGATAAAAAAAAAAAAAAAAAAGAGAGTGAATGAAATTGAAAAGAATTCAGAATAACACAGAAATAGTAGAATGAAAAAATCACTCTGAGTACAGTAAATCACATATTGTTATGAAATCATCTGTACCAGATCTCATGTTACACTAAATGGATTTCAATTATAACTAAGGCCAAGATAAAAAAGACAAATGTTTAACATACTCTCCTTCAGGCCTATTTAAACTCCATAAAAGTAAAGTTGGTGAGCATTTGTGCACTGTTATGGAAATGATCATCATTTTTATTATAGAGTTGTTGTACAGTTGTACATGTAGATGATTCTCTCATATTTAGGTTAAGTGCAGCAAATTCCTCGTTCACCCAAGTTTTTTGCGTAAATATAAAATCATTAATCTTCTATTGTGGGCTAAAAACAATCTGTCGCAAATTTTGACTTTCCAAATATTCACAACTTTAATGTAAATTTACATTTGTCTCGTAGTATTTGTAATTTCTAAAATATCTAAAATTACATGTATTAACGTCTGAAAGGACTGGTCCTATAGTATTCAACAAAAGAAACATGTCACTCAAATTTTTTAAAAACACTGTGAGTTCCAAATCATGTTTTAGTGTACAATACAATATATTTGCCAACAGTTTGCAACATAAGCAGTCATTCTACACATACACTACATCATAGGGTTCAGATTGACAATTCCCTTAATGCAATTGCAGATCTAGGAGCTAACGAAGGGGGTGGCCAGATTCCAAGTTTTACAAAATATTTTGGACCCCTAAACCAAAAATTGGGCCCATTTTAAAAAATTTTCTGGGCCCACCCAAGGGGGCCCCCCTGGATCCGCCAGTATAATGCCTCAGTCACATTTGATCTTCGGCAACCATACAGCGACTGTACCTTCCCAAAATCAAGTGGAATATGCAGCATAAAATATAAGGATAAACAGTATGATGAAGATTTTCTATATTGATTTTGTGAAGTACTACTGTACGGACACTTTATGGCTGCCGTAAAGTAAATATGACTGAGGCTTTAGTCACTTTACTTTGAGAAACAGGTTTCCTCTCAGACAAATATGTGGATTTCAATGTACTAAAATATGGCATTCAATGCTGTCAGTCTTAATCCTGAATGGAAATGATAAACATACATTGACAAAAATGTCAATGTAAAAATTAGCATTTTGATCAAAAAATATTGGTATCGAAATGATTTTGATTAAAAAACATTGGTATTAAAATCATTTTGATCATGAAACATTGGTATCAAAATCACATTCTGTTTTACAGCTGATACCCTATATAATTTAAAAGCTTTGAAAGCAATTATTGTGAAATGAAATGTACATCATTGAGTTAATGACAGCAGAGTCACCCAGTGTACACATTACTATTACACAAGTATGTCATTCAGTTTTTTTATTTAATGAATAAAGAATCTTGGATCGTTCTTTATTGGAAATTTAAGAGCACAAGTACTGACTCATACACGTAATGCACAAGGGTAGAACCTGAGTTCATTATCAGGATGGGTTAATAAATATGTGCATGAATGCTTTTAAATCATGAATGATACAGCGTTCTTTATTGTTGCAATTCATATATACTGTCTTTCCTTTTAAAGCAGATATGAAATGGTATTTTTGACCTAAAGGAATCAATATAATTTTTTGATAAATGTATTTGGACATGTTTTCTGCAGTATTGTGAAAATTATTTCACTCTAATGATCCTTATAGCTGCTTAATAAGCAATATTCGAATAGGTTGTGACGTTATTGGGCCCCACATGATCTCTCACTGGTCCCCATATGGCCCGTTTTAGTCCATTAAATCATGACGTCATAATGCCAAGATGTTTTGTTATTTGTTTACACAACAATCATATGGTTGCCCTGACTTTTGTGATTACTAAGGAACCAATGAACCAAAACTATATATTATGTATGACGTTACTAATCACGTGGGGGCCAATCTGATTGATCAGTTAATTTTATTACATTATTTATGACCATTAACAGTTATCTAACATTTCTGAAATACTGAAATACTCTAAGCTGATTGGCTGAGATACACTTGGCATATTTATGAAAAACTAATGAACACCAGATAGAGTAAAATACTAAATAAGTTATACAGTGTAAATGTGCATTGGAATAGCTAAGAATGCAATGAATTCATATATACATGTATATGTTAATAAATTGTGTGTTGGTTAAGTGTCCTAGCAATCAATATGCTCCTGTCTGTTACCCAAGTACCTCTTATTTCTAAGTACTTCATACTTAGAAGGAGTGGAATCTGCAGGTTTATCTTTTAAATCTAATGTTGAATAAATGTTTTCCTCATTTCCTACCTCATCATATGGATTCTCTTCATTAGCATTGGCCTTATTGCTCTTGTTGTCATCCTTCTCATCACCATTCACATTAACATAGCCCCCATCATCTTCCCCATGTTCATGGGGCCCATTATCATTGTTCACATTTGCATAGCCCCCATTGTCATTGTTCCCATTTACATAACCTCCATTAGCATTGCCCTCATTGACCTGAGTCTCTCTTGTTCCTGAGTCTTGTGGATTTTTCGCTCTTGGTTTCATCTCAGTTGCATTTACTTTTGCATCATCAGTTGCAGCTTCTTGTCGATCAACATCCTTCTTGCGTCTGTATATGAGGCATATCACAAGAATGGTGATCAGGGATCCCAGATATATAACACCCATAACAACTGCTATGATACGGAGGTTCACTACCTCTTGTTTGTATTGATGAAGTTCTGTTTGTTTCGTGTCAATTGTCGTCACTTCTTGATTCATAGTTGATGTGGTCATTTGTGTAGTGGGTTTTGTAGTAGTTGATAGTTCTGGTGTTGTGGGTTTTAGAGTTGTTGTGGGTTTTGAAGTTGTTGGTTTTGGTGTTGTAGTAGGCCGTGTGGTTGTAGTAGGCCATGTGGTTGTTGTATGTTTTGCCGTCGTCGTGGGTTTTGGCATTGTTGTAGGCCTTGGAGTTGTTGTGGGTTTAGGAGTTGTAGGTCTACTACTTGTGTCATGATGTAGGGCATAAACAGCAAACTGATCGGTATTTCTATATAACTGTAGGTCATACTCCCCATTTGAGTATATAGCACATCTTCTTAGATAACAATTACCTCTCCTGTAATTGATGACATTAGCCCCTCTCCAGGCCTGTCAACTGTCCCGCAATTTGCGTATTTGTCACGCATTTGCTGAAGAATTTGAAGTCACGCCAGTTTTTTTTGCGTGACAGAAAATGTCACGCAAAATACGCATTTTACCTGGTAATTGTCAAGCAAAAATATTTCTGTAGAATTTTTTTCGAAATATGTTTACGATACGGTAAAAATACGAACGCCGGAAAAAACCGAACGCAATTTGTTCGGATTTGTCACGCGAATCCCGTATGTGTCACGCATGTTCATTGGAAATTTTTAGTACCTCCCCCCCCCCCCCCCCCCCCCCCTGTTGACGACATCGCGAGCGTAGCGAGCGCGAAAAATTTGAGGTGTTCAAAGTTTGGCAAAGGTGCTCAAACTTTGGCCAAAGGTGTTTAAAAGTTGGCCAAAGGTGTTCAAAATTTGGACAAAAGTGTTCAGATTTGGACTTAGGTGTCCAACATTTTGAAGTCACTCATATTAGGTGGTCCCAAGTTGACAGCCCTGCCTCTCTGACATGCAAGTATCATGCAATGCCTTAGGTCATGGGTAGTATAATATCCTAGAGAAAAACATCCAGACATTAAACAGTTCTGTCTAAGTCTTTTGATTACAAACAGTGATTCTCCACAGTTTGGTGTTCCTGGATACGGCAAGACAGATATCCGATTGGTATAAGTATTAGAAAAGCAAGTGTTGCTATACATTGCCCAATCTGTGCCTTCTTGATTGCCCAAACATCGATAGCTTCTCACTGGGGCAGATCCATAGAATAAATTAGATCCAGATTTGCAGAGAAAATCTTGAACATTATTATTTGGTGGTGGAAAATATCCAGTCAATGAGCACGATGGGCGTGTAGTAGAGAATGATGGTCCAGGTATTGCAGGATATGTTGCACCGCATTTCTCTGAATGAGAAAGACTGTATGTGATCACAAACCTTTGTGTTTGTTGGAAGTTGAAATTATAGTCCTCAATAGTTGGATTCCATGAACAATGATATATGTTACATATTCGAGATGATGAACTATATGTTATAACATTTCCAAATCTTCCACATGCCTCTCTCATACAATCATGTACATGCGAAAATGTTAATCCACTGTTAATATAGTTACATCCAGGTGAAACATTTCTGCTTGTATCCCACGTTCTCCTCATAAAATACGAATTGTGGCATCTTGGTGTGTTTTGGTGAGGCAGAGCATATGATACACCCCATTCGCCACGACCCCGCCATCTATAGTCCCAATCATTTCCATTAGAGCGACATCTATATATGAAACAATGTCGGGTTCGTCTAAAGTGCACGACATTTCCACGGAGCTCGCAAGCTTTTTTGAAACATGGTTCATGGGAGTTGACAGGCCATGGTGTGTATAGTCTCAAAAGTTCTGCACAATTCGGATAATGGTGTTGTCGGGAAACAAGCACAAATTTACCAAAATCACAATCATCTGGAAGTAAATCATTCTTTATTTGTAAATATTGTTGGTGGCAACATTTCAATGATCTACAAGTTGAACTGTGACTGTCATCACTATTTCAAATCAACTATTTTAGGCTCCCACCACTATAAGCCTGTGTGATCTAGTATCTATTTTACCTGTTATCACCTTGTCCAAGTTATTCCAATTTTTTAAAAGGGGTTGTTGGTTCTTTAAATCAAAAAGTTCTGTTTGTATTCGTCTGAATTCACTGAAATATTTAATTGTAAATTCTTAGGATAAAGGTACTAGAAAAACATATATTCTAAAAACCGTATACACAAATATAATAATGCTCTTAGTTGTTCTTCAGAGTTTTACCTTGTGCTTTTGAATTGTCTTCATTTTTAGCTGTCGTTAATATAGTTGATGTATTTTGTGCACGAGATACAGGCACAACACATGCAGCAAGTATGAGCCAAACAAAATACGACTTCATAACTTGGAATGATTGTATGCATTTATAAAAAGTGTCACCTTGAATATTATGCTATGTTATATCAGGCCTTTATCTCAGTCCTCAGATAATCTATGATGTATTAATTAGTGTATTATTGAGAGGGGCTCAATAAATAGTTATTTAGTAATAGTAGAATATAACACTTTGATGAGCATTAAGTACAGTTAGTTAGAAATCATTGAGGAAGTACAGGAATAATGTTAACCCGTCAATTGAAATTTAATCAGTCTGATGGCTCAAATTATTCAGACAGATAGCTGAAATTATAAAGTCTGGTGGCCCAAATTGTATAAACTGTTAGCTCAAATTATATAGGCTCATGGTTTAAATAATACTGGCTGGTGGCTCATTTATATAGACTGATAGCTCAAATTATATAGGCTCATGGTTTAAATAATACTGGCTGGTGGGTCAGTTGTATAGACTTATAGCTCAAATTATATAGGCTCATGGTTTAAATAATACTGGCTGGTGGCTCATTTATATAGACTGATAGCTCAAATTATATAGGCTTATGGTTTAAATAATATTTGCTGGTGGGTCCGTTGTATAGACTTATAGCTCAAATTATATAGGCTCATGGTTTAAATAATACTGGCTGGTGGCTCATTTATATAGACTGATAGCTCAAATTATATAGGCTCATGGTTTAAATAATACTGGCTGATGGCTCAGTTATATAGACTGATAGCTGTAATTATATAGGCTCATGGTTTAAATAATACTGGCTAATGGCTCAGTTGTATAGACTGATAGCTAAAATTATACAGGATGATGGTTTAAATAATACTGGCTGGTGGCTTAGTTAAGACTGATAGCTCAAATTATATAGGCTCATGGTTTAAATAATACTGGCTGGTGGCTCAGTTATATAGACTGACAGCTCAAATTATACAGGATGATGGCTCAATTATAAATCTGATGGCTCAGATTGTACAGGTCGATGATTCACACAAGTGGGGGTATAGGACCTCTGTCTAAAAGAATGTTATCAATTTAACAAAAACAGGATATCCCTAATTATGCTTTTCAATTTATATACTCAATGGGAACTTAACCACAACAAAATTTAGCAAATCACGCAAGCTGTAGCGTCTAATGACAGAATGATAGCCCAATCATGAATTTTGATGGTTCAAATTGTTTGATGATTCATATGCAGGTGAATGAAGTAAGGGCGTAGAACTCCAGTCTGGAAAGAATATTATACATTTAACAAATAAAAGATACTAGTTTTACCCTATGAAAACTTAACCACCAGATATCAAATTTCCAAACAAAATTGAGCACCTGTTGATCTATCTATACGCAAAGGACGATTCTCGGTTTGGAGAACAATCTCCTGGGCTAATAATTTTTTTCATGAAAAATATAGAAATATTACCCAAATTAAACTTTGAATATTCAAAAGAGAACATTTAAATCTACAAGATGTAAAAATAACAAATTGGTCTGAAGCAGGGATAATGCTCATTTAGATCGATTCAATAAAATACAAGTCTCGATTTGGGGAAAGAAGTTCAATAGTGTACTGCGCTAATATTTTTTTTGCGAAAAATCTAGAAATATTACCCAAATTAAAGTATGACTATTTAAAAGAAGACATTCAAATCTATATTATGTGAAAAAATCAAATTTGTCCGAAGCAGGGATAATGCTCATTTAGATTGATGAACTTCGTTCTCCAAACCGAGAATCGTCCTTTGTATGTGGATAAAATGTCAGTTTGACATTTTTGAATGTTTGTACTGTCAGCTGGGCAATTAAACCTTTCAGTTGAGAAAATCATAAAAGATATGTCATTAGAAAGAGAAATATTAAATGTAGTTTTGTAATTTCAGTTTCCTATGAAATATACTTTTACCAACAAAGACTGATTTTCATGTGTTTGTCACATCAAAGCTATCTTAAGATCTTTTCTTTTAGAAGTAAAGTTAAAAGCACATTTTTTATTTGAGACCTGTTACCTGTCTGTCAACAGATCATCTTCTTTATTGAGCATTCCCATCTTTGACATATCTAGTAATTATGACCTTTCAGCACTCATATCATATAGTTTCACTATGAAAGAATGACATGCAACGTCTCTATTAAACTTAATAAAAAATCAATGTTTTCAAATAAAATTTTATATCAAAAATGTATATTTTTGATTTATGTACTGTACTACTTAAAATCAAAAGCTAGATATGAACATCGCACGACATGTTTTTTATGGAAATTTTTTATTTATATGGTATCATTTATTTATAAATGTCAACATTTATTTTGGATTAATGTATTTACTTGGTCAGACCTCTCATTTGCTAAACTGTCAAAATTTAAAATGATATTCTTCCACTCCAGGCCCGTAGCCAGAGGGGTTGGGGGGTACGGGGACAAGCAAATCCCCCTGATCAAAAATTCTTTTAAAATCATGCAGTTTTTCACCATTTGGAGCACTCTTCAAGTGATTTTGGGCCAAAATGGTCAAATGATCCCCTGGAATTTTTTAAAAAGTGAGCCCCCTTGGCAAAAGCTGGCTACAGGCCTGCACTCTAAACGTCAACCTGCTGTCTTGGTTTACAGTTTCGGATATAATTTTGAACAGTCAACCACTTGATAAACCAACAAGTATTACAAATAAGAGGCCCATAGCGTACCATAGTTTGCTAAGGGATGTTCAGGTTTTTAAGAAATCCAGGGAATGTTCTTTGACAATTCTTTCTGAGACTCAATCGAAGAGTGCTCAAAATTGTTCTGGCCGGGGGGGGGGGGGGGAGGGGGGTTACTCGAGCCACCCCCTCCTTGCAAAACATTACTAAATCATAACCAATTATTGTGTATAAGATATAGCAGCATAAAAAATAGTTTGGCTAAGCCAGAATAAAAAGAACATTGCCATCTATCTGTACTCAGTATAGAAAATGAGAGTTTTTGAAAACTTACTTTATCCATCTTTAATTTATGCTTTCATAAGAACATTGGCTTTAACCTTTTGATCCTTTTTAAAAACAAGGACTCAGATTTTTTGTCTTACTCCAATATGTTATTTTTTCACAAGTTATGTTTCAAGAAACAAAAAACTTTTGATTGACCCAAAACATACTTTGTGATCGCAGTTAAAAGAAGTCGAGTAGTCTCAATCTCCTGCAATGACGGATTGGATTTAACCTTTTGATCCTTTTTAAAAACAAGGACATAGATTTTTTGTCTTAATTACTCCAAAATGTGTATTTTCACAAATTATGTCAAGAAACAAAACATACTTTGTGATTGCAGTTAAAAGAAGTCGAGTAGTCTCATCCTCCATCAATGACGCACAATGGCATACTCTTTCTTGGACAACAGATGGCACTAATATCTTGACACGTGTTGACTTTAGCGCAAGTACTGTACCAGTCAACTATGCATTCTTCAAAGCAGGAAGGGACTATACTGTTGCTGTGTATGTGGCTGGGAGACCATTGGCTCCAGGTTGGTTTTGTAGAACTCATTTAACATGTATATTGTTTACCTTAGACTAGGTCAACAATATAACATATTTTAGAAATGAAATTTTGTTTTCTGTTTAAAGTGGCAATGTACGGGGTGGTCCCAAAAAATGGGACTCTAATATTTCAAATAATAATATTGATTTTCTTGATGAAAACATATCATATTTATATACCAGTGGGTAAGGAATTTACTTAATTTGGTATATCATTAAGTTGTTGTAAAATATCTGTGGTAATATTTACATTTCTGAAGTATTATCATAATTATACTTTATACAATTTAAGTAAAATTGCTCAGTATTTTAGTGACATATTCGTTTATAAAATGCAAAAGATGAGATATTAACCTATGATATGTCTTTATATTTTCAGGCTCATCAAGCCCTGTGATTGGTCACTTCAAGGGCTGTTTACGTAATCTAAGATTCAATGATTACGCAGTACATATTCATGAGAATAACCATTTGGGAGTGAAACTAACCAATCAGAACGTTAAACATGGTTGCCATGGTGATGATGTGTGTTTTGAAAACACATGCCCTGTAAATGCTAACTGCATCGATGTTTGGAACCTGCATGAGTGTAGCTGTAAGATGGGCTGGACTGGTGAAAGTTGTAACATTAGTATTGATGATTGCGTCACGAACAATTGTAAAAATGGCGCAACTTGTATTGACCAGCATATGAATTATACATGCGCTTGTGTTTATGGATTTGATGGATTTTATTGTGAGAATGTTATAGACGCTTGTGAAACTCAACCTTGTAATAATGCTACAAGTCAGACCTGTACTGCATTATTCCCTGTTGACTATGCATGTACTTGTCACGATGGCTGGACGGGGAAAAATTGCACTGAAAATTTTAATGAATGCGAGAGTAGTCCATGTAAAAATGGTGGAACTTGTACAGATTTGATTAATGACTTTAACTGTACTTGTGATTCGGATCATTTTGGACCAATTTGCCAGTTCACATATATTTGCGCATCGTTACCATGCTACAATGGAGGCAGTTGCTATGGCAAAGAAGACAATACAAACTATACATGTCAATGTACAGATTTTTATCTAGGCAGGCAATGCCAGACTTTTAATTCATGTTTCTTAAATGAATGCGCCAATAATTCAACATGTCTTTTAAATGGCACAGATTACACCTGCAGTTGTTTACCTGGTTACTATGGTAACAGATGTCAATTTGTGGATTTCTGTTATTATGAGCCATGCTTAAACAGTGCACTCTGTAGCAATGAGCCTGATACTTATAATTGTGCCTGTGGGGTACATTATACAGGAAAATCCTGTGAAACTCCCATCGATAAATGTGAGATAAACAATTGTGAAAATGGTGGTAGCTGTTGGTTCAATATCACAAATCCAGAAACGACTTATACATGCGAGTGTATTGTAGGCTACCAGGGGTTGCTATGTGAACATGACATCAATGAATGTGACTCATCTCCATGCCAAAATGGTGCAACTTGTATCGAAAGTAACTCATCACCAAAGGAACAGTTTGTAGCTGGTTACCAGTGCCAGTGTGCTCCTGGTTACTATGGTGACCAATGTGAAAGTGAGATTAATGAATGTGACAGTTCACCATGTCTTAATCAAGGCAGTTGTCAAAACTTAGTTAACTCGTATAAATGTGAATGTGTGAAGGGGTACGAAGGGACACACTGTGAGCAGGATAAAAGAGGATGTACTTCAAACCCATGTCAAAATAATGCTCCTTGCGCAGAAAATCTTGACAAAACATACTCATGCGATTGTCTCCTTGGTTACACAGGAGCTCTTTGCGAGACAAATATTGACGATTGTTTGGGAAATAATTGTGTTAATGGTGCCACATGTTATGATTTAATACAAAACTATACATGTTCCTGTCTACCTGGATATACAAACACATACTGTCAGGATATTAATGATACTTGCTACAGCCAGCCATGTTACAACAATGGTGTATGTTCTTATGTAGGAATTTGTACATGTAGTGATATTGTCTCACAATGCGGTTGGCATAACGAACAGTGTCAACGAGAAAAGTGTGTAGCTAGATCTGAATGTACGCTGCGCGAAAGATCATATACTTGTGACTGTACCGATACTGGTTACTATGACAACCGATGTGATGTTGACGTCAATGAGTGTGACATCATAGGGACGTGCATCAATAATGGCACCTGTGAAAATACACCAGGAGGATTTCTATGTGACTGCACAGCGACTGGGTTTACTGGAACGCACTGTCACATAGATCTTGATGAGTGTTCACTCCTGACTGAGCCTTGTTATAATGAAGGTAAAATTCACTTTGGAAACACATCCTTTTGTTCACAACCAAATAACTACATTCTAAAAAATCTTTATCCAGGTATCACATGAAATAAAATGTTGCAACCAAAATGCTGTCATCCAAAATTCAATTGTCATTCAAATATTGTTATTGTACATTATGAAGTACAATTGAAACTCAAAAATTGTTTTTTTATTCTCGATGAAGTAGATGATGATAAATTATAAAAATAGATTTTTTGTCAATCATTTGCACCTTTTAGTTGTTCTTATTCAAATTGTTATTAAATTATTATTCATTGTTTCAGGTACGTGTGTTAACAACCTAGGAAGCTACGGATGTATATGTGCCCTGGGATGGGAGGGCAGAGATTGTGGCCAGAACATTGATGATTGTATCAACTCACCATGTCTTCACAATTCAACATGTAGGGATGGGTAAGTTCTGCCTTTAGTAAATCAAATATGCCATTTTATCAGAGTGAATTATAACGTGCTTTTGAGCAAGATTTCTCTTGATTTTATTTTTAGTGTGAATCAGTTTCTATGTGACTGCACAAACAGTGGTTACTATGGCGACAGGTGTGAAACAAATGTTGATGAGTGTAACAATACAGAGACAGAGACACCTATATGTGAAAATGGGGCTACTTGTGTCGATACAGTTGGGAGTTATATATGTGAATGCACATCTGCCTATACAGGTAAGGGTCTTAAAGAGTAGCTAAATATTTTCAACAATTGAAAATGGAATAATCCAATCATACTATTCTTTTATTTAGAGCTTTTACTAGTTCATTTTACTAATACAACTTATTCTGTTAATTCACAAAAATTATAAACAGAAAGTAACATGGATCAAAAACAAAACAAGAGATATTTTTTTATATTTAGACTGACAGTAACACAAAATAAAAAAATTCTGACAAAAAAATCTGTGTCTGCAATGTTAAAACAATTTCAAGTTGTATGATATAAAATGAAATATAATATAATACTTTACATCTATTTCTAATTGAAGATGTTAACCCTTTGTATCCGTTCTGTAAAGATTAACCCTTTACTGTCTGTTCCAGGTTTTAACTGCGAAACTCTTATAGACCCCACCTTCGAAGAGGTTTCCCAGCAACAAAACACAGCCGCCATTGTTGTTCCCATTGTCATCATCCTCGTCTTGCTCCTGATTGGTGGAATATATGCAGCATATTATATCAAAACGAGGCGGAGATATACTGGAAAATATGGACCATCCATTGCAGAGGCCAATACTGTATACTCTATCCCATTGGATAAGATTTTGGCGAGTGATACCGATGAAAAACTCATTTGAGCATTAGTTTGATTATATTATACTGTGTGGTTCCCCGTGTGGTCCCTTTATTCATTCACTTCCTGCCTAACTTAATTTTAAAAAGAACCTGGTCTCTGATAAGTGTTAAAGGAGCATTCCAAAAGTTTAGTGTTGGATTGCTTACTAAACTAACTTTCTTAGTCCAGGATCCCATTCCCAATTTTAGCTAGAAATATGTAGCATTTGCCCCGGGGGAATTGGAAATTGCTATCTCTGTTTATTTCATGTATTGACACCAAAATTTGAAGCTATTCCAAAGAGGTATTGTTTTTTTATGGAGAATGGGAAGTGAATTATGAGATTTGGAGTTAAGCTTACCCAAATTTAATTTGCTAGACTTTTGTATGCGTGGCAATTGAAAATAAGCTTGTGAATCTCATACAGATTACAGAATGTATATATTTTTTCATACAAGGATTTTATATTCATGTATATTTACATATCATGTACCTATGTGTTAACTCATGTACACATGGGTCCTTATTAAGACTACATTATTCTAAAAGCTCACATCGCATGAGTATAATGTGATATTACGGGATCAATTTTCTCAATAACATAGTTTTCTAAAATAAATATGAGATTAGATTTATCATGATCCATAGTGGAAATGCAAACTTCCTATTGTATAAATCAGTTATATAATTTTGGGCTATTTTTAGGCCTCTAGATTAGAAGGTGTTAAAGCTATCTCTTTGTGGTATTTACACTGTATGAAATGTATTTTTAATTGAGATTTGTAAAAGGTCAACATTCTATATCTAGTGCCAATATATAATTGTTAAAATACCCCAAGACAGTAAGGCTAGAATTTACAAAATAACACATCCTTTCCTCATTTATAATGAGCATGGGCAGTAAATTGAAGGATTTTCAGAGTAATAACCCATGGGCACTAAAAGAAGTGGGTCTCATAAGAATCTCTGGTATATCCATTCTGAATTGAGAGCCAGTTTAATTTTGTACTTCTTGAACATGTATATACAAAGTATATTTTATACAGATTAATGAATTGATGTGATAATTTAAAATATAATACAAAGAGTTTTTTAAAGAAATAATCATTCCCTTTATATTTATAAGGCAGGGTCGTAGTCTGACTACCCATTATATTGAAAGTTTAAACCGTCCATTAAAATACATGTAGATTTTCATATATATATTTACATCGCTACAGGATCTATATGTGTTATTTACATGTACACACATTGAATCTCGAAACAAAATAAGTAGTTTTATCCTATGCCAAGTAGAGTTTTAGGGAGATAAGTTGGTAAGATATATCCCGTATCCTGATTTTGAGGTTTCCATATCCTGAACCTCCATATCTCCCGCCATATCTCCCGCTCCAGCGCATATCTTCGTGAGATATGCACATCTACCTTCGGTCCCTACGGTCCCTCAGGTAGATATGCATATCTCCCTCTGGATAAACCCCATATCCAAAACCTCCCAGTATATAACCCTTATATATATTTAATTGGAGAGTAATGTGCTATGGGATACGATTTTCTGACCGCAACCGAAAATGCCTCTAACCCTAACCTTTTGATTGGTTCCCTGAGGCTTCGGCCATCTTTGTGATATAAAAAGCTTCGGTTGCGGTTTATCGATGCTCTCCCTATGTGTTATATTTGAATTTGAAATTAGATGACTCGAACATGACTGTATTCACGCCTTCTATATAAACTGTGAACAAAGTCAATAGTTCACCTGGTATCTATTCGTTAATACGGTACCTGGTCTGTACTAAATGTTTAGTTCAGTTCAAATACTGAACCTGAACTAGAAAATAAAGTGACAATTTTGCAAAATTTTGGTGAGTTTTCATGTTTGAATCTTAAAATAGACCTCAGATCAGGTAGTAATGAATGCCTTTGGTCGTTCAGGGTACAGAAAATGTTTGTGCCTAGCCCTGCGGTATTTATTCATCGATATATCATACCTGCTCTTCGGTCTATACTTCTTAAATAGGACATTGCACAAAAGTGAAACAAGTATGTATTAATGCCAATGTAGTCATCAATCTTTGTTTGAGAATATGAGGTATTTGTTGTAATATTGTATTTATATTGTAAATATCTTATTGGCTTTTGTAGTAAGTAAGTTCAGGTGAATGTATTTTTGTATCCATCCATATATTGTTCATTTTTTGAACCCATGTAGCATGTCACATTATTCATTGTCAAATTGTAGATCCATCCATAAAAAATAATAAACATTTATATAAAAATGAATAAACTTGGTGTTTTTGTTTGATGGGATAGATTCTATTAAATCATACATGTACTTATTCCTTATATTCATAGTTACATCTCACATTTTCAATAATGAAGTAACCAAACGGTGAAATTCCGACAGCCAAGAAATGTGCATACTCAGTCCTCCTTGTTTTTCATGACAGCCAGCCACTGACAACAATAACAAATCCATTCATGCCTACAATTTCTTCATTCATTGCATCTCTTGTTCAATTGTTATGTTGCTTGAGCTATACTAAATAAATCGCAAGCAAAATGTAATGATGAGGTTGTACAGACAAACATTTAACATTTATTGATCTCCCTTGTATATATGACATATATCAAATGAGTTGGTTGTGTTATAAGTGACATGACCGATTGTGCTAGAAGTGACATGTCTGATTGTGGTAGAACTAGAAAGTCTAGAAGTGACATCTTTGATTGTGCTAGAAGTGATACTTTTGGTTGCAGAAGTGACATGTCTGATTCACATGCTATCTATTGCAAGACTTACGCCTGCCACAACCGTCACCATGTTAATCAGTGTTTTTTAAGTAGCGCAAGGATCCTGCCATGACCGTGGTAGTGTTATCATGTAAGCCTGGTATAACCGTGACAGGCTGGTATAACCGTGACAATGCTGTATTCTAATGCAAGGCCTGTCATGACCCTGGAAGTGTTATCGTGGAAGCCTGGCGCGACCGTAGCCTTTATTGTGGTTTATAAGCGAATGTGAATATTAATGTATAGTAGTAATTTTGATTTTGACATGATTAAGGTAGTGAAACACCATGATCATAGTATTAAACTGTTTAATAGTAATGAGGATCACTTAAAATTGTTAAGGATATTCCTGGCATTAATGTCATACATATTTACTAGTCATTGCAATACATTATAACGGTCATAGTAGAACTAAGCCTAAATCTCTACATTACCACCCTCATACCTGGCCTTGCAATACTATATTACATTGTCACGGTCATACCAGGCTTTGCGATCCCATAATACATTGTCATGGTCATGCCAGGTTTTCAAATACACATTGTCACGGTCAATTATAGCAATCATAAATTTCTACATCACCACTCTCATACCCGAACTTGGAATACTATATCACATTGCCATGGCGGTCATACCAAGCCTTGCAATACTATATTACATTGCCATGGTCATGCCAGGCTTTGCAATACACATTGTCACGGTTATAGCAGTCCTAATCGTAAATTTCTACATTACCACTCTCATACCTGAACTTGCAATACTATATTACACTGTCACGGTCATGCCAGGCTTTGCAGTACTATATTACATTGTTACGGTCATACCAAGCCTTGCAGAACTATATTACATTGTCACGGTCATGGCAGGCATTGCAATATAATACAGCATTGTCTCGGTTATACCAGGCTTTCACGATAACATTACCACGGTCATGGCAGGATCCTTGCGCTACTTAAAAAACACTGAATAACATGGTGGCGGTTACGCCAGGCGTTAGTCTTGCAACAGATAGGGTCTCGTCTGATTGTGCTAGAAGTGATATGTTTGGTTACAGAAGTGACATCTTTGATTGTGCTAGAAGTGATATTTTTGGTTGCTGAAGTGACATGTCTGGTAGTGCTAGAAGTGTGATGTGTCTGATTGTGTTAGAAGTGTGATGTGTCTGATTGTGTTAGAAGTGTGATGTGTCTGATTGTGTTAGAAGTGTGATGTGTCTGATTGTGTTAGAAGTAGTATACTTGTGTTAGAAGTGACATGTCTAGTCATGCGAGAAGTGACATGTCTATCAGTGCTAAAGTGACATGGCTAATTGTGCTAGAAGTGACATGTCTGTTTGTGCTAAAAGTGACATGGTTGTGCTGGAAGTGACATGTCTGGTTGTCCTAGAAATGACATGTCTGGTTGTGCTTGAAGTGACATGTCTGGTTGTGCTACAAGTGACATGTCTTGTCCGAAAAGTGAGATGCCTGTCTGTGCTAAAAGTGATATTAGTTTACTCACTTCGAGAGCCATGTTAGATTTTGAAACTAAATCCAAATAGCTTTCGCAGGAAGTAAATATTAGTCTGATGAGGCTAGAAGTGATGTGTTTGTGCTAGAAATAACATGTTTTGTTGTGCTAGAACCGTAACATGTTTTTGCTAGAAGTGACATGTTTGGTTGTGCTGGAATTGACATGATTGATTGTGGTAAATCTAGAAGTGAAATGTCTTATACTTCAGAGTGCGGCTATTCGACATTAGACCCCACATTCAATAGAGTTTTAGTCGTTCTTAAATTTGGTGCATTTCATGTGTTTGACCAATCAATGAAGACGTTTCATCCCGCTTCGGGAAATTTATTAAAAAACATGTGTGCAACTTTTTTATCGAGTTTTACATTTCATCTGAGATTCCTTAAGTAACTAAGTAAGGTAAGTACTCAGACATACTCAAACATGTTTACATCTTCAAACATGCTACTTTGAAGTTCTTATGTTAATGGAAGAACGCAGTGTTTTCATTTGTTCCAAGCTTATTTCTCGTGCTAGACTACTCCTTGTTAAAGGCCAGGTTTCCCTGCCATATGGTTGAGTTCAGCCCACCTCATTAATAGCCATTAATGACTAGCCAATCATGTGAAAGATCATCTTACCATATATGGCAAGAATTATGCCAGAATGTTTACAAACACAAGCACATGTATCTACAGATCTAGAGGATTAAATCTTTCACTGTCTTATTGGGGGAAACATCAAAATTAGATCTAGTGTGTGAAATATTTTTGGGGGAATTTAAAATAATGTAGAGAATTAAATTTTGAAATGCAGATATGGTCCCTTCTATGCAGACTAGAAATCTTTGAAATTGACATCCCTGACATATCTCAAGGGACACATTATTCTTGGATCTGATGAGATCCACAGAGTGATTCCAAATTTTAATCTAGGACTTCACTTGATCTTGTCAATTACTATTCATCATGTGAACATTGAACTTTGAAAATGAGATTTTGATTGTAACTCACTTCAATGTTGCAGCATGATTTCCTTTGGTCTGTTAGAGATAGGCCAAATATAACTTAGGGAAGAACCATTTAGCTATCATTCCTCACTATCTGATGTATATCCTATTTATTTATGTATATCTTACTAGATAGTAATCAAATGCCCCCTCCCCTCACGCTCTGGGTGTCAAGAGAAATCAAGTACTATTTGAATAAATTTCCTCAGTTTCACTGACCTATACATGTATATGAAGCTAACTTGAACAGAACCAAAGTCTAACCAGAAAAAGAAATGGCAAGTAAACTTGGAAGTGAACAAAATCATTTAGGAAAACAATAGTGTACAGACAATCACAAAAAAAATTACACTGGTGCACTTGTCACTTTTATGAAGAAAGTTACAAAATGTTCTGAATCACGCGGTAGTATCTCTTCGGGACGTATCGAAACCACTCCGTCCCGAAAAACCGTTAATTTGAATTTAAAACCTACCCCAGTGTTTGAAAATCAAGGATTGTGAGTCTCACACTTCACCGTTTTTCTTCAAACTTGTTCCGTACAAAGCTTCACAGAAATACCTTTCAGTCGATACATTGTTTTCGTGTACAAAGTACCTCGTTTTAGCGGCGTTTTGGTCCCCAGCTGTGAGATAAAGCAAATTTTCATAACTTTCAACTGTAACTCAAGTTATCTCGCCAGTCTTTTACCCATTCTCGCCCATAATGTCAGAATGGACTCCCATTACAACCTTCCATCGCTACGTCTTGATTTTTGGGCATCAAACGCAGCAGTTTCTAAATCATCCACACATCTCTTCAAATTTGACCGATACGTCCCGTCATCTTCCACTACGCCCCGCCGAGTCTATCACTATACACGTAGAGTTGCATTCTAAAACAATTTGTCCATCCATGTGTCCGCTTGTAGGTTGCCATTGTCGATTCTAAATACCAATCGGATTGTGTTTTAAGATTTACCCATTCTTGTCCATTTTCAATATACCTATAATAGGGTGGTCCAAAATCTCCCTAAAATTTAGATTTCCCGATATTGCAATATAGAGATTTTAATTACTGAACAATTGAAAATATTTTTAAGAAACGTTTAAAGTGCCCTATCCTTGAAAAAATGTTAAAATGCGAAAGGATGGGTGATGTCAATTATATTATTTTCAGCATAACGTTAGAAACATGTACATCATTTTATAATATGGTACACGTTTCATAATGTAATCCAATGGAATCATACAGAAGAAAGGTTGACACACAACAGTTAAAATCTTTATATTACATTATCACACCAAGTCAGTAGATGTTGTTTATATACCAATTAGTGTTGTATGATGATGCATTCTTTATATGAATCTAGAAACGTTTTTGTGCCAATATTGCTCAATTTTGATAACATCTCCGTTATTTTGAAATTAAGCGTGGCAAAGTTTCCCGATGGATTTAGCTAAAAAAAAAAGTGGTGCCTGTAGGGTTATTGAAAATCATACATGATGAAGAAAAAATACATATTCCTGAAATACAACAGTTTAATTTTAAGTTATACTTAAGACTGGTGTCAAGAATCGACCAAGGCAAACCTATGTAAAATTACACAACGATGAACAAAATGTTTTAGAATACAACTCCACGTTTGTAGTCATAGACTCGGCGGGGCGTAGTGGAAGGTGACGGGACGTATTAGTCAAATTTTAAGAGATGTGTGGATGATTTAGAAACTGCTGCGTTTGATGCCCAAAAATCAAAACGTAGCGATGGAAGGTTGTAATGGGAGTCCATTCTGAAATTATGAGCGAGAATGGGTAAAAGACTGGCGAGATAACTTGACTTACAGTTGAAAGTTATGAAAATTTGATTTATCTCGAAGCTGGGGACCAAAACGCCGCTAAAACGAGGTACTTTGTACACGAAAACAATGTATCGACTGAAAGGTATTTCTGTGAAGCTTTGTACGGAACAAGTTTGAAGAAAAACGGTGAAGTGTGAGACTCACAATCCTTGATTTTCAAACACTGGGGTAGGTTTTAAATTCAAATTAACGGTTTTTCGGGACGGAGTGGTTTCGATACGTCCCGAAGAGATACTACCGCGTGTGAATATGAAAAGAGAATTTAGTTTGGAAATGATTATGCAATATAAGATGACAGATCTTACCAGAATATACTGGAATGAAAATGTAGAAAGGGATTTACTAGTGTTCAGACTAAAGATGTTGCTCCTCGCAGGAAATTACAAAAAATGATTTGAAACTTAAAATATTTAATTACATGGAATTAATCTGAGATAAAGTACTAAATGTGATTGTTTCATAATAATTTTACAATCAGTTCACCCAAATTCGTCTATGACATTGAATTTATAGCTAAAATTTAAACAAGTGAAAGTAAACACCTGTACCAACCTGTATACAGCTATACTTACTGGGGATATATAATGTGAAAAATACAAATCGAGTGGTAAGTTTTTCTTTGATTTTTAAAAATTTTTATGTTTTGCAAATACCTGATTTCTTAGAATGATACAATGTGCTTGTGTTTGCAAATATCACATGACAAATTTATAGCATTCTCATTGGTCAGATATTTAAATCCCTGTCTTATAACTCCTCCCCTAAAACCAGTACACTTTCAAATAAAAATACTTAATTACACAAAATCTAGTGATATTTTGAATCAAATAAAGCAAGATATTAAATTGACATATGTTCATGCAAAAGTGTGACAAAAAGTAGCAAGAACTGTTCAGTAGTTTTCAAGTTATGAGGAAAAAACAAAGTAAATCCTCTGGAGCTCTGATTTTCAAAATTATCAAATCATCATATGATGTAATTCCTAACTGCCACTGGCCTTTTATACCCGACCCTGGCCTTTAACTGTTAAAAATAATAAGAACATAACTTCGACATATGAGTGTTACCTGATGAATGGGACCCTCACGTGCCTTCTAAATGGTAGTAAACGAACGCTAGTGTAACTACATCAGCTTATCTTTCCGTCCGATCAACAATAAGTACAGTAATACAAGAAATGTAAACGAAGTGAAAATATTTCCAAAACTTTTCCGAAAGGCATGTCATTCCGGAAGTTATGATACGTTATGGTGTCACTACGGTAAATCATTGAAAAATATTGAAAAAATCACAAAATTCAAGTTCTGGTGTGAGGTTCCATATCCATCCGCCAAAAGGTATGACCCGATATAGTCCATTTAAAAATTTGTGGTTTTGTTCTAAATAACGCCATAGTTGGCTTCTAGGGTACCTAGTATGCCTCTATTTGGTATCAAAATAAAGAGGAGGAGTTCAACTTTCATTTGAATTACGAAAATAGCGATGCAGGTCAAAATAGTTCCGGCGTGAGCATGTTTACTACGCGTTTGCCCATCATTTCAGAATTGAGGAAATGGTAGCAAACGCGAGTTACAATAAATGGACGCTGATATCTCAAAAAGAATTAGCCCATACAATGACTATATTTTTGCAATCCCCTATACATAACCTTCATCTTGACACTATATTTAACATAGGGTATGTGTCTCGATTTTTAAATATCGCTACGCCAACATAGGGACTCATTTTTAGGTAAAATCCCTGCTTCCCCGATGAAAATTAACGAATAAAGTAGTTCCTGTTTAGGGGACCATATTCTTGAGATTTTTTTGCTAAAAATGGCACATTTAGAAAGTACTTGGCCTCAGCTTTACATACATACCTCAAATGGCCACAGTACATACACTTACACCTACTATACACACCACTGAAGTTGGCATTGCTTCGTTTTTAAAGTATTAATAAAAAACACTTCCTACCCGGAAGTGATATTTACCGTAATAACACCTTATATTACCGAACATGGGTTTAAATGGAATGTTTTTTTGATGGCATTATTACACCAAAAGTAGGTCAAAATGGCCTTTTCACGGGTTGGCATAAAGTTTTGATGAAATTTAAAGACACAGTTCCTCCTTCGCGTACATTATCTCATGGAAATGGGCATACCAGCGCAAAGATCTTTGTTTCGTGGTGAAGAAAAGCTATCAAACATTGTCTGAAGAGCAGATTTATCTCCGTAATTCAACTTTTAGCATGGCGACCTTGACCTTGAAAAAAAAATATAGCCATTTGGGCGATAATAGGTGATTCAAAAGTAAAAAATAGTGCTTTTTCGAAGTTTTACTTTTACCATGTCAACTTGATTTTTCAAGGACATCCGCCTGATAGTTGTTGGGCCAAGTTTGATGGAAAATGGGCATTGTTTGATATGCTGGCAGTGAGGTTGATTGTGGCAAGTAGTAAAACGGCAAACAATGGTGGAGTTATACCCGATGCTTGGATGTTCGCATTTTATTTAGCTCTCGTAAAATGAACGAACAAAAGTTCCATTTTCACGCATGTTCGGTAATATAACGTATCATAACTTCCGGAAATGACATGCCTTTCGGAAAAGTTTTGGAAATATTTTCACTTCGTTTACATTTCTTGTATAACTGTATTTATTGTTGATCGGACGGAAAGATAAGCTGATGTAGTTACACTAGCGTTCGTTTACTACCATTTAGAAGGCACGTGAGGGTCCCATTCATCAGGTAACACTCATATTTCGAAGTTATGTTCTTATTATTTTTAACAGTTAACAAGGAGTATCTCTATAAATTTTTTCCACACCACGACAAGGTTCTGACATGGCAGTGATTCCAAGGGAGGGAGTGGGACTTGTATGGAAGATCGTGTAGTAAGCCTTCTTATGACAAAGTATTTTCTTATTACATTAGAGGCTTATAAGACATGATGACTCAGCTCTAGTATGTATCCAACAGACTGACTAGAAGCCCACTAGAAGTCAGTCTGTTATGATGTACTACTTTCCTGTGGAAATTGCAGTGAAATTTTTTGCACAAAATTATCAATTAGAGGAACCATTTCTTCAATGAAATAAGCATTACAAAATTTCAATTAAATAGTAAGGTACAATTAAATGCCATAAAAAGTAACACAGCATATTGTCAAGTAGAAATAAGGCTAGTTGAAGTAAAAATGTGCAAATTAATTTTACCCAATCAGCCATTTTGAATAGCACTTCCTATGTAAACAAATATTAAAAATTACCAAATTTTAACATAGGTGCCTTATAGTCTGAATATAATTCAGACTAAATAGGATATACAGTGCTGATATATAATAATTAAGGGTGCGTTTTCAAACTAAACAGAGTGCTCCTATCAAAATGAATTTGCCTACATACCCCTGAGACTCTTATCTGATAGATAGAATGCACAAATAAAACAAAAGTTTTGCTATTATAGGTAAAAAGTTCTCTTGAAATTTCGAAGTGATTTTACCTGTTAATTCTGTCCATGGTCCGCCATTTTTGCGGAAGTTACACTGAAACGCAAACTCCATGAAACGAAACGAAATCACTAGAAAAAACATGGCACACATTGTGCGCATGTGCAGCAAAGTTTAGACCAATCAGATTATTTGATTATTTTGCGCACATGAATTATTTGCTTCTGAGCACTTACAAGCTTACCACAATAAACAAACCTGGCAGAGACTACCCTTAGCCTACTTCATTTTGGCGAAATTTCAGCTCAAACTCGTGACAAATGCATTATGCATACGCTGTTGTGAAGCCTTGGAGACACTCATTTTAGTAAATATGATTTATGGGGTATACTTTTCTGCAGTTTGTGGGAGTTTGGGACATCAAATGTTAAAATTCAAGAAAATATGCCAATTAAACGACTGATCAATTAATATATACCAGCACTGTAGTCTAGACTCAGCTCTGCTAAACTCTGCCCCATCTTTCATACCAGCCCCTGTGTTCCAATCTGAAAATAACGTCCACTGATGACTGAATCTGACTACCCCCATAAATGTGGGCCAGATTCTACAGGCAAATTATATTTGAAAAGGGGTTACGTTTTGCAAAAAAATAAGTGAGGGTACATGATTGCATGTCCGAAGGCAGCGCATCTCCAGGGCCGTAGGGAGAGGGGGTTCGGAGAGTTCGTGCCCCCCCCCCTAAATCTTGACTAAAAAAATTCAAACCCCCCTTTTCCGGCAATTATGCAAACCCCCCAAATTTTTGAGACCCTATCTGTTGCAAAACTTAGGCCTGGCACAACCATCACCATGTTATTAAGTGTTTTTAAGTTTCGCAAGGATCCTGCCATGACTGTGTTAGTGTTATCGTGAAGGCCTGGTATAACCGTGACAATGCTATATTATATTGCAAGGCCTGTCATGACTGTGGTAATGTTTAAGCCTGATATGACCGTGACAATGGTTGCAAGCCTGTCATAACCGTGGTAATGTCATAGCCTGATATCACCGTGACAATGATTGCAAGGCCTGTCATTAACGTGGTAATGTTAAAGCCTGATAATGTTAAAGCCTGACATGACCGTGACAATGGTTGCAAGGCCTGTCACGACCGTGGTAATGTTAAAGCCTAATGTTAAAGCACGATATGACATAGTTCAACGTCGTTAAACTCAATAACGGCGTTATTTATTTTTAAGAATTTTCTTGGGGCCGTTATTGAGTTTAACCTCTTTACTATTCTTTCCATTGATGCAAGTTTTGGATCCACCGAAACCATTTTTCCGCGATAACATGCAACTGATACTTGACAACAATATAAAAACACATAACATGAAGCGATTCAACACAATATTATTGTATTAAATGGTCATTTATACGAGTAAAATGAGGTTAAACTTACCAATCTCTAAAATGACATTTCCACATGTCCGTCATTGTGTCTGTTCGTCCCGGGTTAAAATTTAAACTATTGAAACGAAATTGTTGTCAAATAGATTGATAATTATCACGCGTTTACTCGGGATAAAATAACCATTTTTGAGGATAGCAGGTATCTTTGATTGATTTATATTGCGCTTGTATACACATAAAATAGTTATTAATTGCAAACCTACTGTTCGTTGATGCAGTGTCGCAATGACGGTTAATTCCTGATACGATTTGCAATTTCGATGTTACCGGAGCTGACCGATATTTTCGTAAAATTCCAAACATGTCATTATTTTCGTAATTATGCATCAATATGGTCTAAAGGGGATACGGGATGGTGTGTTTGTATTTATAAGGTATGTATGCATGCTTGAATCACATTCTTTATGTAATATTACCATGTTTTCGGAGTTTAATTAGTTCCGCTTGTCGGAACCTGCGGAACGATTAAATTAACGCATCAAGGGCAAAATGATCATGGAGGTTAGACCTAGCCGGGGCCATAAGACATGTCAGATAAGAAACGAGGCCCAGGCTAGGTCTAATGTTCTTGGACTAGATATGACAGTGGTTATATTAAATGACCTTTAGTAGCATGAGAATACCATAATGAAAAATGTCATCGTTTAGCTACCTTATATATGTAAATCTAGACTACTACTACTTTAACTCATAATTCATTTCCACAAACTATAATTCTAATCTCATTCAAGGCTCTTATCAGACTTTAATATTACCACGATCATGACAGGCCTTACACCATTGCCACAGTCTTATAATGCTTTAACATTACCAGGTCTTGCAATATAATATAGCATTGTCACGGTTATACCAGGCTTTCACGATAACACTACCACGGTCATGGCAGGACGCTTGCGAAACTTAAAAACACTTAATAACATCATGGTGATGGCTACGCGAGGCATAAGTCTTGCAATAGATAGCATGTGAAATTTTTCGTCAATTTTTTGCAGTATTTCAGTAATTTGTTGTTTTTGATTACCTAAGATATTCGAGGTACATGCAAAGATGGAAATAAGTGAGATGTATAACTTTATCTTGAGTAAAATGACTGAGAATACAGAAAAACGAACTATTTTGAGATGGGCATTAAAATTAGTTTAGCACTACCGAGTAGAAACTGTCTGATTGTGATATAACATCAAAATGGTCCCTAATTTATGAAATAAATCAGAAAATTTTGAACATGTGAAAGTTCAGTGATGCAATGCATGTGATGCACCAACGTTCTGAACGCTAAAAAACTCTATTTTTGGTCAGGAGTCACTTTCAAAATTGTTTTCTTTCATTGGAGCTCACATTTTTGCTATGTTTTCACTCCTATTTATTTGAAGAGCACATTGTGCAAGTAATGGAAAATACAAGAGAATTGAACTTTACAACCTATGCTTGAATTAAATTTGGCTACGGTAAAACTTCAAATTCCAGCAAACCGGCAAAAATGAATAAAATGGGCCAAAATTAAGCTTTGGCAAAATTTAAGCAAAGGCAAAGCTAAGCAAATCTGGCAAATTTTAATCAAATCAGTCAGAGATTAAACAAATTTGATATTTCACCAAATTCACCGTAAGGTGGCTCCAAAAAAGATTTTTGCTGAAAATATTCGAACCCCTCCTGGCAATCCTGGCTACGCCACTGATCTCGGGGGTCCAGTGGCATGGTCCCCTGGAAAAGGAAAAATTTTTGTTTTTGACAACGCACCCCCCCCCCCTTTTGAAGCCCATTAGTGTGGTACAGTATGTCATTTGTTACTCATTAAAATCATATCACATGGACTAACTAAGAACACAAGCAAGAAAGTTAAATTTTGTAACCACAACCTTCAAAGGAACTTGACGCACCAGGTATATGGAGGTTTATAGAGTCAATGTAAAGCAAAATGTCCATCATCAACTTGAATACATGTACATGCAAAATCAGAGAAAATTGGTGGCATATCTCCCAAAGAAAAATTAATTATTTTATACATTTTGCCACGCTGGGGGCTATTTAGGCCAAATAAACTCCAGGCTTAATACTTTTTTGTTTTACACATTTTCTGTAATCTCAATGCTGATGCATGGCAAAGGAAAATTAAACCAGTTTAATAGTATTTGACTACTAGCTATACTAATACATTGAGTTTCTATTTTTAATTGATTAATTGGTAAAAATGTCCTATAAATTAATATTATACTGTACACGTTATTAATGATTATGGTTTAAAACTTCAGGTTCAACATTGTCTCCTCCATGATGAAGTTTGTCGTAAGGAGCTCCAGGAATGGCGTCAGGTCAGGTGTGATTACAGAGTTACCTGGGAGGCCAGATGTTACTATAGAAACACCAATGTGCATGGTGTACAGCCGCACAGGTACAGTAAAAATCACATCTTTCTGTAAATATATATCACTGGCAAACCTTCACTTAAGATTTAAGATTTTACCATGATTGAAATTCCTTACTTTAATTATTTTAGCTCAGTGGTCGAGCACTTCCGGAAAGTGAGAGGTCGTGGGTTCAATCCCCACTAGAGTGGACTGACTTTTTCACACCAACCCTTGGAAAAAAACTGCATTTTGTGTTTTCATTAAAACCTATTTAAATTTTCTGTTTGCTTTGAATGGATTGAGAACCTTTTATTTTATTTAAAGCTAAATTTCAATTTTCTTTTCAGGTAGTGTTCCTCACCTGACACCAGATGTCGCCTCCAAAATAGATGGCACCCCTCTCATCACACACATTCCTATTAATTCCCTGTGAGTTCATTACTACTAACTTATGTGTCTGATTGGCACACAGAAACTAGATACTATACTAGATACTATAGATACTGGATACTATACTATACTAGATACTATAGTAAGAATTTAATGGGGAAAAACTTACGGAAAATATTTTCATATATCACGTTTCTTGTGAAAGAAAATGAAAAGGCAACGAAAATGCAAAAAAAAGTTTAGTTGTGGATTATTCTGCTCTTTCTGAGACACATTAAGTTTTGACAATTTTGAATATTTGGTGACAGACCTTTTGAATGTCATAATGACCCTTTTGAATGTCACACAATGAGCCTTTTAAATGTCACAATGACCCTTTTTAATGTCACACTAACCTTACATGACTTCAAGAGCTTTGTATTTGTGCTCTGGAGTGGCCAGTGTATTTTAACTATTTTCTTTCTGTAAGTGTATGTATGATACTTTCAGGATTGGCCATCTATCTGCTGTAAAGCAATGTAAGAAAGGAATCAGGGATTTTGCTGTTCTGGGGGTAAGCATGTGTTGGAGAATAAAATAGAATCTCCCTACATCTGATCATCCCACCCAGCATGTCGCCCAGCCCACCCCAGCAGGCTCGTAGCCCCCTGGCCAAAATTCTTTCAAAATCATTCAGTTTTCACCATTTTGAGCTCAAGATTGTCAAATGTGACCCCTTGGGACATTTTCTTGGGAAATGCTGACTATGTAAAATAATTTGTTGAATGTGAGTGGAGGAGAAATGAGGTGCAGGAGACCTAACAATAACTAACTAGGATGAAAATGATGATTTAAGTGCACATTGAACATGAATACTATATTACTATTTACTATGTAATAAATTTTATAGATTATAAGGTGAAAAAAATTGAATTCAGTAAACCAATATACACATACAAGTCACATATTTATTTTAGAGGAAATTCTAAATTAATTAGGTCCACACATGATCAATGTACACTCCCCCCATGAATTTTGCAATCAGAAGTTTTCATATATTTGTATTTCTTTAGGACACATTGCTCTATGGCTCTCTCCAAGACCCTGCAGAACCTGTATTCCCAGGGAAGAATGACAAACATTCCGTTGCAGTCTGGAGTAAAGGAGGAAGGATAAGTGTAAGCATTTTGTATTTGGTTAAGTAGAACATGCTGAAGGGAATTTGTCAGCATTGTTGCATGTGATTGGTCAACATGGCTGCATTGTTGCATGTGATTGGTCAACATGGCTGCATTGTTGCCTGTGATTGGTTAACATGGTGGCATTGTTGCCTGTGATTGATCAACATGGCTGCATTGTTGCCTGTGATTGGTCAACATGGTGGCATTGTTGCCTGTGATTGGTCAACATGGTGGCATTGTTGCCTGTCATTAGTCAACATGGCTGGATTGTTATCTGTGATTGGTCAACATGGCTGCATTGCTGCCTGTGATTGGTCAACATGGTGGCATTGTTGCCTGTCATTAGTCAACATGGCTGCATTGCTGCCTGTGATTGGTCAACGTGGCTGGATTGTTGCCTGTGGTTGATCAACATGGTTTCATTGTTGCCTGTGATTGATCAACATGGCTGCATTGTTGCCTGTGATTGGTCAACATGGTTTCATTGTTGCCTGTGATTGATCAACATGGCTGCATTGTTGCCTGTGATTGGTCAACATGGCTGGATTGTTATCTGTGATTGGTCAACATGGCTGCATTGCTGCCTGTGATTGGTCAACATGGTGGCATTGTTGCCTGTCATTAGTCAACATGGCTGCATTGCTGCCTGTGATTGGTCAACATGGCTGGATTGTTATCTGTGATTGGTTAACATGGTGGCATTGTTGCCTGTGATTGATCAACATGGCTGCATTGTTGCCTGTGATTGGTCAACATGGTGGCATTGTTGCCTGTCATTAGTCAACATGGCTGCATTGCTGCCTGTGATTGGTCAACATGGCTGGATTGTTATCTGTGATTGGTCAACATGGCTGGATTGTTATCTGTGATTGGTCAACATGTATATTTATGAATTATGGGTTTAAGCTGCTACTGGTGATCAGAGTCAGTTTGTTGACAAATTATATGCATGCTTGGTGGTAAATACAAATTCAATGAAGTTGACAACAATTTCAACATTGACTACGATTTGTCTTGACATGAGCAATAATACCTAAATGAAAGCACTGAACCCTTTAGCGGGTGTATTTTACTCAACTTTTTTACTCAAGTTTTGTCATGGCATGATCAAAACAAATTGTCCTCATCAGAGTGAGTTTGAAAAGTTCACTTTTGAACATTTCCTAGTTAAAGAGAGAATCAGATATAGCAAGCAGGCTAAACAAAAAATTGTTTCAATTTTAGAATATTTTTGGCTCATGTCATTCCTTGTCATGCCTATTTTCTAAAAATCACAAAAGTGCATACTTTATTCCAGGAAAACTAAAGATTTTTTCAATAATGAATTATATTTCTATAAGAATGATTATTTCTTATTATTTGAGAGATTTTAAACATTTTCACTCATTTTTCCACTTTGAATCATTAATAACTTCACCAATTTAAAACATATTGTGAATCTTTTGGGAGATATTGTATTTGATATTGTAAGGAATAGATTGGTAGGTCAATTATACATGTTGCTTGTAATTTTGTCACCCCCTATAGATCAGATTCTGCCTTTAAGTATTCATTGTTTTGATAGAAGTCAAATACAGTAACAGATAGATAATTTAGTTGAGAGAACAATGTTCCCTCTCACCGATATATGCTGATACTTAGTGATATGTGTTAAATGAATGTTTAGAAAAACTTCACTTAGATTCTCATTTTTCAGGTGAATCCTGAGATGTATGTTGAAGTCCAAGAGGCATTTAAATTTGATTGGTTCGCTGCGCTGAGTGATGGAGACACTGACAAACAGACATCAAGAAAGCGTGTTCGTAAATCAGTTGATAGAACTTTACAATGGCTGGATGAATCCATTGAAAAACTTCAAAAATCAGATGCAAGTCTTTGTAACCTAACTATTATTAAATGTAAAAGTTATAAAGCGATTTTGTTCATATTTGATATATGAAAATTCATAAGCATGGCACTCTGTCTAATGGCACTTTGGCTAGTAGGTGGCAGGGTGGCCATTTTGAAAAATGGCCGCCATTTACATGCACATGTGATTTTGTTGAAATTTTATATGTGCCTTCTAAGAAGCTTATTACAATTTCTTATGACAATTTGGCTAGTGAGTGACCATTTTACGATTTTTGCTATAACTGAAAAACTAGTGGAAGGATTTTGTAAAAATGGCAGCCATGGATGTTCGATGCAATTTGCTATGCTTTTGCGTTGCTGTTATCTAGTTTTACTTGTCATTTCATGTTTATTTGTGGTAACCAATTGAAATTCATCACGTCTCCAGGTGCAAAGCAGTGAACGCCTGTTTGGTGTCCTTGAAGGGGGGTTTGAGATTGACCAGAGAGTCCATTCTGCAAAAGAGACAGCTCTGAGGCCTGTTGCAGGTAACTTACACAGTAGAGTTTAGATACGTTAATATGTCATATTTGAGGGGTTGAATTAGTCCACTTCTGGTATAGTAAACTATTATCAATTATAATCTCCAACTTTTTTTGTGGACTAAGTTTTGTGATTGGCATTTTTTGTGGAAGGTTATTGGTGTTTGGTGGTGACATTTTGCTTGTTAGTATGCAGGATTCTTTAGCATTACAACTGTTTAACTTTTTCTTTTGTTTTCATTGCAGTAACTTAAATATATTATTCCAGATTTTTGATTTTTTTGTTTTAGGATTTTGCATAGAGGGGTTCAACACTGCAGGACCAGAGACAGAGAAAGTGGACTTCACAGAGATAAAATCCATCTTACATGAGACCCTAGTACGATATTTTACAATAGCCTTTATGGTATTGCGAGAGCCAATCACATAAAAATAATGATAAATGGTTGAGCCAATCACATTTGAGTATAAAATAGATTAAGGGAGGAGAGAGAGGATGATACAAAATGAAAATATTGAATTATGGGAAAGCTTGCTTGAAGTTATTTTGAATGGCACTTCATATAAGAGTTGTCTCTTATTTCCAATTTTATTTATTTTCAGACGCATTTACCAAGTGAAAAACCAAGAATCATGCACCAAGTATGGCCACCACACCTTGTGTTAGAGGCCTTAGAAGCTGGGATAGATATATTTGACAGCTCATTTCCTTATATAGTCACAGAACGAAATGCTGCGTTGATATTTGATTTTAAATACAACGGAACAAGATCTCAGGTTATAAAGCCCAATGGTGGGAGTGATTCTGAGTCTGCCACTCGGGTGGGGTATGAAATTGATCTCAAGGATAAAAGGTACATTTTTCTTTACATATGTAAATTCTTGTAAACTTGCAGACACTAACAAGATAGATTTAAAGTGATTGCCCAATTAATATATCAAAGACTGTGGTAAGGGAATTCAGAGTAGATTGCAACTAGCTTACAGATATCTGCATTATCAATTTCCCTTCATTGGGAACAAAATCAAATTAAATAGACATTTTCCTCTACTCCCAAATATCCTGTTTTTACATCCATGTTTCCACCCCTTATACACTTTTCCCCTGTTGAAATGTTGAATGCTTTAAGATGTATGTTTTGCAGGTTTGAGAGTGACTTTAGTGGATTACTGGCAGGTTGTAGCTGTTACACATGTAGGAACTTTACAAGGTCATATATATGTCATCTTGTCAACACTAGGGAATTACTTGCATCTGTCCTGCTTATGATGTAAGTATATGTCTATGTGAGCATCTATTAGGTGAATGGCTCGCTAATTTAAACAATTCTCTTTTACAGACTTATCTCTAATTTAAACAATTCTCTTTTACGGACTTATCTCTAATATTAATGACAATCTAATATGAATGACAATCTAATGTGAACATCAATCAGGTGAATGTCTCTCTATGTGAACACTTTAATATGAACACCTCTCTAATATGAACACCTTTCTAAACTTGAGCACTCCTAGAAAATATATTTTTAATATGAACAAATCCCTAATATGAGTTCCTGTACTGCGAACACCTCTTATATATGTGTGATGTGAAATTTTGTAACAATCAAATGAACAATACAGATATTTTTTGTTATTTAAAAACAGATATTTTATGGAATGATGAATCTAAGATAATTCTTTAGTCTTAAATAGTGTAATAACCGCAGTGCCTTTCATCATTTTAATGTACCCACTGTTATCAATAGATATGTCACTTGTCCCAACAGCACACTGCCAGGGTGCTTCATTTGTCTTCTCAAATGTCTTCCTAATGTGGGCTGCAACTGCAAAGACGTTGTCAAACTTATATAGTGCTTCTCTGGTGCAATTCATAGCTTGTTCCCTCTTGCTGGTTGATATGTAAGGAGGACTATCATCGTCCAATTGGCTTGATTTATCCATTGGTGATATATTATTGTAATTGTGCATAGCCTCATCTGGAATACAATTTAAACAATTTGGGAGTTAACGCTGCTATATTTATGTAGTCTGTATGTTTAAACCAAAGGATGATGTACCAGAAGGCATACACAAGACTTATATTAGTACTTATTTCTACTGGTTAGTTATAAACCAGTTATCAGATTATTTTTTGATACTGTAGATTGGGTTAATTTAGTGCTAATTAATTTGGCAATATGGCGGCGATTTAATTTGGCGATTAATCTACAGTATACGTTCAAACAATTATCTTGTCCAGATCAGAAGTAACTGACTCTGGCATCTGGGTCAGAGCCCATGTCAAACCCTGGATAAAGAAGATTCTGTGCATGCGGGAAGTACAGGATTGGTGAACTTTTTTCAATTTACCTACCATGCACTGGAATACATGTGCAGTTGGCACCATCAGGTTCACATTTGCCATACTCCATTCTACTTGATACTAAAATATTTAACCCCTTATTAGGTAATACATGTATGTAAATACAGTCGTTATAACAATATTAAATGTGATATGAAAATGATTTTGGTTAAAGTAAAAGCAATAGTAGAATAATCTTTTTTATTTAAGTAGTTTTCTAAAAAAAGTGTGAGTCAATTATGTGCTGTTTTATATTGTACTTTTATATTGTATTGGTATAATACATGTAGCTACGAGCCATCATTTTTAAAACAATAGTTATGTTAAAGGAGATAAATGAAGTGTCCTAGTTTCATTGCAGAAATTCTGATTATCTGAAATTGATAAAACTATTCTTATGTTCTAATCCCACATTATTAACACCATTGAAATGTACGGATTAATCACCTTCTGCTAGGTTGTGTGTTCTGTAGACAACATACACAAGTTTGCCTTTTCTGAATCTGACAAAATAGATGCTGTCAAATCGGACAGAGTAGCCAAAACGACCATGTTTACCGGCCATGCACTGCCATGGGGAGCCAAACTGTGCATTTAAGTCATGCCTTATTTGGCTACATGTTGCCGTGGTGCTTGTTTGTACCATGGTAACATGTTGGATGATATTGATCACCTCTATTCTCATTTTCTCGTATTCTAAAAGTATTATACACAGGTGAAATATTAAGCTTAAATTTGGATGATAAAGGTTATAAAATCAAGAAAACAAAAAATCTTTTAAAATTCTTCTACCGGAAATCTGCCATGCTGAAACAAAGACATCATGTCTTTGTTTCCAGTGACCTTGCCACTATGGTTGATAACAATGAATTACTATTAAAACTTACTACAGCATTCACAATTGCTTTGTATCGAAGAATTGCTGCCAGTTGCAGGTCGTGCTACCACTGGAAAATATATTTGTAAAAAAATTATTTGATATTGATTAAAAGTTTTTGATGAATAATTTTGTTCAAAAATTTAAAATATTTTACATATTTGATGATGAAAATCCATATTATTTCAACTGGCAGAATTGAACATCACATATTTTATAGTAAAATGTAAAACTGTCAATGATGAAAGCAGCTTTTGTTTCCCTCAACAGCCTAGTATTCAAGTACAAAAGTTCAAAAGAACCATGAAACAATTTAGTTCACCAACATGAAAAATGACACAAAGCAAAACTTGAAGAATTTCATCGATGTAATTGTGTTTCATATAAAAGAAAAATAATATCTTCAGGAAATTGAACCGCTGCACCAAATAAATGATCTCACAATACTCATTTTCTTTTTATATATCATGTTAAACAACAAAATAAAATTGAGCCTATGGTAAATACATTGTGACCTCAACCTCAACTAAAGTTCACTTTTCTTTCAATTTTGCCACTGTTTAAACAAAAAATAAAAGATAAGATAGACATAATAAAATGATTGTACTAGCCTTTTTTAGTTAAAAATGTCATTGTTAATCCTACAGCACCGCCTACCACTATAGCTAGTCCTAATATTATAAAAAGTAGAATTTTCTTTTTCTTAACAGTAGTTCTGCTTTGATTATTCTGACATTGCATATGATCATCATTTATCTGCTGGTATTCATGAATCATGCTAGACACTGCTCTAGAATGCTCCCTATTATTATTTTCAACATTGGCAGCTCTTAATAGTGTGTTGTTTGATTCATCCTCAGTGCCTGTATCAATGAACCTAACAGGTGTTTCAACATCATTATTAATGGAGTCAGTTATAAGAATGTCTGCTCTTTCAGTGTCTGATTCATTGCTCTGTTCTCCCTCAGTTACTTCTTGTAAGCTAGACTTTTCACTTTCAACTCTCTGGTCATCTACCTTGATGAGTCTTGTATATAGAGGCTCTTCTTCCTGAGCATTGTCATTATTTACAGTTATGTCAATGTACCGTAGAGGAGTATCACCATTTATGTTATTAGAGACGATCATTCGACAGGTCATCTCGACAGAATAATTGAAAAATTATCAAGTTTTTCTTTATTATTACTTCATATAATTTGTTTGTATAGTAGTACTTCCTATGATTTCTTCATTATAATGTGTTTTGATAAAGGATCTTATTTTTGTTAAACTACATATACTATGAAAAGGAGGAGGGAAATAGCGCAACAGATTTTGGACAGTCATATGTTGGATTTGGGCCATTTTCTGAGGATTTAAACAATTGCATATGTTAAGCCAATGCATTACCTCCAGGAAAATCACTTCTAGAGATAATAAATTAATTTCGACTTTGAGACAGGGTAGATGGAAACAACCCGCCCGCATGTTTTTTCTGAAATGTTTTCCTAATTTTCGACCCTACCCCTTCCATCCCTGCTTTTTTAATTTTTCTTGCATCAATATGTTGTGTTTTGACACATAGTTAACCACTTTAAAGGAATAAGTGATTCCTTCAGGGGTTTTAAAGATACCCATTATGGGTGACCAAACTTAGCTGAAAGCAATGATTTTTCCCTATGGGAAAATAACATGGGAAATATTGTTTTCCACTTTATCTAAAAGGAATCATTTATTCCTTTTAAGGGATTAACTGTGTGTCAAAACGCAACATATTGATGCAAGAAAAATTTAAAAAGCAGGGATGGAAGGGGTTGAAAATCAGGAAAACATTTCAGAAAAAACATGTCGGTGGGTTGTTTGCATCTACCCTGTCTCAAAGTTGAAATTATTTCATCATCTCTAGAAGTGATTTTCCTGGAGGTAATGCATTGGCCTAACATATGCACCTGTTTAAATCCCCAGGAAATGGCCAAAATCAAACATATGACTGTCTAAAATCTGTTGCGCTAATTTCCCTCCTCCTCCTAATTTCCCTCCTCCTTTATTAAATTAAGACAGACACCAGAGGAAATAAACTGACTGGTTATTTATCAAAACATAAAAATGCTGTGTTTTTCTTTGGTTGATCTCAAACTTATAGTAACATTATAAATTCATGATTGATTTTGGATACACCATGTAATGAAAATAAGACCCTTTAATGATATTTAAATCAAAACGAAAGTACAAATAATATTTTGTCATTAAAGTCAGTGATTCATTGATTCTTTGAGGCCTGAGGAATTAAATATATGTTTATTGGTGCCTGGCTAGTCATCCAAAACCTTCCTGGTGTGACCAAATTATTTTGAGATATTTCTTTAATTTTGAAATGTGTTTCTGTATTTTAGGATAACAAAAACAACCCACTTCACTTTGTCAACATAAAAATTTATTATGAACATTCAAATTATAAACAAGTTATCAAAACACTTGAACTTGAGATAACAACAATTATTACCATACATAATTATATTGTCATATACAGTGAAGCCTGTGAAGTGGAACACCTCTGTAAGTGGAACCCTTTTCGAGTCCAAAGACCAAATGACTAAATGTAAAAATATACCTTTATAAGTAGAACACCTCACACGTGGAACACTTTTTAGATGTACCAAAGGTGTTCCGCTAAGACAGGTTTTACTGTAATTATAAGACATTGCTACTGTACAGCACCACCAGTACATAATTTAATACAATAATCAAAACTTCAAAGTCATAAATGGAGATACGTCGTACGTATAATCCACTCGAAAGATGAATTTAGGTTTAGCATACTTTTCAGGAGAAATCCATCATAAATCTTGATAAACTATTTTCAGACTTCGAGGTTAGTGTATTAATGTGCTGCATGTATTTTGTATAAGTAACTCAACATGTGTGAAAACAGATAAAGTGTATGGTTAATGGTATTGATAGATATTTGAATAAACATTCTTGATATTAGAGTTGGTTTTCTTTAAAAGGATTTTTATGTACTGTTGGTGGGTATCAATTGCCAACACTGTTAATGTAATAATAAATGATTATGATAATAAATAAATAAAAAATAAAAAAATTATTTAACTTAAACAGCTTTATATTTATTTTGATGTGTCAAATAAGTAGAAGAAAGGGTTTCATCTTTTACAAAATTAAATTTTGACAAAATATTCTCTGAAAATGTTAATGTTTCAAATATTTTTATATTTGCAGACACAATGTTCATCATTACTTTGAGTTTTTCCGGCACATTCGTCTCTCGATACAAGAAGATAAATTCCTAGAGTTATTGAAGCTGATTAACTCTCAGAGAAATGTTCCAGAAAAAACTTAGGACATCAGATGTCAGAGGCTGTAATAAGGAGGATAAAAATGGCAGTAAATTGGACAGTGATTATCTACTTACGCAAGACAGTGAATTTTCATTGGAACTACATGCACAAGGAAAGCTCATATACGTGTATACAAACTGAGTTTACAGAAGAGAGCATCCACAATCTAGACTGAGTGCAATATAACAAAATAGTGCATATATTGATTAGACTGAGTATATATTGATTAGACTGAGTGGAAATTAACAGGAGAATGCATCTACAGGTTAGGCTCAGTCCAAAATGACAAGAGAGTGCATATACAGACTGAGTGACATATATTATGACTGAGTGTCATATATTAATATATTAAAAAAATTCAACCAGCAGATATAGATATTCATAGTAGAGAATATATAATCCCAATAAAGCAGTGAAGAAGATTAATAGAATCTCTGGCCCCTGTGAAATTGGATAAACAAAATATGCAATAAAATAAAATGTTTTTCTTCCCCCAGATCTTTTACATTTTCATGGTTTTCTCCAGTATGAGAAAGTATAAAATAATATTCAGTTTGCCTTCTTTTAGTATGGTTTCTTAACCCATCCCTTAAAATGATTTAAGGTATTAGTAGGGAGCATGGTTTATGTTGTTTTCATATGACGATGGAAAAATCACCTTCTGTCATTCTTAAGTCTGATTTTAGCTTCATTAAAAGTATGGTTTCTAATTAACAGTCCTGAAAATGATTTAAAACATGAGTGAGAAGTTAAATTATTCTCATTCCTCATGCATACTTTCACATTTTGAGGGTTTTCTCCAGTATGAAAAAATGTAAATGACATTCAGTCTTGTTTGTTTTGTTTTTAAACCTTGCCTGAAAATGACAAGCGTAGGGGTAGTGGAGAAAATGGTTCATCTATATAAAAACATAACATTTTCATGGTTTTCTCCTGTGTGAAAAAATATATAATGACCCTTTATCCACCCTGTCAGATTTGGCTTCATTATGTTTCTAACCAAGTCCTGAAAATGATTTAAATTGTGAGTAGGGGTGATTGGAAATTGATTTTTTTTAATTCTCTTACTTCACATTTTTTAGAGTTTTTCTCTCATGTTAAATAATATAAAATGGCATACAGACAGATTTCTTCAATTCTAAATTAGTTGTAAAAATTAATAAAGTCAACTATTGAGATTTAGAGAATTACATGTATATACTTTTTATAGGCTAGCTAATATATATAATTCGTTTTGAAATCATTCACATTTTTGATTGTTTTCTCCAGTATGAAAAAATATATTGTGAGATTCAAAATCCGATTCAGTGTCATATTTATCTTCTTTAAAAGTTTGGCTTCTGACCCAGAACTAAAAATGGTTGAAGCCAAGAGTAAGGGTTTGAACAAATTGAAATTTCTCAGTCCCTTTTTAAATCATTAACATTTTAATTGTTTTTTCTGCTTTGTGAAATATTACAAAATGACATTCAATCTCATATTTAATACCAGATTTTGCTTTAAAAGTTTGGTTTCTCACAGAGCCCTGAAATGGTTTAAAACAAGAGTAGGGGTTTAAGTAAATTGAAATTTGTCGATTTTTTTAAAATCATTCACATTTTAATTGTTTTTTTCCAGTGTGAAATAATATAAAATGATAGTCAGTCTTAGATTTGATGCTAGACTTTGCTTCTAGTATAGTTTGTGACCCAGCCCTGAAAATGGTTCAAGCCAAGAGTAGGGGTGTGGTAAATTTATACATTTTCCATTCAACTTTTAAATCATTCACATTTTTAATTGTTTTCTAGTTAAGTTTGAGTCTCAAGAGTAGGGGTTTCATTTTTGAAAATATTCACATCTTCGATTGTTTTCTCCAGTATAAAATAATATAAAATGACATTCAATCTCATTTCAATGCCAAATTTTGCTAAGTTTGATGTCTAACCCAGCCCTGAAAATGGTTTAAGCCAAGAGTAGGGATGTTGGGAATTTATATATTTTCTATTCATTTTTTGAAATCATTTACATTTTAATTGTTTTCTCCAGTATGAAATAATATAAAATGACATTTATTCTAAGATTCAATGTCAGATTTTGCCTCTAGTCTGGTTTTAGAAAATTGAAATTTCTCATTCCTTTTGATTGAAATCATTAACATTTTAATTGTTTTCTCCAGTATGAAATAGTATAAATTGATATTCATTCTAAGATTCAATGTCAGATTTTGCCTCTAGTCTGGTTTTAGAAAATTGAAATTTCTCATTCCTTTTGATTGAAATCATTAACATTTTAATTGTTTTCTCCAGTATGAAATAGTATAAATTGATATTCATTCTAAGATTCAATGTCAGATTTTGCCTCTAGTCTGGTTTTAGAAAATTGAAATTTCTCATTCCTTTTGATTGAAATCATTAACATTTTAATTGTTTTCTCCAGTATGGAATAATATATAATGACATTCAGTCTTAGGTTCAATGTTAGATTTTTTTTAAATTATTCACATTTTAATTGTTTTTTCTAGTGTGAAATAATATAAAATTATATTCAGTCTTGGATTCAATGTTAGATTTTGCTTCTTGTATAGTTTGTGACCCAGCCCTGAAAATTGTTTCAGGCAAGAGTAGGGGCGTGGTAAAATATATTTTCCATTCATTTTTTTTAAATCATTCACATTTTTTGGGTTGTTTTCTCCAGTATGAAATAGTATAAAATGACATTCAATCTTGTATTTAATACCAGATTTTACTTTAAATAAAAGTTTGATTTCTAACCTAGCCCTGAAAATTGTTTAAGCTAGAGTAGGGGTTTAATCTTTTGATTGTTTAATCTTTTGATTCAGTCTTAGATTCAATGTTAGCATTTGCTTCTAGTTTAGTTTGTGACCAAGCCCTGAAAATGGATTAAGCCAAGAGTAGGGGCACGGGAAATTTATATATTTTCCATTCATTTTTTGAAATCATTCACATTTTTGGTTGTTTTCTCCAGTATGACAAAGTATAGAATTACATTCAATCTCATATTTAATACCAGATTTTGCTTTAAAAGTATGATTTCTTACCAGCCCTTAAATTGATTTAAGCCAAGAGAGTGAAACATTTGTGAAATAATAACTAACAATTTCTCTAAAGGTAACATTTATTTGACACTAGGTCTACTTTAGCAAGAGAAATGAGCCAAAATCACAGGTCAAACCAAAAGCTGTTCAAATAAATAAAATTATATAATTACCTCTTTACAGTTGAAATATACTTATGTTTTTTAGGTGATGTACCCTAAAATGGGTTAGATTATTCATATTGTATTGTGTTTGGTGTAAATTAGAGTTTGATATTTGAGTGTTTTGTTTTCTGCTATCTAATGTTGCCGATAACTATTTTATAGACCGTATCCACATATCAGTTCACTGAATCACCAATATTTGCTGGTCAAAATACAACCTCTGACTATGTCAGTGCGTTTCCAGTCACATGAACGTCACTTTTGGAACAGAATTCATGCCCATTTATGTCCTACATGTGCTACAGACAATTGGTACTCATGTTTCAGGGCCATCAAGGCCTCATTATATTGGTGAACCTGCTGGTGTAGGCCAAGATTTTTTGTAGTTAAGTTGAGCATTCAAGTTTAGCTCTCTTGAATAAAGATCTTCAGCAGAAACTATGACTGTTTATCTTTAACATACTTTGACAACCCTCTAGCACAAGATGTTAAAGAAATAAAGGAACGACTTTGGCTTATGTTTAAAACTTGGACTTTGAAGGCAGATAATCAACATTTACTTATTATGCAGCATCTTCGTAAAGAAATATTTATTTTCTCATCAGACTCTCATTCTAACATGAAGTATAAATAATTCACACTACAATACATCATACGCTAGTTATCTCTTATTTTTAATAATTTCTTGATCTTGAGGCACATTTTCCAGTCTTTTTTCGGCGTCAAAACAACCAGGATCCAATGAGGGAGTGTCACGATCCCCAGGCTCCAATGCTGACGTGTCTCTATGCTCTAATTGTATCATGTTTGGCCCTGGTTTCAATAAACTTCGCTTTGTCAGAGATTTACAATGTTTTATATTTGATAAGATATGCTCGACTGTCCAGTGTTTATCTAAAAGGGCGTGACTAAGTGTAAAATGTCCGTAGCGAATTCTTCGTATCTGTGTACAAATGGCTGTAGATTTTGCCTCCAGACCGACATTGTGCGTAATCTGTCTGAGATATTTAGAGTGTTCATTTACACAGTGCACTTCTGAAAGAAAGTATTGAAAACAAAGTTTATTGAGGTTGTGAAGTGTTAAAATAATAGGAAGGTAAAGCAGATATACACTTAAACCAGATTGAGGGATTTCGTACTCAGAATATTTTACAGTAAAACCTGTAAAGTGGAACACCTCCGTAAGTGAAACTCTTTTCAAAGTCCTGTTATATATAAACTTAATGTAAAATGAACTTCTGTAAGTGGAATGCCTCCCAAGTAAAACAATTTTTGAGGCAACACGGGTGTTCTCTTACACAAATTTTACTGCATTTGTGTACATAATTTGTTGAGTGTTTTAATATGATGACTTGCTTTATTAGACACCAATATCACTAGAAATGTTTCAATATTATATGAAACCAGCGACGAGGCGAAATTAAAATTAGGTAAAACACCATGACAAACTTAGTTTGATAGTGGCAATCAAAAAACACAATGATAACCCTTACTTGTTGAGATTATACACAATTGAATAAAAATTGATGACAACTACATTGATATAGGAATATTTCTCAAAGTATGGTAAAAAGCGACAAGGCAAGGACTTTGTCTGCCTCATCCTGGCTACACTAGAGGGAACCTCAACTGCAATATGTCTTTATTTTGATGGTGTTTGTTTATCATGCGGTAGATACTAATTTTGAATTGCCTCCATGTCATGCCAAGAATTGCAAAATACCAATTTAAAATGGATAAAGGTTTTTGATACATAAAAAAGTCGAAAATTAAGTAGCACTAAAATTAATGTAAAATACAACTGTTGAATAGATCTTTAAATCAACTTCAAAGGAATTCTTGCAACTCTAGATCTTTTACATCAACTTCAAAGGAATTCTTGCGACTTCTGGGGGAACTTACCCACTGTAAAATCTGGTGGCTGAAACTCTATACACTTCATGTTGTAAATGATAGGAGCTGTGTAGCCATCTTCAGGTCTTATCAGACCTTTGGCTGCAATATCATAAGCCTCTTGACTTTGGGGGTCAACACGCATATTCCTTTAAATAAAATATATGGGAATTCAGTTTAAATTCCTGATGAAGTGGTTATTGCACTACTACAAATTTTTAATGAATAACTGAGAGGTTTTATTGTTTCATATAATTTTTTATCAAAAGTACTTTTATTTAGAATATGGATTCCTAGAGTAGATAACAATCTGGATGTATTTTTGAGATATTACATTGCAAAAATATGAGGGTCGTCCAAAAAGTCATGCACAATTTACTTTTTCAATATTTGTTTTTAATGACTTCATCCATAAATGATATAATTTAAAGATATTACAGGTAACACTTCAATTGAAACACTTCAATTGAAGAACATCTGAGAAAATCAGAGCAATACTTTTGGTACAACCCTTGTATATTTGCAATTAAATGTATTGTATTACACTCACAAGAACATTTGTCTCTGGTGTAATGCCTGACTAGCTGCGAGAATACGATCAATTGTTGGGCGCTTGACGTGATTCCATGTTGTTTTCTCCACCAGATGGCCATCAGGTGCGAAATTATCTGTCGCTCTACCAAGAGTGCCTGAAAAAGAATGGTAATATTTTATAGACTTTTGAGCACATTACATTGACTTTAATATGATATACTATTACCCTTAACATGGTATATTTAGTCTTTTAGTAAGGTATCATTACCTTTAACATGGTATATCAATACCTTTTACAGGGTTTACCTTAAACATGTCATATCAATAATACAGTGGGCAGGGTGAACATGGAATATTAAAAATCTGTAACATGATATATCAAAACTTTTAACACAGTACATCAATTATATCTTAATGTGGTTTACTACCTTTAACATGGTATACATGAATGTAACGGGCATCGAGAATTTTCTTCACCAGTTTACATCCTTCCCCAATGCCAAGGACAGTCACCCCAGATGCAAAGGATCCCAGTTCTCCACAGTAGTGCACTCTGAAATCTTCTGGTTGGTACATGGGGCCCAGGACTGCAAAGGAAGAGCTCATTAAATCAATAATTGAAATGGAAGAGCTCATCAAATACAAGGGGCCTAAGACTGAAATGGAAGAGCTCATTAAATACATGGGGCCAAGGACTAAAATGAAAGAGCTCATTACATACATGGGGCCCAGGACTGAAATGGAAGAGCTCATTAAATACAAGGGGCCCAAGACTGAAATGGAAGAGCTCATTAAAAACATGGGGCCCAGGACTGAAATGGAAGAGCTCATTAAATACATGGGGCCCACGACTGAAATGGAAGAGCTCATTTAATCAATAATTGAAATGGAAGAGCTCATTAAATACAAAGGGCCTAAGACTGAAATGGAAGAGCTCATTAAATACATGGGGGCCAGGACTGAAATGGTTCAATGAAAGAATAATATTTTTCCACTTAGATGGAGGAGTTAAATTGGTGAAATTATTGGAAAGTGCCGTTAATCTGATTAAGTCGGCTGACATTTGGCATTTCAATGTAAACCTACTCTACTTGGTCAATTAGTATGCAATTTATAGTCATTGAAAACAGTCCTTAGAGTCCCTAGTGTTGTTACACACTTGTGTGGCTTTCAAATTGAATCATTTATATGGAAATTAATTCAAATTAATTTCAATTTATAAAAATGCAGCAAACTCCTCCCCACTGTCTCTGAAAAATTTTGTTTGACCTAAAGTAATAGTCAATATTATCCCCAGTAATGCTTTATCTTTTTTATACTTTTATTACACAGATCTTGCAATACTTGGTGGACATACATGTAGTTGGTCAGCACCAACTAGTCAGCACAACAGTCAGCTCAAATTTACCAAGATCCAAGGGCTCAGTCACTGTATGTTTGTTTAGTTGCTTATGATGCAAAATGTTGTTTATATGTCAAAATGAATATGGTGCACACAACAGATGATGTACATGAAATTATAAGCCTATTGAACAAAGCTCGAGGGATATAAAGATACAGCCTTATTAAGCTGTCTTATGAAAATTTGGCTAATCGACAGTCATTCCAAAATAGGCAGCCATGGCTGTTTGATGGGATTTGCTACGCCTTGGAGTTGCTGGTATTTAGTTTAACCCTTTCCCGACGTGAATATAAGAGGAAAAAGTTGGCCCTGGTGACGGATAAGTAAGAGCGGTTTTTAGGGGAAAACTGCAAATTACCTACACCCTGGAACCTATACCTTGAATTTTATCACTGAAATACAATTTTCAGTAAGGATTATAACATAAGAACAACTTGTCAAAATTTGGTGTAAAAATATTCAATAGAACTGGAGATATTGTCATTTCATTGATGTATGTAAATAGAAATAGTGGTGCCAAAAGGAGCCTATCGTCCTGAAAGGTATTACATATTAGGGCTCCATATGGAGCCCATCGTCGTGAAAGGGTTAAGTTAATAACAAGTTGTAATCCATATAGCCATTTTCCATGACTTTGACTTTGGAATGTTGCCATCTGTATGATAACAAACCGTTGAAATTTGTTAAGTCCAATATACCCAATGGGGCATAAACCACTTGTCCCATTGAGTCCTATACAACGTATGGTGTATGGTGGGCTTTAATTGTAATCTGGTGGTGGTATCATATTCCCATTGTGTTTCATGTTATTTACCTAAAGATGAGGCAGCTAGATCAGGCACAGTTGTCACTACTGGTAGGTCAGTTCCTATGTTATCCTCGTCTATCTGTACTCTTTCCTTTAGTGGTTCATCATTGTACATGTGGTTTAGCCCTGGAATCACAATCAACGTAGTCTTGCATTAAGTCTTTCCTCCCTCCTCCATTGGAATGTATGATTAATGTGACAAAACATTTGTTAACAGTTTAAAGGAATTATATCAACCCTATTTGAAGTTTCAATAAATATCAGGATGCAATGCAGCATTTCCACTCAACAGTTCAATTTTCAACAGTGCTGACTGACTGTACAATACTTAACCATTCACTTTAAATATAAGTACTGAAAAATGTGTTGCAAACACCTCCACATGTAAAACACTTTTCATTTATTTTTGAGATATTTTATTGACCTACCCTGTGCTAAGTTGAACTTGATTTTCCTGACACAATGTTGGACAGATATTCCCTTTGGTTTGAAGATACAGAACACTCCTCCCTTATTGAGGGCATTGTATACACGTCTCGCACTCATGCCGATAATCTGAAAATAAAGCTATACATGTAAATCATCCCACAACTGTAATTCACTTCGATAACTGATGGATTTTGACAGCATTTAAAGGGGCAACAAGGACTGTAGAGAAAAAATTCGAAATTTTTTATTTTTTCTGAGCTTTCAGGTCAATATTTAGCTTAACATGTTCTTTGACATACCTTTTTTCTTAAAATGTATGGATAAACCTTCAATGTCAGCAATATTATAAGAAGTGTAAATTCAGTTCAAAGCTTCTATAAAGGGAGTCCCACTTAGAGATTTTTAAGATTCACCACGTTTCAAGAGGAATATTAGCTGGAATAATGTTCATCCAGGGGGTTTCTTTGTAGATAATAAAAATATATGTTAGTCTTGATGAAATATCCAAACTTAAATATATTTTGACACTGGTCGATGATCGTTGAATGCCCCCTGCACTAATTGTTGCATCTTAATATTAAAATCCAACCTAGGCCTACTCTTACAGTTAACATGAGGCCTAAATTTCCAAAAATTTTTTGTGAAAACAACTGGTCTCTACAAATAGCAAATAGTACATGATGGCAAATGAAATTATATCTCTCAAATTGCTATGTACTGAGTATCCACACTCCACAGAAGTAAATCCCCCATTACCGGGCCCATCACACACATGTACACCATTTTAGGGGAAGAATTTAAATCTGTGACTCACATTCCATATCTAGGAATTAAAATCATGACTACATGTACACACATACATGTACTACAGTCTGTTACACTGCTTCAAAGGCAAGCAGTTAAACCTGGAATGTGAGAAATCTAAATAATATTGTGCAATAATATATAGAAAAATATATTCATATTGCACACGAATGACATTTGTATATGTTGGGTTGCTAGTAAATTGTCTCATAAAGTCTGTAACCTTTTATATTTTGATGCTTCCCTGCCATGTTAATTCTCAAAAAATAACATGGCGGACAGACCTCAAATTACAAGAAGGCACTGAACACTAAATAATCTGAAATATACAAATGTCAATTGTGTGCAATATGAATATATTTTTCTATATATTATGGCACAATGGTCTATAATTTCTTATTTTTCAGGTTCAACTGCTTGCCTTTGAAGCAGTGTAACAGACTGTGATGGTGGAATCGAAATCCAACATGACGCTGTGCTTCTCCTGGCGCGACCTCCACCAGTGCCTAGAGAACATAAAAGCCAAGGCATACAGGTCTGGCCAAACCTATAATATGCTAGTGCATAATTAGATCCTTACCGCCAGAAGTGGATATCAACATCTACAGAGACCAAGACACTAGAGTCCATTTCACTGCATCATTTCGTCAGTAGAACGGCAAAAATAAGAAATTGGGAGACCATTGTGCAATAATATATGGAAAAGTATATTCGTATTCATAATGTACATGAATGACATTTGTATATTTCAGATTTTTTAGTTTTTTGTGCAATAAGCCTGTGCCGTCTTGTAATTTGAAGAATTTCAGCCATGTTAATCTTATTGAAAATAACATGGCAGAGAAACATCCAAATATAAGAGGCCACATACTTTATAAGCCAAACTACAGTTGGGGACAAAAATAAATGACAGGTCGATTTTCGATCACCATTTCCTAATTATGGTGGTCTGAAAGCCCATAATTTCCAATATTGTCTACATACATATCCCTTAAAATTTGTATATTTTACATTTTGTATAATCTCATCCACTGATTTATGGCCTCTTGTAAATTCTCTTATTTTTAACATGGGAAATCCTCACTTCAGCAAATCCACCTGTCATTTATTTATGTCCCCAACTGTAGAAGCAATCCAAGATATACAAATGTCATTTATGTACATTATGAATATACTTTTCCATATATTATTGCACAATGGTCTCCCAATTTCTTATTTTTGCCGTTCTACTGACGAAATGAAGCGGTGAAATGGAATCTAGGCTAAGAGCAGTCAGAGATTTTTTAGCAAATGTAATTCAAGTATGGATGTCGTGTTTTTGGAATAGATCATTACCTAAAGGGGTTCAATCAAACGCCTCCATTGACTTCTTGTAATTCTCTGTTTATTATTTTACGTAATAACGTACACTTACTCCCTAAATGTGATTATTAAGAAGAGTTTTTTAATTTTTCACATTTTTTTCAAACCAAGAACATCTGTATCACTTCCGGATAAAACCGCTACAGCGAAATAATGGCAGAAAGAGTTTCAGAACTTTTGGATTCTCTTCCTTCGTCTGTAGACGTCATTGGATCTTTACATGAAATAAAAACAATTCTTAATTCTTTACATCCTTCTACTCTAAAGGAAATTGTGCCGAATGTATCATTTAACACCGTATTTGATTGCATAAACTCTTCTGAAAGGTAAGTCATTTTATTTTTACTGTATTATCGCCCATTCCCAAAATATTGTTTTTGACACTTGTACTAGGAATTTATAGGTGGATTCGTCAATTGCGTATATTATACATAGGTAACCTTACAAAATTCACCTGTCAATTTCTTACATCATTTTGGAGTGAAAATGAGAGTTGACTTTGTTATGAAAAAAAATATCAAAATATTGCAAGTCATTTCAAAGTCCAATGATTTCAACTTCACTACGAACTAAGAACTCACTTGGAGGGGGGGTAAAGATAAACCTAGTGAATTTATCGCAGTGCTCTCATTAGTGATTAGATATCTCGTGCAATTTGACATTTGATCAATGACATGCCCATGTTTTATTGGCTTTATTGTATTTCGTAGTGAAGTGATTGAGGCCAGTAGTGATGTCTTACAACAACTACTCCAGGCTCTGGAACCTCTTGTTGTCCTCACACAGTTCCAAACTGAACTCATTCTTGGAATGAGCCACAGCAATGTGAAAGTCAGGAAGCTTTGTCTAAAGCAGGTGGGTGTTGTTGTAATATATACATGTACATAAAAATGTATATATGTGTATAAAAAAATGCAACAAACAATTATCAATATCAGTGATCACTGCATGTCATAGAAATTTCTTGAAAGTTCTTTTGTATATCGTGTCTCTGCATTACTGCATTATTAGGCGAGGGGTCTATTATTCAAATGTTAACATGGCCTTCAAAACATGGGATTAAAGAGCTGTGTGTAACACCATGTAACAAACCTGTAATAACTTGTTTAAGATGAATTAACATGTATTTGGTTTTGATAACAGATACTGTGTGTTGCTGAGAATGATGGAAGTGATCTAGTACCATGTGAAGATGTATTGATCCAGGTTGTCAGGTGCTTGGGTGATGAGACCTTAGAGGTGGCATTGTTGGCAGCTAAAATATTAACTACATTAGGTAAAGTAAATCACAGGCTGTATGTGGCATAGTGGCAGGAATGCTACCACCACTTTATAGCATATTTAGGATGAAATATTAAAATTCCATCACGATCACCACACCCTCTTTGTCTCAATCTTTCCAAATGACAGATAAGAGGGGGCCTGGTAAACTAGAATGTTTATGCACTGATCTTTAAATTGTTCTGTGTACTTTAACTGGCAAACTTTATACAGTAGGTGAGAGATTGTTTTGCTCTTTTCAGAGATACATATATGTATAAGAATGTCTATACTGATAGAATCTGTTCCTTACTTCGTATTTCACCATTTTATTTATTATGCCACAAAGCTATCATAAAACATATGTATTACCTGTAGTTTTACAAATTGTTTTTTCAGGTCAGAATTCAGCTGGAGTTAAGGTATTGTTCTCTGGAGTCATATTAGAAGAGCTGACATCAGTGATGGAAAAGAGTGACATCATCCGCTATCGTGTCTTTGAAATGGTTGTAAATGTTGCATCAAGTTCAAACAAGGCACTGACTTTTGCATCCCAAGCTGGCTTCCTGAATCAACTTGTAAATGAGGTAAGACTTACTAGTAAAATACATCCGTGTCACTTTCAAGCTAAATCAAGGTGGGCCTAGTTTGGAATTAAGGTGGGCATAGGGGTCAATTTTTGGAATCAAGGAATGTTTTGTGGGATGTTTTTTTGAACTAATTTAGGTTTAGTGTGATTGGTTTAAGAATAGGCCTAGAGGTATGTCTCCTGGATTAAGGTAAGACCAAGTGGGACTACTTGGTAGGCCTAGAGTATGTCTCCTGGATTAAGGTAAGACCAAGTGGGACTACTTGGTAGGCCTAGAGGTATGACTTCTGGATTAAGGTAAGACCAAGTGGGACTACTTGGTAGGCCTAGAGGTATGACTTCTGGATTAAGGTAAGACCAAGTGGGACTACTTGGTAGGCCTAGAGGTATGACTTCTGGATTAAGGTAAGACCAAGTGGGACTACTTGGTAGGCCTAGAGGTATGACTTCTGGATTAAGGTAAGACCAAGTGGGACTACTTGGTAGGCCTAGAAGTATGACTTCTGGATTAAGGTAAGACCAAGTGGGACTACTTGGTAGGCCTAGAGGTATGACTTCTGGATTAAGGTAAGACCAAATGTGACTACTTGGTAGGCCTAGAGGTATGACTTCTGGATTAAGGTAAGACCAAGTGGGACTACTTGGTAGGCCTAGAGGTATGACTTCTGGATTAAGGTAAGACCAAGTGGGACTACTTGGTAGGCCTAGAGGTATGTCTCCTGGATTAAGGTAAGACCAAGTGAGACTACTTGGTAGGCCTAGAGGTATGACTTCTGGATTAAGGTAAGACCAAGTGGGACTACTTGGTAGGCCTAGAGGTATGACTTCTGGATTAAGGTAAGACCAAGTGAGACTACTTGGTAGGCCTAGAGGTATGACTTCTGGATTAAGGTAAGACCAAGTGAGACTACTTGGTAGGCCTAGAGGTATGACTTCTGGATTAAGGTAAGACCAAGTGGGACTACTTTGTAGGCCTGGAGGTATGTCTCCTGGATTAAGGTAAGACCAAGTGGGACTACTTGGTAGGCCTAGAGGTATGTCTCCTGGATTAAGGTAAGACCAAGTGGGACTACTTGGTAGGCCTAGAGGTATGACTTCTGGATTAAGGTAAGACCAAGTGGGACTACTTGGTAGGCCTAGAGGTATGTCTCCTGGATTAAGGTAAGACCAAGTGGGACTTCTTGGTAGGCCTAGAGGTATGTCTCCTGGATTAAGGTAAAACCAAGTGGGACTACTTGGTAGGCCTAGAGGTATGTCTCCTGGATTAAGGTAAGACCAAGTGGGACTACTTGGTAGGCCTAGAGGTATGACTTCTGGATTAAGGTAAGACCAAGTGGGACTACTTGGAAGGCCTAGAGGTATGACTTCTGGATTAAGGTAAGACCAAGTGGGACTACTTGGTAGGCCTAGAGGTATGACTTCTGGATTAAGGTAAGACCAAGTGGGACTACTTGGTAGGCCTAGAGGTATGTCTCCTGGATTAAGGTAAGACCAAGTGGGACTACTTGGTAGGCCTAGAGGTATGACTTCTGGATTAAGGTAAGACCAAGTGGGACTACTTGGTAGGCCTAGAGGTATGACTTCTGGATTAAGGTAAGACCAAGTGGGACTACTTGGTAGGCCTCGAGGTATGAGTTCTGGATTAAGGTAAGACCAAGTGGGACTACTTGGTAGGCCTAGAGGTATGACTTCTGGATTAAGGTAAGACCAAGTGGGACTACTTGGTAGGCCTAGAGGTATGTCTCCTGGATTAAGGTAAGACCAAGTGGGACTACTTGGTAGGCCTAGAGGTATGACTTCTGGATTAAGGTAAGACCAAGTGGGACTACTTGGTAGGCCTAGAGGTATGACTTCTGGATTAAGGTAAGACCAAGTGGGACTACTTGGTAGGCCTAGAGGTATGACTTCTGGATTAAGGTAAGACCAAGTGGGACTACTTGGTAGGCCTAGAAGTATGACTTCTGGATTAAGGTAAGACCAAGTGGGACTACTTGGTAGGCCTAGAGGTATGACTTCTGGATTAAGGTAAGACCAAATGTGACTACTTGGTAGGCCTAGAGGTATGACTTCTGGATTAAGGTAAGACCAAGTGGGACTACTTGGTAGGCCTAGAGGTATGACTTCTGGATTAAGGTAAGACCAAGTGGGACTACTTGGTAGGCCTAGAGGTATGTCTCCTGGATTAAGGTAAGACCAAGTGAGACTACTTGGTAGGCCTAGAGGTATGACTTCTGGATTAAGGTAAGACCAAGTGGGACTACTTGGTAGGCCTAGAGGTATGACTTCTGGATTAAGGTAAGACCAAGTGAGACTACTTGGTAGGCCTAGAGGTATGACTTCTGGATTAAGGTAAGACCAAGTGAGACTACTTGGTAGGCCTAGAGGTATGACTTCTGGATTAAGGTAAGACCAAGTGGGACTACTTTGTAGGCCTGGAGGTATGTCTCCTGGATTAAGGTAAGACCAAGTGGGACTACTTGGTAGGCCTAGAGGTATGTCTCCTGGATTAAGGTAAGACCAAGTGGGACTACTTGGTAGGCCTAGAGGTATGACTTCTGGATTAAGGTAAGACCAAGTGGGACTACTTGGTAGGCCTAGAGGTATGTCTCCTGGATTAAGGTAAGACCAAGTGGGACTTCTTGGTAGGCCTAGAGGTATGTCTCCTGGATTAAGGTAAAATCAAGTGGGACTACTTGGTAGGCCTAGAGGTATGTCTCCTGGATTAAGGTAAGACCAAGTGGGACTACTTGGTAGGCCTAGAGGTATGACTTCTGGATTAAGGTAAGACCAAGTGGGACTACTTGGAAGGCCTAGAGGTATGACTTCTGGATTAAGGTAAGACCAAGTGGGACTACTTGGTAGGCCTAGAGGTATGACTTCTGGATTAAGGTAAGACCAAGTGGGACTACTTGGTAGGCCTAGAGGTATGTCTCCTGGATTAAGGTAAGACCAAGTGGGACTACTTGGTAGGCCTAGAGGTATGACTTCTGGATTAAGGTAAGACCAAGTGGGACTACTTGGTAGGCCTAGAGGTATGACTTCTGGATTAAGGTAAGACCAAGTGGGACTACTTGGTAGGCCTCGAGGTATGAGTTCTGGATTAAGGTAAGACCAAGTGGGACTACTTGGTAGGCCTAGAGGTATGACTTCTGGATTAAGGTAAGACCAAGTGGGACTACTTGGTAGGCCTAGAGGTATGTCTCCTGGATTAAGGTAAGACCAAGTGGGACTACTTGGTAGGCCTAGAGGTATGTCTCCTGGATTAAGGTAAGACCAAGTGGGACTACTTGGTAGGCCTAGAGGTATGACTTCTGGATTAAGGTAAGACCAAGTGAGACTACTTGGTAGGCCTAGAGGTATGTCTCCTGGATTAAGGTAAGACCAAGTGGGACTACTTGGTAGGCCTAGAGGTATGACTTCTGGATTAAGGTAAGACCAAGTGGGACTACTTGGTAGGCCTAGAGGTATGTCTCCTGGATTAAGGTAAGACCAAGTGGGACTACTTGGTAGGCCTAGAGGTATGACTTCTGGATTAAGGTAAGACCAAGTGGGACTACTTGGTAGGCCTAGAGGTATGACTTCTGGATTAAGGTAAGACCAAGTGGGACTACTTGGTAGGCCTAGAGGTATGACTTCTGGATTAAGGTAAGACCAAGTGGGACTACTTGGTAGGCCTAGAGGTATGTCTCCTGGATTAAGGTAAGACCAAGTGGGACTACTTGGTAGGCCTAGAGGTATGACTTCTGGATTAAGGTAAGACCAAGTGGGACTACTTGGTAGGCCTAGAGGTATGACTTCTGGATTAAGGTAAGACCAAGTGGGACTACTTGGTAGGCCTAGAGGTATGACTTCTGGATTATGGTAAGACCAAGTGGGACTACTTGGTAGGCCTAGAGGTATGTCTCCTGGATTAAGGTAAGACCAAGTGGGACTACTTGGTAGGCCTAGAGGTATGAATTATGGATTAAGGTAAGACCAAGTGGGACTACTTGGTAGGCCTAGAGGTATGACTTCTGGATTATGGTAAGACCAAGTGAGACTACTTGGTAGGCCTAGAGGTATGTCTCCTGGGTTAAGGTAAGACCAAGTGGGACTACTTGGTAGGCCTAGAGGTATGAATTATGGATTAAGGTAAGACCAAGTGGGACTACTTGGTAGGCCTGGAGGCATGTCTCCTGGATTAAGGTAAGACCAAGTGGGACTACTTGGTAGGCCTAGAGGTATGTCTCCTGGATTAAGGTAAGACCAAGTGGGACTACTTGGTAGGCCTAGAGGTATGACTTCTGGATTAAGGTAAGACCAAGTGGGACTACTTGGTAGGCCTAGAGGTATGTCTCCTGGATTAAGGTAAGACCAAGTGGGACTACTTGGTAGGCCTAGAGGTATGTCTCCTGGATTAAGGTAAGACCAAGTGGGACTACTTGGTAGGCCTAGAGGTATGACTTCTGGATTAAGGTAAGACCAAGTAGGACTACTTGGTAGGCCTAGAGGTATGACTTCTGGATTAAGGTAAGACCAAGTGGGACTACTTGGTAGGCCTAGAGGTATGACTTCTGGATTAAGGTAAGACCAAGTGGGACTACTTAATTGGTAGGCCTAGAGGTATGACTTCTGGATTAAGGTAAGACCAAGTGGGACTACTTGGTAGGCCTAGAGGTATGACTTCTGGATTAAGGTAAGACCAAGTGGGACTACTTGGTAGGCCTAGAAGTATGTCTCCTGGATTAAGGTAAGACCAAGTGGGACTACTTGGTAGGCCTAGAAGTATGTCTCCTGGATTAAGGTAAGACCAAGTGGGACTACTTGGTAGGCCTAGAAGTATGTCTCCTGGATTAAGGTAAGACCAAGTGGGATTACTTTGGAATTAAGGTAAGCCTAGAGGTATGACTTCTGGAATTAAGGAGGGACCTAATGGGATTCCTTTTACGTTCTTCGGAATTAAAGTAGGCCTAGGGGGACAAAATAACTTTTGATATTTTCAAGAACTGAAATTCAAATGTTGCAAAAAAAGTACATTTAAATTGAACAGATAAATACTCTTTGATGATACCAAATCAAAATAAATACAAATCTGATCTAAAAATCTTTATATTATTTCAGATTCAGAAAGATGACATTCTGATTCAGCTGAACTGTATTGAATTGTTGAAAGATCTGGCTCTTCATAGTCACGGCCTTGCTTACCTTGAACAGCAGGGGGTTGTCACAAAATTGGAGATTATGATGTCACAATGTGATGAAAATCCTCTCATGGGGTTCCTTTTGCCAGGTAAGCGGCTGGTTCACTCACAGTAAGTCATGTCAGAGTTATGGCTGCTATAAATGTTACTGTAGAACTGCTATAAATGTTAACAATGAGAGGTTGATCTGATGGCATACTAGTCAATTGGACATCCAAAATATGGCACCAAAAATGCTCACACTGAGGAGATTACTTTGAAGAGGTTTCTCAAAATGTAGGTTTTACTTTAACTCTTTTATAAGTTTTTTTATTGCTACTATTATGCGCATATAAGTGATTAAATGTAAGTGATTAATTCCAGGTAATTTGCATTCACAATTTTTTAATGTTTCAGGTCTCATCAAATTCTTTGGCAATGTTGCCAGGATCCACCCAAATGAGATATGTGATCAATTCAAAGCATTCACTAATACCTTATTTGGACTTGTGACGTCACCTGATCAATCTCTGAAAGGAATTGCCATAGAAACAGTTGGGGTCATAGGTGAAAGACCTGAAGGAAAATTGGCGTTGGAGAAAATGAGTAAGTGGCGATTAAAATAGTTTATTTAGAGGGAAGGGGGTTGGATATAAAAATATCAATCAGTTGCTATTATTAGTCATAACACTAAAGAGTAACTTTCAACCAATTTGCAATGAAATTTTAATTTTTTAATTTGATTTTAATCCTAAGCTGATTGCATTTTTCCCAGTTGGATATTCCCCCACTTTCACACTCCTCTGAATTGTTTTTAGTTTAAAATGATAGTGACATTTAAATGAAGTCATATTTTCTGTTTCCTAGGCAACCAGATGGATAATGCAGTGAAAGTTATAGGTGGCGCTATAAAATCATCTCCAGAGGAGGTTCGTTCACGAGCTATTGAATCTGCATCAAATCTCATGGCCCTTAAGGTAAATATGAACTTACATTTTCAATAGTGATGATAAAGGTTCCCTGAATAAAGTAGAGCCAAATCCCCTAGGAAACAAGTCAATGTTAAAAATCTGAAAAGTTGATTATCATAATGTCACAATTCTTTAGCCATAACCAGGCCAGGGTTATACATGTTAAATCACCCTGTCTTAAAGATGTCATTGTCGGTACCCACGCTCAATTACTACATTCTGACAGGTCATAATATGGATGAAGCAAGATGTAAAGATGTCCCATTCACAAGAAAGTGGCTAGAACACTTAGTTGATGACAGTGGTGTTGTTAACCATAGGTCCTGGGCCGATATAAAGATGGCAGCACCAACAGAATCCAGTATGGAGTACAGATCGATTACCATGCCATCGTTATTTAAAAATTATTTCTATCGACCTTTGCCTATGTTGTTAACTATGTTTTACTGTAGTTGTCTTTTTTTCAGCTGGAGGATCACACCATGGAACTGCTGGCCATTACGGAGAACTGGTTCAATCGTTTGATCCCCAAACCACTGGAGCTATTACTGGAGATAGTACAACAGCCATTGCTTGAGCTACGAGTACCCACCCTTACTATTATCTCCCACCTAGCTGTGCAACCCTGGGGGCAGACAATGTTGAATAACCAACCAGGTTTCAATGAATATATTTTAAATCGGTCGACGGAAAATACAAAGGAAGGAAAAGAACTGAAGTTTCTGATTGCGAAAAATTTGATTGATTCTCCATCGGTTCCGGAAATATTTGGGCGGCCATATTTGTTACGTTTACGGGAGTACCACCGTGAAGGGCCGTTTTATGTGAGAGCGCAGGCTGAAGTCGCTACAGAGGAGGACAGTTAGAGGGACTGTGTTTACTCAAGAAAATGGTACAATAAAAGATGTCCATTTGTGATTCTTTTGATTATCGTCTCCAATGAATAGAAAATACTAACAAAATACATTCTACAATATAGTTTTAAATTTATTTACAAAATTAATTAAAAATGTTGTTTTCAGTTTTTTTGTGTATGGTTGAAAGCCAGGAAGAAGGAATAAACTATAAAATACAAAACATGAACTCTTGGCCTGTTTATTTACAATTAGTCAAACACGTTAGTCACTTACTTCCTTAAACTTTTATCAAACCAAGATAACCCTCTGCAAGAGTTACACTCTACTTCTTCACTCTCAAAATAAGTGACAATTCTCAAAAATTCATGAGACTATATTTTCATATCCATTCAAAGATACATTTGAGATCAGTGAGACCAAATCATATCAATAGTTGGGGGAATAATGAGTAACTATTGGATATTCAGCTTATATATCACGTTAAATCCGATCTCATTCTGAAAAACTCCTTTTTGTTTCAGAACCATGTGTTACATTGTTTTTAATATGGCATCTAGAATGTTATAAATATTATAGAGGGGAATACAATACAAAAAATGTGTATGGTGAATAAAATAAAAATTGTGCGAATAAACCTGAACTTCTCGTTGATTATGGTAGCATTAATACTTGTGTAACAGGTCATTTCAAAACATAATTTTTCTTTCGAGGAAAATGTTTCTAATTGAGGCAACCTACCACCTACCAAAAAATAAAAAATAAAAAGTCTCATCTTCAAAGAAATACAAAACTGTCCTGGTTGAAGTTCCTCCCTCAGAAAAACTGTTTTGATGCAATCTGTATAAGCAGTGATCTCCCCAGCATTAAAGCAAGTGGGCGCAGCACCCACCTGAGATTTTGAAAATAGGCTTGCACCCACCTGAAAATCCATTTCCGCCCACTTGAAAATGAGAAAAATCATGAAAAAGTTGCATATTTTGACCAATTTTGATCTGAATTGTGAAAATGAGAATTTTGCACGTCCACCTGAGAAAAAATCCTGGGGAGATCCCTGATAAGGGTTGTTTAAAGATGCAACAGAGGAATTCAGAGTAGATCCCATATGAGCCTATACAGAATCCAGCATAGCATCTGTGAATAATGAAAAATGTTATCTTTGGCATCGTAGTATCCAGAGTACAATAATTACCCAATTGGGTTTTATAAAAATATTATACATTTTCTATGGTACAACATCTTAAAATTGTTCATAGCACGAAGATAATATAATTATATCTTCATTGCCAGAATTCAAGCTTAAAGAGGCACTGTTTTATCATCTAAAATCACTTTAACAAATATAAGTGAAAGATTGCAAGTTCACATATTACTGAAATAGAAAATGAACTTTTCATACCAGTCCTTATTTAAGGACTTTTTTTAGGTTTTAAATAATAAAATGACAGTTCATTGGCAAGTAGATCAGGCAATCTATCTATGGACAGAGAAGGGAATTAACTTCACTTCATACATACTCTAAACATTAAAGCAGGTTTCAAAATTCCTCACATATATTTTATAATCTATGCTTGGGCCGTCTTTTTGTATGTTCATGTCATTTTTCCAAGTTCTCTGATTCAGCAATTCTTGTCAACTTATCCACTCTGCTTGCTAACTTTGCTTCTAAGGTCATCATTTAACATACTAAACGAAAGTCCAGACCTGTAGTACGCCACCAAATTAGCTCAACGAACACTATAAAATATCAGCTATCATTCCCATATCGTTCATGATCAGGAAGTCAAACAGAGTTCCGACTGTTGCGTCATGACGTATTGACCATGCCGTAAATAGCGGCTCAGCAGGGAGTTTATATTTCTGTGACCAAAGTTTTATATAATCATCAAAGTTCAAATATTCTGCCAGAGACCTCCAATCCTTCACTGAAAATAACAAGACACACGATGATAAATATCGCACTTTGAAGAGAAAAATAGTTCCCATGTAATTCACCTAACAAAGGAAGCTCAAAACTTAATCAAATCTTTGCACTTGTCTGTTGCATCAGATTCATGTTGAAAGGATAAGCGGTTTTCCTGGACTTTTGATGACATGATTTACATGGCGTGCAGGCCTGCTATCAATTTAGATAGGTTTTACTATACAAGGTAGGTCGGTTGTAACATTAGTCAAGAATAAGATGCATATGAGCCGTGATATTTGAAAATTGAAATTTATCTGATTGACTAAGACAGGGAAATCTGTCAAATTGAGGAACCCATATCCATAGCTACCCAAGCTACGACTCAATCAACTTATCTCTAAATGGAAAATATCAAGTATTGATAAAGTTAGAACAATAATTTCAAGACTTTTTGGACAACCCTCATACTAAATAGCCTACTTACAGTCATCTCTTTCTACACTAAGGGCAAGTATTAGCCTGTGTCTCACAGAATGCTTCAGTTTTCCTAGGGGGGTTTCCCTATTGAGCTTAGGGCCTGTAATCACAAACACAGTTTCATGTTTTATCCAATGTCTAATAAAACATTAATTTTCTACATGGTACAGTAAACCTGTCTAAGTGGAACACCTTTGGTACCTTTAAAAAGTGTTCCACTTGGGTGGTATTCCACTTAAACAGGTTCATTTAAAAGTCAGTTGGCCTTGGGACTCTAAAAAGTGTTCCACTAACAGAGGTGTTCCACTTCACAAGTTTCACTGTATGTCAAATACCTTCATATCTCCATATTATCAAGCACATATAACTCTAGGCTTTTTTGAAAATCTGCAAAACTGATTAGCTATAGCTATACAGGAGTTCAACAGATCAATGAAACTTACCATTTAATTCTCTCACTGCCCTTGCTATGTCTGGTCTGTGAATTACCCCGTCAAATATTTGCACATCTCCCCTAAGATTGCCCTTCCGCTGTACCGCCTGAACCACTGATGTCACATCCTTGCATCTATCTGCCTGGAATCCAAAATACTCATATATATAACATTAAATGAATACATCCCCATTTGGAATTTTTCAGCAATCATTTAGAACTAAGTTTGGATCAAACTTTTCTTCCAATTTAGTTCTGAATAATGCTAGATCTCTCTTGTGAATCATGTATTGCACAAATTATTAATATATATTAAATAATCACTCCAAATGATACACCAGTTATTCATAGTGTATAGGGCTTATACTGAATCTCCCTTTTCATAGAGTGAAATTATAAAGCAACATTTTGAAGAGACCTAAAAACAACAACATTCTTCCATTAAGGTGGCAATTTGAGAACACAATTTTTTTTAGTGTACTGTACATGGTGATTATTTTCATTTAAAAGAGGTTAATTGGGGGAAAAAGACCCTTGATGGAATCAAATATAATTAGTAAAATATAAAAATGAGATGATGAAACAAATAATATTTACTTAATAGGTAATATACGGTACCTATGATATATTTAATTTATTGCAAAGAATACAAAATTGATACTCAAAATGATGATTTTTAGTACTAAATTGGTACTACATTAATGACAAATGTTTCCACCAACTTACTTCTAAATAGACTTAAGACTGCCCTCCACCCGAATCACCCCACCAGAAAAAGAAGAATGGAAAGAACTAGTAAACTAACCTTATGGATATAACTGTCTTGAAGATTAAGGCGGTCAAAGAGTATTGCACACTGTCCATCTGAGAGATTGGGAAGATTGGCAAACTTGCGTTCTGTGGCGGGGTCAAAGCATTGAGTATTTCCATTTACTTGAAGGCTAAGCAGTGAAAAATCTTCGCTCTCTGAAACAAACATTCAATGAAAGAGATCATAAAAAACAGTGAGCTTTACATTTTTAGAGAAAGTCAACAATCTGTTTTTGAGAGAGATGGATTATATAGAAATTTTCATGCACATCAAAATTAGCAGTACAGATTTCAGTCTCGTTATGGTCTTTAAAATTTTGTAGAATTTTTATGCATTGAATGGTGAGTTTTAGAAGCTTATATTTCTTTTAAAATATTCAAATATATTCGATTAATCCCAGTCCCACCACTTTGGGCCAGTCCCATCAATGCTACCGACTAAGCTATAAAGGCTTAATCCACTATAGCTGGGCTGTAGAAGCAACTTGCTATACAGGGTCATTACACTAATAAGCACAACAGTATTTTAAAAACATGTTTTTTTAGTAATTCATGGTACAAGAATAAATAGGGAAGGTTTTTTATGTTTGTCTTACCAGTAGGTTCCCTTAGAGAGCTAGGTATTGTGCTATTATATGACGTGAGTGTGTCAGGCTCCGATGATGTCTCCGTCACCTCACGGATCACCATCTCTTCTCCAAAGTTGTTACTCACTGGAGACTCACATCTGTCACTACTCACTTCTGGGGCTAAAATAGAGAAATTCAATGAATAAACAAATATAATTTCTTGTTTAGGTTGACATCATACTCCCCAAATACACATCATGGACAGAATCTGAATAAATACACATCATGGACAGAATCTGAATAAATACACATCAAGGACAGAATCTGAATAAATACACATCATGGACAGAATGTGAATAAATACAAATCATGGACAGATTCTGAATAAATACACACCAGGGACAGAATCTGAATAAATACTCATCATGGACAGAATCTGAATAAATACACATCATGGACAGAATCTGAAGAAATACATATCATGGACAGAATCTGAATAAATACACATCATGGACAGAATCTGAAGAAATACACATCATGTACAGAATCTGAATAAATACTCATCATGGACAGAATCTGAATAAATACATATCATGGACAGAATCTGAATAAATACACATCATGCAAAGAATCTGAATAAATACACATCATGGACAGAATATGAATAAATACACATCATGGACAGAATCTGAAGAAATACACACCATGGACAGAATCTGAAGAAATACACATCATGGACAGAATCTGAATAAATACACATCATGGACAGAATCTGAATAAATACACATCATGGACAGAAGCTGAATAAATATACATCATGGACAGAATCTGAATAAATACACATCATGGACAGAATCTGAATAAATACTCATCATGGACAGAATCTGAAGAAATACACACCATGGACAGAATCTGAAGAAATACACATCATGGCCAGAATCTGAATAAATACTCATCATGGACAGAATCTGAAGAAATACACATCATGGACAGAATCTGAATAAATACTCATCATGGACAGAATCTGAAGAAATACACACCATGGACAGAATCTGAAGAAATACACATCATGGACAGAATCTGAATAAATATACATCATGGACAGTGATCAACCTGTATTTGCCTAAATATCACACTGAACACAGAGACTATATTAATCGGCTATTATTGTTCCCAGGGTGAAGAAATCGACCCACTAGGTTCAGGTTGCTCTCAGGGTAGGGTCAATTTTAGTTTTCCAAAATTCTCAACTCTTGCTGTGTGGACTGTGGGATCTCACTGCACAAAGCTTTGAATAATGCAGAAGATGTAGGCATTCTACTTGACACGTACGTCTGTCCGTCCGGAAGATAACTCAAATACTAGTAGACAGATTTTCTTCATATTTAGTGGAAAGATGTATATTGGTGAATAGTTTTACGCAAATCAATGAATAAACAAATATAATTTCTTGTTCAGGTTGACATCATACTCCCTAAATACACATCATGGACAGAATCTGAATAAATACACCTCATGGACAGAAGCTGAATAAACGTCTTTCTGATGTGTATGTATCCTGTTTAATATATAATATGTTTGTTTTTACTAGTTTGTTCTTCAAACTTCAGTCAAATTATATATGAACTCTTTTTTTCTCTGAACAGGAACAATTCTAAATATACATTTCAAACCACATCCAACTTCTGAATAGAATTACTTTTCAAAGAAAAAGAAAGTGTTTATATCATTAAAAACTGGAACAAGGACAAATTAATAAACCACCGCCCCGTAGCCAGGATTTGTTAAAAATTTCCAGGGGGGGTTCACATTTGACAATTTTGAGAAGTGCTCAAAAGGTGAAAAACTGCATGATTTTGAGAGAATATTTGGCCAGGGGGGGGGGGTTGCCCGAACCCTGCGAACCCCCCTGGCTACGGGCCTGAACCAAAATACTTTATTGCAAATGTAATACTAGGGCATCAGAGAGATGTCTTAAACATCATCATCCTAACACTTCTTGAGTTATTTCCTATCAACATGACAAGACAAAATGACCTTGAATTATGTCATATTAATAGATCTTGATGATGACCTCATCTACAATAGCTTAAATACTTTACTGTCATCACTGTGACATCATAGCCATCCAAATATCAATACTTCTAAATGACCTTCCTAATACAAAGGAGTGCTATATGATAAAGAATTATTAGCAATTTTGGTAAATATCACCAAAGTATGTAACTGAGCTGAACTTATGTCAATAATTGGACAGTTGTAAGCATTATCTTGTATTCCTACATTGAATATCACGAAATTATGAATTTATCATGTACTCAGTATTTTGTTTACCACCAGTGAGTGTGAGTAAATACTTTTGAGTATGCAGTACATGTATATCCATATCCCGGGGGGTTCACTGTATATAAACCTTGACGGGGATCCTCGGCGCACATGGGGTACCTTTTTGGACATTTGGTATGGCAATGGACCCACATTTTAGGATGTGGTATGGGAATGCCCCCTCATTAAACTTTTGAGGGATGGAAATGGTCAGATTTTTCAACTTTCTGGTATGAGAATGGTCATGGAAAATAAGTTATCTCACAATTATGGTATGGAATTGGTCTAGTAGTTACACATGTTCGTTCGTTTTCCTCAAAGATCGCCTTCTAGGGACCTTCTTCAGTTTAAATAAATAGCTTTTTTCCCAGGAAATATTCTACTTTGGACCAGTCATGGCATTGCTATGGCATTGGTCCTATATTTTGACATTTGGTATGGCATTGGTTTCATATTTGGGCATTTGGGATGGCTTAATGGGCACTATATCGGTTGGTATGGGAACACATTCAAATTTGACATTTTGGTATGGGAATATATTGATATCTGAGGGTTCAGCCTAGGACCCCTGCCAAATTTTGTACACAGTGAACCCCCCGAGATCCATATATACCAGTATTACATACCTAGCGAAGCATTTGTATGGAAGTCAATGGGAAAGTTAGCGAGCTATATCCACCGATATTGCCCGATTACCCCGATATAGCCCGCTTACCTCGTTTTGATATTAGATTTCTTTAATAACCATGATAATATCATGACGTCACGTCATTGATACAAAGTAACCATGGGAACAAAGGCATGTAATACATCAGTTATGTCACTATGACGTGAAATATGCCTTCGTTCTTGCCCAAATATAGAGCCTCCCAAGGTCGGCCTATATTGGGAGAACTCAGGCATATTTCACGTCATAGTGACATAACCTCTAAATATTTTATTTACATATGCAATCATGGAAAACAGACCCATGAACCCTTCATTATGTGATACCTGGGTTCATATTTTCACTCATATACATGTATACAGTAGAAGTACACTCCAGAACCTTTTGTGCTATTTGTGGACCACTCAGAAAAACAATGATGATTGAACCATAAGCCACTGCATCAGAGGAAACCCTAATTTACCACTAAGCTACACAGGTGAACTCAACCAAACTTTGCGTTGCCTATAGGAGTATTGAATTTGTATTTATGTTCTAGGCCCTACTATAGGGGGCTATACCTTGCTTAAATTATCTTATCTTTTAAACCTTTCTTCTTTTCACGAACTGACAAACTTTATTTCATGTTTACCTGATTCCATTGTGATCCTCCATTGAATATTCCTTGTTACCATGGCAATCCTCATGTCAAATGATAATTAATAAATGCAGTTTGTCTTGAAAATGAAGAAGTGTTCAGCTAGCTTAGAACCTACATGTACGTGTACTGTACATGTAAGTGATCATAGTAATCCAACTACTTTACAAAATGCGAAACTGAACAAGGCAGATATTTATTCAGTTTGATGAATCATCTTTATTGTAGTTTATTACATTTAAAAAGTCTTAACTGATTTTCTACATAGAATAGCTTCCTCAAATTGCTTCCTCAATGTTTATCATGAATGTCAAATTGTCCTTCCTCATCCAGTCATGGGGTCTAGTATTCTGCTGCTCTGTGCATCTTCTGATTGAAACAAAGGCAGTTTGAGTAAAAGCTGTAACGTGAGACGTGTTTATTCCATAAAACCAATTGCAATGAATAAGAACGACAAGAGACCAGACACTTTACCACGATGACTCACATTTACAATCATGGCCTGTGGCCAGAATAAAATTTTGAAAATATGTGAAGTTCTACTTACATTTTCTCGGGAGATTAACGCCTAAAACTTCTTCGGAATTGCCAGCCATGTAGCTCAGACTTTCATCTAGACGACTCCAAAAATATAATTGAAAATACCGAAGATGTTATACCGAAAGCTTAGTTTGATATAACTGCATTTTCGAACAGAATTTCTAAAATGTAAACATGACTCATGAACTGAGCTCTGTAATATTTTCGTATTTTATTATTGTCTATAAACAAAACGATTTTCCTCCAAATGTCAACTTTGACATTTATAGAATATATGAATATAATTCGAACGAATGAAATAAGTGTGCTTTGCTAATATATACTGGGTTTCGTTTCGTGATTTGTACTAATGAGTGATTCAAATTTGCTAGCTCTGTCTTTTAAAGATGCCCGGATATTAAAATCTTGAAATGGAAAATATTTCCTCACAAAATGTCCAGTTTTCAGATTCTTCAGTGTCGAATATAGCAAGACCAAGTACTTCGTATGATGCGGATTCTATCAACGAACAAAATGTGTAAGTTTTATTAAATAATATTCCTTTTTTATACTGAGAAAAGTGTTTTCCACTTTTTTCTAAAATGACAGGGTCATTTCAGGATTTCAATTTGACATTTCATTTCATAATTTTAAGTCACCTCTGGCTCTGTCAATATTTACAGATACAAGCACAATGAGTTTTATAGTTTACTTCAAAGAATTGAATTGTCATGATATTTTTAGAGGTTTTGTCACCATTACAAGAAATCTTCTAGAACAAGTTCTCTCAATATAGGCCAACCTTGGGAGGTTCTATTTTTGGGCAACAACGTAGGTATATTTTACGTCATAGTGACGTCACATGACATATGTATTACGTACCTTTATTCCAATTGGTACTTTGTGTCAATGATGCTAACTTCCTGATTGACTTCCATACAAATGCTTCGCTAGGTAACTAGAAACTACAGTTGGGGACAAAAATAAATGACAGGTCGATTTTCGATCACCATTTCCTAATTATGGTGGTCTGAAAGCCCATAATTTCCAATATTGTCTAGATACATATCCCTTAAAATTTGTATATTTTACATTTTGTATAATCTCATCCACTGATTCATGGCCTCTTGTAAATTCTCTTATTTTTAACATGGGGAATCCTCACTTCAGCAAATCCACCTGTCATTTGTTTATGTCCCCAACTGTAGATACAGCATCTCAAAGTGTTTCCTGGAGTCATTGGGAAATTTTCATATCACTTTTTTATATCAAAGCACATATTATTTATCCCCTACCTGTATTCAAGATGGTGGAAGGGGAACCCCCTGCAGCACCAGAACCAGATGTACCAACCAATAGATGGAGGAATTTTGACGGTTGAAATAAGTTAGTTTTCTTGTTCTCATACGACTGGGGATAACTTCATTAAAATAAACTGAGTATTAGAATACTTTTTACACATTTGAATCCCCCAGGCCCGTAGCCAGGGGGGGGGGTTCTGGGGGTTCAGGCGAACCACTTTACCATATCTCCTACCTCAGACCCGTAGCCCCCCCCCCCCCCCCGTGGCCAAAATTTCTTTCAAAATCATGCAGTTTTTCACCATTCTAACTATTTTTGTGTGATTTTTGGCCAAACCAAACCCCCTTAGAATTTTTGGGAAAAGTGAACCCCCCTTGAAAAAGCTCTTGTGATAATGTATCATATGAAATCCCATTTTCGATCAAAGTGGGTCGTGAATTGCCACAATATAGCGTCTTCGATTTGTCAGTGACAACGGAATCTGAATTTGAGTAATTTAGAAAGACAACAGCATATGGTAATTACAGTGTCCGTTGTCTCATATCTCATTTTGATCAGTTAAATCAAAGACTTTATTTCGATGGTAGAACATTATTAACTGTACAATGAGTATTAAGATACTTTGATTGATTGTTGTTCCAAAGGAATTTGGTCTAGGTGCTCTATTAAGCATACAGGTCATGAAAATCTAATTGTAGCCACAGTTATGTCCGCCATTTGTGACTTTACCATTGTCAGGCTATTCTGGGGTGACTTTAAACCCAATATAATAAATATACTGTATAACATGTATTAAATCCGGGTGCTTTATTTTCCGAATTGGATTAAAATTGTTATTGCCGAATAAAAGTTTGCCAACCTGACACCCCTAAATGTAAAGCCAAATAAAATATTGCTAAGCTGACACCCATAATATAATTTTGATTTACAACTGAATTTTAATCACCTCCATTTGATTGACTCAGAAAACCTGACATCCCTAATGGTTAAGATTATGAGTGACAATTTGAGTGATTTATTAACATAATACCCGCATTCGATAGACTCAGGAAAATTAATACCAGGATTAAAAACTTTTAATATCGGGATTAAAAACATTTAATATTGGAATTTCCAAAGCACTTGGACACAATAAGATCTTCTGACATTTTAACTTTTTAACATTACAATCCTTTTAATAAAATTTTTATAGATTTTACTTCATGCATTTTAACTGCAACATTTTTATTATTAACTTTTTATTGTAATTTTATGCTGGGGAATAAAGCTTCGATTTTATCGTATTTTATTTATGATTTCTGTTCAAGTATAGTAAGTTGATACTCGTTAGAAAATTACCCTATTACAGTAAGTTGACACACGTTAGACAACTACCATATTATCGCCCACTAAGATCGATCTTCAATTACTTTATTATATTTCAGAATTTTATGTTGCCGTTTCTGTTTTACATTTGGCAACTTTATATCCACAGCAATATTTCATGTTATACAGTATCCATTATCTTGTACAGTATGTCAAACTTGTATATTTGTTCAAATCACTTTGCTTTCAGAGTCTATGGCAATCTATTCCAGCGTCATTTTGACAGCGAAAATGGTGTTATTTCTGCTGATAAGGTTCGTCTGGCGCTGTATGAGATTGGTCTCTACCCATCAAGAGCACAGGGTGAGTACAATAATATGGCATAATTAATTTCTCTTCTTAAAGCATGAACAGTCTCCCCTGGTCAAGATTCTAATTTTACACATGCCATCTGAAAATCTTCTAGAATTCAAGAATATGATTTTAGGTATGTCTTCTAAAAAAATGTCCAAAAATTCAAGATTCCGATTTTACCAATGGCTTTTGAAAAATGTCTAAAATTCAAGTTTCTAATTTACCCTCCCCATCTGAAAATGTCCAAAATTCAAGATTCTGATTTTACCAATGGCTTTTGAAAAATGTTCAAAATTCTAGATTCTAATTTTACCAATGGTTTATAAAATTGTCTGAAATTCAAGAGTCTAATTTTACCTATGTCTTACAATTATACATTTGTTCATTTGTTTTAACAGTTGAGGAGATGCTCCAATCAGCTGCCAAATATGGTCACCATGACGACAGCTTCCTGACTCAGGCAGAGTTCACTTTTATGGCATCTGAACTCAATGGTCTCTATAGTAAATGGTTAGTAATTTTTTTTAAATCTTCAACTTAATTCATTGCAGATATATTTTTAGAACATTTTATCTGGATTGCATTACTCGCATCCTCATTTTTTGGCAACTAAAGACAATATTTTTAAATGTTGATCACAGGTAAATATTCATATCAACATTGATGAAGAAGTTTTTGTCTGATAATGTATTTGAAACGTAAATGTTATCTTTCCATTGCTTTTAGCCTTGGTCCACCTGTAGCACAGTGTAAAGTGACAAGTGACAATGACCTCATTCAAAATCGCTACAAGAGAAGCATGTCGGGGATTATCAAAGAACCCTTCCAAGGTATGCACATTATATTCTTAAACTATGATTTATACAAGATTTAAAATATCCGTTGTACAGGGTGGTTAAAAAATGGCAACCCTAATTTTTCCTCATATCTCTGTCATTTGAGGAAATTGCTCCCTGATTTTTGACACATTTGTACATCGTTTAATTTCCTACCAGCCCACCATATTTCATGATGATCAGACTGATAGTCACAATATCACAGCATCTTAAACAACATACCCCAGATGCTCACTTTAGGGCTGTCTGAACTGGTCTGGTATTTGGATGAACTCTTATTTCAAACTTGATAATCTGGTAATCTCTAACAAGTATGTTTTCTTAGGGAGCCAAGCACTTGATGAAGTAGTGGAGAGGCACATTCACACAGTCAGATGCCCAGTTTAGTGTATGCTAGGCACATAGGGATAGGGTCCTTTACCTTACCTTTGTCCTTTGAAGATGCCTGCAAAAATGCAATAACTGTCAACATCAAATGCTATATTGTGATTCTCAGGAAGTTCTGGGAGGGGGGGGGGCTTTAGGTAAACTCATGGGGATTGATAAGTAGCAGCAGTTTTTCTAACACAACAGAGCCATGCCCCATACAGCCAATGATGCACTAGAATCGTTTTGGCACAACTTCAATGACCACATTATCAGCAGGATGACAGATAATGAATACGCGCCCCATAGCCCAGATATAGCCCCATTTAACTTTTACCAGTGGAATATAGAGTATACAAAATTATAGGAACTTGTTAAAAAACTACAGCAATTTTACTGTTGTCGATGTTGCTATAAGTTTACAATTTGTTTTTTATTCGCTGCCATTAGAGGAGCCATCCCAGAGATGTAATATCAACTGGGATGAGTTGTCATTGGACTCAGATTGTACCTTAGACCCCAATGTGAATAGTATGATACCCCTCTGTAAGGCTAGCGTTATTAAATTTCATGTTAAGCATTATTTTAGTAAAATAAGGGATTAAGGTTTTATGTCTTCGCCAAGGAGCACCAACATATTGTTCTAGCCACTATTTTTTCTGTCACCACCAAAAAGTGGTGACATATTCTATTGTCTCCGTTTTCTGGGAACGGCGATCAGCGGTTGGCGGTTGCCATTTGGCATTAGCAGTCAGCATTCAGTCTCTGTAACATATGGTTACATTGTTGCAACAACTTACCAGGTGCCAAAATATTTTATGTGATTGGCTTGGCTGTTTCATGTTCAAAGCGTGGCTTAGTATGGAATAGTTTGAGAATGAATAAGATATGTTAATATTACAATTAAACATATCACACGGAGTGGAATTATGATATGGCTTAAGATAGACAAATTGGGATATGCTTAACATATATTTTGTATACTGTGGCCTAAAATGATCTCATATCCAATCATATATCATTTAATGTAGTGAATTGGTGGAAAAAGATGAATTAACACACACATTGATATATTTGCATGGTAAATACTGAAGCATTGGATATATCTGTATGTATATGTAATGGCCAGAATAAAATCTGAGGTCATATATTGCACCATAAATCATAAAATCTTTGTTATGATTCTAAAAATATAATATGATAAACAGACAAGAAACAACTATTTGCATTTATAAGTTTTAGTGGTCATGCATACTCCAATATAGACCAGTAAATCAATTATTCTAGCTTTTGCGATGTCACATATCATATTGGAATCACATTTTAAACAATTTAAAACTGTGATCATTTTAAAACAGCCTAAAATGACTGAAAAAAAGTAGAAAAAAAAACCTTCACATATTGTTTCAGTTTTCCTTGGGGGGTCCTGTAACCCGACCACGTGGCGTAGAGACGATGCAATACCCTACCTCAAACAACATGGAGTCACGTATTATAATCCGGTAAGTCAACATGTGAATTTCACCTTATAAAATGTAGGGAGATTCCAAAAATATAGAATTTCAAAACTAAGTCAACGGGGGGATCTCAGGGGTTTCACTAGAATTTCTCACACAGGCTAAATAAATGGAATTCTTGAATTTAACATGGAAAGTTCAAAAGTCCCTAAAGAAAATAGGCAATTTTGTGTTTACTTACAAGCAACCGGTGAAAATAGCCTGTTGCCTGCTGCTAATGAAACCCCTGGGATCTGGTCTCATTGATATTTTGATGCCCTCTTTGATTTGATTCTCACAAATAGTCTAACATTTTATAATTTCAAGTTTTTCTTTGGGGTTTATTAATTTTAAATGATCCAGTATGTCAGATTATAGACTTCTTACTTGTGATTTTATGTCATACAGAAAAATATAAGAAAAACTCTCAATGTGTTAAACTAATAAAAACTTACCAACCTTCAATTCTTTAACAGAAGCCCATACTTTGACCAATATTTTGTACATTTATGTTTTCTATATGCTTTATTTCAGCAAGTTGAAAAGTGGCATCCGGCTCTGATAGAAATAGAAGATCAAGCGAAACTTCAGGCGCATCTCCTCTTCTTTGTCATAGACAACAAGACTCGGTCCACTGTGTCTATGTTAGAAGCTGCATATTTAGCAGGTATGTACATATTGTGTCTATGTTAGAAGCTGCATATTTAGCAGGTATGTACATATTGTGTCTATGTTAGAAGCTGCATATTAAGCATGTTATGTACATATTTTGTCTATGTTAGAAGCTGCATATTTAGCAGGTAATGTGCATATTGTGTCTATGTTAGAAGCTGCATATTTAGCAGGTATGTACATATTGTGTCTATGTTAGAAGCTGCATATTTAGCAGGTAATGTACATATTGTGTCTATGTTAGAAGCTGCATATTTAGCAGGTACATATTGTGTCTATGTTAGAGGCTGCATATTTAGCAGGTATGTTCATATTTTGTCTATGTTAGAAGCTGCATATTTAGCAGGTATGTATATATTGTGTCTGTGTTAGAAGCTGCATATTTAGCAGGTTATGTACATACTGTGTCTATGTTAGCTGCATATTTAGCAGGTATGTACATATTGTGTCTATGTTAGATGCTGCATATTTAGCAGGTATGTACATATTTTGTCTATGTTAGAAGCTGCATATTTAGCAGGTATGTACATATTGTGTCTGTGTTAGAAGCTGCATATTTAGCTTGTAGTACATATTTTGTCTACGTTAGAAGCTGCATATTTAGGAGGTATGTACATATTTTGTCTATGTTAGAAGCTGAATATTTAGCTGGTATGTACTGTACACCTTAGCAGTTCAATGTGCAGACGTATTATCCCATCAAACAAAGATCGAAGGGATATAGAGAACGGCTCTGTCGATTTGTATGTCCGTCTATCCATGCGATGACTCAAATATTTTTAGCCTAATATTGTTTATATTTTATTATACGTATATGCCTCATGTGAGTACAAGTTCTGCTCGAAAGCAGATTTTCAAAATGTCTGCCAGTTTCAAAATTGCCACCGTTTTAGTGTCAATTTTACAGTATTTTAGGAATAACATATAAAACTGTAATATATATTGATATGTTTTAAATGCAAAATATTATATAGGATAAGATAGATATGTAGATTCTCAATTCTGAATTTTACAAGGATTATCACTAGTCAGTGTGGTTTATCTGATTTAAAAGGAAGATTAAATGGTAAATAGCAACTTACAGGTCAATTGAGGCAGATATGCAAATATGCAAATATGTTCACTATTTAATTGACATTGCATTATTTAGTAGTCTCTGTAAACATTTATATGTAAGAAAACTAGAAATAAAATAATGAATTGAAATTTTAAAAAAAACTGTTTCGAAATTTGAGGAGGCACGACTGAAGTCGTGAACAACTTAGCAATCTTAATCACTTATTCTGAATGTTTTAATTATAGACTCCAGCTGTTTAATATCTTAGAGTAAAAATAGAGTAATGTCATTAAAGGTGCTTGTCACAAATCAAACTAATTTATATATACAGGGGCCAACCAGGAAGGTTCCTTTCAATTTAAAAACGAGTTGTAAACCATAGATCTATTTTTAAATGTTAAGGTTTTAAATTATATTCTATTTAAATTCTATCACACATTCTTGTATATGTGGTCTGAGATAATGTTTCTTATCTGATATTCCTAATTACATAAAAAGCTATCTGACAAATCAGACTAGCAATTTGTAGAACACAAGTGCTAGTTATTGTGACAATGTTTGCTTCACTGACCTTGGGTATAAGTATCTGACAAATCAGACTAGCAATTTGTAGAACACAAGTGCTAGTTATTGTCACAATGTTTGCTTTTCTGACCTTCGGTATAAGTATCTGACAAATCAGACTAGCAATATGTAGAACACAAGTGCTAGTTATTGTCACAATGTTTGCTTTTCTGACCTTCGGTATAAGTATCTGACAAATCAAACTAGCAATATGTAGAACACAAGTGCTAGTTATTGTCACAATGTTTGCTTTTCTGACCTTGGGTATAAGTGTTGCTGTGAGCACTGTTGTTGTTTTATGTTCTAAATCAGTATCTGACAAATCAGACTAGCAATATGTAGAACACAAGTGCTAGTTATTGTAACAATGTTTGCTTTTCTGACCTTCGGTATAAGTATCTGACAAATCAAACTAGCAATATGTAGAACACAAGTGCTAGTTATTGTCACAATGTTTGCTTTTCTGACCTTGGGTATAAGTGTTGCTGTGAGCACTGTTGTTGTTTTATGTTCTAAATCAGTATCTGACAAATCAGACTAGCAATATGTAGAACACAAGTGCTAGTTATTGTCACAATGTTTGCTTTTCTGACCTTCGGTATAAGTATCTGACAAATCAAACTAGCAATATGTAGAACACAAGTGCTAGTTATTGTCACAATGTTTGCTTTTCTGACCTTGGGTATAAGTGTTGCTGTGTTTGCTGTGCTGACCTTTGGTATAAGTGTTGCTGTGTTTGCTGTGCTGAGCACTGTTGTTGTTTTATGTTCTAAATCAGTATCTGACAAATCAGACTAGCAATATGTAGAACACAAGTGCCAGTTATTGTTGCAATGTTTGCTTTTCTGACAATCGGTATAAGTATCTGACAAATCAAACTAGCAATATGTAGAACACAAGTGCTAGTTATTGTCACAATGTTTGCTTCACTGACCTTGGGTATAAGTGTTGCTGTGTTTGCTGTGCTGACCTTTGGTATAAGTGTTGCTGTGTTTGCTGTGCTGAGCACTGTTGTTGTTTTATGTTCTAAATCAGTATCTGACAAATCAAACTAGCAATATGTAGAACACAAGTGCCAGTTATTGTCGCAATGTTTGCTTCACTGACCTTGGGTATAAGTGTTGCTGTGAGACTAGCAATTTGTAGAACACAAGTGCTAGTTATTGTCACAATGTTTGCTTCACTGACCTTGGGTATAAGTGTTGCTGTGTTTGCTGTGCTGAGCACTGTTGTTGTTTTATGTTCTAAATCAGTTTCAGTCGAGACCTTGAGGAAAGTGCAATGACTTCTATTCACATCAAATGTTTGTTTAGGTAATTTGTTTATTAGTTTTACTGCTTTCCTTTGTAAAATTGTGTTCCAATCCACAGTATGATTGACATAATAAGCTACATGGAAAAGGATCGTACATGCCTCTTCGCAAGCGTAATAGCATGTCATTGTAACAACGCCAAAGATATTGTATTCCTCCCATACCAGGTCAATAATATCATCATTACACTCACCACTTTGTACATAGCAATAGCACGTCGCTTTAATCACCATGATAGAAATGAGAAAACACCTACCATCTTGGTACATATATGGTGGTGAACACTTAGTGATACGTGTCTCTTTATTCTTAATATTGAAGCTTGTACCAACTCCATTCAGTCTGGCAACTGGGGCAATATCGACATTTACACTCTCATCAGCGTTTATGTCTAACAGTACAGAATATGTGAAGAAAGATGGTATGCTAGGGTACCTCATCATCATAGTGACATAACAATTTGAATCATTACCGGCTTCATAATTGCAAAATACACAGTATTTGTTTCTCATGATATATGGTACGGTTTTTATTGCTATCCTTTGGGGGTCATATGGTCCTTCTTTGCACTGTTGTTTCAAGATATCATTCTTACACCTGGATTGGCAACTGTTAATGACATTGATGCATGGGCGTATATCTGTATGTACAGGTGGCTGAAAAAAGTTCGTGCATATTCCCTTATTAGTAAAACGGTGAAATCGTAGCATTGAGGTCATGAACTTGTCACTTGTGGGATCTTTAAGAACATATCCGGAACAGTTCACAGTGGTCTTCCATGGTTGAATGGTTTGCACATCATGGCACAAAGCACAGAAATAGTTAGCATAGGCGATTCTCGACTTGAGGTCAGTTGCAGGTACCGCACTTATCAGTCCATCTGGTTCCAGGCACTTCCGTTTCACATCGATGTCTTTGTACCCTGGCTTGCAAGATTGCCTCATGTAGATGTATCTTTCAGGATTTGAAGCAATTTTCTTACACTTACTTCCATGTGTTTCATCTGTCTGCTGGACTTCACTGGGTGAGACATTATTCCTGCATTCAGTATCAAAATCTGGACAGCAAGTCTCATAAACATGGCAGGCACTATCACAGGAACACAACCACAGAGGGTCTTTAAATTGATTCACCTGTCCACATTTTCCACGGCAGCTATTATTCATACAAGACGCATAGATGGATGCACCACACAGTTTATTAAATTCCTCGATGTCGCTTCCTGGAGTCAACTCAGTCCTTACTGATGCTGTGGTGAGATGCGTTGCATTCAGCCCAACTGAGGATGGATGTGATGTGTTCTGACGAATGTTCAGGTAGCTGGTAGCAGTCTCAGCCACTGCATCATCTTCATGCTTTCTTGGACTCCTTACCTTTGATGTCTCCCCAATTTCTATGAGAACTTTTGAAGCCAACATTACCATCAATAATTCAGAGAGCATTGTTCCGTTTCAGGCTGTTGAAGTCTATTCAAAAGTTTTTGGTATCCTGATATCCTCCGTCTTTATATACATGTATGGGTGTGTCTTTATGAAATAACCATTTTACTATTATGTTTCTGCAAAGACAAATTTAGTTAAATTTCTCCTGTATCCACTTATTGTATCTTTTTACTTATGGTCCCATATGGGAGGCGTCAATAGTTCAATTGATTTTGTGAAAACCGCCTGTTGCCTGCTGCTAATGAAACCCCTGATATGTATACCAGGCCCGTAGCCAGAATTTTCCAAGGGGGGGGTTCGTTTTTCTAAAAAATTCTAGGGGGGGTTCACTTTGGCAAATATGGCCATAAATCACTCAAAAATTAGTCAGAATGGTGAAAAACTGCATGATTTTGAAAGAAATTTTGGCCAGGCCCCCCGAACCCCCCTGGCTACGGGCCTGTATACATATATTATATATGTAGGGTCGTGGCTTCATAAAAAAGCCATTTAAACTGACTTTCGAATACTTTAGAGACCGAAATTTGGGATTTCAAGGAATACTTTTCAAGAAAATAGTCTTACGTTTCTATTAGGATGGGTTCAGGTGCCCAAAATATCTGATCCATGGATATATATCATTTTGAAAATTGGAAGCAAGAAATATTTTTTGGAGGCCATGTTTTTTATGAGTCATAACAGGAAATAGATTATCTAAATGAAAACTGGATTTGCATCATTAATCCTGATTTTGGCTTAGAATATTTACCTAAATATATATTTATTAAATATTATTAGTATGAAAATTGACTTTTTTTTATTAATCTTATGCAGTGATTTTCTAAAATTCATAACATAGCTTAAAAATTACATGCTTTATTCAACTTGTCCCTATGGCCTAGCTTTTGATGGTTCGAATCCCTGTCGTGCCCAAGATTTTTTTATTTATCTCTTGGCCACAATATTTTTTTAAAATCTCTTTTTATACATCATATAGTCATATCTATTACTTTTTAATGTTTTGGATTTTAGATACATCGTCTGTGTGTTACTTAAACTATCATGTTTCTGCAGACATTTAATTAAATTTTTCTTAGATCCACTTATTGCATCTTTTTACATAACAAAGAAAGTCAGATGGCTGTTAAAATTTTAAATTCTAAGAAGTGGATTTATAAAAGCTTAAAACTGAATAAGATGAGTATGGTATGCTATTTCATGTTGTTGTTCCAAAAGATTGTTTTTTACCAAATTTTCATGAAGACTTCTAAAAAACATGGATAGTCTTTACATTTATTATTTCAAATGTCATCTAGACATTTATTATTATCCCATCAAACAAAGTTCGGGGGATATAGAGAACAGCTCTGTCTGTCCATATGTCCATCCATCTGTGCTTAATACGTCCGATCGTCTGAGCAATAACTTAAATACCATTGGACCAATTTTGTTTATTCGTATATGTCCCATGGGAATACAACTTCTGCTTAAAAGCCTATTTTCAAAAATGGCCACCAGTTTCAAAATGGCTGCCATTTTAGAGTCAATTTTTAAGTATTTTAGGTACAACATATAAAACTGTAATATTGATATATTTTAAATGCCCAAAAATTGTATAGGATATTGATTCAGCTGAAAATCTAAATAGTTATTAAAAAACATGTTTTTCATTTCGAAATTGATTCAATTACATAATGATAAAGATTTTAACAGTAGACATTAGTGGTGTAGATAAGTACTCACGTAATCATCGAATCGTCTCGCCAAGGTGTTATAGAATTCGGCTCGATTAGGAGTTCAGATTTCGCGAATTATTACACGAGTCTGAGACTCGCGAATTTGTATTCGTATTCGCGATTTCACAGCGAATCCTGACGTCAAATGCATTGTTTTTTCTTACAAACAGGGTGAAACTATGTACAAATGATTGTTCCGTGTATCATTTGTTTTTATTTGAATGAATATGAGTAATAAATCTAATTTAAATGAAATATTTTTGAGTCTATTTTTTAATTCCATGATTAATTCAGTCCGTAGAACCGGAAATGAAAGTGCTGCAACAATGTGTGGCGGGAAACATAAAATAAACAATATTTCAATTTTTGTTGTAATTAATCGTAAGTATGTTATTTAAATCGGTAGATATGGACAACTCTTGATATACCTAGCGTACCTAGGGTATTGTGCAAGTGAACAACATTGAAAAAAGGACTAAAAAACGACCATATGACATGCAATGGTAAGATTTTTTCTTCATATTTTTTTGATGAAAAATCGCGATTCTTATTCGATCTCAGACTCAAAATCATGCGAATTACTCGATTCCAAAAATCCCCGCGAGTTACAACACTAGTAGACATATGTTTATGTGTATATACTGAGTTTACAATTAAAAATGTATGAATATAAAATAATGCCTTTAATTTATAAGAAAGATAGTATGAGCAACTTATTGGGAGCAGGAGCAATGGGGACAATGTTGGCCATCTTGAAAAATGGTGGCTTTTTCAAAGGTTCTAAAAAGCAAGCACAATGACCCAATTAATATTATCCAACATGAATCTACTTGTTGAGACATGTTCTGCTTGTGTGGAGACAGAAAAACACTAATTGTAATGTAATTTGGAAACTGGGAGAAGATGCTTTGAATTAAAGTTTTAGGAGTAATATTTTCAAATGAATGTAATAATCCTGCATGTAAAAGTATAGAAAATTGGAATTCAAAACTTTTTAAAAATTATTTCACCACAGAGAATATTAGAGAGAATTAATAACATGCTATATCATTTCAGGGCTGTCAACTTGGGACCACCTAATATGAGTGACTTACAAATGTTGGACACCGAAGTCCAAATCTGAACACTTTTGTCCAAATTTTGAACACCTTTGGCCAACTTTTAAACACCTTTGGCCAAAGTTTGAGCACCTTTGCTAAACTTTTATCACCTCAAATTTTTCGCGCTCGCTACGCTCGCGATGTCGTCAACGGGGGGGGGGGGGGGGGGGGGGGGGGGGTTACATGCGTGACATATACAGGATTCGCGTGACAAATCCGAACAAATTGCGTTCGTTTTTTTCCGACGTTCGTCTTTTTACCGTATCATAAACATATTTTGAAAAAATTTTTACAGAAACATATTTGCGTGACAATTACCAGGTAAAATGCGTATTTGCGTGACATTTTGTGTCACGCAAAAAAAACTGGCGTGACTTCAAATTCTTCAGCAAATGCGTGACAAATACGCAAATTGCGGGACAGTTGACAGGCCTGTCATTTGTACGGAAAAAATGCAACTAATGGTGAATTAAAAGAAAAATTCTAAGACAAAATTATGTACATTGTAGAGCAAATACTGTTGATATCCATGTGACAAGTGATGACATGGGTTAAAAGAATCTATATTTAAGGTAGTTCATCGTGGAACAAAGTAAGTCGCAACTTACTTTGTTGCGACGGGGAGCTGTTTCTACCTTAGGATATCAAGTTACATTATCCTACCACACGTATATGCCCTATGGTGTCTGTGTGAGATATGTAACTCAAATGAAAATGAAACTTTCTTGAAAATCAACTCATGGTTTAAACATATTTGAACAAATATCAAACTATAGAATGATAGAAGGTAAAAAAATATGATTGAAAAACTTCCTATATTCTAATATACGGTCATTGAAACAACAAAAAGTATTAATATATTGATGAAGTTTTATGGAATAATATGAATATTTAATATAAGAAAGCCAATATATTTTTTGACACATAGATTAGTAAATGTATTATGAGGGTGAGAGATGTTTTGTATGAAGGTAGAGTGTTTGGATACCATCATGTTCAGTCAATGCACCCTTGCTGAAATCCTCATTTTCTCAGAAGAACTCAAATTGATAGAATCTCAACAACTACATTCTGTTGTGGAATAGTACTGCTAGAGTCCATTTTCAAAAGTTAGAATAGTAGTGAAAAGTAGTTGAGGAATTTTGTTGAAATTTTATATGTTAATACTTGGAAGAATATTCCACTGTAAATGACAATTTGACTAAAATGCCAGCCATGACTGTTTGATGGGAGTTGCAAAACCTTGGCGTTGCTGTTATTCAGTTCGTCAATTGTCTTACATCAAATTGAAATTAAATTCTGAAAATCTGAACATGGTTTATGACAAGAATGTATTGTGTGTTTTCAGGTTGTGGGAAGCAGCTTATTCTGGTCATACGATATTGTACTGAAAACTGCGCAATTTCTCAAACAGAAAATATTTCTGAAGAGTAAGTTTGAATTTAGTATCAGGTTGTAGTCTTTATGAAATCACAATGCTTCATTATATACTTTTCATTGAATATACATTATGGACCTAATCTATTGTATTTCTATTATTTCCAGTTTGATATGTTTTGTTTATTGCCGACAATGTTGAAAAACGTAGGCAATAATATTGTATTGTATTTTTATATATTATATATGGAATAAATGAGAAATGAAAAAAAAAATTGAATATACAAAAAATAGTGTTTCGTATGTATATTAAAAAGGTTTGTCCTTCTCCCAGAATACACTTAATTCTCCCAAACAGCCTGAGTTGGGAAGATATCAGGGTTGAGAGGATATAATGTCTTAATGAAAGACTTGTATGACTGTATGATGTCATCAATGTTTGCTAAAATGTGTAATACTCTTTTCTATTTTATTTGTTTGCATATACTGGTTACAAGCATTATTCTCATGTTGCTTGAATGTGTTTTCGTTATTTTTAGTCCTGTAAAATATTTTAACTTCTACTGAGGGCTCAAGCAGCAGACATTTAATATGTCAACATTTTTATGTCTCTACCAGAAGTGGTGATATATTGTTATAGTCTCCAACTTTTTTGTGGATGGTGTTCGGCAGTTGATATTTGGCCATTGGCATTCAGCGGCATTATCATATGTAACAAATGGTAGGTGGTATGTTAATGCCTTCTTATGCACTCTGTGGCTGATATGTCTGATATGCTATGCATTTGTACTTTCAGGGAGTTGGAAGAACTCTACCAAGTGAGGACTTGGCTACTGGATGTTGTGGAAAGAACTGGAATTCCTGTTTTCACTGATCTCAAGCTAGCACTAGAGTGTGCGGTCAAGTGCATTAAACAGGTTAGTTAGCACTAAAGTGTGTGGTCAATGCATTAAACAGGTTAGTTAGCAATAGAGTGTGCAGTCAAGTGCATTGAACAGGTTAGTTAGTGCAGTCAAGTGCATTAGTTAGCACTAGAGTGTGCAGTCAAGTGCATTAAACAGGTTAGTTAGCACTAGATTATGCAGTCAAGTGCATTAAACAGGTTAGTTAGCATTAGAGTGTGCAGTCAAGTGCATTAAACAGGTTAGTTAGTGCAGTCAAGTGCATTAAACAGGTTAGCACTAGAGTGTGTGGTCAATGCTTCTTATTTTTAGGTCACATGTTCAACATGGACAAATCAGAGTGTTAGTAATATTTGAGGGATGTAACACTTCTTGTTATCTACCTTCAGGGTTTATCAGTTCAACAACTGTCTACAGAACATGGAGCTACTCCAGTGAAAAATGGACACTTGCGTGTGGGCCACAGACTTGTGTAAGTGTCTTATTGGATGTTTATATGTCACCCTATGCAGACAGAGCCTGTGGGAAATATTGGGTGCGGAGCAAATGAGCGGAGGGTGCGGAGCTAACGGTTATTTTTGAATTTAAATTTGGGATATTTCTGAAACTAAGCCGTTTTGGGACTTCAAATATACCGAGATATGTGTATTTGACACCAAATATCAATACAATTGTGAAAATAGTAGCGCAATTCATTCTATAGCGACGCAGTGTGCCTTAAACCTTTCCCAGACCTATATATTTTGAAATTATCCTTTTAATACTGAGTCCCCAGCATTCATAAAAAATGGTGTTTAAGGTGCACTATCTATACAAATTATTTTTGCATCTTGGAAGCCAGGCAGTATCTGTGTGATTTTATAAAAATTCGGAAATTTTTTCAGATATGAGCCCCCTCTAAATATTGGGTGCGGAGCAGCTCCATAAACATAGCTCCGCACCCAATATTTAGAGGGGCTCATATCTGAAGAACATTTCCGAATTTTTATAAAATCACACAGATACTGCCTGGCTTCCAAGATGCAAAAATAATTTGCATGGGTAGTGTATCTTGAACACCATTTTTTATGAATGCTGGGGACGCAGTATTAAAAGGATAGTCTCAAAATATATAGGTCTGGGAAATGTTTAAGGCATACTGCGTCGCTATAAAATGAATTGCACTACTATTTTCACAATTTTATTGATATTTGGTGTCAAATACACATATCTTGGTATATTTGAAGTCCCCAAACGGCTTAGTTTCAGAAATATCCCAATTTTAAATTCAAAAATGACCGTTAGCTCCGCACCCTCCGCTCATTTGCGCCGCACCCAATATTTCCAACAGGCTCTGTCTGCATAGGGTGTATGTATGTGTCTCAAGTCTGTCTCTTTTATGTGTCTCGGACATTGTTAGAAATCAATCAAATCCATGAGCAATGTGTTGTGATTTCATCTTGTTTTTTTTAATTGTTTGTTTTGGATCTCGAGAAAATGATTTTAGCTTTCTCAAAAATATATTTCTTAAAAATACAAGAATTTGTCAGACATAACAAACTTGGATAAATGAACATATTCACTTAACGATTATTATTTTATGGAAATAATTTCAGAATGTTAAATGTAAACAAGTGGATATTTCTGACCTATTGTAGAACTCTTATTCTTATTTTGTGTTTAAAAAAGTTATCTTGCTTTGATTGCAGTAAAATCCATGATGCTTTCCATTCAGTGAATAAAGAAGAAACAATATCTCAAAAAGACTTATGTCATGCATTTAGAGTGCTTCACGGTTGTGCAATAACAAGAAAATATATCAGGGATAAAAAAAGATGCAGCCACGGGTACAAATTTGATGATTTCCTTGCAATCGTCAATGAAACGGACAAAAGAGAGAGGATGAGTGCTCGGGTAAGTGTTTCTATGACAATCTGGTTTTAAAAATAAGATAGTTTTTTGAAAATTAGTCTTGCATTGAGCCTTTTGTCCTATCTGCTTTACCTATTTGTGGAAGTGATGTGTGTAGGGAATCACATGGGCTTGAAGCAAGACTATATCAAAATTATTTATCTAATTTTACTTTCTAGATTAAGACTAACAGACTGAAGAAGGTATTTCAAAATCATGTGAACGTCGTGTTGTTTACTTTTGTTTTATCCATTCTTTATTTAAGTATAGTATTGCATACAAATTATTTCTAAAATTAGAAATTCTGTTATTAAGGCAGGATCAGAATGAGATAAGTGACAGTGACACGTAAATCTAAACAATAAACATCTTCAGTTTTCGCATAAGTTATAAACATTCGGTTTCTTTGAAAATAGGCATAACTAGAAAGATTTCAGCCAAGATAATCTAAATATGGTAAACATTTTTTGGAAATGTTTCTCTCTAGGTCTGATTCTGTCCTAAACATGGTCACATGTCCATATGGGTGACATCTCAGATGTTATTATCAACATAAGAAAATGTTATACAAGGATTAAATATTGATTTATTACTACTTATTCTTATAATTCTAATATGATACATGACGTCACAATAGCTAGAACAATTGATTTACTGGTCTACAATGGAGTATATATTACCGCTAAAATTCACAAATGCAAAAAGTTGTGTTTCTTGTCTGTTCATCATATTAGAATCGTAACAGACCTTGATTTTATGATTTATGGCATAATATATGACCTCAAATTTTATTCAGGCCATTGCCAAAGACGTCAATCACTACGCAATTTCGGTCTTCTAACAATGATCAGAATAAAATTTTCAGTCATGTATTATGCCATAAATCATAAAATCAAGTTTTTTTTCTTTAAAACGTTTGTCCATTTGAGTAAATTACTAACTACATGTATATGCACTTTATTGCACAGTGTGTACAGTGCTCTTCCCACGATTTTTTTGGAGGATTTCAGCCCAGCATTTTAGGATTAAGTTTTGTTATTTTTAGCGCACCATTTTGGGATTCTTAAATATTATAATTATTATGCAACATTTTCTGAATTTTTTACATTTTAGAGGCATATGAACAGTGGTCTCCACAGGATTTTTTCTCATGTGGGTGCAAAATTCTCATTGTCACAATTCAGACCAAAATTGGCAAAAATATGCCTATTTTTCATGATTTTTCTCATTTTCAAGTGAGTGCAAATGTATTCTGAGACAGGTGCAATCCTGTTATTAAAACTCTCAAGTGGGTGCGGTTGCAGCGCCCACTTGGTTTAATGCTGGGGAGATCACAGACCAAATTTGGTCAAAATATGCCTATTTTCATGATTTTCTCATTTGCAAATGGATTTTCAGGTGGGTGCAAACATGTTTTCAAAATCTCAGGTGGGTGCTGCACCCACTTGCTTTAATGCTGGGGAGATCAATGTTAAATTATAAGAGTCCTTAAGAATGGGGTTCAATGTGATGAGAGCCCTAGTGTACAGTATATACAAATCTGCCTCTATAATTGTAAAGGAAGGTGACTGCTAAAATATGTTTATGTTGTTTTTAGCCAAGACAAAGGCAAGAACAACTTTTTACAAGTTTTTACACCTCCCCCTCTCTTGATGTTCCCTTGATAGGTTTGTCGAATAGTAAAGCTTCTCAAATTGGACACTTATTCATGTGAGAAAAAATATGATCAAAAATATATTTTGATTTCTGTTATAGATGTTAGACTTCAATGGGTGCGATATTTACATCAACAAAATAACATACTGTAGTTCTGATCTGACATCTATACGTGTCATGAAGCCCAAGGTTCACTACAATCAATTTATATCAAATGGAGAAAAACATAAACTTGAACCAAAGCATTGTCAAGTTATGTAACTTCACCAGTTGTCTTTGATAAGCACGACCAACAAATATTGTATTATGTGACCCAGTTTTGACCAATCATACAATTGCAAGCTTGACAGTTATATAATAAAGTAAAATATTGAAAACAAAATGATTATTGTTTGTATGAAGTATAAACAGCTGTAATAAAATTTCAGTCAAGAAAATTCCTGTTAAAACAGTATTGCTGAGAAATTTTGAAATATATGAGACACGATATGTTTGTTCTGACTTTACTCATTGATCGTCTCTTGTATGGTCCAGGTAGCATTTTATCACATACTATGTAATATTCCAGTAATCTGATTGGTTGTTTGCTGTGTCGCCCTTAGGAAAAAAAACAATTTTTTCCGAATTTCAACCGTTAAAATCCATTGCGCAACCATTACAAATCATTGCATAACCATTGCTGCAACCAATTGAAATGGTTTCCAACCATTACATTGCAATCATTAAAATTTGGTTGAAAACTTTGGTTGCATATCATTGAAATTATGGAATCATTTGCAACCATTACAAACCATTGATTGTTTAAGTTGCATTTTACCAAATGGTTGCAACTATTTTCAACCATATTGTGGAAATTATTTAGTTTAAGAATGAGACAATTTGAAACATGAAGAACATACAAGTAAATTGAATGCATTATTATGTTTCAAAATACAGTAGTTCATGTTTATGGGCATATTATTTCTAATTAATTGAAGAGAATAAGGTTTATTCATTTTTGGCACTGGATATGACTTCAACTTCATGTTCATAGAGATAGTATTTCTATTTATTGAAGAGAATCAAGTGTATTCATTTTTGGCCCTGGTCATTCTTGTAGTTTATTTGGAAATTCCTTCTTGATTAATTCAGTTCTACTGAACAATACACCAAAACGTTCTGTGGAAATTTTCTGTTTTTCTCCTGTCTCAACAAAAAAATGTTTCTGACTAAAAGTACATACATACATATTATGAAACATCAAAGATTGTATTTCCTGCCTCTTATTTATGATTTGGATTAAGCTGGTGCCAAAATAACTGCTTCTTCAATATCAAAGAAGTCTTATTACAACAATTAAGTAGATTAAACTGAAAATGTTTCCAAAACATGATTTTGAAACATCAACATCCTTGTATTTATGCTTTGGATTAGGCAAGAGCCGGATTGATTGTCTTTTCTTCAATATCATTTACAAATCAAAAAATATTAATTACTAATTGGATTAAACTTTAATCATAATGACTGAAAGGGAAATATCTTAAACACTTGAATAGATGATATTTCCTTTTACTAGACATGGTTTTATGCCTATGAGCATGAACTTGAAGTTGGATATGTCTCAAAATTGTATTATGAACTTAAGTTAATTATCGCTAGAAAAAAGAGAATTCATCAAGACCATAGCTGGCTTCAAAAATCTTAATGTGAATCTCATCTAATTTACTATGATTGTGTCATTATTATGGTAGGGGGAATTCAAAAATAAATTATTCAGACAAAAATAATTCTTAAAAAGAATTAATTTGTAATGATTTTGTTAAACTATCAAAACAGAACTTTATCTAATTGGCTGTTCAAGGGTTATAATTAGCATTTCAATGGTTATAATTAGCTTTTCAATGGTTATAATTAGCATTTCAACCGTTGCCACTCTGTCTGTGCAACTGTTGCTGCTCTGTCTTTGTACCTTATCTGAATTCAATAATGTGAAATCTTAATTTGTATTTCTACAATTTTCTTAATGAAAATAAGCCAGCAAAAGTAAACAATATTGAATTGAAACAAAAAAGAATCCTTATTTTCTTTCAAGATTTCTGCATTTTTCATTCACCTTAAAAACGATACCTGATAAGTGATTGCAATAGTCATAGAAATAAGTGTTTAAAATCCTAGGGATTAGATTAAATGATTATACAAATAAGTGTATGTTTTTTGTTGTTCTGGAAGTGACGTCAGACTTGTCATTGAGAACAAGATCCGAGACACACAAAGTCCAAAGAAAATTCTTTAATGAGAGAAGAGTGTGAGAGACTGCAGACTACAGACATGCTTACTTAAAAAAACATACTAATAATATCAACATAGCCATAGCCCAACATTATTTCAAATTCATGCAGTTTTTCACCATATTGAGGACTTTTCAAGTGATTTTGGCCAATCTTTGGCCATAGTTATAAAATATGAATCCCCTTGTAAATTTTTCAAAGTGCAAAAGCTGGCTACAGGTCTGCCCATGAGCATTCCTTTTGAGGATTAATGGTTGCAATAGTTGCAGTTCCCAATCAATGGTTGCAATCAATTGTAACTGTTAATTTCAATGGGTAATGGTTGTAATGGTTTTGCAATGGTTTCTCAAAAATGGTTGCGTAACCATTGCAACTTTATGTAAAAAGGGTTGAAAAGATTGGGTGAAGTAATGGTTGCGCAATGGTTTTGAATGGTTGATATAATGATTTTTCCTTTGATCTTCAAGGTTGAAATGATGGTTACATGATATGCAATGAAACCATTGAATTTCAGAAAAAATGGTTGTTTTTTTTATAAGGGAGAGCTTTCCCGTCTCACACGGCCATCTCACACGTTACTAGAGGCAACCAGTGATGACGTTTCATATTTATACCCTCATATGTGGGTACATGGTCTGCACATCACTCACAGGAGGTAATGGACTAGAAAAAGAAATTGAGAATTAAACATTAGAAATGATTCACTGTTAGAGATAAATAGACATGTAGTGTAGGGCCATAATGTTAGTATAACTAAGTTAGGTTAACTTCACAAATAGGTTTACTGTAGATTAGTTATTCTACCAATGGCATTCATTTTCTGTTTTTGAGGAAAGATTTATGTACATGTAAATGTAAATATAAATATGTACATGTTAATGTAATGCAATTAATAATATAAATAAAATTTACATAGACAAAAAAATACACTTATAGTTATGTTGTAAATGTATGTTGACTAAATGGATGTTGAATAAAATTGCAATTGTTGTTGATTGTTGATTGATAAAAGAATGAGTAAGAATAAAGTGTATGTAAAACCAATGCAAGGGGTGTGCTTTCATATCCTATTTTGATGCTGTTTACTATATGTTGTAAAGGGATCTACAATGTTTTTATTTACTGCTTGAATATCTTTTGAGCAGTTTTCCATGCTTTGTCATGGGCTTCTAACTTGTTATTCTTCTCTGCATTGCTTCTGCTTATGATTTCCTGGGCTTCAACATATTTCTTGAGGCCTGTCATATTTGGTGGTTTATTGTCTAATTTGTTGAGATAGATGTAGTGTTTAACCAAGAGTAGCGTCAGGTTTTCTCCCAAACTGGTGTTCTCTCCTAGGAAGTATTTTGCTCTTGTCAGGTTTTGTATTTGACACAGTTGGGTGACCATCTCTATGAATGGTTTGACAGCTATACATTCGTATAGTCCATGTTCGATGGTATCCTGTTTGTCTTCTTTACACAATTCACATTGTGGGCTTGTTTTGATTTTCATATTGTGTAGCATTTTGTTGAAAAATATTGTTCGAAGTAATATTCTATATTGGAAATATCTCAGTTTTGTTTCCTTTGTTGTTATGTATATTCTACAGTAGTTGCTTTTCCAGTTTATATTTGTGTTGTCTATCGCCTTTTCCCATAGTTGTTGTTGTTTTATTGGTTCTTCAGTGTGGCTTTTTATTAGTATGTTATATGTATCCTTATTCGTCATTGTTTGTAGTTCCTTTATAGAAATGGATTTTTCTTTCACATCAGTTTCTGTCTCGGTCCTTCTCGGTGTTTTTATTTGGTTTCTCCATTCAGCTGGTATGCTGTGTATGATGTGGTACCATTGAATGAATGTTGTGTTTATTAAATCAAATTTCCTTTTCAGTGCTTGGTACGGGATTAATTGATTGTCCTCATACAACTGTTTGATATATATTATCCCTTTGGATTTCCACCCCTCTATATTAAAGTATTTATACTGAGAACCAACTTCAGACATGAACAATTGAAAATGACCACAGTATAACATAATGCCTACCTTATTCCCTGTATTTCACAGTGAATAGTTTTCCTGTTTCGTCCCCCACCAGGAGTTTGCCATCATGGATTGTAACAGCACATGGTCCACTTAAACCATCCTTCTTTGTTAGAACATATTTGATGAAGTCTCCCTCAGGGCTAAGTAGAAGAACACGCTTATTGCCATAGTCTGCAACAAATATATAGTCATCTGCATCAGTGCATATCCCTTGAGGATAAGACAGCTGTTGATCTCCATTTCCTTTCTCACCATAAGAAAGCACCTCATTACCTTCCTGGTCAAGTCCCTTTATGCATTGGGTACTATAGTCAGTCACCAGGACCACACCCTTGCTGTTACATGTTACATACAGAGGGTCTTTGAATGTGCCTGGTGGATATTGATAAACTGTATCACCTGTTGTAGGATCAATGTGGTATACATTCCTCTTGGTGCCCCTATCGCAGACTAGTAGGTTTCTTGAAGATTTGTCTATTGCTATGCCCCATAGTACTGTTGATCTTTCACATACTATATCTCTCTTGCGGGTACCATCTGGAAGGTGGACTCTAATATTGTTTGACTGATCTGTAAAGCCCAGGTTGTTATCAGACATCATTGTTACATTAAAGAATTGCTTTCCTGTATCTTTTCTTAATCTGAAACTTTTGTCATATATTTTGGATGTACCTTGCCATGCACTTGTTAAAACATAATCACCAGCTTGTGTAACTGTAATGTCAGATATTTTGTGTTCTTGTAGTTGTCTGTGCTCTTCAGAGGGCTCACATATGGGCTTCAACTCATCTTTTGCATGCATCTTTTCTACTTGTACTCCTCCAAACTGCATCCCATCTTCATTGACTTTACCATCAGTGAATTTGATGTCAATTCTTGAGTTGAAGTTTAACTGGGGTTGCTTTGACCACTCCTCTGACTTCTTATTAATCTGTTCCCCCAGGCCTGCTATTTCTACTGGGTGGCCATGCTCTACCATTGTGCAGTACTTGTTCACTTGACCGTCAGTGATGGCTTTTTGAAGCTCCAGGTGACCAATATGAGACATGACTTGCTTCACATTGGATTCCTTTTCTTTCTGAACCAGCTCTATATAGGACTTGCACTTGACACGGATTGCTTGCATCAAAACATTCATATCATTGTTAACAGCAGCAATGACATTTTCAGCATTTTTTTCCAGTTCACATTTGTAAGCCTGTGTTTCTTTAATAGCTTCCTCATACATGTCCGCAAGTCCTTTACCCTGTGTGATAATTGCACCAATAGGCTTCATGTTTTTAGCAGCCGTTTCTTTTATGTCCTCACAAGTATGACCTGCGTGGTCTATTGGGTAGCACAGGTGACAAAGCACTCTTTTGTCAACTTTACAGAAGAGCTCTATTGGTTTGGTTGGATGTTTCTCACAGAATACATTGCGCTCCTTTATGGACTGCATTGCAGTTTGTAGGTCACTAGCTTTATCTCCAGTGAGGTCAAGCACTTTATGACCTTGAGAGAACAAGTCATGTAGCTTACGACAAGTAGCACACAACCTTTTGTTGCAATCAAGGCATTGGGCAGTTGCTGGAGTGTACTTCTCATGGGTATCACGACATGCATTACATTCAGGTTCTTGGGTCTGGTTACTGTCCTTATAGGCGTCAACCAAGAATGAAATTGTAGGGCTCACCTTGAACTCTCCCACCCCTTCCTGTGGTACAATACACTCATGGCGGCATTCTGGGCAATTGAAACATTCTCCTTGAAACTTGCTTTTCTCATCCAGACTGTGTAGACACTTCAGGCAATAAACATGCATACACGGCAGGATCCGTGGGTCAGTTAATATGTCCTTGCATAATCCACAAGTGAGCGCTTCCTTATTACGATCTCCAGCCGATGCCATTGTTCTTAACATGTAATTGACTCTTATATCTTGTGATGTTAAGATAAAGAGTTTTTTTGTTCAAAGTTAATAATTAACAAATTTTTGATGAACCGCTAGCTTGTTTATCTTGTTTATGATACTAATACTAACTAGCTTACATGTATTTGTTAAAGTAAAGAGTCTCATAGTTAATGTAATTACTTTACCAGTAGGCATGGGTACCATACAGTCAGTAGTATCCTTATGTTACTTTTATGTCCTACCAATCTACGTGTGAGAGGTGTCTTGAACTAATTTCCAGAAGGACTGTGTATAAATTACTCTACATTTTGGTTCATTTCTACAGATCGTTATATCACGCGGTACAAACTTCGACCGTTAATTTGAATTTTTGACCTACCGGATGTTTGAAAATCAAAGATTACGAGTCTCGTACTGCACCGTTTTTCTTAAAACTTGTTCCATTCAAAGCATATCAAAAATCCCTTTCTGTTGGTACATTATTATCTTAAACAGAGTCCCTACTTCCAGCGGCATTTTGGTCCCCAGCTGTAAGAAGGTCTTCTAACAGCTGGGGACCAAAACGCTGCTAGAAAAAGGGACTCTTTACAATAAAGTAATGCACCGACAGAGAGGCAATTTTGTTTTGCTTTTAATGGTATAAGTTTGAAGAAAAACGGTGTAGTATGAGACTCGCAATCCTTGATTTTCGAGCATCTGGTAGTTCAAAAATTCAAATTAACGGTCGAAGTTTGTACCGCGTGTATATAAGCACACTTCCTTATATTCAACACCAACCTCTGTTTGGTTTTATTCAAATCAGTTCTTAGAACTCATTTAAATTCGTAGTTAGCTGTTAAGAGGTTTCCATGACCTTATAGCTGAGAGACCCACTTTATCAGCAATTGTCATTATTATAAACAAAATGTCAATATTCTAGCTGGCATAGGTTCTTTACAATGTTTTTTGCTCATGCACTTAAATCTCAAAGGATTCATAAATGTTGAAACGTGAATTGAAATGGTGAACTTATTGATTGTTTATCATCGGATTTCAAAATATTTTTATCTGCATAAATCACCTTGAAGTTAGAAAAATTAATGAACTAAATTCAAATCTGGTTTTGCATCAACAAAAATTCCCAAACATTCTCTACAAGATGACATATATCAACTAAAACTACATAACCTCCCATCAAATGAATGTATTTATTGTGTTATTATAGAACAGAAGCCCTCTCTACAAGAGGACATATCTCATCTAAAACTACATAACCTCCCACCAAATGAATGTATTTATTGTGTTATTACAGAACAGAAGCCCTCTTTACAAGGCCCTATGCAGCATTCAGAAACTGCCAAAACTCATCAAAGGTAAGTGAAATATTGTAAAACCTCTCCAATCACTGAAATAATTAGGGACTGAATAACTTGGGGAGAAAATATTTGAATGACCTGTAAACAGTGAAAATAAAGAATATGAAAGAAAGATGTTTTCTGAAAGATGTGATCTTTGTAATTCACTGTATTGTCCATTTTAAATTTTATATGGCCGCTATTTATCAAAATAGGTTTTGTTCAGTGGGGTGGGATATGCTACTCCGTGGAGTTGCTGTTTTCTAGTTATTATATACACTACATGTAACGTAATACAAAATGGTTATTACATGTACAGGGTGTTCCAAAAGTAACAGGACTGGTGCTGGCATTTTGTTAAATATGCACCAATCATCTTCAAAATTTTACATAATGTACTTTCATGTATCGTTACTAAGACTGCAAAGTGTCGACAAAATATATGAAACTCGGGTAGAGTTATGGTTGCTATAGTAACATGACACTGCAATACCTGGGGCAACATTCCATGCAAAAAGTTACAGAGACATTAAGCATTTTGTACATCCCATATCATTTTGTACATGCCATATCACAGTTGAAATGCAACAACTGGTGGGAATTACATTTGTTTTACATCATTTGATATTCCTATGTATCCTCTACTTTGAAAGATAGCAGTCCTCTTTGGTCAGTACAAGAGTAGTACTCTGTATCCATGACCCAAACACATGAGTGAACCCATTTGAGGACATGTCACGCAGGGTCGATTGGACAATTTGGAGAAGGTCATTCTCATCTCTAAGGTCTTACAGCACTGATTAGCATTCCATTCTCAATATAAGTAAAATTAGATATTGCATGATCAGAAGAGTATGGTGCATGGTTTTAGACCTCAAGACCTAGCTCCTCTTTAGCTGCATGGTCTTTAATGGTGACCTGCGGGCAGACGCGCTATCAAGGTGGATGACTGGCTTCAAAACGGGTCTTTTCAAAAACTCAACCGTGAATTGTTCAGACTGTTAAACATAGTGATATTCCAGGAAATTGAATAAATGTTATTATCATTATGAAATTATACTAAAATCTGAGTTGTATGGCAACATCTTTACAACAAAGCAACTAATAATAAAATAAACAAGAAATGTTGTATAGGTGAATTAGATACCTTCTTCAGTAATACAAAAATGTTAGATATCACATTTTCAGGAAAAAAGTTGCCCCGGGTATTGGAATGTCATGTTACTATAGTAACCATAACTCTAACCGCATTTCATCATTTTTTCTGAAACTTTACAATTTTAGTTGCAATACTTCAAAGTACAATTTGTGAAAATTTGAAGAGACTCACTGCAAAGTTGACAAAATGCCAGCACCAGTCCTGTTACTTTTGGAACACCCTGTATGTATGAGTGTTGTTTACCTTCAGGTTGGTTTAGTCGGAGCAGCAACTCAGTTGAGAATAGCAGGGATGTTAAACATGTATATCTAGTCAGCAACTGGACTGAACACCATTGGAAGGACAATGTAGTCATACCTACATTCATGTGAGTTTCTATAGTCATACCTACATTCATGTGAGTTTCTGTAGTCATACCTATATTCATGTTAGTTTCTATTGTCATAACTAAATTCCAATGAGTTTGTGTAGTCATACCAACATTCATGTGAGTTTCTCTAGTCAAACCTACATTCATATGAATTTCTCTAGTCATACCTACATTCATATGAGTTTCTCTAGTCAAACCTACATTCATATGAGCTTCTAATGTCATAACTACATTCCAATGAGTTTCTATAAATAATACTTTATTTATATTTATATGTATTGCTATTGTCATAACTAAATTCTAATGAGTTTTTGTAGTCATACCAACATTCATGTGAGTTTCTATATAGGATTAGTCAAGTCAATTTGATATTTGCGATGTCACATACAGAGTATAATACTTTAATATATGCCCTTACCATGTTTTTCTCCAGTGAGAACAGACTTACGTATGTTGATGCCTCGCAGCACGGCTGGGATGAGACAGCTAGGCGACAGTGCCAACTACTCTTCTATGTCGTTGCCATGGAAACCAAATCAATTATAACTATGGTGCAGGTAAACATTCATCAGTCTTTTTTCAAATTAACATAGACAACAGTCAGTTGTATTTCACAATGTGTTAATATTAGAGATGTCGCGGAACATTTAGCTTTGAACTTGAACATTTCTGGTTTGATTTTTGTATGCTTATTGTACACATGAATTTACTAATGAAACAAACATAAAAAATCGCAAGCATAAAATTCACACTATGAATAGCCCATTTATAATGCACAGGCTGCTGCTGATTCATCCCTAACAGCTGAGAAATAGAAATATCAAATGTTTCCCTTGGAGTTTTTGTGACATTACTCTGTATTCTGTATGTACGCACTGTGTAGACTATGTTTGTTCCAGAGATGGTATGATTTTAATGTTTTCTTTCTTAATGAAACTACATTTTCTGCATAGCTCCAGACAATAGGGATTAAGGAGATTAAAGATAATTTAATTGAGATATTAAAATCCTGGTTCTCAATTTCAGGCTGGCCATGATATTGGGCAGGGATACAACGTAGTGCTAGTCATCGAACAAACAGATAATGATAAGAAAGCGAAGAACTTCAGAGTAAGTTAAAACATATTTTCTGAATCAAACAGTTTAAATTGAACGGTACATTACAAAGAAGTTACATGACATGGAATGTGTGTCATTCTAGACTATTAAAATAGAGATAGTTCTGTGGAATATTGATAGTACTTTTCCATATCTTCTATGGCAGTGTTATTGTACCAACAAAAATATTGGTGATCTTCATGAATCTTCAGATACTACATGTTGGTGTTTAATATAGCTTTGTCTTTTCTTTTGACTCCTCGGTACTTGAAGGTTCAGTATCGTCCAAAGTAATCTCCTACTAATTACATCAAATTTAATTGGAGCTTATATCTCAATGGAACTATTGTTCAAGCGCACTCTTAGAAATTGTACTAAACTGTACATATTTGTTTGCAGCAATCTATCCATGCAGTGAATGACCATGAGAGAGCTTGTATGTATCTGGTAGACATTGCCAAGAGAGAGAATATCCCTGTCTTTTCACGCCTCAAAGATGCAGCAGACTTTACTGTGGAGCAACTGAAGGGAAACGTGCAGTGATGAAATCATACGCCATATTTGGTCATATCCCATTATCACATGACTGGGAACCATTTTTCATTTAATCATGCGAACATCACACTTATCATCGAAATGCTGCAGACATTATTGTTCAATTTCTGAATTGTACTGTGTGTTGAAAAAATTTAGGAGCATCATTTTCTGCTCCAAGACAGACAAATGGAACGAAAGTCACAATGCCAGATCTGGATGAATTTCATGAAGTCTTTCCAGTTGTCATAATGAGATGAACATTTCTAGATGGACACTATCTGACCACCATTATAATTCAGGCATAAAACATTGTTGTATTATTTTTTGAAGTCAGTATTTTCTTCAATGATTTTACAAGAAAAACACCAGTTAAAAAGAAGTATATAAACAAATAGATGTTACTAAGAAAGTGTCATTACATGCACAACAGTAAAAAAAACACGAAAAAAATGTATGGGAATCTAAGCATTCTTTGTGTTTCTAAATATTGGGATTGTAGTTTGAAATATCATGCAGCATTATTATGTCATAACCACAAGTAGTTTCCAACTTTTTGTGGATGGCGGTTGGTGTTTGGCGTAACAAATGGCATGTTGACATTTGCATATTAATGCCTTGTATATTACACAGAATAAACTTAAACTTGGAATACATGGTATCAAACAATATATATGTAATACATACAGTTTCCTTCTGATTTCAATGAAAGTTTTAATGTTATTTAGTTCTATTTGCTTATTAGGTTAGGGTCAACATTTCAAAGTCTGTCAAAAACATAATTAATTTAGTTAGATCTTAACCTCTTCTTACAAAACTCAAAATGTTAATTTGTGCATGGTGTAAACTGCTATAAACGACACATGTCAAATTCTCTTAATATTTATCTGTTGAGTATATTCAATGATCATACCATAGCTGTCAAACCAGAAATTGCAGAAGATGAAATCCAGGGAAACTAAAAATCAATATCCGTCACCTAATTAATTAGTGTTTTACCCACTCCCCATAATGTAATTAATTATGTTTTTAGTAAGAAAAACAGAAATCGTGTAGATTCCTTTTCTTGCTCCTATGTTTCAATTTTCACTCATCTGAACAAAGCCTGGATGACCAAAAACAAAGCTTGGATGTTAAATGACATCATATTTTGGAAGTTTGTTTTTTGCTTATTGATTCTAGGAATATAATGCAATCATGCGTGACGTCAAACATGTATCGCCTTAGTAACAACTTGAAACAAATAATCTAGACCTCATTGATTGGTTTTAATTTGAACAGTTTATGAGGTCATAGGCACGGCACATTTCCTTACCGACACGGCAGAGCAAACAAACGTGCCATTCTGTTCACTGCCTTTGTACTATCTAATATTATCTTCGGTGGTTTGATTTACAGTGGATCAGTATCTATAAAACAAATGGGGTAATTGAAATCAACTGATGTTCCTGAGTCATAAAATAAACTATCGGAAAACATCAAAAATATTTATTTACTCAATTGTTGTACTCAAACTTACTCCCAGTGTACAGCATATATTATTGTTTTTCAGTGTTTTTGTTTTATTCAAAATATTCAGAGATATAGCTTCAGATAGTTTCCAATGATTCGTGGTGGATCTTGGACTTGAGGATTGGTGGGGGTCTTAAGAGGCAACAAGGAATGTAGGGAGAAAATTCGAATTTTTTTTTTTCTGAGCTATCAGGTCAATATTTAGCTTAACATCTTCTTTGACATCCTATTTTCGTAAAATGTATGGACAAACTCTCATAAAGGGAGTCCCACTTATAGATTTTTAAGATTCACCACATTTCAAGAGTAATATCAGCTGAAAAATGTTCATCCAGGGGGTTTCTTTGTGGATAATAAAAATATATGTTAGTCTTGATGAAATATCCCAACTTAAATATATTTTGACACTGGTCGATGATCCTGTGGGCATCTCCTCTTTTTTCTTGGGATTTTTGTCACAGAACAAATTTACTTGTTTGATGGACATTGAAATATTGACGCTACCCCTTACCTTTTTGTCAGCTAACTGTAGTACTGTCATGCTTGTGACATATGTTATGTAATGACCAATTTTGCTTAAAGGTAGTGTGGGTGTCCAACTCCAACTAAAATTTGAAAATACAGTTAAAAACAGAATCAGAGGTAAAGGGATGATAAAATTGCATGTTAAATGTGCAATTGAGCTACCAATGTATTTTTACCACCTCAAATACAATATCTCCGAGGAGTGAAACAAAGTCATTGTTTTTCTCATTTACATTTTTTGATAACCCTGTATGTAGTGACGTAGCCATGAAGAAAAAACCAATGAGGCAATAATATTTCCAAACCTGTTAAAAAGCGACAGGGCAAGCACCTTTGTCAGCCTCATCTTGGCTACGCTACAACATTTCCAAAGCTATACTTATAAAACACCGTAAAAATATGAACTCAGTTTGATGATGGCAAGCGAAAAACACGATGATAATCTTTATGTCATGAATTTTTGCACAATAGTAATTGAATCAAAAATTGATGATTAAGATTAAAAATTGATAAATCGATAATTTTCAAATGATGTTAAAAACGACGAGGCAAGCGCCTCATCTGCCTCATCCTGGCTTCGCTAGAGCTGTAGGTCTTCAAAGAAAGAAGATGAATTTTAAAAGTGTAATTTTGATAAACAGAATGTCCATGAAGTCTATTTACAAATTCAATACAAAGTTTAAAGAGACTTTAAAGTGTAAAGAGACTTTATGAACAGCCTGCATATTAAAAGTAGCATTTCTCTTATATGGTGATTGAGAATTTGATTTAATTTTGATGTTATTTATTTGAAATAATGCTTAGATATTGCATATTTACATGTAGATCATTTTACAAATAAAGAGACATGTAAGAAAAAAGTAAACAGATTTAAAGGCTGTTTTGAATTATCATTTCCTCCAGTGCAGTTGATCCTACTTTACCTACCTTTGACTGATATAAGTGCAAAACTTCAGAGTCCCAAGATGGTAAATAAACCTCTATAAGTGAAACACCTCCTAAATGAAACACCTTTTAAGTACCAAATGTGTTCCACTTAGACAGGTTTTACTGTATAATTTCCTTAGTGACTTCTAGTGTTAAGGATTGAGTGAAACATTTAAGATGAAACCCACAGTAACATGATGTATGATACACTGACCGATCCAGAAGCTAACAAGGGAGGGGGCATATTTAAAATCATAAAAAATGTTGGCCCCTTTTGAAAATTGAAGCCCCATTGTTTGATAATTTGGCCTAAAAATGCCCAAAAGGGCCATTGGCCATTTTAATGCCCAAAAAGTAGAAAATTTCTGGGCCCTTTCTTTCAAAATCATGCAGTTTTTCACCATTCTGGGCCAATGTTGTCAAACATGAATCCCTCTGGATTTTTTTTAAAGTGAACCCCCCTTGTCAAAAGCTGGCTGATGTACTACTCTATATCTGTAGTTACACATACTACCACATATGGCCATTTAATATGACACTCTATTTTGATAGATTACCATTCTCTGAAACATTTAGTCCCTGATCTGGACCCTCTGAAAAAAAGTTTTGTTGTCCGGTATTTTCCCACATAAAATGATTGTCATGTTTGAAAGAACAGACTTCCTTCTTAAATAAAACACCTCTTCTATTGATGTAAACAGGGGCAAAAGGCACCAAAACGGGGTTAGACAAGGTGGCATTCTGAAGTCTCACTTTCTTGTCATCACGATTCCAGGTAAACCATCAGACGGATTTACTTCAAGTTTTCACACATGTTACATGGTAAGAAGTTCTAGAGCTGATTAACTTTGCGGCGGCCATCTTGCATTCTGGCGGCCATCATTTTTTTCAGATAAATATTGTCATCGCGATTCCACAAAAACCACATAACAGATGTACTTCAAATGTTCACACATGTTACATGGTATAATGTCCTAGACCTCATTATTTTTTCGGTGGCCATCTTGCATTCTGGCAGCCATCTTGGAAGTTTTAAGATAAATGTTGTCATCACGATTTCAGGAAATCCAAACGGATTTACTTCAAATTTCCACACATGTTACATGGTAAGAAAATATAGAGGTGAATAACTTTTCGGCAGCCATCTTGCATTCTGGCGGCCATCTTGGAAATTTTGGGATAAATCTTGTCATCATGATTCCAGGAAAACAACCTAACAGATTAACTTCAAATTTTCACACATGTTACATGGTATGAAGTTCTAGAGCTGATTAACTTTTCAGTGGCCATCTTGCATTCTGGCGGCCATTTTGGAAGGTTTATAGATAAATCTTGTAATCACGATTCCAGAAAAACCACTTCACATATCAGTTTTACTTCGAATTTTCACACATGTTACATGGTATGAAGTTCTAGAGCTGACTAACTTTTCGGTGGCCATGTTGCATTCCGTCGGCCATCTTGGAAGTTTTTAGATAAATCTTGTCATCACGATTCCATGAAAACTACGTAACAGTTTTACTTCAAATTTTCACACATGTTACATGGTAAGAAGTTATAGAGCTGATTAACTTTCCGATAGCCATCTTGCATTCTGGCGGCCATCTTGGAAGTTTGTAGATAAATACAGTCAAAGCATTTAACACCAACAAAGGATGCTCTCATTCTCCATATAAATAGAGCCAACTATCAGGCCTATACTTGGCGAAACGCAGGCAAATCAATGATTGATTATCAATCCCCCACATTACATGGTTGGACATTCAAAGGGAATAAACTACAAATTAAGTGGATGGAAAACGGTCCTGCCCCACAAGAAATAATGGAGCTTGTTGCTTGTAGTTGTAAAGGAGCGTGTGACTCAATGAGATGTAGTTGTAAGAAACAGGATCTCATTTGTGGAAGTTCATGTAAGTGCCGCAAAGGTGTGTGTGAGAACTGTCCAACGCATCAGCACAATGATGTTAATGAGAGCGACAATGAATTTGAACCAGTTGATGACACCATTACACCAAACGTTGAAGATCAGGAAGAAAATTAATTACCTGAAAATCTCTTACCTGACAACTGGATGAACCAACTTGTCAAAATTGATGCCATAATATGAATTATCTCACCCTGTATATACACTGGTGATCTGCTCGATTACAGGTACGATTTGTCCTTATTCCTTATTTCATGCGTTGTAGGCAGAATCCTCTCGACGTTTTTTCTCACAAACGTGAATCAGTATCATCTGAGGATGAGTTGTAAGGCATACTATGTCATGTTAGATCATGATCTATACTATTTTTATAACAATTTACCAGTTACACTTTCTCCATGCTAGGTTCTGTTATAACTTTTGTTCCGTTTCCTATGGCATCCGTGCTTTATACATTTACATTCACAATGGTCCCTTCCTGGTATATTTTTTTAGGTTTTATGACAGTTAAATTCTATAGTCTTGTTAAGACCACTTTATAAACAGGTGTATTATTACTTTTATGACTGTTAAATTATATAGTCTAGTTAACACCACTTTATAAACAGGTTTATTATTACTGGTGTAACTAACACAGCGAAAAAAAATATGATTAATTTATTTGATTTTATATAACATGAAATTATTTTTCTTTTCGATAAAACATTGCTTATTAGAAATATATTTAATTGAAAACTTAAGAGTAAACAATCAGTTCTTCTATCACAAAGTTTATTTTGGTTCAGTAGATTTTTCTATATATTATTTTTATGTCACCACCACTAGTGATTGGGTGACATATTGTAATAGCTTCGAACATTTATCTTGACACTGTTCAGTAGTTAATGTGTACTGTATACTTAACAAGGTGTGGTGACATTTTGCATGTTTCTGCATCGTCACTATTGAAAGCTTATGTTGATATTGTAGCAGTGTTTTTTAAGTTCTTTTTGTTGGTACAATTAGTTTCCAAACCCTATACATATATCGATCTGACACACAGTTTTAGTGCAGGTTTAAGTGATTTTTGTTGATTATTAAACGCAAAGAGCACATGTGTCTCGAACTCGCAACATTGTGGATACAGAGCCCATTCACATAGTTTGACATGCTGGTGCTCTGAACCAGCTCGTTAGTTAATATCTGACTAAGAGACAGCTTGCTTTCCCGATGAAGAAATGTTATCTGCAGCTTTTATGAGTACTATACATCCATTCTCAATAAGAATGCAAATTCCAAGTATGAATCTGACAAAAATTAAAGTAGCTTTAAATGGTTTAAAGTTGATGTATTTCTATTTGAATATATGTTAAGTATCTAAAGTGAAAATATCTTCATCAATCTCATACCCCTTCATGGAAAAGTCAAATGTTGAAGCTTATCCCCAATCCCGATTTAGAAAAACTGAAATTCCATTATATCGCTCTAAAAAATATTTCCAAGTAGCCAAATCTGCGACGACCCCAGGCGGAATTGAAAGTGTGAACGATTTTTTTCCTGATGGGTTTCTATGCTTTGCACTGGCAAGAAAATCATATAAACGACGCAGAAATGCTCTTCCCGGTCTAACAACTCTGCACGCAAACGATAATTTGCCTATAAGTGTTTCAAGTTCTCCAAATGTTATTGTTTTGTCAGTTGAATGTTTACACACAATTGCGACACAATCCGCTAATTTATCCCGAGGTAATCTTGCTTGAAGACTAAGCGTATCCAATTCGATACCATAGACTGTCATCACTTCTGAGGGACCGCATGTTTTTGACGATTTTATGGGCATGTTGATCTTTTTTGCTAGCTTTAGAAACATTTGCATGTTTAATTGGCATTCATTTGAACGAGGGCATCCCACGAAGACAAAATCATCTAAATAGTGGTAAATATTCGATATACCGAATTTATTTGCAGCAATCCATTCCACCGCGTTGCTAAAACTTTCAAATATCTTGCATGAACTTGCAAGTCCCATGGGAAGAACTTTGTCATAGTAATATTGACCCCTCCATATAATGCCTAATAAGTGATAATCATCTTTATGAATCGGAACTATTCGAAACGCCTGGGCAACATCAGTTTTGGATATTAGAGCACCCCGACCACAGTTTTGAACTGCTTCCATGACGTCATCAATTGATTGATAAGAAACACATGAATCTTGTGACAAAATCCCATCATTAACCGATGAACCCTTTGGAAAACTTAAATCGTGGATAACTCTGAACTTGCCTGGTTCTTTTTTCTTTATAATCCCCAAAGGACTAGATATAAATTGCGGCAACGGTATTTCGGAATACGGACCGCTCATTCTATTAGCATCTACTTCATTTTTCAGATAATCATCAATTTGTTTAGGAGCTAGATTGGCAGAAGAATGATTACGGATTTTATTGGAATTATTCTGAGCTACTACGTTTGTTTTTATGCGGAAACCGTTTGAAAACCCTTCAATTAGATACAGTCTAGACTGCCAGTTGTAACCCTCCAACAACGCACCCAATATGTTAGCTTTTATTGGTGTCGGTACCGTATCAATTGAATTACTTTCTGAATGAAGTTTTTGCATTTGAGTTGGACTTGCAATTGACTCGACCGTGTTTTGTTGATAAGCAGGTTGCGCAAGCATGAAGTTTGTCGCATGTCCCTTCTGTCTTTTTGCAAGAACCGTCGAGGTTGAACGCGAAACAAATTCCAAATGGCATTCCTCTGAAACTTCTGGGACGAAAAGAATCGTTAAATTCCGGATTTTCACTTCTTTTTTTGAAGGGTTTTGAAGCATTTTTCTTAGATTCGAATTTTTCTGATTTTAGAGACGATTCAAGAACGGCTTTTTCGACGAGCTCGGGAATGGTTACATCCCAAGCGAAGTTCATCTCTTTTTTCAAATGTCGAAAATTCATATCGTAAATTAAGGCTGCATCCAGGCCCTTTGACACTGCCATTCCTCTAATTTCCTCAGCATATTTGAGGAGAGAAGGACAGCTCTCGGGGTGTGCTTGCGTATATACTGACATATAAATATGAAATGCCGATGTCCACTGTTCCATTGATTTAATTTGTTTTTTCGGCTTCACCGGATTTACCTGAATAGTCGTTGACGAATCAGATTTTACTGTGTAGTTCATAGACCCCTCCACGTTGTCATGCCTGCTCAAAAGATGAGCAATATCAAAATAGCCGTCTGATAAAATCAGCTTTATAAACTTTTTGTCTATGCCAACGTGAAGGGGTATGCCTGATGACAAATGAATAAGGTTAGATGGTTTTTCTACGTCTAAATCATACACTAATGAATTTTGGCCTGACGAGGACTCACCTGGACCGCCTAGCAATGCGTTCACTGCTCGGGTTAAGGCAATATTTGGGTGGACTGTCACTTCATTGTCTGAATCTATGTCGGAATCTAAGTCATGGTCCGAAGCTTGATCCACAGGGGGGTCATCCTGCTTTGTTTTTTGTAGTTCTGCCAGCAGGCGGGCCACGATATCTTGTTTATCATCATCAGATAGGCAGGATTGCTTAGCTGGCTGTGCGGCTGGGTTAGTTGATTTTCTTTTTGGTGGCATCTTACTGGAAGTAAAACTAAATTGATTGTAATTGGTGCATTTTTTGGCGGAAGGCATGTATCTTTAGCTAGATAAATATAAAAAGCATTAAAAACGCCATGGGCTCTACCACCCATGAATCGCCAAGAAATCCTTTATTAGGAAAATAATCGTGTTTTAAATTAATAAAAACGTATAATACAAGTTGCTATCAGCAACACATTTATGTGTATTATCATATTAAGACACAACAACACATTTTAATGTTTAAAAAATACAATACTCGATAAGACTTATCGATGCGATATCACAGCAAAATGCATTTTACATGCACTTGGACAAGTGTCTAGCATATAATAATACTAGTGCGTTCAGCCAATGTTAGATGTTTGGGTTAATCAACCCTAATTGGAAATGGAGAAAATATTCCATGTAAGTGATTTACATGCACATGGACAAGTGTCCGGCGTATAATAATACTATGTGAGTCCACCCGATGTAAGATATTTTGGTTAATCAACCTGATTGGATATGGACAGAATATTCCATGTAAAGCATTATCGATGCGCTAATCACAAAATACATTTTACATGCACAAGTACAATTGGCAATCACCATTTCCGGACAATCATCCGGCGTATCTTATCATACATACTTGTGTCCACCCAATTTTTTGAATAAAAGCGACAAATGGCCGCGTTAAATAATGGCTGTATAATAATGTATCTAGTAAGCCATTAACAAGTGTAGTCTAATGGACTTTCAGAAATATGGGTGGCCAAATTCAATGTAAATAAATTAATATACTGTTTTGAACCATATAATATACGACCACACATAAATAGATACATAACATACGATGCTGCAGATTAATGGAAAGTAGTGAAATTAAACAATTTGTTTGAATAATAAATCTAACTGACCAATGAGTATGTAAGAAACTTACGTTTCGTGGTGTTTACAAAGTTGTATCCCTTACAAATATAATTGTTCGCCTAAGATTCCTTCCCCATAACGAAATACCAGTATTCGATAAATGGACCCCGTCCTTGCGATATCTAGCTTTGGAAACTGATGCGAAACCTCTATTGGGGAAGGCGCTGATATCTAAGATTGAGTTCACTTTTAATGTAACAAGAGCATTGTGTTCCCGAACCCTGATATTGTATGAGGGAAGCTTTGATTTTTGTCGCTGGAAAGCATGTCCGATGCAAACTTTTTCAACTTGATAAGCGACTAAAAGGAATTCAGCTAAACTTAAAGTTGCGTTGACAACATCTGTAACAGAGACAGACGATCTATCGAGGTCATTACCTCCCACTTGCAAATAAACAATATGAGGGTTTATATCCTTAATAGCGTCACACAGGTAGCTAGCCATTGATTTCTTCTGAAAACGTTTATTGTCAGACGGCTTCCAGAAAAGACTACCCCCACGCACTCCACGAAATTGTACACTGAATTCACGTGTATTCAATTTCAAATTTGAAGGGTATTTTTTTCCTTGCCAATGGACCAGCGAATGTCCAAAAATCAGTACTTTTTTCATTTCCATTATCTGCAGCTCGCGTAAGAAAATGTAAATAATATGGATATGCAGGAGTAATGATAATGTACTCACCGCAAATAATATTCCTCGATAAAGGACAACAATCTGCTTCGATGTTATTCTGGATCTTATTCCACTCCTTTATTTTAACGTATATCGATATCTCCTTTTATCCGTAGGTCGGACTTGAAATTTAAATGTGTAATAAAAAGTTTAATAAATATCGTATAGAGAATACAAATATAATGTAATGTCCTGCAAGAAGAATATCTTCGATGCTGTTTGTATTCACAAATAAATGTAACGAATGAAGATGGTATACCAGGTGGTATCAGATAACTGACGTTTAAAACCTGGAAGTCACACGATTGGTCAGAATTAATGACTGGTGTCCAACGACAATAACACGTCATCCCCCTCACACTCACTTCACAAAACTTTTAATTGCATTAAATTTAATTTACGTTATAGAGGGTTGTCGAAGCAAGCGACTAATATTGTCATTCAACATATTATTCTCATGTCTGTTTTTGTACCTAACAATAAGGATATATTTTGCCTTAATACTAAATCATACATCAGGCATTTTGAAGAGACACAAGTGGAAAGAATCCACATTGAAGTCAACAATTACATGTGACTTATTGTTCCTTTTCACAAACAAAACCTAAGTGCTACATGTCATTCCAATTTTATAAAAACTCAGTTTGATAACATTAAATTTATATTTCTTTTCTGATTAGAAATAGTGTTCAGAATAAAATGATAGCCGTATCTTGGTGTTTGATATGCCATACAAAATGTATTTGAGATTTGTATATCGTTACACCCTTGGTAACGTATATGATCCAAAAAAAGTAACATCGTAGAATGAGTCATATCATATGTGATCATGGTTAAACCATCAACTGGTGCTTCTTTTATCATGTTTACACTACATTTTAACCAATAGTAACATTTAAAAAACATAGTTCTGTGGACAATCATGTAACGTAAATGATGGTGAAATTAACTAACTTTTGCAATAGAAACATTAAAGCTAACACAAACATTATTTATGCACAAAACACGTAATGAATTAATATATTGTCACATACGCTATATGTTGCAATGAATATATACAGGATTAAAGGGACATAATCTTTCTTCACACATTTGTAATGCTAAATCCTTTGTAACGTAAGTGATTACAAAACTTACAATCACAAGATCAAAACTATACTATATAATTTGTGATTATCGTCAAGAAGTAACAACATTCAGTGTCTACTCTTATATCATAGGTACATATGAACTCCTGAAAACGTTTCTAAATCCTAGCTTGGACATCTAGATCCCATAGAACATGAGTTTAAATCTCAGGACACAGATCTAGAGTTTAAATAGCCCTTTAAATTTCCCTGTTGGGATTGACTCCTCTACTACACACTCAAAATCCGAGACTCTCAGCCAAATAACGTAACATTCTAGAGACCATTGGAGATTCTTCTTTTCCTAAAAAATAGTATTTATCATCATCAGTATCACATGCAGAGCCTTTTCGACATACCAACAGTATTGTAAACTGCAGTGAAAAAATCGCCAAGATGTAGCTCTTTATCTCCACTCTCAGTCTGCATGATGGCCCTGTTAGAATACTCTTGGTTGTCTCTTCTTGTATGTCATTCCTGGTTCGCTCCATTTTGTGCGGTGCACTTTTAACACTGTTTATTTGCTTCAACAAAATATTCCTTTGCTTGTGGTAAACGTCGAGTACTCATTTCATTTTTGTCCAGCCAGGCAAGGCCCTTAAGCCTGTATCACCTTCCATCGCCTTTAGTAATATTATATCAACTAGACTTGAACACTTTTCAGGCATTTCCCCGCCAGTCATGTTGCGGCTGCTCCGCCTCTTCAACTACTTGTTTTTCTCGTACTAATCTTCTCCTCAACTCTAGGGATATCACTATGCTAAAGTTTGCATCGCATCACTTTTCCCCTGCACTCTTTGGTGTTTTTGGCGTATTTGGACCCTTCATTCTATTTTTCTCTGCTTCTGTAAGATCCTTGGGAATGATTTGTGATTGTTTTTTCCCTGTTTATCTATGTTCAGGGAGCTTTGTTTTCGTATGGCTACGTACGTCCCCAAGTTCTACTTATCCGTTTTCTAAAGAGCCATGCATGTCCTCTTGCAAAATTCCAGGCAAAATTAATATGAACGTCTATATATTGTGTGTTACTTGTACCACTGTCATAAACACGGTCACAATCATTGTTATCGGCATTACTTGGGTCATTGCTAACAGTTTTCTTCTTTTTGATTTGTCTCCTGTATTATAACGCTATCTGAGACTAACATAATATGTCTCGGGCGCAATGACATATTTTTTTCTTTTATGGTCTTTATCTTTTTCAGATAGTGCACGCAGCTATTGAGACAATGCATTTATGAACCCGAGCACGCTCTATTTGGTGCTTTTTTCCTATCACGATAGTCTTCTTTAATTTCAGCAGGATGCTTCCCCATCTACGAAAAGTACAAGTTGATAAATGAACATATCTGTAAAGATTTGACGATAGAAAATGTGTGCAATAAAATTTATCAATTACGTTACCATCGGTAACGTAGTTTATGACATAGAAAACGCAAGACTATAGGTTCACTTCAAAATTAATGATAGAAAAGTGTTTTTATGTTCATTTTCACATTTATACCGACTGTGTTTATGCCATAGATAACATCAAATTAACACTACATCTTCTTTTAACAAGAGAGATACTATATAAGGTGTGATATATACCTTAAATTGTGTGGATTTACTCTAAAAAGGTGGTAGTGTTTCTTTATTCAGATTCAAATGAATATGGATACTCAAATTCCCCGCTTTATAAACTTTATTCAGAGCTAGGAGTATGGTAACCGTTATTTTCGTACTACTAGGTATCGTAAATGATGGTGTCGTAAATGATGCAAATACCCTTTTGCTGGTTGTATTATATTCAAACAATGCCAATTCAGTTAAAAATACTGATCAGCCAGGGTCACTCCTACCATACAATAAGGTGATATAACATTAATATGCTCAGACACTTATTGCCTGTGGAAACTATGATCACGTAAATGATTTTCTTATCTATAACTTCATGAAAAACGGGATTTTCTGGCCCCCAAATCTCAACGTTTCAAATATCAACTTGTACGACGTTCTATTAAGTATTCAAATTGGAATCCAGATACGTTTATGGCACATATAAAACATTAATTTTTCACCAGTTTTTATATGATTTATAGCACAAGGGGGTTGATATAAAAAAAGTCTGGCGACATTTGTCAAGGAACATTTTCAACATGGTAAAAATGTCAAAATGATAGTTTCTGTCATTTAACCAGAAGCTGGGATCGTCTTGTGTATAAAACACCACTTTATATGGGATGTTACGCATGAAAAATGTTCTAATTGCACCATACAATCCTGATTTTTGATATGGCGACAGTCACGTAACTGATGAATAGCCCTATTCTAGTACATATAATAAAATAGGTGTAACTGAGAAATTATATATTACATATGTGCTAGGTAGAGGGTCATATGTACTATTTATATATACAACAAAAAGTGATGTTGGTAATGTAAATGCTGAGATTGAGCCCTGGGACATCGATTTTGCATTCTTATTGAGAATGGGTGTATAGTATCTACAACTATTTTTGATCTTATGAGTATTGGATATCATTATTTTCAATTTTTCTTCAACATGTATTTTAATGACTTCAGTATGAATGGAATGTCCCTCGGAGTTGTGGTCGTTGATGAGGAATTGGCCATTGAACTGTGTGGATGCTGTTTATTCCCATATTAGGTTATTGTCTTGGGATATTCAGGTTTGATTTTTGTTTGCCAGTTTTACACTTTACAGTTTGCTTTTCCCACTAGGTTGCTTTACACTTTTTTCCTTTCTCATTTGTCATTTTTGTTTATATTTAGTAAGGATATGATACCCAGGTCTCTCCTTCTGTGTGATCACCTAATTAATTCAACTGCATGAAGAACATTTCGTTGACATGATGCACAGTGAAAGGTTTTCCACACATTTACATTTTCGTTTAAAAGAGCTTTAATTCCGTTATATACTCAGATCAAGGCCAATTTAGCATACATTTCGCTCTCAAAAATCACTGTGCAATAATGGATTTCAAAGAAATGTTTGACGCTTTCAATAATCTTTTTTCTTTTTGATGAAATGTAGTTATTTATTCTAAAAATCAATCGATGTCATACACAAAATGCATTTAAGTGGTATAAAGTACAGAAACAGAGTAAAAATATGTATTTTAGAATATCACCATGTGTTACCCCATTGTAGCGCCTCTTGCCCATGTTTCTATCAATATAAAACATGATATCAGATAAAACAACAATACAATAAATTTAATGATATCCCGGTTAGTATCGCTTTGCATTTGTTCGATACACTTATTCTGCCGATTCTAAATTATGGTTCTGAGATATGGCTAGATCATAAACAAATGAAGACAATTGAAACAATCCATCTTAAGTTTTTAAAATCTGTTTTATGTGTAAAACCTCAGACATCAACACATGCAGTTTATGGTGATTTAGGCCGTTATCCATTGTATATAAAATTTGAAATACAACTATTAAAATATTGGATTAGACTCCTGAGACTATGCCCAAGTAATATATTATCTGAAACATATAAATATGAGCTTGAGTTACACAATCTTGGGTTTCCCTCATGGGCATCCAGAATTTTTAAAATACTGGAAAAATGTGACATGTTAGAATACTGGGACAATCAGGAAATACCTGATGAGAAAATATTTTTAAAGGATGTAAATAGCACTTTGATGAGACAGTATCGTGCCGATTGGCAAAATGCTATTTTGTGTGCACCGATACTTAGAACATATTGTAAATATAAAACTAAATTTGAATGTGAATCATATTTAAAGTTAGACAATAGAAAGTATAGGCATTGTATTGCAAGATTTAGACTAAGTTCACACCAGTTGCATATTGAGACTGGGAGGCATTGTAAACCTGCCCCTAAACCTCTAAATGAGAGAAAATGTTCAACATGTAATTCTATTGAAGATGAAGAACACTTTCTCACAAGATGTAAAAAATATGTAACTCTTAGAGAATGTTTGTTTTCGAAATTAAAAGAAATTATTCCAAGTTTTGATTGTGATGACCCAGATATTTTTAAAAGGTTAATGGCTACTGAACACTTGAATGTTCAATTATACATTGGAAAATTTATATATCATGGATTCAAAATTTAAGTGTATATGTTTAATAGTGTGCATCACACTGTATAATAATTATTATTTGTAGTTAGAATAGTTGTAGTAGTAGTTTGTAGTGTTTTAGTGACTAATGTATCATGTTACTGATATAAATTGTCAATAAAGGATATAATAATCATACACCAAATATGCATTTATGTCAAATTATGTGGTTTAAAATACAGAAAAATAGTTAACATTCTCCTTAGAATACCACCTTGTGTAACCCCACTTTACTGCCTTTTGTCCCTGTTTATATCAATATAAAAGGTAGCATGTAACCTTCCTTGTAACATGTGTAAAAGTTTCAAGAAAATCAGTAAAGTGGTTTTCCTGGAATCACAATGACAATATTTATCTGAAAAAATTCCAAGATGGCCGCCGCAAAGTTAATCAGCTCTAGAACTTCTTACCATGTAACATGTGTGAAAATTTGAAGTAAATCCGTCTAATGGTTTACCTGGAATCGTGATGACAAGAAAGTGAGACTTCAGAATGCCACCTTGTCTAACCCCGTTTTAGTGCCTTTTGCCCCTGTTTACATCAATAGAAGAGGTGTTTTCTTTAAGAGGGAAGTCTGTTCTTTCAAACGGTACAATCATTTTATGTGGGAAAGTACCGGACAACAAAACCCCTTTTCTAGAGCCCTTTTGGAAATCAGATCGGAGACTAATTCCTATATACATATATAAATAATATATGACCATTGAACTGAATCACTGCCCTTACTGCAGTTCTCCATACAACTCTGGAGTTTATACCCTTACAAAAACAAGTGAATGAAAATTGAAAGGTTAGTTATTTATGGATTATGCATGTTTCTAAAGGGATTATATGTCTCTAAATAATGAACATGGTGACACAAAAATGTCACTCTCTAATTTTGGAATGACTTTCTCAATAAAAATTGAATTTTCATGAATTTTGAGATTTAGAGATATCACATTTTCCGTCCAGGTATGCTCTTGGTGAATATCAAAAAATGTTCAAAAATACAATTTTCTGAAATTATTATTTCTGTCTTAGCCATTTTTTGAGTCATTTCTGGATTGCTTTGACATATATTATCAATAATATATCATTTTCATCAATAAATACCGAATATCACATCATTTTGAGTGATATCATTTTTATCGCCGAGTTGATAGCAAATATCAACACGAGTGAGCGAAGCGAATGAGTGTTGATATTTGATATCTACGAGGCGATAAAATGATATCACGAGAAATTATGTGATATTGGGTTTATCCCATGATTACAATCACCTTGTGATGTTCTGATCCAATTTCCAGGACATTGGCAGACAATATAAACTAGAAATTAGAATATCAATTGAATATTTGAAACACTTTATTTTAACAATTAAAAGTAAATAACATGATATAGTTCGTCATAAATACCATTTTTAATCGTTAGTTAGCAGCCTTCTAATCAAATTATATACACAATCGTAATTCAATACACCAATGAAACTTAAAGAGACTAAATTAACGGACCTATTTTCTCAAAAGAGAATAAATTATCTGACCTAATTTCCAACAATATTGTGACGCGAAATGCAAATGTGATATCACACGGATATGCGTGAGATAAACGATATCACACGCATATGAGTTTGATAAACGATTTTCTGGAAAATATCACACGGATTTCAATAATATCAGAAATATCAATAGCAGTTATTGTACAGATAACACATTAATCGTGGGATAATATATCATATCTACCCATTTTTCTTAAGTCAAATCTGATGAACTTATTCACTTATCGGGTACAATTTAAGAAAGACAGATTTTCGAAGTTACATTTCTGAGTGATTTGGTTTCAGAGTATGCCTCCACAGAAAATTAGATATCTCTAAATTTCCAAGTTGTTGATGCTACGCATGCATACCAATCATTCATGCACTGAACACTCTATCCACACATAAAAAATCATGAAAATATTCCTAATTATTGAGAAAGTTATACCAAAATTAGTGGGTCACATTTTTTGTGTCACCCTGTCCATGAATTATCATTCATAATGCAAATGAAAGAATATATATATGAAAAGTTAAATTCAATTTTTCTACATTGAATTGTACTGTATAATCTATTTAACAAATCTGTAAATGTAATACACTGTTTAACTACAGTAAAATTTTAAATGTTTGGAACTACTTTGAATCTAAAGAATAAGCACATTATTACTATCTGAAATATACAAAAGTTAAGGACTTGTACATATGTTTCCATTTTTTCATATACTGTTGCAATATAGTCATTTGATTGCTTATTTTTTAAATTCAAAGTAGTTCCAAACATTTAAAATTTTATTGTAGTGTATTCCTTCAGTCATATGTAATACCTGGATGAATCAAGCTGCATTATGATTCATGATCTATATTCTTAATTTGATTGTTTGTTGATATATTCTCAGCTATGCCCTTTTATGGGTATTATCTGTAGATACATGTACTGCCATATATGGTAATGTCATGTGACACTCTTTTTATAGATTACTATTCATGAGTTCTATTATGCCCTCTTATGGGTATTTAATGTACGAATCAAACAACCATAAACCTTTAGCTACATGAGAGAACTACTATAGTATAATTTCATCTGACACTTAAGATTACTAATCATGAGTTCTGCTATGCCCTTTTATGGATATTTTTGTGCTAATATCAAGTACCAACAACCATAATACATGTATAAACATCTACCTCAATGTACTACCATATTATATTGCCATTTCGTCTCACACTATATTTATACAGGTTGTGATTAAGTGGTTCAAAGGTAACACAAGGCTAGTAATACAAAAGTACACATATTCATGCACATACCATATCTCTGATATAATGTGCTAATACCATATATATAAAAGCCGCGATTGGAATATAGGCCATAAAGCACAATAATCAATATCAGTGCAGTTATCTGAAGTTGAGAAATGTATTTCACGATCTTGTATGGAATATTGTTGTCAGGTGAGTGTCTATTTTTGAATAGAGTTCTATTGGTATATTATAGCCTGTATTGCTCGCATACCTGTGATGATTCTATATCATTCAAATGTAAATGATTTGTATCTAATCTTCAAAATATATATCTTATCAATATTATGTATGGCATTTACAACTGATGAAGGCAATTCGCAAAACACAGGTAGTCTATGCAGGTAGTCTATACAGGTAGTCTATGCAATATAGGTGCATGGACCACAGGACTTGGACAAATAATTGTCTGATGATTATATCCAGGACTGGGAGAAGGTAAACATTAGGCCAGAGTGCACCTTGTGATTTTTTTGCAATTTTGAAAAGTAAACCACTGAATATTTATTCAAACATTCTGAAGAATTATCAACCCTCAATTAATCTGAGGCCCAGGAATACGTTAAAAATGTTTAAAAAGTCTGCTTGTGTACTGAGTTGTTAATGCGTGGCCTATACATGTAAAAATATAGTATTAGAGATTACTTACATGTATAAGAATAAGACTGATTTTTAAAAGCTTAATGGATAAGAATAAGACTGATTTTTTTATTAATGGCAGTATACCCGGGCCTCAGCAATTAATAGTCTAGGTACACTAATGCATCTTTTGTGCAAGAATGAAAGATGGAGATGATGTGTGGAATGACTTATGTTTATCTGAAAATAGCACATGGTCATGAAATTTCATCCAAGTGCACCCTGACCTTAACATAGCCTATATATATATACAAGTATTGTATGTATAACATTGAAATAAACATGAAAAACGAGTAGGTTATATTGTGTGACAATTTTCACTTTACCACTGCACTGTAAGCCTATGGGCTATTTAGTTTGGACTGATTGTCATTCTGTCTCAACTGTCTATACCTTTTTATACTTCATAATTCATGTTTTATTTTGCAAAAAGTCTCATTTTATGTCTTAACTTATAATGGCCTTTGAACTCAAGTGCAAGGAGTGACAGCCCTGTCAACTCAACTTATTGGAGCTAGCATTAGAGGCTGCTACCTATATATTGAACTTGAAGTAATATTGGCTAGCCAAATAGGCTGCTCCCTATATATTGAATTTGAAGTAATCTTGGCTAGCCAAATAGGCTTCTTTCTATATATTGAATTTGAAGTCACCTGGGCCAGCCAATTAGGCTGCTACCTATATATTGAACTTGAGGTAATTTGGCTAGCCAAATAGGCTCCTCCCTGTTTATTGAATTTGAAGTAATCTTGGCTAGCCAAATAGGCTGCTCCCTATATATTGAATTTGAAGTCACCAAGGTCAGCCAATTAGGCTGCTCCCTCTATACAGTAAAACCTCCCTACAGTGAACGCCTATGGATCCACAAAAATGTGTTCACTGTAGGTAGGTGTTCATCACAGAGAGGGTAATGTATATGTTAGTAGAGTATGTGCAGATGAATGGTGTTCACTAGAGAGAGGTGTTCAGTAGACAGGTTTTACTGTATTGTACTTGAAGTCACCTATACGGCCTCTGGTTGGAGGCTGAATTTTGGAGATTGTCTTTGAGGAGAGATAGTGAGGTTTTAGTCTTGGTGTTTTGATGAAGTAGATAAGGGGGCGGGGAAGGGTCTTGATGCAAGACAAAAATCTTACTAGATAATTAATTTAAATACTTGAAAATTGTTTGTTTTCTGAATACAACCATCTTTTTGCTTTCATTGTACTAATTTATCTCCTTGCTTGAGTAAACTTCCAGTGGTCATTATATATGTCTTCCGTGTGAACACCTCCTGAAAACAATCATCTTTAACAATCCATGGGAAAATGATGACAGCTGTTCTTCCATTTGCATTTGCATCCAGTAAAATTGGCTATATAAACACATAAAGAACTACATTAAAACCTGCCTAATCCAAACACCATTGGGACTGGCCAAAAGTGTTCAGATTACCAGGTGTTCATTTCAAGGTTTTATAAACATGTTAATCAATGGGAGGTAACCAAGCACCAAGAAAGTGTTCACATTGAGAGGTGTTCATATAAGAGAGGTGTTCAACTACATCAATTTCACTGTAAATAACATATAATATTTAAATATTACACAGGAGTGGTTGCCGAAGCTGTGAGTGGCCCAACAGTGTTTCACACGATTAAAGATGGAGGTCTGAGAGGGTACCTACAATATTCCACAAATGAAGAAGAAAAGCCGATCTTAACATTCCGTAACATACCATATGCAGCGCCACCTATAGGTGACCTAAGATTTAAGCCCCCACAGAAGAACAAACCATGGAGTGGGGTCAGAGATGCAACAGAAAAGGGTAAACATAATTTGACATAAAGCATAAAATGGGCTAAAAAGATCAATGGAAACATCATAAGTGAAGAAATATTTTACAAAGTCATTATTAACATTCGCCAATTAATTTCTGCTAATTAAATCTGTTACATGTATGTGGTCTGAGGATGTCAATACCTGTAGGAGCGATCAAAAGCAACATCTAATCTGGAGAGAAAATAGTTCTTCAAACTAACCTCGATTGAATATTTCAGCTCCGGAATGTCCGCAGAACGCTGCAATGTCAGATATATTGAAAGATGCTGGTTGGCCAGTAGAGGCCACCAGACCTATGAATGAAGACTGTCTCCGTCTAGATGTATTTACCCCTACCCTAAATGAGAAGGCAAAGTTACCTGTCATGGTCTGGATACACGGAGGAGGACTTATGATGGGTAAGCTTATTGGCAATATGATACCATTGATATATGTATTTTTGACAAAATAGGCTAAAAATGCCATCAATATCTGTTACATGGTAATTATATGGTCAATATCTGTTACATGTAATCATCTATTACATGGTAATTATATTGTCAATATCTGTTACATGGTAATCATATGGTCAATATCTGTTACATGGTAATTATATTGTCAATATCTGTTACGTGTAATCATATGTTACCTGGTAATTATATTGTCAATATCTGTTACATGGTAATCATATGGTCAATATCTGTTACATGGTAATTATATTGTCAATATCTGTTACGTGTAATCATATGTTACATGGTAATCATGTGGTCAATATCTGTTACATGGTATGTAATCATATGTTACATGGTAATCATATGGTCAATATCTGTTACACGGTAATCATATGGTCAATATCTGTTACATGGTAATTATATGGTCAATATCTGTTACATGGTAATCATATGGTCAATATCTGTTACATGGTAATCATATGGTCAATATCTGTTACATGGTAAGTATATGGTTAATATCTGTTACATGGTAATGATATGGTCAATATCTGTTACATGGTAATCATATGGTCAATATCTGTTACATGGTAATCATATGGTCAATATCTGTTACATGGCAATCATGTGGTCAATATCTGTTACATGGTAATCATATGGTCAATATCTGTTACATGGTAATCATATGGTCATTATCTGTTAATGGTAATCATATGGTCAATATCTGTTAAATGGTAATCATATGGTCAAGATCTGTTACATGGTAATTATATGGTCAATATCTGTATGGTAATCATATGGTTACATAAGTTGCAATAATACCATCCAATACCTAATATGGTAACATATTAATATCTGGTAATTATAAAGGTGCAATAATACCATTAATATATGTTATGGTAGCTATATCTACTAAAGTGAAAAAATGATATTGGAGATTTTTTATACAAAAATTGTTTGTCACCAGTTCCTCCCTACAATTAATTATTATCGATTTATTTTGAGCATTGTTTATAAAACTTAAATTCTGGCTCTGTGAAAAAATTCAGTATCAGCCATCAACAATCAATTCTAGTGTATTCTCTAGCATATTTCAGAATTTGATTGACAGCTCTATTTTTGCACTTTCCGTATTTGGGCATGAAATTGATGGCCTGTGTTAAAACTCCAAGGTCAGGCTGATCTGGTCACTCTCTAAGTCAAATTAAAAATAAGAATATTGACTAAAAGTGATCAATTCTAGCTTTATTTTCTCATTAATTATATATTTATAGAAAAAATTTCCTTTCAACTCATTCTTAACTATCTAATATCAGTTTATCTGAAAGGTTTTAGTTTAAGTCTTTTTTATTTGAAATGTGTTTTTGTAGTATTTTATTGGACTATTTTGTCAAAGAATTTCCAATGGAAAAGCCAGTTTTATGATCTTCACAAGTTCAGGGGTTCATTTTATGAAAATTGTCACAAGGAATAAACACATTTACCAACTTTGGCAATGGCTGGGTTTAAGGCAAAAACACACAATGAGAATTTTTGTGTAATTTTCAAGATTATTATTAAGAATATTTAAGGAAATGGTTAATATGTTCTATATTTTTCATATGAATATTAACTCATAATGGTAAACTATGTTGTTTATTGATTAAACAGAATTGAAATGATGATTCCCTAAACCCCAAACATTTTTGTGTTAAAATGTCATTCCACTTGTTTTTTTCTTGTACATATACAGAGGTTAAATTATTTTAAAACAAAAAAACAAAATGAACGTTAATTAATATTTGTTTAGTTTTAAAATACCCTTGGGCAATTGAAGGAATTTGCATTATAATATTTTATGAAGAAATAAATACATCATGATAAAAAAAACTTTAAAGAGGCTCTATACCATAGAATAGCACAGTCAAGACCCCTCTGGACCTTTTTGCATATTGAGTTTCACCACATATTCACCAATCGACTTACCAACGAAGAAGTCCCAAATCCCCGCTTTCAGTGTTAATTTTGCGATTATGCTGACTGATCTGACTGATGGTGATAAGTTATACTCACAAGATAGTATGTAAGATATTATATGAGCAATAATAATGGGACATCATTGATTTTCGTCGAGAAACCTATGGTATACTGCATCTTTAACAGTACCTAAATGATAATGCTATGTTATTTAACAGGTTCTAACAGGATGTATGATGGAACAGTGTTGGCTGCAACAGATGTGGTGGTCGTAACTATCAACTATCGTCTAGGCATTCTGGGTAAAAGAATCTTGATTAAATACACCCATGTTTATACAGTGTAGTTTCAAAAGCACTTTTATCAAAAGTTGCCACCAATGTTTTTAACTTTGGCAGTCAATGAACTGTATTTAGATATATTAAATTCTTAAGCTTAGAATTATTCTAATTTTAAAAGAGATGCTGTTTAAAATGGAATAAAGAAAGTGAGTGGCATTCCATTATCTGAATAGACCATTTTCTATATAATTTGGTAAAATAGATGGCAGCATGGGTGTTGGTAGGGCCAGAATACATAGAAACATATAACAAGAGTCACTTAATTTCACAACCTCATAATGTTTGTTTTAGCTTGGTTGAGCACTGGAGATGAAGATGCCCCGGGTAATGTTGGATTCCTGGACCAAATTCAAGCTCTCAAATGGGTAAAAGAAAATATAGAGTCTTTTGGTGGGGATCCTGATAAAGTAACCATATTTGGACAAAGTGCAGGTAACAAAATTCAATGTTTTCATTCCTACAAAACTAACTTATAAAATGAAACTCTTCTTTTGACATCAATTTATAAGTGAAAACGAAGTATCTGCTGTTTTCAAATACATGTAAACACATAAGAATATTGTATGAATATACTATACTAAAATAAAACTAATAGTAGTTATAAAATAATAAAAAGGTGAAATAAAATTCCAGGAGGTGCGTCTGTCGTTGCACTATGCATTTCTTCATTGGGGGAAGGTTTGTTCTCTCGTGCAATTGCTCAGAGTGGGTCCCTTTTATATAGTGACTTCTTGCAGCCAGCAGAAAGTGTTAGAAGTGCAATTACAGAACTTGCAAAAGCAGTTGGTAAGTTTCAATTATTTTCATTGAATGACACGATCTTGATGACCATTAAAAGGCAATCATTTACTAAGGCCAAATGAGAATGGATTTGAAGAAAATTTGAAAATGGATTTGATCTACTGTGTCTTTGTGAACCTTAACTGCCTATGTAAATATCTATTAGATAATAGTATGATAATATCAGCAATATTATCATAATATTCGATAGTTTTATTTACGTGTTCAAGGTTCAAAACTTTTATCAAGTAGATATAGTGAGAATAAGGAATTTAATCAGGTATTACAATTTTACAAACGTTATTTCACTTCATTGTGGCCATGAAAATAAAACAATGATTCATGCTACTTTTCTTGTATACTCGATCCTGGCCAGCACCATTCCAAGAAGAATTGGAGAATAATTTAGTATTTCTTAATCTTCGATACTCTGATTTTAAATAAACAAAATTGGGAACAAAGGTCTTCAATATGAATATCCTTAAAGGTGCAACAATTCGTACAGGGGGTCATTCAATGATCATGGATCAGTGTCAAAATACTGTACTCCGGGTATTGTTCGTGTGCGATTTAATTTCGCTTTGATCGCGAATGTAGTAAAATCGCGAACATTTATCGTAGCGAAATTTGTCTTTTAAATCCCAGGGAATTTGACCCGGGACTTTTGATATGTTTCGTTCGGTGTAACACGCTGATTCACAGCTTACTGTGATCACTCTAAATGTATTTGATTATCTACAATTACAAGTATTAGTAGAAGTACTACTGTCAGACTGTATGTTCTTTTTCTTCAATATACAGTACTAGTACATTGAGAAAATGTTAACATGGGGTATTGTTCAATTTTATATCAACAATTGATGTACTTGCTAAGCTCATGCATATGTAAAAAGGCATGTAAGTATATTAATATAATATTATCAATATGGAGTTTACAGAGCTGGAGGAAAAAATTCAAATTGTGCAATCCGCGAAATGTCATCAACTCAAATTCGCGAAATTAAATAGCCACGAAATTGCAATTTTGAAAAATCGCGAAATTTTATAGCGTCGAAATTTACCAGGAGTACAGTATATCTAAGTTTAGATATTTCATCCAGACTAACATATATTTTTATGATCTACAAAGAAACCCCCAGGATGAACATAATTTCAGCTGATATTCTACTTGAAACGTCGTGGATCTTCAAAATCTATAAGTGGGACTCCCTTTATAGAAGCTTTGAACTGAATTTACACTTCTTAATGCTGAAATTGATAGTTTATCCATACATTTTAAGAAAATAGGTATGTCAAAGATGTTAAGCCAAATGTTGCCCCGATAGCTTAGAAAAAATAAAAAAATTCGAATTTTCTCTCTACAGTCCTTGTTGCCCCTTTAAGTTCACAACATCCCTTCTGGAAAATATGTGCAAATGCAGACTTTTCTCTTGTATCATTTCTACTTCGCTCTGGGGTTCTTATTTACATTTTCTTCACCTGCAAATATTATTCTCATATAAGAGGCTGATAATGCAATAGCAAAGTCGCTAGAATTATGTTTTATACACACATGGCAAGGCAAGCTGTGTCTGATTCCAGCCAATCCGAAGATGCTATTTCACATAACTGCATTCCATTGTATAACCGATAACCAACTCAAGGTCACTCATTAACGGTTGACAATTAAGGTGACAACTGGACTCTGCAGAATGAAATTGATACTTTACCGACTTGATCCTTGCAAAATGTTTCATCGCAAATATGTTCTTTTAGTGATTTCGTATCTTTTACATGTAGGTGATTTTTCTTTTCAATATTTCATGCGTACATCATTTGTATATTTTTATTTTTAGACTGTAATGAAACTGGGAATAACAAAGAAATCATAACGTGTCTGAGATCTAAAACCTATGAAGACCTAGCTAATGCTCCACCTCCAGAGTCCATAGGATATTGGCCCTTTTTGCCTATCTATAATGATACCTTTATGCCAAAGCACCCCCAAGATATGGTGAGAGAGAGTGATGTCCAGGCTCACATTAAAAGCCTCGACATAATGACTGGTATTACAGAAAATGAAGGTATAAACAAATATAGTGAAGCCTGTCTCAGTGGAACACCTTTTGTACCTCTAAAAAGCGTTAATTTAACATTAAGTCTTGGGACTCTGGAAAGTGTTCCACTACAGAGGTGATCCACTTCCAGAGGTGTTCCATTTCCAGAAGTGTTCCACTTCCAGAGGTGATCCACTTCCAGAGGTGTTCTACTTCCAGAGGTGTTCCACTTCCAGAGGTGTTCAAATTTACAGGCTTCTCTGTATATGATCAAAAAAGTGAAACCTGTCTAATTGGAATACGCTTGGTACCTGTTAAGTCTTCTTGTAGGGAGGTGTTCCACTTTTAGAGGTTTATTCCACATTAAGCCAGTTGGTCTTGGGTCTCTGAAAAATGTTCCACTTCTAGAGCTGTTCCACTTTACAGGTTTCACTGTACTTAGCCCCACAAGCAATATGATAAGCAAATTTGATATAAAAGACATAAAAATTATGATATTGCAGCCATTTGATGTAGTCAGCATTTGATGTAGTCTCTCAGATAGAAATCTAACATTCACTTGATGACTTCAGGATATTTGGTTTCTGGAGTTACCACGGCTCCACACTTTTCGAAGAATAAGACAAGGGAAACGATGTTTCAAGATCTGAAACATTTCATACAAATGTTGAGCATGCCAGACCCTTCAGATGAAGAGGCTTATGAGCGTCTGGTAAAAGGTATGTCTTACAAATACTAATCAATCATCTTTTTTTAAATGTCTCGTCTCTTGCCTGTTAGGCAATAACATGTGGCATTATAATTATAGTAAAAATGTTATGTTTAAATTCAGGCCTCCTAAAGTTTGACTCGCATGATCGTCAGTTCCGATTCGCTAATGACCTTCCTTCCACCCAAACCATGTTCTCACAATGTGAACATTGGTTCTTTAGTCGTGACCCACTGGTTCAATGTGGGAACTGGATGCACGAGTAGAGAAATAAATTCAGGAGAGAGGAACTGGTGGTTCGCGAGGCGAGGTCGGAACTGACGACCGCATAAGTCAAAGTCTAGGAGGCCTGAAATTCAAATGTTCACCAATTCATTTGAAGCATTAAATGAAAAGTACCTGCCACAGGAGAATCCTACAGATGATGATCTGATACTGGCAATGTCAAGATTGACTGGAGACCAAATGCTGACAATACCAACTCTGAGATCTGCCAATAAGTTTAAAGGTACAGTATATATAATTGATTTGTCAAAATGTGACATATTGTATTATGTATTTGACATTATGTTGTTGTTTTTTTATTTCAAAATGTGGTTCTCAACGGACCTTTTATTAAAAAAATATATCTTTAAGACTCTAATTCAAACCAAAGTTTTTTGTTCAAAGTTTAATTGGTTGATAGTAATGTAACAACCCTGAGGATGCTTATCCAAGGAGCTGTATTGTAACAAGCCAAGAAATAAAAACCTGACAAATTTAAAAAAAATGTTTTTCCAAAAATCTTTTAAATAAAAATTTGATAAAATAGTAAATGAATGATAAAAACATATTTTCAAACTTTGCATGGGGCCTTCAGTTAACGAAGTTATAAAATCGTTTTCCAGAAATAGGAGCAAATGTTTTTGTATATGAACTCAACCATTCCCCTCTTCAACTGAATCAGGGAAGACCAAAATATATCAAGGCAGATCACGGAGATGACTTATGCTACATGTTTGGCTTTTCAAAAAATCCATTAAACACTGAGGCTACAATTATTTGGAATGATGATGACCTTATTCTAGAGAAGCAGATGTTGAAGTACTGGACCAACTTTGCAAAAACGGGGTATGTGAATTCAACTCAATTTTGAACAGGCCCGTAGCCAGGATTTGCCAAGGGGGGTTCATTTTTCAAAAATTTCCAGGGGCGGGTTCACATTTGACAATTTTGGCCCAAATATGGCTAAAATCACTTGAGAAGTGCTCAAAATGGTGAAAAACTACATGATTTTGAAAGAATTTTTGGCAGGGGGGGGGAGGGGGGGGGGGTGCACCCGAACCCTGCGAACCCCCCCTGGCTACAGGCCTGTTGAAGATGAGGTTCTTTGCAACTGATCTGCACAAGTCCATTCAACATGTTAACTATATCAGACATGGCTGGACAAGAACAAGTATCCTTCAAAATTTAAAATTTAAAATCTAAATTCATTTTGAAGATGGGGTTCTTTGCAACTGATCTGCACAAGTCTGTTCAACATGTAAACTATCAGACATGGCTGGACAAGAACAAGTATCCTTCAAAATTTAAAATTTAAAATCTAAATTCATTTTGAAGATGGGGTTCTTTGCAACTGATCTGCACAAGTCTGTTCAACATGTAAACTATCAGACATGGCTGGACAAGTAACAAGTATCCTTCAAAATTTGTGAAAACTATTTATAACTTTTATCAAGATTTATAAACACTCCTAGATTTAGTTCCGCATTCTTCTAAGTTAATGTACATCTAATTCTCAAAATTAAATTAACATTGTGTAATGAATAATTTATAATTCTCCAGTTACACGGGTGTTAAAACACGAATATACCATGAGCACATGCTTTGAGGATCCGTGTTGTTTGAACCTACCGCTGAGCACACTTATACATTAAGACCCGTTACACAGTCATGATACCGCCGAGCAAGCTCATTGCATCATCGGGTCTGCTTTACCCCCGTGAGTTAGTATTTTATTTCCTTTTTGTTTCCAGTAATCCAAATGGAGGAGATCTGTTAGAATGGCCAAATTTCAGCACTGACAATCATGAAGCTATAAGCCTGAGGACAAATTCAGTCATTCTGACTCAATTCAGAGATGACCTTGTGAAGTTCTGGAGTGAAAAGGTTCCAAATGTTGTTAAGAAACAAGACAGTGATCAAAAAGAAGAGCTTTAGGGAATTATTGAAGTTGAAAAGGACAAAATTAAAAAGACACAATCACAATCAAATCAAGGTTACAACAGGGTGTCGTCCTCTAGGTGGGATAATGTAATGACACTTGATGACAAGTTGCTACTTCAGGCTCAGCTGTTGTGGGTAGGCTTTACAACTCAGGGGTAGAGCTTCAGACCGGAGCGGAAGGTCCTGGGTTCGATTCCCGCATGGGGCATTGAATTTAGCACACTCCCTTTCATGTCCAGTATCTGGCTTGTTGCACTACAGCTCCCTGGAATAGCTGCCTCAGGGTCTTTACAGAGTTGCAAATAGCAGGGTAATTCCTACCTATTTCAACAACATCGTATAAACATAGTGTACATGACCTATTAACTGATTGAGGTTCAGGGGAAACATCCCTCTAATCTGTTATTTTTTAAACAGTGACTCTATTAACCAAAGTCCCCTCTGAGAACATGTAGAACTAAGACACTACCACCAACATCACTACAAATGTGTTTTCTTTTATAACTAGACCATACCATTTCCGTTAATTTACACAAATAATCAACCAAAGGTACAGGTGCATGAAGACAGTTTATAAAAGGAGGTTTGCAAAGTAATGATTAACAGAATTTAATAAATAACTTGATGTATTCCATACCTACTGAGGTTCTAGTAACATAACTTGCGGGAATTCATAGTGTATGTAGGGAGCTATTGCCAAGGTGGGGGACCTGGATGGGTACACGCTGTATCCATCGTATCCATCCCGGTCCCGATCCTGAAAAGTGAACTCAAGTTTCGTTTTACTAATATGCTGTATATTTTAACTTTTTAATATCAATTCATTGATATGGTCCAGCAATATATCAGCGAAAATTTCACAAACTTAAAAACTACTTTTTAAGACTAAGAAAATGTGTACCTTTTGAGTACGTTTTTGAATTTTGGAACTATGAGGTATAATATACCTAGAGCCTCAGTAGGTATGGAATACATCTGTCATGTACAGTCAGTCTCGGATACAGAGTTTATCTCTTATCTATCCTATGCCAAGTAGTTTTAGGGAGATAAGCTGGTAAGATATATCTATCCTGATTTTGAGGTTTCCATATCCAGAACCTCCATATCTCGAAGGCATATCTTCCCGCTTTGAAAAAAATGTTGAAAAAAAATTAGAAAAAATGTTGAATTTTTAGGAAACTCCACTGGGTATTGGACAAAGCAGTTATGTACAGTCGGTATGGATATGGGGTTTATCCCTCGTGAGATATGCACATTTACCTTCGGTCCCTCAGGTAGATATGTATATTTACCCCATATCCAAAACCTCCCAGTACATAATTCTTATATTTTTATGTCTCGAGTTTTTTTTATTTTAAAAAGCCCCTTGATTATAATAGTGGAATAACTTTGTCTAATGAATAAAATAATAAAATATAAAAACTTTTTTGTAACTCTTCAAAATAAAGTGTCTTAAAGTAAAATTGTAATTCACTAATTTAAACCTGGACTTGACATCTAACAGTTGTTTTAACGAGATGCTATTAGTAATACAGTCATATTGTGTTATAAATATACAAACACATAATTTTATCACTGTTCAACAATAAAAGCATTACTGTAGCTCTTTCAGTTTAGTATAGGGTGTCTCAAAAAATGTACCCAAAAGTATATCAACAGCACGGATAAACCAATCAATATTTTCAGACATCTTTTGAATGGTCATGGAGCCAAAGCATATAACTGTTCTCCCCAATACACAGTTTTTAGTTCAGTCTTGCCTTTTTGATGCTTTTACCCTTATCTTTTTACACATGATCAATGTAACCTCATATTTTAATGACAGCCTGAATCCTTACTGCTACATTGTTCATCACATTTGATAATGGTTCTGGTGGAATGTTTTGTATTCCTCTTCGGATGTTGTCCTTGTGTTGTGTATTGGGGAAAAAACTTACATGCTTTGGCTACATGACTATTTAAAGCAGATATGAAATGGTATTTTTAACCTAAAGGAATCAATATGATTTTTTGATAAATGTATTTGGACATGTTTTCTCATCAGTAGTGTGAAAATTATTTCACTCTAACAATCGTTATAGCTGCTTAATAAGAAATATTCGAATTGGTTGTGACGTTATTGGCCCCCACGTGATCTCTCACTGGTCCCCAGGTGGCCTGTTTTGGTCCATTAGATCATGATGCCAAAATGTTTTGTTATTTGTTTACACAACAATCCTATGGTTGCCGTGACATTGTGATTACTAAGGAACCAATAAACCAAAGCTATATTTTGTATATGACGTTACTAATCAAGTGGGGGCCAATTTGATTGATCAGTTAGTTTTACTTCGTTATCTAACATTTATTTTATAATGGCTATCGCAAGAACTCTACGTTGAGCTTACAATGGAGAAAACCACATTTTTGTAGCTGCAAGTTGAGAAAAGCTATTTCAGTTGTCCTTTAATATGACTTATTTATAGATTGGTTTATCTGTGCTGTAGATATACTTTTGAGTACATTTTTTGAGACATCCTACAAATGATGATTCACTTATAATTTTTACCACGCATGTAGAAACACTCTTTTATACTCTTAGTAATTCACCAATGGCAGAATCGCAACATGCCAGGGTTTACCAGTACTCCTTTTCAACCTTTGTTAACAATCCAACCAATGTGATAATCTTCAGGGATTTGGAATTAAAGAATATGGTTGTTTAAATAGTTATCTTTCATCTAACATTTCATTCATGTTTACATTAAATTGCCATTAATGCTGTAAAAACAACCTCCCGAGGACTGTAAATGGTATTTGTCATGGTAATGGAAAGGGGGTAACAATCAGAAAGATTTTAACATATTTGGTCATATCCAACTTACCACATTTATACAGGACGTATAATCTTTCATATTCTGGACATAGTGCAATTTACCTTTTTTGGTAATGAGAGTAATAATGAATTAATTAAAAAATAGGACCCACGGTCCTGTGCTCACACAGTTTATGTACATTCTGACTTTCAAACAAGAATATTGATTTGGATTTGTAGTCTCGAACTTTGAGAAACTTAGATAGTACAGTTGTGTGATCTAGTATGATGACCTTTGACCTTGAAAATTTTACTTATTCAGAGCTCAGTAAGGTCTTTTGTGATTAATTTGAAAAATCAACTTTTTTGACCTTTGGAAGGTCACTGAAGGTCAAATCCTAAAACTAATGTCAGATTTGAACTCCTGGCAACTTGTAGATGATTTTCAAAAATAATTTGGTCAAATTGAAGCAAGTTGAAAAATAACTTATTTTTACTGTTTTTTGACGTCAAATATCTCAAAAACTGTAAACACTTGATGCTGACATATATTGAGCAATATGTAGGGAATGCTTAAATCTAGTAATGATGTAATTCTTTGCAAGAAATGATCAAGTATAAGGCAAACTTAGAGAAACTTGTCAATCAGAAAACCTGCCATTGACTTTATACATGAGAAAGTTTCCTGAAAATGACTGAGTCCTACTTTTTGTCAAATTTTATAGAGTAAACACCAAAAACTGTAATTCCAGGAGCTTTGAAATCTTCAGAGAACATAGGTGGCATATACAGCAACTACTACAAGTTATTTGAAAGTTCTACTTCAACAAAGTGTCTAGTATTTACAGAAAATTTGACTTTTTGACGTCAAAATCAGCAATTTCTCGGAAACCGAGCAAACTTGGGAAATGGCGATGATAGGTCAAATAGGCATTATAGATGGATATGCATAAAATGAAAGTGCATGTGACTCAATCCGAATAGCAGTTTTAATTTGTGCGGCCAATGTTGACGGACGGACACCTGGTCGATCCCATAGGCTCACTGTGTGAGCCAATAAAAAACATAAATAGATGATTTTAATTACATCAACAAACTTGCTGAGCAGCTGGTTTTATTTCCATATTACAATAGGCTAGAGTTCCACCTACACATTTATAACACATTATATAACCAAACATTGCCATGGAGACATGTATGCCCATGCTAACTCGTGTAACCATAGGAATGCAAGTCACCATGGAGACACATGAAACTATAAAGAGACATTACCCATTGAAACACATGTCTCCATGTTGTCACATGTCACCATGGCGATGCATGTAGACATTAATGGAGACATGTATCCACCATGTTGCCATAACAAACTTATGTAGTCAGTAAGCCATGTTTTATTGTATAAAGTACAATCACAAGGTTTTCATTCATAGTGTTTTGTTTTGAACAATCAAAATTCCTATTTTTACTAACATTTAAGTCTACCACTATTGTGAATCAGCCCAATATCTCTCCTTTTGTTTAAAATCCAAAAATGCACTGGCTTGCTTCAAATGAGAACACAAGCAAATTTAAACATTAAAACACCATCTTTTTTCATGTGTTTAGAACACTAATTAATAAACCAGACAACTGTAGAATTACGTCCTCAACTAACTTTTTAAAGCCTAATCCTGATGCATATATAACAGTGTAAATAATTCAAAATGCCCGTCATTCAGTTTAGGCATTATATATGATTTCTCATATTTTTTTTCATTTTGCCGAGGGCTGATTTACAAGATGGGAATTAATGAATATGCTTTTAGGAAAATAATACACACAAATAAATTGAAACCAATAATACAACTAACCTTTAATTGGTTTGGGGAGTCATTTTATTATCAGCATATCAATACAATAACTTTAATCATTTGATTTATCTAAACTTTACAATATCAAAAGCACAAATAAATAAACAAAAATTTTGTTGAATTTTATGTGAAAAAAAAACGTCAATGATTTTCACTTTTCACTGCATTTTAATTATGATAATTTGTGACTCTACTGTGTGTGACTGAAATGTGTATGGCTATCACATGCTCTCTAACTTATTAGAAGTTCTCTAACTTACTAGTGCAACATCTGCTATTGTAGGCCTGGAGTGATAAATACCTAAGAGTCGGGTGGTAACAAAATAATAAATTAAGAGGAGAGACCGCCCGACTCTTCAGTACACCTGGTGGACACAATATGATGGAGTCACGTTTTTCATGCTTAATATTTTATATTATATTACACTTGTTAGAAATCATGAAGAAATACTGTTGTTTATACAAAATCTATTTACACATCCATGAAGCCGTTCCCGTGTAACAATTCTGAATTCATCCATACAAGGAGGATTGGCTCCCAGAGTGCAACATCCATATTCTGTCCCATATATGGAGATGTTGTGATTCAAAATTTGAATTCAAACAGCCGCCATTTTGTTCACTTCAACATTTGAATCATGAATTATGGTCTTATTTCTAAACGAAAAATTCCAAAACTTGCAAGACATGATCGAGATATTGGTTCGATTCTTTTGGACTTCTTCTTTTGAATTTATAGACATTTTGACATTTCTTTTTGAAAATATCGAGTTTCGATCCTGGGAGCCAATCCTCCTTGCATCCATATAATCTTGTATAGTAAGAGGGGAATCCCCTAGAATTCATACATGAAGCTATCTCCATATTAAGATGAGCCACTATAGGTTCATCTAATAATCTCTACATAGATATGATCATCTATGAATTCTGGGATTTCCCTCCTCTTATACTGGGTGAACCAAAATATTGATTGGCTCTTTGTTACGTTTAGAATGGCTTCATGGGGGTGTTTCAAGACTTCCAAAAGAAGAAAACATGAAATAACATGAGCACCAGGACACTGTCATGCAGAGCAAATGTCCCCCAGATATTTACATTAAGATCTGACACCCCTTCATTGCACGATAAACTAGATCACTGTACAACAAAATTCACCATCCAGTTCGTCCAGAACAGGGGTGCAAGATTATAATAATTACCATTACCCTAACTACCCTCTGTGTTACAATGGACCAGCCTATTATCCTGTTAGAAACAGTCTAAGTAGATTGACCAGGGGTGGCAGATTGTCTTTATAAACCGACATGATTTAAAGCAAGAAAATAAAAGTGTTTTAAATGGGAACATGGCAAACTTGAGAAAATAATGCAGCAAACAATTCGCAAAGACCTCAGCAGTGTACGTGACTAAATTATAAATGCATTCAGATTAAATGGTCCACCATTTTTAGGGTTTTCCATTATTCCTACCAAGACAGGCTGAATTAATTTTCAAATAAAAACATACTGCAATAAAATATAAGGTTAGAAGCTGTGATGTGTCATTGTATTTTCAAGTTTGCCATTTTACACTGGGGTTTTATCTTCATATTACACTGGGATAGTCATGCTTCAGTACAGAATCCTTAACTGTCACATTTTTATCATAAAAGACCTATATGTGTAACACATGACGTATGTGTGCAACACAAGACCCATGTGTAACACAGAACCTTTGGAATTCACGCAGGACCTATGCATGTAACAAGGGACCTCTGCATATTACACAGAACCTATGCATGTAACACATGACCTAAGCAAACTAACACAGGACCAATGCAACTTACACAGGACCTATGCATGTAACACCTGACCTATGCAACTTACATAGGACTGAAGAACTAGACCCATGCTTCAGAATTGTACAGTAAAACCTGTGGGAGTGGACCTTGTCTACTTCAGCATTATTCTAAATAAAATGGTTCCAGAGAGCAGATCCATCAACAGGTGTTACTGTATATTTCAATATAACATTATAATACAATTATTTTGGGGTCAAATTCTTTACACATACACATGGCTTGAACTTATAAATGTGAAGGCAAGGATTCCGCCTTATTCATGTTCAAATCAGATTTTCTACACTTTCTTTGGGGATTGCAAACTGAAGAAAAAATTCAGATTTTCAGCAATTATGTATTATTTACATGTTTCTTAGAGCTAAAAGTGAAGAATTGGTAATTTAAAATGTTTCTAAAAGGATCACTGTTGATTCCTTTTATTGAAATTACAGAGAATGAAAATTCAAATTCATAAAGACCATGCAACAGTCTACAAGCTAATTGGAACATGGATCCTGTGTCAGCTAATTTATATTACAAAATCTATGTTATTTGCATTGGTGGCTTTAATACCTAAAACCTTTCACGTAAAGCGCTCTCCACATATAATATAATACACATCTAGTTTGTCATGCATTTCTACCTATTATTTCCACATCTCTGCCATTTCTCAGTGACATAACTACTTTCACCACAAATTAATATTTCGATCGCTGGTTCACTTTCCAGGGATACAAAATCTACAGAATATATGTACCATTAAATGGACCTTATATATATATTATATGTTAGAGACTAGAGGAGTGCACATAGGTGGGGCAGACCATTTAGTACACACTTCCGACTCAGATAAAACTAATGTCCATAAAGAGTTATAACTGAAAAACATATAGAAACATTTAGGATCAAATCTGGTGACTGGGGCACTGGTCAGAGCAGATTGACACATCTCGTTCTTACGAATACATTACATTTTACGTCTAGTGAATTTATATAAAATAAACATCGCCCAACTTAGCGATGGGGCATATCACTCAGCTGGGCATTAAAATAATGTGTGAGGGTACAACCAGGGGGCACTGGCTACCCATCACTATGGCGATACGGTCTAACAATCAGCCATCTTGAATTTTTGGGGCATATCTTATCTCATCGCCTTTCCAAGGCTTATTATGAAGCACAGTAACAACTCTCTGCAATACAAGAGTGTGTAGATATTGAAACCTGTTTTTCCACGACTGTTTTCTTACCATAAATTATACTGAGACATGTCTCTTAGACCATGTCCTTTTATGTTATGTGATCTCAGAAGAGATTTTTTGTCGTTTTGTTCAATTCAATGATCAAATTTTACCATTTTGGTTTCAATTTCTACGAGTTCGCCATGAAGGACTTCTCCATTTATATGGAGTTCAAAGGCTGATGTTTTTGCCGTAAATCTGTCGCCATCCTACCATTTCTTAGTTACCAATTACATTGGCCTCCAGTTAATGTGACACACACCTTTTTCTGCCTTAGTAAATTTTCATGTGACATGCACTTTTAAGTAACATACACTCTGTAACATGCTCTTAATTTTGAGACACGTGTTTTATTTTATTTTGTGACATGCACTATTTATGTTTAACATGCACTCCTTGTGCCATGTATTTACCAGATATACTCAAATATTCTGGTTTATTTATCGATTTGAATGACGATATCAACCAAATGCACACTTAGCTACAATGTCTCCTGACATCTTATGATCAATCTGGCTTCTTGCCAGCATCTCCATTTTTATATCTCTTTCATTTATCTGCTCGTTTTGCCTTCATCTAAACATTCAATCTCAAGATGCAACTCAGAGAGATAATCTCTCAGCTTACTTAACCATCTACCATTAATCATTTCTATAATCTTTTATGTTCTTTCTGCATCATATTCACACATTTCAAATTACTTGCTCTTCATTTTGTAAAACCATCTCCTAGGCACATTATTAAACTACCTGAACTATGGTCAACCATTTCTGAATGATCACCTAACAGGCTATTAGCCATGAATACATCAGTCAGTGTTTTACCTAGATTTCTCGTTGAACTTTATCCAACAAACCTGCTAACAATTTGTCTACGACCATAATCATTTCATCTCTTGTTAAAACCTTTCAGTTTCAACAAAGCCATAATCTTTCAGTTTTACCTTCACTTTGTTGCCAATACCATTACTAATCTATCTTTCATTCATTCATGTACCTTAAATTATTGGAGGATTTTGTAAAGCTAGTTTAACTGAACTTTACACTGCTTCAGTGTGCAATGGTGATTTCATATATTACCTGGCCAAAGGTGGTGTCACATAAGATCTTACAACTGGGGTTACTTCCACTGGGAGTGGATTACTTGTGTGCTTTCAGCAACTTCAATTTTTCTGCAATAATTTCTTTAATATTTTAACACAGCACCACTTTGCCTTAATATGAAACACTTACTCAATGTAAAACCTACACCCATGTCACCTACACTTAACCAAATACGATTCTAACCCACTGTGGATGAAAATCCAGTACCATCATAAGCACACTTAATACTTAATCCACCTCTTACCACATTTACCTCCTCTTTTTTTAGTTTTCTAATTTTACGATTTTTTTGTTTGTGAGTTATAGTCGTTGAACCAGTTGAACATGAGTATATATTGTCAGTTGACATGCATTTGGGCATGGCAATCCCTGCTGCATATATATAATATCTGCTGAGTTTATTCAAGTTTATTCACTGCTTTTGGGTTCAGTCTTGTGATAATATATCAAAGCACCTGATAGTGTTCCTTAAAAATGTTTATATCCATATTTTTCAATGTTTTTAGTGTAATATCTATGTAGTATTCCACGATTATTTCGCTTTATGGTAGTAGTCTTTTTGTTTTATTAGTAGTTGTTTAAGTATCCAATATTATCACCTGTAATGTTTGATCAGGTGATTCTGTATCCAATATTTAGTATTTCCACCTGTTTGTATCCAATATTTCCACCTGTTTGTATCCAATACTTCCATCTGTTTGTATCCAATAATTCCATTTGTACCATTTGATTTTAGTATCCTACTTTATTGTCTGTATCATTTGATACATTATTTTGAATACAATGTTTCCATCTGTTCAGTTTGATTTTATTATCCAATAGTATCATCTGAAGATGAGCGTATCTAATGGTCTCTCTACTCCGAGTAGAGTACCGAAGAATACTATCATCTCTGTTAGATTTTTGTTATTTTTTGAAGACCTTTATAGAGTGTAGTTGTTTAACCTCATTCTGTTTTTGTTTGATGAACTGCCATCTATCATTTCAAACACGCATTGAGATTGATAGAATGAACTATTTCTTAGCAGGTTTTTCAGTGGTTTTACTAGCACCAGTTGGTGTTGTATCTTTCGATGCGGACTCTTTCTTCACTTTCATCTCAGCTTGTTTCTTCTCCAAAGCTTCCTGGTTCATTTTCATGAAATTCTTTGAAAAGTTTAACAAATCTTGGCGTTGTTTTTCCATCTGCGATTTCAAGACACCTGGCCCGCCATATTGGCCTCTTGGGCCAGCATTGGGACCTCCAGGGGGTCCAGGGAATGGTGGACCGCCTGGTCTGGGGGGATTTGGTGCACTGGATGGACCTCTGGGTCCAGCAGGTCGTGGGGGACGCGCAGGAACTCCCCCAGTACGCAAGATGCTGTCTAACATCTGCTGAGCTGGGTTTGCCATGCGCACTGGAAAAACAACAATTTCATGAATTTAAAACAAAGTTAAACAAAACAAAAATACACAAAGACCTGATAACCAGTTAAAACCTCAATAAATTCCTGATAGTTTTTTATCTTATTCTGGTGTATTTCAAACCCCAATCAAGTAATAACACCGAAAAAAATATATTATCATTTTGCAAAGAAAATCTGTGCATTTAATTCAACCATCAAATTCATCAATTTATTCATACAGCCATCCAACTGTTTTTCATATATTTTCCTGCTCATATGCAAGACTACATAACCATTATAGAACTGTTATCCTACCTTGACCCCCAGCAGCAAAGGCTGGGTTCAGTCTGAATGGAGCTCTATTTTGGTTCTTGCTGCCTGGAGCTCCTGACTTGGCTGCCTTGTTGTTGGCTGCAGTAGCAGGATGACCCTTGCTGCCTGGAATAGCAAGTTAAAACAGGTCATTAACATAAAACATCTCACAACCTGCCATTTACAGATGCCAAACGCCAACCACGGCACCCTGAACACTGTCCACAAAAGGTTGGAGGCAACAATAACATGTCACCATTTGTGGTGGTGATATGATGAAATATTAAAATTCATGTTACATAATATTTATTCTATACTAGATATTTTTAAGTTGTTAAGACCCAAAGGATCATTTCCCAAAAATTAAGATCATTCCAGAATTTGAATTCTTTTATATGTCATCCTATCATTACATGGCTGGTTATTTTACAACTGAATTTTAAGAAAGTCCATTAATTTTGGGCAAATCATGGTCCCTATAAGCAAGTTTTTCAATTCACATTTAGGAATGCTAAAATTGAGATTGGATTACTTACAACCTTATGATTACATAGCTCTACAAAAATCTAAATATTTGATATTTTGCATACCTTTAGTAGGTTTAGACGAGCTGGTAGTAGTTGAAGTAGCATTTGTCTTTGCAGTAGAACTGGTCACTGTTGTACTAACTGTGCTAGTGCTCTTGGCAGTTGTACCAGTTACACTCTTGGATTTACCAAGATTACTGCCTGCTCCTGGCACCACACTACCTCCATGTCCCTTATAGCCAGTCCCATGGGCAGGTTTATATGTGTTGTTAGTGACATTCTTGTAGCCTGCAGTGGTGGAGGGTGTTGCCTTGTTAGATGCTGTACTGGATGAGACAGATGACACAGAGCTAGTAGCCTGTGTTGTTTTCATAGTAGTTGAGGAGAGGGAGCTGGTGGAGAAGACGCTACTGCTGATGGTACTCGTTGTTAGGCCACTCAGTGATCCTACTCCTTTGCCAAGTCCAAATGTGTTGGAGTCCTGGCTAGAGTAAAAGCTATTGCTGCTGTTGGCGCTGGTAGTGACTGTACTCAGAGAGGCAGGGGTAAATGATGTGGCTGTATATGACAACTGTTGTCCCACACTCTTTCCTGAATACTGCAAGCCAATGAAAATATGATTATATAAATGTGTACAAAAGTGTAGTAAAAGTACCAAGGCATAAACATACAAAATGTCAGCATTTGCCATTTGTTACAGTTGCCGAACACCAGACATCAACCACTGAACACCATCACAAAAAAGTAGGATATCATAACAATAGGTCACTTTTGGTGGTGACATAAAAAATGAATAGTGCACCTAACAAAATAGTGCATCCACTCAACATTGAGTTCATTGAGAGCCATTTATTTGTTAATATATTCTGTACAGGTACATGTATAACTCTTTACTCACCTGTCTTTGATTCTGATAATCCTGGGTAAGTGACTGGTAAGATGTCACCTGGGGGGTGGCAGCTGCTTGTTGGAACGGCTTCATCTGAGCTGTTGGTTTATTGTACCCACTCCCTGTACTGGCATATCCATTAGAGCTTGTATTAAAGCCAGTGAGACCAAAGCTGTTGTTCCTGGCCTGGTTAGACTGGTGTTGTTGTGTCAGGGAGGTTATATTCTGTACTGCTGCAGGTTGCAGGGCAAGGCCAACAGCTGTAGCAGATTGCTGGCTAGGGGGCTGAGGTAAGCCAGCCTGGCCGCCAAATCCCTGGAGAGGGTACTGGGTGGGAGTAGTCACCTGCTGGATGGCAGTCTGTAAAATAATTCATGGGAATATTGTTTTGACAAAAAATAAAAAAAATAAAAATAAAATATATATATATATATTTTGACATACGGAGAGGCTTGTCCTGATTTGATTCAACAAGCTTCATTGTAATACTATACTAATATTGAAATTCATTTTATTGATAATATGATTAATATCACAACTTTATTTTGCTTCTTTTCATGAATAACGCTGAACCATTAAAAAAGTACATGCATATAAATTGTTAATTGTATATGAAGCGCAACATGCATGTTAATACATTCACAAGCTCTGGAATATCAACAACATTTTCGATTACATACAAAAATCAAACTGTTATGATTATTACAAGATCATCATAATCAATATTGAGGATTCTGGCCACCTACAAAATTAGTGGGAAATAACACTGATAGCAATAAGCTTCTAGTTTAGCTGTAAGCAACCCCAGCCTCAGTCAGCAGTCACATCCACATATAGTAATAGGCACCTACAGTAAGGCAAGTTTATTATAGTGTTCTCCATAAGAAATAAAATAGAGACAGGGCCGAAGCCAGTTGGCATCATGTGTAATCATCAGGGGTCCATTTCAAGAGAATACTTGTGAATTAAGATTCCTGAAGTTTAATGTCTAGTATTTTGCTGAAAAAACACTGATAGACAATTGAATTTCACGAATCTCAATTTTCACATTTTTGAGAACTGGATTCCTTGCAAGTCAATGTAAATCTGATATCCAAAAGTTGTTTCTTTAAGCATGTCTCTCTCAGCATTTTTAGTGGGGTTTCTTTTGGGGAACACACATATTATTATTCAAATAAGGCATATTCCTAGTTGCGCTAGATTTACACTAGACTGCACTAGAATGTAACCAACACGCCCATAAGGCCCCATGCATAACAGTACATTGACACATACAACTATTGGGAATGCACTACGTAAATCATAGCAATACAAACATCAACATACAAGTAACTTTTTGAGATAAGATAATAATTTGGATTCATATTGCCAAAACTTTATGACACCTTTATGATTTAATAAAATGTCTTGCCACATTGACAACTTGACTTCCCAGAGGTCCCTCCTAGAAGAAACCGAGTACAAATTATTTTGAAATTCTTGAAAATTTGGATATGATATTTTGAGACTGCACTCAGTTGAGTAAAAATCTAGGGGAAAACACTGATCAACATATATACTCTGAAACGATACGATGAAACATGATACAAGCAACATGGACAACTGAGTTTTAATAGACTTACAACAGAATAATGACTCTAAAAAGCAGTTACACACACTGCCCTGAAGAGATAAACACCATAATCTTGAATGGACAATCGTACATTAAAACATCATTCTCTCTACTGTATATAGAATAATCTACAAGGCATTCCCAAAAGACTATAGTTCAACACATCAGGTTCAGGCCAGCATCAATGAAAAACGAGCCAATCCAAAAAAGGTAAAAAATCTCTTTTTTTTGTCATAATACCTGATCGAGGATAAAACTGTCTGTCACTTTTCATATTTTTGTTTAGTTTTCAGACATTAAAGAAGACAGAAAATAAACTGCTATGCTATTTTCCATCAGCTCAAAAAGATTATACTCAAGTAAAAAAACATAGATGACCTGGCATGTTACTTCATGTGTTGAACTGTATGTGTCCAGTGCTCTAGCTAGCATGGGGGGACTATGGGGGTGTTAGTGACACTCACATTGTACTGAGAGCTGCCAAGACAGGTTAGAGAGCCATTGTTATATGATGGTTTGTTGGGGTTCTGTACCGTTGGTACTGATCCACCCTGGGGTGGTTGCTGCCTCTGGGGTGCAGCTCCTGGCTGTTGCTGGGTTTGCAACGTGCTGAAACTTTGAAGAATCTGTGCCGGGGTAAGCTGCTGTGCAGGTGTTAGCTGCTGTATGGCCTGCTGTAGGGCACCATGCTGCTGTACACCTGTAGCCTGGAGAGTGGCTTGGATTGAACCCTGCGGGAGGGTGGGCAATGAGCTCTGAATTGATACCTGCATTGAGGCTGACCCTAGTGAGCTCTGACCTAGAGACTGATCAGGCTGCAAGAAAATTAGCAAATTACCCTACTTAGTAATTGTCAAAATATAACAGAAATAGAACACAAGTGCTCTAGTAATAGAGTCATTAACTTGTGTCATCTCAACTACAGAAAAAATTCTAAGGACGTTCAGGGCATTACTGGAAAATTCTAAAATGATAGGGGCTGTAATGATTCTTCATTTACACCTGAAATAAAGCTTATATTAAAACGAGAAGTAAGATATTCGTTAACCAACCTGTAGTTGAGACATATTGGATTGGTTGGTTCCCTGGTGTGCCTGGTAGAAGCCCGTCTGTTGTAGAGATGAGGCCCCCACAGGGTACAACGTCTGCTGGTGTCCCTGTAAGCTTGTAGGTCTTGCTGTAGCAAACTGTGAGCCAATCAGCTGCGATGTGTTAGCCTGGGCTGACTGGGAACCTGCGTTTAGCATCTGGTTAGGGTCGTACTGCACCAGAATGTGAGAGGGCTGTAGGGTGGTACTGTTAACTGCCTGGTTGGTATAGAAGGAGTTGGATAGACTCGTCTTCTGGCCAGCCCCAGCCACTGTAATACAAGATCATGGAAATCATATTTCATTCAATGAGTCGTTCTATGTGTTATTCAACAGATTCTTAAGACTGGCCAAATTCTCACAGTGCCTTTCATATCATTTTGTTTTCTCTGATGTTGCTCAGAATCTAACTTTGAGAACCAAAGTCAACATCCAAACATTTATCACATTTTTTCTGATATTATACAAATCAAACAAAGCAATTACTCCAAGCATTCTAATACTCTCAGAGTGATCCAGTCTTGCATTCATTTGAACGTCCCCTCTATATCTACTATTGTTTGTTAAAAGTTATCCATATGGCAGATAAAACCTCAGTCACATTTGCTCTACATGAAATCAACATAAAAAATCTACATTGTACTGCTTATACCTATATTCTATGTTCCATATTTCTTATGATTTTGAGAAGCTACAGCCACCGTATGGTTGCCATAGATCAAATGTGACTGAGGCATAACTGGCAGACAACTTACGTCCAAATGAGTTTTGGTTGCCAGCAAATGTCTGATTGTTGAATGCACTCCCAGTGCCAAATGTGTTCGGTGTGCCAAATGATGCCTGTGCAGGGGGCTTAACAGCTGCTGACATGAGCGTCGTAGTGGCTGAGGACATTATAGTGTTCTGCTGGGGAGCTTGTTGCGGAGTCTGCTGGCTGTAGGGCTGGGGGGCAGTACGGTAACCTGTGAAATGAGGGAGGTCAATTTAAATTGATACATTTAAACGTTACCATATTTATTTACAATTGCTTTCCAGCCTCACATTTTCCAGAGTAAATAGGTTATTAGTTCATTATAGTTCATTAGTTAGATTATGATCCAGGGTTATCACTACAAAGCCAAACTCAGTTAATTTCATGGTCATAATGTTTCCAGGAACCTTGCAAGTATGCGCCTGATATTAAATGACAGAGTCGAGACAAAATGTTATACAGAAGAAGAAATTTGTCCATACCTAGCTGTGAGGACTGGCCATAGAGGTCTGTCTGTGCTGGTGCTGCAGCTGGGGCAGCTTGTAAGAAGAGACTAGGCTGAGTGAATGAAGCCTGTGTGTAGGCCACTGCCTGGGCTGGCTGGCTCAATCCATATGTATAGCTAGCCTGGGAGTACTACAACAGAACACAAAGAAGCATATAAGTGTTACTGAGTTACAAAGATCATTTGCTCATATTTTACAATAGGGTAAACAGAACGCAAGAACTGAATTATACAGATCTTTTTGGATTTAAGAGATTTCACAACTGGGATTATTGGTTTGCTCAGAATCGCGAATGTAATCACTGTTTTTTCATGGGATTGACAGATTGGATGTTTTATCATCACAGCAAACTGAAAATCTTATTTGTATGTAGATTCATCACTCTTATGTTTTCAGAAGACTCGAATGACCTAATAACCCAAAATTGAGTGAATTGCTATTGATAAGTATTGTTATTTATTTACCCTTTGTTCTTGTATGAGCTGTGAGGAAGCTAAGGGGAAAGGCTGATACTGTGATATTTGTACAGACTGGTTCAGTGCAAGTACAGTAGGTGGGCTAGGCACATTGCTAGAGATACTAGCCATGTTGAATACACCAGCTGTGATATCCAACTGCTGCTGTTGCTGCTGTGGAGTGCTGGTTTGCAGCTGTGCAGGTTGTGGCAGCTGTTGCTGTTGTGCCTGCTCCTGCTGTTGTTCTTGTTGCTGCTGTAGCTGTTGAGGCTTCACCTGTTTGAGAGAAGTTGTTCATCTTACTTGAAACATGGAAATATTTGGAACAATACATTGAAAGTAGTTAACTAAGAGAATCAGAATCGCGAATGTTATCACTGGTTTCTCATAAGTATCAATAAGATCCTTATTTATTCATGGTAATATTACTTATAGAACTAACCTTGCATACATTGCTCTGTTCGCTGGTCTTGTTGATGAGATTGTTGATCTGAGTGTTACCATACATCATGGTATCCGAGGCCTGACTCAACATTGCCTGTTGAGTCCCTGAGACATCCATACCCTGAATCATACCTCCCATACTAACACCCATACTAATACCACTACTATCTAGCTGGGTGTTGTTCATAGAGCTGGAGCTACCCATATTCATATTCGAGCTACTCATAGTCATATTTGGGCTGCTGCCTAGTTGCATGTTAGGGCTGGTATCCATCATGTTCGGACTCCCCATGATGTTGGTCATGCTCAATGAGCCATCCATGTTGTTGTTAGCGTTCATGTTCTGTATGTTAATGTTGATTGCTGATATGTCGGACTGAGTGTTTGCTATCACCTGACTGTGACTGGAGTCACCTGGGTTAGTATTGCTCTCAATGGATGTGTTGTATGTGTACATGTGACCAGAACTACTCGCATTTTCAACATCAGACATTGATGTGTTGTTAGTGGCACCTCCAAAGTTATCACTGGAATCAATCAAATAAATATGTACATCTTAATATCTAAGACATTCAAATGTTAAACTATATAATCTATTTATAAATAATACACAAAGGTTTGCTCAGAATCGCGAATGTAATCACTGGTGTTTCATGGGATTGACAGATTGGATGTTTTTATCATCATAGCAAACATTGAGGTATTCAATTCTAAAGTCATGTTTGTTGATCTAATGTTGCAACAACTTCATGTTATAATACGGTCGACTCAATCTTACCCAGTCTCAAACATCATTGTTGGTATAGCAGATGCTGAGATATTCCACGATTCTCTACCATCCCGCCATACATCCTTAACAGCCGCGATCTTGGATGACAAATCCTCTGCAGCCGCAGGTGAAGTAGGGGACTGAACCCCCGTTGCTCCAGACAAACTGTTGGGCAAGGGGATAGGTTTAGGGACATCTGGGACGTCTCCCTTTGTATCCACCTTAGGCGTCTCCTCTGTGATTTTGGTGGCATCAAAAAGTTCAGCATCAAATGTGAAGTCTAACTTCATATCACCAGAGTCCTCTCCCTATAAAAGATGAAGATTAAATTGGACTTAAATTTCACAACTTTGGCTCTAATGATAGTTAATGCTTTTTTTGGTTGTTTTCAGTTTGCTCAGAATCGCGAATGTAATCACAGTTTTTTCATGGGATTGACAGATTGGATGTTTTTATCATCATAGCAAACCAGACTTCAAATAGACATTTTTTGGTTAAACCAGCCCAAAAACTTTACCACTAGGCCCATCTTCACTGACCTTAATTCTTGTTAACCAGCCTACCCTGAAGTCTATCTAATACACATACCTTAGTGAGACTAAAGGGGTCCTTGAAGCTAGCTGGTAGCTCTATAGGCTCAAAGCCTGACTTGACTGGCTTCTTAACAACCTTTGACAGGTCCTCTGGTTGTTTCTTTTCTACCGCAGCAAGGGCAGGTCTAACCATTTTGGCCTGTCTCTGGGGCTTTGGTGGCTCCAGGGGCTTGATGGGGTCAACTATCCCCGTTGTTAGCCCAGTCTGTAGCAACTGGCTACTAGCCTGTAATAAGCATGTATCATTTAGAATTAACAGAAAAGATAGAGCACTATAAAAATGGTCACTTCCATCATATGTCATATAGTGGGTGCTCAAGCAGCAATTTCAATTATGACTGTTGTAAGAAAGATGCGATGTAATATGTAATACTTTCACGGGATGTCATCGCCTGATTTGGTCAATGTTAGGGAGCAGGTCGTTTTTACAATAAATTTCAATATTTTCACACAAAATATTTTTTTACTGAAAAACTGCTCATTCGCAGAGAAAATGTACTAGCACATGCAATGACAATGTCAATCACGCTTCTGTACGAAATTCGGCGGAAGTTTTCTATAATCTAATACGAAGTTACTAAAAAAGGCGCGAACGCCCTACACTCAAAATGATCGTTTTTCCATTATAACTTTTTAACGTAATTTAACGAAGGCTTCTAATTATTATCCAAGATAGTCTAAATACCGATTAAAATATTTCTTACTTCAAACAGATACGCCGTCTTTTATTCAATTTTTAAAAAATAATAAAAAATAACTCTTGTCAATGTTAGGGAGCAGTCAATGTTAGGGAGCAAAATGATTTTATCAGAATATTAAAAATGTAGCAAATGGCCATTTAAAATATGTATGGCATTTATAAACTAAACAATATTGTTTGAGTCCAACGGAGTCCCATGGTTGATGACTTTGCCCCATCAAGTCCCAACGTGCCCCATCGAGCCCCATGGAGTCCCATCAAATCCCACCTTGCCCCATTGGTGTATGTTGGGCTTCACATAACATGTGACCTGATCGGAAATCCCACGATGCCCCATGGAAAGAATGAACATGTTCATTCTCGATGGGGCAAGATGGGACTCCGTGGGATTTTGCCCCATCCTGCCCCATCGAATCCCATCGAGTCCAACGTGGGACCTCATGGGACTCGATGGGGCAAGATTATATGCAAGTTGGGGCAAAATCCGACGGAGTCCCATTGATTCCCACGGACTTCATGGGGCAAAATCCCAAAAGGTCCCACTAGGTCCCACGCCATGTTAAGTCTATGGAGGTCCCAACTTGTCCCATTGGTGTATACCGGGCTTTAGAGTATCATTAGCAAGTGGTACACATATAACAGAGATCGGTTATATACTGCATTGTCTGAGTATTGACAAATTGAAGTATACGTGTAAAAATCTACTATCATACATGTAACTGCGCAATGAGCCCTTCATAGCGTTTGTGCCAGCTATCAGGTGATACCCGGTCGTAAAGATAAGTGCGAGACTAACTCTCTTACTTTAATACTAGGAAAATATCAAATCATAGAACTGAAGGATGTCGGAGATTTCTCAAGCCTATATATCAGTTCAGATAATTTATCATCCACAATTTAGGATTGTGAACTGATGACATCATCAAAAAGTGTATATAACGATACATCCATTCATTTACAGTTAGAGTTCAACGAATAAAGAAGGAATGGTTCGCATCTAAATATTTCTAAAACGAACGTAAACAGGATTTAGCTGAAAATAAAAAATGCAAAATAACCTTTTCAATGATTTTCTTACAATTTTTACGCTTTCCTCCCCAAAGGGTATCAAATAATCATACAAACAAAATTGTTCAGTTTATAAATGCCATACATATTTTAAATGGCCATTTGCTACATTTTTAATATTCTGATAAAATCATTTTGCTCCCTAACATTGACTGCTCCCTAACATTGACAAGAGTTATTTTTTATTATTTTTTAAAAAATTGAATAAAAGACGGCGTATCTGTTTGAAGTAAGAAATATTTTAATCGGTATTTAGACTATCTTGGATAATAATTAGAAGCCTTCGTTAAATTACGTTAAAAAGTTATAATGGAAAAACAATCATTTTGAGTGTAGGGCGTTCGCACCTTTTTTAGTAACTTCGTATTAGATTATAAAAGACTTCCGCCGAATTTAGTACAGAAGCGTGATTGACATTGTCATTGCATGTGCAGTACATTTTCTCTGCGAATGAGCAGTTTTTCAGTAAAAAAATATTTTGTGTGAAAATATTGAAATTTATTGTAAAAACGACCTGCTCCCTAACATTGACCAAATCAGGCGATGACATCCCGTGACTTTGGATACTTCAGAATTGTGAATATAATCACTGATTTTTCATGGATTTGACAGACTATATAGACCTCTCAAGTTTTCGAACAATAGGTAAAAACTATCATTTACTATCATTTGTGTGCCATGGTATATATGCTCTATTTACACATACTTTTATACATTAATATTCTCTTAGTTACCTTTGTAAACTTTGTCTCATTACTCGGTGAGCTTCGTGTAGAACTTGGCACAGAGTTCTGTGTCTCATTCACATCTATCCCACTATCATGCTGATCTCCCTTGTCATACTTGCCATCCACTGGCACATTGATAGGTGGTGCTGGTGTGAATGTGATAGGCTTGTCCCAGGCATTTACAGAGGGCATAGACGAGTTGATGCTGGGGGTGGGGAGAATCGTCTGGGCCATCAAAGGCTGGGGTGGAGGCAGAGGGTTGTTCGACACCATCATCTCACCTACATGACAAATCATTATGATTATTAATGTAAATTACAGCACTGAAGATTTCTATTCTATATATAATCAGTGCAGATAATTTTGATGCAAAACTGATGTAACAATTGTATCAATTATAAGATTTGCTCAGAATCGCGAATGTAATCACTTGTTTTTCATGGGATTGACAGATTGGATGTTTTTATCATCACAGCAAACCATCACAATGTTAAACTAAAGGTACCAAATATAAACATCACGAAGTTGTTGACAGGCTTACCACCATTCTGTGCCATCTCTTCCTCTAGCATAGTTTCCAGTGGTATATTGTTAGCCATGGTGTTGTCCCAGCACTCAATCTTAGGCATGGCCATCTTGTTGAGTTCCTTTTCCTTCTCTTTACGCTCTCTCTGTTTGGCTAAGCGGGGAGGAAGCTTGCTGAACCTTGAAGCTGTGGCTGTTAGACCCCTGGGTTTGGCTACCACCTAAAACGTTTAAAAAAGTTATTTGTAGTCCTTTGTATTAATCTTTTTTAGCAGATCTTACCAGTAGGAAATAACATAGAACAGTTGTCATCTTAAAAAATACTACTTGTCAATTTGTGTCCTATATAGTCAGTGCAGATTATTTTGATTAACACATGTATCAGTTGATGCAAACTGATGCAACAGAGATGTGTCTATAAGATTTGCTCAGAATCGCGAATGTAATCACGTGTTTTTCATGGGATTGACAGATTGGATGTTTTTATCATCACAGCAAACCATCATAATGTTGAACTATTGGTAAATACAGTTGTCATCTTAAAAATATTACTTGTCAATTTTTTCTCACCTTTGCAGTCACCTTCTTCAGCTTTTCAATCTCTAAGAGTTTCTTCTGTTCGGCTTCCATTGCTGCTTTTTGTTGGCGGTATTTTTGCGACTTTTTTGATGTCACTTCTTGGAAACCATCATTGTTCTCAAATAAAAAAGCTGGGTCGTCTATGGAAACTTCTGGTTGGTCATCGATCACAACAACACCTAGAAATACAATGTTAACCCGTTGAGTATCATTTTCAGACTCGCAGTATTGATGGGTAAGTAGACCCTGGCATATTCACCAAATCCTATAAAGTGGGAATATTTTACAATAAATTGTACTTTCAATGTTCTCAAGGTTTTATGCTTTTCTAAAATATGAAGTTCCATTTCGTTCAACACGTGTACATCAGAATAGATAAATAACCATGGTTTTGTCATTTGTCCCTATCTAAAAGGTCATCATGTGTACACTATCCTATCGCTAAAATAACTTATGTCTGCCCAAACAATCAGCCCATGTTTCTACAATTCTGTGTTTGAGAAAGGAAACAGTGGGAGAAAGCAAAAGACTACCAACAAGGTACTGATTACTAATTCCTCAAGTTTCTTACTTGCAAAGTTGTTGATATCTATGTTAGCTAGTGCATCACTTTTCTTCTCAGTTTTCAATGGTTTTGAGACATCAGTCAGCTCTGATGTCTTCCGTTGTCTGAAACATAAACATACACACTTACAAATAGGGACAAATCTGGACTGTATGGACAATTTTAAGATTGTATTATTGATATCTGGTCCTCTACACTAAATTCATCATATTAATTGTGCAATTTTCACAAAAAAATATGGACAAGATGCCAAAGATATGAAACTTAAATAAGATAATATTAAACTTACTTTGAACTGATACTATTTATAGCATTCCTAATTGCATCTGGGTTGTCATGAATCACCCCATCTACACGACACACTATATTTTCAGATTTAGAATTCGCTGCATTCTTGACGTTTTTGGTCCCCGCGCCACCATTGCGAACAGTTCCATTAGCTTTGGCTGTGGACGGGGACCTCTCCTTGTTTTTTGGACGCTCTAGACTGTTAGACTTACGAGCTTCAGACGAGTTCCCTCGTCTGTTCTGCCTCTCGTTTGGGCGTTGACTAGAAAAACTTTTCCTCACGGAACCGTTGTCCCGTGAGCCTCTATCGTTTTTTGACTCCCGTTCCAATATTTCACTGCTCTCACTAGCAGTCTCCCAAAGGTCCTCGGTGGCCATATCTGAAGAGTTCTGCTTGGTTAATGTGGGTCTCTTTCTTTCTCCTCTACTCCCAGATCCACTGCCTCCTCGAGAACCCCGACTACGCCTTTCACTACCGCGATCACTCCCTCGACCACGACCACGTTCACCATATCCACCTCCCCTATCATTATATCCTCCACGACCTCCTCTTTCACCTCTACCCCGAGCTCGACCTCCTCGTTCTGGGAACCCGCCCCGACCACGGGAAGAGCCCCGGGCAAAGCGTGGAGGTTGAGAGTTTCTGTGGCGGGAATCACCACGATAGTCCTGCTCTCTGTCAGACATTCTATCCCTATTGTCTCTGTTATCAGGCATTCTGTCCTGTTTATTCATGTCTTTGTTTTGATTGTCTTCAGCTTTCATGTCATTGAACCAAACATTGCTCTCTTCCCTGGAAGAACAATATTGAAGCTGGTTATTAATACAAAGCGCCAAGTAAATAGCATGGTAGAGTGGTGGAGCACTTTCATTGTAAGCAACACTGTACTTCCAAAATCACACCGAAACCAATCCTTCTGTATCACACCTCCTTAACTTTATACGCAAAGCCCAGTTTTTAAACAAGTCAAAAATATCATGACTTTAAATTTGTGAAATTCTAATGGCATTTTCTGCAGATACTTACTTGGGAGTAGAAGGTACACTTTGTTTGTCACTCCCAGCATCATTGATAGTGTCTGGGGCACTACTGGTCTTACTGGGGGGTTTCCCAAACCCTCCTGAAGTCCTGGGGGCCTGACCTGAGTTATATCTACCCCCACGACCACCACGTTCACGCTGGGAGCCTAAAACATAAAAAAAAGTTTTTAAAGAATTTAATTTTTTTAGTTTTAGATTTGGCAAAACTCAAACTAGGTAAAATATAAGATTTATAAATACAATAGCGGACTCCATGCTCAGATAAATATTGTCCACAGATTGTTTCAGATGACGAAAAATATTGGTTCAACATCATTGCATGGTAATTTCTCTTTCTATTTTTAAACTCCTGCATGCATTGTCCTCAAAAGTCATGTTAAGTCAATTTAGGATGCTGGTATCAAATTCTATGGTGAACAATATAAAATGTAAAGTGATTTGTTATTTACCGTCTTTTCCTCCCTTTCTGGATTCATTCCTGGAGTTGTTACTTCGCCCATTTTCTCGCCGATCATCTCTTCGATCCCTATCATCACGACGATCATCTCTACGATCACGATCATCTCTTCGATCATCTCTTCGATCATCTCTGGGGCCCCTATCTTCTCTTTGGCCTCGGTCCTCCCTCTGACCCCGATCATCACGTTTATAGTCTCTATCATCTCTCTTCCTCCTGTCCTCTCTTGGTTCTCTCTTGTCTTTATTTTCATCAGATTTATATTTATCCCTTGGTTTATCACGCTGTTTAGAGCCCTCCCTAGATTCTGTGGCTCTAGATTCTCTATCACTAGACGCTTCACTCAGGGCTGGAGACTCTTCATTGTTTTCACCATCATCTCTCCCACGTCTCCTACTGGAGTATGAACTCCAATCATTGTCATTATACTCCTCGTCATCCTTATTGTCCCACACATTGCCTCCTCTACCACCGCTGTATCGCCCCTTATTCTCATACTGTCCACCATGGTAATCGCCTCGACCGCGACCACCTCTATAAGCAGGGAACCCACTTCTGCCTCGTGACCGTGATCCTCTGCCACCACCACGATAATACTCCCGAGATCCTCGTCCTCTAGATCCGTGGGATCTATCCCGCTCTCGATCATCTAGATCTCTAGGTTTTTTAAATGGAGGCCGATCATCATCTTTAGCTTTAATGTCTTTATCATCTTGCTGGATGATGTCAATATCCTTAGGGGACTCTGATTGCCTGAGTTGTTGTTCACTTGGCTGCTCAACTTTCTTCTCTTTGCTCTGGAACGGAGACCTCTCAGCCCAAGCATTCATTGGTTTTGGTTTTTCTGCTGGTGGCTGCTGTTGGGGTTTAGGTTCATTGTTCTCCTTTGGCCTGAAAAACAGATTTATGTGCAACACTTTATGACATGTCTTCTCAATATTGTCAAAATTTTCAAGATTTTCAGATTTGAAACAAAATTCACATAGCTAAAACATAAAGTACTGAATTTCCATGCTCAGACAAATTATGTCCACAGATCGTTTCAGATGACGAAAAATATTGGTTCAACATCATTGCATGGTAATTTCTATTTGAAAACTCCTACATGCATCGTCCGCAAAAGCAATGTTTAGTCAATTCAACATGCTGGTATCAAATCCTCACCAAATGACCAGTTGGGCCAAGACTACAGGAATCAACATCTAACATACAAAATACGACTTCCAAGTTCCCGACCAGCTTTGATGCTGATAAAACCTCAACAATCTTCAATGAAGTTTTCAGTGTCAAGATTTTTCTAATGTCATATAGATAGGATATAAGCTGCATCAAATAAATCTCACTAATGTAGGAAGCAGACAAGGATGATGCCATCTTGCGAAGGGTCCCACCACGCGAATTAGTTATAACAGAAAAAAAATCTTACTTGTTTTCCTTCTCTTCTTTACTGTTGTCTCTGGAGAGAGATCTCTGCTTCTCTACAGGTTTGTTCTCCTCCCGCTTCTCTTTCAGGGACTCCTAAATGCATTAACCATATTTAAATCACTCAAGACTATTTTCTAATTGAATTTCCTCTAGTTTATTTCACTGTTTGATTTAAATTAATAAGACCATATAAATGGGATAAATGAATCCATTTGAAAAGCCATCAGATTCGGTGAGTGATGAGTTCGGTCCCCCTTGCATTGAAAATACTGCGGATATCACAAAATTCATCATATGGCTCTAGTCCTATGTCAGACAGACTGACTGAGTGTAAAACAGATACTGGCCATTTCCTTACCTTGGTCTCTGGTTTCTTCCAAGCAGAGGGACGCTCAGTCTTCACTGCCGCAGCTTTTGGAGATTCAGTTTTACGCTCAGAATTCTGGCTGCCATAATTGGCATTCCTCTTCAGTGACGTGTAATTGCTACGTGGGGGTGCATTGTCCCTAGTCTGCTGAGCAGTTATAGGGGGTGGGGCAGTATGGTGGGGGGTAGCGTGCCACTCACGCTCTGAAAACATACATGTAATTTGTTCAACACGAGACCAAACAGAGAAAGTGTCTTTTGAATTGTTATGTTATTGTTTGCTCAGAATCGCGAATGTAATCACTGATTTTTCATGGGATTGACAGATTGGATGTTTTATCATCACAGCAAACTGAAATAGTATATCAAAATCTAATCGGAAACTTCAATTGATAGTTTAAAATTAACTTACTCAGTTTGACAGGTTCTCCCTGCCATCCATCATCATCACCTCGTGGCTTGTTATCTCTCGGTCTCTCCTGACGATTTGACCTGGCCCTACATTACATAAATTCACCATAAAATAATGTATGATATGTCATATATAATCATAAATGAATGTTTCATTATGTTTAGTTCATTAAAAATTTTCTCATTAAAAAGATTTTTTTAAAGAAGTTTTGGAGCTCAACTCTTACATTATAAAAATTACTTAAATTATAATAGATATGTCCTTAGACCTAGAAATTGGACACAAATGGTGTATAGTACCAACATGGTGAGGTCAAGACTTCATGTTCCTGGAGTTTACTACATATCAAAACATGGAAATAGTCTTGCTATGCGAAAAATCCAGGTTACTGCATCAGATTAAGTCACGACAATAAACAGAACGTATATGCTAGATGGGCTACTGTTAACGCAATGAAACTCATATCTGAAAACTAAAGCTAAATGTCTTTGGAGTAAGCAGGCAGTACATACAGAAACCACGAAACTCACGAAAAAGTCTATTAGGCATTAACATGTAAAATGTGACCACCTGCCATTTGTTACAGACTCCGACCGCTGAATGCTGTTACAACCACAAAACACCAGCCAATATGTCATCACTTCTGGTGGTGACATAATAAGATAAGACTAATTTGCACTAAAACAGTTAAGAATTTAGTTTTACTAACAAAAAATACCTGGATTGTTTCTAATATAAAACAGGAAATAAAACCACATGTAAATAGAAACTACAGTAAAACTACTAGATTCCACCCATTTCATGCGATTTCAGAAAATTCAATTCCAACTTTTGTCAAACATATTTTCAGCCATGAGATTAAACTACCCCTTTAATCAACTTCAGCATAAAATGACATGATACATCAGTTGTAATCATAGACAACCGCTTCATTTTGTTTGGCTTAGCAGATTTTTCATTAAAAGGACCATTTAAAAGTTTTGGAGCTCAATTCTTACATTATAACTAGAAGATTGCAAGCAATCTTACGGAGGCCCCGTAGGCTTTTTTGAACATTTAAAGGTCAGCCAAAGGTCAAATCTTAAAAACAAGGTCATATATGAACTCCAGGCATCTTGTAGATGATTTAAAAAAAAAATTTGGGTCAGTTTGAAGCAATGTGAAATTTGACCTTGAAACATTTCAACATTAGACCTTTTTCAGTTTTTGAGGTCCAATATCTCAAAACTGGTGCAGAATTTTAATAAATAATCAATTGTTAATATGTGTAAAACCTTTAGAGGAATATATATCCTGACTTTAATTCAAAAATATTGATTTGTAGTCACAAACTTTGAGAAACTTAGAAAACACAGTTTGTGATCTTGTTTGATGACCTTGACCTTTGACCTTGAAAATTTTACATTTTTAGACCTCAGTATATCTTTTCTGATTGAATAAACCTAAATTTGAATCAAGAAAATCAATTTGAAAAATCAACTTTTTTGACCTTTCGAAGTTCATTGAAGGTCAACTTAAGGTCATAGGTCAAAACTAGGGTCAGATTTGAGTTCCTGAGATCTTGTAGATGCTTTTTAAAAAAAAGTTTGGTCAATTTAGAGCAAGTTGAAATTTGACCTTGAAAAATTTCGAAATTTGACCTTTTTTCAGTTTTTGAGTTCTAATATCTCAAAACCGGAGCAAAATTTTAATAAATAGTCAATTGCTAATATGTGTAGAACCTTTAGAGGAATATATATTCTGACTTTCAGTAAAAAAAATTGATTTGTAGTCTCCAATTTTGAGAAACTTAGAAAACACAGTTTGTGATTTTGTTTGATGACCTTGACCTTTGACCTTGCAAATTTTACTTTTTTAGACCTCAGTAGGTCTTTTGTGAATAAATATACCTAAATCTGAATCCAGAAAATCGATTTGAAAAATCAACTTTTTGACCTTTCGGAGGTCACTGAAGGTCAACCAAAGGTCAAAGGTCAAAAGTAAGGTCAGATTTAGAATTCTGAGAACTTGTAGATGAGTTTTAAAAAAAAATTTTGTCAATTTGAAGGAAGTTGAAAAAAGACCTTTTTTGACCTTTTTTTGACCTTCAATATCTCAAAATCTAGGCAAAATTTCTCTAGACGGCAAAAGGCTAAGACTAATAGAATACTAATATCTATCTGTGTGCAAAAATTCAGCCAAAAATATTGAAGTGTAGTGTCAGGATTTGAGAAACTTGAAAAAAACTTAGATTTGACCTAGATTTTGACCTTTGACCTTGACCTAGATAAAAATTCCTTTCCCGCCAAGTTCAGCCCAGGTCCCTATTAGGACTATGTAGTACCTAGTTGAAAGGTAGTTGGAAGTAGGAGAAAAAGAGGGAGGAAGAATAAATAATAAAGAATAAAGAATAACTAGACTTTGGAAATTGAACGAAGTTCAATTTCAGACTCCAGATTTAGACCTTTTTTAGCCGAGTCATCCAGAATAAGCCGAGTCATCCAGAATAAGCTGAGTCATCCAGAAAAAGATGGATGGATAAAATAGGAAGGTAGGATAGGATAGAATAGGAAGGAACGATAGGATAGAATAAGAAAGAAGGATAGGATAGAACAGAATAGGAAGGAAGGATATGATAGGAGAGGATAGGAAGGATAGGATAGAACAGAATAGGAAGAAAGGATATGATAGGAGAGGATAGGAAGGATAGGAAGGAGAAAAGATACGAAGGAAGGATAGATAGGAAGGATAGGATAGGATAAGATCAGATAGGAAGGATGGATGAATTTTTCAATATTTTCTTCAGGATGCCATCAGATCGATTTTCCGAAATTTCAAAACGCCATAACTTCCGAACCGGAAGTCGGATCGAAATTTGATTTAAAGATTCAGATTCCTGACAAAATTCTACCCCTAATTCATAACTCATACGTTAAATTTGGCGAATTTTTATTTTGACCTACTTTTCGGACACGCCATAACTTCCGAACCGGAAGTCGGATCGAAATTTTGTTTGCAGATTCGGATTCCTGACAAAATTCTACCCCTTAGTCATAACTCATACATTAAATTTGGAGAACTTTTTATTTTGACCTACTTTTCGGACACCATATCTCAAAAGTGGGTCAAAATACTTTCTGACGGCAAAAGGCTAACACTATTAGCAGACTCTTGGCTACATGTATACACAATTTCAAAGAATATAATTGAAGTGTAGTGTCAGAATCACAAAAATAAGGAAAACCTTTGAATTTGACCTAGATTTTGACATAGGAATTTTGGTGTCCAAATTCTGAAGCTAGATGGCTTTTGAGGTCCCCTTCTTTTGAAGCCTTTCATTTAATTAAGCTGAACTCAGTCTATATTTCATATTTTTCACTTCAAAAAAATCTTTTTTCCCATTGACTTAACATGGGCACAAAATTTAGCGATTTTTGAGTTTTTAAAACGCCATAACTTCCAAACCAGAAGTCGGATCGAAATTTGGTTTGCAGATTCGGATTCCTGACAAAATTCTACCCCTAATTCATAACTCATACATTGAATTTGGAGCACGTTTTGGTGTGACCTACTTTCCGGACACCATATCTCAAAATCGGTTTGAGATATCAAAAAACTAAATCGACCTTAGCTTTCCTACTTTTTTATGAGGAACACAATGAAAAAAACCTGGATCGAAAATATTGAAGGACGACTGAGAAAATTGAAAAAAGTGACAAAGTACTGGATTTGACCTAGTTCTTGACCTTTGACCTAGATAAAAAATTGACCCAATTTCCCAGAAACTAGATACTGGACCTAAATTGACCATATACAGGACTTGACTCAATGTCTTCTAGTTAAGGAGAAAACGTTTGTAGAAGAATAATAATAAGAATAAGAATAAAGAAGAAGAATACTGGCAAAAACAATAGACTCCAGATTGACATCTGGAGTCTAATAATAATATCTACAAAATTGATAGGAGGCCCCCCGATGGGGCCTCCTAATAAATATTACTTGTGACAGAAATGTCCTTAGACCTAGAAATTGGACACAAATGGTGCATAGTACCAACATGTTGAGGTCAAGACTTCATGTTCCTGGAGTTTACTACATATCAAAACATGGAAATAGTCCTGCTATGCGAAAAATCCAGGTTATTACATCAGATTAAGCTATGACAATACATGTAAATAAACAAATTATATGCTAGTTGGGGTACTATTATCTCAATGAAACCCATGCCTGAAAATTAAAGCTAAATGTTATTGTTTTAAGCCTGAAAGAAGCAGGAGTTGGGGTAAGCAGGTAGTACATACAAAAACCATAAAAACCAGGATTAAGCCTATGTATAACTAATTTGCACTAAATGAGCTAAGAAAGTTTTCCACACAAAAAAACTAAAATAGGAAATAAAACAACATACACTAAAACTACCAGATTCCACCCATTTCATACTCACTCACGGTATAGCCAATTTCAGAAAATGAATTTCCAACTTTTCTCAAACATATTTTTATCCGTGAGATCAATATTTATCTGTTCAAACTTAATAGCTTAATTGTTTTAATTATTCTGATGCAAAGCTGCACACGTACAAAACGTTGCAATACACCGTGCACTTAACATTTCTGAATTCAGAGCATGACAAGTAAACCTCCCTTTATACAACTCCCCCTTTACCTCCCTATAACTCCCTCTTTAATCTACTTGAGTTGAGGCAGGTTTTACTCTCTTAGTTCAAATTAAGTTTAATCTAAAGCCTGTATTACTGTTGTATAACAATTAATTTTTCCCTGTAGAATCCTCCACTTGTATGTTACATGTTAATCCCTTTGCCCCCCCCCCATGACAAATTGGTTGGCTGTTGGCTGTGTGTGAAATGAGCAGTACCTGTCAATTGCCTGTTCATGTAAGGCTACAACATCTAGATCTAGATCAACCTCTGCCCCAATATCTTGCCTTGGCTCTCTCTTCTGTTGATCCTCTTCCTGCTGTTGTTGATGCTTTCGGTCATCATGTTTCTTCTCCATGACGTGATCAGACTCGTCGAATGGATCTTTCTGAACTGGTGGTTTCTGATCTGAGCCACCAAGCTCCTCTTGCTCAAGATCCTGGTCAGCTTTATCTGGTTTTGGATCCCGACGATCACGAGATTCACGCTCGTTGTCTCGTCTCTCTGGTTTAGCATCGTAGGATTCCTGCCTATATTGTTCACGATCACCACTTCGTTCACTTCTACCAGTCTCTTTTCTGTCTCGATCAGCAGACTCTCGTTCTCTGTTTTCATACTCTCTGTAAGCAATTCGCAGGTTAATCAAAAACAGATTTCTTGTCAACACTTAGGAGAATGATTTTATGTAAAAGTTTGCTCAGAATCGCGAACGTAATCACTAGTTTTTCATGGGATTGACAGATTGGATATTTTATCATCACAGCAAACAGTAATATTGTTGAATTAAAATTTTTAAAAAATGCTTGTTATGAAAGTAGAAAACGCACTTACCCCTTTTCTTTCTCATATTTTTCATACTCTCTATTCTGCCACTCTTGGAAGGCTCTAGGGTCCCAGTGGGGTGGTCCATAGCCTCGCCTCATCATTTCCTCCATGGCACCTACACAACAATAAATATGAAGTTACAAGCCATACAAGTAATGCATTGATTTACACCAATAACCAGAATAATTGAAATTATTTTCATGCATAAGATTTAGAAAATGAGCACAAATGGTAAATAGCACCAATGAAGAATAATGGTGTGGTTATTGATATAATTCAGTCAGTGTATACAGGTGTCAACAATGCTTTAAAAGCTCAGTAGACCATCGTGATACAAAATCATCATGCTGAATTAAATAAAATGTTTCTTGCGTTTATACTATCCATCTAAATTGCTGTGCAAAAAATCCATAATTTTTATTTTAGTTATTTTCATATATCCTAACCTGGTGGGTAGCCTGGCCATGCCCTAGGGTCTCTGTCATAGGGGGCACCATCAGGGGTATGTGCTCCTTCCTCTCCTCCACTGTCGTTCCTCCTCCTCATAGGGCCTGGGGGGTACATAGGCATACCCTGCATATCCATGGGGGGTCGACCAGGCATGAAATGAGGGTGGGGTGGCATCCAGGATCGTGGATCCCGGGGGTCATACCATGGGGGTGGAGGACCTGGTCCTTTCATACCCTGGGGAGGTACGGGACCTCCTGGGGCAGGAGGAGTGTTCTGACTTGTGTTTTGCTTCATGGCTTCTTGTGCTTGCTTCTGGAACCTAGGGGGAATATTACGCCCATACTGCTTAGTATAGCTAGCACTACCCTGTAATTACACAATAGAAGCTATTCATCAACAATATAGTTTACAATTTCAATCCTTTGTTCATTACAGATGTCCTTTTCTAAGTTGATATATGTTGAGAACTCCAGTTGAAGTTCATGAATATGTTATTAAAATTGAGATAGTAAAGCCATCAGATTCGGTGAGTGATGAGTTCGGTCCTCTTTGCACTAGATGCTGCGGATATCACAAAGTTCATCATATGGCTCATGTACACAAAATAATAAATAAATAGGTGTCAGAACTGTTAGTTCCAATTACAGAATGTCTGGCTTTTGGATATTTGGCCATTGGGGTCCTGTAGTTGAAAGAAGTATGCCATGGAATATCTAGTTACCTGTTTTCCTTTATCACTGCCCTCACTGGTGGTACGACTTCTACGTGTCTCAGTGTCCGACACTTCTTTCTCACTCTCGCTTTCACGATCCTGAAACAACAATGTATGTGATACATATGGCCAAGATGTTAGTGCAAGTGTTGCAAGTTGTAATGTGTACATCAGAACAGATAAATAACCATGGTTTTGTCATTTGTCCCTATCTAAGAAGTCATCATGTGTACACAAACAGTTATAAATACAGATAAAAAGTTTTGACGCAAGATTTCAAGCAATACCACAGTCCATATTTCCACATGTCCAATCAGAACTAACAAAGATACAATAATGCTGGTACCTTAGAATCTCCTCGTTCTCCTCTCTTGCTAATCTGGAGCTTGGCTTCCAGTAGCTTCAGCTTCTCCTGGGCAGCTGCCTTTCTTTCCAGCTCCACTCTCCTCTCATCATCCTCTCTACGTTGTCTCGCTCGCTCTACAGCCGCAGACATCTCATCATTCTGTTGGCGACGTCTATTACGCCACACATCATCATCGGGATCAATGTCCGATGATTTATCAGATTTTCTGGGAGGATCTTGTTCCCTCCTTGGTTCTTGGTCAGGCCTTCTTTGCTCCCTGTCCCTTGGCGCTTCCCTTTCACGCTCCCTTGGGGGTGGTGGGCCTTGACTAGGGGGTGGGCCACCTGGACCTGGGGGATAAGGTCCCCTCTAAACAAGAAAATGATAAATTGAATGTCACACTAGTAAACATGTACCATAATCTACCCATTACAATCATTTATCTCATTAGAATAATGGTGTTATAAATGATATAATTCAGTCAGTGTATACAGGTGTCAACAATGCTTTAAGAGCTCAGTAGACCATCGTGATACAAAATCATCATGCTGAATTGAAGAAAACCCCTTCATACTTATAAAAGATAACAACACTTCAATGATCTTCTCCAGAATTAAACATATCAGGTATTGCACCCACTTGAAAATATATCTGCACCCAATTCAATTTCTACAAGGTTTTCTCAGAGTTTAAAGTAAAATAAATTTTGATCAAAAATATTACCCCAGGATAAGGGGGAAATTCCAATCGCTAGTGGCAGAAAGTAGTGTCAGGAATAGACTGTAACTAACCTGTGCCGGATGTTGTCCAGGGTGAGGCCCTGGCATCCTAAACTGTGGGGGGTAAGCTCCTTGGGGTGGACCTCTATGATCAAATGGCATCCTAGGGTGCCATCCATCCATTCCTGGGGGTGGGGGACCTCGTCGTTGGTTGTACTGGCCTGGGGGTTGCTGACCTGCAGGCCAACCTTCTCTAGGTGGACCTCTCTCATCCTGGAATAACATAGAAAACTTGATAACATATGAATGATCATTCACAATCATCAATTCATCTCATGTCCTTAAGTTGCACTTAAGATGTAATGTGCACATCAGAACAGATAAATAACCATGGTGTTGTCATTTGTCCCTATCTAAGAAGTCATCACATGTACACAAGATTACTGTCCTTCAACACGTGAATGTTTCAATGATGTGCTAGCTTTACATACCCTGTCCCTTGACTCCCTCTCTCTGTGTTTGCCAGCATCATCATGTGACTCAGACTTCCTCTCATGTCTATCACGTCCTTTATCTTCGCTTCGTTCACTCCTAAAATATATCAATATTAACTCTTCTTCGTCTTGAATAATGTTCCTGCAATGGCCACTCTCCATCAACTCATATTCATCAAGCATTTATTCATCAAAATATTTCAACCAGTCATAATGTAAGTGTTTACTCAAAAATATTTTTTTAAATTAATGCTCGTCTCAAGATCAGATAAAATAAAACAAGGCATTAACATGCAAAATGTCACCACTTGCTATTTGTTACAGATGCCAAACACAGTCCAGAAAAGTATGGGATTATATGTCACTGCATCTCATATTATTGACAACTACTCCAGTATGTTCTGAACTTACGTTTTTCTTTCACGAGGAGATTGCACTGTATCTTCATCATCACTGAACACCAGCTTCTCGGTGTAGTCAATCTCACCATGGGCACCTGCCCAGCCCTCATCATTATCATCCTTATCTCTAGCTATCTTATCCAATTCCTGGAGACTCTCATCCTTAATGATAGCAGGTCTTTTGTACATCTCTTCTCCCTCAGACGTTGGGGGTCTTGGGAGAGGGGCCCGGTGGGGGTAGGGGTAAGGTGGACGTGGCATTCCAGCAAAGTTTGGTGGGTAACCCTGGGGAGGGAAGTTTCTACTTGGAGGATACATCTGAAAGTACAAGAATATATCTTCTTAAAGGATAGCAAAGTTACTTTCTTTATTTATATCTTCATGATTGAATTGATATAATTAGTCTCTATGTACATCAGAACAGATAAATAACCATGGTTTTGTCATTTGTCCCTATCTAAGAAGTCATCACTTGTACAATTTTTTTTATTTTTTTCATATATTTCAAATATTCTCCTCATATCCTCCTACCTGGTACTGTGGTGGAATCATTCCTCTGAATTGTGGGTGCATTTGCATGGGACCCCCAGGTCCTGGGCCTGGCCCCATCATGGGACCCCCTGCCTGTGGGTTAGATCCTGGCCTCACTGGCATGCCCATCATGTGTCCTTCAGGGTGGCTCCCACCTATTAATACATTACAACATAACATTTTAATGAAAACACATTACAACATTTGATACTAGTGCAGACTGATATACAAAAGAAACAGCGATAGCAGTTTGAATCCTGATGATTATGAACCGATCTAGCTTTTTTCAGGAATGATGTTGAAAATGTACATCAGAACAGATAAATAACCATGGTGGTGTCATTTGTCCCTATCTAAGAAGTCATCCTCTGTACATGCTATATAATATAAGAAATTCCATCCACTGAACTGATTATACCAAACTTGTACATGGCTTTTAAAATGTTAGTTACCTGACACGAGGCCACCATTCTGTGAGTGCTCTGGCTGTGGGGACGTGGATTGTTGCTCCTTCACAGGTCGTCCTCCACCTTCCCGCCAACTCCCAACATCTATAAAGCAAGATTGAGTAAATATCATTCACCTGGGTTGTTCAGTAATCTATGTCTACGCAATTCTGCCATACCTCAAAAAACTGGCACACAACATAAAGTTATGTAACCAAACTTTATTCACAAAGACAAAACAATAGTCTATTTGATTAGAAAGCACCATTGTTGATGGAAGAATAGATAAATATTTACAAAATTGTTACAGGTGTCAAATAAGTTCATTAATTTTTTTTCTTACTTTGTGGTCTTAGACTTGGCCCTTCTCCATACTGGGTTTGTTTTGGTTCCTCTTTCTTGGTAGGTGTTCCCCCTGGTGTGCCAGTGGCGCCACCTGTGCTGCCACTCTTTGTGCTGCCATCTACTGCCAATGTAGGGAACTCCTCCTGGAAGAATGGTGACTGTTGGCCTAGCTTGTATGGTCCTCTTTCTGTACTGCCATGCTGTGTAACACTGCTCCATAGTTTTGCCCCGGTCGGGGTGCCTGCCCCAGGCCCCCCAGACTGCTGCTGCCCCTGACTCGCCCCCGCCCCCGACCCACCGCCCGCTGGTGGCTGTGCCCCGTGTATGTTTGCCCCAACTGTACCTGCCCCACTGCTGCTTACGCCCGCTCCTGTAGCTGGTCTGACCCCTCCCTGAGGAGGTTGCCCCGGTCCTACCATGCTCGCTGCTGCACTCTGAAACACAATGAATTGCCATGGTGGTTTATCCAAGTGGACTTCTTTTAATGAAGATCTTGGGGCAACATTGGAACTTAAAAGTTTTACCAAACAAGGCAAGGAAGGTCTGAACTTGCAATAAATTAGTTTCATAAAAAATCAATATTTTCTTAATGTATACACTGCACAAAAAATTAATGTTACCTTCGGTGTTGCTGCCTGTGACTGTGACGTAGCCTGCGAGGGCTGCGACGATGGCGGCTGACCTCCATCCTTCTTCTCCTCTTTCGATGCTCCCCATCCTGAAGAACCAATCAATTCCTTCCATATAATCTTTATCATTCAATACAGTATTAGGATGTATCAAATGGATTAAGTGAACCGTTGTGTGAAATTCAAATTGATACTTTATTACTTAGTTTTTGGGCTACAAAATGTTGAACACCTTACCTGCTCCACCAGAAGGTACTAAACTGATGTTAGGATCGTTTCCACAATTCTCCGATTTCAAACTTGGTAAATTAGCAGGTGGCGGCATTCGCCGGGCGCTGGCCACTTTACCCAAGCTTTGTAACCCATGCTGACGTGCAACTGAAATGGAAAAGCCGATGATCAGAACAATTGAACTCAAAGTAAAAAGGAATTTAGGATAAACAAAGTGTATGATGTCCTTTTGATGTCTTAGCAAAAGTTCATTGGGAGAAAAAATTGCCTATTGTTTGAAAAAGGTGATGAAATCCAACCAAAGCCCCTATAAGCAGGAAAAATCTAAACTAGACAATCCAGCCCATACATAATACATATTCCACTCCCCCCAGTTTTCTGCAAGTTAAAATGCTCAATTCTGCAAGTGAAATTAGTGAATTCTGCAAGAAGAAAGGGCTAATTCTGCAGAAATTCCGCGGATATTCGCGGCATTTTTTGCGGTTATTATAAAAAAAAATCAAGATTGGTTTAACAAGAACAGTATCATATATTCTAAAAACATGATTTGATAATCATATTCCTACATGTTAAACCCTGCCACAAACAAATTTGACCACTGAAAGTTCCATTTCCATGAAAATGCTGTAATTAATCAAATTTCACATTTTTCGAAACTTCAAACACGGAGGATCGGGCGCATAATGGGAATCACGATATATGTAAATCAGGTTTTAAGTGTAATATCTCATTGGAGTTCGAAGTTTTCGATCAATAACTTAATAATATAAATAACTGTTATTAATTTATGTCTTTGTTTAACTTTCTGACGAGAACCGAAAGAAAAACTAATGGTTTTCGTACCAGTAAACGGGAAAATATCGTGATAGTCAGGTAGTCAGTCTCAGTCACTACATACATGCTGCCATCTAACGGCAGAAATCAAACGATGGCGTTTAGAATTTTCACTTCGCATAATTTGGGTTATTTCTGCAAGGGATTTGACTGAAAACGTGTCAAATTGTTACAGGTAAGACTGACTTTTTAAACTTTTGGAAAATATATGGATTCTGCGGAAAATTCCGCGGAAATTGACCAAAATAGTTGATTCTGCAATTCCGCGGGCAGAGGCAAATTCCGTCCGCGCTCTGCAAACACGGAATCCTGGGGGCAGTGATATTCACTTCTATTGGTACTTACCCGTAGTCTTCTGAGTTTCTACGCTTTTGCCCTTGTAGATATTATTTATGTTTATTGAGGTGAACTTGCTCTTGCTTTTCTCACCCTTACTGCCTAACCCAGAGATAGTGGACATTTTGCCGGAGAGCTCATTGAATAGCTAGGTACTGTACCCTGGGAACGGTCCGTAACACCTGAAAACACAGCAGTAATTTATGAAAACAATGAATTTTTTGTTTCAAATGATGATACTGAAAATACATGTTTCATACTAGACTATGGTAGGCGTAGAATGTTACACCTGCGTCAGTATCCAATCTTGTTTGCTTCATTTGAACGTTGCAGATTTACATTTTAATTTTAGTGTTCTTCACCAATCTTGCATTTTTAATATCACCATTTTTGGTCTGCTTTTGGATGTCTAATGACTCTCTGTCAAATGTAGCACCCATCATTCTAGCGTTTGACTATCCTTATAAATGTAGAGGTTTCATTGTTATGCCAGAATGCACAAGATCAATTAATAGTCATCTTTCAAGTTTGAATTCTGTATATGGATTTCTATCACATGCTTCTTTCTTTTGCCATAAAAATGACAGCCTACATGGGTGGACTGGTTGTCATGTTATAAAATATATGGCAATTTCAATTTCCTGTGCTAATTAATAATATACATGGAAAAATGATGTGGCCCATTGTTAATTTGAATAGCTGTCACGTTTGAGAAGTAAATCGAATCAGATTTCTATATCAACTGTCACATCTGATGCCTTATAACGTAATTAGCTTTTGTAGTACATAAGGGAATGTGTCACTTCTTACGATATAGGAATACTTTCTTATTTCATCAATCAACGTCACAAGTATTAAAAATGTTGTAAAATTATTTTTGCCTCTAAGCATTAGATCCTCTTTGAGATTAACTATGATAAAAATATTGTCGATTTTTATAACAAGCAACCAATTTTAAGATTGAATTTGTTTTCACTCAATTTGGGCACTCAGAAAAACATACATGTCGATCATGGTGAAATTATTAAAAGAGGTTAACGTTTACCAGTTAAGCCACACCCAGTCTGAAATAAAGAAAATGCTGGCCTCTGAATTATGTTTGTACTTTTTTGTTTAGAATTGAAATGTGTTTCAAATAACCTTGTCATTCTGACATTCTAACATTTTTCATGCACTTCAATAATTTTTTCAATCTGAAAAAGTTGGTTGTACATGTACTATATTTGTTAACTTGGATAATAGACCCTGAATCAATCACAAATATATCCCATCAGAAAAAAGTTATTGTGCCAAGTGGGAAATCACAAAAGGTTCATTCTTAGACTCATAGGCTTCATTTTTAGTGCTCAACAATACATCAACAACAGAGCATTAGATTATTTAGTTCATGTCGCACATCCATCAATTAAATCAATTCTATATAGTTCATCTCATTCTTAAATGTGGCAGCTTGGTTCGTTTCTGATTTTGGTAAAATTGTAATTGCAACTCATCAAATACAATCTATCTGATTTCAGATTTGCATATTGATAATAACAAGTACATGTAATAGAAAATGAGAACAAAGCTTTCAGGACTAATTGACATCAATAAAATCAAGACCAATCAAGAACACTAATTACCAGATAATTTAGCTTTTATATGCAGAACATCTGGAACAGTTCAAAACATCCTATTGGAACACCCTTACAATTCAATGGCCATCAAGATTTGGTTTGTTTTCAAACGATAGCGCAATATTCAATATATCATTAACTTATTAAGATATATCATCATTTACTTGTTTGTAAAAGGAATTCAGACAGAATTTTTTAACAGATATTTGTTCAATCATGAATGTGGTATTGGTTAATACTCAGATTTTGTAAGGGACAATGACATATTTAAATACCCCATCTGGTACCAGCTACATGTCATGCTATACATGACATGTATGTATTGAATATACAAGCAAGTTTCTCATCTAGACAAATAATTCTTATTTGTATACCTAGATACATGTATAGTTATAGATACATGTGCCAGTGGTTAACATTCAGCAAAATAAAATTTATTTTGACTCCAGTAGTTCCCCACTCTATAACATTAATTAAGAAAAATAAAAAATAGGCAGTTATTTTAATATCCGTAGCACCGAACAGTACAACATACTTAGCATAAACCTACCACTTCTAACCTGAACTCTTATGTCAAGTGCAGTTCTAATTCTGAACACAAAATATTTTCTTCACTTAATCTTGCAGACCAGTTTCTTTAGTGCTAAAATATCCAGCATGAGTAATTGAGTATGCACCTTACAGGGTCACTTCCCTTTCTTAGTACTGGAGATTTGAATCAATGTGAGAAAGCCATATAGTCAACAATTTGCTCCAAGGTTAGGAAATATTGATATTAAAAAATTAGACATCATAATCAATTGTTACTTAGGACAGACAGAAAAATAATGATGCTGGGGCAACCAACCAAGTTTAGTACAATACATCAAATACAATTCTGACTATTTGTACTGTGACTGCATAGATAGTAGGTCATTTTTCTGTTTGTTTCAAAAATTCTGACATATCTCAACATATTTCCATTTTCACAATAGGCCACTATAGCAGGATGCATCTATAACATGAATTAGTAAACATCCATCTATCATAGTTTATCTTTCATCTGACAAAGAATGTGATTAAGACAGATGAAGAACTTCTGAAATATTCATTATTTTATGCATACTTCTCAGAATGTCTCACTCAATTATTTTGCTTACTTGTACATGTAAGAAACATTTCCTGATTTTATGATGTAATGATATTGGACTTCAAAAAGACACATGAAATGTGACTATGATTTTCACTTATCTTGTTCCGCAAGCTAGCTCAAATAGGACTACAGTAGTACAGCCCATTTCACTGTTTTATTAGGTCAGTAATTACTCCAAAAATAAGAAATCAAGAGACCATTACATGCAATGATATAGACTATGGAAAAGTATATTCATATTGAAAATGAATGACATTTGTATATTTTTATACAGACAACTTAGTTTTTTGTGCAATAAGCCTGTGCCCTCTTGTAATTAATTGGCTGTAGTTATTGTGTATTACATTCTAATATTTCATAGCCTTGCTAAAAGTGGGTGAACTTGGTTGAAGTTCGAAATTCTGGCAAAACTCATTCAAGTCATAATGAACACCGCTGAAATTTGAGACAGTCAAAACTTTATGGAGTCCAAGAGAAAACAGAAGATGCACAGTGATAAATATCACACTCTGGAGAGAAAGAGTCCACCATGTATGCTAATTTGCCGGCGCATGCAGGGGTTTCAATAAATATTTTTTCAACAGGCTTTTTGGGAATTTCAACAGGCTGAAACTTATTTCACTAAAATAATTTAGGGTAAGGTAAGTAACAGTGAATTTTATTTCTACATATTTGAACAGGCGTAATTGAGATTTGAACAGGCATTTTCGCCATCCGCCTGTGCTTATTGAAACCCCTGGCATGCCAAAAACCTGATCAGATATTGGTAGATCTACTCATCTTTCAAGTTGAACGCATTTTTCTACAATATTCGATGAAAATATTTGTGGTGCACATTGATAAAAACATGAAGATTAATGTCCATGTTTGAAGAATTCTGATGTATTTGGTAATACACATTTGTTTTATTCCGTTTGAGTTTTCATTGGAAATTTATTCGTGAAATTTTTGCAGGGTGACTTGAGAATAAAATAAAACGTCATGACCAGCAATCAACCGGCAAGTTCAACTGCATTTGTCTACACGAACCTGTTAAATCATAAACTTATGCACTTCATAGTCTACTAAATCTTATTCGATAGTTCCTTTCGATGCTCAATCTGTAGTTATCTGGCAAATACGTCGTTTACTCTCACAAAGAAATAAATCACAAAAATAAGAAAATTCGACGTACAGACCGGGATTCTTTGGGGGTTATCACGCTGAATAAATGAAATAACAATACTTACTGCGGTCCGTTCTGATGGGTGATGATTGTAGAACAATCTAGTCCTTTTAAAACGCCGATTACCCGACGGATGGCAACAGATTTTCGCCGGATATCAAGAATTTTGAGAAATAAATCTCGTCCAAAATGGCGAACAACGACAAATTATGCAAATGAGACTTTAATCTGTGACGTCATTTCCCATGATTCCTCTAAAACAGGTGCGAGGTCAATCACTTTCGGTTTATGTTAGTGGTTGTGTTTTTTCGAGCTCTGACGTGTCTGAAGCTGCTAAGCTGCAAATCAAATTGAAATTGTTTGATTTTGATGAGATTGTTTGGTTCAGGTTTTGTGCATGACTGATAAAGCTTGGCATAAGTAGGATTGTTTTGGATTTCTGAGTTGGCATGTCAGACATCTGGTTGAGACTCGGGTTGAGACTTCACTGGGGATATTGCGTGTATGGGTTGGTTATGTTTGATTGGCTGGAATGCTGAGTTGCTTGATAGAGTATGGTATTTATTTTCGATCCCTTTGTAAGTCTTAGATTGTCCAGGAAAGTTAAATCTACTGGGTATTTCCAGATTGTGTTACAACTGACTGAGAAAAAGAGGTATATTGGTATCGATGTCATACATCAGATGGTCAACAATTTTGTCAATATTTGAAATTTTTTGACATGGTTGAGGCATGGGATTGAGGCCACTAAGCAGCAAATAAGCCCGTAGTATATTCATCAGAGTTTGATTGAGATGGTTGGGATTGCTTATTATTGTCAATCATGTAGGAGGAATCAGTGTTCTAGAATTGTTTGAACACCGTTTGACTGACATTAAGATCAGTTGATATTGTTTTATAGTGAGGATTGAGATCTTTGGGTATTACTGAAATTATTAACGGTGAGTCATGGTTGAGACCTCGAGCCATAATTGCGATTGAAAGACCTTTCGATTAGGTGCAATACTGCATCGGTTGCAAACCGCCCCGGTAACGCGTTGTTGGATACCACAGCAAAAAAATGCGTATGAATACAATGAATCCTGACATCAGGATTCATACAGGATATGCACGCAGTGTGCCAATCTGGTATAAATCCTGACACCTGGATTCATACAGGATATGCACGCAGTGTGCCAATCCTGTACGTATCCTGAGTCTATTTGACCTACAAGCCCCAGGCCTACATTTTTCCACTCACCACGTAGGTTCTGATTTTAATTTCCAGTCTTGCACAGTTATCATAAAAACTATTCATTCAAGGAAATACAACAGGGGCAAATCGTATTCGCCTAATGAATTATTATATAAACCCGTTTATAGGCAGCGTATACGTTATTGATCTCCCCTGGATACCCGCCTGATCAAATTGTATTAAAATTGGTTAGGTGTTATGCAATTTCAGCATAATGTTTACGTTTTAAAATGCATGAACGTGTAGAAGTATGGTCTTCTGGGGATTAATCCTCCCCTTCTTATAAATTCCTTCACCAATTGAGGATGGATATAAGAATATAATTGTAATTACGTTACGTGTATTCCTCCAGAACGCCCAAATATAGAAGACGGGCAGTCCCCTGTGGTCATAATATTACACGTTCACGTAACGTTCTCGGAGAAAACGCGTAGCCTAGCTTCTATATTTTACCTGTGTTTTTCGTAGGCTACAGATTGTATCTTTGAGTAAATGAGGCAGATCAGACGAAATTGTGTTACGTTTCTCGTACACGTTTCCTGATTTTGTGCAATATAAGGTCCCTTTCGTGTGTCATTCATCATTTTGTAGCGACCCAGGGGGCAATGTGCTTCATTTATACTGACGTCTGTTGATAGCTTAGCGAATAAGTATGCACAGCCTGACTCTGAGAGTGTACGCAGTAATCCCAAGTGACCGACCCTCCCTCACTCACAGTGTCACTGAAGCCGTCAAACGGGAAAGAGTGAACAGAATAGTGATGTTAAATAGATATAGCCCTAACAACTACTAATTTCTAACTAAAATTACATGATTTTGCTTAATAATAATGGTAAATCACAACTGAATTGAAATACAGATCATAGGAAATTACCGATGCGCTAATCAATTCAAAGCACCCGTCCCCCACAAAAAGGGAGGGGGCTGAAGGAGCGCAGATAAACGCACAAAACGATCCTACGAAGAAGGGTTAGAGCTTCACTATGGACATGATTGGCACGTTACCCACTCCGATCCAATCTGATAGAGGCATCTTTGCACAGATGTTGGCCAGATCGTTTTGTAGTAGGATCTCGTAGGCTCAAAGAATAAACAGGCATATTAATTGAGCTACTGATTCTACTACAAAAGAATCTGGCCGGGGAGCAATGAATGAATGATTAAAACTGGATTTGCTGAAATGAGGATTTCCATGTTCAAATAAAAGAATTTTCAAGATACAATCCAACGAGTGTATGAGAGTTTTATGAGAGTTTAATGGTCATCTTATGAATGGTAATAACTTAATTTGAAAAAATGATCTACTTTTCTACACATTATATAGTTTTAGAAAACACATCGGACACTTCTTTTGTTCTTTGTACAATGTGTTCGGAATGAAATGAAACATCTGTCTGAACCTCGTTGGAACAAAATGACATACTAGTATATAGGGATTATCCAATATGAGGTTCAGGATATTGGGATTATCCCGAGGCCAATATATCTGCCCGAGGGCCGTAGATCCTGAGGGTAGATCTCGGGCAGATATATTACATTGGCCTCGGGATAATCCCAATATCCTGAACCGCCCAATCGTGGAAATGTTTTAGAATATTCATGTCCAGTTTTATTTTCTTGGCCGTGGTCGGATTTTCCTGTCCTTTCGGATATTCCCACATTTATTTTCTCGGATTTTTGATCAACCGAATGCTCATTCCCTTCTTTAACATGTTTAAATCGCGTTCGTACTTCTCCATTGTCGTTTATGCTATACTTTTTCTGCCTGCTCGGAGCGGGACGTAAAGCTATATTTGCCCGCTAATGAAAGTTTTAACAAACCTGCTTTATAACACGTCCAAGTATATGGGATAAACGTTTTTAGCTTTCTCAATATTGTAATTGTACAAATGAAAGTTATTTGTATAACTATTATATTTTGCAAGATCTAAGAAAATGTTGTACAGGGTGTCCCGAAAGTATGCCCCCCCCCCCTAGGCAGACATATTCCACTGTCCTCGTAGTATGTGTCATATATCATTTTAAAGCTTATCCAAAGTTACATTGATTTGCCAAGTATCATGGTTTAACTCCCAAATGGGAAAAAGTTACAGTCATTTTAAAAGTTAGTGTTTTGTCAAAATAAAGTTCAATTTTACACCAAATTACTAGTCAATGAGCCCCCCCCCTTGGCCATGTTAACAGCAGCAATTATTTTCAAATATGACCTTAAAAGCCCTTCAAATAGGGGTGTGGAATTTTATAACCCTCTTAAAACCATGGCCAAGAGTTTCCTTAGAGTTTCCACCCTCACCATTCTCTTTTTCCAACTCAAAATCCATCCGACCCGAAAATAATTGCTGCTGTTAAGATGGCCCGGAAGGATACATTGACTAGTGATTTGGTGTCAAATTTAACTTAATTTTGACCAAACACTAAATTTTGAAATGCCTGTAATTTTTTCACATTTGAGAGTTGAACCATGATACTTGGTGCATCAATGTAACTTTGGACAAGCTTTAAAATGATATATGACACATACTTTGACGACACTGGTATATGTCTGCCTAGGGGGTGGGGGGGCATACTTTCGGGACACCCTGTATATGCCATTTTGTTCCAACAAGGCACAAGGTTCGGATAGATATTTTATTTCATGATCAAGAATTGGTAGAAAAGAACAAAAAAACAATTGCACTAAAACAAAACAAATGTTTACAAAATCAAAAATATAAAATACATATGAATAAACCTTTTAGGGGATATTTATCGAGACTGGAAACTATGGGCTTTCATGACTTGATTTGGAAGTGGTGATTGGTGTTTGTTCGTTGTTCATCCTGGTTGAGATTGCTCAATATGGTTGAACTTGCTTGTTATTCAACATGGTTGAGATTACTTAACATAGTTGCGATTGCTTCTTACTAATCACCCTGGTTGAGATTGCTCAATATGGTTGGGATTGCTTGTTATTCAACGTGATTGAGATTACCTAACATAGTTGCGATTGCTTCTTACTAATCACCCTGGTTAAGATTGCTCAATATGGTTGGGATTGCTTGTTATTCAACGTGGTTGAGATTACTTAACATAGTTGCGATTGCTTCTTACTAATCACCCTGGTTGAGATTGCTCAATATGGTTGAGATTGCTTGTTATTCAACGTGATTGAGATTACTTAACATAGTTGCGATTGCTTCTTACTATTCACCCTGGTTGAGATTGCTCAATATGGTTGGGATTGCTTGTTATTCAACGTGATTGAGATAACTTAACATATTTGCGATTGCTTCTTACTAATCACCCTGGTTAAGATTGCTCAATATGGTTGGGATTGCTTGTTATTCAACGTGATTGAGATAACTTAACATAGTTGCGATTGCTTCTTACTAATCACCCTGGTTAAGATTGCTCAATATGGTTGGGATTGCTTGTTATTCAACGTGATTGAGATAACTTAACATAGTTGCGATTGCTTCTTACTAATCACCCTGGTTAAGATTGCTCAATATGGTTGGGATTGCTTGTTATTCAACGTGATTGAGATTACTTAACATAGTTGCGATTGCTTCTTACTAATCACCCTGGTTAAGATTGCTCAATATGGTTGAGATTGCTTGTTATTCAACATGGTTGAGATTACTTAACATAGTTGCGATTGGTTCTTACTAATCACCCTGGTTAAGATTGCTCAATATGGTTGAGCTTGCTTGTTATTCATCATGATTGAGATAACTTAACATAGTTGCGATTGCCTCGCGTTAATCACCCTGGTTGAGATTGCTCAATATGGTTGAGATTGCTTGTCATTCAACCTGGTTGAGATTACTTAACATAGTTGCGATTGCTTCTTACTAATCACCCTGGTTGAGATTGCTCAATATGGTTAGATTGCTTGTTATTCAACATAGATGAGTTTACTTAACATAGTTGCGATTGCTTCTTACTATTCACCCTGGTTGAGATTGCTCAATATGGTTGAGATTGCTTGT